TTATCCGCGCACTAGAAGAGTAGCGAGCCGAACTAGAGGGCTTATAACGTACAGATCGATTTAATATCTAGACTGATCACCAATCCCTCTAGTATTTTATAACTACTCGAATACTAAACGCAAGACAAGTACGCTAGGGAGAGTCCCTCTCACGGTTTCACTTCTAAATCCGCTACCGCCTAGGGAAGGGTAATATGGTAGCCGACGCACTATCTCGAAAGGACCGACCGACTAGCTAGCGAGCCGAATAGATCCTGTTACCCCGAGAAGTACTAGAGTAGGGTACCCATCCAGATAATCCACTGCCCGTGGAGCTCACCCCCGTCTCCTACGGACTTACGGGATCATTTACTCCTAACGGAGCTAGTCTAGCGACTCCGAGATACACCGAGATTTTGAAAAGAACGGTGTTATCCCCGGTGGTCGAAAGGGTGATATTAGCGAACTGTATAAGCGAGAGTCTTCTCGAATATCGTGACTTAGTGCATTCTGATCAGAAATAGATAATAGAAGAAGGACTACTGCTATATGAAGGGAAGCTTATAGTTCCCGACGAAGGCGACCTACGCGCACGATTACTAGATAAAATCCACCGATAACCGTTAATCGCTCATCCCGGAATCGAAAAGACGAAGCGTATGCTTATAGCCAGATACCACTGGCTAGAGATGATTAACGACGTGAAACGATATGTGGATAACTGCTAAATCTGTAAGCGGACGAAGGCATAGAGAGACCGAACCCTAGGATTACTATAACCCCTACCGATCCCTGGAAGACCGTGGTAACATCTCACGATAGATTTCCGCTCGTTCCCGAAAGACCGTAGAGGATATGATACCGTCTGCGTTTTTGTGGATAGACTGAGCAAACGGCTAATTTCGATACCTTGTCACGAAGATATTGATGCAAAGGAAACAGCCCGGTTATTCATAGACTATGTCTATCGATGGGTAGGATTACCAGAGTCGATTGTTTCCGACCGAGGGCCTTAGTTTGTATTAGGATTCTGGAAGGAGTTCTGTCGAATCCTCGGAATTGAAAGAAAACTATCAACTTCTTATCACCCCTAGACGGACGGTCAAAGCGAGATTATAAATCAGTATATGGCATAGCGACTACGACCTTTCGTGAGTTACTACCAAGACGACTGGTTAGACTATCTTGCAATGATAGACTTCGCTTTCGTAGCTTTACCCCAGGAAACGACGGGAGTCTCACCCTTCTTTGTTGAACGAGGGTATGAACCCCGGGTGTCCTTTGATTGGAAACCGGCGGAAGCCTTGGACTGGCTTAGTCAAATTGTACCTCGATAAAGGAACGAGTCGTAGAACGAAGAAGCAAGCGATTACACTAACAGGATGCAGGAAATATGGGAAGATACGCAGAGAAAAGCTACATATGCGCAGGAACGTTAGCGTTAACAGGCGAATCGGCACCGTAGGGCAGAGGATTTCGGTGTTGGTGACCGAGTATTTGTGACGATAAGGCACTGGAAACTAGACCGACCAGGTAGGAAACTTGCAGACCAAGCGAGTGGACCTTACATGATCGTGGAGAAGGTTGGTAATACGTACAAGCTAGACCTCCTAGAATCGATTCGTGTGCACCCAGTTTTTTCGGCAGAGAAACTCCGATTAGCGGCACGAACAGAACCGTTGCCTAGGCAACTACAAGACCCGAAACCCCCGGAAGTCGTTGACGACGAGCCTGAATGGGAAGTCGATGAGATCGTGGCAGTGCGCCTACACTACCGAAAGCTTCAGTACAAGGCGAAGTGGATCGGCAACGACGATGACAATTGGTACTACGCGCGCGATTACAAGAATGCGCCTGAAAAGCTGATGGAGTTTCACCGAAAGTACCCAGATCTGCCAGGTCCGCCAGTACGATTGACTGCATGGATTGAAGCTGCATTAAACGATCGCTTTGAGCCAGATCACGCAGATGACAACAAAGCGATCTGATTGGTCGATTCAGAAAGGAAGACCCGAATGCACGTGACCTGGAGGGCCAGGTCCTTTTAAACAAGGGGGCAATGTTACGATTCGTAGATGCGGAAGGTCTTGCGAACGAACTGGCGAGAAGTGTTTGCATGGGAGTTGCCGAAAAGGGAGGGCCCTATAAAGGCAATCCCTTTGGGTGGATTAGAATCTTCCTTCTCTTCTTCTTTCTCTAGATTTAGTTGCCTCGTTTAAACAGTACCGAATTGATTCATAATCTTTTCGCTTGACCGTAACACACATATTCATATATTTTTTCTTTACATGTTCGCCGATCATGTCCATGCCTATAGACAAGCCTCCTCAAGTGATTCGGGTGATTCTCTGGTTCGAGAAATATGTCCCCTTTGTATCCATCATCTTATTTCTAGTGCTGGTATGCTTGTCAGGTGCCTTCTTGGGTAAAGTCTATTCACGGCCGGAGATTTTTGGACCTCCATATAGCCCCGATATCAAGCCCGGTACAGACATGCCACTTATCATAGTATGCTTTCTTGTTCGTGTCGCTAGCAACCACTAACCAGCAATCTAGGCATGTATCGGTGTCGCGTTCTTCTTGTTGTCTGTCTGTATGCCACATAGCACATTATGGATGTTGGCCTGTCTTGTTACTCGGTTCACTCTTGCCATGGGTCTCGTCGCTTCTGCAGTCCTTCAATCGCTCTATTTACCGCTTCCTGTGGGATCATGCGAAAATTATAAGGTATGGCGAGATCCCACTAATATTTCAGAAGAAATACCTACCATGTTCGAGGTATTACCAACTACTCGGGTCAAAAAGAAATTCGGCGGACGTTCTACCAATCGGCCATGTGATGCACTGGTCACTATTTGGAAATTTGAGATTGTCTTAGCGTGAGTATACTTGTTTTTCCCTCGAATTATCTTTCCCTAAATCTGATAACAATTCTAGGGTTCTGACCATGATTTTAAGTCTATGTGCCTGCATCCTCGTGGCATATACGGTTATTGCAAATAATCCATCGACATCACCGCCTGTGGCTGCACAGTGGCTGGCAAAAACTTTCAAGTTTGGAATAGACTATGTTAAACGCCTGTGGGGCAAGACTAGACATGACAATGAAAGAAAAGAAGCTGAAGCGAATCTCCTTCCGACCGATCCGGAAGCCTTGGGATATGAGATGAGCATCAGAAACCGTCCGATATGAATTAGCTGTCACCTGTATTTTCCTTGTGATCAGTTAAGCCCGGGACCGCTTACCCCGCCTCAAATAATATCTTCTTACCTTGGATCTATCTCATCATGCTATCTATCTTAACAATCACGGCGCCTCATCATGATTAGAGATTCCTCTACCCAGGCCCTTAGCCTTTCGTAAGTAATCTTAGAACCTCGCGTACGTATCGCGACTGTGATAAGCCATGAGTGGTTTTTTTGTTGCGTCACGCCTCCAGTACAAAAAAGGAACAACAGATCAATCATACATAGTCTTGATGACAAAATGTTAAATAGCATTGGTAGCTTTCTAAGATGATAGACAACGGATGCCAAATGAGCATTTGACAGATAATACTTGGCCAGTGTCAATGCACTAAGGACAGGCGATGCTTGGATTATAGATTAGATAATCTATATCTCTAATGGATATATGCTCAAGCAACCAAGAGGGTCTAAGTATGACCGGGGAAAATGTTACCAGGTACGGTCATCGGGGCACCAGGGCGCCGTCTAGGGCGTACCACCAGACAGCGAGGAAAGAAGTCATATTCGTGGAGGTGCTGGACTTTCCCATATTTGTAAGTATTCGTACTCAGGATTTGCGGATTCCCAATTCGCCGGTGCTCTGGGTCGCTCCATTATCAAGTGAAAATGACGGGCCGCGAAATACGTGCCGCCTATCGAACCAGATTGTGGGGGATACTCTGGTTTGTAATTATGTTTTAAGAACGGTCTGAGCGACTAGAAGTTAGTAGAGGGATATGAAAGGAGTTACGGTGAGCAGGTGTTGATAGTCGTCGAATTATAGTTGATCTATGTTTGCACGTTTTAAATGCAGGGGGTCGTTTCAGTCGCGGCCACCGGAGCGTTAGGGGCGGCGCTCACTGACTGTTTGTGCAAAACAATTTATTTACATATTTTAGAATGGGTTGTGGGCAGAAAATTACTTGTTCAATATTTCTCGGATTTCAAGGTTTACCTAGCAGTCCATATACCCATCCTCACTATGTCCTTACCTGACATGAACGGGTATACCCCTCGGCCTTCACCAATGTGCCAAGTTGCAGGCTGGACACCCATACCCTTTGACCTGAATGACTCAACACTAATGAGACACCCTGTTACCAATATCATCAGCCCCAATCTTCTAGCGCTTTCATCGGACACGATAATCTGCCAGGAAGCTTTAGAAATAGCTACCCACGTATTAGTGGACTGCCCAATTCTAAAGCACTTACGAACGGAATTAAGGCGGAAGGTTAGGGACGCGTTTATTAGCGTGTCCGCTCTGCTGGGAAGGTCTAAGTTCGTTATCAGGAAGTGGGACATTCCACATGTTCAGATAGGGATAGGTATCGTTGAGGTAGTCTGTATATCGACGTCAGGGCGAGGGGTCAGGCTAAATGAAAGCATCATCATAATCATCATCGACTGTAATTGAGGATTCTACGGTAACTACAAAATGCTGATTGTTAGAATCAATAGGTCGATTGGGATATATGGTATGGTGCTAACTAAAAAAGCATAGTAACTCCACAAAAGGGACGGGACAACAGACGCGGCACTGCAAAAATAGTATATTAAGAAATATAACCTCCAAAAGTAGTAAGCCATTTTTCTTCATTATTTACTTCTTGTTCCTGGCTATATCTCTGTCAATAGATTCTCCATCCACTGAAAGGGCTATCCACTACAGAAGTCCCGATAAGAGAGGAACAGGTTTTACAATGGCCATCTCAGCCTCCGTTTGCACATGTGAGCGTTTAAGACTTTAATCAGCCCTAGTTCCTCGCGTCTCCCTTCCTAAAAGTCCAGGCTCAGGTCCAAGGTGCCACCACCTGTATCTCTAGGTCTTCATCGCTTGAATTTGTTTCACTAGTCAAACGCTGTGCGGCGCTTCGTGACGTGACGGCCTTTCTCTCGAAGCCTGGGCGTTTCAAGAGCTTATACAGCCACTTTTCCAGCTGAGAGAAATCATCGAGAGAGACCCCGTCCGAAGCTAAAGGTGACACATTATCATGGTTAACCAAAAAGAAATATTAAAATAACGTAGATAAGCATGGAACGGGCCTACTGTGAGAGGAAACCCAGCCCCAGCAAGCTATGTCGGCAATAGTAACGCGGTCGCCGACGAGGAAACCATTACGAGACTTAGCCAGTTGGGTTTCCATGGTGCGATAGAGACGACGGGTCTCATTGTCGTAGCGGCTAATACTGTACTCGATCTTCTCCGCTGCGTATCCTAGGAGCATTCAGTCAGCATCTGATTGATCAGCTGGGTGATCATATCCCTCGGTAACTAACTCCTAAAATGCTCTAGCTGTCCTTGCATGGGCCCTAAGCCACCAATCTGCCACATGAGCTAAACCACAGCGTTAACTATCTTGCAGCTGAGGCATATGTTTGTGGGCGATGCACGAACGAACCCAGCTTTTTACCTCCCAGTGCTCACGGGAGTCCTTTGGGTACGAGACTCTATAGTTTTTGTCGTAACAATCAACAATGTATTCAAGGATGGCTCCACTTTCAAAGACACATATTCTCTTCCCATCTGCCCAGGTATCCGTGAATGCAAGGATCCGGCCATTGGGATTGATCTCCAGGAACCAGGTCTCTTTCTACTCATTGTCCATTATCTGGATGGGGTATAACGATCAAAACCACACGTGTGAGCTTCATAATATTTTGGGGATATTGTTTCCTCAAACCTTGTACTCAAGCCCAAGCTCCTCAAGCAGGATCGGAACCTTGATCCCATTTGGCGTTGACGCAGTGTAAAGAGTGATGTCAGGCTTGGTACCCATACTGACCAGTTGATTTCGTCTTTGTGATGTGAAATATGTCCTATTACCGAAAGTAAATGCCCGAGGAGCAAAATGCAAACGGAAAAAGAGACTATTACTTATATATAGCATCGTCCGCTCGTGGTGAAGTCTGAACGCCTGGTGCTGAGTCTGAACCTAAACTTTCGCTGAGGAAAGATGTAACATGATTTGTAATGAGCCAATCCATACGAACAGACACGGCTTAGTACCAATTTGTTGGCTTTGGATTTTTACCATCTTCTTTACCGCCAGTCTTTTCAATAGTCTCGGGTGCCATGCGAACCAGTGCTTGGATTCTTGGGTTCGAGCATCTACTGTGCACTACAGAGCGAAGATTTTGGAAAACCTATGGCTCAATTGATAAGGGAAATTTCTGGGGCTTTAGAACCTCATATTTTCTTTATTTCACCGGTCCCTATTGATGTTATGAGCTAAGCCTCCTCCACCTAGGCCTAACGTTGCGCGCTACTTATATCGGTCCTAGGCATGCTAGAAGGCTTTGTTCTAGCATATCTGGTCTTTTAGCTTGTTTGGCTAGTGCGCCTGGGCACGTGCCGTGAGAATTGAGATAGCTCTTAAAATGCGTGAGAAATAACACTGACTGATACTTATAGAATGTCAATTAACTAATCACTCCAATCTCTCGCCATGAATGGCTATATACTTCATGTAAGCCGACCATCTATGGTATCCTACGCGATATGGATTAGAAATTGTGTCACTCTTGACTCCGTGGCGGGAAATACTCTGATAAGCTGTTGCGGCTTACTGGAATAAACCTGGAAAGCACATGAAAATCATGAAATCCATGCCCCCTACCTTACCTTCTTCGTTCTCATATTCATTATTTCAATCTTATCCTAATTATTTCTCCCTTCGGAGGGTCTGAACCATGGTAACACGGTACTTACTAAGAAAGTAGCAATATCTACTCCCGAGTGATGGTTAGTCAATTTAGTGTAAGGTGAAAGCGGTTAAATGTTTTCGTCCAAAACTTGAAATCATATGTAATATGTTATCTTTAACAATCTTTTCGATAATTTCCCTTACAGGCTTCGAAGTATATGATTCATTGGTGAACCGAAAGCATTCGAGGCATATTCTTCGTTATACTTGAATGCTAATTCTTGTAGGTTGGGGATTTGTCTAGCTTTTAAAAAGGAATCTACTGATTACTCAGGTCCTTATCCATGTACCTAAAACGGCAACATATGAGATATATGTGCGGCTGAATCTATCTAAAACGCCAGTCTTAAAATCAGCACTTTTCATGAAAGAGACGATGGCAAGTGCATATTGAGAAAACGAAGTTAGAGAAAACGGAAGCCGAATTACATAGATTGGAAAAGAAGGCTGCCCCGGAAGACATCTAACCAACATTTGCCACCGTATGAGGAAATATCGGTAGCTAGGGACCTCGATTTGTCAATACAAAGAAGCAAATGGAAACTTGCAAAGATGTCTATAATTTTGGAAAGTTATTGAAGATTATAATCAGGTCCACATAGGATATCTTGTCCAAATACGTCTGCCACCAGAGTCCAGTGGCTCGAATCCGGGAGAGCCTGATCATCAAGAATTCTTTCTTTACTAATGGAAAGGTTACAGTACTGTTAGGAATGCTCCTAATTGCTAAGCTACAAATATTCTCGGTAATAATGTAACGAGACTTGTCCGTTACTCACTCCATATAGCCAACTTATGTATAACGTGTGAACGCACATCACTTGCGACACGTCCTGGCAGTGACTCTTGTAGGCCTCTAACGGTCGTTTAATCACGGCTCTCCAAAGTAGGAGGGCGTAGGGTGAGGTAATGGTCGTCAGGTTCAAGCTCAAACTGGTAACTACAAAGTGCGCAATTGCGCACATGATCGCAAGTTTCTCTATCCCCAGGATCTATGCATGTCGCATTCTATCCCTCTGCTAGTCGCAAGCAAAGTTAAAGGAAATACTCATTTCGAAGTCACCATCTACTCGATCCAGGGAGCCATCTAACCAGCAAAATTTAAACTTGGTTGGCCACCGGTGGCGACTATAACTTCTCTCCTACACAACCTTCTCAGTGAAAGAGTGGCATCCGCGCAATAAGTCCCCTAGAAGACTCAAGGCTTGTTGATAAGCAGGAACGCTAGCACATATGGTGCTTTGTGAGAGCTCGGCAACGAAGTCCACTAAAAACTTTCTGTCAAAAGCAAGTGGACATGATTCTGCAGCCAATCCCAACGTCAGAGCACTGCTGAGAGTCACATGAAGAAAAATCCACCATCTTCGGATTGAACATTTCAACTTCAGCAGTTCCAAATATGACCGTAGAGTAGAATAACAACGGGTTAAATAGAGCTCGGCAATCTCCCTGTTATATTCGTTGTCTTTCGAGAGAATAGCTGGTCGGGACAGGCAAAGCATGACGGAGTCCGAGAACATCCGAAAAGTGTAGTGTTCGATACAGTCATTTCTATTCTGACACTTCGCGACATCTTGTATGTGAGGGAGGGATCGGACTTCCACTCGATGTATGAGCCCTCTAAATTCTCGTATTCTCTGCAGAAAAAGTGGCTCCGCAGAGAATTTGGCGTTGGTTAAAGCTTGTCCGATCTTATTTGCAACGATAAATAGATGATGACAGCTGTCGGGAAAAGAGAACAAGCTAGTACCGGGTGTGGCGGACAAGGGGTTGTATGGGAATTCCTCATGAACAGTTATTGAAGATGGACGGTCATACAACAGAGACAAGCGTATCCTGCCAATCTAGCGATCGCCTTGTAGTTTTTCAGTGTTAGTGCAAGGTCTGTTAGAACGTGTTTACTGATAATTTACCAAATGTAGAATTTCACTCGAGCCTCATGTCTCCTGGTCGGCTCAGATACAGTACTTGGGTCTTGGGAGCAGTGTATTCCAAGGCTTTGAGCAAGACGTACATTCGAGCCTAGGACATTGGCTATCAGAGAACTGAGGGAACCATCTGAGATTTCGGCTCTTATGGTGTGGGCAGACTTACCGAGCATAGACCATGACGCTCCAGCATCAGCTTGGTTCCTTAAAAAGTTGACAAGCAGCAAAAGAGTTTAGACAACCTCAATGTTGGGATATGAAATGAAATTGCTCAATTTCAAACATTGAAACGAGCAGGATGCTAGGTGAGTTGGTTAAATCCGTACATAGTGGTCTTTTCCGGAATTTTCTTTGATAATGATAATGAAGACTTACCAAACACACGAGCTTTGGGAATTTCGGACACCAATTCCGACGACGCAATTTGCACACTGCAAGCTAAAATTACGGAAAGAAGCGCGAACCAAGCCGGAGTACATTCTGGTGGAGGCTGTAGCAATGCGCTCATTCCCGCTTTTACCCTCACAATGAGGAAGTGAGATAGCGTAGTTTCAAATTGCGGCAAATCTATAGTCCAAGGCATAATCCGATAGATGGACGCCTGGAAAAAGCGGAAGTGGCTTTCATTTATCAGCATTCGAAAGTGGGGCGTCACGTACGATCATAACCTACAATTACAAAGTATCGTCCTCGGGTAGAGCGCTATAAACTTTTTCTGAGCCGTCTTCAGGGCTCCAAAGGTTAACAAGCGGAAAACTTGTGCTCGAGGCTTGAAGACGTAGAAGCTCGAAGGTAGCCTGTGGGCTCGAGGAAGAATTAAGAGACTGATGCTGCGATTCGGTTGTGATTTGGCAGGGGTTCAGCTTTTGGTAGATAGACAAAAGATTCGGGAGAGATTCCGATCCAAGATGTACTTTAGAGCGATAGGGGAAAACTGGATCTACATACACACCTTGGGTCAAATCGGCCCTTTGAAGGGCTTGTCTGGATAACGGCAGCGACTCTACTCGACTAGGGGTATTCTCATCCAATCTAGCCTGTTTGGATGCACTTGGACCCTGCAAGCCATAGTCACAAAGATCGGGATGGCCGCGGGCTTCGCAACTGCCACATGGCTGGCTGTGATTGCATTTGACCTTTGGGCGCTTGCAAGGATAGCATGATTTCGCAAGACGGTATCGACGCCGCTTGAAAAGTAGATAGTCAATATCATGCTCGGGAACATTCCTCGTCGGATCAGGTTTAGACATATTCATAGACCACACAGACTCTCGTTTAAGGCAGAGTGAGGCGCCAGATAAATTCGCACTTTTCGTCCTCGGTATTCAAACAAAGGAAAGGGAACCAGGTCAACAGTTGTAGAGAGAGGTACGGTAAGGCTGAAAAAAGGCGGATTCTATGCCCAGAAATCCGAAGTGGATGGGGAAACCAGAGCTCAAGGGGCGAACGGGTTTGGGCTGCGTCGCTTAGAGCTTATGTAAGTTTTCTCATTTTAACTAACTAACAAGGGAATTGCGGGCTCGGGACACCATATAAGAGGATGTTTTGGTTCCATGGATAGTTAACAATGTTTTTTCTTGAAGATTATATGTCCATCCATGTTGGCAGGAGATAAAATACCCGGACAGCACAAAGGTCAAACGGTTGCATATAACGTGCAGTCATCATCAACAAATGGCTCCTCGCCTCTCTCCATCCGCCACCGGTTCGTTGCCTCTAACGCCCCCGGTAACCCTTTAAATAACCAACCCCATTTCCTCAGAAACCCTTCCGACATCTCCCACCCCATGATGTCCCAGGGCGGCGACCACGCAATGATGCCGCGTCGCTCGATCTCGTCATCGGGAAAGCCCTGGTATAGCCCGCCGATGCAGTCGGACCAGAGCTCATCCTCGTCGAAGGTGCCAGCGGCCCGGATCAGGCGGTCTCGTCCCTCGGGACATGGGAAAAGGTCGACCCAGTCGCCATGCGGCACCGTTTGTTGAAGTGTGGTGGGCAGGAGTGTTGAAGGGAGTATTTCAGGCTTGGTAGGGTAGGGGATGATATGGATAAGTTCCTCATCACATCCGAGCGGCGTGACAAGGATGCCCGAGATTAGATCGCGGTTGACGGCCAGGGCGCGGAGGGCATTGAATTGGAGGAGTGTGATGAGGTGATCTGGACAGAGGGGGAAGATAATATTGAACTGCCCTTTTCTAGATTTACCTGGCAATAGGGGATTTCTTGCATTGTATAGTTTCTTGATGCGGGATGCTGGGACGAGAGATATAGATTGCTGCTCAACGGCCCAGCATTCCACCAACGCTTCTGAATTGGCCTGTGTCCCGGTTGCAGCACCAGATGCTTCGGCTTTATTTGCTAGGGCTTTGCGTTTTCCTACTGGACTATCAGTTTCAATAATTGGGTACCCCTTGATTGGACTGGTCATGGCTCCTGATTTGGACAAAAGAGAAAACGAGGCCGCACTTACGGTATGCTCTTGTGTTCAGTCTAGTCTGTGCCCGTCTGCGTGCTGCGGCATCCTTGGTCCCAGTCCAGTCGTCTTCCGTGCTTATCGCCTGTACCTGGTGAGCAATTCATGTCGTCTTAGTGACTCAAGGCGGCCTGGTACGTACCTCGGCCAACTGTGCCATCGACGCGAGCTTGATGCGTGGTGCTGTTGAATTTGTAGGCGTATACGTACTAATCATGATACTAGCAGACATTGGAATTGCGGTGATGATACAATTGGTGATGAATGATGCAAGCTTCTTCTGGTCAGCTAAGTCGGTTTATGTAGCCTGCTCACATCGACGAATCTGACACCCCGCTGTGGTGGCGTTGATATGCCCGCTATTCCGCAACGGAGACATGGTTTAGGAAAATTTTACGACATCATTGGCCAATATCACAGTACCTAACTTAAGGAGGTCTAGCGCTATGCAACCTGCTCACATGATGGATCGGGATCAAGAGCTCTAGCATCACACATGGTCCGTCCACTTGATTAACAAACGCAACCTCATGATTTGTCGGCGGGCGGCTAACTCAGAAATTAGCTACATGGCAGCAAGCACCACGCTTCATGCTGCTGGCTCACTCGCTCACTCGTAATTCTCATATTGGCCCGTATCTTCAAAATGCCAAGTTTAATACGACGTGATTGGTCCAAGCGCAATGCAGCTTGCTCACGACATCTGATGCTCGAAATCAACATCCAAGATGCAAGTATCTCGGATATTGTTGAATAAGAGCAATAAAGATCGTAGCAGCGCCTTACTTTCGACGCATCTTTCGTATCATTAAAAACATAGAACTCAGTCCAAGACATTAAGTCATCTGTTTTCTAGTATTACACCCTCATTGACTCAAGTACACGTTTTGAACATGACTTTCCACCCCGGCACTCTTCCCGATCTCCATGGCAAAGTATTCATAGTCACAGGCGGGAATTCCGGCTTGTAAGTCTCACCTCTCCCCTCTCACCACGAAGCCTGAATCGTTGATCTCACCAAAACACAGAGGCTACTACACCGTAGCCCACCTAGCAGAACATGGCGCCCACGTTTATATGTGCACCCGATCCCTAGATAAGGGCGCATCAGCCATCACCAACATCAAGAAAATTCAGCCTTCAGCTCACATCGACCTCCTGCAAATGGACCTCATGGACCTCAGCAGCGTCGTCGCGGCCGCCGAGCACTTCCTCACCCTCGAAACAGCCCTGCACGGCCTAGTCAACAATGCAGGCATCATGGCGACGCCCTTCGAAATGACTAAAGATGGCCACGAGGCCCAGTGGCAAACCAACTACCTCGCACACTGGGTTTTGACGGAGCACTTGCTTCCTCTGATCCTGCAGACCGCCAAGACACTTCCTCCAGGCAGCGTGCGCATCGTCAATCTCACTTCATCGGGCCACTTAGGTGCACCCAAGGGCGGCATCAATTTCAAGGACCCATCTCTCAAGGATAGCGGCCCGTGGACGCGATATGGGCAGAGCAAGCTCGCCAACATCCTGCACGCGAAGGTCCTACACAAAACTTACGGCCCCGGATCTCCCAGAGCGCGGAGCGGGGAGGGCGAGATTTGGGTTTCGTCTGTGCATCCAGGCCTAGTTGAGACGAACCTCGCCACGTCGGTGGAGAGCTCTGGGTCGGGCATAGTGAGTGTTTTCTTGGTTTTACGCATGCTGGGATTGATGTGGCCTGCCGATAAGGGCTCATGGACGACTTTGTTCTGTGCGGCAAGTCGGGATATGAAGGCGGAGCAAAGCGGTACATATTTCGAACTTTTCCGGCGCTTTGGGGAGCCGAGGTGGCAGAGCAGTATGGCGAAGGATGGGAAGCTTGTAGTAAGGTTAGAGGAGTGGACTAGGGGGGTGATGAGGAAGGAAGGGTGGAGTCGGTAATGGCGTTAACTGATTTCCCTCTTTTTCATATATATAATAGATTTATTATTTCACCTTAGTATACATCCTTGTTCATTTCTCATCGTGACCTCAAAAAATATGGCAATGATTGCATTCCAACCACTATTTTCACCCGGATGGAAACATTTGGTATGGTTACTACGGGCCTTCCGTACGGTATTCATGGTATAAATTCCGCCCCAAATTGTGCTATCTGATCCGAACTTTCCCACCAGTCATGTTTTGCCTGGTAGTTAGAATCGGTGGTCCTCGTGATAATTGCCAATGGGGCCAATACACTTACAAATCAGAAACGGACTGTAACTCCGCAGACCGTCATCAACATTGGTGCTGGAGAGATGCCGAAGGCATTTAATCATATTCTAATTATGGCTATCCAACACATCAAAATCCTAAGTTCTTCTGCGCATGGGGTTCTTGCTCTAATGTGGTTTCCAGATTCTTGGTTTAACAGGAGATGCATCAACGAGCAATGGCAGGCAAAGAACAGGCCATGGGTCCAGATCATACGACTAGACTTAGAATAGTTACCGACCTTGGGAATGTCTACGAAGATCAGGGCAAGCTAAATGATGCAGAGGACATATACCGGTGAGCACTAGTAGACTACGAGAATGACCTTGTCCGGAGCACAATAAGACCCGGCAACTGTTAAATGCCTAAAGCGCTACAGATGTAAAAGTAGCGTCCTACCATCCCCACCGGAAATAGATCGATCACTCGACCGTGAAAATATCTGTGAAAAAGATCAGGGGCTTTACAGATACTACTTTGTTGACCATTTATCTAGACAGGGCGTGTCGGGAAAAAGATAGCGGGAACAACGACGGACTGCGGAGTTTAACGATCATCACGCCACTTCCCTTCGGATGCGACGTATGAAATTTGTCGAGAATGAAGCAGGATTTCAGAGGCATTTTGCAGGCTCTTCGTGATATGTAGGAGGACAAGAGGGGAATGGAGGTCAAAGCTCCTCCCACCAAGGTCTCTGAAACTCCGCAAGCTCCGTAAACCCCGCAACTCCGCAGGTCCCAGTGAGAGAGACGTAAGGCATCCAATGATGTCGAGACCTTAGTCCCAAAATACACGAAAACGGAGGTGGCTGCTTTGAAATTATTAATATACTGCCTTGAATTATATGGTAAAAGTCCGCAATTGAAAGCTATGGAACTGTCTTCATAAGCTTGATTTTGTCAATCTCATCGTACGGATAATACATAAATACTCCACGTCTTGCGAATAACTTTGTCACCCCTCATCTCTTTTATTAACACTACATTGAGACAACATAATGGCTGTTATTGAACTGATATTCCCCAAGTTCAAGCCAGATCAGACTTCAATCGACGAGCTCGAACTCAACTGGCCTATTATAAGCCCAAAATTGACTAACCCAAATCCGGGAATCGTGCGTGCTTTTCGCGGATGGATTCTCACCGAGAATGGGCATAATGTGAGAGAGGAGAATAGGGCATTTCTGCTTTTTGGTAAGTCCATATACTTAATAGTCCTCTTCCCTACTTAACTATGATACTAATGTAACGATGTTATAATATATAGAATGGAATAAAGTGGAATCTTTCCACGCCTTCTTAGCCTCAAATCAATTTGCGGGTTTCGTTGCAGCCATCGAGCATCTGGCAACTGGTCCGTCCATATTACAGCTTTGTGAAGTCAACCTTAGCCCAAAGGATGCGGCATCTGCGTCTAATGTTGAGATCCTCCGAGTGGCCGTTCCAAGTGCTATGAAAGTGGACGCGGCTCTGAAAATGTGGGAGGAAATATCTCAGAAAGCTAAAGATAAATATGGAGGTGAAGTTGCTATCACTTACGGCAAAAGCCAGAATCTTGAGGAAGTAATCGTTGCAGGCATCATTGGATGGTCGAGACCGGAGGTAAGGCAGGATGTCAAGTCATAAGTTTACGCAATTTATTAATCTCTTCTAGGGTTCTACTTATGCTACAGGAGGAGGGGCCCTGGAAGATTCTCTTGAGTTACTGAAGGCTTTGGGAGATGTATCACATATCACTGTCAGCATTGGAGCTATGGAGCTTCCACCTTTGTAAACTATCTCCTATCGTGTCGCTCGCTATCCAAGCCATCTATTACTTATATATAGCGAAATGATCTGCACTTTAAAAGAACATTTTATTGACTTTAGGATACAGTCTTAGAAACCTAAACGTCACAAAGTCATGATTAAAGGCTACCAAATCCAGCTTTAGCCCGAGATATCACTCAAAACCGTGTCACCCTTTCATGTTATTTGTCTGACCTGGAGAAGCCAAACACTTTGATCTATTCACCAGCATTATTGCAGTCACAATAGGAGAGGCAGAGTAGAAAAGAAGAGGGAAAGGATTTCTGTGTTTATAAGAAAGGGAGCGAGTTTAAAATCGTAATTGTTAAGCGTGACCGGCTTGGCAGAGATCAGGCACATTTATGCCCAACTAATAGAGCAGTGACGATAAACTATTTAGCGTGCACTCTCTTGCGAGGAACTTTGCGTTATGGAGACACAAATGTGATCTTCCATTAGCACGTCTTAGCCTCTTTGACGACATCTTAGTTACAACTATGCAGCACAATCTCGACCAAATCTAAATAAATTCGGCAAATTATGTTCGTCACAAGTGAATGATAAGCTCAGGGCTCGAGAAGTTCAATCAATTGCCTAGTAACATTCGTCTAATTATGAACATGAAACAGCTAATTAACCCATCGTTTTGAGCTTGCCCACCCTCCATCCATCAAAATGTCTTCACCCGTAATGAAGCTTGCCTCGGAACTACACAAAAATGCAACAACGTTCGCGATATCACCGGGAGTTCCTACTCTTGTGACCGCACTATTGTCGATCAGATCCTTCAATTGCGCCTTCAGTGGTCCCTGCATCTCCTGGTGCCCCATAGCCGTCGATATCAGCCCAGGGCTAACCGAATTAATCCTTGCCCCCTTCTTTCCCCAGGCTGCGGCAGACGCTTGCACACGGACTATGTTGGCGCGCTTCGAGATGCCATAGGCCCGGAGGCCTGGGGCATTCTCCTGGAGATCTGACGGCGGGGCCAGCTCGGGGTGTCCGAGGAGTTTGTCAGCTGGGGCAGTAGCTAGGTGCTTCTCCAGATCTTCAGAAAGAGTGCCTTTCGTTTGGTGGCCGGCAAGACTCGCTATCACGACAAGGGCTGTGTCGGCCGAGACAACGGAGAGGAACGCATCGATGACATGTGCGGTACCCAGGAGATCCACCTGGTAGATTCTGTCTGTAGAAGCCTGGGCGGGCGACAGCCCCGCTGTATGTGCGATCGCATGGATATTTCCCAGGTGTGAGGCTTGTTGTGCGAGGTTTTGCACCGAGTCAAACCTGCCGACGTCGGTTTGGATTGCGTGGACGCTATGGCCCTCTCTACGCAGAGTCTCGGTCGCACTGTCAAGCTGGCCCTGCGAAAAGTCGGCAAGGACGAGATGTGAACCACTTCCGAGTCGACGGGCAATCGCGAGGCCCATACCCCCAGTCCCGATAATCACAACTACGTTTCTCGACATGTTCCCAGTTGCGTGGTCCTGGAAAGCCAGACCACAAGGGAGGGGCTCGAGGGGTATTTATGCCCCGCGTAGACGGTCGATGCTCGGTTATGCATACACCAGTCAGGATGAATTATTTGTTTTGTGAGTGAAGTAGCGGACATTCATTCATTTTGGTTCTTTTTCCCATTTGCCAGCAAAAGTCAGGCTGTGCTGACAGATCCGCTACGCCTTGGCTCTCCCAAAACGGGAAATGTACTGCCATTTGCTTATGGAGAAAGATTATGACACGACAGAGAACTGTTGGTCATTGCGTACGCGATAGACAAATGGTTTCACTCACTGCATCAATCATTCTCAACGTATAGATGGCTCATAATCCTGCTCCTTCTGAACTGGAGTTTATCCACGACCAGGTTGCGAAAATGGCGCATATGCAAGTCAAATGAGGAACAGGTGCACGTTCATGTAAACAGGGATATTGGGAATTTTTGGCCCTGGTCCTCCCATAGACCCATAGCTGATGGCCCGGTTATCTCAAAAACAAAGGATTCCTAGTCAACTGAGAAGGGGAGGGAGTACTGTAACACATTCCTACTTCTCCTTCTCCTGCCAAATTCGGTAACCAAGGCTTAATCCATGATCAAAAATACTCAGCTGTAAGGTGCTGGGATTTCAGCTTCTCTGTGACGGAGTCATCAATCTTCAGCTAAGCAATAATTATAGCTCTTTTAGGATTTTGGAAATAAAAGATCTACCACTAGTTTTTGTTCAGTAATGGAAAAGGGTATTTGTTTCAAGTACCTCCATAGGCGTTGAGAAATTCGCATAATGTCAGTTAGTCTTCCGGCCCTTTGCCCCGGTTAGTCTATTCATTTGGTCGGTATACTCACCTCCACGATGGTAGCTAGTAATATTTTCTATCTATTCTCTTGGTTGAGGTTAGGGTAAGATGGTGAGACGCCCGTTGCAAGTACTCCAACTTCACGCCAGATTACTGTGGTGGCTTGGATTTCTCAAATACATACCTAGTGCGAGTATTCAGTTTTGCCATTTAATCTCCATTTTTTCATGGAAACACCAAGAAAGTGCGACTCCAAGAAGAACCTTTTACGCGCCCTCGTAGATATATTTAGTTAGTTAGTTATATAACGTTCTTTTACTAAGCCCCAACCTAGTAAATCATTATTGGCACTAATAAGCGTACTGAGAGTAAATCTTGCTGAAAATCGAAAAAGTTTGATTCAAGGAATGGTTATGAGCGCGGAAGTTACCGATGTTGAGCTAAAACCTGGTGATAACCCTCAGTTACCTGTGATATTTCCTTGCTTAGATTATTTTGCTTCTATTTAAAATACTACCGAAGAGCTACCCCGCTCCAGGCTATTCAATGAAGGTGATCCTGATATATATTACAAACCCCTATAGGAATTCCACTTCATGCGATTAGGTGCCACCCGCTGCCTGCTTCAAGATTGCTCACCAATAACCTCAATATGCTGTTTAGCACTTGGCATTGCCAGGCACGTTCTTGCACTTCGAGCTGGTCTTTCCACCCTTGACACTGACGCCGTTCCACGTCCAGCCAGAGCAAGCCCCAGAGGCACACAGGATGTACACGTTAGTAGCGCTGCTGTCAACAGTACCCTTTACGTTGCTCAGCGTCAGACCAGTGATGGGAACACCGTTGGTGGGGTTGCCAGTGGGGCTGCCATTCTTGTAGTCCTGCTCGATGACAACACCATACTTGGAGATTCCGGACAGGGTGATATCCTTGTACGTAACGCCCTTGACTGAGCCAGTCGCGCCGTAGACAGTCTTGACACGGACACCTTCAACGATTATAAATTAGCTACATAATCAATATGCCTTTGATACATATTGTACGTACCATTCTGGGAGTTTTTGATAGTGCAGTTCTCAATGGTCACCTTATTCACAGCGTTATCCGAACGTCCACCCACGGAGCCGATCGAGATGCCGTGGCCTCCAGTGCACTGAGCTCCTGTGAAGGAGATATCCTAGACAACATCAGCACATATTTCAGAAGGGCCTCACATTATGCCTTGCGTACCGTGCCAGAGTTAACTGCCAAGCAGTCATCCTGGTTGTGGACAATTGGGTTGGTGATGTAGACACCAGTACTGGACCCAATATCGAAGGCGTCAGTGTTGTGACCGCCCTTGCTGTCACCGTCGGCATTGTTCACAGTAATTCCATCTAAGGTAAGGGCATTGGCCCCATTGATGCTGAAGACCTGGACGGGGGAATTCTTGATGGAGATGTTCTCGATCTTGGAGTTGATCATCTTGTGAGCATAGAAGAACTTGGGCTTAGTCTTGCCGCCGTTGGTTCCCTTTCCATCCCACCAACGGGCACCATCTCCGTTGAGGACAGAGCCAGAGGCTCCCTTGACAGTAATGTCAGTTCCGGAGACAGAGACTAGAGGGCCGGACCATTCCTTGTAGCCGAAGGTAGTCTCTCCCTCGAAGATGACCTTGAGAATTGGTCAGTGGAAGGCATTCAAGTCAGGAAGATTGGGTCTCTCACGGTGGTTCCCTTCTTCAATCCAGTCAGATCAAGAGTGGTGCCAGCGGGGACAGCCACGGAAGACAAGACAATGGTCGAGCAGGAGGTCTTGGACTTGATCGCAGAAGCTGCACCCTTGGAGCCGGAGAAGGTGCAAGTTGAAGCACGCTCCTCAAGAGTTGATGTGGCAATGACATCGAGTTCTGGGACACTGTCGGGAATTGCCTGGACGGCGGCAGCGCCGAGCAAGCCGACGAGGGCAAGTTTGAGGGTAGGGACCATGTTGGAAAAATTGATTCGCAATCAAGAGCGTGATGAGGTTGATGGATTCTCAGGCAAACACGAGATCGACGTATTGTTTTATACTCGTGTTGCCCCTACAAGACGGTCTAGATTAGGATTAGACCAGGGACCACTTAATCTACAGGGAAATTGCCTGAGTTGGGTTGTGGATATACAAAATAGGCAACCATCACTTCATGCAATATATTGCTTGGTTCCTTAGCCCCGAGGGGAAGACCCTGTTTCACCTGTAGCCTGGGCAGAAGCCCTGCAGGGGATGCCCGCGGTAATATGTATAAATTAAACTTAACCGGGAAGGGATGTGCTGATTGGTGGAAATTCCGATAAAGTGGTTTGCTACCAAGACTGCACCTTTATTTCTGCAACCTCACGAACTACTGTACCAACATCCATGGACAACCGTGAAACGTCCGTTCTACGGCTGTTATACTGGGTGGCTGTTTCGAAGAAAGACACCAAGGGTTTTAAAGTGGGGATTCTATATCTTTCGGTAGCCATCGACAAATGCCTTTCACCAAATAGACAGCGCTTGCCATGATAGCTAGGGGCAGAGTGCCGTTTTAGGTATGGACCCGGCGCGGAGTGGATGCTCAAACGGTGTTTCCGCCGGGGCAACTTCGGGCAATCATTGAGCACCGTTTACGAAGGGGGATCATCAGCCACTAGCCAATCATGGGCCGATTTACTCAATAATTTCGGCACTGCAGACTCTTGCCAACCGAAGCCGGATACTCGGTAGGTACGACAAGAATTCCTAGGTCGGTCCGAACCCGTGGAGCTAACTTAGTGATTGATTTTATTCCAGATCTTGATTGGCAAAGTTGATTAATCAAGGCAATGACTGGCGAAATGGCCATTCACGCTAAACGGCTTTGCCAGGGAACCCAAGCTAGACTGCGCCAGTGGGCTATTCTCAGTGCGATATTTATAACTATCCTCTGGTTGGACTGCCTCAACAATTAATCTGTTCTCTAACGCATTCAGATATATCGCTACTAGAATTTTTGCAGCGGCGAACTGGGTCCAGTCTTTAGCGGAATTGCTAGTTTCACAACAATCTCGCACACCTCCTACTTTTGACCAACGTCGTACGGAGATAAATGATATCACTAACATTTTGCTGCGCCATTTTCCATAAATCCCCACCGCTACTACTATCTTGATTTTGCTATCACTGTGGGACTTTCCGACAAAATCAACGCCAATCATATCGCTCCAATTCACTGTCTGTTGTAAGCGTCTTCCAACATCATTTCTAATGTCACAAGAATAGACATGGGAATATTAACCAGAGACCTATCGATGTTCTAGGCACGTAGAACTCACTTGAATTTGTATGAGGTCCTTTCCCCAAACGAGACAAAAAGAATGATAGACTCCCTTCTTGAGTACTCCGAGAGTTGTTCCGAAACCTCACCCTTGGCTGTTTCAAGTATCTCATTTTGCATCATTCCTTTCATAATAAAAACTGAAATACTTTCCGGTAGTCGAGAAAGAGACGCGCAGTCACCTACTGTTCATGCCTGAGATGAACAATTTCACTCTTCGGCAGATAAACACCACGAACACCAACAGGAATACACTGGTATATGCTAAAGTCTCCGTGCCTTATAGCTGTTTCGAAGGGCATTAGTGTAGTCCGAGGGTTAAATTGCCAAGTCCGGTGAACTGATACATACCCCCAAGCTAAATACTGTAGTCAGCTCCACTGAGGATTTAGTCCATAATCATACTTCATAGTAGGTAGTAAGGAAAATTGTTGTTAGAAGCACTTGGTGGTGATCTACTACCGCCGCACTACGAGTTCAATCAAAACAGGAAATTAAATTACAAGCCAGCTCCATATTCCCACAATGATTCTAGTCCCGGAAAAAAATGATATAAAGAGGGTGCCCTGAAATTACCAAGCCCTCCTGCAATTCGTGTTATTTATTTGTTTCTCCCAAGCCCTTGTAATCCTAGCATCTGGAGAGAGAGGACTACGACCTACGCTTATAGTATTACGATCAAATAGAATGCGACAAAAGCTGGTTAACGCAATGGAAATTCTGATGCCCACGTAGTAAGCAAGTGGACCCGAAGCACAAGGATACTGACGTCTATATTCTGTACTTTGTATGAATGAATTTGGCTATCTGCGCGCTACGGACATCCTCGGGAGATGTCGGTGCCGTAGAGGGAGATTGCAGAAATCAATAATCGGTCGTGCTAGATTATACTACTCTGCGAGGGTGCATAAGGTATTCCCTCCCTAGAGATATCAATGCCCTGGGATTCTTTTTTACTCAATAGATATCGTTGGCTACAAGGCTTGTTCGAATCTTTCATCCTTCGTCACCTAGTAGTCGGAAATTATTTACATATCCCAGAAATATAATGGCGTTCTACTACAATGAGAAGATTGCCCCCTGGTTTAGAGGAAGAAGACGGCTGATCAACTATGAAATACGAGAAGAATGAGGTCTGTATAGTCATCGTAAAGTCTAAAATCCTCCGGCCAAAAGATCCCGAATGAATAGTAAGAAGCGTGGGCGGAAGAGTCAATTCCAAGTGGGAAACATTCAGCACCTCCTATCACAGCAATTGACATTCCTACGAAGCTCTGACTGACTAGTAAAGTAGTTGGCGCGTATTATTGCTGGATGACCACACCGACCGACATGGTTGATTGGATAGCTTACGCCACCGCGTGTTCCGTCCACGCGTCGGCATCGGTCCTCCACATACTCGAAACGGTACCAGGGCAAGAGACCCGGGGGGAGGGAAGATGATCACTCGCCCGCGGAAAGATAACTATAACTGCTAAGGAGCAGAAAGAATCTACCCGGTATGCCGATTTTTAGTCTGAATAATCATCGTCTCAGTCAAGATTGCTTCACCTTGACAATCACCTTCCCGGCGATGGGCGCAATGAAGGAGCCCTCTTCCACGGCGCAATGATATCTGGGGCTGATCATGGGGAACCGGTTAATCAACTGCTTTACCACTCTGAATTGACGGTGGAAAAAGGTGGAGCGGTCAGCTCTCGTATTGGAATCTGCGATTGGCCCTTGGGGAGAATCCATCCTCGTCAATGCCTCCGGGATGTGGGCCTCACTCAGCTACCCCGGAATTGTGTGGGGTCCCCCCGCATGACTGACGGGCTCGAGATGCTTGTGATTCTGTCGAGCATGTATATAACGCCAAAGCTGCACCGTCTTGGGGCGAGGATTCTCTGCTAGTCTCCGCCCAAGACCATACTCGACCATGTCGGACACGCAAGTCAGAGAACGCCGACCAGGAGATCTGGCTGGGCTCGATGAAAAGATTGGCAATGCTCAGGTGAAAACACTGGGCCATCTGCGTCTGCGAGATGCTGAAACGAACGAGGTCATTCTCGTTCCAACCCCTTCATCCGATCCCAAAGATCCTCTCAATTGGTAGGTAGCCCGCCCCCGTTCTTATCATCGTTGCTCTTTGACGTGCCGTTGTATCTTATAAATGCCTAGGCCACGATGGTTCAAACTATACACAGCAGTGGCCGTCTGCTTCGCCATGATCTTGTGTAATTTCCTCGCAGCCGGTCCGACTCTAGCCATCCTGCAGACAGCGCAAGATTTCTTTCCCAACTGGAAGGAAACCGGAATGGCAGGCCCGATCGCCAAAACCGCGTACTTCTTCAATTGCACCGCACTTTTCCAGGGTCTGGGTAATCTATTCTGGATGCCCCTCATCAACAAGTATGGTCGCCGTCCAGTATACGTGACTGCGTTCACTCTATACACGATCACTGCAATCTGGTGTGCGGTCGGCAAAGGATACGCCAACTTCCTCGTGGCTAGAATATTCATGGGTATCGCTGCAGGTGCTGGAGAGTGCCTGGCACCTGTGACAATCGCTGATGTCTTCTTCCTGCATGAGCGTGGAGCTATCACTGCGTATGTCTCTTCTCGTTCCGCTGTGACTGGTTCTTCACTAATGAAATGCCTAGCTTGTACAATGCTTCGCTGAACCTGGGTGTCGCGAGTGGCGCTATCATTGATGGCTTCATTGTCAAGCTCCATCCCTGGCGATATATCTACTACGTGGCGATTGCCTTAATTGGCAGCGTCACGCTCATTGTGTACGCGACTTTCCCCGAAACTGCGTACATCAGGAATATCGCATCCGATGGCACTGTTACTACCCTGACTTCTTCGGGGCAGCGTATTTGTCGAAGTACCAAGGGTGAAGAGGCGGGCACTTCTACAGTTCATGAAGTAGCCTCCGTGGAGCCGGCCAGTCGCAGTGTCGGCCTCTTACAGGGACTCAAACTCTACCATGGCAAATATACCCATGAATCTCTGTGGCATATGACAATTCGCCCTGTGGGGCTCTTGATCCTGCCTCCTGTTCTCTGGGCGACCCTGGTCATGTCCGTAACAATCGGCTTCATCACCGCAATCACGTCGAATGTTGCTTCCGCCTTCAACACTGCTTACGGGTTTGAGGCATGGCAATCGGGCCTTTGCTTTTTCTCAGCTGTTATTGGATGTTTCTTCGGTATCATTCTTGGTGGTAATTTCTCCGACTGGGTAGCGGACTACTTTACTCGACGAAATGGTGGTATTCGAGAGCCAGAGATGCGTCTACCAGCTATCATGATCGGTGCTATTACGGGACCACTTGCCCTCGCGTTGTATGGATGTGGTATCAAGTGGCATATGCATTGGATCGTCCCAACCCTGGGTATTGGATTGAGTAAGGCCCACCTCCAGAAATTCTCTATGTGGGTAAAGTCCCTTACTAACATTTATACAGTCAACTTTACAATCACGCAAGCTACAAATGTATCTCTCGTGTACACAATTGACAGCTATCGTCCGATTGCAGGAGAGATTGTCGTTACCCAGCTCGCCTTCAAGTCTGCGTTTGGTTTCTTGTTGGGCTTCTACACCAACCCCTGGGTAGACACTCATGGTTATAATGTAGCCTACGGTGAGATGGCAGCCATTTGTGGCGGTGTTCTGATTTGTTGGATTCCGTTCTTCATCTGGGGGAAGAAAATCCGTGAGAAGACTCTTAGCTGGCGTGTTATGAGCTGGGTGCGATGGGACGATGATCGCGAGGTGGGAGAATGATTTTTTTTTTCATTTCACCACTAGTCTTCATTTGTGTTGATGTACGTAGCGAGATAATCATTGCAGAAATATGTAGGAAGATAAGCTAAGGACGAGGCGAAGAGATCTAAATAAGCTACTTGGGGACCGAAGACATATCACGTTTTGTCTAAGCATTGTGTCTCAAGTTTAATATTGGACTAAAATGTATAATTGAAACGCCCGCTGATCTGTATATGACGAAAGCAGCTTAATTAGCTGCAATTGCGAGAGGCGGTCTCTACCAACCTCCTATTCTATTAGCATCATACTTGTAGCGCTTACTGCGCTAGTGAACAATTCATGGTCCTTTTGGTAAGTTTCTGACCTATAAAAGTCGGGTTCGGTATATCTTCGGTGTAATCTAAATACATCGTACAGTTAACCCCTCAGGAGATCTGACCTATGGGTCTGTAAATCTCCCGCTTATTGGTGATCTCACGGGATGAATGATGTGTCACTACTAAAGTCTTTTCTGTATCTAGCATCTATCTAGCCAAATTATGAAGCATCTAAAATGTCTCTCACAGTTCATTATCCATTCTTCACTGCTTTCATGTAGTTTTCCATTTGACTTATAGATATCCTTCTTCTATACTAGTATCAAGAGTGAATTATAGCTCTGCCTCCGTTGTACCCCAAGAAAGCGGGGATTCTAGTTTCTCTCCATTATCATGCGGGGTTTCGAGAACGATTGACATTGTACTATATGTTAAACCAACCTTTAAATTACAATCCGGTGTTGCGAATATATTTAGGAGTACTGGCTGTCCTTACGTGTGATACATGCACGTGGTTGTTGCAAACACATGTATAGTCTTGTTTCTACACCCCGCATACGAATGATTTCCACCTCGATTCTTTTCCCTGAAGACTATCAGCGATTCCTGTGGAACCACTGAGACCATAACCAAGACTTGGGACCTTGTGCCGGTAAATTCCTAATCTAAGGACATGAACTAAGTGACGAGAAACACAACGGTTAACAATATTTTACCCAGCAGTGTTGTTATTTGAAACCAAGGATTTCAGCTTTGGGCATTCTCTAACAGAGATCTGTGCTGACTCTCTGAATCTTCGTTTCCAAGGTCACAACCATGGCAACTTCTAATTATGCAACCCCCAAGTGGTGGAAAGAAGCGGTGGTCTACCAAGTTTACCCCGCAAGTTTCATGAGCAGTAAATCTGCAGCACAGGCAGATGGCTGGGGCTGTGTGCGTGGCATTACCGAGAGAGTGCCTTATTTGAAAAGTCTTGGAGTCGACATTATCTGGACAAGCCCTAGTGAGTAGCATCTTTTTTCTATACCGAACATATAAGCCCAACATCAATAACCGGCATGCCATTCTCAAGCTTTATAAGTCTAACACAACATCGTTTTTTAGTTTACAGGTCTCCGCAAGTTGATATGGGCTATGATATCGCTGATTATAATTCAATTGACCCTCGCTATGGAACTTTGGCCGATGTCGACTCGCTGATCGAAACCCTCAAGAAACACGATATGAAGCTCATTATGGACCTCGTTGTCACACATACCTCAGATCAGCATGACTGGTTTTTGGACTCTGCTCAGTCAAGGGATTCTCCAAAGCGCGATTGGTACATCTGGAAACCAGCACGCGGATACGACTCGGCGGGGAAACCTTTACCTCCGAATAATTGGGCCCAGATTCTGAACGATTCCCAGAGTGCGTGGACTTGGAATAGAACAAGCCAAGAGTTCTACTTGACTCTCCACACACCGGAGCAAGTTGATTTGAACTGGGAAAATCCTGATGTTGTCGCTGCTGTTCACGATGTGAGTCGACACTTACTGAGACTTTGGTTGTTGGCATACGACGAACTAATCTCTCCAAGGTCATGCACTTCTGGCTACGCCGCGGTATCTCTGGATTTCGAATGGACGTAATCAACTTGATTTCCAAGGATCCGTCCTTCCCTGACGCTCCAGTCATTGAACCAAACTGCGAGTTCCAACCCGGCGAGCGGTTCTATACCAATGGGCCGCGTTTCCACGAATTCATGCATGGAATATATGACAATGTTCTGTCAAAGTATGACACTATCACTGTGGGGGAAACGCCATATGTCAGTGATATGAGCGAAATTATCAAAACGGTGGGATCAACAGCTAAAGAACTGAACATGATTTTTATCTTTGACCACATGGAAATTGCGGATATCAAGACCAAAGGAGAATCAAAATGGAGTTTGCGTGACTGGAAATTGACAGAGCTTAAACAAATATTGTCCGGTTGGCAAAGGAAGATGATCGAATGGGATGGATGGAATACGGTCTTTCTAGAGTGCCACGATCAAGCTCGGTCTGTTTCACGCTATGTAGATGATAGCGACAGGTTCCGCGCGCGTGGTAGCAAGCTACTTGCGCTTCTGCAGTCGACTCTCGGCGGAACCTTGTATCTCTATCAGGGTCAAGAGATTGGGATGCGAAACTTTTCAGCCGAATGGGATCCGGATGTTGATTACAAGGATGTAGAAAGCATCAACTTTTGGCAGAAGACGAAGAAGCTCTATGCCGATGATCCGATGCAAATGGACAAGGCAAGAGACCTTCTTCAGAAAAAAGCCAGGGATCACGCCCGAACGCCAATGCAGTGGAACGACGAGCCCAATTCAGGATTTGCAGGGCCCAACGTGATACCCTGGATGAGAGTGAATGATGACTTCAAAACAGTGAACGTGAAAGCGCAGATGGAGTCCCAGGAACGAGACCTGTCTGTCTGGCAATACTGGCAGCTCGCTCTACGGGACCGCAAGACTCATAGGGATGTCTTTGTGTATGGTGATTACCAGGACGTGGACTTTGAAAACGAGCAGGTTTATGCATATTTAAGGACAGGTGCTCAAACAAAACAAAAGTGGTTGGTGGTGATGAACTGGACTGGCGAGGATGTTGCCTGGAAAATCCCTACATCGATAGAAGTCGATTGGATGGCTTCTTCATCGCTCCAAAGGAGAATTCCAATCGAAGAGGGTGCAAATGTCAAGCTTCAGGCCTGGGAAGGTGTTATGATGTGCTGCAAATAGATACGAGAAAGCAGGAGAATTATGATGCGAACAACCAATTTGACCAATGTTTCCAAATACAACGTTCTGGCGACGGCTACTCTGCCTAGAGGGGCGGTTTGAACCTCAATTCGTAATAATTTGGATTGGGATCTGGCAAATATCAAAGGAAAGGCATGCACCACAAAAAAAGGTGATATAGTACAAAACATGCATCCTAAGCCTTAGCCTTGGGCTTCGCCTTGCGGCCCTTCTTCGGCTTCTCCTCGCTATCATCGATGAATCCATCGTCATTCGCGGCGGTGGCCTTCTTTCCCTTCTTGCCTTTGGCAGCAGCAGCCTTCTTCTTGGGTACGCTGACGTACTTGTCCTTCTTCAAGTCCAGCTCCTCTTCTTCATCATCACCCTTGGCCTCATCCACAACCTCTTCTTCGTCCGACTCTTCAACGACGTCTTCCACGTCAGGTCTGTCCTTGGATTCCTTCTTCGGCGCAACGACATTGCTCGCTTTCATGAATGGAAGCGGATGTGACCGTTGGTTATAGAGGCGTGTGAAGGTGGCCTTGGTCTGAGTCTCCAGCTTGACTTTGGATTGATCCATGGGCCCCAGGCCAAGTTCAACCATCGCGTCAAAGTCATCACGCGTCAAGAAGTATGCATCCATAAAGTCGATGACCTCATCCACACTCTCCTTGCCTTCGTCTCTGAGACGCTTGACGGTCTTGTCCCAAAGCAAGGGCATATACTGCTGACGAATTTCGTCGCGATTGCCCGAAGTCCGGAGACGCGTGTGACCTTGGATCTCCTTCACGAAACGTGACAGTTTGCCTAGAAGGGATGAAGGTTAGTCAACGTATCTACATCATGTGCGGAACTGGAATCTTGCCTTGCTTGCTGTTCTGGCCAAGCCATGTGGTAAACTGTGGCCTCTCGCTCATGTTGCCAAATACGAAACTGGCCGGTCGTACAAAGCTGAAGATAGCGTGGGTCGGCATCAAACTCCATTGCTGTTGGGTTCCATGAATCATGCGGTCCACGAGATCTCCGTCACTGATACTTGATGCTGCTTTGTCAACTAATTCCAGTTGTTTCAGATTGTTCTCTTTTTTATCTTCATAGCTTGTGGCGAGAGTGGGATTGGTGCGCAGATAGTTCTCCTGGAGCATCAGATAGCTAAACTCGTGGTCGTTGAAGTAAAGTTCCGTCTTGTCGTTGAGTGTTGAGGTGGAGCTTGGTGCGAACGTTTGCGCGTTGAGGATTTTGCTTGTGATATCCCAGGGCTTGAGTATAACATGCTTCTCCCATGCCTTGGCCATCTGTTTGCCTTTGTCGAAACCGATGCCTGACTGATCCTCCATGTTTGACAAGTCCAGTTTGATTGCAGATAGCATATTAATGATTTGTCGAATATCAGCATGTGAGCCTTCCACCAGAGCCTCCATCACAGACGGAGGGAGCTTCATCTTCTCACGGAAGCATATGGTAGAAAGTCTGGCACGGAGTTGATCTATCGACGGGCGTCTGAACGGAACATCGAAGGTGATGTGGTCAAAGGGCTTCATCTTTGGTAGTCGTCGTTCGTTGCAAATGAGAATAATCGGAATGTTGGTTTTCTTGACGATTGCTGCGACTGCACCAACGCCTCCACGGTCACCGGCTGACATGCCGTCGACTTCATCCATGATCAAGACGAGGTTGCGCTTCTCACTTTCAACCTTCTTTCCTTCTCCGGCAAAGTAGCCTTGCAAAGACGTCGTGTCCAAAACACCCAAGGTACCATTCTCCACCAACTTTTTGCTTCTGGTGTCGCTGGCGTTGGTTTCAACAATATCATATCCTTCAAGCTTCGCTACCAGGTGTGCAGCTGTAGTCTTGCCAATTCCTGGTGGACCATGGATCATGACGGCACGATACACGCCTGAGCCGTCCGGTCCGGCCTTCTTGAAATCCCCCTTTGCGTTTTTGTGCCAGTTCCGTAACCAATTCTGGATTTTCTCGACGGCACTTTTGTTACCGCAGATCATGTTGATTGAGGTGGGCGCATACTTGGTCGTCCAAAGTTGATCATCAACCGGCGGGCCCTGAGCTGGAAGCGGAGTTGGACCATTCTGCTGTGTCTTAGCCTTGGCCTTGGCTGCTTCCTTTCTCCTTTCTTCAGCATCAATCTCGGCTGCCATCTTTTCAACCTTTTCTTGATCCGCTTTCTGCTTTGCCGCGTACTTTTCTGCGGCTTGTCCGGAGCCACCATTAGCGGGCAAACGGCGGATGAGTTCGAAAAGACCGTCCTCGTTGATGGTTGTGATATTAAACTTTGCAATGGTCTGAAGCTTCTTGGGACCTGCGTCACTGCCGAGAACGACGAAACTGGTTTTAGAGCTAGGGGCTCCAGTGACTTTGCCGCCGTATTTCTTCACCAATTCCTGGCCTTCCTCGCGACCCAGTGTATCAAGGATGCCAGTAAATACAAACGCCAGGCCCGCCAAGCAGTTCTCAGCGCCGACAGGAAGTTCTTTGGTGCCAGCGGTCGGGGGTGTGCGAGAACGCTGCGCGCCAAACTGCCATTTCTTGGTCTCTCCATTCTCGGGAGGTGGCGATGGCGGCTTAATGGTCGGAATGCTGTCGAAGATTGACTGAATCTCAGGGTTCTCCGGTTCTGGATCTTTCTTCTTGGGTGTGGCCCTTGGTTTCTTGGCAGCAGGAGAGGCAGTCGACTTAGCTCGAGATGCTGGCTTCTTCTTCGTTTCCTGGTAGTCATCATCCTCGTCCTCGTCGATGAGGGCCTCTGACTTTCGCTTTCGGCCGGCTCTGGCGGCCTTGGGAGCAATCTTGGGAAGATCTTCCATGACTACATCATCGTCTTCATCAAGAACCGAGGGCTTGCTTCGAGATTTCCTAGAGGCTGCAGTTGTCGGTTTGACCTCTAGCACTTCAAAATTGTCGTCATCATCACTATCTGCGGCGAGGTAGTCATCATCCTTCTTCTTGCTGTATTCGCTTGCAAAGATATCGTCTCCACCAAGGCCCTCGTCGTCGTCAACAACCTGTTTGGTCTTCTTCGTAGCTTCCCGTGCTGTGGTTCGGGAGGACTTGGCGGGTGCTTCTTCGGGCTTCGACTCAGTTGAGGCCTTGGATGGCCGACCTCGCTTCTTCGTCGAAGCAAAATAGTCCGAGCTAGTTGTAGGTTCGCCTTTCTGTTCTTCGCGTTTCCTGGTTCAACACAGCGATTGTCAGACAAATGAAAGTTGATATAGACCCAAGCGAGGGATAACAAGCTTACGGTTGACTCTTTGGTTTTGTCTTAGGTGTCGGTGCCTTCGCTGGCGCTACATCTTCGTCATCATCGCTGTCGTCCACGACCTTTCTGCTTCCTGTCAAAATCATTAGTACTGGAGATGGACTTGGATAAGAGGTGGGATCATACGCCGTTTCCGTGCAGTTGAGGGATCCTGGACCGTAGAAACCCAGATTAGCAAGCTGGAAGATGATTCGAAAGTGGAAACGCAGAGACGAAAAACATGTAGATCTATGCGAGCTTACCTCTTTTAAGGGTTTGGGAGGATTGCTTGAATCCTGTGCAGGCTTGCCTCCAAAGAAGCTCCGAATATCCGAGGGCATCTTGGTAAACCAACTGTCAAAGTGATCTGTGAAGTACGGACACAGAGCAGAAAGACAATTGAGGATGAAGGAAGCTCCTGTCGCCTAGTCAGGCAACGCTGCCTGCGTTGACGCGCTGGACACGAACGGGCGACGTGACTGCTGACTAAGGAACACGAAGGGCACGTGCACAGTACTTAGACCCGATTGGGACTAGTGCCCTTGGGGAACTCGGACATCGAAAAGTGCCGTCGTCTTGCGCCAAAGCAACCAACAAGTCGCTCGTTGCATCCTTTGGTCGCCCTTTCCCCGGTCACAATGGGTCCTCAGATGAAGATGTTCACAGGGCCTCTGTCGGCCTGCACCCGGCCAACATGTATGGATTTATCCCCATCCAAACCAATGGTCGTCAGGGCACCAAACTAACATTTGTTGAAACAGGCCTGTCCGGGTCGCTAGCTACTTTCTCTCTTGCACGATGCTTCTCTACCACATCACCCGCCCTGGACTGGCTTACTCCAAAGTTTGCCGAGAAATCCAAGTCCCCTAAGGGTCGCCCACACGTCGCTACTGGAGGATCAACTCGCGGAACAACAGTGGTGTGGGGAGACTTTGGTCTTCGCATGAAGGATCACGACCGTCGGATGCCGGCTTCAGCCCTCAAGATCGCAGAAGAAACGATCAAGAGGCGGCTACGTGGCATGAACTACAAGTTGTACAAGCGTGTCAGCGCCAACATTGGTGTCTACACCAAGGGTAACGAGCAGCGTATGGGTAAGGGTAAAGGTAAATTCGACTACTGGACGGTCCGGTTGCCCGTTAGCCGAGTTGTCTTTGAGTTGAAGGGAGATTTGCACGAAAAGGTTGCCCGGGAGGCATTCAGATTGGCTGGCCACAAGTTGCCGGGTATGTTTTTTTTGGGAGTTGGCATCACAATCTTAACCCGACATTTCTCCATGCTAAACAATTCTCTTGCTAGGTCTCTGGGAATTCGTCAAGAAGGATGACCCGCCCGTTGTCGGAATCACCAAACTCGGCAATGGTGTCACCCTCGAATCCCTCAAGCGCGCTCGCAGAAACCCTCCCCTGCCAACCAACGCCCTCGAGAACCCGCCCAAGACCACTTCCTCCAGCCCTACCTCCCCTCAATAAACCGCGACGCCCTCTCTCATGGCCTTAGCGCCATGCCTTTCCTTGCCGATATCACCGTGCCAAATTAAGCCCCCAAGCCAGAGCCAGGCCCATACCCCTGCTCTCTCCTAGTTCTCGCGGCTCCTGCATCGACTGGGTTGTCGGAATTCCGATTTTCTGTACATTATCTGTCAGCTTTGTGCGCATCATACTTGAATCGTTATGCACCATATTTGGGGTTAGATGCCTTTCTCGTCGTTATATTAGGAGTTTAGACCGAAGGATACATGACTGTCAATTACCTTTGTTGATGCCTTCAGCAACTTTTCCCATTCCCAGCCTCTGTGCCATAGCATATTCTTCTCCATTTCCTCCGTTGCCTGTGCCATTCTCGCCCGAGCCAAAGGTGGTCTTGATTTCACTCTTGGTATGCGGCTGGCCTCCTATGGTTCCATCATTAGCTATGCCCCAAATGCGATTGATCTAAGGTATCAAAGGGCTGGGTTACCACCGAGCTGCCCGGTCTGCTTTTCCGGCGGTTGGATGAATTCGGTAATGGACTCATATCTGGTCAACGAGTATTAATATCGACATATCGCAGGGCGAAACTCTGTTCTTGGGTTTCAATACTGTGTGCTCTCGCCACCGGGTTCCATTTCAACCAGCCTAGGGTCGGACATCTTGATCAAATTTAATGACTGTTGAAAATCAATAGCGGGATATTTAGAGAGTTTCCTTTGTAGAGAGGGAAAATAAGACCGTGACAGCTAAAGTAATCTCGAAAGCTGGCTCGGTGACGATATGCAATGACGTAGGTCTACAACCAACCCAGATTGTTGTACTTCCCACGCCCAGATGCTACGAGGAGATAACTTCCGGGGATTGCAATATTGTCAAGAGATCAATACAAGCGTAGAGACAATTTAAGGTCAGGTAGATTGTTGCAACGATACGAAAGAAAGTAGAATAGGCGTAAGATGCTTGAATATCCAATGCGTAGCTCTAGTGACATAAAAACGCCCGAATCCAACTCAAAATGCCACGATGCGCCGAGAGAAAATTGATAATAGAAAAAAAAATTGAGGCGAGCATTAAAGGTCCAGGTATGTAGAATCCCACGCAAACTGCCGAGGCTCAGAAAACAAACTGGACCGCGAGCTGAGGCTCCCCGCGTAGTGTACAATCATCATTCATTGATCGATTTGTTTGAGTCATTTCACTCGAAGTCCATGCCCATAGTCCAGCTATAATCATGTTAGTGGAAGTGTATCGAATGGAGTAATTCGGGATCGACTAACCTCTCGTAAATGCGCATGAACTTGGCCACGAAGGCCTCGAGGTGGAAAATCACTTTCTATAATGGCACGTGTATCAGCACCGGCACAGGTCAAATCTTTCTAGACGGCCCTGATAACTTACACTGCCAAGCTTGATCCGATGCTCGTAAAAGGCAGACCATTTGATCACATCCGGCTTGAGCACATCGTCAACTTTTGACACCAACATGAACGTCAATGTCTAAAAGGGAGCGGTTGTTAGTCATGTCTCGGGTGTCATATTCATGATACATTCAAATACCTTGAGGATGGTTGTCGGTGGGATACAGTGCGTCAACAGGTCATACAGTCGAGCGCGCACTTGCAAAAGCTGGGCGGGTGTTCGTTCCCTTACGATATCGTCTGCTGTGACCGAGATAAGTGCCTCCCAGTCCGGAGGCGGGATTGGAGTGCTGTCCGTCACTTTCTCGCTGTGATGACGCGCCTGTTAGAGCTTGATCGCCTATGCCAATGCACGCTTGAAGAGCTACTTACTTCTGCGCATAGATTGACTCGAACATAAGCAATGCACGACGCAGATTCCGACCACTCTCCTTCGCAATCCTCTTGTTCAAGCCATCAGCCTCGGTCCATCCCTCCCGCTTAGCGGCGATTCGGAGTGCGGAACAAATGTCGTTTTCGGTCGGTGCAGCTACCCTGACCAGCAGGGTACGCGAGCGAATCGGGGCAATGATGTTGGAAGTGCTGTTGGCCAGGAGAATCAATCGCAAGTTCGGGCTGTACTTTTCCATCGTGCGTCTCAGCGCAGCTTGTGCGTCACGGGTGAGGTGGTCGGCTTCATTAATCACGACGACCTTGAACCGTTGCTTCGCGGACAGATCCACCTGTTGTGTCTGGGCGACTTCTTTCAGCAATTCTTGAACCACCACACGGTCGTAAGTTCCGACATCGGCAGGAGTAATCTCGAGGTGGTAGACGGAGGAGACAATGTTGAATTCGAGCTTGCGGTTGGCCGTGGTTTGGAAGACTCGGGCATCGATCTTGATCTTCTCAACACCGGGGCCGTATAGCTCTTTAAGAGTTGCGATAATACGTGTCTTTTTGCCAGCACCTGATGGTCCGTAGACGAGCAAATGAGGGAAATCTCCGCTCTGAGCCTGTAATCAAAGGAAGAGTAAGTGAGAAGGTGCGCGTTTCGGTGCAACCGCGTGTTTGGCCTTACCAAGGATCGGAGACGATCTGACAGCTCGGGATGGTATGTGAGCGCATCGAGGGTCCGAGGACGCAGCTTGTCAACGAGCAAAGCCATTATGCAGTGGATTGGTGGATGTGATGGTTAGATGTGAGGTGGGCTTTAGAAAATGCGAAATTGGGGGAACGCGTCGGGAGCGCGCCTAATTAACCAGTGGTCCGTGCACGCTTTCTCGAGGAACTGGCAGCGAGCAGCACTCTTTAGTTGAACCCGACACGGAAATGGTTGAGATTTTATTCTTTGTTATATATGTACAGATTGAGATTTCTACCGGGTTTTGTGCCTCCCTTCTGATTCTAGAGATATCGTACAGTCACAATTTTTGTGGAGATGAGAGATTGATACAGTGAACCCTCGGTCAGCGTTGACTCGAAGCCCTGCTAGAGAGATTTTAGATCCTTCTTGATCACGAATCAGCTAAGCTGATTGCACTCATCGTCCGAAGGTATAATCGTCTTTTCAAGGAGGTTGTATCAGGACTGAATAGGCTTCAGAACCCCATTGTCATCGTATTTCGCCTCTGCTCCGGGTCAGTACAGTCCTAAAAGAACAAGAAAAAGAGTTGACTCACTGAAGAATGTATAAGATAACGTGATCGTATCAATGCCCTTCATATTCGGATCCGTTGCAAAATCGGGATCAATGTAGAAGAAGACAGGCATGTCCACCGACTCGCCCGCATTCAGCTTCTGCTCCTCGAAACAGAAGCACTGAATCTTGCTAAAGTATGGTGCCACCTGGCCCGGGGTCACGCTATACGTTGCGACTCCGATGATATCCTGGGGACCCTTGTTGGTCGCAGTGTAGAAAGCCAGGGCCGTCTCACCAGGCAGAACTCGGACCTCTCGTTGTTGCGGTGTGAACTTCCAGGGGAGCACATCGGAAACGGATCCGTTGAAGGTAATACGGAGGCGTCGGGAGTCGGTGACTGGGGTTACGCGCGAAGCCGTATCGCCGTCGCCGACTCGGTGGGTGAGAATTGGCTGGCCGCCCCAGCCGGTCTGCTGGCAGATCTATATTCGTGTGTCAATTGAGGCCAAGGGGGCATTTTGCACGTCATCAATAAGAAGGGAGAGGCGCACCATTTTGTACAAAGGTACGGAGCCATAGGCAAGTGCAACGGTTCCGAGGATCATACTGATTGTATAGTACCTGATTGGGAGATGTTAGTGTATAATGGACTCATAAATATCTTAAATAGACCACAGGCCACACTCACATCGTAGAGGTATTGCGCTGTTGCGATTGGGGTGTGTTGAAGGGTGCCGCGGAGGCATGTTGCTTCTGGTGTAGGAATGAATTCCTTGAGAAGAACCTCTTCTCTGCGTCGAGAACCCCCTTCGGAGGTAGAATGAACTTTGAGGTATGCTCCCCGTTACTGTACAGCGCCCCCATGAGGGAACCATCCTGGAAATCATGGTTCTGGGATTTGCAGAGGAATCGGACCACTTCAGATCCCGGAGATTGAAGGTATCCGCAGCCCTGCACGTGACGATAATCTCATATCGATAAGGCCGGGATCTGCATGAGTCTGGACTATTCAATCTCGATATGTACGAATGTGCTAATTTTCCTCATTAATTGGGTGGGTATATGCTAGTCTTGGCCTACGAGAAGCTAGGATAAACATTTTCCTACTCTACACGATGGTGAAAGTCTCACTGGTTTCTGCCATATTGTGTTGGAAAGGCTCATCTTGGTCACATCATTTGTAATCTCCAGTCAACACAGAGTAAATATTAAGCCTATAGGCATTAGTAGAAGCGCCTTCCAGACAATGATCTGGGTTCAAACGAGCCTAAAGGGTGAATACTAGTTATACAAATCGCTAAGTGAAAAACCGCCATCGCTGCCAACGCTAGGTCCACACTAGTTCAATACACTCGTAGTAATGCGGCCAAAAACACCTCGAATCAACTTTGGCCTTTCGCGAAGAGTGGTGAGAAGAATAGCAGCGCTAACCGCAAATGCAATGCGCTCGCGATTTTGATACTAAAGCCAAGAGAAAAAAAATTCATTAGCACTCGTGACAATCAAGGCATTTGCAGCCGACCCACACACCCCCTTTGTTTAAAGTTGGGAGAGGGTCTTCAACCGCAAGCCGTGTAACACAACGAGGTGGGCAAGAAGAGGCTCGAACATACCTTTTTTTCATACAATCGTGGCAACACCGTGGCTGCCGCCCGGGGTGCCACAAATAGCGCCAACTCCTGTCTCTTCCGTGCTTGTTCGACCAATACACTCCATCCACACATGAGACATCCGGCTCCCACAGAGAGACCAGAGTCCCACATTAGCGGCGTGATTGTCTTTTGATCGAAGACCTTGGGTCCAATGCGTGTCCGGGCCAAGCAGACAGCGTAGTAGAATAGACTGACAAAAGTCGCAAGGAAGGCAGATGACTGAGCACCCTCGGAGACGGCCCGGCGTAATACGGCCGGATCCCTCATTTTCCGCAGGCGCAAAACGATCTGCAGTGGTATGTAGGTTGCACAGGCAATCTTAAAGGTTCTGGCAAACCGAGACACCGCGTGTATCTCGCAATTAGGGCCGCAGCCCATGTGCACCATTTCGCATGGAATTGGGATGGTCTTTGAAGGGTCGCCCCATACCTCAGGCCAGCCAAAGTCCCTGCACATGGATTCCAAAAGAGGCGCTTGCCCGGTGTCCTTTCCATACACGAAATTCCCCCGACGAACACGACGGAGGGCCTCGATCAGCCGTGGGTCGACCTTGGCAACTTCCCCAATCCACTTCTCGTATGTTCGGGGTAATCTCTCGGGGAGATAAAACCATGCCCACATGACCACTGCTGCACTCATTGCAAAGACTCCAGCGTCAGCCAGGCCGGGGACGTAGGACTCTACGATGGTCCAGCGGTTCTGGGCTTTGCGACGGCGAGCCCAGTGGCTCCAAGCCATGCAGGCTACCACGTCCACGGCTCTCGTGACGGTGAAAATTGTGAGATCCATCGTCCGTCCCACCAACTCCGGGTGCGGGCGCTCGAGGGCATCGACCAGATCTTTGCCGGGCTCATCTTGCACCGATGAGAGTCTTCTGGCTCTGGCATCTCGTCGTGAGATAGTGCGGTTCTTGTTCAAAAGTTCGAAACTGATCAGTGCTGATAGGAAGGCAGTGACGAATTGAATCAGTCGATTTGCCCTTTGAGAAATTCGGATGTCACCTTGAGATAGGCTAGCTGCGATCGATGCATAGATTCTATAGAGCAACACCGGGAACAAGGTTGATCCACCAATGAGGGCTGCACAGAACGTTGGGAAGCTGTTCACCCGCAGAGGCCGGGCGAGAACACAAGCAAGCTGTAGTCACTGTCAGCCTACACTGATTTGGGCAATTACGAATAGAGGGCAGTTTGAGCACGTGGGATGAGGTGACATCATCCATCGTAGACTGGGCAATCAAACCAACGTCTGGCTACTGACCTCTTGAATCTTTTGTCTGATGGACCAGTCCTGACTTCTGAGCCGTCGGACATAGGTGACGAGCTTGGGTGTGACCGATGACAAATATCCCAATGCGTACGCACGTAGGATGCTATAGACCGGTGGGTGATCAGCTCTAGATTCCCAGTGGATTCCCCCTAATTTGAGAATGGCGTTGTACCCGGCAGAAGGTCGGAAGAACTTACGGCTTCAAGACCCGGACTCGAAAGTGCCTGTCACGGAGACTTAGCCGGACTGCAGGTTCCATAGTGCCGGTAACATCCATAAGCTGATCCGCGAGGAGGTAGAATAAGCATCACACTGGAGGGGGCACGACTAATTGGCGTGTCCAGGACGTCTGGGGACAATTAAGAGGGTGGGACAGGGAGAGCGTGTCCAATCACAGCCCCAGTCGCTCGTGGCCTACAGTGATGACCAGGCAAGGCTGTCCAAAAGTTGGGTAGTATTGTATATTTTTTGACTTTTGAAATTGAGGGGAAGCCCTCGGAAAGCTGCACGATCGTTTATTTTTTTTTGCTAGACTCCCCTCCGATTAACCGTGGATCTGTGTAACGGGGGAAGCTTATGTATTGGGGGGATATGGTCGAATGGGGGTTAGACCTCGGTTCCTGATGGGGAAGTAAGTCCCCGCCGTGACCAGCAGCTTTGGAGACTGGCAAGTATCTTTCAGGGGCACGACAAGGAGTGGCCGATCATCCGTCGAAGCAATTTGGAGATGGTGGTTGATGCGGGGCTCTGGCTGAACAAGGGGAGTGATTTAACCAAGGGCCAGATAAGGGAAGGATCGAATCCTGGCGGACGCCATGAAATTCTCCAGAATGTCAAGAACAAGGCTGGGAGTAGTCCCACTAGCACAGACCTCAATACTGTACTCCACGTTTTGATTTCGGGTCGGAGAGAGGAGAGAGTTCAAGATGCCGAGAGTTCTCAGGGCCTCGGGGCGGCTCCCCCGGAGTTTTTGGGCTGGAGACACCTGGTACGGAGTTTGTACCGCTGATGGTAGGAAGACTACTTCGTAGTTGCTTAGTCGTTGGACCGTAGTGCTAGCGCGGCTGTATTATAAGTGGTAATTTTGGTATACCCGTTACGTCACGCGACCGAAGAAGAAAAAAAGAATTCACATGTGATCGCAAGGGCCTGGTGATGGGGATGGCAACGAGAGAACAACTCCACACTTTGTTCCCCAGCTTTTGAAGCATCTTTCTTTCGCTTCTGACTCCTCTTTCGTCCCAAACCACCCTCTTTACTTCCTTGATTTCATCCTCTGCCAGTTCCTCGTTATCCCTCCCTCATATCTCTCGCCGTTCGAGTTCCCCCGTACGCTGGCCGATCTCTCGTTATCAAAGTCGGTGGACTCGATTTCTGTACAGAGCCCGGGCGATAGTCGGACGCCGAAATTATTAGCCAAGGCATGATCTTGTCGTCCTGGTCTCCGCTGCTCTCGATCCTTCAGAGCAGCACCTCTGCACTCCGGACGTCTTGCTCAGTCGCCTCCTGAACACCCTCTCGTCGCATCGCATTTGATCATGGATGGATCCGGCCCTGAAGTACACCCTGGACGTACCTCCCCACCACCTGCTGGACCATTTGGCTGTAAGTGCGACGTTTTGCCCTCGGTTTTTCACCACGTTGTTTCTAACCAGTCACCAGACGCCTTCCTCTCCCCGATGGACACTCCTTTCGAACAGGCTCCGGCCTTGCCCCCCGGCCTCCCTCTCCTTGACGATAACGAATCTAATATGCTCGACAACTTCTTTACCACGATGAATGCCAACAACTTTACGAATGACTTCTGGCTTCGAGGCCAACAAAATAAACCCTCCGGTCTCAACTTTGATTGGACTGACGAACTTCCGCCCACCTTCGAGGGCTCAACGACTTCACTGTCGCAACCCTCATTTCCACCACAAAACCTCAAAATGAACTTGATGAACGGCGGCATCGCCGGTCCCGATATCTATGCAGCAGCCTCAATGCTGTATCAAAATAACGTGAACGAGACCGGTCTCAGTTCTACTCTGGCCCAGCAGGCCTTTGTAGGCCAACCAATCAACATAAATGGTGCTCATGGCCGGCGAGACTCTCATCACATGGCTCCCGCACAAGCATCTAGCTCCTCCCCGTCTCGACCTCGGGTTCCCACCGGCTTCCACACTTCCGAGATGCTCTTTGACGTGCGCGACCCGATTCCGGAAGACCAGCACCCCTCTCGCAAAGTTCGTGGTCTGCACTGGGGCTCGGACGGAAGCTTCATGGACCAAGGCTATGTCGCACCCCCTGACCAGCCCGATATGGAGACTCGCACGAGGGAATTGCTAGATCATCTGGACTGCTTCGAACCGCAGACCAGCGCAGCCAACACGCGGGCTCCCAGTCCCGAGCGTGTAGTCGGTACCCATGGTCAACGCACCGCCTTCCGTCAGGCCGATGAAGATGATAGCGCTCAACCCCGCAAACGACAGCGTACCGTCAAGGCGAATGGTGATCAATACTCTGACGAGGATGATTCGAGATCGCTATCCCGGAAATCCCGAACTCCCAGCATCGCCAAGGGCCGACGTGCATCGACGGATACATCCCGAAAGGCGAGAGTCACTCCAACAAGCAAGACTCCCCGTGAGAATCTATCGGAAGAGCAGAAAAGGACCAACCATATCCTTTCGGAGCAAAAACGGCGCAATCTCATCCGTCAAGGCTTCGATGATCTCTGCTCCCTGGTTCCCGGCCTTCGTGGTGGTGGTTTCAGCAAAAGTGCCATGCTCACCCAGGCCGCGGACTGGCTTGAGGATCTGCTCCGTGGCAATGAAATCTTACAGAGTCAGTTGGCCGATATGAAAACGATCAACGGGCTGGTAATGCCTCGATGAGAGATGCCCTTGTGACGTGACCACGATCTATTTCTTCGATTTTTTTTTTCGTTCATTAATTCCCCCGGATGAATCTTGACGCACCTTGTTGTTTCTCCGGCAATCCAAGCGGTTCAGCGGTTAGGTGGCTTCTGTCCCCCCAGGCTGGGTGAGAGGGGCGTTCGTTCTTGACATGATACCAATTTTTCTTTGTATAGGAGGGAGGCTTTTGTGATGATGTTTATTTCTCTGCCTCTCTGTGATCTTTCTGTGATTTTGTTCCCCGCTCTGAGATGCCGCCACATATTTTGTATCTGCGGGGACAGTCAAATATTCTCTGTTCATACCATTCAGCATGAATGCTACATAATGTCGCGTTGCCATGATCAATTTGGTAGTCGCGCTTTTCCGCTTCAAGTTCCTATCATTACATTCCTATCAGTATAAAAAGGTCTGCATGGTTCGTCTAACTTTCTTAATATTGTTCCATCGAGACAGGTCATGCGAGACTTGTGTTGAGCGACATGGTTTGAACTTCCACTTCTACTGCAAGCTACATTCTTTCGTACAGGTACCTTGGCGAAGATAGAACCTAGGTGATGTCTGGTGAATTAACCTTAATCAAATACAGGAGTAGGTTCCATTCATATCAATGATCAGGCCGGGTGTTAGGATTTCTCCGAAAGCAGCATTTACTTCCAGCCATTTACTTAAACTAGAAACCCTCGGGCGTACAGAGCCTCTGAGTTCAATTGTCTTTATCTTGCCTGTCGGTCCCTAAATTTACCCAAGCGCACCGCTACCCGTCAATTGGAAGACTCTTCTGGATATATATTATCTCGATCCGTCTTCCTCGTTAGGCTGGTGCCTTGAAGTATATTTTCAAATGTCCTTGGTTTTAAAACAAAGGAAGAAAAACAAGCTTTCCATAAAGTGCTATAATAGAATTAATGTTCTTATTGGGGTTGCCTATTTTGAGCCTCCAAGGACCCGTCGATCAAGGGTTTATGTAATCTTGGCTCAACTCTGACTGCCAGCTAGAATTGAAAGATTATTGCTATAGGCGGCCTAAGATCAATTATTCCGAAGCTGATTTACATTCCTCATTATCAGGCCCCCAGACGTTTAGAAGAAGCCCCTCCACAGACGCTAGCAATCTCCGAAAGGCGTGGAAGATTGATTAACCTAGTGCGTACTGGATAAAATGAAGACTTATAGCCTAGTTCTGAAGATACGAAGATACACGGGTCAGGGACGGAGGATTTCTCGACCTATCGCTCGTTTCGACACGATTTGCATGGCCCCGCTCGGTTAGGGACGCTTGGAAACTCTTATTGGCAGTCGTGGCCCCAATAGCACTTCCCTCTCCTTCTCCCGCATTCATTTCCCCTCTGGTCTGAAACCATTCTGGATCATCACTTCCATAGGCTTGAGCCCCAAGCTTGAACCAGAAAGTTCGCATTACGAACGGGGTTTATGGAAGATTGTCATTAGTCTTTTCTACTGTCGCCTACACTCTTATCCCCCATCGACCCACCCTCACACAAGCGTGAAATATATTACCATCCCTGGGCAGTTGTCGAAAGGTCATACACTTCGAAGAAATGCCTAAGGATAAATTTTACATGCCTGTATGTGCGTGTGTCTAAGACCTGAAGCTCAGTCTCTAATATTTTCTTTACAGGAAACATCGACCCCGATAGATGACGGGACCCGGCGCCCCATACCTCAGCCGGGGCATCGTGGGTTTATGTTTGTGAATACCCAGGCTGATGTTTCGCCATTTACCAGCATGAGAAGGGAAATCAAGTCATTTGTTGCGAAAAAAGCCAATCAGCGAAGGAAGAAAGAGGCTATTGATCGGTTGAAATCGTTCCAGCCGTTCAGTGCCCGTACGCCGCAGCGAGAAGAGAACGAGATGGAAAACGTTCACGGAAATAACACACAGTTTCCTCATTCGATATATGATAATAGTATACTGCCAGTCAAAGCATCCACCGTCATCAGCCAGAACCATGCCGACCCTTTTCTCGCTAACCCTGTGCCAATGAACAACGCCATGCATGTGTATTTTCATCATTGTAGGTTATCTACTTTACCATTAACTTTATCATATTCGCCGATGGCGCTGAAAATGTTTCTCAGACAGATCCTACGTGATTCCCAAAACGTACCCGTTTAATGCTGACCGGATGAACACCTGGTGGACTGAAAGGTCGCTCGTTTCCCCGGCGCTCCTCTACACCAAACTCTGCATCGGGGCTGGACATAAGGCGGCTCTTGAATCTCGCAATGGTGTTTCCTCTGTAGTTACCCAAAAGTCACTCAGAGATTGCATAAAGTTTCGAACAAACGCCATCAGGGCCTTGAACGATTTACTGCGGAATCCCGTAACTGCGGTGGCAGAGTCTACAGTATTAAGTGTTGGTTCAATCGTAACAATCGAGGTATGGAGTTCCGATCTGACCGATGAATGATTTATGTTCGAAGCTCGTAGGTTTCCAAGTTGCTAACTCGTAGTCTGCTTAGACTATCAATGCCGAATTTGCGGCTCTACAGACACATATGAAAGGCCTGGCTACGCTTATAGAACTAGCTGGCGGTCTTGATGCATTCGAGTACATGACACTTTCCAGCGTATACCAGTACAAATCCCCTTTTTAATGTCCGTTGTCTTCTTCGCTAATACGACCAGCGCTGTCTCGGGGTATGCTGCCCTGCAGAACAAACCGCCGATCATCCCAATGTCGGCGAAATTTCGCAGCGAGGTACTTCACGAGCCCGCCATTTTTCATCCAAGGCCTAATGAGGATCACGCAATCGGATTCGTAATCCCACCCTATATCGCGACTCTCGGCTCTCGCTTTGCTGCTAGCTCCCCATGGTACACAGAGATTTCTCCATCTCTGAAGGACTTTCTCACGATCTTCACGAGGCTCATCCAGCATTTCGAGCTTGGCAAAGTATATCCCGAAATCGTAGAGCCTACCGACAATGAGCTTTTCGCCATCTTTCAACACGACTTCCTCTCCGCTATCCCTGCCAACAATCCAACATTACACACGAGCAATGATTATATTAACCCGCCTATCCGCTACTCTATTATAATATACTTATGGGCCTGTGTCTCTCATCTCCAATCTCTGCCTATCGTGCGCCACATGGTGGAAACCTTCAAGGACACTCTTGCACCCCGAGTTCCTTACCTCTTGGTGGCCGCGCCTGACTTGCTACTCTGGATGCTTGTTCTAGGAGTGTTAGCGTCCAAGGGTAACAAAAACACACGCTCATGGTTTGTTCTTCACTCTGCGCATGTGGCGCGGCGTCTTGGCATCAGCGATAGGAATCAGGCACGACGTCTGCTCGGAGAGTTCTTTTACACCGATCAGCCTGAAGATCTGGGTGAAGGGTTGTGCATTGAAGAGGTGGTGGCTTCGAGTGTACGTATATGTAGAAGTAACGATTCCGGTTTTGACGTACAGTAATTACTCCTATGTGATAAAAGCTCCTCTGAGTGAGGTCTGAAATAATGATTTCCAATAACCTATAATCAAACTCAAAATACCTCAATTCGTTTACAAGTAGGTCCAGACCAGTATGCCGTGTTTATTCGGAGGGGCATGTACATTAGCGGCCGATCTCACGCCCCACCGCCCTGTTTTGGGCGACGCGTCTAGCCGGCCTCGACTTCACAAATGATCAACACCACAACACCACTCAGCACGACACCACCATGCCTCCCAAGCGAAAGCGCTCCCGCGATGGAGATGCCGGTAATTTGGAAAACGACTCTCGCAAACGCTACGCTTACTTGAAACCGAGTGTGCGCCGCATCCCTGAGAAAACCATCAAGACAAAATGGACTACTCTGCCAGAACCTGTTCAGGATAAGGTCCGAGACTTGTTCCATTCACTCGAGCGGCCAGTGATAGTACGCCAGCAGAATGAAAAGAAGCGCATCGAGGCGCAGAGTGCGCTTCGAGCCGTGGTGCACAAGTATGTTTACATTCTCTCCTGTCGACTTGCTTTACTGGCGAGCGATCAACCTTGTCGCAGTTGTCAATTACTCTGTTGCTGACTTGTTTTGAACCGATAGTCTTGGGAAACGCCTACCTCGAATGCCATTTCCGCCCATAACAAAGGACTCCAACTTCGACTACGAGTCTGCGCTCGCCGAACATGTACGTTCCACATCAACGATGACCCGACGAATAGAGTTGACCATACACAGCGTTCCCTAGAGGCCAACTTCGCCACGGTCAAGGATAGCTCGGATCTCCTGAGAGCTGAGATTGCCAAGGAGGAGGCACTTCTCGCCGATGAGAAATCGTCGCTACAAGAAATGGAGAAGAATGCCAAGCGAGCGGAGACCGAGAGGAAGAGACAGATGAAAAATGTAGGCGTAAACCCCCTACTAGAATGACGGACGCAACGATAACTGACATTGATGTTGCTAGGAACATCCTGTTCTGCGCCAGCTTGATGAGCTACCACAAACCAACCGCCAAGGGGGCGCTGAATTTACACTTCTGGATACTAAAAAGAGCCAAGTAACCTTGGACGAGGTAAGACTCTTCAGCTCTTCGTTTACTACAGGAACCTCATATTCTGACCATCACCACCAATCTAGCTGGACGATGACCCCGAGATTAAAGCGCTGATGAAGCAGCTGCATGGCCATCTTCAATCGATGCAGAGTAATACCGCACCACTGGCCGGACTCAAGGAAGCAGTCACCCGGTCACAAGCAGCATTGGACTTGTACTCTACCCCGAACGACTGAAAGAGTATCCGATAGATGGTTCAAGATGCAGAACGCAAGCCCCTATCTTGGGCGACCGCCGCGACAGGAGTTCGCATATGCAAAACTCCGGGAGAATGGCCAGATTCCCCACAACCTCACAAACGCAAGCAGGTCATAACCTGACCTTGACCACCCGATGCTTCCCAGGAGATCCCTGTCCTGTGCTCGGATCTCGATGTTCTTGACTAGGCTACTGCCGGTAGCCTGGGACTCCCCGCGCACCGAGACGACCTCCAGCACACGTGAAGTTCGGAGTGTGTGATGCGGTACACAGAGACAGTACGAAGTCCGACATATCCATCCAGCAAATGGAGGACAGATGCTGGGCTTGTTAGGCGAATACTAACTAGTCTGAGAGATGCTATTGTTCGGAGCTCGCGTCATGTATTCCGGGAGGTACATAATGGTATCTGATCCCAGGGCCTTAGAAGCTCTACAATCAAGACATTGTTCAAAAATCACTTATACGTAGGGTGACCCTGTAATAAACATGAATCCTAAGAATCCTAAATCTAGGTATCAGACTATACCGAGGTGTCTGACCTCTCGGCTTACCACATCAACCTACTGGTGATCACCAGAATGCCCTGGTGCCTGAGGCATCAACCCGTATACTCAGGCAGCCGCGGCCCCGCAAGTCGGCGCATGCGGAGAAGTTCGGAGGGGTTGCTCTGACTTGCCCGTGACTCCGCTTTCGCGAAACTTTGACGTTCTAAACCACTTTCAATCCTCGTCTGTATCTCGTTGCTCTACTTCTTGAGGCAGTGGTCAATGTCTGCTGGCAGTCATTTTGCCCAGGTTTGGTGATTTTCCGCACTTCGCAATGACAGAGAAATCCGCCTCGGGATCGGGCGCAATGTCCGACAAGAATGCTGCGGCTGCCAAGTCCAAGGATGCAGGCAAGGATGCGCGGGCAAAGGACTCGCCAGCGGCATCTGCAGTCAAGTCCGAAACCTCTGGCACAGGAAGTCATTCCAGCCCAAAGAAGCGCCGCAAGGTGAATCACGGTAAGGTGCCGTTCGTGCGGTATGCAACAGGGATCGTCGGGCGCAAAGCCCTTCGAGGCCTGGTTCGCATGGCGATTGACAAGTTGATTTTACTGACGAGTGATGCATATTCGCAGCCTGTGTCTATTGTCGACGTTCGGTAAGTTCTCCGATTCATTCAACATCGTGCGCATTCAGGCATACATTGCGACAGTCCTTCGAGATCTGCCGCTTCAGCGTGTCTATTTTCATACCCAGTACACAGTGAACCTCTTTGAAGTAATTGTTGTGCTAACAGAGGCCTCTTGGCTGTGTGTGACAGCATATGACCTGCGATTCGGTACGACCTTCCACTCCCATCTGAGCCCCTCCAACCCTTCAGATCAACCACAAAACCGGCTGCCCAACGCTGGTCGCAACCCGGAGAAATGTACCTGCTGACCATCTTTACCCGCAAAGGAACGACCCTGTACTCGCTGTATAAAACGCAATATCGGCCATCTGTGCCATGACGAACCCCGTGAACCCACAAAGCGCAGAGATCAAGAACATTCGGCTGCGGACGAGGAGGGCTCGTCCAACAATGAGCTGACCAACGTTCAAGGCATGCGAGCGAGTGTCGATCTCCCCGATTCTGCCGGTCAACAAATTCTCCCGGACGGTACGATCGGAATTGCGCCTTCTTCTGTGCAGCCTCCGAGCATTGCCTCCTCCGGTCAAGGTATTGACAACCCTCAGCAGCGTGAGTGCCGCGCAGGGTTCTACTTCTGGGCATTCTTCGAGAACCGACTGACACGGAATCTTAGTGATGGCGTACAACGACTGGCTGGGCGGGCAAAATCAATTTCAAGACATGCATTCGCTCCATCCTTCATACATGTTCAATGCGCCTGAGGTTACTAATGAGTACAACTTGCTCGGAGATTTCCCCAGTAATAGTCTGTTGGATGACGGCGCGCTGTTCCAGGACCAGAGCATGCAGGGCATCTACTCGGATCCAAGCCTCATGAACTCTATGAACACAGTCGGTGTAGCAAACGGTTTACCCCCACCGGCCCAGCTCCCGCCAGCGGCCCAGAGCCAAGAACCTCAGGGAGATTCCATTCTGCGCCCAACTTCTACAGTGGGCAATGACAAGGCTCGCGAGACATATTACATGACTGCAGCCGACCCGTCCGGATCTGACCCGCCAGAGGAGCGCATGAACAAGCTTCTCAAAGCCAAGTACGATGCAGGACTCTTGAAGCCTTTCAACTATGTCAAGGGCTACGCCAGGCTCAACCAGTACATGGAAAAGAACATGCATCAAGCATCTCGACAGAAGATTCTCCGACAGTTGGACAAATTCCGACCCAAGTTCCGGGAACGCATGCAGAGCCTGACTGATATTGAGCTGATACTTGTGGAGATGTGGTTTGAGCGGAGTCTGATGGAGTATGACCGTGTATTCGCTAGTATGGCCATCCCGGCCTGCTGCTGGCGACGTACCGGCGAAATCTTCCGTGGTAACAATGAGATGGCACAACTCATCGACGTGCCTATAGAGAGTTTGCGCGACGTAAGTGATGCTGAAATCATTCATCTTCCCTTTTGATCTTTACTGATGAATGTTAAGGGCAAACTCGCAATCCACGAGTTCTTCGTTGAGGATCAGCTCGTGAGCTACTGGGAGAAGTTTGGTGCTATTGCCTTCGACAACACCCAGAAAGCTATGCTCACCAGCTGCACTCTCAAGAGCCCAAGTAACCCGACGGGCGAGGGCATCCCATGCTGCTTCTCCTTCACCATCCGACGCGATAACCACAATATGTACGTGTCCTCCAGCCTGGGGTTCGCGATTATTAGGAACTGACATGCTCTCGATAGCCCTTCTTTGATCGTTGGAAACTTCCTACCCACGCAGCGGGTCCACAAATAGACGCCGTTTTAGGATGCTTTCAGGCTTCGTTTCGTTTTTTTTTTGGGATAGGCAGGGTAAAAAATTGCGGGCATGCTTTCTTTCCACTGGTTCTCGTGTCTCTTTCTTTTTGTGTTTTGATTCCCCGAGTCTGGAGGCTTGTATCCTTTAGTCTGAAAATGTGCAACGCCCGCGGTGTATCATATTCTACCGTTATTGATCAACATTGAGATCTTCTTCGTTAAGTGGAACCTCTTTCAAGGGCGTAGTCTTGGGAGAAGATAAGTGACGTGGTGAGGTGAGCAGGTGACCGTCCCGTTCAACCCTCACTGGCCTCGACCACCTCAATCTTCCACTTCCTCCTCTACATTCCACTAAATTCAATTCCAACATCTACAATTCAATCCCTCTCTGTGTCCATTCCAATTCCATTTCACAGGCCTGTCATTATGGTATCTCCTGCAGCTGGTGTCTTGGCAGGCCAAGCAGCAGCATTGGTCACTGCAACACGCCAATGGCAGATCGAACCTCTCACCAATGCCCCTAAGATCGACCTTGAAGACTCTCTTGGGGCCATCGAGGAACATATTTAAACAGTCTCTAACACGGCGAAATTGTCAACATCGGACCGATCACGGTTGGATTCAGTGGGAACCGAGCTATGGAATGCTTGTCGCATCCAAGTGATGGAAGCTAATCCGAGCAACAAAGACGCGGAGGCAATCAACAACAGAGGTATTTCCGGCTTTCCAAAGTCAATAATGCAGATAGACTCTGACGGACATTGACAGTGCTGGCCATCGCCGTCGCGCTGCTCGACTTTGCATCGCCGTTGAATCCGCCAGGTACCTGATAACTAAACAAGTATCGCGAACACTCACGAAAAATGGACTGATTTGGTACACAGGACATATCAGGGTTCTAGATCTGGCATTCGAAGCAGCCCGTGTTTGCATGGGTACCTCAGCCCCTCCACATACGCTGACTGCAACTGATGAAGCGGCAGACACTGCCTGTCTCGACTGTGCTCTCAAAATACTCAAAGTGGCAGCGAAGCGACTGGATTCACTCGAAGCGTCTGTCCCAGCCATCGATCAAGCTCAGCTGAGCGCTCTCTCTGCCGAATACTACATGCTTCGCGTGCATTTAGTAAGGCTCATTGATATCATCAAATTTGCCTTCCTGCTAATCAGATTCGTCAGGCTTGGCAGCAGGGTCGACCTGACATTGCTGATCACCTCTTTACGAAAATCCCGCTGAAGGGCGCAACCAAGGATCACTATAATGTCATTGGTGAATGCATTTGCATTGGTCGAGGTGCACTGGAAGCTGGCCAGTACGACGCTGCAATCAAGTGGCTCGAGATCGCACTGGAGGAGCTACAAGAGAACCTGGATTATCAGGGATTGGATTCGGCAAATTTTGAATTGCAAATCCGGCATACACTTGGTCAGTCTTGGTATCAAAAGCTACAGGATATGGAATTAGCTGATATTTCACAGCATGTGCCTATATGAAGATCGGTACACCCGATGCAGCCGAGAAGCTTGAGGGGCAAATTGCTGTGCTCAAGACAGTAAGTAATTAACTTGAGCTGGACATGGATCGTGGCTCATCACTATTTCAGAAGTATGGCGAGAATCCTGCCGTGCAAGTCCTCGAACTTGAGATCATTCGCCGTGAAAAGGAACCGAACAGTGCCGAATTCTTTCGGGGTAATGTAACTCCTCTATTTTAGTATATGCCTTTCGCTAATACATTTTTCTAGTCTTGAAAGCTATAATCGAGAAGCTCGATTGGACTGAGGAGTACCTGAATGTGTAAGTACCGTTGGTTCAAAGTGTCGCCATTGCTAAAGACTTTCCAGAGTCCTTGGCTATATCAAATATTCGATGCGCCTGAGGTATGTGTGCAATTTATAGGCTTCTTCCATAATTTCAAGCAGCTAAACTTCGGGCAAGCATCGGTCTCGCTTTCGAGATGCACCATTTGTTGCTAAAGTCCCTACCATGCGAGAAGCGCGAATGGATAGAAGAATGCTTTCTTCGGGTTCCGTGGATGGTCAGTTCCACGACCGATGAGCTGGATATCCCGGAAGAGGCGTGCAAAACAGCGATGAACGATGCGTTGGCTTTCCTCGAAGATCGGGGAATCGAGAGCATCAGCCAGGAGGGGACTCATGTGTTCTTCACGGTGGGACCTCAGAATATGGCTTTAATCATGCATTTTACTAACCAAGTTTTTAGATCCTTCTGAACATGCTTGAAAGCCCAGAGACCTCTTCTTGCCGGCACATTGCTGAGAAGTGGTGCCAGCTCGCACTGGACACCAAGGTCTTCAATGACTGCTTCACGTCCGCCAAGTTTAATCTTCAGAAGTACATTTACGTTCTTTTGTCTGCACTCTAGCACTAATAATGTTTATAGAAGATTGGCCACAATTTCCTTCAGCAACAACGACTTTGTCTTCGCCAAGCAGACTTTAGATCAAATAGTGGTTGAAAACGAGACAAAGTCCGATCTCCAAGTCCAATGCCTTCTCTTCAAGCTTGCACTACACGATGAGAAGGATGTATACTGTGAGTGATCCGAGTGGCCTGTACTTGAAAATCGTGGCTAACAAAGCGAGCAGTGAAGGACTATGTTTGCAGGTTGTCTCATTCCGACCACTTGGAATTCCTGAGATGCTGTGCAGTGGAGGCAGACAGACTGAACAAGTCAAAAGCGGTCATTGACTGCATTCTGGAGTTTATGGATTTGACAACTCTTCTTGAGAGCTCTCAAGATAAATCGCTTGTCGAGGAAGCCAGATCTGATCCTATCAGATCACGGTCAACGGCCGATATAATTAGCTTCCCTCTTTCAATGCTCTCGTCGGCGATGGAGAAAAAGCAGGGAGTGTCCGAGGAGAATGTGCTTGACTTAGTGTACTCAGGTAAAGCTCAAGTGCTCGGCCTCGTCTTGGACTGCAAACTAATTTTTCTAAGTCCTTAAGTATACCAAGCAAGGATTCAGCAAAACAGATCTCTCAATTTCGATTCATGAGTTGGAATCAATCTGTCTCGATTCTTATAACCTGACCCTGCATATTTTCAACATGTTCCCGCTGGAACGCTCAGAAGAAGCCCTGCAAATCACGAAAGAGGTTGGTCTATCACTATTCATCAGAACACGCTGGAGTCCGCTCACATAATATCATGATGTCAGATCATCAACCTTTCAAGACAACGATATGAGTCCATCCAGACCGAAACTCCTCAATCGGTGCCATCGAACAGCCAAGAAGAGAAGACAGAGAAACAAATGTCTGTCCAACTAGGCTACATCGCTTATCAATTCTTGTTCCTGGAAGTCAGCATACGTGCCCTTTGTGTTCGATCTGAAATTAATTCAACAAGCAAGGTATGTTCGACCATGTGACTTCATCCGGGCACGACCCTGATATCTCGTAGTTCGAACACTACACAAAAATCATCAAAGCGATCAAGTCAATTCGAGAACAGGAGTCGGAGTACTCCGAATACCATCCACTGGATATCGAAACTCTTCGCAACCTCTCAGCAAACGAGTTCGAGGCTGCCATTGCCCTGGAAGATTGGAGTGGTATCGTCACGATCATCGAAGATAGCGAGAGCTTCTTCGACGCAGCTCTGTTTGATCATTTCATGAATTGCATTCTTACCTTTGAAATGGCAGATGCATACAAGGCTATATTCATCAACGTATGTCCTTACCAAATGCTAACCGCATCACTCATACTAAATCCGTGAATAGGCAATGGTGGAAATCATGCGCAGAGCTGGGTCCGACATGCCAATCCTTCTCAATAACTTCCCATCCTATTATCATCATCTATTTACATTCGCCCTCGCCGCAGCAAACCCCGAAACTCCTACGCAGCTCCTCGATCTATCCTTACACTGGCCGGGGGAGTACCACGAAATGGCCGATTCAGTCATCGACGAGGTGCTCACCGCAACCGCTGAGCAATCCTTGCCATCAGGATCTGGACAGCAGCGCGTGTATCCTGTTGAAGAACTTGGGTACCTCGCGACGTCCTCGTTCAACCAGGCCATGGACTTTTATTCCGCGGAGAATGATCAAGCTTGTCTGCGCTGGGCTCGGAAGGGTATTCTACTCGCGGAAGCGATGCGTACCCCCGAGGGTGAGGAGTTGGTTTGCCTGTTTCAGACGCGGCTGGAGGGGTTATTCTAAGGCCAGTATTGACTGGTTTTGCATCTTTCCCACTGCATGGTTTTCAGAAGGTGAAGAAGAGAAGGCACGAATTTATCACAGTAGGAATAGAATTAAGCATCGGGAGTTCTAAAGGGCTAGAGTGATACTATGATAATCTTGAATATCAATTGCTAAAACAAAACAATCCGACGAACAAAGAGAAAGAAAAAGTGTCTAAATGGTAAATATAAGCTCTGGAGACATAGCCAGAAACGACTTTGATATAATAATGTGGGTATCATCAGAAGAGAAAACAAATTATGGCAGTAAGAAGGAAAGGGGAAAGATATGAAGAACGAGAGAAACGCGCCCTGCTCCACAAGTCGGAGAAAGGGATGCAATAACAATGGGGAAGAACGAAAACGGAATAGAAAGAAAGTATTAAGTAGAGTCGCCGAATGCCATGGGTTAAAGATGAGAAAAGAAAACAGAGGCAGAGTAGTCAACTTTGTCCGCTGGTTTGCGTGTCTCACACCAGTAATGAGGAACCGATGTGGCTTGAGAATATTGCGATCATGTTGAGGAATCGAGTAGAGAGAATAAGGTGTGTAAAGCATGCTTCATTCATCGCCGTTAGCATCATAAGAGCGACTTCTCGAAACCTGCCGCATCCCTTTATGTCGTAGTAAAGGAGTCGACGGCATATGACGAGGAATATGCGATGACCGAGAAGAAATAGACGAATAGCTCGGCTTCCGATCCATGTCTTTGCCACTACTATCCGTCTCCGTCTCGCCACTTTCGTCGCTATTCTGGAACCGTGCGCTGACAGCCCGCAAGGTCAAGTTCAGCTCCCGCTCGAGTTCCTTCTGCGAGTGAAGTTGCTTTGTCGAACCGTTGAGTTTCTTGCGGTAGGCTCGGAGACTGCGGCAGAGTTGTTCGGTGGTCATTTCGAGGCTGCCAAATTCGCTGCGGCTGGATGCTTTGGCGCGTGTTCGGAAGTCCATCGAGGTACGGCGATTAGTGCTCTTTGCACTGCTGGGCTTTTTGGATGCGGAGGAGTATGATTTTGTCCTGGGGCTGACTGGAGACGGGGATCTTCGGATGTTGTCTGTTGGGGTGAAGGAGATGGGGGAGCGACGGTTTGGAGGAGATGGCGTTTCGGCGAGAGAGTTCTTCAATGTGGACGGTGTCAAAGATAATTTGGACATCCTCCTGGTGAGTGTCGGGGAGCGTTCCCGAACGGGAGTTGGCGTTCCCAAGGGACCCTGGTTGTCAGGTCGCTGGAAACCAGCTAGTTCACTCCGCGAGAGGACTTTTCGGAGTGGAGGCTTGGCAGCGGTCGATTCTTTAACGGGGCCATCGTCGTCTCGTCCATTTTGGCCAAGCTCTGGTGGAAGATGCGGCTGGATACAGAGGTTCCAGATCATCAGGATACCGTCCATGCCGGCGGAGATCAGACTTCGCTTGGTTGTTGGGCCGTCCTCGGAATCTTCGCATTGTTCAAGAAGCAGCGCATCACTGACTCCCTCGGTATGACCGAATTCACCGGTGAGCAAGCTATCTTTCTCCAAGTCATAGACTCGAATCGACTTGTCGGTGCTAGAGACTCCGATCAGAAGCTTCGGGCTTTGACCGGGGATCTCCGACGTGACTGTCAAAGAGCTCATGATCACTGCATCATTCGTTTCAGAGTCCAATGCGCGGAAAGAGTGCAGTTGTCGTCCTGAAGGGATGTCGAACTTGGAAATGCAGCGGTCCATGGTTGAGACGAAAAGAATATTGGAGTCATCGGGACAAAGCGCCATGGATATCGGAGACGACTTCATGGTAATGACTCTGGTGATGAGATACGCAGTGGAAGTCCCACTATCTTCGTCTCTAGTGGCACGGTCACGAATCAGGATCGTACGATCACCGGAGCTCGAGAGTAATTTCTCGCCCTCGTTAAGGAACATGATTTGTCCTACTGCCCCAACGTGATCATCCATAGTTTGCACCAACTCCAAAGTTGAGTCTGTCTTCTGGAAGAGTTGCACCATGCGATCACGGCCAGAACTGGCCACCAACCATGTATCCTCGGTTTTTTGAAGAGCAACATCCGTAATCTCGCCTCCGTGAGCGCGAGCTTCGTCGATGCACTCCCATTCTTCGCCCGAGTAAACCCTGAACGAGTCGTTAGCTTTAGGCGCTCTAATACCGTGGAATGAAAAAGATAACAAACCTCAGCACACCGTATTTATCACCTGCCACGAACCAGTCTGCATTGTCTGCAGCTCTCAGAACCTTCAACTCGTTGGGTACATCCTCGTCCCCTGCCACGCTTTGCTCGACCACCACCGTCTTCGAACCAACACATTTACCGCGTGCATCCCAGAAATTGACCGAGCCATTGCGGGACCACGAGAAGAAATCTGCCGAGAACCTGTTGGGCACCTGGAGCGGACGAATGCCAAGAACTGGGTCTCGATGCGCTGGCATGGAAGTCTCCCCAGGATCTTGCTCGCCTTCATCGGGCAGAGTCTCGATAGGGTAGATGTGTATCTCCCGGGTTGCTTCTACCGTAACCAGGTGTGATGATAGACAGCCCATGCAAGTGATGGCAGGTGCCTTTGATTTCTTGTCCACCACAACCTTGTCCAACTTGGCAGGAGATGATGGAGAGGAAATAGAAGATGTTCGCAAAAATTCAAATGACAATCGCTGCATTCTCCTGCCACGCCCACCCAGCCAGATCGACTCTCGGTCGAAATCCACCGTCAAGGATGTGACGGCAAATCCAACCTGCGTGACCACGGATAATCTCTGGAATCCATCACGATCGTCGATGAGGCAGACAGCTCCCGATTCGGTGCCCACGACGGCTTCTTGGTCAGAAATGCTACTGATACAGCTGAAAGTGTGATCGTTCAGCTGTCCCAAGAGACAATTCCTGCCAGACAAGGCTTTCGGGGCCGGGTTTGGCGACGGAGCCCCGTCCGCAGTCAACCTGGATTTTGTCGGAGATACCGGCCTTAGAGTTGGAAGCCGCCATACTTTGACATGGCGTACACCGGTAGTAACCAGCGTTTGGCCTACCCAGCACATGTCGCGAACAAAGGAGGTGCATTTATTCGTAGAATGGAGTCTTGCTGATCCATTTTTGAGGTTGATAGCCCAAATGAAAAGGAACCCATCGTTGGGGTTGCCCAGAGTTGCCAAATATTGTGAGTCCGGGCTGAAAGCTAGGCTACACACCCCAAAGGTGTGCTCGCTGAGGATGGATAGGGGAACATCGGGTAAGGCGTCTCGGGCGGTTGAGAATATAAGAACGCGTGGGTTGTAGCCAGTCTCCCCCACGGCCAAAAACCGGCCATTGGGACTGATAGAGACGCTCGTCACCGCTTTGATCCGTTCTCTGGATGACCAAGCGCGGGGACTGCCATTGTCGGCAGCTTCGTTGGATGGTGAGCCATTGGGGACGTTGAGATGCGGGTTTGAGCGAATGTGGGACAGGGATCGCGATCGGGGGTCGGGCGTCGTTGGAGGAGTAGATTGATTGTAGAAAGATGTCGTCGTCGGGTTTACGCTCGTTGCGGACGGGCGAGCTCGAAAGAAGCGTTGGCAGAGGATTCCATCGTCGTCGAGTTCGGCAAGTACAGCTGCAGAACCGGCGCACAGCGCAAAGCTCTTGCTCTGATCGTGACTGGAGAAGCCATTGGGGGTTATTGTGGTGGTTCCCAGCACGGTCTGGAGGGACAAGGTCGATTGATGTGAGGATTTGCTCGGGGAACGAGCTCCAGGTCGAAGAATGGGAGAATTGGACGGGGTGATTTTCAAGGCGCCAGGACCGGCGAGTTTGGATTTCGCGCTGAGGGGCGCGGTGGTGGCCATCGGGGAACTGAATGGGCGAAAAAATCAGGGTCCCCTGAGAGCGTGGGGTCTTAGCATTTCAAGTCGAGGGCATTCGTGATCGGGGCAGATCAAGATCTCGGGATGATCTCAAAAAGAGGGGCGGGAAGGAGAGGGGGGCGGGCGCAAGGTGAGATGAAATGACGGAAGTACAGTGGGGGTTGGGGAGGAGGGAGTTGGAGTGTGGTGATCCAAGCTGAAAGAGTAGGAAGATGTTTAAGGGAGTGACAAGCTTGAGGTGAAAGCGAAAGGATTGAGTTGAAGGTGAGGATGAAGAAGCATCGGAAGGAAAAACACACAAACATGGAGGAGCTCCCATTCCACGCTAAGGGCGCTGATCATTCCCAGGCGATCGCAGGAATCCAGCGAACCTCGTTTTCGACTGGTCATTTGTGGGATGGCACGGGCCGAGTGGGCCTCTAGTACAATAGTAGTCTACTGTAGTAGACAGTTAGAGAACTAGAGAACTATCCTAACCTTAAGATGGAGTATATTTGTAGTATGTCTATCCTAGTAAACTCGACTGCAACCCGGCTTCGTTGTTTATTTGGCCCGAACTAGTGGGTCCAGGCCCTGGATAATCAAACTCGCTTCTTACTAGTCCGTTTGGTGGAAATGAGGGGGGATTTTGAGCCATTCCTGTTATAATTTCAACTATCAACTACCTATCTATAGGCAGTCATAGAGTGTAGATTTAATCGGCTTGAATGATCTAGGTATTGAAGAGAATACTGGCTTTCCGTTAGGTAGATCCACGGATCTATTTTATCCCCGCCAGATGGGAGGTATATATATCTCCAGCTATTGGATGGATACTAGGATATTTGCATATGGCCATCATCCATCAATATTTGTTTCAATTTACATTTAAACCTATTTAGAACGATATATCTACCAAGAAACAAAATCATCGTACCATTCACTTCCAACAGTTACATCAATATCCTCCCGCCTTCTCCTGCATCGGCTTGAAGCTAACTGTCGTCGGCTCATCGCTAATCCCACGCTTCTTGGCTTCTTCCAGAATAGCCACCGTCGCCGTAGCACCAATTCGAGTAACGCCCAGACTCATAACGTGCAACAGGTCATCAAGCGTGCGAACACCACCGGCCGCCTTGATCTGGACCTTGGACCCCGAGTGCTGACGCATCAGCTTGAGATCCGACACCGTCGCACCGAGATAATTGTACGAGCCATCGGCTTGCTTGACAAAGCCATAGCCAGTCGAGGTCTTGACGAAAGCAACTCCAAGTTCGGTACAGATCTTGCAAAGCTGAACGATATGCTCGGGCTTGAGATAGTCGTTCTCGAAGATGACCTTGAGAATGGCCCCGTGGGATACAACCGCGCGGTTGATCTGGTCAATTTCTCGAGTGACATACTCCCAGTCTCCGCCGAGGACTTTGCCAACGTTGACGACCATGTCGATTTCCCGTCCACCAGCCTGGGCAGCAGCGGTGGCCTCTTGGACTTTGATTTCGGTGGTGCTGTTGCCGTGGGGGAATCCGATCACGGGGCATACCAGGACGTCGGTGCCTGATAGCTCCTGAATGGCTAGCGGAATGTGATATGGTTTGACGCAAGCCGTGGCGACGTTGTTTTCTCTCGCGATCTTGAGTCCGGCCAGGACGTCGGCGTCGGTCATTGTAGGATGGAGCAGCGAGTGATCGATCATCTTGGCAAGCTGTGACAGGGTCACGGAAATGGTGTTGTTGGAAGACATTTTGGTAGAGAGTATAGAATCAAAGTTGAGTAGAGTGGAATCTTTCTGGTTGATTGCTTCGTTGCAGATGGGACTGTAACATCCTTTTTATACTTGTTCTCCGCAGTCTTCGTTCCGTCCGGTGGAATCATTTCCTCTTTGGTCGCCCCTCTGTATACACCCAGTTCCACCGGAACAGAGAGCAGATCGCCATGGACCACCAATTCTCAATAGTTTAATGGCTGAAAAATTGTCCTACGCTTTATGCAATGTAATTTGTCTATTTTATACATGATAAATCATCAATTGTTCAGTCAATGCTCACGTAAACTAGAGGAAGTGGTGGCCATTCTCGGGCTTTGTCATCCGTTCCACCGGAAACATTACCATTTCGAGTCAATATTCCTGTTCTTCCGAACAACTCGCTCACCACACCTTCCCATTCACAATGGCGCCTCGGGCAAAACGGTCAAAAGTAGGCAGTGCATGCCAGAGATGCCGCCGACAGAAGCTCAAAGTGAGTCTACTCTTCCCATCTCCGGTCGATCTTCGCTAACCTTGTTAGTGCGACATTAAACGCCCATGCACATTATGTGTCCGTGCTGGGGTCGACTGCCAGACGACAGACCAGTGGCGAGTGATTGAAACGCCGCAGAATGACCAGGGGAAGAAGATCAACCCCAAACGCAAGCGGAGCCTGGGAACAGAGCACTCTGATGATGCTGGCATCACCAAGCAGCGGTGGTCTAGTTCTACCATGTCGTTAGTGGAAGGAGTATGTAATTGTACTGGTATTTTGCCACTGATACATCTACTGACATTCAATAAGGCATTCCATTTGCATAGCTCTACGACACCTGACACAGCTTTGGTGACCGCTTTGCCGGGTAGTCAAAGACTGCATCGCTCAGCGAGCCCGAGGCCAAGTATCACGAGCCCAGCTGAGAGGAGGCTTACCGGGCCTCATACCTCACATTCCTGGCCACAAGGACCACGATCAGCAGTAGCAGAGTTGGTCTCACTTTTACCTCCACGTGATGTTGTGGCTTTGCTGGTGGACACTTACTTTGATCGGATCCACTGGTTCATGCTTATTTTCCATCAAGATGATTTCAGGAAAACCTGGCAGCAGATGTATGATTTGCCCAAGGAGCAGCTGATTGAGAACTGCCCGAATCCAGGGTTTATCAGTACTTTTCTCGTCGTGATTGCCATTGCATTACATTATGCAGGCAGACATAGACAGGATTTACTGCAGGCTCATGGTATATCCCCCGTGGATTTCAAAGAGAGAATACTGTCAACCACCCGGGCCAAGATACTTGACATCGTGTCTCTGGGGTCTTTAGAAGCAGTGCAGACATGTGTCCTGTTAGGTACTTACTATCTGTACCATGGCAAGCCAGAGCTGGCATGGCCAGTCTGTGGCTGTGGATTACGCATTGCCCAAGCTTTGAATCTACATCGAAAATCGCCACATGCAGGATCTATGACACCCGAGATTCACCGACAAAACGAGACCCGCAAACGTTGCTGGTGGGCTATTTACGAGATTGAAACATTTTGCTCCATGTCCTATGGCTATCCGCATAGTATCAAGGACTCGGATTGCGACGTGGAGTTTCTAGACCCGTCGGCCAAATCTGTGACTGGTCAATCCCCTGCATCATTTAGCGCTACGCATGGATGTCCAACCAGCCTTCTCTCGTACAAGTACTTGATGTCCAAGCTTTCGGTACTCATCAATGACATTCTTACTGATCTGTATGGACTCGGGTCCTTGAAGGGCAAGAGCCAGCAAGGCAGATCGAGTGGCTCCTCCGGTCTTCAGAGTCTTGTTCGAAAAGTTTCAGGTCTTGACACTCAACTACGGAAATGGAAGGCTGAAATCCCTGCTGTCCTACAGCTCAGTGATGCCGGCACTACAACATATACTTCGGCCGATGAAATGGACCAGGACATTGGGGCCTCTGGCCCCAGGTTCGAAGCTCATATTTATCAATTGCAGGCTCTTGCCCTGAAACTTGCTTACGAGAACGCTATCATTCTGGTCCATCGTCCGTTGTTGGCGTACAAGTCGATCTCTTCGGCAGAGACCGAAACCGAAGAGCCCAATCACCCGGCCCGAGACACAGTGAGGTTGTCACTACAGTCATGCCGTGATGCGGCCTTGGCGACCTCTAATATCGAGACGATACCCATCTTTTCTCTTGCAGCTGATACCTACGCAGCGGCATTCATAGGAATGCACACCTTCACAGCTGGTGTTATGCTTTGCGTTTTGATCAGCACAGAACCATTGGGCGCGCAATCTCATGAATCCAAGATCGGATTACGCCGCCTGCTACGTATGCAGTCACTTCTAAAGTCACGATCACATTCAACTGTCAATACACAAGGCCTAGAGATCCTGGAGAGATTGACCAAATTGATCATGGAGAAAGAGTTGAAAGAGATGTTGAATTCTTCCGAAAATGAACCGGGCCCTATGCTCCACACCAACGATTCCAGAGAGGAGTCAGTCATACAGAATTCGACTGAAAGTGATCAGATGCTTTCCACAAATGTTCCGGTTATGGACGACGATGCTACGTTCAACTACATAGAGGACCCAGTCATGTCACAAGCCCTCTTCGATTTTGATCAAGGTGCGTTGCCCAGCTTCTATCCCAGCTGCATAATTAACAAGATCCGTACAGTACTCTCGGGGAGTAACATGAACTTTCCACTCGAGCCTCTTTTCCCAGATCTCCTTGGCCCTGGGGGTGGCTTTGCTCCGGAACAGGGATGGATCTGGGGGTTTGACAGAATGGGCCTGTCTTGAAATTTGTCTGCAAGGGACAACGAGTAGAATAGAACTTTATTTGAGCCTCGGATGAATAAATCCACTTTTGTTAGAATGTTTCCGCAATAAGGTTCCTATCAACTGTCCCGATTTTCTACTCTTTAAATGACGTATGACAGAAGAGCTGTCAAAATATCAACGACTGTAATCTTACCAGCTTTTCAGCGTAGGGTGACATTCTGTCAGCATGGTCTCTCAAATGCAAAGTACTCGTGTAAATAGCATCAATTAATGCAATCATTCCATCCTAGACAGTAGTACGATAGACGATCCAAAAAGCTTGGCATTTCGATTGGTGCCCGACTTTTCAGGAACGCAATTCCCTATCTTATCGCCACCGCGGAATTTCCTTTCGCTGTCACCTTCAACTTGACTCTTCATCAACAACTCTGAAACCTGGACTTATATCTATCATGGCCACTCAATGTGCTGCATCGGCCAAATTGGCCTTGCCATCGCTTCTTCGCAGTGTCTTTCGCTCGGAGTTCAGCCGCGACCTACGCCCTACTTGCCTCCGTGCTTCTCGTCCCTTATTACAGCTTCAACACCGAACGTTCAGTTCGACTCCCAGGGCCTTTCAGATCCAGATCAATCAGTCGCCTGATCTAATCCCGACGTCGGCCCCTCACCAGACATCTCAATCTATTACCACTTCATCCCCCTCAGCTACACCCGCAACCGAAGAAACCACGGCGCCCAAGTCGCTCCGTAAACATGCATCCGACAGGACCAAGAAGCGAGCAAAGAAAGAGAGACTCACCCGAGATGACTCCAAAACTCAGAACAATGATCGAAAAAAATTCAGCAAGGACCAGAAGCTTGACAATGCGAAGAAGGCCCCCTTCAAACGAGAGAAACCCGACCCCTGGCGAACTCAAAAGGATGCTTTGGACAAGAAATTCCCCAACGGGTGGAATCCACCAAAGAAACTCTCACCCGATGCGCTGGAAGGTATTCGCCATTTACACGCGACCGCCCCGGACCGTTTCACGACCTCCGTCCTCGCGGAAGAATTCAAGGTCTCTCCAGAGGCTATTCGCCGCATCTTGAAGAGTCGATGGAGGCCCTCGGAAACCGAGGCCGAGGATCGTCGCAAGAGATGGGAGAAGCGACATGAGCGGATTTGGAGTCGCATGGCTGAGTTGGGTCTTCGGCCCTCGACCAAGGCTTCTCGGCCGTATTCTGATGCTAATACGTTGTACAAGCCTGGCGAGAGGGAGTTCTAGTGTGAGCTAGTCTCGACCGCTACGGCTTTTATTGTGGTTGTAACTGACTCCAATCTGTGTACTACTATATCACTGCATAGCGCTGTATAATAACTTGTTTCTCCACCGCATGACTGCCTCTCGCGCTTTGCACCCTATAATCCCGGAATTCATCCTTAGACTTCTCCATAGTCGAGTATCCGGACATGTAAAGAGATATACTTCGCGCGTGATTTAATAAATTTCAAGAACAATTGACTGCAATAGAATCGCAGCATCGTCTTACTTGATTCATCTTGACCTGGTAGTGTCACAGCGGGGCAAAATAGGAGTTGACAGGGAACAATGCACTAAGTACTGGCAGTCGGGGCCGCAGCTCCTAGCGGAGAGGCGCCACCACCCCAACTCTTCTCCAAACCCACCTCGGTAGCATTCGCATGGTCCTACTCCTCGACCGCGCCGACCACAACGACCCTCATTATGATCTTTCCAATCTGACAGAATGCAGATGTTAGCAACCCGTCTGAAGTTCGGTTCTAAGCAGTGATCGTTGCGCGCATCCTCCCTCCCGAGATCGAGTCTGGAGCACGGCCTTCGGACCACATGCTCACGCCGCGTCGCCATGCCGTCGAACATCCAGGTTTTTGTGAAATGGAAAGATCAGACAATCTTCGCAGGAGAGAACGTGGAATGCACAATCACCTTTAAGAATGTTGCAGACTCTGCTTCCGAAGCAGGTCAAGGGGGTGAAGGTGGTCAGCATCAACGGAAGCTCTCTCGTGTCGCGAACCACACGAGTAACTCCGGCTCCGACTCGTTCTTCTCGTTGAAATCACCCCAGGGTCTCTTTTCGGGGAGGAGATCATATTCTATCAGCTCCCAGAGGAAACCCTTCCACCGGACCGCCTCGTCATTGAGCTCCCCGCTCGTCTCCTCGCATAGCTTCCCGCCGACCAGCGGCCCCTCCACCCCTCGAAGTTGGCAACCCGGCCACAGTCATAAGCGATCAGTATCAATTCTGTCGATTGAAAGCGAAGGATATCCTGAAAAGACACCGCCGCCGCAGAGCTATGGCCGAACTCGACCGACTAGGGGTCATGGACGCTCAGCAAGTCTACAGGTTGCCCCTAGGAGGAATGACAGCTATGACGATACATATCGCAAGGGTATCATTTTAGGACAGCTCCATGATATTAATCACGCAAGTGCTAATAATCTCCCACTAGTGTCGAGAGCTCCCATACGCGGTCCTCCCCTCGCAGAATCCCCGAACGAGTCCGCACCGTCCGCACCAGGTAACTTGAAAGTCGATACTTCGCACCTTGGACGAGCAAGCCGGCGTGGCTCTCTTGCTACAAGCCCCGTTGCCACAATGGAGCCATTACGGGCCCCACCGCGAAGGACGCAGCTACCAGCTTTCGACTTCAAGTTCCTCTCCCGCCCCTCCTACCACCGATCCAAATACCAACCGCCCTGCCCTCTCCCCTTCTCCAAAGTCGTCCGAAAGATTCCCTTCTCCCGGAAAGCCGACATCAAAAGACTTGACCGCATTGACAGCGCCGTCGCATCAGCAGGTTACGCGAATAATCTCGGCTACAAGCGTGAATGGAAGCAGCAGGAGTAGTGGGGAGTTCTACTCGGTCAGTGATCATTCAAGCGAGACACTGGCGTCGGAGTATACAAATTATTCAACACAAGCACCACGGCCGCCACCTACCCCGCGACATGGACGGCATTACTCGAGTGTAGTGTCACCTACAAAGCCATCTGATAGCCAGGCGCTACTCATGGGCTATGCACAGATCAGCGCATCGTTTACAGTGGATGGGTCTTTGGTGAACCAGTCAGTTTTCGACGAGGTCAAACGGAAAGGTGTTGTTGGTGGTCAAGCAGGCACAGGCGGGGTGCCTGGACGGCCGAGTTCGGCGAGTGGAGATCGGTCACGCAAAGGTGGCGGTTTCTGGGGAGCTCTTAAGTGGAACGCGATTGAAGAGTCTATCAATGGACTCCTGTCGAACAATGAGCTTGATGGCCTGCGGGAAATGCGCGGTGTTGCTTCGTCACGATCTATTCCGTTACTGTCGACCCCGCAGTCGCTTCTTTTCGTCGACCTACGATTGGCTCCCGGTGAAGAGCAGTCGTTTTCATTCTCTTTCGCTCTTCCCAAGGGACTCCCGGCGAGTCACAAGGGCAAGGCGATCAAGATTGCTTATAATCTGGTCATTGGTACTCAACGGCCCAGTGGTCCTAACGAGGCTCAACGGGTGAATCGCATTAATATTCCATTCCGCGTTTATAGCGGCGTTAACAGTAAGACCACTTATGTCTTGGGATCAGTTGAGCTTTGGATTTCTAACAAATGAACAGACAATGGAGACGTCCTTGGCCATGACCTGATGTCACCGTATGTGATCTTGCGTGACGAAGCCAAGGTGCAAAAACTTGGACCAACAACACCCGTGACCCTCAAAAACCAAAGCATCAGTGGACCGTGGCATTCCGCTGGAGAATTTCTTTCCTATGTGGACGAAATTCTTGAGCAGCGTGCGCGCTCAAATTCGCTCTTCCCACCAGGGGCGCTGTCAGAGAGACGGTCAAGTTATGATGGCCCTCCTCCACATGCCCTGTCTTGCAAGGATATAATTGATTTTGCCATCCTCCGAAGCAATCAGGCTGTACAGTCCCGACGCAGTCCCAACCGATTCGAGATTGCTCGTGACGGGAAACGGATCGCCGTGGTTGTGCTCAATCGCCCTGTCCACAGACTGGGTGAGACCGTCATTGCCACCGTTGACTTCGGCGATGCTGCTATCCCAAGCTATGCTGTGCGAGCATCACTCGAGACCTCGGAGAAAGTAATGCCTACAATTGCGGTCCGGTCAACTGCAAGCATTCACCGAACCACTCGCCGCATCCATGCATCTCTATTTGAGAACACTCTGTACGCGACTAGGGTTGTGTTCAGTCCGGCGATTCCCATTTCCGCCACACCCACGATCCTAACTAGCGGCGTGACTCTGGACTGGGATTTGCGATTTGAGTTTGTCACGCCAAAATCAAACGGCGAGCCCGGTCATGGGCCGTCCGGTACTCAATTGCTCGAGATGACATCCTCTGATGATCGTGGCAAAGTTTTGTCTGCGATGGAGCATTTGGGTTGTGAATCGTTTGAGATTTCCATTCCCTTGACGGTATATGGTGAGACTGTACGTGAGCAATTGCCGGAAGAGAACGTGGGGTATACTATCTAGAGAATTGTGATATATTCCATCTCATGAATGTTTTGAGTTGTCTTGTTGGCGCCTGCAGTGCAGGCTTTCTGTTTATTCAAGCTAGATATCCCTCAATGCTGTCCGTGGATATCATCCTTGTCTACGCCATGTTTGTCAGAGCTTGTGTAAATATCCATTGTTGCCGTCGCCATTCATTTCCTTTTGGGCTTCGAAACGGCCATGCTTCTCAGAGCCAATTTGCGTTCTGTCTAGAAACTACTCGGATCCAAGCCATCATCCATGGGTCTAGGAACACCAATCGGCAAATCCCACCCCATACTATCTAGTGAATTCTCAATTCGCCCAATCGCGAGTCAAAATACGAGGACGGACCCGTCCCTGCCTGGAACGCCAAGCTTCTGCCTGGTTTCTGCCTGACTGGTCCCCGCGCCAAGTGGTGGATTAAGCTCTCTTCGAGACGGTTCGGGTTGCTATAAAAGGGGCAACATACTGCTATCTTTCTTTCTACTTCGCTCATCAATTAAAATACCCATTCTTTTGGCGAAGATGACCTCAACCACCCCAGTGCCCCAATTGCCGGGGTTCAATGCCCCGCTGAACTCCGCGCCCGAAGTTAGTAGACACCATCTCTCTATGCGAATGCATTTGCTAATGGAACTTAGAAACGAAGAGGCCGCGGATACACAAACTACTATGGACTGCTTGGATTTCCAAATGCACTGGAAGTTGCGAATGGCTCCGTTAAGTAGGGGTTGACTTTGAATCTTCGCGTGGATGGAGGCTAACAAGAACCTGCAGTCATCTGGATGTCAAAAGAGAGATCGTTATGATGCAGGTAATGAACAGCATCACCGACAAGCCTGATTGGGATAAGAAGGTATGTAATTTTGCTAGCTATAGTGACTTTAGCACTAACGTAAGACAGGTCTTTGATGAGGAAATTACCTCTAAATGGCGCGAAGAGATTTCCCACAGTGGAGAAGACGTATCCCCCAAGATGATGGATTGGATCATCAAAGAACTCCAGTGGAAATCAGAATCCTTCAAGGAGACCGGCCGTGTCATGGTGTTCGATGTCGGGGTGGTCAAGTCTGATACCGCCATTTCCACAGAACTGCAACAAGCCCTGAAGGAAGCAGTTATCCCGTTCGAAGATGTCCCCGAAGACCAAAAGGATTACCACCCCGGTTCAAATCAGCAAGTTATTGATCTGGTGCATCCATCTCTGTGCCCCGTTATATTTGGTCGGTCTCGTATCCTCCCCGATCGAACTATTGACTTGGAGACTTGCCTCGGCAGTGTGGGTCAAGGAGAGCTGCTTCCAGTACCATCAAAGGATGAGGTATTGCTCCCTCCGAGAGATTACGGCTATGGCTCCGCGCCGAACTCATACAGTGAGAAGTTCCAATGGTTGCCTTGTGATGTGGAATTCACCGAGGATGACGGATGCCGAATTGTTTCCTACATCAACAATGCTCATCCGGTCAAGCATCGAGGACTCTATGAGGTTGTTGACAAGGTCATCACTCAAGTAGTGCCACTCTGGAACCAGACATTGGCCTTCAGACCGCACGGTGAGAGACGGATTCACTACTCTTCTGTTGACTATGAAGATACTGGTGCAATTGAACCAGAACAGGAGTCGGACGAGGACGATGACGCATATGAAGAACGTTATCAAGCGTTCCAAAGCTCCCAGCGTATCATCCAACCTGACCCAGAGGAGTTCCAGCCTCCGAAGCTTGATAACTGGAGTCTTATTGACCTGCGCAAAGAATTCTCGAAGGAAGGGCTGCAAGTGATTGTGAAACTGGCGAACATTGAACTCACGCCGGAGAAACCCGAGTATGCGGGCGGTAGCTGGCATATTGAGGGACAGTTGGTAAGTTATTCTGCGAGATGTAGACTGTCAGAAGACCGCTAACTCGGTTTAGAACGAACGAATTTGTGCCACAGCCATCTACTACTACGACAGTGAGAATATCACCGAGAGCACACTGGCTTTCCGTCAGCGCAGCGAAGACAACTTTGAAGATGCCGGATATGAACAGGACCGCCACGAGTTCCTCCAAGCCGTGTATGGATTCGGTCCCGAAGTCTCCAGCCGCGACGATACCAACGTCACTCAAACCCTCGGAAGCGTCGTTTGTCGCGAGGGACGTCTTCTCACTTTCCCAAACGTTGTTCAGCACTGCGTCTCGCCGTTCTCTCTAGAAGATCGTACCAAACCTGGCCATCGGAAGATTCTTGCGTTGTTCCTGATTGATCCGCACAGACGGATCATATCCTCTGCCAATGTGCCTCCTCAGCAGGAGGATTGGGGGAAAGAGAGACAGTCGCTGGTGAATAACCTTCTAGCACAGAACTTGCCGCCGGAATTGCAGAATATGGTTGAGAAGGACATGCCAGCCTCGTTTATAACCATGAAGGAAGCCAAGGATTATAGGCTTGAATTGATGGCGGAGAGGAGCGTGAGGGCGGAGGTTAATAACTCTGCCTTTGAGATTGGAAGCTTTTCACTGTGTGAGCATTAGGGAGGAGGGAGTTAGCGTTGGGGATTGTACATAGCAAGCTTGATGTTGTGGTAGGAAGTTAATTAGCAGAATATGCCACAGCAAGTAATTCGAAGAAGATGTTCCTAAGGAATATGTATTCATACTATAGGACACTGTGATTGTTTTTGCCTAGTTCGGTAGTTATGCTTGTCTCCAGTATCTATTAGATTGATCTGTACGTTCGGTATCTAAATTGAAAGGCTTCGAGTCGATGTAGTTACTGACGTAGGGGACTGGTGGGTCACCAGGGCAACGCTGGGCCACTTCCCAAGTTGATTCCATGGATCCGATTGCGGGATCACGTTGAAGGTGGAGTAGCTGAATGAAGTACTCGGTCCTTGACTTCGTACTTGATTACTTCCCAGCGCATCGTCTTGTTTTCTCCTCGTCCTAGAGTGTCTTCTATCGCGTCACCTCAAGACTCCTCCTGGGTACGTTGCACACGTCATGCGGGAATCTGATTCCCCCACTGGCCCGACCGAAACCCTTCTGACATTTGGAATGCAGGCACGTCGCGATCAGCGCTCTTCCCCCGCCCGAAAAATACCTTCCAAGGGATAACGATCGAGAAGAATATCTCAGAAGAGAAAGAAAACATGTCTTCCTTCATCACCACCATGTCGGTCCCCGCTGCCCCTGCCCCCGTTCATCTTTCTACTCCGATCCAGCCCGCGTCTCGCTCCCCGCCTGCGCGATCCCCTTCGCTCAGTCTGAGTCCGTCGGGAATCTACCAGACCACTCGCACTTCCCATATTCCTTCCCTCGAACCTCCATCATACTTGTCGCCAGCAGTGCGCGCTCTCAAACAAGGCATTTATGGACTAACACCTCCCAGTAATGCGCGAACGCGAGCCCCCTTCAAGCCCCGCTCTGCCGCCAAGGGCACCAGCAGTTACCAGCTGAGACAGTTCGCCGAGGCCACTCTGGGCAGCGGCAGTCTGCGTAAGGCTGTCAAGTTGCCCGAAGGCGAGGATTTGAACGAGTGGCTTGCGGTGAATGGTACATCTCCCAAAATTCCTCGACTTGTGGCACAATATACTAACTACCCCGGGGCTTGACTGTAGTTGTCGACTTTTACAACCAGATTAACCTCCTCTACGGCTCCATAACCGAGTTCTGCTCCCCGCAATCATGCCCCGAGATGAAGGCTACGGATGAGTATGATTGACCGACGTGATTGCCATCTCGATCTAGGCTGACCAGCAATTCAGGTTCGAGTACCTCTGGCAAGACTCTGAGAACTTCAAGCGGCCAACCAAGATGTCCGCCCCCGAATACATCGAGCACCTCATGAGTTGGGTACAGGGCAATGTCGACAACGAGCAGATGTTCCCCAGTCGCATCGGTAGGTGCTACGAGTGTCGGTCGCGTATTTAGAGGTTCATCGCTGATCTTGTCGCATCGATAGGCGTTCCTTTCCCCAAGACCTTCCCTAGTCTTCTCCGACAGATCTTCAAACGTTTGTACCGAGTCTACGCCCACATCTACTGCCACCACTACCCAGTCGTCGTACACCTCGGTCTCGAGCCACACCTAAACACCAGCTTCAAGCATTACGTCCTGTTCATCGACGAGCACAAATTGGCGAGCGGGAAGGATTACTGGGGGCCTTTGGGTGATCTGGTGGACAGTATGCTGCGCAGTGACTAGGATCTGGGTTTGTGGGAGACGGATTGGGCACACTGTGCATGAGAAGCCCGTTCATGATTGATCTCGAAAGCCGGAGTTCTTGTGGTGATGCGATCAATCGGGTTCTCGACGGCGTTCTGGGCGTGGTGCATACATTAGTAGATTCGATTTGTGGTTATGGGCTCGTTCTGGCGTTTTTATTCTTGTTCGGTAGGGAGAAATGACACGATGATCTGGTATTTTGGAGGTAATCGTAGGACAATCGCAGTGGTCATGCGGTGGAATTAGGGATCAGGGAAGTCGAGGTGTAGGAAAGCGCATCGTCATTGCCGTAGTAATGACTTCGACTAGGTTGAACTCGACATTGAGCGATTGTGAATCAATTCCAGTCCTCACCATGAGGAGCAGACTGCATAGCTATCCATATGTAGTGGCTTAACGAGCTCCACTTGCGAAAACCAGACGGCTTACCTCAGCAGCTAGTGCACGTGACTCGGGAAGAAGTCGGACCTGCAACTCTCAACTTGCACGACAGCCCAGCACTCCGAACCGTCGCTCGCAACTCCCTCCACCACACTCCTCCTCCCCCTCGAGGCTCTCCTCACAATCAATTCCACGATGATGTCCGCTCGTGTTGCCCGCTCCGGCCTGCGCGCCGCCCAGCAGTTCTCCGCCGCTCGCCCGGCCTTCAACGGCCTGCGCACCTATGCCACCCCGGCCCAGGATGTCCGCCCCCCCGTCGCTCTGTTCGGCGTTGACGGCACCTACGCTACTGCTCTGGTATGCATCCGACCCTTTGCAAGCCATTCCATCCGTCATGTCGAAGTTTTCTTGCGACCCCGTGTCGCTCCGACCCCTCCCGCTGGCTGGTCCCCCTCTCTGCATTGCAATGTCGGAGATGAAACCCGCAGGACGAACTCGCGAATGGCAATGACGATGAACCGAAATTTCCTTTTCTAACATTGAACCCTTCTAGTACACTGCTTCCTCCAAGTCCGCTGCCCTCGACCAGACCGCCAAGGCTATCGCTACCCTCGGCCAGACCCTGAAGGCCGACCCCAAGCTGTCCACCATCCTCGGCGCTCCTACCCTGTCCATTGCCGACAAGCAGGAGATCATCAAGGAGCTCCAGAAGGTTGCCGGTGCCGACAAGGCCGACATCCTCAAGAACTTCCTCCAGACTCTGGCCGAGAACAACCGTCTCGCCTCCCTCGAGGGTGTCTGCGAGAAGTTCGGTACCCTGATGAGCGCCCACCGTGGTGAGGTTGAGCTGAACATTACCTCTGCTCAGGTGCGTACAGCTACAAACTGGGTTTACTCTTAACTTGCGAATGCCAGCACTAACACTGTATATAGGAGCTCGATGCCAAGACCATCTCCCGCCTCGAGAAGGCCGTCGCTAAGTCCGAGTTCAGCCAGGGCAAGAAGCTCAAGGTTGTCACCAAGGTCAACCCCGACCTTGTTGGTGGACTCGTCGTCGAGATCGGTGACCGCACCATCGACCTGAGCGTTTCCTCCAAGATCGCCAAGATGAACAAGGCTCTTACCGATGCCCTGTAAATGTAAAATAAGCCATTTGCTCTCAAAGTGGGATTGCGTGTTAGATTTATACTACAGCATTATCGTCCTGCATGAACGGTAGCGTTGGTTGAAAGTGGGAAAAAGAGGAGGGTCTCTCCCTTTTTCTTTTGGGTGCTTTCATGTTCCATTTGTTTTCATTATCTGTGAATTGCACAATACACTTTTTTTCATTTTCTATGTCAGAGATTCCCTGTAGATGTGTAAACCTAATTACTTGGACTTAAAGTTCTCGATTGAAGTCTGCAGGTTGGTACTAGTCCAATTTGCCAGCATATTAACTAACTAGTTATATAGTTATCACATCAATATCACTATCCCTTCCTCACCCCAAACCCTTGACCACATTATTCACCTCCATTACCATCGCCTCTATGGCCATCCTGATGCTCACCAGCCTCCTAACTCGGATATATAATGCCCAAAGCGCCTCGTATTCCTGCTTCTTGGGACAATTCGCGTCGAGCACTGTACGGATCTCTTCACCTTTGGCCTTTCCATCTCCTTTTGGCCTCTCAATATATCACTGCACACTGCGCGCATGGCAACGCGTCATCTGGGTTAAACGCATTTGCCATCACTTCCACAGGTGGTGGGGAAGCAGTCTATGTGATTTTGGCATGGTCCACTGAGTTCAGGAAGACATGTCTCGTTCTTGCAGACATATTTCGCATTCGCGCCAGGCTGCCAATCAGGGTTTCGAGCAGTCTTGAATGGCTGCCAGAACTGAGAGGAGTCATCGCATCTTTCCCCCGGTTCTGCTTGACAGATCCCCCCGTGGCATATAAGTGCGTTCCCAAGAGCCTGACAGTGGACCTGGTCCTGGCAAGCATCACCCACTCTCACCTCGCCGTAGTTATTGATGCATTGCCCTGTCGCGCCATTCTCTCTAATACAATCAGAGCTCGAGTGGCATTGACCACCAGGCTTTCCCTTGCACGTAACCCCCAAATGCAAGACAGCCGGTTATAATCATAGTCACAGTCGGCATCCTTCGAGCAGGCCGCGCCAGCGGGGTTGCGGGTACATTTTCCCTTGTAGCATCGAATGTCCGGTGTGGGAGAGCTTCGTCCATCAGCCGAATGAGGAGCGCAGTCCTGCTGCCACTGGCTGCACGACTCGCCAATTGCCTTTTCGGCGGGCATCCAGCGAAGGGACATTTTCCATCATCGCCTTTCCCTGTTTGTGACGAGCAGTGTGGCTTTTCCCCCTCATCCGAATTAATCTTAAGTTCAACTCCGCAATCCCAGCAGCAGCCGCGAAATTTCCATTCAAAGCCCTCGCACTGAATGAGTTTTGTCATCCGGTCAGCGCCGTCGTTGCTACATGCCCAGTCTCCCCTTAGATTTTGGGGCAGGCTACAACTTTCGCCTTCACTCTATTTGTCCTGTTATCTTCCGTCCTGATTCTAGTCGTGTTCATAAAGTGAGATATGCTTACCTGGGCAAGCAACTTCTGCGGTAGTTGCAGCATAATCAGGAGACACAGCCATTTGATGGCTGCAGACATGATGACCGTTAAAGCTTGGGCTGTCGATAGGGAGATCAAAAAAAGAAGTACGAAGTCTTGTCGTGGGTAGAAATGGATGAGCAGACTTATAGGTTGGAATGTGGGAATAGACGGGAGTATGGGCTACAGCCAATATATCTAGTTTAGGATCTACTATATTGGGTGAACCACCTATATCTAGAATATGCCCGCTTCCTGGTGTGATACTAGGTAGCTCGGCGATACGATATACCCCATACTCTCTCTATCGACATTGTTTGACTAGAGGTTCTTTTCAATCAATTTCTCAGCTATCATACGCACTTCTGTAGAAATATGGAAGTATAAACCTGAACTCTTGAAGATGGTTGCATCAAAAAAAAGCAATCTGCCTCGTATAGCTAAGTGATCTTCCCGATACTCAAGTTGTCTGATAGGCTACTTTACCTTGCTAGTAACATCCAGATCAATGTAGGCTAAGGGGGCTGGCATAAGTCTGGCATGTCTGAAAATTATTCGCTGCGCTCACAATTATGGACACTGGGCTATTTCAAGCCGAGCTGAAATATTCCAGGCCATGATCCCCAAGCCCAAAAAGCAAAAAGCATTTTACACATATGTAGTCCTCAAGTCTCGTGCCACTGACTGCAAGCCATGAAGCCATCGCATACCTACGCACGTTGCCCCTGCGGACCCTCGTGCCGTTAACGGGCATACCAGCCCAACGATATGCCCGGATCTTAAGTTAGGCTAAGCTGGCAAGTTAAGTAGAATTTACTGGTTGTCATTGGAGCTAATCGCGAGGTCGTAGCTCATACATATCGTTCCCCGTATTTTCTGCAAGAGAAGCACCAATATAATCAGCAGCGTCGTTAACAGCTCATTATGTGACTGAATTACCCTCCACCTGCGAAGTTTAAGGCCTAAGCTTTTATATCACACCAATAGATCAGTGATCAGTAGCCTTATTGAACTATATCATGCAGGAAAGTATAGCTAAACCTTAATAAACTTATCAGAGTTTACTGTTATGACAGCTATCATTATGATGTGCGACCTACTCCATACTGTAACTAGTACTCCTGGGTCAATCAGCTACGATTAGCCAGTTAAAGAATTTCAGCTCCTCCTTCTCTCTAGCTACACGTGTAGGAAGTATGCAGGAAAAGAAACTCAATGCGGGAGAAGCACCTAAGCCAATCATCGTGATTTTAGACGTACCTTGCCAAAGGTTTATACAAGAATTTGGTAGGCTATCGAAGCACGAGATGTGTTTCCTCTCACTTTACTTATTTCAAGGCATCAGCTAGTGGAACCCATAGTGCTTACCTCGCGCAGTTCATTACCCTATACCTTCAACTATGTACCAGGAGAAAAACTCGGCAGTTAAGTTGCCTGGAAAGTGCTTTACGATTTTGATAGGGACAAGTTAGGTAGTAGAACTTAGCCATCCGTAAGTGGTCCATGATAGAGGGTTTGCTTTGGCATGGTGCGGTGAGCGAACTTTACTCGAGTTCACGAAGTATTTCTCTTGGATGAAGCTCTTCAACACATGAAATCTCGATCTTAGTGTAATTTGTCGTGCCATAAATCTCTTAGCTATGTACCTGTACGTGCAAATCCACAATATCATATCTATTAAGCGTAATCAATAATCAATCCCTATATCTCATACCGCACATCAACCCAGTCTAAACCCCTCCAAAAAGTCCTCTAATAATCCCCATTCTGCTTATCAGCCTGCGTCTCAAGCTCATCCTCATACCCCTCCGCGATAGACGCCGAGCTACGAACACGCTGCAGCTGACTCTCAACATAGTTGTGCAGATGTTCATCGCTGTCCCCGTTCTGAGGGAAAGCCGAGCTGCTATCCCGGCGACTGAGGGGTCTGCTGCTATCTTCGTCATCGAGGACTGTCGAGGCAGCGGGCGTGGCGTCGCCTGCGATTGTGGAGTTGAAGTCACTTCTGTTTCCGATAGAACGGTTTGTGGAGGAGCGTCTAATGACGGGACGGCCTTGGCTGCGGCGGCGGCCGGAGCGAGAGAACATGTCATCGAAGTAGTGGGATGCTGCGGCGAAGGGGGAGCGTGGGGTTTGGGGGAGACGGCAGTTGAGACTGGATTTGTTAGTATTTTCTTAGAAAGTCTGTGGTTATCGAACTTACCCAGTGTCATGAATGATCTTGGCAATCAAACCAGTCCAACCGCACTGGTGGGATGTACCCAGGCCACGGCCGGTATCGCCATCAAAGAATTCGTTGAACCAGAGGTAATCCTTCCAGTTCTCGTCAAAGTCGAGCAGATCCGATTGGCCGTTGATAGCACGGCGACCCTCATCGTTACGAGCAAAGAGATGCTGCATACGATGCTGCAGCTCTTCCGCAACGTGCCCAAGATGCATGTAATCACCTGATCCAGTGGGACACTCCACCTTGAACGAGTCGCCGTAGAACATGTAGAAGCGCAGCAAAGACTCGACGAGCAAGAAGTTGACGCAGAGCCAGATAGGGCCACGCCAGTTACTGTTACCACCGAAGAGGGCGCTGTCCGAATCACCGGGCACATAGCCAACCTTGAAGGTTTGGCCATTGACGTCCATGGAGTATGGGTTTTTCTCGTGGAACTTTGACAAGGAGCGGATGCCGTGCTCGGACAAGAATTCTGTCTCATCCAGCATGCGCCTCAAGATCTTCTCAAGTCTGTCCTTGCTGACCAGGGAGAGGAGAAGGCGGTCGTCCTTGCCGCGGGTCTTCATGCTGGCAATGTTACGCTCGACAACGTCGGACTTGTTTTCGATGAACCAGTCAAGTCGTCGTTTGAACGAGGGGAATTTCTTGATGATCTCTGGTTCGAGCGTAAGGACAGCGTACAGCGGGATCAGACCGACCAGCGATCGGATAGGTAGCTGCTGAGTCCAGGGACCACCGTATGAAATGGCATCATAGTAGAAGCTGTCTTAATTAGCAGATGTGGGGTTAGATGATCGTGTATGACTGCAACTTACTTGTCTTCCTCATTCCAGAGTGACTTGATGCTGTCCTCGCCAGACCGATAGGTCATAGCATCACTGATAAGGATGAAGTGTTCAAAGAACTTGGATGCAACTGAATCAGAGTTAGTGGATTGTGGTGTGTTTCACAGGTTTATCAGCTAGACTCACTGTCCTCGTAGGTGCGACGGTGTTTGGCAAGCTCCAATGCAATGTTCATCATAGTCAGACAGTAGAACGCCATCCAACCAGTGCTGTCTGCTTGCTCAAGAACACCGCCTGTAGGCAGAGGCTCTGAGCGGTTGAACAAACCAATATTATCCAGGCCCAAGAAACCTCCCTCGAAAACGTTCTTGCCATCCGAGTCCTTCCGATTCACCCACCAGGTGAAGTTCAGGAGGAGCTTCTGGAAGACGCGCTCGAGGAAATCCAAGTCTTGCCGGCCATACATCTTCCGCTCGATTTTGAACGTGCGGAAGACAGCCCAGGCATGGACCGGTGGGTTAACGTCTCCAAAGTTCCACTCGTAGGCGGGAAGTTGACCGTTGGGGTGCATGTACCATTCACGAGTGAGGAGGTCCAACTGCTTCTTGGCAAAGTCGGGATCGATCATTGCCAGGGGGATACAGTGGAAAGCGGTATCCCATGCGGCGAAGAAAGGATACTCCCAGGAATCGGGCATCGACAGGATGTCGTCGATGTAGAGATGCCGCCATTGTTCATTGCGAATGCCCTTGCGACCAGCAGGAGGAGGGATCTCAGCTGGGTCACCATTGCTCCATTGATCCCAGATAAAGTTGTAGTACTGCTTGCACCACATCATACCAGAGAAGGCCTGGCGCTGGATGTTTCGCAGATCATCGCTCATGGGAAGAGGGCTGATACGGTAATAGAAGTCGTCCGCCTCGGCACGGCGCTGTTCGATCACATCATCCAGAATCTCCTCATCCACGAACTCGACCTTCTTCCGGGAGAAGCGGAATCGAACAACGGCACATTCTCCTGGAGGCACACCCTCACCCTCGTCGAATGCATACCACGCACCAAACTTGGTACCTTCATTGGCAGGGTTAACGACATCCTTCTCCTCGTCCACGATATGGCGATGGAAAGCATCCTTGACGTATGGCTGATCATTCTCGGTACTCCAAAGCATTTGGTTGTTGGTCTCGTTCTCGGTGAAAAGCATTCGTGGCTGGATATCCTCCTCACTGGATCCGACGGGAGGCGAAGGAGCGAAGCAAACATAACGCTCGCCAAGTTTGCGATGATCGGATTTCGCAATTCGGTCGCCTTCTTGCTTAATAGTAGGCTTGGCTTTTTCCTTCTCATAACCCCAAGACCAAGTGTTCCGGAACCAGACTTGGGGGATAATGTGCAGATGGGCTGGCTCGGGACCCCGGTTGTACGCAATAACTCGGAAGATAAGCTCCTCTTCGTCATCACTTTCCTTGGCAGTCTCGATGAAAATGTCCCAGTATCGGTTATCCTCAAAGATCCCGGTGTCGAGGAGCTGATATTCTGGCTCGAATCGAGTTCGCTTGGCGTTTTCGTCGACCAGATCCTGGTAAGGGAACTTCTTCTGGGGGTACTTGTAGAGGAATTTCATGTAGGAATGCTGCAGGAAGCTCACGTCAGACTTCAATTCGGTACTCGATAATGTGACATCTCAACCTACCGTCGGGGTATTGTCTAGATGGAAGTGGCACTCCTTGATACTCTCACCATGATTACCTTGAGGGTTCGACAATCCAAAGAGGCGCTCCTTCAGGAAATCACTAATCCGGGACAGTTAGCGGCTTTGAACCCCGCGGGCGCAATATGCTGCGAATGGACTCACTCTTCTCCGTTCCAAAATGAAAATGCAATGTTCTGCAGGCCATGCGTGTCAGACACACCGGCGATACCATCTTCGCCCCAGCGAAAGACTCGCGACCGCGCATGATCGTGGGTAAAGTCTGGCCACGTCAGTCAGTCATTTTCTCAATGGATAATTCTCGGAAAGCATATTGCAGCTTACAGCTCCAAGCGTCACCGTCCTCACTATATCTCGTCAGTTTTGCAATTCCATAGTTCTTGTTGCGAAGGTTTAACTTACGAGTAATCCTCGCGCACTGTACTCACAACGATGATGAAGTCATTAGCCCGCTATCCAACCGAAACCACCATTTTACCACCCCAGTTCAGACCAACCGGTAGCCCATTGTCGCTCAGCCACGTAAGGACCCCATTTCTTCCAGTAATGAGTGCGTTCCCGATCTTCCTTGAGACGTTTCTCTTCCTGCGTGAGGTACTCCTGCTTGTCGATCAGGACCATGATGGAGGTGGTGGACCCTAAGTGCGGAGCCGGAGGGGACGGCGCGCGAACGACGATTGAGGGGGGAATTCAGCGGTGGAAACGCAGAACAGTTGCAGCGAGGGACTAGGGAAGGGAGAAATGATAAACTGTAGGAATTGAGAGAGAGAGAGCCGCAAAATGCAGCAATGGAGTGATGGGAGGTGAGAACGAAGAGTCCAAGAAGAGGAAGAGGCGAAGATGGAGGAGGGGCAGGTGGTCGCTTTTTTACTCCGCAGGGTTCGGGACTATCAGCGATACCAACTTCGTAAAAACCCAGTTTTACCAACTTTTCTCCCAGAATTCCGTACTGCTTTTGCTAGTAGCCACCTAGAGTCTAGACGGAGGAACCAGGTCCGACTGACAGCTCCACCGGTGTGCTATCAGAAGAGTCCAGCCAAAGCAGGCACAATGACGGCACCGGTGGATATCTGCGCCTCGATGATTGGCCACCTGCTGGATCCCTGGTGCAAAGCTGCACAGTCCATTGGAATCTCGACTGCGGGAACAACACAGCAACACTCGCAGCGGCATTTAATTTATGGCGCTGCACTAGTCTCGAGCAAGAGATCGCATATCTGGCCCGAGATCATGCATCTTCGAGGGTTTCGGTGGAGGAAGGGAAATCATAAAAAAAATTCACAACTCAATTACGCCATAGCAGTGCCAAAACGAGGGGCTCCGAGCGCATGGAGATGGCCCAGATACATACACAAGGTGTTTCTCAGAAATTCAGCACATGAAGCATGTCAAAAACGCAAAGAATCAAAAGCGCGCCGACCGGGATATCTTTCATCGAGGGGTGATCTGGCTGTCAAATCGCCAATATTCCCCCCAGGTCGGTTTCCGTCTGTCCAATTTCTGGTTTATTCGGAAGAGGTATAAAACAGTTCAAAAGAAAGTCAGGTCCCTCCAGCAAAGGGAGACGCTATATTGGTCCATCACGACTCGTTCGCCTTCTGCTCGTCCCTTGGCTGGTGCTTGTCGGTGGATCCTTCTTGGGGAGCTGTCGCGTGAAATCAGTCTTTCCGTCGACCGTCAGGTAAGAACAAAAACCACATCCAGAAAGATGAATAGGGGAGCGATCACACGGAGTCATCCTTACCGGTTGCTTGATCCTGCTCACCCCGTTCGGTCTGCGATGCTGATGTGGAGTGGTAAGCCTGTGCCTTGAGGCGCTCCTCGGCTTCGCGAATGCGCGCTTGCAGCGCTTCAAGTTCGCGTGTCTGGATCATCATTTGTTGCTTCCTGTCGGGTGCAACTCGTCAGTCACTATGCGACCGAGGCAGGATATCGTTACTGCTATGCCGCAACACGCCTCCAACACTCACTTCTGATCAATCGTCTGGGACAGGTGGTTGACATCACTGTCGAGCATGAAAGCGCTGTCCAATGCTGTGGAAAAGGCTTGCGCCATGGTCCTAGCACAGAGTTAGTTTATCACAGCTTGCAACAGCTTCGGTTTGGAGGAAGTAGTGAACGCACGACTGCGGCCGAATCTTGCCTGAAGGCTTCCACTCCTGGTCCATCTCCATATCGGACAGAGTCATTATAATAGGCTTGGGGGGTCCCCGTTGCGAGGAACCGTGTTTATTCGGGTCGAAAGGGGTGACTTTGTAGAGGGGTGTATGCGCGACTTCACGGGCGGGGCAGCACCGCACGGCCGCAATCGATATATTTAATGGGAGGAGACCGAAGGGTTGAGAGGGGCTTGCGGGTATATAATCGAGCAAGATCGCAGGGCAGGTTCAGGGGGGATCTCGTTCGAGTGCGCTGTCGGGGTTCGAGTCAGTCGAGTCTCAGAGCTGGTTATACTTCGTCCCCAACAAACAACCCCCGATAAGCGGGTTGTCTCCGAACGGGAGGGGGAAGGCGTAACAGGCCAGGGACAGAGCCATACCGAAGATAAAAAGGCGAGTACGGATTCGAGTGAAACCAGATAGCTTTGGAGTGACAACCAGCTGGAAAGGTAGAGGAGGGGGGAGGAGGGAAAAAAGAAGAGAGAGAGAGGAGGGAAGCTCGCAGCCCACCAAGTGACTTTTACGTGGAGTACTTTACTTTCCTTACCGGAGCTCAGGTACAACAGAGTTCTTCCGTAGAAGTGACGTGAAGCTCGGCACGTACTAGAAAAAGCATGGTAGTGACACCAGTATTAAGTTTGTTTTTTATGCTAGCCATGTGCTAAGTGTCTAAAAGAAGTCTTTACTCCTCCCGTCTACAGTCTATTGACTCGTTGCTGGAATCGATGAAGAGCGCCTATAGTATGTACTTCATATACCTAACACAGAACCTCCACGGCAAGGGAGGGTCACGGTATTACAAGGGGGGGGAATGACTACAATACACAGGTTGCCAATAAGCTAGAACGATTAGGGGGAAGATGAGCAAGATCATTTGCTGGAGTGGATCTATGTGATCTCGTAGATTCGCTTTGACGGGCTTCCTCGAGAAGCCTCCGAGGGCAAACTTTTAGGGAGAAGAGAGGAAAGTTCCAGTTCAGGGGCTCGAAGACCCGCGCTATCAAAAGAGGCACTCCACTTCAAAAAGGGGTGAATGCATTCTAGTGACAAAGGAAGCCCCTGACGTGGGGAGGCCCCCAGTCTGCCGGAAATTTATTTATGATCGATAGTTCAGGTTGATTAATCCCAGGTGGACTGGACTGGACTGGATAGTGGAATTATGACAGAGCACGGAGCAAATATAGGTTGAGGCATTCTCCGAAGAGCTTGGGGATCCATCAAGTTATCAACGATTAATTTGTAGACCTAAGCTCAGGAATGACAGACCTTATTTATACTCCGCACTCTCTTAGGGCAGTTGAATAGCCGGAGGAGTCCGTACGGACCAATACCTGAAGTATGTAATATTTGTCGTGATACCCATACTATTCAGGGTATCCATCCCTCGCACTAACCGATACCGTGGTAACGTGTATGAAATATACATGCATACCTTACCAGTTACCCGTTGTGCTGCAGGAATCCGCCCTCGACCCAGCAACCAAAGAACCAAAGAGCTCTCGGCACGTGATTCTGTAAGTTACAATACGGTTTTCGTTCTGGCCCTCTTGTGCCTGTCCGCCTTCAGTCCAGCCCTTTCAAGTCTTTCCATCTCCAATTATTCTCTTGGGAGAACGGCCACCGTTTCATCACTTTCTATCCTCTTCTCGCCCTTTCATCTCCATCCCACACTGTCGCTTGATCTCTCCCCTTCGGATGGACTAACAGGGATCACGGTCGCCTTCTACTCTCCCTTTTAGATTCCCCCCCTCCTCCTCGATTCACTCTCTCCTCGACTCCTCGCCGACCGCCCCCGTCTCTTTCTCTCCCTGTCTCGAAATCTTCGCGATCTCCGAGAACACGCTCCGCACTCCGCGACCAACCACCCCTCCCTCTTCCCCCCCACCACCAACACCACCGCCACCACCACCATCGTGGCCCCAATCCCCAAAGTGCTCACCTCCAGTGGCCGACCGGGCGGGCAATGGGGGATGCCTCCTCTGTCGGCATATACTCCGTTTGAGTCTTTACTCTTCTTCCAATCCCTTGCGACCTCCGATGTGCGCCCAGCCAGTTTCGCGTCCATCTCGACACAACTAAGCAACAATCCACTCGTGCGCCAGAATGTAGCCTTCAGTGCCGATCGCCTCAGCCCGGAGGCGTTAGAGGATCTCTATGCGACGCTATTACGCGACGGCTTTGATCGCGACAGCACATCCCTTGGCCCAAATGGACGACCGACGGAGAGTGCTAGCTCGAATAACCCGAAGAAACGCAAGATCTCTAGCCCGCGACCGGATGGGCTAGCTGGCGGGTTGTCCCATGCAGTTCTGGTTCCGGAACTCGTGGCGCACCTCTACGCGCGGTACAAAGAGCTTGTGACCAAGGAGATCAGGGACGACGAGAAACGATATACGGACATCAAAATCGAAATCGAGCGGCTTGGGAGAGAGGATGTCAAGGTGGCGGTACCGACCGGGAAGGGAGCCGGCGTGCCCCAAGCTACAAAGCTTGAGCGTCGTGAATCCATCGATATCGACGTCAAGCAAGAAACCCCCCGACAGGAACGCCCCGACCAAACAATTCCTCTCGCGAAACAAGCACAACCAGTCCAGCCCGTCCCGCAGGGAGTTCGGCCAGAACCAAGTCAGCCTCAAGAAATCCCTCGTCCGCCAGTGCCTGTCGAATTGCCTGGACCTCAACCACATCAGCCTCAAGCCCAACCCACCCCGGTGAAGGCTGGTCAGCCACTACAACAGCAGCCGGTCAATCACCAAGATGTACCACATCCTCCCCCTCAGCCAGCACTTACACCGCGAGCCCAACAACCAGGTCCTTCAACCCCTGCAGCAACGCGAGTGGCACCACCGCATCCCTCGCAAGTTGCACCCCGACCTAATGTCCCGGTGGCTACACCGATAGCCCCGGGTAAAGCTAATATCCCTTTATCCACCTCTCAGCAACCCACCCCGACTCAGTCAAGCTTCCAGCAATGGCAGCTTGAAGCACCCCCACACTCGCCTTATTCTGCAACATCTCCCGCCACCGCTATCCCCCACCCTGGCTCGGCAGCCGCCAAACCACCAGTTTCCTCGCCACAGGTTCCGTCAAGGACCCAATCCAAGACTTCCATTTCCTCAGCCGTTCCAAGTACTCCAGGCGCACCAAGTCCTGCAGTTCAAACCCCGGTGCCCGTTGGGTATCCGCGCATTTCACAGACACCGAGTGTCGTGATTCCAGCCCACTCCGAGTCTCGTGGATCGCGCCCACGATTATCCATCGATACGCCCGGGTCTTCTACGCCATGGAAGAGAACCCCACGTTTGAGCATTCCTGAATCACCGGTATCACCTGCACGGCCACGACCAGAGGACGTAAGCCCGATCAGTGAAAGAGCGCCTTCACCCGATGCTATGGATATTTCACCGCCTAGAGAGAAGAAAACCACTCGTCGCAGCCAGGCAACTCCCGTAGAAACCAAGGCCACGCCGACTATCAAAATTGAGAAAGGCACTGCTACTCGGAGGAAACGCGCCATCAGTTCTGCTTCCACCCAGAGCCGAGGACGCTCGGTCGCTTCGAGAGATGAATCGCCTGACCCATCCAGGTCTGCCACTCGCCGAAAGGGACCAGCCGCAATTCTGGATGATCAGACTCCCAAGGCACGATCAAAACGCAAGCGTGGTGTCAGCGAGTCCTTCGATCATGAACCCATTGTTCCAGAGCAACCCAGGATCGATACTACTAGGTACGTTCTTTGTGCACGAGGTTTCCATCGAACAGCGGCTCCTATCATGAACGATGTCACGACCCACAAGCTTGCATCGATCTTTGCCAAGCCATTAGGTGAACGTGATGCACCGGGTTATCACGATCTCATCTACCGCCCTCAGGATCTCAAATCCATCAAATCTGCAGTTCATCAAGGCAGCAAAGCCGTTGCTGCCGCAACCGAGGCCGTCAGCACTCCAGCGGGAGACGGTGAATCGCCAGTGCCAGCTGCAGGTACACCGTCTAAGAATAATATGCTCATGTTGCAAAAGACTGAGGACCTCATTCCTCCAAAGGGCATCGTGAATTCTGCACAGCTGGAGAAGGAGCTTATTCGCATGTTTGCCAATGCAATCATGTATAACCCGGTCCCAGCACGAGGATTTGGTCCAGCCTTCCCGATGATGAACGAGCGTGGCTCCCGCGAGAGCACACAGTCGGGTGACGGGGACGAAGGCGGGATCATCCAAGATTCGATTGAGATGTTTGAGGATGTCGAACAGGCCGTGACTCATTGGCGTCAAGCGGAACGTACTGCTGAGCGTAATGCAGATGATTTAGCCAATAAGAACGTGCTTGCTTTGCGGCGTGGCAGCGTCAGTGATTTCAATACTGACAGTGCGGACGACGTCAAAGGGTGAGGCATGTTCTTGGAGGTCATGTATTTTATGATATTTTTGAGTGTTTGACTAGGATTTTTTTGGATTGACATGAATACAACATATCACCACTTGCAGCCTTCAATGGCCTAGCAGTGGACCCCAAACAATTCTCCTAGTAGCTTTTGACAATTCCTCTTAGTGGGTAATGTGTTCTCAACAAAACTAAACTCTTTATTTGTCCATAGAAATGTCTACTCAGATATATGGCTCCATGCACGATATGGGTCGTTTTGATAGATTTGTTTATAGGTAGACCTTGACATAGATCTTGGTAGGTATGGGATAGCTGTTTTCGGAATTTTGGCACTCTATTGATTATCAATAAGCACCAATGACACCGATAAAAATTGTCGCACCCGTCATCCACCAGCTTGCAACGCCAAAAGCACCCTGGATATCCTTCTCCAGAAGCGCCCATAAAATCCCAAAAAGCAGACAGGAATTCCAACTCCTAACCGTGATATCGCGTACCACTAAGCAAGGCGGACTATTATAATTAGTAAGTTCGATATATACTCCGTACTCTCCTCGCTATATTCCCTCCCTAGTAAAGGCCTAGCCACTAAACTTACCGTGTAGGATCCTCCTCTCCTCCTCCTCCTTCGTCCCCTTTATCGTAACCTACCTATACTCAATCGCCGTAAAGGATAAAAATAGTATAACTCTACTAGAAAAAGTTTTTAATACGCTATAGACCTTCCGTACGACCTTACGCGGCTACGAGAATCTCTACTAGATCTACTCGATATTTACCTAGGTCGCGAAGGAACTCGTCTTCTCGTACCACTATTACCCTGAATAGAATAGCTTCGCGGAACGATCGGGAGGAGTGATCTTGTCTATAACGAGGCATCTATAATCGAGAGTAAGCTATCGAAATAGCTATAGCCGGAGATGTAACCTGACTGTACAATCAAGCCAGTTCAACTGGACTTGCAACGAAAGATTTTGCCCTTGTACTTTCCAATTCGTGGGCGAGGCGAGCTCTGGTATCGCGTAGCTCGGAAACATGGGCACCGTCAAGTTCTGATCTTTCACCCTGCGATGAGTCCCTAGAAGGCACAATATCATGTTCATGTTTCCTGCTGGAATGGGACTGCCGAAGCCATACGATATATGCCAAGCCCAGTAAAATTGGAACCCCAATTCCAATACCAACTCCGAGACCAAGTTTGACCTTCTCTGTATTCGAGCTGTCTGTATTGCCATCTGTTGGCACCGCACTCGCGGTATTGACCGTGGGCGTTTGACTCGTAGCTGTAGTCGATGGAGATGACGATGAAGTAGCAGACGAATCCAGATCTGTCAGCGCAAATCGCTCAACGTCTTGACAGCAGTCACTTGGGGATTTATTCCCGCAACACCATTTCTGATCTGTCGGGCATTGAGTAACAATGATATTATCAGAGGATGAGCCACCAGTGACCTAAAGTTAATGTTTAGCTTGAGAGACTTCATGCTATAATACAATTGGAGATTCTTACAGATGAATTAGTGCAAGCGCCCTTTAGGCAATATGAGCTTTTCCAGGTTGGATCTGTGCAAGACTCGCGCCAATATGTTCCTGACGATCCGTTGCATGTCCCATCTTCCACGCATGGGTTATAACAGAGACCATTACTCATGCATGTGTCTACCGTATAGTTAAGCCTGTTGGCGAGCGCACAACACATAGAATATGTCGTGTTGGTCTTGCAGGGTAGAAACGTAGAATCATTAATAGCAGTGCCATTAGGATAGTAACATGTGCTGGCCGAGACTGAGTGGAAGAGTATGCAGGTAATCGCAATAAGGGTTGGGCAGCTAAAGAGAGATAGCATCGTTCCTGACGCGATGAGGTCGTGGAATCTTGAATTGGTGAACAGGGGAAAGTCGAGGCAGGCGTCACGGGGCTGAAATATTAATTCACAGTTAGCTAAATATAAGTAAATTTGCTATGCCTTAGGAAGCGCTAAACCAGTGACGATCCTGGACGCTTCAGCCCCCAAAAAGCCTCCGTGCATTAGTTAGACCAGGGGCGCTTAGAGGCGTGCTTAGATCTACTCAGTGATCAAAAGCGGCGAGGGTCTGAGCACTAAAGCGCAAAGGGAAGGCCAACTTGGGGCATAGGAAATCCGATAGGCCACGCTGTCGGGTTACACAGCTCATAACTATATGATGAAACATCGGTCGGATTGCCCTTACTCCTGCAATTTCTGCTCCAAGACATTTTAACAATCCCATATATGTACATCACTCAGCCTTAACCAAATACCGCGTCGCATACTCCACACCAGCCTCATACCCATATACCCCCAACCCAACAATACAAGCCACAGCCTTATCCGACAAATAGCTAAGATGCCTAAACGCCTCCCTCGTATGCACATTGGTAATATGAATCTCAACAAACGGAATCGACACTCCAATCAACGCATCCCGAATCGCAACGCTAGTATGCGTCAAAGCTCCCGCGTTAATCAGGACGGCATCGAATTTGCCTCGCGCGGCGTGGATACGATCTATGATCGCGCCTTCATGGTTGGATTGGAATGCTTCCAGGTGGATTCCCTTGGAGGTAGCGAGGGCTTTTGTGGTATTTTCGACATCGAGTAGGGTTGTGGTCCCGTAGAGATGGGGTTCGCGGGTACCCAGGAGGTTGAGGTTGGGACCGTTGATGAGGAGGATTCCTGGCATTTTGGAATGGGATTTGATTGGGATGTGACATGGATTTGGTTTAGGTGTTTGTTGTATTAGGCTACGGGTATCTTATGTCTTATATGTCTGTGGTTGTCTACTATGTATGCTATGTTTGGTCGGTTATGAGCATAGCCGAACGGGTATTATCCGAAACTGGGAGGGTTATCCCGAGGGACCCTGGAGTTGGGCGAGGAAATCTGTGTCCAGGTCTCCGTCATAAAATCCTAGGTTATGCGCAAAGGCAGGTTCTTGTCTGGAGATGATGTTAGACGACAGGTTGTACCTCACGGAACAGTTGCGGGTGCGCTTGACGTACCTGCTTGATGGGAATGAGGTGACCATCTCCTCGAAGAGAGCGTCGTATGATAAAGCTGCCGAAGTGGTATATCCACTGGTATCGGTGATATTTGGCAAGTCCACGATAGAAGATTCTGCGATGTTGGTCATGGCAACTGCACTTTCAGACATTGCCATCGACACGGAGGGACCTCCCTGATTCAACGATCGAGCAGTGAACGAGTGGTCAGGCTGACTCTTCCATTCAAGGCCATTTGTCGACTTGGTCAAGTTCAAGAAATTGTGAATGCGACTTTCCAAGTCCGCCTTTTCCGCCGAGCTCAATGCCGCGTTCGTGACGCCGAGGCTCCGTTGGCATTGAAGTGCAAAGCAATGGACTAACGGGGAGATTCCGGCCTCGCCGGCAATTGTAACGTAATGTTCAAGTATATCGAGCACGCGGTGAATGGTTCTGATGCAAAGGTCTGTGACCGCAGGTGAAACCGGCTCAAACCTACGGATCAATGACAGTGTCGTAAAAGTGGATGTGAGATGGAGCACGAGCAGTGGCGGATTGTTCGCGTTCTGCCTGTTGTATGGTCGATCCTGGAGTATAACCCCTTGTCTTTCACGAAGATTGTCGAGAAGGTCCTCCAACTGGAAATTTGACTTTGGTTGGTATAGAAGTTGCGACAAGTCTTGCATGAGTTGTTGGATGATGTTGAAGGAGCTCAGCGCACGCAAAGGAGCGGTTGACATGCGTCCACCGTTGATGGGGTTGGTGCGAGTCGCGGACCAGACATCCCACTCGTCTACATCGTCGTCCTCTACCGGTCCTTCTTCCAGCTGCTCATCTAAGGACAGGCAGGGTGTGCGTCCTAACATGGATGATAGAATGGTGTCTAAGAAGACACAGCCGTTGAATGTATGGCGGAATCGTGTCTTCCTTGCGGTAAGTGGCAGGCCGGCCAAGAGTCTTGTAGCCTGCCCGACTAATGTCCAGGCGTGATGGATATTTCCCAGGGAAATTTGCGTCAATACAAAGATCAGTATTGCATGGACATGGCCAAGTTCCAGACTTCTTGGTTCCGCGAGAAGCTGCTCTTGGATGGAGAGCTGGATGGCCGAAGGAGACGGTAAGCGGACATCGTAGTTTCCTCTCAGAATAGAGGTGTAAGATACCACAGCCCATAGTACCATATGGCATGATGCCTCACTTGGTGTTGGTCGATTTCCAGTCGTATGCATAGCTCGAAGGAGATCTCGACGTTCGAGAATTGGGAACCAGCAATGCGTGTAGGTGAAGTAAAAGTCCACCAGGTCGGGGATATTGTCCGGTATCCGCCAATCCACTGTTTTTGGAGTGTTTTGAAATAATTGTTGTGTTTGGAATGTCTCTTGAACGGTCTGCATGATCATGGGCTCGTTCGAACTAAAATCCGTTGGTGCAGTGACTGAATCCTCCATGTTCTCATCTTGATCGCGAGTCTCCACCAGATCCCAGTCAGAGCCATCATTACCAGCTTCTTCATGATCCGGTTTCAACAATTGATTGACGTCTCTTGATAATCGTGATTTTCGCCAAATGGTCACAAGATGATCTGCTTGTCCACTTTTGAGGAAGTTGCCTTTGCCTCGTGCATCTCGTAAAAGGCCGAAGACAGTGCTCTCGCCCCCAGGCACATTCTGTAGAACAAGGCCTAGAGTGATTTCAAGGCTTCGGACATATCCGGAGGGCAAGCCTCGTCGACCTCCACCAGTTTGATATGTGCATGTCCGATTTGCAGCATGACATATCTTGCACACGGGCTGTTCTCCGTCACACTTGGACTTGCGGCGTCGGCATTGATCACAAGCACGATAAATGCGCTGTCTTTTTTGAGGGACGTGGACTAGACATTGGATCCACGCATGTCAGTCATCCACTATCATTAATTAATTCACTGGTCGCTTCGACTGTAGAAGACGAATGTGGTTCGGTTGACTGCAAGTGGCAAACGGTCAGGTGATCGGCCATGGATTTAGCCGATGGCAATTCTGTGGATGAGTCGACGACCAGCCACGCAGAGGCTCGTTGAAAGGTCAAGAAAAAGACAATATCTGGCGACATTGCAAATAATTATTCTATGCGCAAAATACAAGATCTGAAATGAGTGCTATTGAAAGCTCTCCTGGTCCCTTGAAGTACAGCAGTACGCCGCCAGCATCCACCGACGAGATTCTTGGCATTCGACGCCAATATTGCCCGGATGCTACGATATTACTCGTCGGGCTTTTTGGTGCTGGCAAGAAGACGCTTGGAATAATCGCATCTGTCGCCTTGCGAAGACGCTTCGTTGACTTCGATGCGGTCTTCAATCAAGAAGTTCAATCATCGCCTCAAGAGTTCATAGCTCGTCACGGTCTAGCACGATATCGCGAACTCGAACTCCAAATATCAAAGGATCTCCTCACAAAGTATGATAAAGGCTGTGTCATTGTTGGCCTTGGAGGCACAGCAAGTCCTTCACAGCGCACCCTTTTGACCGAATGTGGTCATCGACATCCCGTTATCTACGTGCGACGAGATGAGAACGATCTCCAACGGCTGTCGGGAACCAGCCCAGACAAGTTCAATCGCATATTCGAGGTTGTGAATGCGTTTTTCGTGTCTTGCACCAACTTTGACTTTTTCAATCATACCCAAAGCGAATCTCAGAGCGCTCCGACACTGCCCGCATACCTCAAACTCAAAGAGACTGAGCGGGTATTTGTGGCATTCCTGCACCGGATTTTTGGTAGATATAATCGCCAAGTTTTCTCCACCGATCCATTTGCAAAGTCACATACATACGCTTTACAAGTTCCTGTGACATATCTGGATCACCCGGAGCTTGATCTGGAATCACTCGAGTCTGGAGCGGATGCCATTGCTCTCGTGGTTCATCCTAGTGATATAAATTCCACCGGGTTGACGGAAAAGCTTGTACGCCATATCGCTTTGTTGAGGAAGCACTCTCGTGTTCCAATTATTGTGGACGTGTCAGCGCCTCATTCAACACATTCGGCTTTTGATTACCACAAAACTCTTGCGACCGTTCTGCGACTTGCCCCGGATGCCTTGACATGTTGCCTTGAATGCGACAATGGTCTTCTCGCCAAGCTCAAATCAGCAAAGGGCTATATCAAAATCATCGGCACAGTTCACGAGTCAAATCCAGTTGGATCTCAAGCGTCCGCGCTGACGACTCCCGCAGAGTTAAGCAGGGCTTCAGAATGTGACGCCATACGAGTGACTGGGGAAGCAATATCACCAGATCAGAATTACGCCTGCCTATCCTTTTCGCATGACATAGAAACAACCTTGAAAATTCCTATCATCACGTACAATACGGGGCCAATAGGACAAGCCTCGATTTGCCTGGGCCGAACTTTGTCACCAGTTGTAGTCCCGTCCTCGAAAGAGGCAGGTATAACGATGCGCGATGCGCAATCTGCGTTGACCGCTTGTTTCTTGCAGTCAAGGAAAACCTTCACCATTTTCGGACAAAGCGTAAAGTACAGTCTTTCGGCAGCGATGCATAACACTGCCTATGCGGCATGTGGATTGCCACATATCTACGACACACTCCAAAGTCAAAGTCTATCAGATATCCATCGACTCTTGAAAGATGAGAACCACGGTGGTGTGACGATCTCTCTTCCATACAAATCAGCAATCTTACCTTTTCTTGACGAAGTCAGCTCTGACGCAAAAGATATTAACGCCGTCAATACGGTAGTGCTGGAGCACAGTCAGCTTCCCAATGGTGAAAGAGTCACGATTCGGCGGGGTTACAACACCGATTACATTGGGATCAGAGATTGCATCCATAAACACCTCTCTCCAGCGAATGCAGTTCGCGATGGTACCACAGCGTTGATAATTGGCGCTGGAGGAATGGCTCACGCTGCGATCTATGCATGCTATGAGCTTGGCGTTCGGAGGATGTGCATCTACAACAGAACGATCGAGAATGCCAAAAGGCTTGCAGACTATTTCCACCAGTGGGCAAAGTCGAAGTCTGGAGTCAATTTGCAACTCGACGTGCTCTGCTCGCCAGAGGACCCTTGGCCGTCAAATTGTCGGTTGCCCACTATTGTCACCTCTTGTATTCCACCATATGAACTTGGAAGTGAAGATTCAATTGATATGCTGCTGTCAGAACAGTGGCTTAGCAGCCGAACGGGTGGCGTGTATCTCGAGGTAAGTGAGAATCATCATGCACTCACAACTCCCAAGTTGACAAATTTTCTAGGTTGGATATGGCCCCTCGAGGACTCGATTAATGGAACAATTTCTCCCCCGTGCATCGAAGGGATGGGTGGTAGTAGATGGACTGATGGTGCTGGTTGAGCAAGGCATTGTTCAATACGAGATCTTCACTAAGAGACCAGCACCAGTTCATGTAATGCGACATGCTATTCGTGAACAGTCTATCAGGCATGGGTTTGTTCATTGATGGCGATTTTTCATATACACATAACTGCATCGGTAATCCCAGCCGTTCGCACCCAATAATGAATCCTTAGTCATGAGACCCCTAGGTGCTTGTTCTATAAGTTCGTGATGTTTTTGCTTGGTACAGTTTTCTTCTCAAATTAGCCCGCCGTCGTTCTTTTTGCTTTTGGATTCAAGGGAAGAGATACTCGATTTACGAAATCATTCATTTTGAATCCCCATTTATCCGCAAAGCAAGTCCCAGGCTTGACCATTTTGGTTCTCGACTGTGAGGCGAACGTTTTACACCTCCAGTGAAACATTTTCCAAGCTAATATGTCCTATCCCTATCATTCCCTAAATAAAAATGAGTAACCGGCACCACCGTGAAGATAGTATTATTGTTGAATGGCCCTAGGCATCGTGGGTTGCTGCGATATAACCAAAGGCCCAGAAGCTCGAGAATGAGACTGAGTAAAATCCCAGCTTGATTTACTTAGAATTTTAAAGTTATCATCGGTCTCTCGCTTCGTGTTGGGATCTCCACTCGTGCTGCATTCCCGGCTATGAAGTTAAGATCCACCGGAGCTAGGCTAAGACTTTAACCTTCCACCCCCTCAGAATGACGTTTAAGTTGCATCCCATCTACATTTCGAGATACTAGAAACGAAATCCATTGTCAACCGAGTCAATAAGTCTCATCAAATACAAGTGAGAACCATCACGCAAGCATGTCTTATCAACCCGCTATTATGAGCGCGTCGCTCGGACGGGCATGGCTGCACAATCTTGACTACAAGATCGAACAAGCCGCAAAGGCCGGTTTCAAAGGAATTGAGATCTTTTATGAAGATCTTGATTACGCAGCCCGAGAAGCTTCGGGAAGTGACTCCCCATCTGCAGAGGATATCCTCAACGCTGCAGATCGTGCCCATGAGTCTTGCCAAGCGCAAGGGCTCGAGGTGATCGGCCTCCAGCCTTTCCTTTTCTACGAAGGTCTCAAGGACTGTGAACAACAAGCCAAATTGATTGAGAAGATGAAGCTCTGGTTCCAAATTGCTAAGCGACTCGAAACCGACACGATTCAAATCCCCGCCAACTTCCTGCCCGCGGACCAACTGACGGATGACCTGGATATCATCGCTGCCGACCTGCGACAGGTCGCCGACATGGGTGCTGCTGAGAGTCCTGTTGTGCGCTTCGCCTATGAGAATCTGTGCTGGAGCACGTATATTGATACATGGGAGAAACTCTGGGAAGTGGTGAAACGCGTCGATAGGCCTAATTTTGGCATGTGCCTTGACACTTTCAATATCGCCGGGCGCGTTTGGGCAGACCCAGCCGATGCGACAGGCAAGACGCCAAATGCAGACAAAGACCTGAAACAATCCCTGGAGCGGATGGTCGCAGAGGTCGACCTGGCCAAGGTCTTTTACATTCAAGTCGTGGATGCTGAGCGGATGGAGTCGCCTTTGGTTTCTGGTCACCCATTCCATGTTGACGGTCAACCGGCACGGATGAGCTGGTCTCGAAACGCCAGGACTTTCATGTATGAAAATGATCGTGGTGCATATTTGCCGGCAGAGGATGTTGCGAAGGCCATCGTCAATGGGCTGGGGTATAAAGGCTATATTTCGATGGAGCTGTTTTCCCGGACTATGGCTGAGACGGGCGAACATGTTCCTGTCGAGCATGCGACACGGGGTATGGCAGCTTGGAAGAAATTTCACCAAAGGCTTCAACTGGAGTAAATAGGAAGTATTCAATTAGTTATTCTTTAAATGGCTATATTTGGTCGTTTTTAGTACAGGGTTTGTAACTTATTAGGTCTTAAAACCCTCGATAACGTTTTCTTTGTGATGATGTCCAAGACCAAATAGAAAGATAGAAACATCAAGAAAGAGATACCGCAAGGTCTTGTCAGGCTCACATAACGGGACTTCAGTCAGACCAAAGGAATACACGAACAGTAAGCCTACTTTCGGGGTCATGATGATCATCTCTCAGTTTGGACCTAATCTAAATCCGTAACATTCGACTGCATTTTGGTAAATTAAACATCAATGGCCTTCCCATCCAACCAGTCCTTAGACAACCGATATAGTAGATCATGCTTCTCTCCACAAACAGTACCGACGTGTCGTCTGTGTCCGGGCATATCCCTCAACACGGTAACACCCATTGTGAGCTCCTGACAGTAGGCAAGACACTTATACCCCTCAGGATAAGAGTTGAGCTTCTCATCATTGATACGTGGGATCTTGTTGGGATTGACAGGCAACAGCTTATCCTTTTCGTACCAATGACGAACGAACCGAGCACCCCAGCGGCCATCAACCTTCTCAAAGAAGAAGCAGAATCGGCAGTCTGCCTCGGCGTCAACTTCGCACCCATCAATCGTGAAGCGCTGCGTGATTGTCGCCTTCATCTTGGTGACGGCGCGAGTAGCGTCGGGAGTGATGTCCGTGGTTACTCCGTGGCAGCGGTGCATGATAAAGGCACCTTTGTCCATGCCGGCCTTGGAAGCGGCAATGAAATCCTTATAGGAGACTCGGCCGGACCAGGTTGTGTATACATGGGCATCGTCATGGAAGATGGACTCGAAGTTCTCCCATTCACAAGCATCGCTGTGAGAGTTCAGTAATTGGGGACTGGAGGTTTGGAGTATGAAGTCATAGCTTACCGGTAACAGGGCCAGCCCTCCGCAAGCTCACGCAGCTTTGCTCGTTCCAAGACGAGGTTATCAGGGCCATTGTTGCGAATGGCCTGTTCGGGCCAAGTGCCTTCGGGGAGAGAGTGTAGGTCAAGCATAGCGTAATTCACAAGATTTCACGTGGATGTGTTACTCGATCCTCTGTAGCCGGGGGAATGCGATTATATACCGGCTTCGGGATATCCGGGGACACGGTTAAGGCCACTGCCGATGGAATACCCGCCGCCACTCATCTCCGGACAAGCCAACATGTGGGATGTGGGGGAACGCGGAATCTATGGAGCGGAGATTTGTCTAATGTCTTTTCTACATCGGATTAAAAGAAATAGGTAGGCAGTGGTTTAGCCGGTCCCTTAGGGAGTAATTCAACTAGCATACTATTGAAACTACCATAATCTAGAAATTGATACCTTTGCTATTCTCGGCAGCTTTCAACAGGACATTCCAGGCTCCCTCTCGGTCCAACTTTTGAAGACGCTCCTCCCCCGCCCACAGCCGCCATTGTTCTTCGATCTGGTATCCGATGACATGAGTCCCCTCAACGCAAGGCCAATCCAGCTGCTCAGCCAACTTGATCATTCTGGTTCTCCGTGGCTTGAAACACATATCCAGCAAGACACCTTTCTCCGATCTAGAAAGGAAATGCTTCAAAATCGAAGCTACAGCCAACTCCGACTCGGTGCTTGGCTCAAAATCGGGCACAGTTCCGACAATATAGTACGGAGTTGCTAGACTCTCGGCCTCGGCCAGAGTCTTGACATGAATAATCTTGGGGATCGCGGGAAGCCGACGCGAGTCATTGATGAGACTCTCAACTTCCTGATCGTCTCGATTCAGAATGTAAATCGTCGGACAGTGAAGTTGATTGGCAAGGGCGTAGACAGCTGCACGACTCGCACCACCTGCTCCCACGATTAGAGCAGATGCTGGTCGTTCTGTAGAAGTTCGATCTTTCTCCTCGCCTTTTTCCAAGAGGCAACCCTTAACGCCTCTCCAGTCGGTGTTTGTGCCACACAGACGTCTGCGATCGTCGTCTTTGTAGTAGACATTGTTGCAAGCGCCAATGATGGTTGCCAGATCATCAGTTTCGTCGAGATGCTTCATGATGGTGTTCTTGTAAGGCATGGTGACGACCAGGCCAGATGTGGTAGACTTCTTGGCTAGAGTAACCACGTCGTCGAGGGTTGGACATTCAGTTGCGTAGAAAGTCCATGGGAGACCCAGTGATTTGGCGATATAGTTGTGCATTTCGGGGGCGATGGAGTGGGTGACACCCACGCCCACCAGGTGGAGGGTTTGCTCTTCGGACTGTTGCATGATGGTTGCGAAATCTGGCGAGAGATGATGGAGAGGGCGGTCTTCACAACAGAATGAATTGTGGTCAAGTCAGTCGATGATAGAAGCTTGATAAACCTAATTAGTAGATGACCCGAGGGAAAATATCTCGGTTTAATTCATTGCCTTTCGTCAAACGACTCCATCGGGACTCGGTGTCTTAGCCGATGGACTCGTCATATCACGGTTAAGCTTATGGCCGAACCTGACTCCCGAACTTGGATGGTATACAGAAAGTATAACTGCCGACTCTACTTACTTGCAAAAAAATATTTCAAACCTTAGCCCTCATCAAGCTCACGAATTTCATCTTCTAGCCAAATGGCTCAATCCGCATCTCCCTCAAATCACACCGTCGCGCCCAAGAATTTCCACATTTTTGGCAGTGGAATCTCCTTCAGCATTTCGCCGACAATCCACAATGCCGGATTCACGAATTATGATCTTCCATACAAATACGACATCCGAGAATCCCCAAATATCGATGGAGTGGCTGGATTGATCTCGGACAAGCAATTCGGCGGCGCCAGCGTCACAATGCCGCATAAGTTGCAAGTTCACAAGTTTTGCACCGATCAGACGGAGACTGCTCGCTTGATTGGAGCAATCAATACTCTCGTTGTTAAGGGAGATGGAGATGAGCGGCAGATCATTGGTGATAATACGGATTGGTCTGGACTGCACAGGATCATGGCGGATTATGCGACGAGGACAGGTCAACGGTCGAATATCGGCCTTGTGATTGGCGCTGGAGGTGCTTCGCGAGCAGCGCTTTATGCCATGCACAAAGCAGGCATCCAGTCTATCTATCTCGTTAATCGGACCGTGGCCACTGCGGAGAAAGTCAGAGATGATTTCAAGTCTGTCTTCGACATCATCGTCGTCCCCAACCTCGAAGAACTTCCTCAAAACCCGGATGTTATCGTGGGTACCGTTCCTGCTGAGACTACAACTGAAGATCGGTTTTCTGCTCTGTTCGGAGCAAGAGGCCTTTGCATCGACATGTCGTATAAGCCGAGGCAGACACCATTGTTGAGTGTGGCCCAGAGAAACGAGGGATGGTTCACCGTGACTGGCGTGGAAGTTTTGCTTGCTCAGGCGTACGATCAGTTCTATCTTTGGACGGGGCTTGAGCCACCGAGGGAGAAGATGGTTGAGGCAGTTGCTGAACACGAGCGCGAGAAGGCCAGGGGAGTAACCAAGGGAGGGTTGCTATGAATCGAGGAAGAGCGGGAGTTCCAATTATGACATGGTGAATCTGTGCGTATCTAGATATCCAGGCTGCCCCTAGACAGGAATAGAAATAGAATAGAAGATCTGATGAATAGGATGAAAGCAATGAGCAGATAGAGAGTAGCACAATAAGTGTATTGGAATAAACTGTCCACGAGCAGCTTCTTTACTTAAGACTACTTAACTTCCGTAGAGAAATCTGTTGGTCAACTTATTGCATGGACATGATTGCTCAGTTCTATTTTCAATTTTGTATACAAGGCCAGTCCCGCTGCCGTGTGCTCTATAAAGGGGTATAAACATTTCGAATGGTCGCATAACTGCATGGCACTCGTGAGGTGGCCGATCAAGCCGCACGAATGGCCTGCTCGGGCTTGGTTCGACCCAGTCCCTCCTTGGCATAAAAGTCCATTGGGTAAATACCATTGTTGGCCTTGTCCCAGTTCTCACGGACTCCCAAAGCGATGAGTGCTTCATATGGGGTCAACAATGGCCGGGAGAAGGCATAGCCCCAATCAATACTCAACCGTGGGCAGGCAATCTGTACCCAGCACTCTACGTCTGACATGGACGCGAGCTTTCCGGGGAAGATCTCACTCAACAAAAGATTCACCACGGGGATACCTCGCTCGGCGAGGTGGCGTTCGATCATCGCCATTGTGTTGGGGTTGCCTTGACGTCCAAGCGACCCCAAGATGATGCCCCATTTCTTAGCTGACTTGGCAGTGGCAATGGCATCTCGGCGAATGGTGTGCATTTCGTCGTGATCGTACGATTCACGGGTGAGTGTCCGTGAATAAGGATCATATCGGTATGCTGGGATGGTGGGGTTGTGGATCATTGCAGATTCAAGATGGAAGCGGCCATCGCCCAGATAGAGAAGAACGTCAATCTCGGACTCGGGCAGTTGGGGCGAGGTACAACCCAGAATTTCACCCTTGGAGAGAGGCATAATTTGCGGGATCACAACACGGAAGCCGGCACGCTCCAGAACCGCCTTGAGTCCGTGTAGAGTCGCGTTGAACTGGATGGTGCCCACAGTGGCGATGGTTTGACCGGGCTTAAAGTTGCGCTCGAGAGTAGCGATGAGGTGGCTAGTGTCGATGCTAATATCAACGAAGATGTATAGCGTCTTGATTTTGGTCACATCCACGGGGATCAAGCAGCTGTGGGCATAGTGGACCAAAAGGTCGCATCCCAGGGCTCGTGCCGTGTAGTCGTCAATGCAGCATGCACCGTATGTCACGTCACCCATGATCAACGTCTCGATGCCGGGACAGAATTGTGTAAGGATGTCCGAGATAGTGGTCGCAAAGATCAACAATCCTTCCGGGAACTGCAGCGCAACACGCTTGGCTCCTGAAGAGCGGACTCGGTGGATCGTCTTGGGGATCTCGAAGGAGTAGTTCTTGGGGAGAAGCTCGATTGCGGCTTGGATCTCTGGGTCATTTAGGATTTCTGGAGGCACTTGATTCAGGGTTCGCGGAGTCCTCCTTGGAGCGGCTTATTGCACAAACTTGTTAGTAACGGGCTCCGATGAGTGCCGGCAAATCCTGCATACCTGTCTGCACTGCCGTGGATTCGACATCATTCTGGCTCGTGGCGTCCTTTTGGGCCTGGGCTTCGGCAGTGCGTCGACCGACGAATCTCTTCTTGGGCTGGCGCATCTGACTGCCCGGGGTGTTTGCCGTGTCCTCCATCTTGACAGAAACCGTTGATCCTTCAAGTATGCAGAGTTGCAGAAGATCACCCCACTATCGCTTTCTATCGTTTTTATCTTTTTTTCGGTGGGGCGTGACTGTTCCCGCACTAATCCCAAAGGGGTTAAGCTCTCTCCGCATCAGACGAGCTCCCCTCTTTACTTACTTCTTCGACTCCTCGTCTCTCCTCTTTTTCTTTTCTCCTCATTGCTGATTCGGTACCTCTCTGATTCCTCCTTGGAGTCTCTCGATTCTCTTTGAAGCCACCAGGATGGCAACTTACTCTCGTCTACGTCTACTCTCGGCCTTCCGGGCACCTCTAGTCACACGATGCTATTCAACCGAGTCGCGGTTAGCCTCGGATCATGTTCGCATCGTGGAAGTTGGCCCTCGCGATGGACTGCAGAATGAGAAAAAGTCTATCCCGATGGACACAAAAATGGAACTGATTCGGAGACTGGCTAAGACCGGTGTCACCACCATTGAGGCCGGCTCCTTTGTACCGGCGAAATGGGTACCACAGGTATGGGGCCATCGGCGCATCTCGGCGCAACGATCGATTGATGTGGAATACTAACATCCCGGGGGGCTTTGAAGATGGCCAGCACGGCTGAAATCTGTGAACAACTTCTCACAGCACCTCCACAATCTCAAAGTACAATCGCCTATAATTATCTAGTTCCCAACATCAAGGGGCTGGAGAGTCTTGTCAAGATCATGGATGAAACCGGCGTTCCAGCAGACTCTCCCGGCTCAGAATCTAAATCGGCGACGACGACAGAAGTTTCCCTTTTTGCGGCCGCTACGGAATCCTTCTCTAAGGCCAACACCAATTGTACTATCGCCGAGTCCCTAGAGCGCATCAAACCTATCGTTGCGCTGGCCAAGACGAAGAACATTCGCGTGCGTGGATACGTCTCAGTTGCACTGGGCTGTCCCTACGAAGGTCCAGAAGTGAGCCCGTCCAAGGTGGCTGACATTACGGCGACTCTTTTGGAAATGGGTGCGGACGAGGTGTCGGTTGCCGATACTACGGGCATGGGAACTGCACCGCGGACAATGGAGCTCCTCCAGGCTCTCAAGGCCGCCGGTATTGCCAACACGGATCTGGCTCTTCATTTCCATGACACCTACGGACAGGCCTTGGTGAATACCATTGTCGGATTGGAGCATGGTGTTCGGATTTTCGACAGCAGTGTTGGAGGATTGGGTGGTTGCCCGTACTCCAAGGGTGCCACTGGCAACGTTTCCACGGAGGACCTCGTTCACACTATTCACAGCTTGGGCATGCACACGGGTGTCAGCCTCGAGGAAATGTCGCGAATCGGCTCGTGGATTAGTGGGGAACTCGGGCGAGTTAACGACAGCCGAGCCGGCAAGGCCACGCTGGGCCGACTGTCGGAATAAAAAGTGGTCCTCTGTGACAGTTATCCCTACTCCGCTTGTGCCATATAAATCACCTCTGTTTTGATATCTTTGAGCGAATTCCATTTTCGATCAGTTGTGGCTGCTCTCGTACATTCAGTACACATATCATACAATAATCCAATCCAATAGCCGAGACTCAGCCCACCAATTCTTTATATACATTGTGTCCCCATATCGATCTGTTCGTATAGAGCAGAGATGTGAATCAACGCCAGCATTAATGCATAGTCCTCAAGCAGCTGAGGCCTTCAGAAATCAGTCACACGGCCACCATAGCTCCAATCTCCAGCGGATCCCCATCGCAAAGGCTCATTCTTAGGTCCGCCAATTTCTCCCGTCTTGGGATTCTTCTCGCCCTCGAATTCGGGCTTCAGGCCCTGCAGCGCATCCGGGTGAAGCTCCTCGCCACTTCCGTTGACCTTGATCTCTGGCCGGGCGTCGGACTGTGGTGACTGATTGACCTGGGGCGTGCTGAATGCACCCGTTGAGCGACGTTGAAGTTCTTCGAAGATCTCTTGTTCTTCTTTGGGGAGACGTGGAGGAGCGGGAGTGTGCTTGAATCCGAATGAGGGTTTACCGTCGTCGCTGCGCAGAACGGCTGTTGTGGAGAGGGATCGGGCAGCAAGTCGGCTCGAGAAGGAAGGGACGCATACGCGACGCAATAGCAGGGAGGATGCCATGATTGTTGGCTTGGGAGGTATTTTTCAGCGATCAATGAGCCGTTGGTAAAAATGACGCCGAATCGCGGGAATAACAATCTCCAATGGCCTCGTGCCTCGGGAGGTGGCGCCGAACCCCCAAATGACTAAGACTGGCCGATCCGATCCCGATATCGCCTTATTTTTTTGGTTTCTCCGCCCCGTCGAGTCATCCGAGCAGTTGGTCCTCTTTTGATTTCCCTCCCCCAACTGCCCCTCGGACGACCAATTCGCCTTTGCAAGTCGTAGACAACTTTTGCAATCCACAATGTCTGCTCTTCGTTTGGCCGCGCGCCGTGTGCCTCGCGCAACTCGACTGGTTCCTTCCTTTGAGTCGCCGATCCAGCGACGCTTTGCGGCGACCTCCAATGCTCCCCAGGAAGTCAAGCGCCAGGTATGTAACTCGGTTCAAGATGGCAATTGCAAGACCAATTTGACTAATTGGTTTCTACAGAAGGAGTCTACTCTCCCCAACCCTGATCCTTCGCCGGACTCGCTCACCGTCTCGTTCATTAACGAGCGCGCGCCCTTCATGGTTCCGACTTACGTTCGCCCCGCTCCTATGATGATGAAGGGACAGGGTTGCTACCTGTGGGATATGGAGAACAGACGGTACTTGGATTTCACTGCCGGTATTGCAGTGAACTCTCTCGGTCACTGTGATCCCGAGATTGCCAAGATCATTGCGGAGCAGGTGCGGCGTCATAGATACATGCAGGCCCAACCGAGCAACTGCTAACTAGACGTGTGCTATATACAGGCTGAGACCCTCATCCACGCCTCCAACCTTTACCACAACCCTTGGACCGGTGCTCTGAGCCAGCTCCTCATCAACCTGACCCGCGAGTCTGGTGCTATGCGCGATGCCTCCCAGGTCTTCATCTCCAACTCCGGCACCGAAGCCAACGAGGCCGCGATCAAGTTTGCCCGCAAGGTCGGCCGTTCTATCGATCCCTCCGGTGCCAAGCACGAGTTCGTCTCCTTCCACAACTCCTTCCACGGTCGTACAATGGGTGCCCTGTCTGCTACCCCGAACCCTAAGTATCAGACTCCCTTCTCGCCAATGCTCCCCGGTTTCAAGTACGGCAACTACAACGATATTGAGCAACTGCAGACCCTCATCACCGAGAACACTTGCGGTGTGATTGTCGAGCCCATTCAGGGCGAGGGTGGTGTCAACGTCGCCAGGCCCGAGTTCCTTGCCGCTCTTCGCAAGCGCTGCGATGAGGTCGGCGCTGTGTTGATCTTCGATGAGATCCAGTGCGGTCTGGCCCGTACCGGCAGCTTTTGGGCTCACGGCCACCCATCTCTGGCCCCTGCCTCGGGTGAGGCTGCCCACCCGGATATCCTGACCACTGCGAAGGCCCTTGGTAACGGTATCCCCATTGGCGCGACCATTGTCTCTGGCAAGACCGTCGCATCTCACATCAAGACTGGTGACCACGGTACTACTTTCGGTGGAAACCCGCTGGCCTGCCGAGTCGCCTATCACATCGTCGCACGTCTGGCCGACCCCGAGCTCCAGAGCGCCGTCCTGGAGAAGTCCAAGGTCTTCACCTCTGGCTTCCAGGCTCTGCAACAGAAGTACCCCGACGTTATCTCGGAGGTTCGTGGCCGTGGTTTGATCCTCGGTCTCCAGCTGGCCCCTGCTTTCACCTCCAAGGCCGCTGATATAATCACTGCTGCTCGTGAGCGTGGACTGTTGATCATTACTGCCGGTGATGGCTGCATCCGCTTCGTTCCTCCCTTGACCATCACGGAAGAGCAGATCCAGACTGGCTTGAACATCCTCGAGCAGGCTCTGACTTCCGTGGTGTCTCAGGCTTAGATTTGATCTTGTCTGATTTGCATGCCGCCTACGATGTGTTTGATATATACCATTTCGCTGGAGCGATTACTTTGTTCTTTTCTTTTTGTGTTTGGATTTTACCTTGCATTCCGATATATAGATCGTTGATACATGTAGACATGAAGCGCGAAAGATGAAAAGTTGGCTCGCCTTTACTTTAGCTATTCACAACTATGATTTGTCTTTTATATTTCAATGCCGCGACGACTACCTAAGTGTTGCCAAGTTAGAGTCATTCCGTTATCACTATCAGTAGATGTGATGACGCGTAGCAGAACCCGCCCGGTGGACCGCCGGAACTTCAACTTCCCTCATTCAGTGGTGATACACGCACCTGCCCCGATTTTCCTCGTATGCCCTCCGAGATGATCTCTCTTTCTTAGTCTGAACTCATGGACCGGGCATCCGTCCATGTTCCCTTTTATCTGTAGCCTTTGAACTCCCTCACGCGACCACCTACTTCAACAATACATCCCCGCGCCCCATCCGAGGACGGCCCAATGTTTTCCTCTACCGATTCTTCGAGGTCTATCCTCAGTCGCATATATGATCGGCTCACAGGAGTTTTCCGCGGCGCAGACCCTCGGGTCTGCGTCGCCTTTTGGCTATTTGGTGCGCTTTGCTTCGACTTGTGGTGAAATCGGATCATATTTCAGGAATATTGACTGATAGCTTCCGATTCTAGGCCTAGTTAACAATGTCCTCTATGTGATTCTCCTCTCCGCAGCACTAGACCTCGTCGGTCCGGATGTCCCCAAAGGCATCGTCCTCCTGGCGGATATTATTCCCTCCTTCGGGACTAAGTTGATCGCCCCGTACTTCATCCACGTGGTACCCTACTCGATGCGAGTGATAATCTTCGTATTCTTATCCGTCGTGGGAATGCTGGTTGTCGCGCTGAGTCCGAGCTATACAGATGGCGGGACCATTTCGTCCAAGCTGGCTGGCGTCGTCCTGGCGAGTCTTTCCGCGGGCGGCGGCGAGTTGAGCTTTGTCGGTCTGACACATTTCTATGGACCGTTCAGTTTGGCAGCCTGGGGTAGTGGGACGGGCGCTGCAGGCTTGGTTGGTGCAGGTGCTTATGCTCTGGCTACGTCTACCATGGGTGTTTCTGTCCGAGCAACCCTTCTGGCGTCTGCTATTCTCCCGGCGATCATGGCGTTGAGCTTTTTCATAGTTCTGCCTCGAGCAGCACTGCGCGTTCAGGAATCTACAGGGGGTGGATATATTGCGGCTACCAGAGGTGACGAGCTAGATGAGGATGAACCAGATGACGAGGGCCATGAGATTGAGCGCGGTGAAGAGGAAGGACTTTTGGGAGTCTCTGTCCACTCGGCTGATACCTACAAGTCTGCTCATATTAACGAGGCGTCTTCTCGGTGGGCTCGGTTTCGTGCTAATCTGCGACGGCTCCAAGGGCTTTTCTTTCCCTTGTATGGCTTTTCTCTGCGATTTGGATAATATTCATGCTAATCAGTTTACAGCATGCTCCCATTACTACTCGTATACATCGCCGAATACGTGATCAATCAGGGTGTCAGTCCGACACTCCTCTTCCCATTATATACAACCCCTTTTAAGAGCTTCCGCGCCTTCTATCCAGCCTACAACGCCATCTACCAAGCCGGCGTCTTTATTTCGCGATCCTCAACACCATTCTTTAGAGTACACCATCTCTATCTTCCGTCTTTCCTCCAAATTCTCAACTTGGTCCTATTGACTCTGCACGGCATGTTCAACTTTATCCCGAATGTTTACCTTGTCTTTGTCATCATTTTTTGGGAAGGCTTACTTGGCGGACTGGTCTATGTGAATACCTTTGCAGAGATTGCCGATCGAGTGCCTAAAGAAGATCGTGAGTTCTCGTTGGGCGCTACGACGGTGAGTGACTCGGCGGGAATTTGTATTGCTGGGTTTTTGAGTATGCCCTGGGAGGTTTTGCTGTGTCGTTGGCAATTAAGCCATGGCAGGGAGTATTGTCGGCAGGTCTAGTCTTGCTTAGATTTGATTTGGGCGTCATTAATGTTGTAGGTGAATGATGGCTATTTAGACAGATGGCTAGAAATATCGTTCTTTATGTTTGTAGGTATAGACTTCAAGTTCCAATCCTCGCTGAATAGCAAGTGGTTGTCCTGGCTACCTGAGGGTACGAAGTTGAACCACGTGGAAATTTATTGTGCATTCAAATTATCCTCCACGGTAGTACATTATTGTAGTACAAACGTGTATAATTCTTAGTCGTGGGTGAAATACAGTTTCAACGTGGACGTCTCGTGGCTCGTGGCTGCGTCACTGACATGTGATAGTGTGGGGGGCTCACATGTGATTCAACCCGAAAGCAACTGGACCTGCTGAGCCACACTCAACCTTCTCTTCACCTTCAAGTCTCTTTCATTTCAGTGCGACAGTGATACCGAGTACCGAGTACTGGAGGCTCGGTTCACTGATTGTTCTTACAGATCTCCTGGTGGGTTCTTGCTCGGGGTTTAGAGTACGACCATCCCTAGCGCCGGATCGGGTCGACAGCCAAGCAAAGGGACATTTGAAACATTACCTCCTATGTGGAAATGATAGGTATGAACTATGCATGAAAAGCTATTCCAAGATTCCTGGGCTTACCCAAGTCTTTAACAGACCACGTCTTGGGAAGACCTTCGACTCGGTTTCGCAAGATCCAGGTCTTTGCGGTCGTCTCATTTTGGTCTTTCTATCTGCTAAGGTACGTCACTTTATCCGCCAGGGAAATTCACTTAACTCACTTAATTCTTTCCATCACAGAGCTGATAAACATGGCCCGCCGCTTGTTCGGTCCATCTCATCGCACTTCACCGGCAAATTAACCAGCTGGCAGACGACGGTCATCATCTTCTTATGGCTCTATGTGAGTCGCAACTTTGCCAAGATCGTGGGCTTGGAATGCCCAGAACCACTAGCAAATCTTTATTCTCGATCATTCTTTCGCGCAACATGGATCACCACTGGATTGGATGCCGGGTTTTGGACAGCAATGAAAATCAAGCCTAAATGGCTACGCGATTTGGCATCGCTAGTCTTCACAGTCTATTATCTAATTGCCGCAGAGCAAGCAGATGAGAAGGTACGCCGAGTCAGGGGTACGCTCACATTAGAGCACCTTCGCGTATCGTGGAATAAGGCGACAAGCCCCTACCTATGGTTCCTGGCGAGTCTGGTTCGTCCTCGACTTACCCGGTATGGTCCGCGAGCGATCCGGATCCCCCGGCCTAAGCATTCGGCGCACACGGAGCCGATAAATGCATGGATGTACTTTGATGGGCCGCTCAGCGCACTGAAGGATCAAACCTCGCTGGTACTGGACGTTCCAGGTGGTGGATTCGTTGCGATGGGGCCCCGCAACTCAGAGGACAAATTGCTTTCTTGGGCAGGGCAGCTGAAAGTCCCGGTCTTGAGTATTGACTACAAGAAAGCGCCCGAGTATGCATACCCATATGCACTTCATGAATGTTATGATGTCTATCATACGATCATGGCGACGAATGGCCGCTGTTTGGGGCTGAGTGGCTCGACACGCCCTCGAGTTGTGGTAACTGGAGAGAGTGCTGGCGGCAACCTTGCTGTCGGTATGACACTGATGGTTCTACAATCAGCCATGGCGCAAGGATGGCAAGGCGACAATGTCCTTCCTCGACCGGACGGTCTTGTGCTAGCGTATCCGGCGCTGAACGTGAGGGTCGAAAGCTGGATGACGGACGAGCAGATGTCTTTGATCCAAGATAGAAGTTGTCGTCAGACAAACAGTGGTGTGTTGCAGCGAAAGCAGGACCAGTATCGCAGGCTCACGCCGTACGCTTCACCCGGCCACTCTGTTGAAAATTTGACTACGATATCTACCGACGAGAAGCGACCAAAACAGGAACCAATCGGGACCGATATAGCTGCCGAGACATCAAAGGCATTACGTGATAAGTTAGAGAAGAGCGAACACGTCTCTGGAGACGCTGCTCCCAAGACTGCTGGTCCGGTCAATCCACTCAAGACTCGACTGGCTGTCTCCTCCATGATCTCATATGTCCATGATCGAATCCTCACGCCAGAAATGATGCGTGCGATGATCATCCTCTACATTGGACCCCACCACCGGCCAGACTTCAATACAGATTTCTATCTGTCACCCGTCCTCGCACCAGACGCTCTACTAGCTCAATTCCCAAAGACATACATCCTAACTGGCGAACGAGATCCACTTGTCGATGATACCGTCATCTTCGCCGGTCGACTACGACAAGCAAAGCTCCACCGTTTCCATGAGCGTCAAGATCTCGGGCTCGAAAAGTCACAACGCCACTTCAATGAGAAAGACCACGTAGAAGTCTCTCTCATCCCTGGAGTCTCACATGGCTTCATGCAAATGGCGGGCTTTTTCCCCGACGCCTGGAAGTATATCAACCGTAGCGCGCGGTGGATCGAGAGTCTGTTCGAAAACGCAAACCTACAAACATCCGAATACAGCCTCCTTCAACTCTCTCAACTCTCGAATCTGAAGAGCCCCCTGAAATTGCGGGGTCTTTCCCAGAGCAATGCGAATGTCAAGAAAAATCATTTCCGCAGCCTCACAGGTGAATCCTCCGCCGACGAGGATAGACCATTGGAGATGAATATGAGCAAAATCACGCCCCTTTCCCAAAACGAACAATCATCATCTGCAACAGATTTGCCATTACGACGCAGACGGTCCAAATCATCCTTTGCGTCCACTCACCTCGGCGGGCTGACGACTCTGGGTAACAACTCTAGCGATGTACGTGAATTCCGCGCAAAGCTCAAACGCTTGGAAATCAGTCGCAATTTTCGAGATTTGTATTTCTCGGATGAAGTCAACAGTGCTCCGGAGAGTCCGGTTGCTATGCGCCCTCGTGGGAGGAGTATCACATCGCTTGATAGCGAGGAGGATATTTTAGATCGTAGGATGAATGGGATAGCGGGTGGTTTGATGGGGTTGGGCGAGGGTGCTCAAACACCGGGGGCGTGAATATGAGCGTGAGATTCGGGGATATAGATGCATGATTTACGAGATATGATTGAGATCGATACCTCAGATTGGGTTTGAGAGTTACTAGATTCTAGAGTTGTTAGATAAGCTATCACCGTCTTGCATACAATTTCTTTGAATTTTATGGTCTGCTATCTTTGATATCGTCTGTTAGTAAAGATAAGCAATGATATAGAGATATGGACTGCAGATATCGATATCGATAACTGAAGATTGATGATAGTCCGGGGCTTATCAGATATGAGGTAATCTCACGCTGCTCTATCAACCTCCACGATAGCTGATGCATACTCTTATCGGTGAAGTATTACGTTTCATCTCCTAGATAGCTGAAAATGTACGAGGCCTTTATCTGTTGATGCCCAACGTGATTGTGATATCTTGTCCATGCTGCCTTTTGCAGTTCTTCTTGTTGTCGATCTATCATCGACATGCGAGGTAATCAGTCGGAGTTGACAGGTGAAAATTGGCCGGTCGGACACGATACGATAACAATGTGCTTGTTTGTTCTAGTTAAGGCAAGCACGGGTCTTGGCCAGGGAATATAAGCACCCCGATATGGAACCATGAGCCCGCCTTTTCTCGGTCTCCGTGTGTACGGAGTACAGATCAACTACTTGCCATATGGAGCGATTTGCGAAGGACTACTTGGAACGCCCTGCAAACATCAAACCGGACACATCATAATCGCATTCTAGTTCATAGCTGATTCAAGAGACGAAATAAACTATTGGTACACATCCCAACATCCCGTCTAAAGCTTCCAAATACTCGAACCAGCAGTCCACTTCCGGCAAGTCTTCCCGTAGAAGTAGAAGAGGAAACCGAAAGAGCACCACAGCACTGTCAAACACATATTCATCATAATAGCCGGGATGTAGCCAGACTCCTCAGTCCATGTCGTGATGAATTTACTGAAACCGTAGCCCCATACGTTCTTGTTCACGGTGATGGCAATAAACACTGAGCCGACGACGGGCTTATAACTATCGACGGCGTAGGTACTCGCAATAGCGGGCAGGGCTGTCACCTGAATACCGGCGCAGGTATAACCGACAATCACAATTGCCTAGAACTCAGTTAGAATGAGAAATTCAAGCTGCTTTTTAAGAGGGATATACGTACCCGCCAATCCCAGTGATACTCGTATCCAAATGCGATGATGAAATTTCCGATAATTGAAATTATAACGTAGGGGATAAGCGTCGGCAAACGCATCTCCGGCTCTCTGATACCTCTGTTCTTCTTAGTTGCTCGCATAGAGATCCAGTCAGAGAGGGGACCATTGGTAAGAAGTCCAATCATCGCACCAGCAAGACTGGCAAAGTTGGTAAAGCCGATAGACTGACTGGACCAGTTATATGGCGGAGCACCGAAGGCTTGACTCTGGGTAAGATTGGCGGTGAGGAAACAGCTGGCAGACCATGACACCACAAACGCAGCATACTCAACGATTGGGAACGCGAGCAAACGCCAAGGCACCCAGAATGCGAGAAGCAAAGTCTTGACCCAGTGAGGATCGGGCTGGTAAATGTTGAACTGGCCTTTCGAGGGTTGGCCCTTGTGGAGGAATGGATCCATCGACGTGTCCTCGACTGGTGGGTTCTGGACCTCCAGGTGCGTCTGCAGGTTCTTGGAGGAGTCCTCTGGTGATTCTTCCTTTTCCTTTCCATCCGCAGAGTCCCCGGTGGAAGTAACTGAAGTCTCAGTATTGTGGATCTCGTTTGGATGAGTGCGATGCCACTTTGTCTCTGGGAAGGCGAACGCTGCGGCAAGAATGATGAAAACGAAAGCAGCCACGTTGAGCCACCAGAAGCTGCGCCAGCCAACGTGGAGAGCCATCGAGCCGGCGATAATGGGACCGACCTATCATTTCACCAAGAATTAGTTCACTCTATAGCACGTACTGTCGATACTTCTAGTTGTAAACTTACCATCAGGGAGCCGAAGTAGAGAGCAAAGTACATGGTGTTATAATAACCTCGCTCATGAAGGAAGAAGATATCGGTAATGACTTGGGGGCAGAGAGTCTATGACATCCATCATCAGTCAGTTATTATCCATTGAATATCCAGGGAGTATTTTGGCAGATATATCATCTTACCTCGCATGGTCCAGCGCCAAATCCATTCAAGACGCAAGCACCCATGAAGCTTCCATAGGTAGTTGCCTTGGCCCGCCAAATGTTAGACGCCAAGCACACCAGAGAAGAGAAGATCAAAACGGGTCTTCTTCCAAATGTGTCGGAGATGGGAACCCTGAAGTCGCAACCGTAAGCAAAAGCGATAAGATATTTCCAGATCGAATAAAATCTCACCAAAAGAAGTTACTGAATCCGAGAACTAGAATGCACACTCCGGTAAATTGCACAACGGCAGCCAGATCAGAGTTGAATGCTTCGATCAAATCCCCGAACATTGGCGCCAGCGCCAAGGGTCCAATACCCATGATGACATTGCTTGCCATCGCGATAAAGATAGTGATGAACTTCCAATATCTGTTCCAATTCTAGATTGAGGGGGAAATTGGCTGTGTCAGCATGTAGTCACACAGTGCTACCCCGCGGCTAATATCATGGTTCATGTACATACGAGAGGATCGTTTCGGTCCTGGGATGGTTGAGGAACCAAGACATTCGACGATGCGCCGGATTGTCTCACGAAATGATGCGAGCCTACATCGGTCATGATCTCCGTACCAGGGTAGATCTTGACGTGGAGCTCATCTTCGAGTCTACATATTTGTTAGCCACGCGACGATTCTGTGATACTCTGCAAGTGTTATGCAGGGTTGACATACTGGCGAAGAGTCTAAATTTGACATGTTCTGTTAGTCTCCGGATGATTCAAAATGAGTTTGCGCGTCAATAGGGGGGAACCCACCGCCTCATCGTTGTTCATCTCCATGATGAAAGTTTCGGCCAAGGCAGCTCACTCGAGAATGGCAACTTGCGACCGAAGAAAATCTCCTGGACTTGAAGAAGTGACATGCACCTGGGGGACACGCGTGGTTTTGAGTTCCGCCGTGGCCGAGGCAGGAAAGCTTCCTCTTCTTGGCCATTGGAGTGTCAACGAATCAACTGCACGTAATTTAAGGGGTTTGATACCGGTCTCGTCCAGCCAGAGTTTCCCTGGGGGTGGCTGACAGCTAAGCTCCTTAAGGACGGGGTGACTCCAGAGAACCGCCAATCAACGCGAATCCCCCACGGGAAAACCCTTGCGGGGGAAACCCTGGGGGACAAACGGGATGCGCTGGGAGAGCGACTGCCGGGGGGCGCTTTTGTTGTCCATGGGCTTAAGCAGGCGATGGCTAACTCAAATGCCTCCAATCAGGGTGAAAGCCACAAGCTTATCGAGACAGAAAGCTCAATGGCGGCAGCTGTACTCGGCATTTTGAAGCTGTCATCCTGAAGTCGTGTACACATTGTACGGGGTATTCCCCAGATGACTCCCTGCGTCTCCACGGTCCGGGGTGTGGCTTGTTTGTAATCATCGTGTAATCAACGAACGGTCAGAATGACCTGTAGAGTCGGTGCAAATATCCGATCGGCTATTGTCAGTCATGGATTGGGATGACGCGCTTGTTGGTAGGTTGGAAGAGAGTAAATAGTGGGGAGAAGCGACAGAGTCACGGGGTTCTCCATCTCGAAATGTGTGGGGAAGAAGGTACCACACAGTACAGTACTCGGCAGTTGCTCTCCTCAAGATCCGGGGAAATTGGCCACTTGAGTAATAAGGATGACACCACTATGATACTCTTGGACTTGAGGACCTATGCCGTGCACTAGTTTGGAAGGGTCCCGGCATCCTTGTAAACAAGATCGTGCTGTCAATCATTTACAACCCCACCTGAAGCTTATTAACGCGATGCAAATCGTTCTAGTGACTGATCTCTGTATGTTATGTAGCTCAATACCATGGATTAGCCCTTTGCAATCAAGAGAAAGCACCAGAGAGTTTTCTAGCCAAGCAAAAGAGAAGTAAGGCTCGCCAATGTTCCATAATGCTGTGTACATCTACCATGTACTATGATAGACAGCACTTTGCTATAAGAAGAATTACCACCTACCCTAAGTTTCTCTTTTTACTTAGTGAGGTCATATATATGGATAAAGCTTAGGTACGCCATTTGACGCTCCTTTTGTCTTGTTTACTAGGTTTGGTGAATAGTGGCTTCTGTGCTAGCACGTCCTTAGAACGGACTGCCCCCCTTGCCATAATAGGAAATTCGATGCCTCATTGATGCCTTACAGCCTAATTAGCCACGACAAACCACCGAAGTATGAATATGAAAAGGGTTGCGATTGCTTTTCTTCAAAGGATTTGGAAATTATCTCTCAAGGCTATTCAACTGAATCTGAGGCAGTCAGAAAGGATGCTCGAGTAGAATTTCAATAAGCTCCTTGAGCTTAGGGAAAGAAAAAGTAGAAGCACACAATCAACACACACCACTGTGCGGGCTACGGCGCAAGTCGTTAATATCATTCTAGTGACAATCAAATTCTTCATCTGCAACGAGAGGGAATGGAAGTAATAGTAGAGCAATAGAGCATTCAGCTCGGATATTAGATCTTTCTGCCTTGAAGCCTGTCATCATCCGGACATGGGTATCGGACTAATAAAAGGACATGCAGGGATTAGGCCTCTGCATGGTGCGGTCTTGGTCCTTAGGTCGAGGACCGCGGACCGGACCGCACGGTCTTGCGGTCTCGAATTCGGGGGTTGAGACCGCACCATAGTGAACCGCGGTCCCTTGCGGTCTTCACCACGGTGAACCGCAATTGCATAATTCTACCAAGACCTTCTCTTTTCGGCTACATAAATTGATGATTCATCCCATTTAATTACTGTTATTAAACACTGTTTTGGTCCCTTCATAAACATTTACTGTATTTCAGCATCAGCCACTATGAAAACAGATGAAATATACTCGTATATAGAAAATCTACTATTTAAAATACCTAGACCTGCCAGTACTAGTATATTTCTAAGTTCTAATAGAGAGGTTTAGTAATAATTATTGCTGGCTAGGTGTATGAGGTAAGAAATATATATTTCGATATCAGTACCTGACCCTATCTTCATCTGAGACTTCTTCGTTGAGTGTACATAACCCCCTACATACAGCTAAAATAGGTATTAAGGGTATTATCAGAGAGCTTAGATTCTCTAGTTAACTATTTATCTTGAAATTCTATATTCTACTACTAATATATCATAATAATCTCTTTTCAAAATTGGTTTCTCTGATATGAAGTGTAGACTTAGAAAGAAAAGGAGGATTATACTATTATATGGGCCTTCTAGCGGTCCTTTTCGGTCCTGTGCGGTCCTCCTCATGGTTCTCTGCGGTCCTCTGCGGTCAATCATAGTATTTCCTACTAGCTGTCTATGCGGTCTTCTGCGGTCTTTGCAGCCCTCTATGCGGTCTATCGCGGTTTTTCCTGCGGTTCTATGCGGTCTTCTGCGGTCTTCGTAGCCCTTATCCTATCGGATTGTAGTAAAGTGGAGCCTACTGCCTAATCACTATTACAATTCAATTTGATCTATCTAAATCATGCCTATAGCTTTCTCCTAGAGAAAATCCTTTATTCAGCTTTTTCTAGTAGACGGAAATATTTTAGCAGGTATCTCCTTAAGTCCTTTACCTCCCCCGTCCTATCCTATACTCATTTCGTCAAAATGTTACAGAGTCAGGCCTCCTCTCAGTTCTCTGATCAGTATCCCTCATCGGCTTTTGAGGATAATCCACGAGATACTTTCTCCTTCTTCACATCTGATGGGCTGTTTAACCTCGACGGGCGCGAAACGCCAACTTCTACTCCTAACGTGAACTTACTCCGACCGGCGATTCCTCCTGTTATCCCAGAAACACTCGAACGCGTTGGTCCTCCTAAAAGGAAAAACTATATCCTCTGGACAGAAATGGCGAATGAGGATTTCATCGTCTGGTGGTTAAAGACGGAGTATGGAAGTAAGATGAAACGGAATATCTTTGAGGGTAGACGCAATGCAGAATGTTGGGACCACTTCTACCAGGTCGCTACTATCCAGGATGGGTCTCCTAAGGTAATATGCAAGAATTGCGACCATATCCTTGCCCATCCTGCCGATAAGCGCCGGGGAACATCTACTATGAATAGGCATTATTCGCAAGTAGGTACCTGTCGGAGAGGACCGACTCAGTCGCAAGATATTAGGAAGGCTATCAAGAACGGGGTATGGATAATCAGTCTACCTTTTTCTAATTATTACTAATCTTATAAAATACCCCTTCTAGGCATATCTGTCGTCTCGTAAAGCATCATTTACGCCGCAAGCTTGGATGGAAAGGTTAATTACCTTTATTGCTGCCTCGCGGCTACCCTTCCAGCTTATTGAGCATCCTGAATTTCGCGCCCTTCTTGAGATGGCCCGGCTTGCTCCCTGCTTCCCCGAAATCCCAACTGCAACCACAGTCCGCCGTCATCTTCAAGAGATCGTGGAAGAACGCCAGTATACTCTTCTACAGAAGCTTCCTAATAGTGCTAAGCTCTCTATTGCATTAGATTGCTGGACCTCACCATTTCGCCAAGCTTTTATGGCAATAACGGGCTATTTCATTGACCAAGAGTGGAATTACCGAGAGCTCTTGCTTGGCTTTGAACCTCTACAGGGCTCACATACGGGGGCCTATCTAAGCACTGTCCTGCTTGACCTTCTTGAGAAGCATCGGATTACTGAGAGGGTGTTAACTATTACTACTGATAACGCATCTAATAACGGAACATTACTCGGTAGCCTTCAAGAGGTCGTCGAATCCCTACAGCTACCTAGTAGTATACCGGTTATTCGTATACCATGTATTGCACATGTTATACAGCTCAGTTTGAAGGAGCTCCTTGGTCAGATGGACGCGAACCCAGGAAACGAGAGGGAAGAGATTGAATGGACCGAGAAAGGGCATATAGCTCGGCAAGAGAATAGAAAGATCGTGGATACTCTGAACAAGGTCTAGCTCTCTCTAATCTCTTACTATTATCTCTCTTTCTTTACTAACTCGCACTATATTCTAGGTTCGGAAGGTAGCAGTCTACATCAACAAAAGTCCCCAGCGCCGCGAGAGCTTCATAAGGCTTCAGACGAAAGAGCCTAAGCTTATGCCTATACAAGATGTTCGGACACGATGGAATTCGACGTTCCTCATGCTCAGGCGTGCCCGGCGATTGCAGTCTGCCTTTGATGACTTCTGTGTCCAATTCAACCTCGCTGATGTAAAGATAGACAGAGATAAATGGCGACAAGTTGACTATCTTCTGTCAATCACTTATCCCTTCTTCAAATTCACTTCGTCTCTTTCGGCAACTACAGACGTGACTATCCATAACGTCTTTGGTATCTATAACGCCCTATTCACACATATTGATAAGGCGAAAGTGCAGCTAGCGCGAAAGAAGGTTGGTTGGAAGAGAGTGATGAAGTCCGCGCTTGACCGTGCGCGCGATAAGCTTACAGAGTATTATGGAAAGACTGATGATATTCCTGGTGATCTCTATGCAATTGCGACTATCCTAGGACCACGGAACAAGCTAGAGTTCTTCACAACATCTGAATGGGAACCTCACTGGGGGCCTCGCTATAAGCAGTCGCTAGAGGCTTACATTCAGCCTTACCGGCAGCGCTACGAAGAGGCACAGTCTACATCAACTCTCCAGCCCACAATTCAAGACGTCTCTGACATTGATATCCTTCTGAGACCTACTGTATCTCTTCAGTCAAACGTGACGGCTCCAGATGAGCTTACACGGTATCTTAGAAGTAGTAAGTTAATCTATATACCTCTTCTTATATACTCCTTCTCTTATACCACCCTCACTAGGTACTGTCGAAGCAACCCCTCTCGTTTTCTGGAAAGAACACCAAAATGAATATCCTATTCTGGCAAGCCTTGCTCGAGACATCCTTACAACACCAGCCAGTGGTTCTGGCGTTGAGCGGTTATTTAACTCTGCGCGTGATATCTGCCATTATCGCCGGGGCTCACTGAAACCGCAGACAATCAAGGAATTGATGTTGTTTATGTGTACAACAAAATTTGACGTGGAGTCAGAGCAGCTTGCCCTAGTTGATGAGTATCTTTCTACGCAAGAGAAGCAAGCAAAGAAAGAGCAGAAGGACGCCCAGAAGAAAGAGGAACAATTTGATCCAATTAGTGATAACGAGGAAGACCTATCCACTACTGAAGATTCTGCCGAAACTATCCAACTTCCTAGTGCGCGAGCGCTTGGAAAGAGAAGGGCTACCCCGGATCAGCTATTTGAACTTGACGATGATGACGATGAGGTTCCCCTGCCTGATAATAGCCACTTAGAAGAAGGGAGGACTACTCAGAGGCGTTCATCTGGGCGTGTTCCAAAGCGCTTGAGACAGGATGAGGATTTTGTATATCTTTAATAGAAACAAGAACCACATAAGCTATTCATAAGGAAATCAGTCAATCCTCGCTTTTTCGGTAGAAATCAACAGACACCAAACAAAGAATTATTCTTTACTCCTACCTCAGAATTATATAAAATTAAATATCATTTGAAAGCAGAATACTCAAAAATACAGGCGACTTCTACATAAATTATGCATACCTTGGGTCTAAGATGTTTTGCTTGTTTGCAGGACCGCAGGACCGCACCAAACCGCAGTGGTGCGGTCCCTAAAAATGTAGGACCGCCCAGCGGTCTCAAGGTCTGGGACCAAAGACCGCGCGGTGCGGTCTAATGCGGTCTTGGGTGCGGTCTTTCCGGTCCCGTGCAGAGGCCTAGCAGGGATTGACGCGCCGATACGAGAATTTAACTTTCTGGCATGCTGTCGCGAACTGAGGGCCAATTTATACTCGTCACAGCCCTCCCTAGCTTCCCTTTAGTGGCTTAGAAAGGGCTATGCCGGACCAAATATAAGCAAGTGTCCTGGTCGATTCGTTCCAAATGGACTGAATCGGTGCTTCTCTACAGGCATCACTTAGTGTACCTCAGGAGGAAGGACACCCTACTTCTGTCGATCATGTCAGTACAAGGACGCACGCTTAATCTTAGCCTTTCTTTCTTGTAGGCCTCCAGTTGATAGACTGGGCGGTCATTGGATGAATAGCACAACGTGGGCGCTGCCAGGGGCTGTGGGGCTGTGAGAATAAGCCTTAGGGCTGCTTTGGCGCCGCAAATTCAATAATCTCCTTGCTGAAGCAGAATCCCCATGAATGTGTTTGGTTTCTATAGGGCCCTTCAAATGAAATCTCAGTAGATTGGCTTAGAGTGCTCAGAGGACTGAATCTCCTCTCTCAACCCCTACATATTGTCCCAAGTGGCGATTGAGCGAGGCGCACAGGGGTTCATATGGTTAGAGATCCACGAAAGGCGCGATCTGCTAAATTGGGCAAAAGGTGAGCTTATCAAACTCTATTTTCGATCATTTCCCCTTGATAGGCCATCTTTAGGGTGAGATTTTGTGGCTATGCGGCTCATGCCCGTCAAAGGAAGCGTGCCTAGCTAGACGTGATGCAGTATATACTTGTACTGTATCCCCCTCGTATTCCCGAATGTCAACCCCTTTTTGTTTGGGCATACCTAAGGTTGCACCCTTATACAGACTCCATTTCCGCCTCCATTTGCCTCCGCCACTATGGATCATAAAAGGAATACCCCTTCCTGTTACCGCGTGCCTTTTATTGTCAACCTTCTAGCAGCAATCTGTCTGGCGATTTTGATTGCTCTAGGCGTCTATGTCAGTAAGACGACGATCCTGGTTGGCGGAACTTCGTCCCCCGGATTCCCCGTCATCAAGGTAGACACAAATAGCTGGAACGTGGGGTGTACTGTTATTGGTACTGCCGTCGGGCTGTTGCTCTCGTGGGGATTTTCCAGCTACGATGATCTCTTAACACGAAAGGAGCTACAAAGCCCTGATGGGGTCTTGGCTATGTATCTAAGGCCGTTGTCTGCGATGCGTGGATTGAATCAATTGCAACGACGAAGATTTCCAGCGACGCGCAGCTTCCTCATCCTTGCCAGCGCCGTCTCCTCCCTGACCAGTGCTGCGACCGTCGCAATCTTTGGCATCCACACCGCTCGTGTTACCGTTACCAACCCTTCGGCTTCGTATCCCCTGGATCATTTCCCAGGAGGGGGCTGGGTGCGTAATCCCGACAAGTCTTCTTACTCGGTTGTAATAGCTCCCGAAGTCTCTCTTCTCAGCAGTTTCCTATACCGAGATTCCTACATTCGATCATTGCAAGCAATAGGGCAAGGAAACCTTCTCGGGAAGGGCAATTGGCAGCCAGAGTCAGGTACTATTGGAAGCACGAACTATCCCGGGTTGAACACGTCTGGTATTGGATTGAACATGTCATCTTATACCCAATACTCCGGTCCCTCTTCTGGGTTTAATCTCCCCACCTCCTACACATTCGAACGACTCGATGCCAAAGTCTTTGGAACCATCGTCGACGTGACCTGCACCAATGCGACGGCCTTGTACACTGTTACAACGACAAAATACGGCGATCCAGAGAATCCCGACGTGGTGCTATATCATTTTGCAAAGGGTAATGTCGTCAACACAACAGTGCTACTGGACCGGGGTTATGCATATCCACTCAGTATCGGCTCGGTCGTCACTGAAAAGAATGGTGAACCGCTTCACACTTTGCTCTTACCGGGTGATGATATCGATCCACCATTCGTTCTTGAGTGCACATACGGAGGAAACGAAATCCTCGCGTCGATCAGCCTTCTAGACCGTGTTTCGCCTCTCCAGGTCAATGGAATTGTGACCCAAGAATCTTCGCTGAACGCCACTGTGAAATGGAAGCTTTCTAATATGACCGACCAATACATAAACGGTTACAGTCACTCGGGCCCAGGAGGCAGTCTAGCAGATGGCTGGGTTGCGTCAGGTTATTACAATTACAATTTCGGCGACAGCAGCACACTCACTGCACAGACGATGGGTCAGATTCTAAGTGAATTAGGCGAGGCATACTTTAGTCTGTTGAAACAAAACTTTGAAAATGCGAATCAAATCCGCAGTGCGGATCAGATGTCTCCGAACGGGAGCTTCGTGAAAATGGCGGTCTCGGTCCTTCGAGTGGGCGGCTCATCCGACGCTTGGCTGATTATTTATGCGTTGATGTTCATCTCGGCCATGCCTGGAGTGATCATGGCAGCTGTCTACAGACGTGTATTACAATGGTCACCTCAAGATCCCGTTGAGATATTACAGAAATTCCTTCCTGCGGCCAGCGTTGACGAGTTAACCCAACTAGAATTCCAAAATCGATTTCAAGCTGTCCATCAAGGTGGAGTGAGGTTGCCGCAGGTACAACAGGTAGGGTTCCCCGGACGAAGCTAGCCTATCCTAATCATGGTCTGTTCTTGTGATTGTATTCTTTTTATTTCGAGGGCAGCAGGAATCTTTAGTCATAAATAAGTCATAATAACCATGTAATTTTCTATCTGATGGGCATGAAACACGGTCCTCTTCAGGGCCACCTATAGTAAACTTTGTAGGTCAGTAAGGTGTGGATGATTCTGGCTTTCTGACTGATCTTGGAAATTGGCTTCATACTATAGACAGGCGTACTAGAGACAAGACCATTAAGCGGAGATTGTTCTATTTTTGACAAAATTGTAGGGATATTCTCCCAAAATCCGATATTTCTCTACATCAACCACTTCCTTCGGTGCCCTTGGCCTCCCTCCAGTGTTACAGTCGCCTCGATTCTCACCCAGAGGACCGCGAAGGTGGCAGCAGCAAGGAGGACTCCAACCATGATACTCGTATTCTCATAGCTTCTTGGGCTTGCCGTTTGCTGTTGGTTGCTCCTAATCAACAACCCGGCGATCGGAGTGCCGAATAGTGTCGCAAGCCCTCGGACCATATATAGAGCCCCGTTGACACTAACGAAGTTCTGGACGCCGAAAAGTTCGACCAGACTGGTGGGAAACAAAGAAACGTATGCCGATGCGAAGATTCCATAGAAAATTGTGAATATAATGAAAAGGGTGCTCCCACTGGCCGCAGTGGTTGAAAGTGCCGACGGTAGCCACAATGCTAGAACGGCAATTGCCGAGACCATAGTAGTCAGGAATAAAGTATTAAGTCGTCCCATTCGATCAGCGGCATATCCAATCACAATTTTGCCCAAGGCATTAGCGGCGTTCGAGATGGCAATGAAATTGGCCGAAGTCGCTTGCGAGTATCCTAAGGTTCGGGCAAAAGAAGCGAAAAAGAATACTGGGGTATAATAAGCAGCAGATTGAAGGGCTGCACCCAGGGCATGTGCCGCAAATTTGCGAGTTCGCACGACGCGCCAATCGATCAGTGGGATTCGAAGAAAATTAAATCGGCGCGCATTCGCCGCGTTTTCGGTTTGGATGCGGGACATTTGGCTGGCTGGCCACTTCATAAAGAACCCGGCTGCCATGATCAGAGCGAAGGAAATGCCCGCCGTAATCCGGAGGGTATTTCGAAATCCAACACGCTCAATGAGTGATCGGAAAGCAAGTGGCCAGACGACACCTCCAACGCCAGTACCCGAGAGAATGACGCCCATTGCAAGGCCACGATGACGGGAAAACCATGTTGGCGCAACAGTCACCGAAGGCATGTAAGCCATGCACGTTCCGATTCCCAAAAAAAACCCCTGGGTAAGGATGAACTGCCAAAGAGCCTGGCTGAAGCTGGCAAGAACCAGAGCACCAGCATAGATGATACCACCACTCCATATGACTGCTCTGGGGGAGTACTGCTTTGTCCAGGCTGTTGTAAACGGAGCTCCAATGGTCATCAAGGCGATGGATAGTGTTCCGATGAGATCAATTTGTGCTGGTGATGCCCCGGTGAACGGAGTGTTTGGAATTTTCGACATGGAGTCGTAGAGTTCCTGGTAAACACCAAACGTGAAATTGATACCACATCCTGTGAATACAAGGGCAGTCGAAGATGTGAGAATCAGGAATGGCTGTCTTAACAATAATTAGCTTGCCTTTAGTATTGGGGAGAGGTAGCTTGTACATACAAACGCTCCCAGACATTAACCTGGCTATTGCCGGCCACAAGCATAGGCTCGAATGAGCGATCCTCCATAGCGACGATGTTGAAGACCTTGAAGTTTGAGTTCTGGCAGGGCGGGCTTTTTTTAGTAGAAGCTTCGGCGTTTTGACTCATGGCGCCGAGTGGATGCGACTGTGGGGTACGCTGATCCACTCGGTGGATGAATGAACGAGCTGGGGACTCGGCCGCCGAAGCCGAAGCCCAAAAAGAAAGATCATGCCAACTAGTATGAGTATGTTGAAATATCTTTATATTGTCAAAAAATAGAAACACCGAAGCTAAATAAATTGCTATGGAACTATCTCTTCATCCGGACCTTACGCGTGTCCGGTGCTACTGTGATCGAGTTGACCTAAAGTCAACCAAGAATCAAAATGAAAAGTAGAGAGAGAAAAGGCTTCTTGGCTTCTTTTAGTTTTGACCCTCTTAGACTTTCATGAGGCAGTGGCATCCTAGCAACCCCCGATTAGGGGTTGCTTCTCTTAGGTGGTCTACATCGTGGAAACGTCGCCCCAAAACAAAGACGGCTTGAGATAGCCACAATCAGAGTGACCAAGTGGAACCAGAGCTATCAAAGCGGCAAAGCGTTTCAGAGAGTTGTGTACATGCTTTATAGCGGGTTGAACAGACCAGTTGATAAGTGGATGATCACGGCAAAACACCGAGCATCAAAGCCACTAGGGATTTAGCTCCAATCTTCTAATTCGCTGAGGAATGGCTCTACCTTCATTCTATCACGATTGGGGTAAAAGAGGAGAATTTACCCCGCATCTCCTACTTTTAGCTGGAGATAAGCAAGATAGCATACTATCGTATCCTATTCAACTCATTTCTCTCAGCCCCTGGGAGACCATACGAGTCATCTTCACAAAAAGTTCCGTACCGGTGTTGATCTACAATATCCATATCCGCAGACACTTTCTATCAGATCGATGTCCCTAGAAATCAGGGAAGAATTTGAACTGCATGGCACAAAGCGCAAGCATGATGGCTCAGTGACCAGGAGACGTGCTTCACTTGCGTAAGTTGTCACACCTTGCTCTATGTCTGACTTCTAATCGGTAGCAGGTGTGATACATGCCGGAAGCAGAAGGAAAAGTGTGAAGGGGGCCTTCCTTGCTGGAGATGCCAACGATTAGGTCGACCCTGTCGCTTCCAAGAGCCAGCAGCCACGAAGAAAACATCGACGAAGTCTGTGGACCCGTCGACTAATTTGAATTCCGAGAAGCGGGATCAACACATTCAAAATTTGGAGCAGATAGTTCAGCACTTTCTTGGAGATGTGCCATTGGACGAGGAAAATATCGGGCGCATTGCGGCGAAATGCTCGTCAAATAACAGAAACGATAAGGAAAGCCTGCTGAAAGTAAACGAGTCTTTTGATGTTCAATTTGTGTCTGGAAATGTTGCTTGTGGGTTAAAGTTGCTGTTGGCCTCTCTATCCAGACCCTAACTTTCCTAGTTTACTCCGGCGAGTTTTCACATTGGAATTTTGCAGAGAAACTGCGCCGGACGACGCGCTCTGACCGGGACTCCGCCAACGTTGGCGTATGTTATTCCTAGTCAAAACACTGCTTTCGACCAAGCACTAACATGATTGCATTTTTTAGGTCAAAGAATACTGGCGTCCAACCCATCTCCAGTCCTCTACGCACATCGTCGCCGAAGCTATCTCCCAACTCCCTCCACGCCCAATCGCGGAATTTCTGATTGGGGTATTTTTTCGATACGAGGAACTGAATTCATTCTATTTAGAGAAGAGCTGGATTCAAGACAAATTGGCACTTTGCTACAACCCTACAACTGTATATACTGTCAACGATATCCCTTGGGTGTGTACCTTCTTCGCTGTTCTTGCGATCGGGACACAAATGGCACATATGGAGGACGATAGTCATGACCCAAGTTCTCAAGGACTCGAAGAGCTTAGTGATTGTTCTGAAGACTCGGTGGGCTTGGTCTTTTACCATGTGGCGTCCAAGTTGGTTCCCGATGTTTTTCTGGCTGCATCATACGAAAGTGTGCAGGCCTTTCTGCTTCTTGCGGCATGGGCTTTGCCAATTTCTACTGGGGGACTATCATACACTTATTTTGGATTATCTATGAAAATGGCCATCCAGAATGGCATGCACCGGAAATATGTTGGGAATGATTGTGATGGTCGGATAATCGAGTTGAGGAATCGGCTATTCTGGACCGTCTACACACTTGAAATGTTAGGCATGCGAATCATGCTACCAGAAAAAGGGCTAACAATTGTTACAGGCGAACGAGCATCTTGCACGGAAGGCCGTGCTCACTGGCCCGTTCAGACATCAATGCAGACTTACCGAAGCAACATCCAGCTTTCCAGTCGCCTAATTTCACCAACATGATGGCTTTCATCAAGCTAGTCACCTGGATGGGCGAGGTTGCCGACACATTGTAAGAAATACTTCTGTCTCATAGATAATTTTAGTCAAGCTAATCTTACTTGACATCTGTTTAGAGCACAGTTCAAAAGATGCCCCCGAAGGCTTCTCGTGGAGTACTCTGACCGACTTCTTCAACTAAAAACCAGCATCAAGGAATGGTGGGACTCTCTGCCCACGAAGATTGAGTGTCGAGACTATGATCCCCAGGGGCCATTATTTCGTCAGAATTCACACATGAAACTCTGTTACTTGCTTATTTACATCTACATGGGCCGTCCATTCATCTTCAGGAATGAAGACAGTGAGAGTCGGTCAAGTGACAATGATCCCTCGAATCCTCGCTCTGAGCTTGTTAGTGATTGTGTGCAGAGTGCTTTGGACATCCTCGCAGCATTACAATCGCTCTCGGATACCATTGGCCTCTGTCGCGCATCTTATACCGAGTTTAGCTCCTGCCGAGCAGCCATTCTAGTGATTCTCGCCGAGAGTCTCAATTTAGGAAGATCTTCGAACCTTCAAAGTAGCTTGGGCCAGGGGATGGTTTTGATACGCCAGATGCTAGGTGGAACTGCATCTCAATCAGAGATATCATACATTGAATCTATCGAAGCCGCTATTCGTCAATTATCTTCGAACGACAACGAAACTGACAGCACAACAGCCAACCCTGCACAAGGCTCTACATCTGCTTATGCCAAATTCAAGGACTGGACCCAATCTATGAAAAAGGACAGACGCACATCAAATAACCTAGAACTAGCCTCGTTCAGTCCAATGTCACATATGGTGGCGGGAGGTGAAAGTGTCCTGCAACCGGATAACAACGACCTAAGTGGGTTATTCAATGCGGACTGGGCAATATGTGACCTAGGACTTAATCTGAACGACTTTCCCGGGTCATAAAATTGTGACAAGCTCAATTGAATCAAATTTGCCTCTTGCCGCACATGAATGGGTATCTACACTCTAACCAAATATCAAGTAACGTGCTCGTTTGAACCAAGTCTCTGACTTGTTCAGGTCCTCCCTCTCCTGCTCAGCCAGCTCCTCCAGACGCTCCTCCTCATCAAAGTAATGAGCCTCAGTAAAGTCCATATCCTTTGGCTTGACAATCCTTGTCTTGTAGTAAAACTGGTCCTGTGTTAGCTTTGAATCATTTAAGAAGTATTATAACATTCAACATACCTTATACGCAAAGTAGTCGAAGCAAAACAGCGGCGCAGCAAGATAGCTTGAGAAGAAGCTTTTCACTGAGCCCTTTCCGCCAAATGGCCAACAGGCCAGGTAGAACTCGCAGCCGAAAATGAAAACGACAATTATAAGGCTGAGATATTGAGCCCATGGGGTGAGGAAGCCTTGGAAAGGAAGGGTGCGAAGATCTTTTCCTTGTGCTTTCAACCCCTGACGGAACCTGAGGTGGGAAATGTAGCATGATGACCATTCGAATAGAGTCGCAATGGCAACCTAGTGGTGAATGTAAGTTATTATGATCATTCAAAAATAGGGAATTGCCCTTACCAGAGATGAGAACCAGCCATAAACAACAACACCGATACTGTTCACGTTGAGATAACATAGCCCACCACCTAACCCCAAGCTAATGATGATAGAAACATACGGCCGACCCTGCTTATCCTTCCTCCCGAAGAAGGGATGAATAATGTTCATGTCGGCCATTGCTGTCAAGCTGCGCGACGCCACGTATACACTTGTTATACCACAAGAGATCACGCTGAGGAAAATGAAGCCGTTTATAACATGTGCCAATGGATAGACACCTGCACGCCTGATGGCTATCACAAAAGGACTTCCCAGTGTTCCACTTGCCGTTGCGAGATCAGTATCATCACTTGGGACACACATTCCCACCAGCCAGATGTTCACAACGAAGAAAGTGAACATGCGCCAGAAGACAGGTCGTACGGTCTTTTTAATGGTCTGTCGTGGGTTTGCGACTTCTCCGGCAATAACAGCGATATGCTCGCCTAGAGAATCCTGTTAGTCCTTGTTCAACAAATTTTGACGTGCGTTTATATACCTCCACCAAAGCTGAATGCGGCTTGCACAAAGGCCTTGGCTATTCCCTTAATTCCATTCTTGAACGCGCCAGGGTTTATCCAGTAGCGGAACTCGATCGGTCCATTGGTAGCCGCGATACCACCCGAAGTCATGATGAACATGAAGAAGATCATCAATATAACTGCCAGGCATTTGATGAAAGACATATAGTACTCGATGTATCCGTAGATTCTGACATGGAATGTATTACCAATGCCGATGACGACCAGGAATATCGTGATATATGCAGCAAGAGGGATCGCATTCGTCTCTGGCCAGAATTGAAGGACCGAGACTGCTGCTGTAATTTCGGCTGGGATGATCATCACCCACTTGAAGTGTATAAGTAAATATGAATTCTAAGTGGATGGGGAGGTACTAACGGCAAACCAAAAGTTCATTCCAATCGCGAATCCCCAAGCTGGATCAATATATTCAATGCATTGGCGAATAAAACCGCCGTGAACTGGCTTGTACGTTGTCATTTCGCCGATCGAGGAATATTGGGCATAAACAATGATACTGAATCGCGCACTGTTAGTTACATAGCAACTTCGGATTATTGATTTTCTTACGCAGTAAGTGTGTATGCCACAGCAGTTCCAGCAGGACCAGCTAACTTCAGATTAACATATTCTGTTCGCCTTCGCAGAGGAAAGACAACATACCATAATGCAATGCTTGACCAGTCCCCACCCAAAGTCCAGTGCCAATGCCAGCGCCAAACGTCATCATCATGACCTTGCGTCTGGTGAGGGACCGGTGGTAGCCCGCCGTAAGTGACTCAGAGGGTATCTCCTTGCAGTCGCCATGCTGATCAGTTGCCGTAGTTGCAGTTCTTTCGATATCAATTCCCGCATTTGCACTGCCTTTGATTTCGATTTTATCCGGCGAGGTCTCGTGCATTGTCGCCATTAAGGATGAGGGATGAACGATTGATTACAGATCATAGTTTGCGAAAGGGTCTTTCTGCACATCTTAAAGTCTACACCTAGAATTCGCCCCCTCGTGTCTTTATTTTGCTATCTTTGAGTATCAATTCATACCCGGCGGGAAAGCCGAGTAGCCACCGGGAAGGTGGCCAAGGAGCGGGGTTGATAAGTTCTCTCCACTTTTCAATTGACTCTATCTCCTCATTTTGAAGATCAGTCCTTCAAATATGACTCACGACTCTATGCATACGTCTTTGGCTGCATATTAAATTGACTGAAATGCCCTGTCGCTGATAAGGAGCATACCCTGGAAACAGCTCTCTTCTTACCAAATATTAAAAAACAAACAATGGCTTCATCTAAGAACGTTGTCTTTGATATTGTGGGCACGCTTGTATCCTACGACCATCTTTACGATGCTATCGATCGCAGACTAGGAGATCGCCTGCGTGCGGAGCTCATCAAGCCATGGCTTCTAGGCCAGCTTTGGATGGAAACTGCCGAGCGTGAATATACCAATCTCAGTATTGCCGGTCGATATGCACCATACGCCGAGGTTTTTGAATCGCTCTTCTATCGCATTCTCTGGATGGGCGGAGTTCAGAAGCCTCGTGACTTTGCCTCGCCAGAGGATCTGGCCTGGATTATGGAAGAGTACCAGAAGCTCACCATGCGCCCTGGGGCAGCCGAGTGTGTGCAAAAGCTACGCGATGCTGGATTCACAGTCTGGGCTTTCACTGCCGCCGATCTGAAGCGTGTGGGAGGGTATTTTGCGAAGGCGGGCGTCGACCTGCCAGCGGAGAACTTGCTTTCCTGCGATTCTGCCGGTGTGGGCAAGCCTGATCTTGCGGCCTATAAGCCTTTGTTGGAGAGGCTGAAGGCAGAGAATGATGGGAAGACTCCTTGGTTTGCTGCGGCTCATATGTGGGATGTCTCTGCTGCTCGCACTGCTGGGTAAGTGGTTTGCTGGAGTATCCTCCTCCATGGGGCGGTCGCTGATTATGTTACTTTTACAGATTCAAGGGAGCTTACTGTACTGTGTTGGAGAATGAGCCATTGCATAATCTGTTTGGAGATATGGACGTGGTTGATGATACTCTACCGGGCATGGCTGAGAAGATTATTGCCGCTCAGGCTGCTTCATATGATGTATAAGCATGTATCTTAGACAGAGACAAACGAAACAATTCAAGTTGTTTTATTAGATTTACATGGAATTGACCTTGTTGTTTTTAATATATAGTTATACTCCTAAACCTTAATCCAAAGCTCCCCCGGCTAATGTGTGGCTTCTGAAATATCTCGAGGCGAGTAAGAGCCTATTTCCATGTAGAAGAATAGAAGCTGAAAATAATCAATGGAAAGAGACTATACGGATACTTCTCATACAAGGTATTCAATCATCCAGCTGCCACGTTTCGGATACATGCTTATCGCCCGGGATCTCGCTGTATGACCCGCCGGTTAACACTCCCACCGGCAACTCGAGTGTCGTACCCGGTGAGGGGAACATGCCCCGGCTAAGAAGAGTTAGCTCCGGTCGGTTCTCCAAGCAACTAACTTTCACCAATAAATGCAGAATCATATCAAGCGAATCTTTGGCGTTAACGTTTGATTGTTCATGCTTTCTTCCATCCAAAGCTAAAATGCCATCCGAACACTTCCCTGCCTCAAATGGGATGCTGCCTTACTGGCGCACAGAGCCCCATCGGCTCGATAACTTTCGGTCCACAGAAGCTCTGCCGAAGGAGAGCGATATCGTCATTGTGGGTGCTGGATATGCAGGCTCTTCTCTTGCTTATCATATACTTGATCAAGTTCCGCCTGGAGACAAGCCCCCTTCTATCACCATTTTGGAGGCGCGACAGGCATGTTCTGGGGCGACAGCCCGAAATGGTAAGATCATAAATTCTTTGATAGAATCCACCAAAGCCTAATGGTTATTGACTCGTTTCTAGGAGGCCATATGAAACCTGATATCTACAACTTTGTCGCTACTATCGAAGCAGAGCATGGTGTCGAAGCCGCAGCAGAGGTTGCAGCATTCGAAGCAAACCATGTCCATGCCATCAAGGACTTTGTTGATAAGGAGAAAATTGACTGTGACTATACAGTCACCAAAGCGATCGATGTGCAATTAAGTTCGGATCATTTTCAGAAGCTTAAGAACGGGCATGTGCGGTTGGTTTCGAATGGAAGCGAACCAACTAAGCAGGCTCGCTTTGTGAATGCTGAGAACGCGGAATCGGTGAGTATGTCCAAAGTAGAAAAGCATGATCCATTCAGCTAATTATTTTCCAGTTCTCGAGTGTCAAAGGCGCAGTTGGCTGTGTTACATACGATGCCGGCAGTATCTGGGCTTACAAGTTCGTGCTCCATATCTTGGAGAAAGTAGTCTCGCAAGGCGTGAATCTGCAGACTCATACGCCCGTGTCTAAAATCACAAAATCAACCAATAATTCACCGTCTTCTGCAAAGTGGGCCGTGCAGACTGCGCGCGGCACTATCACCGCACAAAAGGTGATCCTTGCGACCAATGCCTATACCTCCGCTCTCGCACCACAATACCAGAACAAGATTGTTCCCGTTAGAGGGACGTGCTGTCGAATTGCCGTTCCTCCAGGATCCACTGCCCCGCGCTTGACGAGTACTTATACCTTGCGGTGGAATAGTTGGGACTACGATTATCTGATCCCTCGTGCGGATCGGAGTATCGTCGTGGGAGGTGCCCGAACGGCTTTCATTGACAAGTTGGATAACTGGTACAATGTCAGCGATGACAGTCGCGTTCTGGAGAGTGCCGTACGCTATTTCGATGGCTACATGCAGAGGAATTTTGTGGGATGGGAAGATAGTAATGCGTACACTGATCGGGTGTGGACTGGCAGTAAGTGCATGATATGATGCCCCTTGCATATGCGAACACACTTGTCTATTCAACCGAACTGACATGACCTCCCCCACCCCAGTTATGGGATACTCGTCTGATGGATTACCGCACATCGGGTCGGTTCCTGGACAGAAAGATCAATATATTTTGGCTGGATTTACTGGCCACGGGATGCCACAGATCTTTTTTGCGGCGGAGGGTATTGCGAAGATGGTGGTGGGTGGTATGACATTCGAAGAGACTGGTCTACCCCGGTTATTCAAGACGAGTCAGTCGAGACTTGATAAGCAGGAGAACAAGATACTCAAGAGCGCGCCTCAAAGTGGATCCTCGCAGGCCAAGCTATGAAAAAGATTAGCTAGTGGGTATCATGAATTGACCACTAGTGTGTGCATTTAAGAAGGCGATCGAGATATTGAATTGCTTTCAAGACTTTGCTATGGTCACAAACAATTTCCTCCATCCAATAATCTAATCAAAATTGGGTGTAGGGATTATTTAGCATATTGCACTGTAAACACATCCCGATCCTTGTTCAGCTAGAGCGTCACTTGAATAGGACCAGTCTTGACTTGGTTAGTCACGGTCGAAACCAGACACACATCAGAGTCCAAAATGACAACGCCAGCAATCTCACCAGTTCCTATTCTAGCTCGTTTAATTAAATCTCGTCCTGCTATCTGGCAATCTCCAATAGTCAAGACCCTAGGCCCTTAACAAGCTAATGCTTGGCGGTGGGCTTGGCACGCAAGACGTCAGTTGGCTGGTGAATTGTGTGAGGGATCCACACCCATTGTCTCCCCCAGTTCCACCCCTGAAGAGGATACGAAAGCATACGAAGATATGCAGAGGGTTTCCTCTCGAATAACTCAAGAATGAGCACGTGGAACGTTATTCGAGACTGGAAAAGGAAAACAGTCCCTTATACGAACGATACACCGGAAGGTGAAGACCAACTTCAAAGTCAATTCCCGAAAACGTCGATCATCCCGATGCTATCAATACGATGGCGTGCTCCTCACCATCTACTGCCCATAATTGCGCGATGGGACCCGCTGGGCTTTCTTAAATGAGCTTCTCTATGCTGACTGACAGAGAAACTTTATACCTTATATACCGGCCCTCCTCCCCCTCGTATTCTCTCCGCTCGTGCTTGGAGTCTCCCGTGATTCTCTACACCTGGGCCACTCACCGCTATACTTTCATTGTCCATTCTCTCCGCACCATCATCTCCGCCTATCTTCTTTTTCTTCGTGTCAACCCGATGGGCGTCCCCGAGGCATTTCCACCTCTCCCCAAGGAGGAACTGGCTATGCAGCCAGCGACTGTTCGGTACGAATACGACCCATGGTTGTTAGATGACCATCCGCTCCGCTCGCATCCAACCGAGTGCATTCCCGGTCTGGGAACGTTTCTCAGCGAGTGGTGTGCCTCTCTTCAATATCGATGGAAGGAGACCTTGTTCCGTACTGGATGTCTTCTTCTAGCATGTCTGTGAGTCGATTCTCCCAGAGATCAAGGGAAAAAGCTGGATCATGGTTTAATTCAGTGCTAACATCGGTCTCGATAGCGCTGTATTCCAATGCCTGAATCTATTTCACTCCCCATCTATCGGTAAAGGCCTGTCGCGCCCACCGGTGACGTCTCGAATCGGTTCTCGCGAATGGCACGTGAGATGCACCTACCCTCACTCGGATCCCCGCCCCAACGCCCTTGCGCAATCCGTTGCTGCAGGCTGCGACGGGCTTCGTACGGGCGTTTGGCTGCGCGACAATGAGCTGCAGATGGGCCCATCCAACTTGGGCCCCAGCGCTATCAATGATTTGCCGCTGCGCCTTGACTCGATGATTGCCAAATTGGAGTCGGATAGTAGCCCACACAGTTCTCAGATTTCGTTGACCATGAGTCCTGGTGGGTTAAATCATAACGATGCTTCACGCACGTTTATGCTGGTCTTGGATGCCGGGTCTTCTCTCCCTGAAGTCTTCCCTACCCTGATCTCCCAACTGGACGTTCTCCGCCAACGGGGCTATCTTAGCCACTGGGATGGTGCTGGGATGGTTCAGCGAGCTGTTACAGTGGTTGTCACGGGCGAGCCTGTGTCCAACTTGGATTGCTCGAGTTCACCTTACTCGGATGTGTTCTGGTCATCCGAGGAAGGATTTATCTTTGCGGAAGATCTTGCCAATGGCCAGCTATCTCCGATCTGTGCTACATGATGCTGCTGACTGCCTTATTTCTTTATAATTATTCTCACTTTTCATGATACCCAATGTCAATGTTAAAACACTATGCCAATATCAAGTCACTTTTTACTCTGTACTACCAGATTGTCTCCAATTAGTATTATTCCGAGGAACTGTTCAACATTGTCAAGGGGATTGCCACGTCAGTTGCGGCCTTAATGAGACATGGTTGTACGGTGTAGATACACTGCACCAACAGGGTATCCAGTCTGCGTCGAGGGTACGGGGGGGCGATCACGAGTCTAATGCAAAGTGATGCATCACAGAATGTACATCACGGAATATGCAGGTGAAACAAAAGAAAAGAAAAAAATCATAATAAAGTAAGCCCAGTCCGTGCAGGCTGCCTGACGTCGGTTAGGTCATACAGTAGTTGTTAGGGCATCAGGGGTCGAGCCCAACGATACAATTGACAAAGATTATACTAGACACTGCTATCGAGGTCAATCACCAAAATACTCCATCAGTGTACTGCTTAATCTGAACTAACTCCACAGCTCGTTTGAATCTCCTTCTCTCCCATTTCCAATGCGTCCGTTTATCGCGCACGAGTGGTGATCCCATCCGATCCCCACATGCGTCTTGGCCCCCCCCCCATCCACCACCGCGCTAAGCCGCTCACCGTTTTTTCTCCGGACTCGCTCCTGAACCATCTCTGTTCTCGACTCGTTCTGGACTTGCGATTCTTCCTTCCTCTTCTTCACCCTGGCAACCTCCCACCCACCCGCCACTCTTGAACTATCCCCAAGTCCTTCATCACCATCATCTCATCCAAGCCCCTCACCCTCGGCTGTCTTGTCTTGTCTCCGCACCTCCTCACCACTCGGGCGCACTATCTCCGACCGGGCATGGATCGCGCGATCATCCGCTGATCCTCGACATCATTCTCAGTTCTCTGTGCGCTTCTTATTTTCCCGGCGCCTCTTCTTCTTCCCGTCAACCGAGCCAAAGTCTCCTTAGCCGCGCCCTCTTTCTTACAGTCTTGTCTCCATCTCCGCGCCTCAACACGCATTGCCAGGGCACGCGCGCCCAAGATGGATCTCTTCCGTCGACTTCACCAGAACTCATATCCGCCCCGGCCATCTCCTCTAAGCGGTTCTCAAGAGCCGCGCGATGATCGTGCTCGCCAGCCCGGCAGTCTCTCGTCGGCCCACGACCCTCGCCGTCGCACCGATGGCGACAAGGCCCGACTGGCCAGTCGCTACGAATACACGCCCACATCGGATCTATACTCGCCCGGTGTATCAAGGGGGTCGCAAGGGGTCCGGGGTGAGAATGCTGGGGCGGCGATTTCTCCGCCGCGGAACCAGCATGCACACCAGCATCGGCGGAATGCCAGCCTTGAAACGCGGCAGCACGCACATGCGCATCGTCGAAATCACTCCCAACCGCAAGGAGCCCATTATCGCGAAGGTTCGTATTTCCCTTGGCCTGTCCATACAGGTGTACTCCTCTTTGGGGAATAGCATATTCCCTCTGCTATTGCGCAGTCTGTTTGTTGTGTCCCCCCCCCCGGATTCAGGAAGAGTTGGGGTCGGACTTGTCCCGTGGTTCTCGCTCCCCCGTCCGGTTCCTCGCTCCACTTTGGGCATGGTCTTGCGTCGAGGCGCACCTTCAAAAGTTATCCCCGAAGACTTGGACCTCGACGAGAGATCTGAAGTTCCCTTGCATGATCGATCCCCCCTATCTGACCAGTTCCAACAATCTTCCTTGCCCTCATTCCCAGCCTCTTCTCCCTCCTTCCCTGATGCTTTTTCCCCGGTGGCGTAGATCCATCGGGAACGCTAGTCTCAATCGGGATTAGCCGCGCTAGTCCGTTCTGGGCTTAGCGGTCGAGCTTCCGGAGTCACGGGTTCACGGTCCTGCGCTTGAGAGGGCGCCTTCCAGGTGGATTCAGCTCATCATCCGCTTCTACCTTTCTTGACGCCGATCAAAGGGTATTGCGCGAGATGAACCACCCGCCCTCTGGCTTTGGGCGCAGGGCGTCCCAAGGCAGCAGTGGCAGTCCCGTGTACTCCGGTGAGTGCGACCGCGACGCGCGCCATGCAGGTCAACTGCAACTGCGCTACATGGATCTAGCCGCCCCCATCATTTCTGTGCCAACGTCGCTGGCGATCTTTTTTGGAGGGCCTTGCATAACGCCCCTGTCCCGAGTGCGTTTACTGACTATTTTTGAATCATCTACAGGCCCTCAAGAACATTCTGCTCCGCCAGCCTTTGGTAGTCGACAAATGCCTCCTCCATCTCCTCCACACTCCTACGGCGCCCGATCGCAGTCGACCAACGCGCCCGCCTCATCCCTACTTTCCCGCGATGCGCCCAGTGCACCATCTCATCGTCCCGGTAGCAGCATGTCCATCTCTGCCATGCTAGGATCGGATTCAGAACGCCCGGCCCGAGATACTGGTTCATCACTTTTTTCGCGACCTCCGGGGTCGTCGATTTTCGGGAATGCGCCTCTGTCCACCTCTTCCGCCATGTCACCACCCACGGGCCCGTCTCGACCATCACCACTGGATCAGTCCGGGTTCCGTCGATCACATACTCCTGAGAAGTCGTTCTCGAGGCCGTCGATGGGTAGGCCGTACCGATCTGGTTCTGGTGGAGGATCGAGTCTGCTGGGAGGCGTCGAGCAGGCTAAATTTGGCGGCCTGTCACGCGCACCACTCTCCCAATACCCCGAGAAACCGCACTCCACGAACCCGTCTCCTCAAATTTCCTCTGCCGAACCGCCTTACAACGAGCCCCGTCGGATGAGCTTCAGCGGGCCCATCGCTCGGCCCAACAGCCAACCACCGAACGCCGATGCTTCAACACGCCCTCCCGGTTACAGTCCACTCTCTCGCCCGTCCGGAGGTCCTCCAGACCGATACGAGCCTGGAAAGCGTGCTAGCTCTTCGTCATATGCAAGTCTCGACCCGCTCGGTCGGGATCCTCACGGTCGATTCGGTAGTATCTTTGGGGACCGCCGCTCGGAAGAAACTGCCCTGAGAGAACGGGAACGGGAGAGAGAGAGGGAACGAGAGCGTGAGAGGGAACGAGAGCGTGAGAGGGAGCGTGCTCTTCTTGGGGCGGATACAAAGGGCCCGCTTGGCACGCAAACACGATTTGGGGCTTTGTACGGCGAACGCGAACCGCTCGAACGGCACTCGGCGTCAACTTGGGATCACGGCCGCTCGCATCCGTCATCCCCCGAGTCAAAACGGTTCCCGGCACCCGATGCAGGATCAGGTTTCGGGTTCGGTGCCATTCAGAGTTACACCAAGTCTTTGGGATCTCAGCCTGGGGGCGGTCGTCAGCCTCCTTTGTCACTGCAAACTGGTCATGGCCAAGTCTCGCCCACTCAACGCGAATCGCCCTATCTCAGCAAGTCCCAAACGCAACCCTCGCGTTTGGGTTCGACTCCTGCAACGGCCTCTTCCACGACAGCTCCCTCGCTCGGACTGTCTGCTGTTGAGGAGCAAGATCGACGCAAAGGTAGTGATGAGCTTCTCCATCACCGGAACCTGCTGGCAGTGGGCGTCGATGGCAAACGTGGTGGCCGGGCTTCTCCACTGCCTCAGGCTGTTCAAGGTGCTCAAGCTCCGTTTATCAGTCCCTCTGGGGAACCTGGAATTAAAAATGAGCTGGGCAGAGTGTTCTCTGGAATTGGCAGCGGTGTCGGCGGTGTGACTGGTGGCTCATCGGGTAGTGGCCCATCGACGCCGCTAATTGCAAGCCCATTCAAGCGCGACAGTCTCACTGGTCGCTCAGTAAATGGGGATGTCGAAGATGCTAAGGCTGCTCGACCAACATCCGCGACCGGTCAACGGCGATCAAGGAAATCGCGGGATGAAGAAGTCCCGATGGATGACGGTGGTGCCGGGGTCTCTGGCCGTGGTCGTCGATCTCGACATGTGCATCATCACCATCACCAGTAAGGGCTTTCTATTCTTTTCTACCTCTCATTTACCAACTTAAACTAACTCTATCCTTCTAGCCACCATCATCATCGCCACAAGGCAGATGAAGAAGCCGCTACTCTCAGTAGCCTACATCGGCCTACGTCCACTAACCTGTTAGGCCGAACTTCTACTCCCGCCGAAGTTCCTGCGGGCCACCATCACCATCATCATCACCACCATCATCACGCACCCCGAGCCACAGCCACTGTGCCTGCATCTCCCATCCGGGAGCCTCGTACGACTGTGAATCTCGAGCCTCTCCTATCAAGCGTGGCGCACTTGCCACGGCATCACCTGGGATCCACGCTGTATACCCCTCGCATCGGCGTCCCAGGTGCCAAAGCTTCCACGGAAAGCTCCAAGTTCGGCTACACAACGACCCCGCAACCCCTTCCCCGGTTCGAGCAACGTGAAAACTGCACTTTCACCGTTCGCGTTCCCCGCTTCCGCATCGATGCGGCTCGGCGTGAGGAGATCTGTGCGCGACGAGCGTTGTGGGGCACAGGCGTCTATACGGACGACTCCGACCCCGTTGCCGCTGCCATCCACTCGGGATACATCCGAGGTGCTTGGGGGGAGGATGTGGATGAATCCATGCTCGATCTGGAAATCAAGGATACCTACCAACATGCTCCACAGCCCACAGCCGAAGACCGTGCTGCAAGTGCCTCCAAGAATGACCAGGAGACTCGCAAGCCCCGTCTTCCGCCAGTCCCTCCTGCCGACAAGGACCTACACATTACCCTTTTGATCCTGCCCCGTGTCGACCAGTACGAATCTACTGTAATGTTCGGTCTCAAGTCCCGCAAGTGGGCCGGCCGTCATGACGGGGTAAGCTTCAAGGTCCACCGAGTGGAGTGGGTGGATGATGGGGTCGGACGCGGGGAAGAGCGAAGCGGCGAGGCCCGACGCAAGCGTCTGCGTACGTTGATGCAGACGGGACGCATCTGTACGGGGCCGGCCATGGCGAGGATGGATGAGCTTCGTCAGAGCGGAGTGCAAGTTCCCCGTTCTCTAGAGGGCCAGGAGCAGCCCACGCCCGTTCAACCGGTGTCTTAATGTCTATCTTACGAAGATCTCCTCTCGCGCATTTCTATCGTGACTTTTCCTTATTTCGGACCCACCTGAACTGTCGGTTTTGCGGGGGTTCCTTTTTTTTACTATGGGGTATCTGTTTATCTAGTCCTGGATCGGACTAGGGGCGTTTCCTCGTCTTTCTTTTGTTAGTATTTTACGTGGTATTGGTGTGCAGTTTTCTTGTTTTCTTGGGGTCGTTGATACCTGCGAATAGCGAGTTTCTTCTTCACGTTTGGATGTGCGGTTCTTTGCTTGTTCTTTATTTTGACTTGTTACTACTCTTCGCCTCTTCCTTTTCTGACCATTCGGGTCAGCGGGAGCGGATGAAGGGATGCCTAGAGGAGGGCTGACAGGGATACGTCTGACCCCCCTCCTTGACATTTATTGTTTGAATTCTAGTTATTTAGTCTCTTTAATATTTACGACGCTCTCCGCGGAGAGCACGTTGGGGTTTCCCGGTCAAGTTGATATTGCTTTCCGTAGTAGTGGCCTCTTTAGTTGATCGCCGGTCCCGCTCAGTAGTTGGACTGTAAGGTTAACTTAAGTTAACCAAGTTAGTGGTAGCTCTCTTGAGACGGAGGATAAGCGCCAGTTGCTCAAACCCCATAATTGGTCAGTTAATCGACCGCTTTCATGGCCGCCTTTACCTTGATGCCTTCTTCTTTAGGCCAGGCTGACGCTATTACCGTAGTACCAATTTAACGATCCCCTTCCTTCTCTTTTATCTTCTGTAGGTCATGTGAATTCTGCCGGACTTTCTGCCTTAGAAAATTGGTTTTAATCAATTGGCGCTTATCGTCCACCTCAGCTCTCCCCGCAAAATCGGGCAAATTGGGTGCCGACCGCTACTTTTAAAGTCCAACGGACCGAGTTTTGATACAAGGGGTACATTATGAAGTCATTTTATGCATCAGTCGTTTTTCCGAGTAAATGAAATTTCTAGTAATTTCTCGGCACTCTATCCTTCGGTGAGCCAATCCTAACTCGTTCCCCATACTTCATCAATTTGGCCTTTCGGTCCACTTTGTTCCCCCAGACTCTCTTCCACAGTCAACCGAGGCTCAGCGGCCGGTACCATTCACCCTGGATTGGTAACCGTATTTCCGTAAGTTATGGTTTTCCTCGGAGAGAACCCGTGCCATTCTGCCAGTCCGGACGGGACCGACACATGCTAACGTGACAATACATGACCATACACAGCCAGACGATACACCGCCCTGGCTGTCCGCTTCGGGCTCTCCGTACAGCCGAGGCATTTCAGCCGGTCAACCCAGTTCTTATGAGGCCTTTCTCCTGACCAAACTCCGACACATTTGTCTTCTGCTTCTTCTTTTTTTCTTTATACCCCCCAAGCATCTTCCTTCTTTATACCATTGAGAGGGATGTTCGCTGCCTCTGCGCGAAGCCGTCTCTCCACCCTGTCAAGGCCCCGGCTCCCTCCGACACAACTACTCGCCCGCTCGGTAAGTCGGCCAGCTCCGATCCCGTTGTGAGCTGCTCTACAGATGAGAGAGAATCAACCTGCAGAGCAGTCGCAGCGAGAAGATCGTCCAAACAAAGCAACACGAACAATTGAACTGACTCTCCCCGTATAGACTCCCGCCATGGCTCGCAAGGCGTCGTCCGTCCCTGAGGGTGAGTTATCACATGCCCCGCGCGAGGGAACCTCATGAACGAGAATGTTTGCGTTTCTCGAGAGCGGACAAAACTCGTGCGCCAACGCCTCGGATTCAAACTAATGCGCCGATCTAGGATACAAGGAGGATCTCTCCAAGGGCAAGATGCTCCGCTTCGAAGATTCCCTGCCCCGCCTCCCCGTCCCAACCCTGGAGGAGACCGGTAAGCGCTACCTCAAGTCCGTCCACCCGCTGGTGTCCGAGGCCGAGTTCGAGCGCACCAAGAAGGCCGTCGAGGCCTTCATTCGCCCCGGTGGTGAGGGTGAGCCCCTGCAGAAGCGTCTGCTGGAGCGTGCCGCCGACCCCAAGGTCAAGAACTGGCTCGCCGAGTGGTGGAACTCGGCCGCCTACCTGGGTTACCGTGACCCCGTCATTCCATACGTCTCCTACTTCTACTCCTACCGTGACGACCGGGAACGCCGTAACCCGGCCAAGCGTGCCGCTGCCATTACCTCCGCTGCGCTCGAGTTCAAGCGCCAAGTCGATGATGGCTCCCTCGAACCCGAGTACATGCGTGGTCAGCCCATGGCCATGAGCTCGTACGAGTACATGTTCAACTGCTGCCGTATCCCCGCCGATCCCGAGGATTTCCCGCGCAAGTACTCTGCGGCCGAGAACCAGCACATCATCGCCGTCCGCAAGAACCAGTTCTTCAAGGTGCCGCTCGTCGTGGACGGTCAGGCCCTGAACGTGTCCGAGTTGGAGCAGCAGTTCCAACGCATCTACGAGATTGCTCAGCCTGCCCCGCCGGTCGGTGTGCTGACTGTGGCGGACCGTGATCACTGGACTGCTGCCCGTAAGAAGATTGTTGCTGCCGACGCGGCCAACGAGCAGGCTCTGCTGGATATCGAGTCCGCCGGTTTCGTCGTCTGCCTGGACGATGCTAAGCCCGTGACTCTGGAGGAGCGTGCTCACCAGTACTGGCACGGTGATGGCACTAACCGTTGGTTCGACAAGCCTCTGCAGTTCATTGTCAACGACAACGGCACTGCTGGTTTCATGGGCGAGCACTCCATGATGGACGGTACCCCTACTCACCGTCTCAATGACTTTGTCAACGCTCTGATCTTCGGCAAGAAGATTGATCTCTCTGCCAAGTCTGTCCGTTCCCAGCTGGCCGACCCCAAGGCCATCAAGTTCACCCTGAACGACGAGGTCAACGAGGCCATCGACATTGCCGCTCAGTACCACCGCAAGCAGATCGGCTCTCACGAGCTCGTCGTCCAGGCTTACCAGGGCTACGGCAAGGGTCTGATCAAGAAGTTCAAGTGCAGCCCCGACGCCTACGTCCAGATGGTCATCCAGCTGGCCTACTACAAGATGTACGGCAAGAACCGTCCCACCTACGAGTCCGCCTCTACCCGTAAGTTCCAAGAAGGCCGTACCGAGACCACCCGTACCGTCTCGGACGAGAGCACTGCCTTCACCCGCGCTTTCTGCGACCCCAGCGTTTCCCGCGAGGAAGTTGTCAAGCTCTTCCGCGCCGCCCTGGCCCAGCACACCAAGTACACTCTCGAGGCTAGCGACGGCCGCGGTGTTGACCGTCACCTCTTCGGCCTGAAGAAGCTGCTCCAGCCTGGCGAGAAGCTCCCCGCTCTGTACGAGGATCCCGCTTTCGCCTACTCGGGTTCCTGGTACATCTCATCTTCCCAGCTGAGCTCCGAGTTCTTCAACGGATACGGATGGAGCCAGGTTATTGATGACGGTTTCGGTATTGCCTACATGATCAACGAGAACAGGTACAGCACCCGGTCCCCCTTCTAAGCCCATATTTCTCCCTTATGTGCCAATACTAACACTGCTTTCCGCACAGCCTCAACTTTAACATCGTCTGCAAGCGCCTCGGCGCCCACCGCATGAGCTACTACCTCAACGAAGCCGCCACGGAACTCCGTGACGTCCTCCTCCCCGACCTGGCCGCTCAACCCGAGAAGCCCAAGCTGTAAGCTATAGCTATGAAGCTATGAAGCTATGCTCTGGGTTCCCTGCATATATGCATTTCGGTCATTTTTTTTCCTTTCTATTTTTGTTCTCCTTGGTCTTGGTTTTTTGATATCTGGTTTCAGCGCCGCTATAGATGAAGATGAGATATCTTTGTATTGTCGTTGTGACATGCATACTTTTGTATAGTTGTGTGGATACAACATGAATTCCATTTTGGATATGAATATCGAATACCTTAGATCTGTTTTCTTCGTATTCTTGGTGGTAGGGATTACGTAGGATGTTGAATAGGTCTTGGTCGTTACTTGAGATTTGGATCTCCTCCTATCTGGAGTTACAGTAGTTACTTGTATTTTGGTTAACTGGGAAGCTAGCTTGTATTCGTGCTATGAAACAGCTTTTCTATTTCGTTTCCATTCATTCACATCCCACATTTCCAGTCTTAGCAATGTTTGGGATACTGTAGTCCACTGTCCATAGTCGATGTTCACAGGAAGCAAAGGATAGCAAGGGCGTACTGGCACAAGTTGGAATATGAACAGCTAGCAAAATCCAAACCCATATTCTCGGCCGTCCAACCATCTTAAGGAAGTTCGAGTTGGAGCATCGAGCACGAACGCTCCCCTCAAGTATGGTGCATGTGGATCAGCCAGAGACACAGATAGGTTGGTCAGTGTGAATCATTTTTGGTAACACCCTAGCAACTCTCAAAGCTGGGGGAATAACACTCCAAGTCATCCAAGTCTGTCTGACCTGCTGAAAATGTCCATTATTGCATAGACCTAGGTAAAATAAGCAGAGCCAGTTCCCATCTACAGTACTCTAAACACGCCCGTTCCCCAGAAAGCGACGTAGTGGAGATCTTCATAACTCCAACAGAACAAAAGAATCATTATCATGAGGTGGTGGAGGCCATCCTGCCCCCAAGTGCCCAGTGTCCAGTGCCCAGTGCTCACAAAGACAAAGATTCATTGAGAAAGGTCATTTCAGTCTTTAGCGTCTGCCGATCGTGCGGTCTGTGGGTCTGCCGTTTCGGGGCCCTCTTGCCCCGATGCTGGGGCCGAGTCGGGGGCTGTAGAAGCAGCCGGCCTTGTGGAGGTGGTCATGTCATGAATTTGCCGTTCTAGAATAAAGGAATTGTTAGCATAGGCTGCATAAAACAGAATGAAGTGTCCTCCTCTGGAGAAGTAAACTGCGAGAGTGAGTAATAAATGACTGGTTTCCTTACCTAGCTCTCGAATGCGTTGGCGCAGCATCTGGTTCTCTCGATTAAGCATAGTGGCTTCGGCTTGATAATATGCCCCCTCGTCTCGGCTACTCCGTCGGGATGAGCTTTCCCGGAGACTCGGGAAGGCCTCCGTACCCTCTGGTCCCCGTGATGCATCCCGTGGTCGGAGATTCGGTGACGCAGCCTGGCTGGGCGGACGTGATGATCGACGGTTCGAGACCGAAGATATGGAGAGTCGGTGGCTGGGTCCCGTGGCCGGTGGAGGAATAGGCGGGAAAAAGGTGGCCGACCGCTCTGATGCTGGAGTGGTAGTATCGTCGATGACTGCCGTACCTGATGCAGATGAGTTGTGTTGTTGGTTTTGTTGCTGGTATTGTTGGAGCTGGGCCTGTTGGCTACGGATCATCTGCAGAAGACGGTTCTATTGGCAAAAGTGTTTAGTTAGCTTTTACATCTTCACTATGCCATCACAGAATGAGGACCCACCACTTGTGCTTCCTGCTCCTGCTCCAATTCCTGGTGTAGTTCCCCTAACGATGGGGCACGCTGGTGGTGCGGGTCCGCGGTCGCAAAGACCGGACTGCCGCCGTGGCTAGTGGGACTGGCCGTGCGGAACGCTTGGCCCATCGAGCTACGATGCTCGGACCAGGGTGCATCACCGTTATTATTGCCCGATGCCGTAGCGCCGGTCTCGTTGAAGTTAAGATGCATGCCCGCATTAGACCTGCGTCTCTCGGAGACCGATACTCGGCCGATGCTTGATCCGCGCGACGGCCGTGGGGAGGTAGTACTGGGGTTGACGGGGGCGGCGGGGGAGGGGGTAGTAGTGCCCGGGGAGACGGCGGGTGGGTTCCGATGTGGGAAAGAGGATGAGGTGGAGGATGAACGCGACGGTGGGAGGGAGTTTAGATCTGGCGGCATGGTGATGGAGATGGAGGAGAGTAAGGAGATGAGTAAAGTATTGAAGCTTTGTGAAATCGGAGCTTTGGAAGAAGCTCAGATGATTCCTTTAGGCAGCGGGCATGATCACCGAGATGAGTCAGCATATCGCGGGGAAGATAGTTATCACATGACTGATAGGCCACACGTGATTTACACCATATTATTCAGGCACTCAGGCCACACTCCACTTCCTCGGAGGGAATCTGGAGTCCGCGGGGTGGTCCACTTGCTCTAAGTATGTACTGGAGTTTGTCTTTTCTTTAGTTTCCCACTTGAAAACAGAGAATTATCAGCCCAGATCCAAAAAGACTACTAGCTCAGAAAGTCTCAACAGTCTGATTGAAAAGGTTCCAGCCTTGTGCGACCAGCTTGTTACAGTAGAAGGAGGCACAACAGGATACGAGCCACATTCCCCCTCGCGGCTGGGAGTTGAGCTTCACCCGGCGAATATCCCCCTCAAACTCTTCAGTGCAACCGTCTTTGTTATCTCTTAGTTCTTAGTCCTACCTGTTCCCAGGCTCTATCCAGGGGTCCCTAGACCTTTACTCGTAGATTCAGAGGAGGGATAGCTGCATTTAGCCTTGAATAGAAGCGAGCCAGGGATTGTCAAGTACTCAAGTCAGCCACACAGATCAAACGCGGTTTTGTCCCCCACGTCTGCTAATTTTCAGAGTTTTTGCAGGGCGCCGAGCCGAGAAAAGTAACCCTAACAGAAGAAAAAAAGATACAGTTATGAATAATAGAAGGCGTCGCCGGGTAGCACGGGCGGCGCCAGGACCCGACCGGCGGTTGGTTGATGATCTCGGCATAGATGAGGCCATAATTCATCGTTCATCTTCCATACTTCGGATGTTACGCGCACAGTTAATGGCTCTATCCATTCTTCTTGTAGATACTTTCGAGTATAGACTGAAACTCTACTCTGTTTATTTCCATTAAACATGGTACGCCTTGGAGTTTTACACCTATAGTCAATGTATAATGCACACCAGCAAAGCCAATCGGCGCGGCCGAAAATATGGAGAAATTTCCACAAACAAGTAGACTAGTGAGTCAAGGGATTGATTATAACTTCCTTATGTTGTCAAGCACATACCATCTTTCGTTGGATCGATCCCTTGCGAGCGCGTGGCGTCTACGATGCGATCTCGCCGATCATTCAAATATTTCGGGGATTCGATGCAGCGAGATGGCCATGTGCAAGCAAGATGCAAGGTCGCATCTAGTCGTCTCCAGCTTGAGTTCCGATTACATATTTCTGATCTTTGGACTTTTTCGCAGTCTGGAACCTGTTTGGCATTGTCTTGTCGTTTCCGGAAGGCAAAGCTGGGGTCCACCCTTCGGTGGATCAGCCAAACTTTGTTCTCGGATTGTGCTCCATGGGGTTAAAGGGGAAACGCGATCGGGACTCGGGCGATCCTAACAATTATGTGAGCTCGTCAGAAATACCGCATAGCAGAGAGGAGAGAGAAGTCTGCAAGGGATTAAAATCTAACCGTCGGTGCGAACTACGCTTTGACATCCTTCGATACTGTTTTCTGGAAAGGTGACCGCAAGGCGACCCCAGGGAGACCCCAGGAAGACCGCAGGGCCGTCGATACCGATCCACATCATTGTGCGAGTGGACAAATCAGCTGAGATATAACCAGAACCAGGCAATCGACGACACAGAGAGTAACCGTATCCCGGGGGGGTCGGAACAAGACTTCTGGACCCCTGCACGGATGACGATCACCGCCACGCCACGCCCGTAGGTGTACCGAAGCATCAGCATCATCATACATGGTGGGCAAAGGGCGGTACCTGCTCCTGAATCTCGGCCGCCTGGCCCAGTCTCTGAACAGTCCTCCTGGACGAACCACGGCCGTTGTACCCAGTGTGATAGGCCGGTACAGCCCTGGATTCCCCTCTTGCCCGGAGCGCCTTTACGTCACTTGGCGATCTCATCCTTGGCCCGGGAGCGGTAAATCCTGGCGGCGCCGAGCCAAGTGTGCCATTATTTACTTTTGTTTAGGCAAATTTTGTTCGGCTTGGTCGGCTTGAAGAGATTTTGCACTGGGATATCTAACCTGCGTCATTTTTGTTGGGTAATCGTTTCCCAATTGATGCTCCATGGTCCTTGATCTGCGATGGGGAACCATGCGGTCCGGGGACTGGCAAATCATCCCGACTCCTTACATCGTGGGGCACCATATGATTTTGATTTCACATGGTAGTCTCCCAATTGATCGAGTCTGATCTGGTTCGAGTTAGAAACTGTAGATTCAATGTTGCATCCAGAAAAAAGACAGGAAGTGTGTGTAGAAACCAGACCCTACGCCGTAATCTCTCTTGCACATCCCAATGCGGACATTCCTGTCTTCATTGATCCCCCAAAACGGCGGTCTCGGACCTCACCCGAAGGATTCCAAAAACTATTCGATTCCCGGGAAACGATGGCATCGGCCCTTCGGTCATCGTGGTCTCACGGTGGAGCCGAACAACCAATTGCGGTCTGTGCAGGTGCGTGGGGCAGTCTCTTTCCGGGGCGTTATCTGGTGGCTGCAGTTGTATGGATCAGGGCAACGCGCCACAAGGATGCAGATGCTTTGTATACAGTAGGTGTATGGTAGCATGCATGATGAATGATCATTTGCAGTGTCCGTTAGAGCTGGAGAAGTCGGGTTGGAGTTGGAGTTGGGAGTTGGAGTAGGCCCGCATCAAAAGTGGGTATAGTATGGAGAGAACTGTACAAAGTCAACTGCTGGCCCACGGGGAAAACGATCAGTCGGCATCCCGCGTCTCCCGGTGAACCAAAAGGAAAACTCCAAAGGAGTCTGGAGAATAGAATCTGGGGCTGATTCAAGTCGAAGAAAAGTGGATGGCCCAAGGAATGCCCGGCCGCATTTGACGGCGGCTCTTCTGTTGCATCGCACCTGCCCCGTTGGTCGCATTGCGTACTTTCCCTTTTGGAAATTGAACTAGGAAACTCTTGGATTTCTTTTTTTTTCTTTCCGTCTACTTATTTCCCAGTCCCCCGCCTTCCTCTTTCTGGTTGCTTCTTGTGTTCCTTCTCCTCCTCTTCTCCCCCACACATTCTACTCAACCTTCTCATCTTCCATCTTCCATCCACTACTTCACATCTACCTTTTCTTTCCCCAGATTCTCCCTCTACTACTGTACTCAAACTTTCAACTGTGAGTGATCATGGTCGACTATATCTGACTACACTACATCTATATTCCCAACTAACACTTCCCTTCTCTCCAGAAACTATCGGCATGGCGAGCACCCCAGAAAAGCTGGGGGGTGGCCGCGATGCGGTACTCACATCGGAGGCCTCTAGTGCTACCCAGCAAGAGATCTTTGACTCTGGTCTGCCTGAGAAGCTCGACCAGAAAGATTCACAACTCGAAAATACTGACCCATCGGGCCGAGTCGAGCTCACGGAGGATATGTGCTACGACAAGCTCGGATATTCCTTCAGCGAGAAACGCAAGTGGATGATCATCGCCGTCATCTTCTTGGTCCAGACCTCCATGAACTTCAACACTTCTCTGTACTCGAACGGCCTCGGGGGGATTTCCGAGGAGTTTGGGGTTTCCAAGCAGGCCGCTCGCTGCGGTGCAATGATCTTCCTGGTGTTGTACGCTTTCGGTTGTGAACTGTGGGCCCCATGGAGTGAGGAACTGGGTCGCAAGCCCATCCTCCAGGCCTCGCTATTCCTCGTCAACATCTTCCAATTGCCCGTGGCTCTTGCACCCAACTTTGCTTCCGTCATGGTTGGTCGTGCTTTGGGTGGTCTCTCCTCGGCTGGAGGATCGGTCACTCTGGGTATGATTGCCGATCTTTGGGAGGCTGATACACAGCAGTACGCTGTGGCTGCCGTCGTCTTTTCTTCCGTCGGTGGCTCCGTTCTAGGCCCCGTGGTTGGTGGTTTCGTGGAGGCTTTCCTTCCATGGCGCTGGAGCATTTGGATCCAGTTGATCTTTGGTGGTTTCGTTCAGATCATGCATTTCCTGCTAGTGCCCGAGACTCGTACCACCGTGATGATGGACCGAATCGCAAAGAAAATGCGTGAAAGCGGCGAGAACCCGAAGATCTATGGCCCTACCGAGGGCATGTCTTTCCGCGAGCGTTTCCCCCCTCGTGAGCTCCTGGCTACCTGGATCCGTCCCTTCCGCATGTTCCTCACCGAACCCATCGTGTTAACCTTGTCGCTGCTGAGTGGCTTCAGTGATGCTCTGATTTTCATGTTCGTGCAGTCTCTGTCGCTGGTGTACGGCCAGTGGGGATTCAACACTTGGGAGAAGGGTCTGGCCTTTATCCCGATTCTGGTCGGTTACTTCATTGCTTGGATTTCCTGGTTCCCAGTCATTCGACGCAACGTCAAGGAGCGTCGGGATAATCCCGACAGCGAACGTGCCCAATACGAGTCCCGTCTGTGGTGGCTATTGTATACCGTTCCTTGCTTGCCCATTGGCTTGATTGGCTTCGCTTGGACCAGCTTGCCTCAGTGCCACTGGATCGGCTCCATGATTTTCGCCGCCATCATTGGTATTGCCAACTACGCTATCTACATGGCCACCATTGACTATATGATCTGTGCCTATGGTCCATACTCTGCATCGGCGACTGGTGGTAACGGATGGTCGCGAGACTTTTTGGCTGGTGTCCTGACCATTCCCGCTACTCCCTTCTTCGAAAGTAAGTTGTTCCATCGTCAGTTCCTTCTCACTTTGACTAACGTGTTTTACCTTCAGACATTGGTGGCAAGTACCACCTCGAATATGCTTCTACTATTCTCTGTATGTTCACTTCTTAATTTCAATAATTCTCTTTAGGAATTTTCAGCTGACCAACTTTCCAGTCTGTATCTCTTTGCCGCTGGTCATTGCCGTCTACGTGATTTACTGGAAGGGTCCCGTTCTGCGCAAGCGCTCTCCCTTCGCCCAGCAACTCGAGGAGGCCCGTCACGACATGGCTATTCAGGGCCGCCGCCAGTCCAAGGTGCCAGAGGCATCGCGTGCCAACTCGTATGCCCGGTCCCAGCAGGATCTCCGCATCCGGCAAACCATCGGCAGCCGTCCTGGTTCGCGAGTCAACTCCCGCGCCAATTCTCGGGTCAACTCACGCCGCAACAGCTTGTCTGGAGTCTGAGCTCAGTATACTGAGGCTGATACTAAAGAGTATCAGACAACATTTTGACGCTAGTGCATGGAATGTGCACTCGCAACAATTGCCCAAGGCCCGATGGCCAAGAGGGTGGAGTTTGCTGCCTGGGAATATATGGGCAATATCACATCTTCTATTCTCTGTGCATGTCTTTTTCAACCGCATGGATCCTTTGCGCTGGGCGTGGTGGACTCTTAATTAATTCAGTTGGTTATCGGATGGGGGGTATTGTGGGGATTTTCTCCGTTGCTCGCAAACATGCATCTTCCATGTTTGCACCTGTGCGTCACTATTGGGTGCCTGTTTGACTACGTTAATGGCTTGCTCCTTTTCTTTGCTTGCACTATTTTCAAAACTGTGGTTTGAGAGATTTGTTTGGTACTGCTACGTACGGTTATGGGCTTTGGCGATGGACGCGATGGATGCGATGCTTGTTATGAACTTTATTGTTTAGCTGATTACCCCCAATGCAGTTGATTGTCCCCAGATCTTTTGTGTGACTGTTATTTGTAGAGTATTTGGAGTATCTCAATTTCAATAAATGTTGATCAGCCTGCATTCCTTTCTGATCGCCCTCGTGCATATTTATCTATCCCCCACTTCATCAGACAGTCGATATGATCGACGGAATACTCGCGTGGGCTGTGATGACCAGCGTGGGTCCTGCAGGCCATCATCTGAACACCCCTTGCTAGTTTTCCACTTTTCCTGAAGCGGTAGATTAAGTCAATATCAGTACTAAATGGTAAGGTAGTATCATTGCCGTCCAGCTAGACGTACTTTTGTTATTTCCGTTTTCGGGTATCAGTCCCCGAATAGGCGTCTGTTAGACGGTGATACCTACAGGATACCTCTAGCTAAACGAACGAAGCTTCCAAGTCACACCACAGTGTCTTTGCTACAAACTAACTTCCAGCGCACTCCCGTTTATTCGAACTCGGCATGATCCTGGATGGTACAAGATAAGTTTTCCATCATAACGATAGTTATGATAATTCTTAGATATATCTTACTCGGGCTATATTCGGCTATTGTATACATAGCTTGTAATGCCAATTGATTTCCGGTGTAAACTTCGTGAGCTAGTCATTGGCCCAACCATCAGACCATATATCTTTGCTTTTACGGTGACCTTTCCGCCTCATGCAGTAGTATCATAAATCGGAGAAGAGTTTCAAATTATGTCAATACCCACTATGTACTTCATCAACCTATATATATTCTCCAATATTCTAAGAACCAAGTAATGCTGCCATTGTAGCCAATATGGACTCTTTATTCCAGAGATCTCTACTCAGAATGGTTCGAAGCTCCGACTCCACGATAAGATACGCCTGGTCCGTGCACCAAGCTCCCCGACCATTCTTCGAATCAGCGATCACAGGACCGACATCCTCGGCTTCAACCTCTCCCCCATACAACAATGAGCAGTTTCCCCGCTTTTCGTCTCTGTGGGAGACTCCTACGACCGGCTCCTATACTCTCGGTAACCAGGACTACCCCCTTGACTCGCCTAGCACCATTGAGGCAAGTGCACATGGACTCCAACACGGTCGAGCCGCGCTTTGCCGAGGGAGAAGATGCGGCACAGCTAGGCCTAGACACGCAGACATTGCTACAACAGCAAGGATGGGCCCTCGATGCTGATGGGATGGGTGTTACTAAGACGTTTTATTTTAAGAGTTACTTTAAAGCGGTGGTAAGTACGGTGCGGTTGTTTGTATTTTGCGGGTGGAATAATATGATTGTACACGCAGTACTATAGTACTGCTATAGTTTAGTACTGCTCTACGCGTCTGATGCTATTCCATCACGTTTGAGGCTAATTGAATCGTTCCAATTATAGTCATTCGTGAATCTTATCGCCGCCGAAAGCTCAGCAAAGAAACACCACCCCACGATGACCGTGGTAAGTACCGGGGAGAATTGATACGAGTACGGAGTGCAGAGAGGGTCTAATTTTAAATTTAAATCTAGCGAATCGGTTCTGTCGATGTCCACTGGACGACGCATCGCCCGCGCGGCCTGACGCAAAAGGACATCGCGATGGCTCGTCACTGCGATAATGGGGCCGACCTAATGGGCGTCGTTGACCCCGGGCAAGGGTTGAAGTGCGGGCCGAAGCCTTAATTAGCTTCAATAAGATTACTACTGGATTCAGTCACTAATTGCGATACGAGATCTCCGATTACTCTGACCGGGGAAGAAGTGGCACGATGCTTTACCGAGAGGGGAAAGTTTGGATTAGCGGAGGGTTGAGCGAACGGTGTGGTGTAAAGCCACTTTTCAACATGTTCCGTATACGTAAACAGTGCTTACTGCCTATCCACGAAATACCGGTTGATGATGAAACGAGAATTTAAGGAAGTAGGGGTGTAACGAAATCTGACTGAGAGGGGTGGTAGAATGAAGGAATCCCAAAGCTAGCTAGAGAGAGGAGGATTAGGATTAATTAGCGTATACACGTCGTATCACTATATAGTAAATCCTACACCCTATCGGTACGTTAGCGCACTAATTATATAATAAGCTAATATTGATAGTATAACTATAGGTAGGAAGTCCCACAGACTGCTTCGACTTACTTCTGTTCGCACGGAACCTTCTTGTCGACGGCGAGGCTACCTACCTCGGACTCCTAGCCAAGCAGCAAGAGGAGAAGTGGGCTGCTGTGCCGAAGATATTGAGGACTGGAACAAAGGCACCGCTTACGTTCTCGCACGATGTTCTCCGGAAAATCAAATGTGATAGCGCAGGCGCTTCGGCAGCAATGGCGCCGATGGGAGACGTGCAGCGCATGATCGGTAACCAGTATTTCCAAGCCCGGGGATTAGTGAGCCACGCGCAATTCGCGGAGCAGCTCGACCGAATTCTCCCAAAGGCGAGAAATGACTTTGTGCGGGTACATGCGCGCAACGAGAAAGAAGAGCTGGAGCTCTCTCGCGCGTGGCCGTTCGATTTACCGGATCGCGGTGCGCAAAGAAACGCAATAGCTCGAACCACGAAGGTCATCTCGAGTGACACAATTAGCCTCGGGTCAAGGCATCGCGCCTGATAGCGGCAAGAAGGTTACGAAAGATGGCAAAGAGTACAAGCGGTACAAGTGGCAAATCAACAAGAACGAAAGCAAAGATTCCCACAAAATATGGTCCGAAGCGGATATTCCAATTACTTCGGATGTGCGCGAAAGAGGCAGTTGAGCAGTTGTTTGAAGAACTAAAGAAAAACATGAAGGAGTAGGGTATAGGGACATTCTTCCGATGGTGTTGGTAGTCAGCTTTTACGTGAATACATAATCTCCTTGCATCGACAGAGCGAAGACAGAGTTTATCCCGGCTAGTCTTGAGTCGATCTAACCTAGAACACAATTTGAAGATCATAGGTCGCCTGAGCGGTCAATGAACTTCAAAACGTCACAACGGTTAAGCTCCACTCGTGGGTATGAAGGTTTTAGGGGGGGGGGGGGGGGGGGGGGTTGAAGGGGAAATAATATCCATTAGGGTTTTTTTGACGAGAAAATTATTTGTGTCTGGAAGAAGAAAATTCTATCAGTGATTCCGTGGTCTCCAAATCAAGAATGTCAAGTTTTGATACATCATACTTGAGATTGAAGATCGCCCCCACCAACTAGCGAAGCCAAACGGGAATTTGCGACTGTCAGAAAGAAGGGAAACGAAGAAACGATGGGGAGACTCCGTATAGTTCCGTTCTTAGAACTGGATTAACCGGGTTGGGGTTAGTCCTTCCTCGGTATAGCTTCGGGTCTTTCGAAGGAGTATTTGTTCTGCCTGGAGGGTTAAAGGATGGTTTAAATAGAGAAACAAATTGAAGTAATAGTTATAGTATTAGTATTAGCAATAAGCATAAACATAAGCATGCTATATTTAAGCATAGCTATGCCATAGCTAAATCTCGTCCGACAGTCTGACAGTCAAGAGATCGGCACTCGAAGAACCCCCTAGTACCTCGTGTACTACAGTACTACTATACTGCTACTACAATAATTATCCTATAGTTACTGCATACTCAAATTAAAAACTAGATTTCCTTTTTCTGTACTCCATACTCCATACTCTCGGTAGTCAAGAAAAAGTCCCAAGAATTATTTTGGGGAAGAAAGTCAAAAAAAAAGGGCCACTCAGGGGGAAGACCAACTTTTTTTTCTTTTTAGCGGCCTCATTTTTATGCACCTCGCATCACCTCGAGTCTCGACTTTCTTTTTGGCCCGATCCTTCATCCCCCACCCACTGCCGAATCCTTTCTCTAATTCTTCCTTCCCTCTCTTCCTGTCACTCTTTTCCATCTTCTCAAATCTTCGATCTCGCCCTAACTCGACCTTCTTTCCCCCCCCCCCCCATCGTGCCTTCAATCGTGCATGACGTTACCAAACGGCCGTGCAGCCGCGCCCACGTTCTTTCGCCGATGATCCTTTCCCTCTGAGACCGACTCGACCCCGTTCCCCTTTTCCCTATCAATCGCAAAGTCGTCTGGAAGACCGGCAATGGTTTGGTGAATGCCGTCGTCAGAGCAGACCATCTGGAGGGTCACACCATGTCCTCTCCTATAATGAGTGACCCGCCGCATTCCTCTCCGTCCTTTGGCGAGCGTAGAGGTCACCATTTGGCCCCATTGCAGACCAATTTCAGCCGACCCACGGCCAATCCCTCCAAAACAGCTTCCTCGCGATTGCAACGCCCCCGGCCGACCGAATATCCCAGTACGAATGGCTCCGAGGGCCCAGTGCCGCTCCAAAGCCCCGTCAAGCGACAAACGTCCAAGTCGAGTTTGCGCAATCTCTTTGCTCGTGATAAATCCCAGCGTGCCGCTGCGGCCCCCGATGTTAAATTGGCCGAGATTGACGAAACAATATTGCCTGCCAATCCAGACCTTACGAACACGACTACCCAACCGGTGACGGTGGCAGATGCCCCTTTGTCGCCGGCATTAACGAGTCCCCGGTCTGTCGTGTCCACCCCGACTTTGACCTCGCCAACCACCCCGCGACCCCGAGCGACATTGAAGACTTCAAGGCCTAGACCGGCACGGACTGATTCCAAGCCGGCGTCGCAGGAACAGTATGGATGGAAACCGCCCCCACTCTTCCAGGCATACCCTCAGTCTTATAAGCATGAATGCTTGCCTGCGCCAGCCATGTCTGCGGACGCAATTCTCCGTCTTCATGCTACTACGGGGAAATCAGGTGTGGAGGTAGTGCCAGATGAAACGGCCGACTCGTCCCGGAAGAAGCGAGAACAGAAAGAGCGCAAGCATCTTCGGACACTGTCGGGCACAATCAACAAGGTCGAGTGGACTACGAAAATCTACGTACTCGCTACGGCGGGCTTTATCCTGCAATATGCTGGTGAAGGGAAGAACGATCGCCTTCCGGAGAGTATGCTGCAATTGGGCCCTCAATCGGTGGCATTCGCTAGTGATGCCATTCCTGGAAAGCATTGGGTGCTTCAGATTTCACAGAATGGCACGGCAGACAACGGCCCTGTCGCTCCCGAGCCCGCAAAATCGGGACGCTTCTCTAGATTCGGCTTCCACCGATCCAATACACGACGTATGGCTGGCAGCTTTCTATTGATCTTTGATAACCCAGACTCCATGACCTCCTGGCTCACGGCCGTTCGGGCAGAGATTGAAGTTCGGGGAGGCCCCAAGTTCACCGCGGAGAACCACTCGGATGACGATCAGGAACCTCAGCTTCGCAGCAAGTCCAGTGCTCGCAATATTGTGAAGAAGGATCCTAATCGCATCTCGAGTCTGTTCCTGCAGCCGCAGGGCGTTCGTTCGCCCGATGAGGAAGATGGGTCATCGGTTGGTGGATTGACCTGGCAGTCTCGACGAAGCTCATACGTTTCGGTGAACCACCAGTCCATAATTGACTCGCGCTCTGGCTCGGTATCCACGGGCTGGACGGAAACCACGGGTCCCAGCAATGGCTCCGATGCTCAGTCGTCTTCATTCACTTCAGTCAATCCTCCCAACTCGCCACCTCTGGACAGTAGCCACCTTTCTGATGACGCTCGATCCAAGGATGTCGATTCGACCTACGCTCGCAGCCCGCCCACATCTAGTCATGGCAATGCCAAACGGCAATCTCTTTATATTTTCCCCAAACCGCAGGACTTTCCTGCCGTTTCTCGCCCCGACACAATTCTACACAATCAATCTCCACCCAATATACCCGACTCATTAGTCCGAAGTGCTTCCCCGCCAGCACCCAACTTTAGCGTTCCATCATTCAGCAAGAAATTTGTATCCAGGCCTGGACCACCTCCTTTGGCTTCTCCGCCCGCCCCTCTAGCTGGTGTTCTCCGCCGGGGCGAGAGCATTGGAGACTTTAGCATCTCCAGCATCTCCTCCCCTCCAGTGTCTCCCACGTACAGCATTGCAAGCTCGAAGTATACCGACTCTCCAGAATCGATATTGATCACACGAGAACCCAATGGCCGACGCATCCTCCGGCCTTCCAATTCGGAGGACGTCTTATCAAGAACCATGCGCTCAGCCCAGAATGCCGCTAATCACTCTCGTTTACCGCGTGCTCTATCTTCCGAAACCAGTTCTCCACCATCTCGCCCTCTCAGCCTGAGTGGTCGCAATGGATTGGGTATTCAGATGAATGGCGAGCAACCAGCCCAGAGTTTTCCTCCGGGCGAACCACTTCCAGTTCCGCGCCACCGAGTGTCCAACATGAACCTCGACCAAACCCCCCAAAATATGACCCGGCGCAAGAGCATGCCAGGACTGGCCATTGGACCTCCCGCGGCCCCTCCACCAAACTGTCCACTCCCTAAAATCCCCTCGCCCATTGCCGCTCAGCCAGCACCAGCCTGGTCTACCACTCCTCCAATTTGGTCAACGAGTCCTCCAGCGGATCGTTTCTACCAATCCCAACAGATCCGTGGCCACATACAAGACCACCGACAAAGCGGTCTCCCATCCAATTTTCCTGCCCCTCCTAATGGCAAGTTATCCAAACCAGCTGCTCGGCAGTCCAGGATGATCCAATGAAACCCCCATCATGCACAAGACAGATACGATAACCAAAACACACCTTTGACGCCAAAAACCCCTCCCGACATGTCCAGCCGTCTTTCTCATATATTCCGAATCCACCTACTTGACCATTCCATTCTACCCTGTCTCCATTTCTACAAATACCTCCTATAATCCTCTCCTTCACCCTGGCGAGCGACATTGGAGATCTCCCATTCCTTGATCTATCCTCCTTCGTGTCCTGTCGTCATTACCCACTGTGCATATCCTCTGCATCCAAGCATCTAAGCATCCAATACCCCGAGCGTGTTTCGCATATACATTATCCCTGGATCATCTCACGCCCGCACCGGGCTTCTTTCTTTAATTTTCAGCCGTGTTATACCTGTTCTAAAATGACGATACCCGTCTTGTCTTATATACATTGACCCTGTCAATATCATTTTACTTCTTGTCCTGTGTCTTATTTATACCCCGCATTTTCTCATCATTCAATATGAAGTTTTTAGATTTGGTATTCATTTCTGTTATTTGCAGTACCAAGACTAGAACTCCTAACCCGAACAGAGGAACTTTTGTAAGAATGGGAATGAAATAAAATGCTAGCGCTATTGATATTTGAACGAGTCCCATTTTTGCAGTTCCCAGATAAAGCAAATCATCCAACGCCGGAATAGGCATCTCATGATTGAAATAACAAAGATCTGCCAAGGTAGTTCACAAATCCCCTGCTTCTCAGATAGATGCGTCAGGCATTGGTTACCCTCTTAGCTACATGAAAGATATGGACCGAAAAGAAACCAGAAGAAATCCCATTACTCTTCCACCTCTTCGACTCGTGCGGTCAGGTCTCGCTTCACGGGGGTCGCGCTGGGTGCGGATGCGGGCTCCGCGGAAGTTGTGGTTGCCGAGGGGGTGGCGTCTTGAGATGTATTCGCAACGGCAGGGGTCTTGGACTTCTTGCCTTTCTTCTTCTTGCTCTGGAAATGCAATGTTAGTATATATTGCAGTGATAAGGACTGTTTTCGGTGCTTACCTCCTGCCAACCCCACAATGGCTTGAAACTGTCAAAGAATCCGACATCCTCGAACAAGTTGGGGAACAACCAGAGACCGGGCGGGACCGCGAAAACGGTGATGCAGAACAGGATCAGACGGAAGATGGACATGGCAAAGAATAGACCAAGCAGGCCCATCATGCCAACACTCAGATACCACACACCCTGGCGCAGCATAACTGGCCACAGGGGGAACAGCACAACGGCGAAGATACCCGCCACGACGGCAGCAGCCAGAGCCTTCTGCTTCCACTGGGGGCCCTCGTACAGCCAGACATAGTGCATCATGGGATCAGTCTCCTGGTGTTGCTCAATCTTGACGGTCCACAGGCCCTTGACTCGGTTCTTGGGTTTGGCATGGTTGTGTCCCTCGTGCGGGTCGACCTTGCTCACGCGCAGAGCCAGCAGGGAGAGGGGCAGGAGCTTGAAGACGTTCTCGGCGGAGGCGCGGTCGGTCACGGGTGGGAGGAGGGAGTTCTTCTTTGCGGCAGCTTTGGCGTAGGCGGGGGACTCGATGGCTCGAATGGCTCGCTTGACTGTAGACAACTCTCGAGTTAGAGGCATTGTCCTCGATAGTGAAGCGGGGTCGTCATATAATTGTCACTCACCCTTGAACATATCCTTGCGCTGGCCATCCAAGATGCAAGTCCGTGGCTTCAGGGCCTGCGATCGCAGGAAGTGAGCTACAGCCAGAGCTTTGGGGTCCGCCGGCTGTCCTGGCTGGACGGGAACTTGGTGTGTCTGCTGTTGTGGTTGAGGCTGCTGCTGAGCTTGTGGCTGTCCTTTTTGACCTTGTTGACCGGGCTGCTGCTGCTGCTGTTGCTGCTGAGGTTGCTGTGGCTGTCCAGGCTGTGGGGATCCCTGAGCCTGGCGCTGGGCCTCCATTTGTTTCTGATGCGCCTGCATCGCCCGCATGCGCAACTGCGCGACGTATTGTTCCGGAGTGAGGCCAAGCTTGGCAGCGTCAGCTGTCAGCTGCTCTCGTTGCTGCTGTGCAAATTGTTCTGGAGTCATTCCTCGTTTTGCGGCTTCGGCGGCGAACTGTTGTTGCATGGCAGCCATCTGCGCCATCTGCTGAGGACTGGGTTGGCCAGGCGCCGCCATGGTGAAGGCGGTTGGGTGGGCGGTGAGATGGAAAAGACGAGTGTAAAACTGGAAGTGAGAGATAGAAATTGCAAGAGTCAAGGAAAGGAGGGCGAGTTGGGCGGTTTACTGGGAAAATCCACGAAGTCTGAAAGGAAAGAAGTGAAGTGGCCAGATCGACTCAGGTGATCTGCGGCCCTGCAGCTTCTCCCGTTCCGCCCGCGCCCCAACTCTTCGACCCTTCGAACTACTGGACACTACTGGACCTGCCAACAGCTCGCATGGAGTCGCCATGCTCTATACTTCTCCATGTCGGTCTCCTATGATGCTGGAAATGCCATTAGTGACGCGACATGGGTGGCCGTGCTGCTGGTTAGCCTGTTATTTCTCTATAGTCCGTCGCGTGAACTGACATCACACACAGAGTGAACGCGATGTAGCCGGCCAGATTCCGATCAATTTCGTGACCAATCCTGCCGTGTCTCTCTCGTCGGCCTGTTTTGGCAATGGCTTGTACGCTCGAAAGGATGCTGCCAAGTGCATCTCCAATCTCCTTGCGGTGGGGTATAGACGGCTTGTTGTAGACCTATATTGGTCAGTGGAGCGACGGACATGGACCTTTTGTCCTGTAGAGATTCCTGCCAGGGTCGACGTGATGGTATCAACTTATACTTCTACCACTACCGAAGCCTCGACTACTTCTACTATTACAACTGAAACTGCTACGACGACTTCGGACGCAGGCGCCGCGACCATCACTGGCTATACTGATTCCTATGGGGATACGGTCTATGAGCTAGGACCATACAGATGCACCAACGATCTTGATCTATATTCTCTTTCAGAAGTACTTGTTGGATACTTTGAAGCGACAACGTCTCAACTTCTCGTCTATACAACTTATCTCGTTCTCAATCTTCATGCCGCCGGCAGCGATGCTGAACCGTCCAAGCCAGCCAAAGCGGTAACGGGCAAGAATCTACCCTCATCGGACTCCGAACGACCTGGATCGTTCCTCCATGATGCTCTGCGGGAATATCTCTACACCCCTACTCAGCTTGCCAGGGACCGACGCAATTTGAACGAGTCGTGGTATGAAGTTGATGAAAGCTACATGCCGATAGTGGAATATTATACAATTCACACGGACGAAGCAGGCAAACAGAGTACTCCCGATGGATGGCCATCTGCAAAGTACGTTCAACTTGCAAAATCCGATCGAATCATCATCGAGTATGGATCAGTGGATCCGCAACTCGCAGAGTTCAACATTACTCAAGATGAACATGCCATCTTCCCACCCGGCTATCTCACTTCCGATGTGAACATTACTGCTACCACAAACGGGACCCTAACATCGGGCTGTTTGTACAAAGCAGATGCCACGGGAGTTTCTCAGGCCAACTCGTCTTGGGCCCTCTCCAATAAAATCCCAGTTCCGGATGGGTTATCCACAGACGAAACTATGGGATCATTAACCAATGTGATATCGGATATGACAGCATGCGGGATATCCCCAATGCTCAATACCACCCTTTTCGATCAAACTGCCGACACCAACGTCGAACATTATCGGAACGTCTCCTTGTCAACAGGGTGGGCATGGGCAATTGGTGAACCAGAGGGTGCAGACACTGGCGGCGGCACTGGAGATACTCCCAGTTTCGACCGCTGTGCTATAATGGACCTCTCCTCGGAAGGTCACTGGCGAGCCACCAATTGTTCCGAAACGCGGCGAGGTGCCTGTCGTATCGGCAATTCACCTTTCTCGTGGACCATTTCCAATGCTACTGCAGATTATTACAACGTCTCCGACACATGTCCTCCAGGCTCCAATTTCGCTGTCCCTCGAACGGGCTTGGAAAATACTTACCTCTACAAGTACCTCCTGACCCAGCCGGAGACAACGATCAACCCTGCATCAACCGATGCTACACTGCGTGAGATTTATATCGACTTCAATTCTATTGATATCACATCTTGTTGGGTCTCGGGCGGACCCGAGGCTAACTGTCCCTACGGTGCTGATCCACAGCAGCTGGAACGCAGAACTGTGCTTGTAGCTGCCATTGCTGGTATTGTCATCGTTATTATTACTGCGTTGACTCTGTTTGTCAAGTGTAATGCCAACAGGCGAAACTCTCGTCGGAGAAAGCGTGTAATCGAGGGCTGGGAATATGAAGGTGTGCCCTCGTAATGTACTTGTATCTTCGTTCTAGACTTATGACGTGTGTTTTGAATTTTATGATACCCTTTTTTCGAGATAATGTAATTGTCATTGTCAAATATGCTATCTGAAATATCCGTACACCAAGAAATAAATCACAACCAGAAAATGTTCCATCAATATGTCAAATGGGCCCGCTGAACCCCAAAAAGAAAATCAAATAGATCGTCACATGCTGTGCATAAAACAAATGGTAAAACTCCGTATCCCAAAGAAACAAAAATAGTTCAGGTATCTTTTCCCACATGTGATAAATCACAGTCCCGCAAATCGTGCCCATCCAGCAGCCCGTGTAGGGGCAGGCTTCGGGCTTGGAGTCTCGGTCTCTTCGACAACGTTCAAGCTGCGCCCTTCTTCGGCCACCTTACCACTCACGTCGCGGCGACGTCCAACACCCAATCCGGCGATGTAACTTCCATAGGAGGACAGGGAGGCACCAACGCCACTAACAAGACCCGGTCGAGAAGTGTCTGTGCCAGAGTTACTGACAACACGACCCTTGCGGTCTCCTTCGGTTGCACTCGGGGAGTTGGTATATCCCTCATCGTCGCTGTCATCCTTCTTGAGGGACTGGTAGGCGGACAACTTCTTGTTCCGCTTCTTGGACAGCTTTGTTGGTTTGCGTGTCAAGTCGTCTTGGCCACTGGCGTGCCGTGACATATCCAGACCAGGCTTGCCCTCTTCCTCTAGGTTACCATAGTAGCGAGTCTTTGTTGACGGAGAGTCGGGTGATTCTTCCTGAGCCTGCTGGTTGGAGATGTTCATGTTGTCGATCAACACATTGCGTCGTACGGGATCGGTGTCTTCGGGCTTCTCTGTGAGAATTGGCTGAGGGGTCGGAGGGTTAAGCATAAGAGGATTGAAGGGAAGTCCGTGAGAACGCTCATCATCATGGTCATGGTCATGCTCTTCGGGGTCTGAGAAAATGTTAAAGCGGCGATCACCGAGGTCCTGCTCATACTTCTCCTCTTCGTTTCCATAATGCTCGTGCATTGCCAAGGATGCATATTCTCCGCGGGTGTCCTCAGGGATAACGCTTCCAATACTCGCAGGCTTCTGTCCATATGCAAACCAGTCTCGGAAACCATTGCCGCCTTGTGAGGTGGTTGTAGAGATCGTGCGGCGACTGTAGACGGACGAAGATTGACGGAGATCGGGCTCGTTCTCATTATTGGCTTCACTGGCTGGGGATGGAGAGCGGTCGGGATAGGCTACCCAATTGCCAGACAATGGACTAACCGAGTCAGCTCTATCCGCAGTGCGAGAGGCCAGGTGACGGGTGTGAGTAGCGGGATCCACGACTTCGGGTGAGCGGGCAGTAACGTTGCGGTATTCTGGGGCAGGAGCATCCGATGTCATATCATATGGCTGGCTAGCAGGATGGTGGAACAACATCTCCGGACTGGATGGCTCCAAGTAAGAAAGACGGTGGGGCTGCACGGATACCACAGATTGACGCTTCACGTTCATCATATCCACTGATCCACGGTTAGAGTCACTAGCCATAGATTGACCACGAGTATGCATGAATGGCATAGAGCGAGGAGGACCAATGAGTGGGTCTTCGAGGCTCGAATGCAAAGTGGACGAGCTGAGATGTTTCTCATCCACATCAATCTCCTTGCGGCTCTTGCGAGGACGAGCGGTCAAATTGTCTTCCAGGGGATTCATATCGGGAGGCAGATGAGAAATCTTGCGGAACATGACGGCCAAGAAGATCGACAATGCAAGCGAAACGAGGTGCAGGCCGCCATTGGCGAGGGCACAGATGAAAGTAGCCTCCGCAACCTGGACGGTCACAGCATCGTTGGCAAACAGCGTTCCCCAATGGTAAGCATCGATGGTATACTCTCCATGAGCCATAAAGGCGGTAAACACATAGAACGGAATGAGCCCCGCATCCAGAGTGGAGGCGAACAGGCCATAGCTAGCTTGAGAAGCGGGGGGCCGGTTGACTGGAGATCGACAAAGATGGTAGACGGCATAGAGAGTATGGAGGATTGCAACGATGGGCTATAGGACAGTTAGCTATCAATTCTAGATATGCTTCGGTGGGTTTACTTACACCAGCCCGAATGATCCAAATGACGGTTGTCGCGACGTTGTTGATCACAATTGAGCAGAATAGAGATCCAAGTGCTCCCAGGAGAGTGAGAACTCGTAAAGCCAACTGCGTACGTCGCGCATAATTGACCCTATTCTTGGTATGGGGACTCATTGGCGTCCATGTTGACTTTGGGTCGAGGCTGCCCCACTGCGACTATTGTTAGTAACAATCTATATCGTGTCCGAAGCAATAGAATCGCCACATACTGAGTCGGGATGGCGATTGATGTTCACCAACGGACCCTTTTGTGTAGGTCTTGGTGGTGGTGGAGCTCGGCTGGCTTGCGTCACGGCTTTCGGGTTAAAGCCTGGGTCGGTCGGGCCATAGAAGCTGTAGGTGGTCGGGCGGTCGTAAATGAATGGAGGCTCCGATCTGCCCATGGTAGCGACTGAAGGCTTCCGTGAAAACCACGTGAAACGTGGGAATCGGGAAGCAGGAATCTGGAAATGAAAGGGAATGTGGGATGAGGAATGGAGGAGTTGGAATGCGATCTGACAGCAACGACGAGCTGAGAGCATGCGGAGAGGCGCGGCGATCAACAGGATAGTTGACCCGGCAACGGCTGATAAGCGATAAGGTCACGTGTGTGGACGCGCCATCTGATAAGCGACGATAAGCTTCCCTTTCCCGCGGGTTGACTGGTATTCACCGAAGCTCTGAACTCTCGAAAGAACTGCGGGGGATTCACTCGTTCCTGCTTCGCTCACATCATGCTTGAGCGGGCATTTGTATGTGCTCAATGCACAACACGATTGGGTCGGTCATCTATACTAAGGCCCACTCTAAAGCTGGCGGTCTCGTCCTCAGTACGCCGTTTGAGCAGTCATGCTGCTCAAGTTGATCGACCAGCCCGCATCGCGATTGTGGGCTCGGGTCCTGCAGGATTCTATGCAGCAGCGCGTCTACTGAGCAAGCATCAAGATGCAGTTGTGGATATGTATGAGAAGCTTCCGGTGCCATTTGGTTTGGCTCGGTATGGTGTAGCCCCGGATCATCCCGAAGTAAAGGTGCGCAGCAACACAGACCAAGATCATTGAACAATTGCAATACATATGAAGATTGCAACTAACATATACTTAAAGAATTGCGAAGATAAATTCACCGAAGTCGCAACCTCTTCCCGCTTCAACTTTGTCGGCAACATCGACCTCGGCAATGACCTGCCTCTCGCCGCACTCAAGCCCCATTACGATGCCATCCTATTCGCATATGGAGCCTCTAAGGATAAAGAGCTAGGAATACCCGGTGAGAAGGCTCTGCGTAGCGTGTACTCTGCCCGAGCCTTTGTTGGATGGTACAACGGTCTTCCCGAACATCGGGATCTCCAACCCGACCTGACCAGCGGCGAGGACGCTGTTATCATTGGCCAGGGTAACGTGGCACTTGATGTTGCCCGGATCTTACTTTCGGATGTGGATGCCCTCAGAAGCACTGATATTGCCGATTATGCGGCGGAGACGCTCTCCAAGAGCCGGATTAAGCGCGTGCGTGTTGTTGGTCGTCGAGGACCGTTGCAGGTAGATATACCCCAACCCCCACAACGCTTCAGCTCAAGTATTAGTTTCTCTGATGCATTTTTAGGCTTCCTTCACCATCAAAGAAATTCGAGAACTCCTTCAACTTCCCTCTGTGTCCTTCGACCCCATTCCGCAGGATATTTTCCCTCCCGGGGATGTCATCAACGGGCTACCCCGAGCACAGAAGCGACTGATGCAGCTCCTTGCCAAGGGCTCCGCCAATGCTGCCCAGACTGCGACCAAGTCATGGTCCTTGGACTTCCTTCTCTCGCCCGACTCCCTTCACTGGTCACCTATGCATCCATACCGACTCACACATACCAAATTCTCCCGCAATGAACTCGACCCTGCGGATCGCTACAGCCCCAGCTCCAAGGTGACGCCAAAGCACCTATCCAGTGGCAAGCGTGCTATGGTGAACTTGTCTTCTAGTGTCTTCTTCCGCAGCGTCGGCTACAAATCGCTTCCCCTGCCTGGCATGGAGGACCTAGGTATCGAATTTGATTCCCAGCGCGGTATCATTCCTAATGATGGGTTCGGTCGAGTTACGAGCCCCTCGGGCTGGGGTGAATCTCAAAAGTTGCCTGACGGCTCATTGATCGCCTACCTGCCCGGCCTGTATTGCGCTGGATGGGTCAAGCGTGGTCCGACAGGTGTCATTGCCTCCACCATGGCCGATGCATTCACCACTGCCGATACCCTGCTGAAAGACTTGGCAACCAAGAAGGACTCTCAATCACCACTACAGGCCGCCGATCCGAGCAGTTGTCTCGGTTGGGATGCAGTCAAGACCGAGGCTGCCAGCCTTGGCCTACGCACAACTTCTTGGCAAGACTGGCAACGTATCGATGCAGCCGAGCGTGAACGAGGTCAACAAAAGGGCAAGGTCCGCGATAAGTTTGGACGAGTGGAAGAAATGCTTGAAGTAATCGGATAAACGCTTCAATGCTATGTGTATAATACTTGACAATCTAGCCCGAAATGTATTTAACAAATTCCAATCCTCCACCTCGCCTCATCTCCCCCCGGTCCTGCTATCATATCTCATGCAATATATTCCAGTCTCGGTTCCAACGCTTATGCGACGCCGCACTGCGAGGCCGGAACCTCAGTGTAGGTAGCAGTGACACGACCCAGCTGCTCAGCCTGACCGTTGGTGAGGTCATTCATAGCCTGGAGACCAATGTTGAAAGCGCCAGTGGCCTTGTCGATTGCAAGGACGGTGATGGTCTCGTCGACTCCATTGCCAGAGTAGTGCAGCTGGTAGCACTTGCCACAGTTAAGGCTGCCGCTACCCTCGATAGTGAGGGCACCGCCGATGTGAGGGAAGCCGGGCACGTTCCCGAAAGTGGGCCAAGTATGGGTGAGCATACTGCCGCAGGCTGTGTTATCCAAGGAGGTTGTAGAAACATCGTAGGCCGGGTCGTAGGAGACCGAGACGGAGATTGCGTCCCGGGCGACGGCGGGTGCGGCTGCTGGGACGGCAGCGGCGAGGTTGAGGGAGGCCAGGATGGCGGAGGACACAACGATGAAGGACTTCATGGTGAATTTGATAATGTTGATGTGATGGGGGGTTGATTGATCAAGGTTGATCGATGGTCTTTGGATGTGTTGGTTGTGAGAGAGTCTTGAATTGCTTGTTGATGTATATCTCTATCGAGCCCTCCATCAAAACATTTATATATCCTCGAACCACCGGGTATCAGGCAACCCAGGCGTGCTACTATTTCGAGAGCTCTGAAAAACACGACTGCACCCGGTTCAAGTCTTAGACATAAAGCGGATACCCATGAACCGGTGACCAAACCGCAATGAGGAGAGAAAAGCGGGCATCGTGAGAAAAGGACAGGCCTCCCGTGCGGGGCGAGGAGGAAGCTGGAATGCGGGCACACTGAGACATAAGACACACGCTTCTTGGCCGAAGAGGGGATATAGTGTGGCTGACGATGATCATCTGCAGGATCGACCCATCCTTCTGCATCATCACGAAGTTGTGTCGACTGATTCTCATGTCACGGTATACTTGGAGTGGCCCGGGATGACCTGCGGGATGCCTGCCCGAACGCTGAGGTTACATTCACCACGAGGACGCACTGGGAAATCTCGGGTACTATGGCAGCCGCATTGGGAATACCCAGAGCTAGAAATAGAATATCCACAACCGAAGTAAAAAAAGAAGTGAGTCTAAAGTGAGAGAAGACTCTTTCTAAGATAGATAGATAGAAAAGAAAAAAAAGACAAAAAGAAGCGTCCCCGGGAAGGCTCGAACTTCCAACCTCCTGATTAACAGTCAGACGCGCTAGCCGATTGCGCCACGGAGACTTGCTTGAAGAAAGCCAGTAAGAAAAGGATTTACATTTCTATACTCTACTTTCCTAGCTTTGAACCACGGTTTGATCACAACTATAATCTTAATCCAACATATCTCTCTATCCGTTTAGTTTACAATTCCCGTACCAATCTTAACCAGGTCCAGATTGATATCCCACTGCCTAAAATCTTGCCAATTAAACTGACCCACATAGAAAACTTTGCCACCACTGCCCCGACCGGACAGGTTAAAGAGAGACGTACGATCGGCTTCTATGACTTACACTCGACTTTAACTTATTGATCAATTAGTCCTACATCTTAGATATATATATACAACTACCCTTTCTCGAATTCTCTGAAATATTTACTAGGCCACTCTCGGAGCTATCATCGAGGAGAGTGGATCATGACTCGGTGTGCGCTGCTAATTCAACCTCTCAGTCTCTCCTATGTAAATATGTCGCACCAAACCGTGCGATCCGAGGAACAAGCTCAAAATAGGACATACCCAAAGCAGTTATACCATGCGCAGAATCCAGCTAGCCAACCGAATAAGCTCTGCGAGTGAAGTTGCCAACTTGACTGACCACACAGCTTGGCGATGGGTAGCCTAACAAACACCCTCGCGCTAGGAACCCGATCCGGACTTCTCCTAAGCAACAATAACACAGGAGCACATTAAAGGGATGCATACGTACTCATCCTGCGTCGAAGTGAACTTGGGGATGCAAGGCCCCTCCTCAAGGCGCCTGATAAGTGGGTTTTGAGTGGCTGAGCTGAGAAGATTAGGCGGTCTCTATAACCTGCGAACTCTTCATCATTCACCGATCTATACAACCTGGTCGGCGTGTATGCTTTTTTTAAGAGTCGAGAGACCTTCTCTGAGTTAATTGATAGAGATTGCCATTCACGGGAACTCTGACAGGTCTGAGCCGATTACACAGTCTCCACTAAATTCACTCGACATTGGACTGCGTGCAATCAGCAATATGCGCCCTAATACCGGTTTTTTTTCCAGCACTACACCACACAAAAAAGGTTATAATTAATCAGCAATACTCAAATAGTTATATTGAATGCCCTATCACTCTATCTAAAAAACATCGATGCTTATCAGTGTGGAGAGAAAAAGGCGTGGTGGCGGAACAGTCTTCCGAAGTGAGAACTGATATCAATTGACGACGGTTTGTAAATCGTCAAGCGAAACAGCAAGACATGAATCACATTGCAGATTGTTGAGGCCCCTAAAGGGGTAGTTAACAATCTTTTGCATCCTTTCCCCTGGAATATCTTTGTCACTCGATATGTTACATCGTCTTCCAACCACTTGGACAAGACGTGGTAGACAATCGAGGGCGAAATATGGAACGAAGCCCCACTGTAACCATAAATGCTTCCGCTTTTTCAGGTCCCAGGGTGAGTTACTCGAACTGCTTTTGTACTGTGGGGCAAGCCTCGTTGGGATGAAGTCTCAGAGGGTTTCTCACGGAGATTTTCCGGTGGGGTTTCAAGGGCTCCTCCTTGCTTCAGGTCTGTTCTGTCTATAGGTAGTGGATACATAGTGCAGAGCTGAAATCCCAATAGTCGGGAAGCGAGATAGGACTGTAAATATCTTTCCCGCCGTATCTGGGTCATCTCTTTATCTGTTAATTCATCGAGTCACCTGTTCATACGTGGCTGTGACCAGGGGAATCTCACTTTTGAGACGGTGTTCAGATCTCGACATAAAAATGCACCGAGTATGGTACCTTTAGATTCCCACCAATCAGCGCTTGCTTGTTGTGACTGACAGATTTGCCTTTTTATGATCAGCAGCTTCGTCTGCTACTAGTGTAGGAAGGATCATGTGCTAGGTGCTCTGTACTTTTTGTAAACCTTATGCGGTAAATCGTAAACATCCCGTCGGATGTTATTCCGCTGGCGCTTTCTCATTCTCCAATAGTAGCATCTGTAGCAACCATTTGTCTTGAAATCTAAACCTTATTACAAGAGAGACTCGAGCTTAACTTATTCCAGTCCCTCGGTAGGAGAAAAGTACACCCATTCATCCGGTGCCGAGTATAGTCAAAGATTTACTTCCTACTTTACTCCACACCTCATTATGGATCACTAGTCCCTTCTTACGAAGCTTCTGGTGGACCTGAGGAGACATGTAACCTCATAAAATGGAGACGTAAGAGCTACACAGGCGCAAAAGGATATAAAACACTTTCTAGTAGCCATTCGCTATAGCTGGGGTACCTTAATCCGACTCAGGTCCTTACGATTTACCCCTATCAGTTATATGCCTACACGGCACAGTTTAAACTTCAGGATCGGGGTTATTGTATTTTGTAAGGCTATTGTGCTTCTGATAAATCAGTCCGGCCTTTAACAGCCTGTTTTGGAATACCATTCGACGCCCCCACGAGGCTCGTGATTGAACTAACAAGCCATTATTGATTTTGGCACACGATCGTAAACAACGAATCTTGTGCGAATTGAATCTCTTGTTCCCGCCTCGTCCTCCCCGAATCGTGGGTCAATACGAGGGGAATCCACTATGATGGCTGTACGATGGCGTTGCATTAGCTTAACGCGGGTCATTCGGGAGACGTGAGCGCTTGAATTCGCGCCGTCGAATCTTAAATTGAGTGTTCCGACCAGTGATCGACGCCGCATTTTTCGGAACAAATTGACACCTTACCCTATCGCGCTTGAACGGTGGAGATGTGGAGATAGGGCTCGGCAGAAGTTCCCCTTCGACGCTGTGAACCAAAGACAGCCGCGAACGCCTCTCCACTATTACGCTTCTCCACGCTCCATCATCTGCCGCACTATAGAGCTAGTATGACAGTGGTGAACAGGGTATCTCCGCCTTCTCCGTTTACTCGTTCCCCTGAATAAAAAAAGACAATGCTGACAGGAGGCTAGAGAGTGGAGGCTAGATGGCTTTTGCTCTGCTCAGCCGAAGTATAGTGGAGAACCGGATACGGTGCAGGCCGCTTCACGGCTCGTGTGTTTTGATCAAAAGCCCTTCCTCTAAAAGTCTATCTTCTTATACAAATGAGGGGCTTGCTCATCTGGTGGATTTTTTACTTTCTCAGGGACAAGGTTCAGTTCCCTGCACCCATCCATGGTCATGCTAATCCACGCTTTGCGGGCTCTCCACGCTGATGGAGGCGACTCCTCCATCGCTCGCCGATGGGAGTTTCGTGAAGAGTCCCCGGTTGAGGGTACCAATCGTTCGCTCTTTATTGCCATGGGCGTGATATCCATTCTATCATTGGGGTCTACGCTTGGCCTCTTGTCGTTCCTTACCTACCGATTCATTTACTGGCAGCGGTACTATAAGCGTCCGCTTGCTCAGAACCAATACGTCGTGCTTATTTACAATCTCCTGCTTGTCGACCTACAGCAAGCGATTGCGTTCCTTATCAGTTTGCACTGGGCCGCTCGTGGCAGTGTTCATTTTGGAGAGACTGCCTGCTATTTGCAAGGATGGTGGATCCAGACAGGCGACCCTGGAAGTGGTTTGTTCGTCTTGTCTATTGCGCTACATACGGGTGCCGTTGTACTGCGTGGTCGCCAATTACCATTCAATACCTTTGTATACTGTGTGATCGCGCTATGGATGTTTATTCTCATCTTGGGATTCATCCCGGTTGGTCTATATGGTTCTAAGGTCTTTGTCATTTCAGAGGCCAATTGGGTATGTACTTCTGCTTTCCTCATGCCTGAGCATCACTGACTGAATTTTGTTCTATCTTTTAGTGCTGGTTGAGCCCGGAAAACGAAAACGAACGACTATGGGGTCATTACTTCTGGATTTTCCTTTCCGAGTTCGGTACAGTCGTCCTCTATATGATCATGTTCTTCCACCTCCGACGCCGTATGGCACAAGCGAAGATGCTCCGCCGTGGCCAACAAGAAAGCTTGCACCGCCTGAACCGCGTTGTTATCTACATGGTCATCTACCCACTCGTTTATCTGGTCTTGTCACTACCACTTGCGGCAGGTCGTATGGCAACCGCTCGCGGTAAATCTCCCAGCAAGGCCTACTTCGCTGTTGCTGGCTCACTGATGGCCCTGTCTGGCCTCATGGATGTCATTGTCTACACCGTCACTCGCCGCCATCTGATCACCGATACCGAGCACAGTACAACTGACCGCAACTACGACAACAACACCGACTCCCAATGGCAGACGAACATTACTACAACTGGTGGTGAGGGGACTCGCACCAAAAAGGGAGGATTGCGGATGGGGTCTCGACTGGGCTCGAAGTTCCGGCGGAGTATGCCCACTGTTGACAAGGAGACTCGGAATAGTCCATTCGAGGACTCGACAGACGATATTGTCCAGAAGGATTCTGTTGAAATGTCCAACTTTGGTGGTGGTGTGTATCAGGAGACCACCATTGAGATCTCTCATGAGCCCGCAACGCCTGCAGATACTATGGAAGGGCGTTCGCGCCTGAGTGGCTAAGGGTTTGTTTATGCTGTATGACTTTTCCTCGCCCCACTGGGAATTTATTGTGTATATGATTGACTTTGTATCTACTTCACACGGCATGTCTGCCACTTCTATACGCTCTCTAATACTATAATATATGATTTTTGTGCATGACTTTGCACAATCTGTAAGTCAGTGCATTAAACTATAAACCACATAGATCGATAAAATTCGAACTCAAACCCCGCGTGCTGGTTCCACTAAAAGAAAAGAAAACATGCAGATTGTATTCTTGATCTGCAACTGGGATCTGGAATCTTCGAAGCATAGCTGGGTGTACCCGTACGGAGAAAGGATCCCAACAACCAATGTAGTTGCCATAAAACTCGCCTGTTTCTACCTAACTTGTCAAATTCACGAGTGGGGTATAGTGCAATAGTGCGCTGCTTAGCTGAAATAGTGGACTCGGGCGTTCGAGCCGCGCCAATAATGTTAGCTCTTTTGCGTCTCTTGAGTGCTTTCGCGCTTGGGCCGCTCGACGCGCTTTGGGACGCCAGGCGAAGATCTTCATCTCGGTGTCTAGTGGAGCTCCACTTTCCGAGATCGGCAATCGGTCCATACAGGAGCCGATCAGAACGGCGTGTATTCCGGTATTGTAGAATTTTTTTTTACATCTTTCGGAGTACGGAACGGAGCATCCAAAGACTCGATATGTTCGTATCCTCTTGAAAAATCAAGTTAGCCCTAGTCTGTAAGCTTCCTAGTTAGGTAGTTGCAGTGATGACTCAGAATCAAATTTCGAATGGTTAAAGACGACCGATAGAATGGACATGTGGATTCGAGAAGTCCTGATACTAGTGGATTTCTAGGGGAAGATCTGGAAGAAGTCAATTTGGCTTCAAGAAGTCCAAACTCTAGATGGGAACTTTTACTATCGAAAGACAATGTGAGATTGCGCCAAGTCTGCATAACGAGAATCAACCCCACAAAACATCTGTCAACTGTAGTCTGATGTATGAGGCCCTGAACTCTGAAGAGAATTTTTGATAGATTAAAGTTTTTTAATGGATTTTAACTTTGCTGCGCAGAGCTTCTCCTTTTCACATTTGATGGTGCGTCTGTCAACTCCTAGCAAATTGCAAGACCAAGACTGGGTCACAGGAAACCATCAAATATCGAGCAGAAAGATATACAAATGACTTGATATACTTGAAAATGGAAGTTTCCATGCATATTACCCCGTATCTAATGATTTACGATGAACCCTAAGTACAATAAGCGTCACTATAATGCATATTTCCCTCATGGCTAGTTCTTTCACGCACCCATCTTGCCCCGAGTGTTATGTCTCAGAAGACATGATAGGCGTAAGTACCATTATTTACTAAAGAATGGGCTCTGTCACACGCCAAGGAACGATCGAACACTCATCCCGGCTTCTAATGCTCGACAATTGGATTGATTCACTCTCGAAAGACCGTATGCAGAGAAGCCGTCACCATCACAGTGCTTATTATCCGAGGTTTTTGGTGGCGCAGCATAGATCGCTGCGTAATATTTTGACCCTGATAGTTGCTTGGCAGATCATTGCTAAAGATTATCAATCGATGATCCCTTTTGGACATTGCCAAATCTACGAAGTGTTTGGCTTGGGTAGTTGTTCGTCACACCAGTCTCACTGTAGCCAGACATTGAGGGACTTGGAAGTACGAGGTTGTCTGTTTCATGGATCCAGTTGACATGGAGTTAGGTGCGTTGAGAGAAGACATTGTGTAACTATCCTAACAGTAAGCGTTACCTGTGCCAAACTACTTATGAATTGCTGTATCCTGTCTTCCAGTAGGAGAGAATGAATTTCACATCGTGAAAATGCAACAACTACATCATCTCCTAGCCTACTGGCTGTCCTCGCTTTCTCTCGTCTCGGCACAATTCCAAGGCTTTAATCCCTTCGGAAACAATGAGCTCACATACACGATTCGTGTCCCTCAAGGCACAGCAAAGTCTAGCATAGGACCCATATACTTCCAGATGAACTCTACACGCCCCGTGGAGTGGCTTGCGCTGGGACAAGGAGCTGCTATGCACGGCTCGAGTATGTTCGTGGTATATACCTCGGGTGAAAACGTTACTCTCTCCCCGCGAGCAGGCACGGGCCATTATGAGCCGTTGTACGACAAGCATTCGCAAGCCTCACTCATCAATGGGAGCGGGGTGCACAATGGAGTCATCACTGCCAATATTAGGTGTGACGGTTGTAGCTTTTCCGGCGGTGGCACAGTGAATCTGTCCGGCTTTTTCAGTCCCTGGATCTGGGCGATCAAGTACGGAGCACCGTTGAATACGAAAAGTTTGACAGCGAGAATTGCAGAGCATGATGTCTTTGGTACATTCTTCGTCAATCTCACCAAAGCAACGGGCTCGGACAGTGATAACCCGTTTGTTAACTTGGACAAGACCTCGATTACGAGGGCCTTCCCGGAGATCTTTGACCACGATGGTTTTGATAGGAAGAGGACTGCCCACACGGTTTTAATGATTATCGCATTTGTCTTGCTATTTCCCCTATCTGCATTAGCACTTCATGTCTTGCCTTCCACTCAAATCGTCAGAATTCATGCTACTCTGCAGCTTTTCACGCTTGCCGTGACAGTTGCGGGCTTTGGTCTTGGAGTCGCCATGGCCAAGGATGTCCATCTCTTGAAGCATCACCATGCAATTATTGGAATTGTGGTCGTCGCATGTCTGGTTCTCTTCCAGCCTGGGATGGGCCTTTTACAACACCGGTATTTCCGGAAGACGGGCAGCAAGGGTCCCTTTGCCTATTTACACCGATGGCTCGGGAGAATCATGATCATCCTGGGGGTGGTGAATGTAGGTTTTGGATTCGAGATTACGGGGATCGGCTCATCCGATGTACCCAAAGGTGCGGTGATTGCCTATGGAGCGGTGGCAGGAGTGATTGCGATAATATACGTGGTGATTGTCAGCTTGACTAGGCGACGGGTCACATCAGATTGAAATTGGGCCGGCGTGGCGGCAGTAGGGAATAAGAGCGATTGGCTTATCTCGGAAGAAATCAACAATTAAGCAAGATAATACCAGTACCCTACGAAGGCGAATCATAGAGAGTCTCAGAATAATGTAGCTACGTGTACGAACTAAATTATTCAATCGAGTATGTACTTAGCAACGACTTTCTCTGCTGAGTTGTAGTCGCTGAGTATGTAAAAGGACTCCATCGAGGAAGACTTGGAGTACGTGGACTGGACATGCTCAGGTCGAGGCAACTCTTTTTGTAAGAGCCAAATATGCTGCAAATAGGTAAGCACATGCCAACATTAATTCCGTGACTCTGGTATAATCTGTAGCTCAGTCGATGAAGTATAAGATCCTTCTACCAGAATGAAGATACTCCAAGTATAGCTTTATTTGTGGTAGTGTCAGTTGAACACCTTATTCCCTAGGTTGCTCATAGCACTGGAGTTACAACCTTCTAGATTTAATTAAAGATTGTGGAAATATACTGATGATGTAGTAATAATCGAGTCCAACGTGGCATACTTGAAGTCATAGTTAACAACCTGTTTGCCAGGAACTCGATTCTCGCATTATGATTCGTTCCCACATTTGCTTAGTTTCCTGCCCTTGGCCGCTTGGACCTGAATTGACCCACTTGAATGGTGATGCTGCTGCTCCGCTTCGCCTGATAACTCCCTGCCATTCAGCGTTCGTGATTCGCTGTGGCTGAGTGTCTTTCCGCTCATCTCCTGAAATATGACGTCGGGCCTCGGTCTGCGCCCTTTCCAGTTGGCATTCTACAAACCGGTCGACTATCCCAACTCTATCCTTTCCAATTCCCCCTTCGTAACCTCAGCAGGTGAATGGCGCAGTCATGACATTGCATACGGTCGCATTGGGTGCGGCCTTGACTCCCACTGTCCTCCAGACTCTAATCAATCATGTGGGTCTACTATTGATGCCGAGGACGAACTATGAATGCACATGCTAATCACCTCAACCCGTTCGCAGTACCTGCACCGCAAGTCGCGCCATAACCACCCGACCGTCCATCTCACCTATGATGAAGGCATCCAGGTCGTTCGTCAATTCCTTTACTATGCCTCGAAACACCCGGTCGAAGATATCCAGGCGTTCACGCGCCAGTCGGTCCCCAGTCCGCGCTGGGTGAGGACGGAACCTATCACCATCCCCGAGGAGTTTCTATCGTCCGCGGCAGATGTGCTCGTGAAACAACTGGGCCCCAAGGGTCTCGTACGGGTTGGAGGAGAGAAATGGTGGCAATGGCGAGGCCCAGCCGAGGGTCTCAAGGGCGAATGGATCGAGATGCGCAACCATTACAATGAGATGAAGAAGTCCAATGGCCGCAATCACAGGATCATGCTGTATATCCATGGCGGGGCTTACTTCTTTGGAAGCGTTGATACCCATCGGTATATGCTACAGCGTCACGCTCGCAAATTGAAGGGTCGTGTCTTTGCGCCCGACTATCGCCTGGCACCTCAATTTCCTTTCCCGTGCGGCTTGCAGGACTGTATGGCGGCGTATCTCTGGCTGCTTAAAAGCTACGATCCCAAGGAAATTCTCCTTGCGGGTGATTCTGCTGGTGGTGGTATGACCTTATCACTGCTGGTAATGATGCGTGACCAAGGCATCCCATTGCCCGCAGGCGCGATTCTCATTTCGCCGTGGGTAGACTTGACACACTCGTTCCCGAGCATCGTGGAAGATAACCCTGGTGACTATATACCACCTTACGGATTCCGATACAAGCCCTCCGCAGCCTGGCCTCCACCCAATGCCGACGAGATCTTGAAAATCAAAAGCCTGTCTCGAAAAGAAATCTTCACAGCCAAGGACATCGAAGCTGCTGGACCGACCACAAATAAGGATGACAGAGACACTGCCATTCGCGGTTATACACTCCATGAGAAGAAGACGCCTGCCGAGGGCCATGCTTATCCAGGGATGCAGCAGAGTCCGGACCCGGGTACCCTGCACGCCGAGCCCGACAACATTCATGTCGTCCTGGAAGGCAAAACGATCGAACTGAAAGACCAAATCCAGATGTACGCCACAAATCAGTTGATATCCCATCCCCTAGTATCGCCTATCCTGCATGCATCACTGGGAGGCCTTCCGCCACTTCAAGTCATCAGTGGTGGCGGCGAGACTCTTCGCGATGAACAGTTTTATGTGGCCCATAAAGCGGCCAACCCGACAACCTATCCTCCTGGTGACGTCTACCTCGATGAATTTGACCCTGATCGCGAGACACTGAACAAATACGGGCCAACATACGTCCAGCTTCAAGTCTGGGATGACCTGTGTCACGTCGCTCCCACACTCAGCTTCACTAGGCCGGCCAAGTACATGTTCCGCTCGATCTCTCAATTTGGATCCTGGGCGCTGGCTCGTGCTCAGAAGACCGATGTTGAAATCATGGACGAGAATCTCGTTTCGCCAGTCTCATCTAGTGAATCGGAGAGTCCAGACAGTCCAGGAGGGACCCTAGGCGCACGCAAGCCGACATTCCCAGCCGGGCTATCCGTCGGCAAAGCTGGTGATCCTCTTCCTGCTTTCGATCAGTATATGATCCGCCAGCGAGTCGATAAGCGTGGGCATATGTACCATCTCGACCCGCCGTCATCCTATCCCGTACTGGCAATTCCGCCCGCAAAAGTCGGAGCAGTCAATCCAGAGTTGATTCGGAAATGGCTCGAGGCTAAGCAAGAATGGGATCAGAAGTTTTCCAAAGAGAAGCTCCGCGTCCAGAGCCGGCGTATTAAAGAGATGGTGCACGGCTTCCAGGATTTCGAGGGTGAATGCCCGCCTCCAAGCTCCCTAGCTGCTCGTCGTGCGGCTCCAGGTGTACTTCCAAAGTGGCACGCCAAGAAGAACTACGGATTGATGCTTTGGAGCGGCTGGGGTAGCAAACATGATGAGCGGACCATGGAGAGAGCTCACGAAGCAGAAAAATCCGGTCAGACTACAACCCGCCGCAGTGTGGATGCTGGACAAGCTGGTTCTTATTCAAGCATGCCCTTGAAGAATCCTCAGCCCGGCACGTCTGGGCTCGGACAGACCGCTGGAAGCAGCTCGACAGACGGCACTGCTGCAGTTACCTGGGATAGCACCACCGAAAAGAAGCAGTGGAACGGAGAGACTGACCCTGGCCGTCCTTCCGAACCCACGTCCTTGCGTCCACCATCAGAGCGAAGTGGCGGACCTATCCTCATTCTGCCGGGTGTTGACAACCGCAAGTTCAACGATGAGAACGCAAGCACCAGAGCCCTTTTCCACGCTGCAGGAACTTTGCCCATGTCATCTGATGCATCCCTACCTTATTTGAAAGGCCGACCATCGTCAGTTGGTGGCTCGGTAGCAGGACGCAGTGAGTTCATGTCTGACAACGGCGAAGATGCCAGTACTATCGGCGGCGAAAGGGATTCGAGTGCAGTCCCTGGCACAGCGCTTGACGCTGCTAGTACCCGTGCTGTTCTAAGTGCGAAGGGTGTCGTGGGCGTGGTTAGCCCTAATGGTCGAATCTCTACTGATACTGCATCCTTACGCACGAATCTCCCGGACCCGGATGCTGTTTCCACTGCTGGAAATGAAAGTCGAAATTCTACGTCTCACCGACCGGATATGCCGGAGAGAGAAGTGTTCAAAACAGCCCAAGAAGCGCTTTAAATTCGTGGGCTTCCATCATATTATTGCCATACACGTGCAAGAGTCTTTCCCTTGATTCCACATTCGTTGATGTCCGGTTGATTTTTGACATATAAACGCACATCATTTCAGGACTATGATCTTTTCTCCTCTTGGCTGTTGCATCTTGGCACCCCGTTTTTCGATCTTTTGTCATCTCATTTTCTCCGTTTATATATACCCTTCCAATGGCGACAATGGTTGCTGCTCATACTACTGTCTTTTTATTGAATGTATTCGATTTGTATACTCATGCAGTTTTGGGGAGGTGTACCTGTAATCTCTTCATAAGGATACACGTTTGATCTTGCCCAAATTCGCGAGTCTTTCAAACCTCTATAGATGTACTAGGGAGGACCAGCGTGGACTACGGTGAGTAATGCCCTCTATTTGGAAGTGAATGTCTGAAAGCGGACATAGAAGAGGTTGGAGAAATAAAAGTTGTTGGTACAGAATAAGAACGCTAAAATACAGAGTGTGGGCCACCAGCGCTGGTTGAAATGGATCAGGGAGAATGTAAGATGTACACGCCCACGCAGGGAATCTTCATAATAATACAATCGTGAAAAGAATCAGGCCACTGGCGGTTTAGTGCCAGTCCAAGCCAATCTTGTTGGCCACCTGTTCAGCAACGTCAAGGAAAGCCTGGCGTCGGACACTCTTTTCGACGTTCTCCTCTGCGACCATAGTGGGCTTTCCACGGTCTGCATCTTCGCACACTTGTGCATCGAGGGGAATGTCGCCAAGGAAGTCAACGCCGAGTCGCTTGCACTCTGCAACCACGCCATGATCTTCACAATGTGACTGATGTCCTTCTCCGTGTGAGAAGATTCGAGTTTGGTGACCACAATTCGGGCATGCGAAGTAGGCCATGTTGCGGACCATACCGAGGACGGGGACGTCCATGCGCTGGAACATGCCGAAACCACGAACTGCATCACGGAGCGCAATGTCTTGAGGGGTCGTTACGATAACAGCGCCGTCGATGATGACTTCTTGGTTGATAGTGAGTTGGACGTCGCCAGTTCCAGGTGGAAGGTCCAGAACGAGGACATCGAGTGGACCCCAGGAGACTGAGTGTAGGAGCTGGTGCATGGCTTTCGTAACCATGAGGCCACGCCAGGTGATCGGGGTTGTATCCATGGGTACTTCGCCAGTCGGGCTATCGGATTGTGTTTGAGGGAGGAGGTAGCCCATTGACATGGACTTGAGGCCGTAGTTTGTAAGGGGGACGAGGCAGTTATCTATTGGGAGTTAGCTGATGTAAACGCCTATAGTTATGGCGGTCCAATGGCGAGGATTATGGCGATCTTACTTTCGTCGAGACGAGGCTCGCCAGACAGATTGAGTAGAGTTGGAATAGACGGGCCAAAGATATCGGTATCAAGGATTCCAGTCTTGATACCTCGGCGAGCAAAGGCAAGGGCAAGGTTTACTAGTCGCACAAATGTTTACTTAGCTTAGTTCGAGCTTCATATACGATGAATGACCAGGAGAGCCAATCTAAAGATTGCATCGGCAACTAGGATAACACGAACCCGCAACCGTTGATTTACCCACACCCCCCTTGGCAGAGGAAACAGCCACCACTTTCTTGACATCTCGGATCGTGCGCTTCTGAGGCAGGCCACGACGACGGGGAAAGGACGGGGGAGTACCGGAACGAGGCAAGCCCTAGAGAAGCAGCAAGTTAGTAATGTGCATGATTAGGAAATAGTGAAGCTGGGTGCATGTAGACTGGGTATGCGATACTCCAAAGTCACCCAACGAGCAACCTGAGGACTGGATATAGACAGTGGGAGCTAGAGCACACTCACCAGAGGATTGTCATGGCTGAGGATGGACCGGGAGGTCGAGAACATCCTCCGGCAGATTGTCATTGTGTGAGCTTGAGAGGAAATCATGTTAGTAAGAGTGCAAAGTCCGGACGAAATGCAAGCACAACAAGTCCTGAAGCAAGTCCTGAGGAGGAGCAATGGAACAGCAACAAAAAGCCCGCGGAGATGAATAACAATTCTGCCGCCAGCTAGGCTCACCGTCCGTCACCGCCCTCGATAACGGATAGCAGGCGCTAGTCCGTAAGTAGAAAGTTATTCCGTTATCCGGATAAACAAAAAAAAGTTGGCCGAGAGAAGTTGCTCTCTCGCCAACCTTCCAACACATCATGGCTCCTGGTAAACCCCGCTCTGGGCGGTCGCTTGCAGACCAGCTCGCGGATCTTGAAGACCCAACTCCCAAGGGTATGTGAATTTTGTTCGAACTTACCCATGATTTTGGTGGTGAGCCAAATTGGGCTAACCTTGTTCCAGACTTTGACCCCGAAGACATTGACCGCGATGCGCAGTCAAGTGGTGATGAAGGGGCTGGCAAAACGTCAGATCTGAATGCTGGAAGAGAGCACTATCAATCTGTGGGGTAGGTGAAGTCAACGTACATGTGAGCAATCAACGGTTGCTAAGGTTCAAAAACAGCAAAGGAAAACTTCGAAAGCAAGAGCCCATCGACCTGGGAAAGCAATACGCCGGCGCTCGTGTTAGCAGAGATGACCTAGAGGCTGACAGTGACGATGATCCTTTTGCGGCACGTACCGACGATGGGCTTACGTCCGATGAGGACGATGATGGCGACTCCGACTCGGGGTCGGAACCCCAGGGGGCAGAGTCGCAGAGCGACGAGGAATTACCGCAGTCTGCGGGGGCCGAAGAAGAAATCGATGACTCGCACGGTGACCAGAGCGAGGACGAAGGCAGTGAGGACTCGTATCATAATGACGAGCAGGAAGATGGCCATGAAGTCGACTCCATCGAGGAGTCGACCGCGAGAGGCAAACGCGTTGCCGGTGTCACTGACGACCACGTGGCTATCCATGATCACAGTGGGCGGAAGCAAGGGGATGCTGATCGAGATGAGCTGCGGCGATTAATGGCGTCAGATCAGAAGACGATTGCGGCAACTATCTCACAAGCTGCCAAAGCAGATGCGGCGAAAGGAAAGGCTGTCAAGGAGCAACGTACCACGTTTGATGCACTGTTGAACAGTAGGATCAAGTTGCAAAAGGGCTTGGGAGCGATCAACGAGATGGTGGGTGTGGTTGGAGAAGAGGAAGAGGAAGAGGGTGGTGAAGAAAAGAGAAACTCGGAGGCAATCAAGTCTGCTGAAAATGCCGCCCTCGCCCTTTGGTCTACACTGGAAGAACTGCGCATTGCTCTTGCCGACGCCCATTCTAAGGACGGAGCTAAAAAGCGCAAGCGCCAAGATCCTATTACCAATTCCACCTCGACTACCTCGCTCTGGGAGCGCATGTCCAGTCTGGAGTCCGAGTCTCTCCTTCACCGTCGAGCCGTTCTCGACAAGTGGTCCTCCAAGCTTCGCGGTACCGCGACCTCCCTTCCCAATGCCCGCGGAAAGCTGCTTGGCTCTGCCTCTGGAACTCAGACAATCACCGCCGTCCTTGATGCGCATGTTGCTACAGAGATTGGCGATCGTGCGAACAAACGTGCGCGCCAAACATCTGTCTCCAATGGCTCGGCCCCTAGCGGACTTCCCGAACCAGTTTACGATGACACCGTTTTCTATCAATCGCTGCTTCGTGATCTCGTCGAGCAACGCATGTCTTCCTCCGACGCTATGACCGGTGGCCTCGATACCCTCCACCAGCTCCCATCCCGCCTGCCAATTCACCCCATTACCGGTATGCGCAACGACAAGAACAGAAAGGAAGGCGTTGATACACGAGCCTCAAAGGGCCGCAAAATGCGTTTCAATGTTCATGAGAAGTTGCAGAATTTCATGGCCCCCGAGGACCGTGGCTCATGGACAGTCCGAGCCCGGGATGAGTTCTTCGCTTCTTTGCTGGGTAAATCAGCAAGTGGCTTGTTGGGCGAAGGAGACGAGAGTGCCAGTGACGCCGAGTCTGATGAGGATCGTGAGGAGGGTGGATTGCGTCTGTTCCGCAGCTGATTCTATTCACGCGGATAGCGCTACGACTTGTACATGTATCATTATCATACCTGAACACTGGATCCCAATCATAACTACAAAATTTCCTATTAACAAGGAGAGAAACTCAATCCTTCCTTGTTATTCTACATATCCTACGTTCCAGGGTCCTCCTAAAATGTTCTTTGAAACCCGATGTTCAAACGTGAACTTTGAGTTGAACCCTATCATGTTAATCTAAGAGTGGGACGAAAGGCGGACAAGACGTTTCGTCCGAAATCAGTCAATTTCAGCTGCTTTCGTCATCATCCTGCCATTGCTGGTGGAGTGATCGGATCAAAGTATTCATGTTCCACCCAGTTCTTTCATGCATATCATGCAATAGACACTCAGCTGCTTTCTGGTCGCTGCGATGCCGTAGAACCCAGCCCCCTTCAAGAAAGTTGATTAGTAGATGAATAGTAGGAGAAAGAATCAAACATGCTTACATGCTACCAGACTATGTCGCGCGGTAAATAGCGTGTTCTCTGCTCGGGCATTTGACTGGGCTAGGCCTAAAATGCGGAGTAAGTGATAACGAATGTTTCTCTGCATGAGGTATCTTTGTCAATCAACTTCAAATGATAAATGAGGTAGCCAAAAACTCACTTCGGTTTGTCGAGTCTGTCGGAAGTTTTCGTAAGCAGAGTTTATTGGGGCTGATGCTGATAGAGCTAGCACAATCTTCGCAATGTGGTAATACTGGAGACCAATGACTATTTCCTGATCAGCATGACTATTTGTTAGCAGTTAATAGTAGCATCCACCTACCATGAACTGGCAAAAGCATCCAGATTGTGGGGAATCGATGATCAATTTCAGATCCACGTGCCACCATTCTCACTGGCTCAAAGGTATACGGCTTTGAAGTATACCAGTCTTCAACCTCCTCGCCAATCGCAGTGTCTGGGGATACATCAGTAACGGAGCTTTGAAGAGCCTTCGCTAGCAAGAAAACCATTCTGCTGGACCAGGCAAAGTCGTCGTTTCTAGTGAAGATATCCGAGCCATGAAAGTTCTGCAAGTTGGTTCGCAGGGGCTGCTGGGTAGTCAACGACACATAGATATCCTGACGGAGACATAACCAGGCTGCTGCCTCACCGAGGCCACCCGATGAGCCGAAGCTTTGTACCGAATTGAGGATGTGTGTTGTCCCTGTCAGATGGAACTGGTGATCCTCGCCTAGAAGGAAATGAGACCTTGCGATGTTGAATGTAGAGTACGGCTGAGAGGGCCTACCATCCATTTCTTCATGCTGGCGGAGAATCGCTACAGCTGCGAGAAAATCCTCGGTAATGTGCTCTGGCTCAGAGAGCGCTGGTATTAACAGTTGCACACACTCATTGTGATACTGCAAAGCCTCGGCTGGATCACTATCATTTTGTCGGTTCAGATGCCGTGATGAGAATGCAAATATGGCACAGCGTAAGACTGGCTCCTTTAAAGCCCTGGCTGGTACTTCGGATTCGAAATGGCGATATGGGTCTGTTATGTCTGCCTGTGAGTAAGTTTAGATGACGGAGTCCATAGTTTACGGCGGATTGCCTAAACATACCCAAAGTGCCATGTTTTCCACAAAGTTGCGGAGCAGTATGGCCTCTCTTTGCGTGAATTTATGTAGATTTTGAGAGCTAGCTGGTGGCCTGGATGGAGAAGAATATAGAGATTGGCTAGAAGGAGAGAGATTGTTCGCGAGTTGCTGTTGTGGTGACAGAGCCGATGTTCTCTCAACATGGGGCTCTTGGAGATGAAAGTTCCCATGAGGGTGGGATACACTGGTATGTTCCTCGAGAGATGTTTCTCTGAGACCTTGGTAGGGCAGAATAGCATCGTCTTTTGAAGAACTCACGTAGAGGCTGGCGATTTCAGGAGTCTCGTCGTGGAAACGAACTATAGGGTTTCTAGCTAGGGTCCCAGCTGCTCAAGATAAGACGAGGGATGTGACATACCCTTTCCACGCACCTGTGGCCAGGTGTTTTGACCTGGAAAGGTTCCATCGATACCATCGGGTAGTGTCAATCCATCCCGGAAACGAATGGTGGTTCGGTCACATTCGGATCCTGCATCCTGGCAGGGCTGGCAGACTCTAGAGTCGATATCACCTGCAGGGAGCTATTAGTCCGGCTTATTCAAGTTCCACTAGAATCAATAATCTTACACTTCAAATGTCGAACTAGGACGGGGAAGCGACTTGTTCAGTAAACGCTCTTTTGGGGAAACCCTAATCCTCGTGCATGAACTTACTGCGACATCGGTGACTATGTTATTGTGGATCTGGTCAGCCTGTATTATTCTAGTAGAAAGATGATCGGACATACCATCCTGCAACCAGCCGACTTCGCTTCTGTCGAGTGGGCATCTGGATTATGCCAGAGGCGTAGAGTTGGGGACAGAATTGCCCTCGACAATTCAGAGGCAAATCTCTCCGGAGTGCGGGGAAGCGGGTCTCCACAGTTTCATTTGAATGTTATCGAGAGACCGAATGCCAAGTGGGCCTGGAATACCTTAATGAAGGTCGGTTATCTATCGCTATAACGAGCTAATTATTTTAAGACTGAGTGGGTCACCACTGAGCAAGCGGTTGGGGGGAGCTTCCCAATTTACCTTTTCGGGCGCTTTTAGAAATTCTTTCCGTTTAGTCTAGACAATTCGCCCAACCCGTCGTTGAGGTTTCTAATGGAGATGATGGAGACACTTTCCAGGCTCAAGAATAAACAGAAAGATGTCTGATCAACAAGCAGCTAGATGGCCCTGCGCTCACATATTTAAATCGCCCCAGGACCCTTGAATCGAGAGAAATAACCAACATTCACACACCCTTCTTCCATTTCATAACTTCGCACGAAACTCCAGAGCATCATGGGAATCCAAAAACTTCAGGTTGGAATGGCCGGCTTGGGCCGTGTCGGCAAGATTCATGCCATCAACTTCCTCCAACGAACTCCTCGTGCTCAACTAGTGGCAGCTTTTACCCCCGATCCAAATGAAATTTCATGGGGAAGGTTGAACCTTGAGCCACATGGAGTGACCTTGTACACCAACTATGATGAGATGCTCAAACATCCCGGTCTCCAGGCTGTCGCTATTGGGACTGCTACCTCGGTGCATGCCGACGAGGCCATCAAGGCCATTGAGCGTGATTTGCATGTTTTATGCGAGAAGCCTCTCTCTATCGATGTCGAAGTGGTATGATTTGTTATGACCTATGTTGACTTTCTGGAATTGAAGCTAATTATTGGATTTCTCACTTTTAGTGCAAGGCTGTTGTTCAAGCTGCTAAGAAGAAGCCTCATCTGAAGGTGATGTGTGGGTTCTCGCGGCGATTCGACGAATCCTACCGGGATGCTCGTGAAAAGGTGGAACAAGGACTCATCGGCCGACCCTCTATCATTCGCAGCCAGACATGCGACAAGTTTGACCCCTCGGGCTTCTATGTGGAGTATGCCGCCTGGTCTGGTGGTGTCTTTGTCGACATGTCTGTCCATGATATCGACCTGACCCTCTGGTTCTTCGGCGACGACATCATCCCAAAGAGCATTTCTGCCCATGGAATTACCGCGGTGCAGCCCGAGTTGAAGAAGCACAAGGACTATGATAACGCTGTTGGAATTGTGGAATTCCAAAATGGCAAGATCGCGTACTACTACTGCACGCGGATGATGGCCCATGGCCAAGAGGATACCACCGAGATTATCGGCACCGAGGGCAAGTTGGCAGTTAACAGCAACCCTCAGCGCAATTTTGTCAATCTTTATCACTCTGGTGGTATTACGCGCGAGGTTCCTCCCAACTTTATCGGTCGCTTCGGTGCCGCTTTTGTGCAGGAGGCCAATGAGTTTACTGCTGCTTGCCTTGATAACACCCCACTTCCTATGAAGTTGTCCAATGCTGTCAAGGCAGTTGAGATTGGTGCATACCTCCAGGAAGCCTTGGTTACTGGCCAGCAGATTCACTTTGACGAGATTGGCCGGCGGATTGAAAAGGCTCAGCTATAGAATGGGGATTGTTTGTATTTTGTGATTGTTTTCATAGGTACTGGTATTTCTCACTAGGATATAAGAATTTGGAAGAAATAGTGTTACTAGAGAAATCGCTGTTGCTCCTTTGCATCACTGGCTATACTCCTGCCGCATACGACGGACGATAGAGGGGACTTCCCCAAAACTCCTAAATCCTACGAGTGCATTGATCGCTTCTTCCACCGTCCTATACGCTCTACCCGAATATCCCAAACCCCTCTTACCTACGTACGTACGTCTATGTAGCTTATACTATAAGTCACACAGCTCGTTACTAAAGCGTTATCTATGGCCCTATTTACTAGTCAAATATATACTAACGTAGGCGATTTAGGAGATTAGCTATAAGATTATAGATTATATTTCAATTTCAGCTTAAGTAATCTTATTAGTTAGTTGATTTAACTCTTTTTTAATCGGTTTCCAGTGGTAAAATCGCTTTTCAATGGGGGATATAGGAAATGCATAGATTATATGGGATAAAGAATAGCTGAAATCGCTAACTAAGAGTTTACCTTCTATCGTCCGCCGTATGCCGCATCTGTGACGCAAGACTAGTCTAAAAGATCTATCTATGTACATAGATCGTGGCACAGATCTATCATTTTAGATACAGTCGAATGAAACCCAACATTCACCGTCTTCTAGTGACTGGGTTTTCGAATCTAATAACGAGCTAATTGACGCTAAGACTCCCCCGCAGAGTCGTACGCAACAACCCCTTCGAAGCCTCGAAACCCAAGGCGCTGGCTGTCGCGGCCTCGTTGGAGGATACATTGGGATTGGTGGACTTGGCTCCACTGGGATCTTCCTAGGTCAGAAAATAGATACATGCAACACTTATCCTCCAGTACTGTGTGATCATCCGCTGTGCCCAGCTTGATGACCATGCGGAGTGGAGAAGAATGTGGGGAATGCTCCGATCCCCTCATGACGCCACAGTATTGGCACGATCGGCAGGTCCCCAAGGGGCGTTTCCTTTTGTCTTTTTAAATATTCCTGACCATGGGAACTAGGAAGTTACCAAGGCCAGGTTATTGATTGAGTTTATTGTTATCCATTTATCGGCCACGCATACTTCGAGAGTTGGCAGGAGCTCGCCATCACCAACCGTTGCTGCGATCCTTCGCCCGAGCTGGAACGAAACAGGCAGTATCTACAGCCTACAAGAGATGCATTTTAACCTGCAGAAGCAGTTGGGACTGAGTTCCCTCTGCTCCTCGCTCTTATCATTTCTTTGCAGCAATGACCAGGCCCAAGTCGCCTTTCACCCAGCTCGGCCACCATCGTACCCGTTGGCGGTTCGTAACCCATACTTATCGACATGGATGCCGGCAGACCGAGTCGATCGGCTTCCCTATGCTGAATCCCAGTTCTGGGCAGGCCAGGATCTTGGTTGGTCTGTGATGGTGCGCATCGATGGCCAAGTGTATAGTTTGATGGGCGTCTCCGACCTGGACGCCAGCTCGATACTCCCAGCAACCGTGCGACGCGCCGAGTTCACATCAAGCCATTCGCTCTTTGATCTTATGGCTGGACCAGTGTCACTCACTCTGGACTTCTTCTCCCCGGTTTCGCCATCGAATTATTTACGACAATCGCTCCCCTTCAGTAAGTCCTATGCAAGGCAGTATCATGCTCCACAAGCTCGTTTTGGGCACTAACGGACAATGCAAACTAGGCTATTTGACCGTGCAAGTTAACCATGTATGGGGACGTGATATTCAGATCTACTCGGACATTGATGGGAGGTGGACTGGCCGGGAACATCGCTCAGTCCACGACTTCGAAGAACATGGCAAACTGCTGTTCCACACCCTGTCAGTTGAGGATGCCCCACGATATGCAGAAGATCGCGACATGGCTCTGTGGGGGCATGCTATTCTTGCCTCTCGTGCGGAAGGCTCACGAAACCTCTCAGCACTTGCGGGACCTCCTCAGGTCGTCCGTGCTGCCTTTGCGACGAATGGCAACCTGCATGAAGAGGAATCCGCGTGGTCCGCGCAAAGTGTTGTAGCTCTTGCACATGACTTGGGGAATATCGTCGGTGGCGCCTCTGTAACCTTTGCTGTCGGTTATGAGAGAGAGGAAGCGATCAATTACCTCGGCGATGCATACACTGGTTTCTATCGATCGGAATATCCTACAACTCACGAAGCACTCTCATTCTTCTTGGAAGACTTTGAGGAGGCTCGACTGGAATCTTGGAGACTGGATGATGAACTCTCGGCTTTTGCCACCGCCGCTGCCGGTCCTAAGTATGCAGATATTGTGGCTTTGTCAACTCGTCAAGCATATGGAGGCATCGACTTGACAATTCCCAACAGTTCACTCGACACTGATCGGGCGCTGGCTTTCATCAAAGAGCTTTCTAGTGACGGAAACGTGAATACAATCGACATTATTATGCCAGCCTTCCCAATATACTGGGTGATGGATCCTGATTGGATTCGCCTCTTGCTGGAGCCCGTGATGCTGTACCTGGATGCTGGTCGGTGGAAACTCCCCTATACCATTCACGACCTTGGATCTCATTATCCTCATGCCATCGGTCATGATGATCAGCGAGCAGAGCCCATGCCCATTGAAGAATGTGGGAACCTGCTCATTCTGGCACTTGCGTATGTTCGTGCCACGGGTGACGAAAGCTGGATCAACCAGTACATGGGTGTATTCCAAAAATATGCCGACTATCTGGTCAAAAATAGCATCGATATTGCCGAGCAGCTCTCGTCCAACGATGCCGCTGGTCCCCTAGCAAATGAGACAAACCTAGCCATCAAGGCGGCTATTGGCATCAAGGCATATGGAGAGCTGAGCGGAGATCAGAAGTATTCTCAGATTGGTGATGATCATGCAGATATCTTCTTCCGACAAGGATTGGGCACAGACGAGCGCCACACTCATTTTGTGCTGGAATACCCTGACATGCCAAATACATGGAAGATTCCATACAATCTCTACCCAGACGTGCTACTGGGTCTAGAGACATTCCCTAGAGAAGCATACTCAATGGGGAGTCAGTTTTTCTCGACCGTCCGCGGGGAATATGGCGTGGCATTGGATAACAGACAAGACTGGGCTAAGTCCGATTGGAATATGTGGCTGGCAGGTACTTTTGAAATAAGTACACGCGACGAGTTTGTCGATGACCTGTGGGCATTTATGACCAATGGAAAACATAACTGGCCCTTCTCAGATCGCTACGTTTCTACCTCTGCGCATGGCAGTGAGCCGGGCGTTCCAGTTCTATGTCGTGCTCGTCCAACTGTTGGTGGTCATTTTGCATTACTGGCGTTGAAGGGTCCTAATTCTCTTCCATCGATATCGACCCACAAAGCTTACGGTACTGGTGGGTCAAGATATGATAGGTTCATGGATCCTGCTGGTGAGCTGTAATGAGTAGTGACATACCGTGTGGACTTGCCATGTTTTATAGTCTTAGTCAATATCAATATTATTCTTTTTCCAAGAATATTTGAATTGTCCTATGTCTGCCGATCATAGATGAATTGTGTCTTGTATCTAAGGTTATCAAGGCCGTGGTGGGAATACCTTGAGAGGCTAAACCAGTGATATTGAAACATACTGTCCAATTTTTGGGTTCCAAGCTTCAGATTCAGGAAAGATGTGGCCTGGATAGTGCTGTCAAGATCTGAGCCTCATCATATTAAGTCAGTAGGTCAATAGACAACTCATGTAGAGCTATATCAAAGATCCATGACTAGTAACGACTATGTTCGGCTTAGAGTGCGGATACCGCATTCTTTACCTACTATAAGTAAACTTAGAGTTCAACCTCTCATATATTTTAACTGAAGTTTCTATGGACTGATTTAAAATTCTCAATTGAGTCTGTTTGTGTTTGCGGTTTCATCTTTCTCTTCTCTTCCAAACCCGCAAAGGAAGTTTGTTTGTGAGACCCGCGCCAGGGGTGCTTACCTAATCTGGCTGTCACGCCTGCCCAGTTGCTTCATCGATGCGCAGTGAATCTTCCGTCGCTCTTCGACTTTCTTCACCCCCTCCGCCTTTCTTCCTTTCTTCCTTTTCTCCTCATCTCCTCCCCCCATCTCCTTCTTTAATCCTCCATATCCTCCCATCTCTCTAATTCATTCTCTCCCACACTCGATGGCTTCTGTGAGTTCCCTCCTGTCTTGACTCTCGTGTCTCCCCTCCTGCGGCACTGAGCTGGATACCCGACTTTTGACCCTACGATACCGCTCCTTGAGCTCGAAGAACTTTCACTGACACCGTCTCTTTCACGTCTAGCCTCGCCCACACAACTTCGGTGCCCAAGGCTATCCCCTCTCGAACGGTGCGACCCCGTCCGGTCCGGCGCCCGGAGCTGTGCCACTGCTCCCCAATAACGGCAGAATGATTCAGAGTGGGCCTACTCGGATCTTGTGTATTGCGGACGTGCGAGGTATGATTGACACGCTGACGACTGGATACTGGGCGAAGCTAATTGATTCGCACTGCAGGAAACCTGAAGTCTCTGAATGATCTGGCGAAGCAAGCTCGCGCAGACCACATCATCCACACCGGTGATTTTGGTTTCTATGATGACACTTCGCTAGAGCGCATTGCAGACAAGTAAGTGCACCTCAAATCAAGCTGAATTCAGTCCTTGGGTCTCAAAATGGGACATCGCCATTACTTGCACGACATTCGGTTTGAAATTCACAATAATCGGGGGCTAAGCTAACCTTATTTCGTCTTCGCGCAGGACCCTTAAGCATGTTGCCCAATATTCCCCCCCTCCTCCCCGAAAACGTGAAGCGCACAATTGCACAGGTCCCCCCTCAGCAGTCGATTAAGCAGCGTTTCACTCCGGACCAGCTACCCCTCTCCGAGCTGCCTATGCTCCTCGACAAGCGCATCACCCTTGATGTCCCTGTCTACACAGTTTGGGGTGCTTGCGAAGATGTTCGGGTCTTGGAGAAGTTCCGTTCCGGCGAGTACAAGGTGAACAATCTGCACATCATCGACGAGGCCAACTCTCGGCTGCTGGACATTGGTGGTGTCAAGCTGCGTCTGCTTGGATTGGGCGGTGCCGTGGTTATGCATAAGCTGTTCGACAATGGTGAGGGAAAGACGACGATTGCCGGTGGCCAGGGTACCATGTGGACCACCCTGCTGCAGATGGGTGAGCTCATCGACACAGCTAACCGAGTTTACGACCCATCGGAGACTCGTGTTTTCGTTACCCACGCCTCGCCCGCCCGTGAGGGTATGCTGAACCAGCTCTCCGTCACCCTCAAAGCCGATTTCTCTGTCTCCGCTGGTCTGCACTTCCGCTACGGATCTTCCTACAACGAATTCTCCGTCAACCCTTCGCTCGACCACTATCGCGGCAAGCTCGCTGCCTCAAAGGCATCTTTCACCGATGTTTGGGAGACTGTGCGGGGTGAGGTCGAATCGGCCATCTCCTCTAACGAGGCTCAGAAGACCCTGCTGGACAACGCTTTGGATGTGGTGCAGAAGATGCCTTCGATTGCCAATGGTGGTAACCCCTTCGGCGGTCCCGTTGCAGCTGGAAATGCTGCTGGTCAGGTAGACGAGAGCGCCTTCAAGAACATGTGGAACTTCAACCTTGCGGATGCGGCCTTTGGATATCTGGTCCTGGAGATTGAAGGTGGTCGTATTGCGACTGAAATGCGTGCTCAGGGCTTCAACTTCGCCCACCGCAGCGGCAAGCCTGCGGCTGGTGGTGCTCAACCCGTTCCCAGTGCTCTGCCTGCTACTACCGCCTCTCCTGCCCCCACTGGTGCTGGTGGTCGTCCCGCCGCCTCCACCCCTCAGTTCGGTCAAGCTCCCCCTGTTCTCGCTGGCGCTGCCGCTGGTCAGCAACAAGGTCAGGCCAAGGCTCAGCCTGCTCGTGCCTCTCCCGCTCCCGTTATCCCCAAGGTTGCAAGCCCTCAGCCCCCCGCCACCACCTCTGCTCAGCCTGCTGGCGAGGAGAAGATTGCTGGTGCGGACGCTAACGGTACCATTCAACACGAGAAGACTGGCGAGTCTCCCGCTCCCCGTGGCGAGAAGAAGCCCAGCAACGGCCTCTTCGTTTCCAATGTCGACAGCGAACAGAAAGTTCGTGAGCTGCTCCCTGAAGAGGATCAGGCCAAGGCTCTTAAGATTGAGAAGTATGGCAAGTTCAACTACGTTGTGACCTTCCCAACAGTAGAGGACGCCAAGGCGGCTCTCGATCGTCAGCCCATTGATCACAAGAAGCCAACTGCTGGTTCCGGCCCTCGCAAGCCTAACTTCAAGTTCTTCGAGGAACGTCCCCGCGGCCAGGGCAATGCCGGCACCTGGGGAAGCAGCACCCGTGGTGGTGCTACCGCTGGACAGCGTGGCTACCAGAGCGCCAGTGACAGTGAGGGTGCTCGTCGGGGTGGATTTGGCGGCCGTGGCCGTGGCCGCGGTGATCGGGGCCGCGGTGGCCGTGGAGGTCGTGGTGGCAGCTTCAAGAGTGGCTCAACTGACTCCCCTGCCCCATCAACTCCCTCTGGCGACAAGCCTACCCCCTCTGGTGGTGACTCATAGTCTCTGACGTTTCGCTCATCCTGTTTTTCTTGATTTTCCTCCTTTCGGGTTGTCGAGGATGCTCGACCACCTTCTTCGCCTACACCCCCTTCCCCTCGTCATCTCGATTTTTTTACGCCACAACATCCCCCATTTTCTCGCGTCATCTTCTCATTCTCCTGTGTCTTTATTGACCCCCCCCCCCCCCCCCCCCCCCCCCCCTTGGATCCTTTTCGAATTCCCCCTGCCCTTTTTCACCTACCCCCGTTCCGTTTTTAGCAAGATGGTGCTTTCAAGTTGTGTTCCGATGCCTTCATATTCCTCCCGTAACGCCTACCGGAAAGGATACGTCGGCGCTTGGAAACACAGACTACACGATCGACTCGAGTGAGTCGGAGGATTGCGTTTGATTTTGACAGAGAGAGTGGAAGACGCAAGCAAAAACAAAAAGAATGACAAAAAAAATTCTACCATCTGCCCATTCCCTGATGTTTCTTGCCCCGTTTTTTCTTTGTACTTTACTATTATCCTCTTCTCTCTAGAAGAAACATCGATACCCTTCCAGCTTCGATTTTAGATGGGCATTTTGAGTAGCTTAGATCGTACTTTCAAGGGCAGACTAAACTCCCAACGAGCCAATGTTGGCGTATGCAGTCCTGTTTTTGTCCTTTTCGCCCACTTTGATCCCACTTGGAGGGTTTAGGCTCATGTAACGTACATAACACTAATTGGTTAGGGAATTACTTTTCTCTAGCTATGTGGCTGGGTGTGGTCAAGACAAGCTTAAAAAAAGCACTCTAATTCGGATCCCACGTGGCAATTAAGCATGCTAGAACTCTGATGTACCAAGCCACCTGGCTTGAAAACTACGATTAGATCACGATTAGATCACGATTAGATCACGATTAGATCGAGAGAAAGTGCCTAAAGACGTAATTGAACGTAAAATTTGTTTGTGTACAAGGATATACGCAATATCCAACTTCAAGGAGCGCAAGCCATCCCAAACTACCAAGGCCTAGTTAAATTCCAGTTCGCCCATAACCCAGATATTCCTTTCCGTTACAATGAGGTCGGACTTGTGAGCCGCCTCATCCAGGCGCCGTTGTGTATGGCCAGACAATGATGGTCCACCTGCATGACGAACCCCCGTGTCTCCATTCGCCAGGCTTGATGATGGAAGCAAGAAAAGACACACGCATGAAGGATATGAAAGGCACAACTACTGGAGAATGAGAGACGAGGAGAAGAATCAAAGAAGAAAAGACAATAAATCAAAAAAAGAATTTGATAGAAATGGAAATAGATCAGAAGTTCTCTGGAAATTCAAAAAAGACCAACGAGTGGTATGCCGTGGACATGATAATCGAGATTCGATCTCGAGCGCTGTGGTGTCTCCGGCCGACGTTTGGTCGTGATTTGTTCTGGAGTTATATTTGATGACGCCGTATGTTTTTCAAATGACATTCAATGATGGGTATGATTGGATAAAGAAACGTGGTACAGATTCAATGGACGTGAAATGAGGATTGCATGAGTCGTGAAAAGGGTAGGACGGGCCAGTTTGTTAGAATTCCCATCGTGGAGGAAACTTTGCGTATTGTTACTTGGCACGGCCCATGATGTCGTCGACATCACGTTGGTTCACGACTACGCCGCCCTCGGAACAGCGAGCCTTTGTGCGCAGCTCGGAGCAGAGGTTGTCGACATCAATCTCGCCGTTCCGGAACTTCTCCATTGATTGTAGACGGTCCCTGTGTGTCATGTTAGTAAGAGAGAGGAAAGAGGAAAGAAGATAGAGTACGCCCGAAGCGCAGAATAACATACCAGATCTTTGTACACGACAGCATCTGAGACTTATCCTCTCCGGGAACAACTTCTTCCTCCAGCCTGCTGTCGATTTGTGCAATCAAGTCCTTCTTGGGCGCTTGCTGGGTTGCCACCTCGCTGAGGTTGTGGGATGGGCTACCCAAGTCCGGCAGAGGGAAAGCATCGTTGAAGAAGGAACCAAAGTCCTGGGACAGGACGGCATCCTGTGGTTCACGCCAGTCTCCGAAAAGGACTGGGTCAAACTGACCGCCATTTTGTTGAGCGAGCCAATCGAAGCCGACCGGATCCTCCGTGGAGGCCGGCTGGTCGCTCGAGACACTGTGGGACTTGGACTTGTCCCGAGCAGCTGGGATGGGGTTATTGATGTTGCCGCAGGCCATGCCAAGTTTTGCGCAGAAAGATTCCTCACCATTGATGCCGCCATGGATATCGCACGTGTTACCAGAGTCGTGGGGCTTTGCCTCGGGCGGAGAGTTCAAGCTCGGCTCGGGGGAAGTACCATTCGACGAGAGTAGCTGAGACTGGTGCGAATCAGACGAAGACGAGGGGGAGTCCGAATTTGAGGTATCATGCGTCGCAGCGCCAAAGTGCTTGATGCTGTTGTAGGGAGCCCTAGTGGAAGTAGTGCTGCCAGGAGTAGTACCGCTGGAACCAGCATAGTGAGACTTCACGCTGCCAGGTCCAGTGGGGGTACTGGAGTTGGTTGGAGTGCTGGAATTAGACTTGCTGGTAGCAAGGGCGGACAAGCCGTTCAAGCCATCACGGCTGAGCACTCCAGGAGCACGAGGAACCTGTCCCTTGTTCTTGGATTGATCGTTCTTGTTTGCCTGGCCATTGAAGAGATGGGAGCCTGGGAGATCACCAAACTTGGGGAAATCGAAGAGGAACTCATTGTTCTGCAGGCCATACGCTCCCCGGGAATGAGCACTTGGAATAGCACTCATCGCTGAGATACCGTTACCACTGGTCATCCAGGAGAGACGCTTACGATACTCGCGGAGTTCGACCTGCAGTCGCTCCACTTGAGCCCGGAGTAGACCATTCTCCTGGTTGGCATCGTCTGAAGACTTCTGCAGTTCATCCACTTTGGTCTCCAAATCTTTGAGGTGCTTCTCCTTCCGCTCACGGAATGCCCGTTGGGCAGCCCGGTTTTGGGCCTTGCGTTTCTGTTTTGTCTTGTCAATAAAACCCTACCGCCTACACATAACTCGGTGGATGCCTACCGTAGTGGGTTCCGAGGTGAGGGGCTTGCGGCCGGGCTTCTTGGCCTCACTCTCCCGACGCTTCTTTCCATTCTCCTCCGCGTCCACCTCAGACTTGCCATCCATCGACTTTCGCTTCTCACCAATGTCATACTCGGCAGATGAAGCGGTTCCAGGCAAATCGCCAATCAGATCTGCCGAGTTCGGGAACTCAAAGTCGATCTCTGGGTTGAAGTCCAAGAATGGACTTTCGTCCTCCCCGAATCCAAAGCCATTGAGTTGTGGGTTGTCGAACGCACCCGAAGGGGGCCCACTCATTCCATTAGATGAAGCATGGTCTGGGCTGTGATCGGCTTTGATCTGGGGGGTGTGATGAGGTTGGGGTTGCTGTTTATGGGCGGGATTGTTGGATGAGAGGGCAGCTAGCAGGAGATCCTGCTGGCCCGGGGAAAGATAGAGCCCCTGCTGGTAGAGCTGATCGTAGTCGCTCATGATGATATATGGTGGGGTTTAGATATGAATAGCAGGGTGAAATTGTCCAGGATAGTGTCGGTTCAAGAAGGGAGGAGGATTGACGGGGGGAGATTAGTTTGATGGGAAATGACAAGGCTCGAAAGGAAACCGGGAGCGATAATCGGGCGGTCCGCCCGCAAACGATGATAGATGGTTGAACTGAGATCAAGAGGATGATAGTGAGAGATAGTAGGATATTCAGACCGATTCAAATCGTCCTGGAAGCTTGGGGGAGAGGATTCTCCTAGCCTGGAGATTTGGCAGCGTAAGGGCGAGATAGGGAGGTGGTGGAGGAGGGGGAAGAGGTGGAGGGGATTCAAAGGGAAAAAAAGGTGCAGAAACGGGCCTGAGGCTAGAATGGGGTGGAAGCACTAGCAGATTGGCCCCCCAAGTTCCAAGCCCCGAGATCGAAGCACTGCCCGGGTGTGGCTAGGCAGGTCAAGGGAATTGTATGAAGTGTATGGATTGTAATGGAGATTGTACGGAGGGTGTATGGAAGGAGTGTATGGGAAAGTACGGAGTAGTGTAGATGAGGAGAAGTGGAAAGATGATGAAAGAGGAGGCGATCTCTGGAGCGGTGGACAAACCGGCTGCTTCATTGGCCCGAATTCCGACCGCAGGTGATCTCGGATCATCGGCAGCCAATCAACGGGCGGGGCATGGAGGGGTGGTGGGGGGCTGACTCAGCTATTGTTGGGCCTGAGGCAGAGATCAGCACTCAGTGTTGGCCTAAGTTGGCCTGATTCTGCCTAATTCTGCCTGGTTCCGACAAGAGTTTCCATGACGGACCCGAGCTGCTTAGAAATCAACCTGCAACTCTCCCTTCGATCTTCTTCGGTGGGTTCGTTGTGATTCGCTGCTGCAACTTGCGTTTCGACTTTTTGGTCTCGTTCTTTTCACGGCAATTTTCTGCACCTAGTTTTTCTTCCGGTTCCCGTTAATTTGACGGTCCGTCCAGTCAGACGGGTCCTTTTTAGCCCTCGTGTCTCCTCCCCCCTATCTAGCGCCATGTTTCATTACGAGTGACTCATGGGGAGTCGTATACATACTCTCCGTTACATCTTGGTCCTAGTTGAAACTCTCTCCGAGTATATGTGAGCATCACCGCATGACAATACATATCTTCGATTCGACACGTTTACCCATATATATAGAGAGAGAAAGTATCAGTCTCAATCCCGTATGACTGCTGTCTATAATACCGCACTCCGTACTCCGCATAGGAGTGCCATAGCTTACGATTCATCTTATCCATCATTTATCCCTCCTCAATGGCCAGGGTCTGACCCCACTCTCGGGTTCAAGCCAATGTCTCCGATCCAGGATCAGACCACGTCTCTAACTCTCCTGTTCTATGGTATGTTGTGCAGTTCACTCCTTGCATTCTATCTCCTGTAGGCTGGATGAACGTCTAGTGGCTCTCGTATCCGACTACAAACAAGCCTCCATGTCAGCAAATCGTTCTGGAACCCAGGTGGCAAAACCTTGCTTCTTATTCCATTATGTCGCCCTGTCTTGAATGACGTCTTCATTTTTCCTACCATTGCAAACCCCACTATCCGTATTTCCGTACCATATACGGAGTGTACACGTGAATAAGAATATCAAAAAATGGACCGAGCTTGCAGCCTAAACAGAGAATAAGCAGAACAAATTTAGACTCTCCGGTTTCGCATGCAAGCCCCTCGTTGTCGATCGTGGGGGCTTATCGCGACTGTCTTATCTTGTTCTTATCAAATCGGGGCTAACTGAAACTGGACAGACAATGGAGTACTTAATGTATGGACGGTGTTCGGGTACAGTAACATCCTATATATTCCATTCCAAGTACATCACAAAGAGTACAACACCAAGCAATCACTACTTTTTAGAATCTCTAAATAGACATCATTCTTGGATTTTTATGATGATTAGCCTGGCTCTATGCTGTACTAAGCTACGCAGACATGGTCTTCATTGCGGCTCCAGATCACATGACCGTGCAATTTGGCAAGCCCGTCAACTTTGGCCGGGCAGAAAGTTCTCCGCACATCGCATATCCACTCATCGACTAGCGCCCAGAGGCTAAGAGACCTTGTCGAGACTTCTTCAATCTGTTGTCTGGTTGCCTCAATACCTTTTCTTCTGCTCAAAGCACCCCCAACCATTGCCCACCATGTCCGACGTCGCCGCCTTGGAGGCCGAGGTCAAAGAATTCAAGATCCAGGTGAGTCTCCTCTCCTCTCGTCTACCCTCCGTATGAATGAAGCACAGCCCAACTAACTGCCGTCGCCCCTTTCTCTCTAGCTTGAAACCGTCCAATCTAGCTTGCAGGTAGAACCCGATAACACGGAGCTGCAAAGTCTCAAGACTGAACTCGAAGAACTCATAACCCTCACCGAAACTGCCATCGCCGAGCTCAAACCCGCCCCCGTAGCTAAGCCGACCCCAGCACCGACCAAGGAGACATGGTCATCAAAAGAATCTGTCTCGCGGCCGTCACAGTCTACCTTCGATCGGGCAGATGAGACCGCCACCACCGCACCTCCACCAGCCGCCTCGTTCTCCGTCAACGACACTGTTCTCGCCCGCTGGGTTTCGGGCGACAATGCTTTCTATCCGGCTCGCATCACCTCCATCACCGGCTCATCAAGCAATCCTGTTTACCTGGTCTCGTTCAAGTCGTACGCGACTGTCGAGAACCTGACGGCCAAGGATATCCGCCCCATTGCGGGCAATGACTCTCGCAAGCGCAAAGCTGATGGAACCTCAGGCAGTTCAGCATCCCCTTCTCCCGCTCCGCCGTCAATCTCACACGCCAATGTGATCTCGGCGGCAGCCGATATCAACCCCGCTCTTGCCAACCAAGCCCGTCAAGACCCTAGCAAGGCCGGGGATGCGTCCGCACGTCCGGCCAAGGTTCCTCGCAAGGTCAAGGCCAACAAGGAATTAGAGGCGGGCAAGAATAAGTGGCAAAACTTTGCGGCCAAGGGCAAGGGCAAGTTTGGCAAGAAGGACAGCATGTTCCGTACCGGTGACTCGGTCAATGCACGAGGTATGTATTGGATCTTTCCATGTTGGTTGGTGGAGTCAAGAACCAGCGGCTAACTCTTCTGGTTAAGTGGGATTTACGGGATCCGGCCAACAGATGCGCAGAGACCCTGCGAGGACACGCCATGTCTACCATCAGGCTGAGGATGAGGGCTACTAAGATGCCAACATCTCCCCAGACCCCTTGGTCGAGCTGTGAGGGTCCTTCTAGCAGTGGGCCCCCAGGCTATGGTTATGTCCAGTTTCTTTCCAGTTTCCTTCTTCCTTTGTTTGGAGTACCTCTCATGTTCTCATCGCTAACTGGATCGGCGATGCAGATCAAGCCATCTTTTATGTTTCTCGCCTAGCGGAGTTTTGTGTCCATAGATTATGGTTCTACCGGGGGTTTCATGATTTTCATTTACGAAGTGATATCTATCATTAGTTGACCACCCTTGCATTCTTGTGTAGCATTCTAACTGTGATTCATGCTTCAGATCTGCACGTGGCTCTATGGTCCTATCCTCATGGAGACGTGCCCCAAGACAGTCACCTGATATTTTTTTTTTGGCCGGAGCTTCGGTGGAGCCCTTTCATTCAGCATCTTGTCGTGTTGCCAATAGTAATAGTTGAGTATTATTTATTGAAAGTAGAGATACAAATCGTACTCATCGGTTGCCCTCCTTTTACAAATCACATTAGATTTCACCAAAATCTAGGTAGGCTAGTTGCAATGGTTGAAAGTAAAACCACCTGACATGGCTGGAAGTCAGATGATCTGCTCAGAAACATTTCTCGCGGTGCTTCTCGTGTAACTAACAGAATGGCCTTCGTCGGAGGCCATTATGGCAGGCAGCAAAGTACCGAGCTCGTTATATCACCCTCTCTTGAAATCCTCATGTATGGACACAGATGCATGACAATACATACGAGCCCGACAAGCAGGAACCTTTGTTGTGCCTGGCCTTAGCGCCCATCTCATAACACCTCCAGGAGTAGTCCTGGCATTCCAACTCGCCCCAATGGTCCTTGGAGTCTTGGCCGAACTAGGCGGGGCGCGGTACCCGCTTCTCCTCGGTCCAGCCCACGTCATGTTGCCTTTCTCTTGCTTCCGGGCTCTCTCCAGCTTCCAACTTCCTTAACACTTTCATTCCTGTCTTCCCCTCAAGCCTTTTTTGCATGTTGCTGGAGGTTGTGGGTATCTAACACGCCTGCGACTACTACTCGCTGTGCCAGACTTGGTTTTTTTGTTGTCCCTTGCGCCTCCAGCGTCCGAGCTCGGCCTTGCGACCGGTAGAGCTGTCTCCACCTCTCGCATGAGCAGGTCTGGAGTGCCGACTATTGATAACGAAACCTCTGTCACTCATCCCGAGACCCGGATAACTCGGACTAGGACCTGAAGGACCACAACGACCCTTCAATCCGATTGCCGTACCGACAAAATGCGCCAATTGGGGGTTGTGGGAGCGCTCGTGGGGTTGGGCTTCCTTGCCTCACAGCCGGCACTGGTCGGCGCGCAGGGCGAGACCAAGATCCATGAGAAGGGCCGCTGTGCGATCCGTGGACACTGTGGGAAGCAATCGATCTTTGGCGGCGAGTTGCCTTGCCCTGATAATGGACGGGCTCATGAACCGGAGGACGACGTAAGGCAGAAGCTGGTCGGGCTGTGCGGACCCAAATGGGAGGAAGGCCCCGTTTGCTGTCTCGATGAGCAGGTAAGATCATGGTCAGTTTATGGCCAAGCCGGCGCGATCGCTAGTTTTGAGCAAGTGTGCTGACCGAGTTCGCCGTTTCGTTGTAGATCGACGCACTCTCGAGTAACTTGAAGCTGGCTGAGGGTATCATTGCGTCCTGTCCAGCCTGCCGCCACAACTTCTTCGACATCTTTTGTACTTTCACCTGCTCACCGGATCAGTCTCTTTTCGTCAATGTCACTAAAACCGAAGAGAATCGCGCGGGCAAGAGACTCGTGACCGAGCTGGAGAACATATGGTCCGAGGAGTACCAGAGTGGATTCTTTGACAGTTGCAAGAGCGTGAAGAATGGTGCCTCCGGCGGGAAGGCCATCGACTTTATCGGTGGCGGAGCGAAGAATTACTCACAGTTCTTGAAGTTCCTTGGGGACAAAAAGTTCCTTGGGAGTCCATTCCAAATCAACTATCGCACTGAGCCCAGCGGCCCCGACCCCAAGGGCATGAAAGCGTTGTCTATGAAGCCCAAGGCTTGCAATGACGCCGACAAGGCCTATCGTTGCTCTTGCGTTGACTGTCCCGATGTTTGCCCCGAGTTGCCTGCCGTATCTACTCATGCCGCGTGCCATGTAGGACTCTTGCCATGTCTCTCATTTGCGGTCATCGTCATCTACTCTGCATTCCTAACCCTCATTATGGGACTCGCAAGCTATGTTACATATAAGGAACGTCGATTCCGCAAGCCTGAGCGTGTGCGATTGCTTCAGGACCCCACTCCCAGTGATGATGAAGATGAAGGGGAGCTTGTGCACCGCGGAGGCTACATGGAATCTCCCCAAGGCGTGTACAAGCCAAACTCCCTTTTATCTGCTCTGTTCCGCCGTATTGGTGGGGCTTGTGCTCGTTTCCCGGCCATTACGATCGTCTCTAGCTTCATTGTGGTGGTGTTACTTAGCCTGGGGTGGCTTCGGTTTACCATTGAAACGGATCCAGTGCGTCTCTGGGTAAGCCCGTCTTCCCCAGCTGCTCAGGAAAAGGCGTTCTTTGACGAAAGCTTTGGACCATTCTACCGAGCCGAGCAAGCCTTCCTGGTAAATGAAAGCGGACCCGTCCTGGACTATGACACCCTTGTATGGTGGTTTGACGTTGAGTCTCGTGTGCGACGCATGATTTCGCTGGACAAGGGCCTCAACTTGGACGATGTCTGCTTCAAACCGACGGGTGATGCTTGTGTGGTACAATCGTTAACTGGATACTTTGGGGGCTCTATCTCCAATCTTGACCCCGACACATGGCAAGATCGGCTTCGTCACTGTACCGAATCTCCGGGTGACCCTAGCTGCCTCCCTGACTTCCAACAGCCGCTGAAGCCGGAGATGATCTTCGGTGGATACGAAAGCACTGGAGACGTCCTGGATTCCAAGGCACTAGTCGTCACGTGGGTCGTGAATAACTTTCCCCAAGGAACTACTGGTGAAGAGAATGCTATCGACTGGGAGAATAGCTTTAGAGGCATCTTCAATGTTGTCCAGGAAGAAGCTGCTGAGCGTGGTCTCCGCGTTTCCTTCAACGCCGAGGTCAGTCTTGAGCAAGAGCTGAACAAGTCCACCAACACGGATGCGAAGATCGTGGTCATCAGCTACGTGATCATGTTCGTCTATGCTTCTCTGGCTTTGGGGTCCGTCACCGTCACCTGGCGGTCTCTCTTAATGAATCCCGCCAATGCCCTTGTGCAGTCCAAGTTCACCCTTGGAATCGCTGGTATTTTGATCGTGTTGATGTCTGTGTCTGCTTCGGTGGGGCTGTTCTCAGCAGCCGGCGTCAAAGTGACTTTGATCATTGCCGAAGTCATTCCGTTCTTGGTTCTGGCAGTGGGTGTTGACAACATCTTCTTGATCGTCCATGAGTTTGAGCGTGTCAACTTCAGTCATCCGGACGAAGAGATTGATCAGAGAGTTGCTCGTGCCGTCGGCAGAATTGGACCCAGTGTTTTCCTCTCTGCCCTGACGGAAACTGTGGCATTCTCTTTGGGCGCCTTTGTAGGAATGCCCGCCGTCAAGAACTTTGCTGCGTACGCCGCAGGTGCCGTCTTCATCAACGCCATTCTACAGGTCACCATGTTCATCTCTGTACTAGCTCTTAACCAGCGACGCGTAGAAAGTCTTCGCGCAGACTGCTTCCCATGCCTTACCGTGCGGAAGGCGAACTCCTTTGGCTTGCCCGAGGAACAGATTTACGATGACCACGAAGCAGAGAGTGCGCTCCAAAGCTTTATCCGCCGGATATATGCTCCTTTCATCTTAGATCGCCGTGTGAAGGCAGTAATCGTCATCGTCTTCCTGGGTATTCTCACTGCAGGCCTAGCTTTGATCCCAGAAGTCGCTCTCGGTCTGGATCAACGGATTGCACTTCCAAGTGACTCCTACCTGATCTCATACTATAATGACCTTGACGCTTATTTCCGCACTGGTCCTCCGGTTTACTTTGTCACTCGCAACGTCAACGTGACCGAACGAAAGCACCAGCAACAGCTCTGTGGTCGATTCACGACCTGCGAAGAATACTCCTTGCCATTTGTTCTGGAGCAAGAATCTAGGCGACCGAACGTGTCTTACCTTGCAGGATCTGCTGCTAGCTGGGTTGATGACTTTTTCTACTGGCTTAATCCCCAACAGGATTGCTGCAAAGAGGATGGCAAGCTTTGCTTCGAAGGTCGCAACCCTCCATGGAATCTCACTCTCTATGGAATGCCAACTGGGCCCGAGTTTATCCATTACGCCGAGAAATGGATCGATGCACCCACCGATGCTACCTGCCCTCTCGGGGGCAAGGCGCCTTACAGTTCTGCAGTCCTCATTGACAAGGAACACACCATGATCAACGCCAGCCATTTCCGAACGAGCCACACCCCCTTGCGAAGTCAAGATGACTTCATCCAGTCATACATCGCGGCTCGTCGAATTGCGGATGATATCTCTCAAGAGCAAAAGATCGACGTGTTCCCGTACTCGAAGTTCTATATCTTCTTCGACCAGTACGTTTCCATCGTACAACTGACTGGTACACTCCTGGGATCGGCAGTCGCCATCATCTTCGTCTTGACCTCTGCCATTCTCGGGTCAATCGCAACGGGTGCAGTTATCACCACTACAGTGGTGATGACCGTGGTCGACATTATCGGTACGATGGCCATTGCTGGTGTTTCATTGAACGCCGTCTCACTCGTCAATCTGGTCATCTGCGTTGGAATCAGCGTGGAATTCTGCGCGCATATTGCTCGCGCGTTTATGTTCCCCCCGCGGACCCTTCTCGAGAAGGCCCCCGCCAAGTTCCGCGGCAAGGACGCCCGGGCCTGGACGGCACTTGTCAATGTGGGCGGGAGCGTGTTCAGCGGCATTACAGTGACGAAGCTTCTTGGAGTCTGTGTGCTGGCTTTTACTCGAAGCAAGATCTTCGAAATCTACTATTTCCGCGTGTGGCTGGCCTTGGTGGTGTTTGCCGCTACCCACGCGCTTATCTTCCTGCCGGTAGCTCTGAGCTACTTTGGCGGTGGTGGTACGTTACTTCCCTTCCCCCAGCGCTGAATGTTCTGTTTACTAATGACATCCAGGATATCTCGACCCAGCTGCAGACGGTGGCCTCGAGGCCAACCTCGCTTCGCGAGGCTACCGCTCGTTGATGGTGGATGACGATTACGACTCTGATGAATACTAAGCGCTATTTGCTCGACATAGTCTGACTGTTTTTACTCTTTGCAAAATTTGATTCTTACTTTCGGTTGATCACGGACTTCTGCAGTTGTTGCCTTGGGCTTGCTGAGCTCGCCAATAGACTGCAGCCACGGAGACAGACAGCCGATGGAGGGTACAGGCGCTGTCAGAGCAGACTGGGCGTTGTGTAATCTTTTGTAGGGTAGTTTCTTTGTCATCTAATTGTCTCTAACTATTCATTCTATGCTACAATACACGTCCATTGGCATGATTCTTCTCCTTTATATACTCTTTCATGTAGTTTGCCCTGCCCCTCACGAGACCACGAGAAAACTAGAAAACCACCCACAAAAAACCCCCCTATAGATGCGCGACCCAAACCCCACGTCACCAAAACAAAAAGCGTACCACACACAGAAAACGGAGAAACAATAATAGTTTGTCATAAGAAACGGTGCCCAACCCCAAATGGGACTAATGACCTAAGAAATTCCCAAGTAATCCGGTCCCTTTGGTGGTCAATTAGCCCAATAAAACCGAAGGACTTTTTTCCCCCTCGACGCGCTTGATGTGGTCCATCCCGCCCTAAACCCAATCGGGTAGCCTGCCCCCCCCCTTAACTTTTTTTTTTCTGCCGCGTCTTCATTTTTTTTTTCTCTTCTTCTTTTCTTCATCCCCCCACCATCCTCTCCTTTCTTTCCTTTTTTTCCTTTCTGTTTTTTTTCATTGAGATACCCCTTGAGCTGTTTGTCTTCATCGACAAGCTGCTCATCTTTGAATTGTCCTCTGCCTGAATTTATTAGGGGCTAGGGACAACCCCCCAGTGACTTTCCACACAGTCACGTTATTGGAGAGAGAAGAGAGAAGAAAAAAAATCATTTACTTGGTGATACCATAATCTGATCATCAATCATGGATCAGCAACGATTCCTGCAGCAATTGCAGATCGTCCTGGACCGTATGTACCTGACAAAAGCATTCCGTCTAATTCTGCAAGATCAATTCTCGCTAACCCTTGCTTCTCGTCTCTTCCAGCCTCCCAGGGAAATGTCAAGGAAGCCACCGGCATCCTGCAAAAAGAGTTCTATAACCAGCCTCAATCCCTGGTCCTCCTCATTCAGATTGCTACTGGCCATGAGGACCCCAACCTTCGCCAGCTGTCCGCCGTCGAGGCTCGCTCGCTCGTCCAGAAGCACTGGCTGAAGGTTGCCGCGGATCAGAAGCCTCAGGTTCGGGAGCAGCTGCTCCGCTCTACTATGGGCGAGAGCTCTGATCTCGTTCGTCACTCCATCGCTCGGGTCATCTCGGCTGTTGCCAAGATTGATCTCGATGATGGCGAGTGGGCTGATCTGCCTAACATCCTCCTGCAGGCTGCTGATGGCGGCAACAAGGACGAGCGTGCCGTTGCCATCTACATCCTGTTCACCATTCTGGAGACTCTGGGTGAGGGCTTCGAGGAGAAGTTCCAGGACCTGTTCACTCTGTTCAACAAGACTATCCGTGACCCCGAGAGCGCTGAGGTCCGCATCAACACTCTCTTGGCTCTGAGCAAGCTCGCCTACCACCTTGACTCCGAGGAGAACGTTGCTCCCGTCAAGGCTTTCCAGGAGATGGTTCCCGCCATGGTCGCCGTCCTCAAGGATGCCATTGACCAGTCCGAGGAGGACCGTATCATGCAGGGCTTCGAGGTCTTCCAGACCCTGCTTAGCCTGGATCCCGCTCTTCTGACCGTCCACCTCAAGGACCTGGTCATCTTCATGAACGAGATTGCCGCCAACACTCAGGCTGACGAGGACGTTCGCACCCAGGCTATCAGCTTCCTGATGCAGTGCGTTCAGTACCGCAAGCTCAAGATCCAGGGTATGCGTCTCGGTGAGCAGCTGACTCGTACTGCTCTCCAGATCGTCACCGAGCTGGATGACTCTCCCGCTGATGACGATGATATCACTCCTCCTCGCTCTGCCCTGGGCCTCCTGGACATCCTCTCCCAGAGCCTGCCTCCTAGCCAGGTCGTTGTCCCTCTGCTCCAGACTCTTGGTCAGTACTTCAACAACTCCGACCCCAACTACCGCCGTGCCGGTATCATGGCTCTCGGTATGTGCGTTGAGGGTGCTCCCGACTTCATCAGCACTCAGATGAAGGAGATCTTCCCCATGGTTCTCCAGCTCCTCGCCGACCCCGAGCCCAAGGTTCGTCAGGCTTCGCTGCACGCCGTTGCCCGCCTGGCCGACGACCTTGCCGAGGACCTCAGTGCTGAGCACGAGCGTCTCATGCCCCTCCTCTTCAAGAACCTGGCCTCCGCCATGCAGGAGTACAAGGGCGAGGAGGATGGCCCCACCATGGATATCATGAAGGCCGGCATCAGCGCCATCGATGCCGTTGTGGACGGTCTGGATGAGAAGGACGTCGCTCCCTACCAGGCCGAGCTCGTGCCCATCCTGCACGAGCTGTTCAAGCACCCCGACTTCAAGATCAAGGGTCTTGCCGCCGGTGCCCTTGGCTCGCTCGCCTCCTCTGCTGGTGACTCTTTCCTCTCATTCTTCGACGAGTCGATGCACTTGCTCCAGGAGTTCGCTGCCGTCAAGGACAGCGAGGAGGAGCTTGATCTCCGTGCTAGCGTCACCGACGCTATGGGTGAGATGGCCGCTGCCGCTGGCCCTGAGCGCTACCAGCCCTACGTTGAGCCCCTCATGCGTGCCACCGAGGAGGCTCTGCACCTTGGTCACTCCCGCCTGAAGGAGAGCACCTACATCTTTTGGGGTGCCATGGCCAAGGTTTACTCTGAGCAGTTCTCTCCCTTCCTCGACGGCGTCATCAAGGGTCTCTTCGAGTGCATTGAGCAGGATGAGACTGACCTTGAGTTCGACCTCGGTGAGGCCGCCAAGGATCTCATTGGCCAGGAGGTGATCGTTGCCGGCCGCAAGGTCAAGGTTGCCAACCCCGATGAGGATGACGAGCTCGACGGTGATATCGAGGATGTTGACATCGATGAGGATGACGAGGATGCTTGGGATGACATCACTGCCACCACCCCTCTGTCTCTCGAGAAGGAGATTGCTGTCGAAGTTATTGGTGACCTCGTCACCCACACTCGCAGCTCCTTCCTTCCCTACTTCGAGAAGACCATCGAGACTGTGATGCCCCTTGCCGAGCACCCTTACGAGGGTGTCCGCAAGAGCACCATCAGCACCCTGCACCGCTCTTACGCCATGCTGTTCGCTATTGCCGAGGAGAGCGGCCAGATGCCCAAGTGGCAGCCTGGTCTGCCTCTGCAGGTTCAGCCCGCCAAGGAGGTCAAGAAGTTCGGTGAGATCCTCATGACCGCCACCATCAAGATGTGGGCTGAGGAGGATGACCGGTACGTATTCGCTTATTGTTTTTTCAATTATCGTTTTGCTTTCTTTGCTTTCGGTCTGGTCTTTTACATGATGATTTTTCCGCTTAACCCAGCTCACTTTGACACACCAAAGAGTGTGATTGATGCGAACGGCGATTCTGTATCTGATACTTTCACCATTGACCATGGCCATGTTTTTGCTGCTGTTATTTTTGGTTGTCGTTATAGTTCATTTATACTGACTGATCGACCCTTAGTGCTACCGTCGCGGACATCAACCGCAACATGGCTGAGAACCTCCGCTTCTGCGGTCCTGCTCTCATTGCTGACGAGACCGTGCTCCACAACGTGATCCAGATGATCACCGACATCATCACCAAGCAGCACCCTTGCCAGATGGAGTTCGGCCCCGAGGAGGAGACCCTCGAGGCTGGTGAGGAGACCTCCGAGTTCGACTGGGTCGTCGTGGACACTGCCCTGGATGTCGTCTCTGGTATGGCCGCCGCTCTCGGCCAGAGCTTCGCCGAGCTCTGGAAGGTCTTCGAGAAGACCATCCTCCGCTACGCCAGCAGCACCGAGTCTCTGGAGCGCGCCACTGCTGTCGGTGTCCTTGCCGAGTGCATCAACGGTATGGGTGCCGCTGTGACTCCCTTCACCTCGGTGTTCCTCAAGCTGCTGCTGCACCGCCTTGGTGACGAGGACCCTCAGACCCGGTCCAACGCCGCCTATGCCGTTGGCCGCCTCGTCGAGCGCTCCAACTCGGATGCCGAGATCGTCAAGGAGTTCCCCACCATCCTCAGCCACCTCGAGTCTTGCTTGCAGATGAACGTGTCTCGTCTGCAGGACAACGCTACTGGCTGTGTCTCTCGCATGATCCTGCGCCACCGTGACCACATCCCTACCAAGGATGTCCTGCCGGTTCTGGTCAACATCCTGCCCCTGAAGAACGACTTCGAGGAGAACGACCCCCTGTACCGCATGATCTGCCAGATGTACAAGTGGGAGGATGCGACCATCCGTGAACTCACTCCCCGTCTGTTGCCTGTCTTCCAGGCTGTCCTAACCGGCGATGAGGACCAGCTCGACGATGAGCGTCGTGCCGAGCTCATCGAGCTGGTCAAGTGGCTGAACCAGATGCAGGCGGGCGCTGCCCCCTGGGTTGAGCAGCTGTAAAAGATGCTTATGACGGATTTATTTGATGACCCCACTCTCTGAGTCGGACTACGCGTTAATGGTATAGACGGATGATCTGGACCCCCAAGATGACTAGACGATACCCCATCTTGACGGTGACTCCCCGCGATGAATGATGAAAAAAAGTTGTCGTTGTACATAGTTCAATTGATTGATGATGATTCTCAACCTTGAGTGTTTCTCTGTATACTACCTAATTGTAGATTTGTCTCATGTGACGTCGCGCATTACTTCCATCGACTATGCCTTAGTGCAAGCTTCGTGGTAACCTTGTATACTTCGTGTCACTGATACTCCCGTCAAGGCCTCATGTTAGCTCGGACCCTGTGACGTGTGTGGCGGAATCTCTAAACATCAGGGATTGACCAGCTTGAAGAAACATGGATCCAAACGCCAATCGACTCTGCGAGTATGATTGGGCCATACTCGCAGTAGTGCGACTGTAGTGCTTGGGGAGATAAATGGCTGCCTGGTTCTCGTGGGGTCGAATTCAGTACTCTGGACCCTATTATTTCAGTCTCGCTTTGCCATCCATTTCTTCCTACCAAACTCTGAGCCCCCTGTCCGGCCCCCCTGGTCCTCTTAAAGGATTACCGGTGATCAACTATAAGACGTCTTACTGCGTCTTATATCTGAGGTCAGCTCTCCGGGTTCATGGTTCATGATGTACTTACATATTGCTTATGTGCTGACGTCCTTCCAGGAGGTTGACTTGTTTCACCGCTATTTAAATTGCGATCGCGAAAAGAACGTACGAAGTAACACGTTCATGATGGGTTCCTCCGTTGCTTCTCCAATCAATTGGGTTCTTCCCTCTTCCAGCTCCGGTAGTTCCATCAAGAAGCCGATCAAGGCTGTGTCGAAGCCGTGTTTTGGGTGTGATTGTGGCGATGAGGAGTGCGATTGCTGCATCTGCACGGTGATGTGAAGGGGTGGAGAAGGGATGAAGGGCCGAGTCGGATCGGTCTTTTCTCAATGGCCGAAGGCACCGATGAGACGTTACGGTGGTGATATTAGGGACGTATTTCGGGCAGGTTCTGAGTTAGGGATGGCCTGCCCAGGGTCGCGATGAGGATGAATAATCATAATCCTTTATTCAGCTTGACCGGCAAAGCGAATGTTTTTTTGCCTTGTTTCAGCATCTTCCTTTTTCTAACCAGGATCTTGTGTCTAATAGGGTGTCCATTTTGTCATCCTTGCGTTCTAAATGATGAAACTGTATACCTCCCGAGCATTGTTGGGCAGCTCCCCTTTGTACTCCGAGTACTTCCTGCAGAATTTTATGACAGATCTTCTATAATACACATTTCTAATGCCATAGTCTCCATCCCATATTAATGTCGCATGAAAAACGCCCCAAATTGTAGCAGCCTAGCCCCGCTCTCGCAAGCCTCTCAAAACTCTTAAAAAAAGTAAGAATTCACGGATCGGCGCCTTCCGCTGACTCAGCGCCTTCCAGCACTTCCGCCAAAGATCGCCTCCGAAGCTCTGAAAGATCTCCATGCATTCATCAGACGAAGGAGCCCCCAAGCGCACGGCGCGCGCCTGCGATTCTTGCTATAAACGCAAGGTAAAAAGCTTTGATGTATTTTGAAATGTAGGCGAGACTGACTCTTTAGATCAAATGCGATGCTGCCGTGCCAAAGTGCAACTGGTGTAGCCACCATAACCTACCGTGTACTTTTGATCGCGTCATTCAACGGAAGAGGAAGACGGAAAATGATGGAAAGTGAGTACTTACCACTCAATTTGATTTGTCGCTATAGTTCTAGGCTATGGGTCTTTTTCTTAAATTTTCTCCTTGGCTAACAATCTCGTGTAGTCGGCCTAAAGCCTCGCGCCTGTCAGAGCGTATCAGCCGTATTGAACAGCTTCTGGCAGAGAATTTGATACGAGATTCAAGTCCTGGTAAGCTTTTCCTCGTCTTCGTATGAGCTTCTAGTTACGGTCATGGCTATGGCTATTATCATTTTCTCTTTCTAAGTTCCGATAGCCCCACCAGATCTATCAGAAACCACCAATGACTACTCAACGCCCAGTAGCTCCCCGAGCACTGTCAGCAGCAACCCACCCCAACTATCGTTTTCCGTGGGAGTACATTTTGCTGGCCGAGAATTGGGTGTGATTAGTCTTCTGACGGGCGTTCCATTCCTCTTACCTGAAGGGCAAGCTTGGATCCAGTCCCGCACTGGACAGACCATTTCGCGCGACAAGCTCAGTCCCATGCATGCGCCATGGGAGAAAGAGCGTGCCCAAGTTAACAAAAACCTATTGATGAGTCTGACGAACCAGAATCTGTTCGACCCTCCCGACTGGCGTACGACACGCCTATACTTTGAGGCCTACAAGAGCTCTGTTGTTTTTCGGCGGATCTTTCCAGTCATCGACTGCGAATTATTTGAAGAGACTATACAAGCAGCTTATCAGCCACAGAGCACAGGATTCCGACAGACTAGTAGTCGAGCTTGCGTTACTGCTTTTCTCGCATTTGTTTGCCGCCTGCCCTCAATCAAGGTGCTTACCAAGGAGACTCCAGTTGATCATGAAGCATTAGCTGGGAAGTGTCAATTTTTGATAGCCCAAGTTCTGCAAGAACCTGCAACTTTGGATGCGTTACAGGCTGTCACTATGCTGGTAAGACTTTCCTTCGATTACTCTCGTCAGATCAGGTGCATATTTAGAAGGGGGCTAACTCAACTCACTAGACACTATATGAGCTCGCATCGGGAAATATGAGGGTAACAAATTACTTGGGAGCAGTCGCCGCGCGACAGATCTTCATGTTAGGGGCAAACCTCACCCACCATCGAACATCCCCGATCAGTGAGCGAAGCCAAAAACGCCAAAAACAACTTCGCAATCTATTCTGGCTTTGTTATAGCTTAGACAAGGATGTCGCCCTTCGCACAGGTCAACCACCTGTCATCGTCGACGAGAATTGTGACTTGACCCTGCCTGAAGGATACACTGATCATGCCTACATGGACCCGGATAAGGATGAAAATCCGTTTTTGGAGCCAGTATTTCCTTTTGATTTGCGGTTGAGCATGATCAAGTCTCGGACCCAAATCCACTTATACTCGGTGAGCGCTATGCAAAAGTCCGACGCAGATCTATTAAAGTCCATACGAGAACTGGATGACGAGCTGGAGGAGTGGCGATTATCAGTTCCCCCGCAATGGCGTCCAACCATGTCGTTCTCGCAAGAAACCTCCGATCCGAATATGAGCATGCATTCAGTCATGTTGCGGGTCAACTACTATCTCTGCATGAGCGTTATCCATCAGGCGAGCAGTCGGTGCAAGGCGTGGATGCAGGGCAGCGGCATGATGGACGGGGTAAGCTCGAGTCTTGCGCTTTCCGTGGAAGCCAGTCGGTCAACCCTCTGCTACTTGGGAGCTGCAGAAGATGTGCTAGTAGAGGGAGTTTTCTGGTAAGAAATTCTCTATTAAATTTTCTACTTTGCAAGTGGTGACACTTTGAATGGCTAACCATTTCCCCCTTTATCTAGGACATTAATATTCTACCCCATGTCCGCACTGCTCTCTATATTTTGCAGTATTCTGCAGAACCCACTAGATCCACGCTCTCGTGACGATTTGGACCACTTGAAAATGGCCACTGTCATGATGGCTCGCGTCTTTTCAAGAAATCTGCCCGAGAATGAGGTTGAGCATTTGAAAATGGTGGCTGACTTTGTCACCGAGCTAAAGCGACTGGCTGAGTGTGCCATTGACAAGGCATGGCGCGAGCAGAGCGGAAGCTCACATATGGCATCGTAATGGTTGCCTTTCAACTTCTTGACTGCCCCTTTTTGCTTCTTTGTTTATGGTTTTATGTATTAATTTGTTATTATTGGTATCGTGCATGGCGTCGAGGGATCGCGGATATGTGTTACAACTTGGGAATGGCGAAACGACAGATTGGGGTACAGTACATAGACTCGGGACAATCTCAACCACAACAATTTGCTAAGGGGATTCATCACTATTCTCCAGGTCGCTAATAAGTTTTTGAGCAGAAATTTGCTTCTCGAAACTATTTATTTACTTGAAGAGCTACTAGGGAATACAAATTTCTCAATCAAAGAATGTATCATTGTGCTTCTTGTCTTTTCTATCTTGGGCAACCAACAAGGGGTATTCAGCAATTGAAATCCTAAATCTTCACACGACAGTTAGCACCTTGTACAATATTCATAGATGTAAATCAACACAACCCAGTCAAAACTAGGTTGCGACAGCAAATCTCAGATTGTAGATGCGAGTTGTCATCATCGAGGACAAGAGGTAAGAATAGTGCGCTCAGATGGGGTTGAAACAAAGAATAAAGCATCAATCATCCTTGTAGAGGGTATAGAAGAATATGATGTAGTAAAGAAACGAGATACATACCGATTATTGTTAGTGGTTCAAAATGTAAGCTTCGAAGTATACGAGAGCGAAGCGGATGAACGGTGGAAATTTCGGATTAAAAAGACGTGGATCATGTGACTCGGACTGAGAGACGGGCCGACTCGCTAGTCCTGATTGGGAGGATCAGGTTCAGCTATGTAAATATGATACAGACTATGTGGAGGAAAACATTCAGGAATGATTGGGATTTGAATATAGAGGCAGAAGATCTTTTCATTGTATTACTTAATCATAAACTGCCTCTTGTATGGTCTATAGGTTAAAGATGCCAGCCCGGCAGTCCGTTATGCCTATCTAAGAAGTGGCAGACATCAGTCAGTGGACCAACTCCAGAATCGTAGTTATTCCTCGCAACGAGAAAGATGAGTTAAAAGAGCTTCCACATAGGTTGTGTATGAGGAAGTAGTGCCGCGTAAAGTGGTCGTCATTGAGCGGGATGCGACATCATTTCTGGCGACTACGGCTCCTAAGTGAGCAGAATGGCGTGCCACTTTATGGCTCGAAGGCCACGTCCCTATGCTTGGTCCATTCACTTCAGTTATCATGTTTGTGTGGGCATGACATGTCTTTCGTAGTTGGTAACGTTTCGAGCAGCAGCTTTCAGCGTCCGGCTTGAGTCTTGGTTGACTTGGTGGGTATTGAGTTGCAAAGACCAGCTTTAATTCCTCAATTCACCTTATCCAATAGATCCCATACCAAATGTGCATCCTCAACTGAGCGTTTAGCTGCCACCTTCGACTCGGTGGTATTCTCAGGCCGTTCGGCGGAATTGACCCCGCCGCCCTCGGCTTCGAGTCGCTCCATTAAGCTCTCAATGTCTGATTTGACCTTGTCCATCTGCTTTATTTCCTCTCGTGTGCGCTTCAGCTGTTCTTCCATCATCATGATGAGCGACTCGCGCGCTTGGTGGGGGCGGTACAGGTTGAGCAAATGGTGGGCATTAATGAATAGATTGCGCAGGTCTTCCACCTTGGACTCGAACTGCTCAGGCGATACGGAGAGGATGCCGACAAACTCGAGGAAGTTCAACAGGAGGGACTTGCTAATCTTCAGCAAGTAGTAGGCGTGGTTGAGGGGTTGGGCAGGCTGGGAGAGGGCTCGGTCGGCTTCGGAGGAGGGTTCTGGGTAAAGCTGCTCAATGCCTTGATCTTTCAAGGATGGCAGAGTTGTTGATAGCTATTGTGATCTCAAGTCAGCAAAATGCTTCTCCAATAGGAAAATTTTCACAGTTTAAACACACTGTCTGCGGCTCTCCAAAGACGGTATACTCCCCCGTGGGGATCTCGGGCGGCACTAGGAAGCGCAACTCAGGCGGAAGATCTAAAGCACGTAGTTCTGCTGGTGACCACGACTTTTCACTGGGGGAAGTTCCGTCATTCTTCTTCGAGGCTTCAGTCTTGATCTGGTCGAGCTTATCGAGGTTGTCGCGAGTAAAATGCTTCCACAAGGGCGGTGGAGGCGCAAAGGCGGTAGCGACCGCTCGTTGCTCGTTGGGGTCGGACATGGTGCTTCTTCTAGTCTGCCAGAGAGGTGACGATGAGGTAGTAGCGAGGTTGATCAACGACCAAAAGGGACTGGAGAGCCGAGCCGATTGTGGAGGTGGAGGTGAAGGTGAAGATGAAGGAATGCGGACGGAGCTAAGTGGGTCTGTGCTTGCGACACAATGCACTTGGCCGCTTCAACACCTTCTCCTCTTCTGTTCAATCTGGGAGACTTGACAAGCACTCTTTCTGCCTAATGACTGGTGGTTGATACCTTCTGAGAGGATCCTCGGAAGTTTTTCTTACGCAGGATGCCTCTAAATAACTCGGGATCCCCATCCCAAACAATCCTGCATCGCGTTGGACTGGTGGGAGCGGCCGCTCGCTTCTACCAGCGCTCGTATGCGGCCGATTATATTGCATTGGGTTTCCTGGCAATGGGATGGTTGTTGGTGAGTCGATCTTTCTCTATATAATGGGCATTGCTTCTAATTTCTGTTTTCTGCCCCAGATACAAGTCTTTGTGAACCCGTTCCATCGCATGTTCTCCCTCGATAACAAGTCCATACAATACCCATTCGCCGTCCATGAGCGAGTTCCAGTTTGTACGCATCCTTGGATGTCTCTCCACTGGCCCAATTTATACTCATCAGACAAATAGTCATGTCCGTCATCTACGCCGGTGTCATTCCCTTCCTCATCATCCTCGCTTGGTCGGCCATGCTACAACCCGGTGTACACAAGACACAGGTCACTATTCTAGGGTTAGTGGTAGCTCTGATGTTGACCTCCTTCCTAACGGATGTGATCAAAAATGCCGTGGGCCGACCTCGCCCAGATCTGCTTTCACGGTGCAAGCCCTCTCGAGGCACCGCAGACAATGTACTGGTCGCGTGGACAGTTTGCACCGAGTCCAACCAACATATTTTACAAGAAGGATGGCGCAGTTTCCCCAGTGGCCATAGCAGCTTTTCTTTCAGTGGACTAGGCTATTTGTCTCTGTAAGTATTTTGATTCAGTGATCGAGTTTGGTTTGCTCACTAGTTCAACAATAGCTTCTTCTGTGGTCAGATGCATGTCTTTCGACCTCGAACGGACCTCGCTCGGTGCTTACTGGCATTCTTCCCGCTGCTATGTGCCGCACTGATTGCCATCTCTCGTCTAGATGATTACCGTCATGATGTGTGGGATGTGACCGTTGGCTCAACTCTGGGCATGTTGATCGGCTGGTTCTCGTACCGCCGCTACTACCCGCCCTTGCGGTCGGTTCGTTGCGATGTTCCCTATGATAAAGCCGATGTCGCCGGCCCAGAGGGATTCAACAGACTGGATGACGAGGAGCAGGCGATTTCCAGACCGCTAGTCACTCGCCAGAGCTCTGGGGGCGAGGAAAGCTACCAGATGGAGCATGCGGAGATGTCCAGTGCTGCCTGAACAGGCTGAACAGAGACATATAAACGCGTCTTCGTACCCTTTACCTTTGGGTGATGGGGCAGGGCCAAGCTGTACATTGTATATACTATATGCTATATTTCGCGTCAACTAATCCATCCATACTATTTTTTGTGGCAATTCCTACCGCCGGAAAATACCTCGATAGAATTACCAGCATGTAGAAAATAAAATTCCTTGCCGACAGAATTTCTGATCAACTGCATTATGTGCAATTTGTATAGACCAGCTTCGCCGTGTTTTACAGGGGTGGCAATAACTCGACGGACGAAACGCGCTTATCGCCGCCTTGGGGATTTGGCATTTTTGACTTTTGCGGGGAGCACGTTTTTCCCTTCTTCATCCTCGGCCTTGACCAAACGGCCTTATCCCAAAGATCCAACAATCTACACCTATTAAGCAGTTCTCATTTTTCGAAATTCCTCGTGGTTGATACACTCACTCAAGTCAAGAGCCTGCTCGATCGTGCATAGGTTCCCCTTTTAGTTCTCATCCCGATGGACCCTTGAAACCGGTCCATCAAGCAGACCATGTGAGGATCCTTCCAAAGCACATTGGATGCCACGCAGAAAAGCCGCCGACCGCACGGGCCAGGTGAAAACCCGGTCTCGTAGCGGCTGTCGAGAATGTCGGGCGAGTCGCGTGCGATGCGACACTAAGAAGCCCGCCTGCACCCGCTGCTTGGAGAAAGGACTGCCTTGTTCGACCAATCTCGTCCTGAAATGGGAGTCTGAATTCGTGAGCCGGGGCATGGCTTTTGGCCGTGCTGGCGTGTGGAGTAAAAGCCGCACTGATGCATCACCAGCCTCGGGTTCCAGTGCCTCGTCTCCTGCATTTTCTGTGGATGATATGCGAGAGTGGTGTGCATTGCCGGCAATTCATCCTTGGGCATTCATTAACAGCGGAATGGCAACCTTTGAAAATCCCGATCAGATAGACCTTGCCCTGAACGAACAACTCGCGCTTGTTCCTATCAGGAATCATGATGCTGTGTCGGTCGCCGGCGACGCATTAGCTGATCATTCGGCATTCGGCTTCTATTCCATTCGCAATCTAGGTGGTCTTGCGACGGCACTGAATCCTGGCCCCACCCCTGCACTTTCTCTTTTTCCAGGCATATCGGAAATAGGCCATACAGAACTGTTTGACTATTATCTCCGGCAGGTCTGCCCTCGTACTACGGCCAGTTCCACCCTGTCCTCACCATTTGCCTCTGTGATTCTTCCCTTCAGTGTCTCAGCGTCGCCCACGTTGTTCAAGGCTATTCAGTCACTCGCTGCATGCCACTGGGCCCGACGGGATCCGAGTTATAGCACCCTTGGGCTCCGCTTGAAGTCAGAGACGTTAAGAGACCTTCGCCGTCGTCTTTCATACGAGGGATCCGCTACATGTTGCACCGATCCTGAAGTTTTGTTGGTCATGATGATGCTCTGTCTCTATGAAATTCTAGACAAATGCGACGAGCATTGGACCATTCATCTAAAGGGTGCCAAGGATCTAATTCGACTTCGGAGACAACGAGTTGACGCGGTTTTTGATCCAGTGACCACCTTTGCAGAGCATTTCTTTGCCTTTCAAGATGTCATGGGTCGGACTGCCTGTGGCGAGGAGGTGTTGTTTGGCAGCGACTACTGGAAAACTGATGATCAACACATTGACTTGTGGATGGGGTGTAGCCCCGAACTGGTCGCTATCCTCTCCTCTATTACCGAACTGAGCCGAGCCAGGCGACAACTTCAATCGAGCAATTCTTCCTCCTTATTTTCTGTTCGTGCTGCTTCGCTTGAGCACCAGCTAGAATATCTCATCCAGGAGGTTGGAGAGGGGGATGATGATATCCTTGCCTCTGTGGCGGAAGCTAAACGCCTTGCCGCTTTGCTCTATCTGCACTGCGCCCTTTATGGAGCCTCCCCAACCACGCCCTTGGTGGTTAATTACGTACACCAGATTCTTCGCTTGGTATCAGATCTGCTTGAACGTGGGTCCATGGCAAGCGTGATGTGGCCTGTCTTTGTGGCGGCCGTGGAGCTTGATCCATCGCGGGATGAGCTCTGGTCCGGTCCGGATGGTCAGCCAGTATCCGGGCGCTCGGTTGTTCTTCAAGCTCTGGCGTCAATGGCTGATTCTACCATTTCGAATATTGCCCGGACGCGTGCGGTGATTATTCAGGCGTGGCAGGCTCGCGATCAGGATCTTCTTAAACCGCCACAGATGGAGCTGAATGATTGGGAGAAATATGTGGCTCCCATCAGCACCTCTATGAGCCTGGCATGATTTGTAAACAGTGCACTATCGAAAATAGCAAAACTCAGCTTGCGGACTGGGAGAAAGAGCTAGAACAGCTTCAGCGGAAGTGCTGGAAACAAGAGTTAAAGCTCTACGAACATGAACAGATGATCCCTGAGTGGCCCTTAAAGCATAATTACGATCTACTAAGAGAGAGCGAGGCAGGGTATATACGAAGGGAGCTTATTAAAGACTGCGTGGATCGAGGAGGCTGCTGTAGTCGGAGTTGTGGCTGTTGTGGTCGGCGTTATGTGGATTCTGAGCGGAAGAAAGGCATCGGCCACTGTACGCTGGAGTTCAGTTGCTGTTCTACCTATCGAGATACGGAACTTTCAGTGGCTGAAAAAGCAGAAATCCTAGGAATGCTTCGTGATAACCCTAAAAATAAGCGTCCGTCCTTTTGTTAAGGATGATGGAGGCTTATTTCTTGGGTCCGGTCTACTCTACATCGACGTCGGAATCTTAACGGAACTGGCTCTATGGGAAATTTCATGGTGCTCCTTTGCTATGTATTAGCTGATAGTAGAAATAAGATCAAATAATTCAGATGATCGATCCAAACAGGGTTGATTCGTGCAATCGCAGAGTATGTATAGTATGCTGGCTGGATAACGTATATACGGTATCAATAAAGCTAATCAATATTTCCTTCTCTGCATCGCATCAATTGATCTTTAATAGATTGTTATAGACTTTTCATTGCCTTCCATCTTATGTTATGCCTAATAATCTAACCGCTTCGTCGTGATGAAAGTGATGAAAGTGCGGGGCGCCGCCGCTTTGGGTTTAGTTCAACGACTCTCGGCGGCTACCAGTCGGCCTAAGCGTCCTCTTCTTAAACGCTCTTTCCTCAACTTCACAACTTCTCTCTAGAGAACGTGCCATGACTTAATATCAAACTGACAATGCCTCTTGTTAGGCCATCGGCCCGTCTTTAAGTCCCGGAGAATGGCACAAGTCCGGCCTTCGGTGCCTGGGCGCAGCTCCTCCGCCCACGCGTTCGAAAGCAAGCTCAGCCAACAACTATCCCAATCTCAATCGCAATCGCAATCCAAAACGCCTTTTACCCAGCGTGAATCTGAGTCGCGATCCCCAAAATCGCGCTCTCTATCCGATGCCCCTAATCCCACGCCCCAACCCGCTACGGGAGACTTGAGTCGTCCTCCCAGCAAAGACGATAGCGTGATCCCATCTTTGCCGGCAACTCCCAGCAGGTCGAACCTGCACCACCCGAACCTTTCGTTGAACCTCTCCTTAAAAGGCTCCGCCTCGCCTTCAATCACCAACCGTGCTCCTCTCTCTCCCAAGCTTGACTCCTCCCAAATAATCTATGGGTCACCCGGTTCCGTACTTCCACGGCGCTCTCGTGGTCTCGACTTCTCGCGCGCTTGCACAAACCTCCACCATTCCACTCTGGCAGAGTCGTCCCCAGACTCATCACCGACGGTTGGAGGGCGCGGAATGATGATCCCACAACGGCGCAGTTCGCCTGGACTGACTTCAGGCCCACCTTTTTCGACTTCCGGCCCCGCAGACCGAACGGCGATCTCAAGCTCAGTCTCGAGTGTGAACATGTTGGAGTCAGACACCAGTAGTAGTGAAGACGATGAAGATGCCATGATGGGGGACCGTGATGATGTGATGCTCAGTACGCCGCAGGCGGCGCGAATGGGTACCGTGCCCAGTCCCTTTGCAACGGGTACCATCCAAAGTCCTGGGAATGACTGGATGGGCGGTTACTCCCAAGCTGCGGCCAGTCTTATGAGCTTCCAGCGGGCTCGATTCCGGAAAGGACGTAGCCGGCACAGTTCAAGTAGTGCCAGCGGAAACAGCACCAAGCCTAGCCCAGGGCCTCACTCTCCTCCAGTCATGAAGAGTGTTGAGAACCCAACCGCTGGGTATTTTGCTCCCCGGAATTCAATTCATTCTCGAAGAGAGAGCTTGAGTTTGGGGACGCGGGATCTCCGACTATCCGATCTGAGCGATGATGGAGAGACTCGTGCCACTCGAGGAGGCAGTCCCACTGCTGTATCCCACTCCGATAATGGGCCACTGGGAGTTATTCGACGTGCAGTCACTCGTCGAGGGAATCTTCTGGTAAGTAGCATCGGGTTCTACAGCCAAGCGCCTTCTCCTGAACATCATTCTGACCATGATCAATGTACAGCCCAAAACCAAGACTTTCGCCCGCATTCGGGCCGCTTTGCTGGAAGAGGGTGCACCCGTCGACAGTGACATGAAACGGGAAGCAGAGGTCATCCGGCAGGTCCGCGATACTGAACCCGAGACATCACCCACACTCAGTGCCTTCCCATCACTTCAACCATCTCAACCGGTCCACACGCCAGACATTGATCCAACGGCCACCGCTGCCAAGTCTGAAGTAGCAACCCCTCTGGCCAGCAGTTTCAGCAAGCATGCTAGTCGCCATTCCGGTGGGGTAGATTTCTGGAACTTACTTGATGGACGCTATCGGACACCACCTCCCACTCGTCAAGGAGGCGCACCCTTTGCTGCGGATGAAGATATTTCCATGGACATGACTCCTTCCACAACTCTAGGGTCTACCACCGACTCTAAGCAGCGCTCGCGATCTTCCACTCCACATGCCCCGGGTATGTCCGCAATTGGCGAAATCTGTCGCAAGCGGCGGCGTGATGACGATTTTGATCCCAACCTGTTCAAACGACGAGCCGTCTCACCTAGTGTGAGTGCTCAAAGCAGTCCAGTGTTGAACCATTCTTCTACTGTCGACACCAGTGGACCCAACATCTGGGGCCCGCCATCCAAGCTAGGGCCACCATTCTCCGAGCGGCCCGTCAGTGAGAATAGTAACGGCAACAACGCCAATGGTGGTGGTACCGGCGGTACGAGTAATGGCAACAATCGACTCAGTTTCCATGCTGGTACCCCGAAACGAGTTGGATTGCAAGGTATGACGGAAGCCAGCGATGGGTTTATGAATATGAGCATCGAGTGAGAGATCAGCTCGTGATTACGTTTTCTTTCGGACATTTGAATTTGCACTACATGATGATATTCTTAAATGCTTTTAATGAGGGACACTAGGAATTAGTTGCAGGGGTTCTTCCTTTTCTTGGGTTCTGGCATGGCGTCAGGAGGAATGAGATACACATTATGCAGCGTGGAGATACCTTAATATTATCATTTATCCTATGGACTTTAATTTCTTCAAAGTATAGTTTTCTGTTAATCACTTAGAAAGCATTTTAGTGAAGCAGAACACATTGATATAGATCCCAACATTGTTTGACCTCCGCCAAGCAGAGCGGAGACTCCAACGCGGCCAAAACACGTGCGGATCCTCTCCGCCCCCCGAGCTCATCTCCTCCACTCCAAACAGCGGACTCTGTTGCATCCTCATTTCTAACATTTCCCTGTACTGCTTCCACTCTTTGCAGTATGGCTTCAACCATTGAGCTTGCATCTGCCTTTATTGAGGGCGCCCCGCCTGGCGAGGTAAACACACCCGTCATAATCGAAGACCTTCCCCCGGATTACCCCTCTGCCCTTACTGCCCCTCTCCTCGGGCAGCCTGCACTGTCAAATACCTGGATATAAGCTGACAATGGATCTCTCTAATGATAGCTTGCCGATGTCGTTGCCGGTATGAAACATCTCTCCTCTTTGACCAGGCCTTAGCCGTCAGCTGTAGCTGTAGCTGCCTGTCAACAAACACCCGCATCTCCCGATTTCATTCGCGTTCTCCTGCTGAGTCTCGTGTCCGATCATAGATGTGCAAGCCCTGATGTCCGATGGCGATGACATCCTTCCTTCGCTCGCCCCCGCCTTTGAGCGATACAATGAGAGCCAGCTCGCTACGGTGAAGCTACCAGGCTCAAGCCAGGAGGTATGCTCGTGCTTAATTGTTTATGTCCCATGCCACTCCAGAGCCTATCGAATGCTGACCTTTGGATTTTATTGAAGGTGATTGTCAGTGAATTCAACAAGGTGGAGGGCAACCGCTACTTCGATACCGAGAGCCAGACTTCGTTTGAAATCGACCATACCACACAGGTGAGCGAGGGAATATCCAGACAAGACTACGGGAATATTGAAAGCTCATTATTTGTGTTACAAAGACCGCCTCGAATGCGCAGTCATCGCCTTTGGAGTCACAGAATGCCGATTTGATGTGAGCTTGAAAAGCATCGACCCAACTGCTACTGTTCCCGCTAATCAATCTACCTAGTAAATCGCTTCTCAAGTCACTAGGTGTTCATGCCAAGGAGCACTACCCCAACTGCTCCTACGGTGTCTACCCCATTGAGAACGACTCTGCTGTCGCAATTCTTCTCGTCGCAAACCGATACTCTCCTAACAACTTCTGGTGAGTTCACCCCCGCGAGCATAAAATGAAAGACCAAACGAGAACACTAGGCTAACTGTTCGTCTTCTCGTTAGGAACGGCCGATTCCGCGCTATTTACCAAGTCCCCGTTTCCTCCTCTTCCACAGCCGTGACGGGCAAGATCCACGTCGACGTACACTACTACGAAGACGGCAACGTGGCTCTGAACACCACCAAGCCCGTCAAGATCCCCATTACCTCCGTCACCGCCGAGTCCATCATCTCCCGCATTGCCGCCGCCGAGCGCGACTACCAGGAGGAATTGAACCGAGCATTCGTGCGCATGGCCGAGGGTGCCTTCAAGGGACTGCGGAGACAGTTGCCCATTACCCGCCAGAAGGTGGAGTGGGAGAAGGTTGGAGGATACCGGTTGGGCCAGGATATCTCGGGTGGCAAGGGACGGTAGTTTAAGCGAGTCGTGAGATGAGCAAGTGCAATTCTGAGCGTTGGACGCAATTTATCCATAGGCGGGCCTGATCAATTGATATACATATTTCTTGCACATAATCGTCCTTGCCAGTATAAAGACCAAAGGTATATATGAAGCTTGGATTCTTCCGTCTCTAATCCCAGACCCTGACCGCTCTAGTTATTGGCGTACAGATAGAAATCAACCCACTGCAGTAGGACAAGCCAATCGCATAATGACTAGCCAATCAGATTGACAGTTGACTGAGTAATTGGTTTAAAATATCCAATCCAAGCCATTCTAAGTCGAATGAGGAAACTGTAGCCTCCATCCTCTTTTTCAGCGGTGACTGGGATGAATAAGCAACCTCGGGCATCGGGATTCCTAGCGGGGATGACTTGTCCCTTTTCCAGCACAGCAAGACCCCTCCAACACTCATTTCCTGTCGCAGGACTGTATATATTGTTTCTCGGAAAATGGTTGCTCACTTGAATCGATTCTTGAGTTCCGGTGCCGGACTGGAGAAGACATTGCGTCTAATCCAGTCCCTGGCTCAGATCGCTACCGTGTTTACTGTGGGGAGCACCGCTGTGCGGTTCACTACTGCTAAATTGCAATTGGCCCTGAGTACGTTATCAATGGTCTTATATATCAATGGCTGTCTTGGGAATGGAGCAGTTGAATGCTGACTATTATATCCTACCAGCTCGGCGGTTCTTCCGTTTCTTTGGCTTCATCGAGTCCTTCCACCGCGTTTCTACGCTGCTCAGCACGGATGGTATGAGCTCCGTGCCTGGGTGGTTGGATCTGGCCAAATGGACTTGCTTTGGTCTTTATTTCCTGCTTGAGGATTTAACTATCGTAAGTAGATGCAATATCTTGGCAAGAATGTGGTTTTTGTATGTCCCACGCTAATACGATGCAGCTACACGCCATGGACGTCTATCTCGTCCCCTGGGAAGCGCGAGTCATGAAAGAGGCAAACACCTTCTGGTTCTACGCTCTATCTTTCTCTCTCGCTGGAGCTGTTTACGGCTTGCTATTCTCTTCATCTGCGGAGTCGGCACCCAAGGCAAAGGACCAGAAGAAAAAGAAGAATGGCACCAAGACTGAAAAGGAGAAGGCTGAGCCCGTTACCAATGAGAAGGCAACTGCCCCCAAGACTGCCGCGTTGGTGCGACAAATTGTTGTCGAGAGCTGCGACTTGGTGCTTCCCATTACGCTTTTGCATTGGTGGCCCACGTCGGACTTGGTGGTTGGGTTGACGATGGTGGTGAGCACTGTCCTGACCGGTCGCGAGATTTGGAAGAAAGTGTGATTTAGGAGATGAGGAGGGCGTAGGATATAGATGTATTTAGACTATAGATAGTTTAGAATCTTGTTCTCGAATGGAAATGGACACGGTTGGATTTGGGTTGATCTGGTAGGTGGGTAGATAGCGTCCACTTGTTCGCGAAATATATTCCTAGAGATTCGAGGATAACGAGTGGGAACCTAAGAACAATGAACGTTTGGCCTCGCATGCAACGTTATCCCTTTCATCTAGTTAATTAGGTACCTAGACGTCCTGTCCTTAGAAAATTTATTAACTAATGCCGTTCCATAGTCATAAAAGAAATAGCCATGTTGAAACCTGGTGCCCGGAAGAACTACGTCAGTCCTACTCAAGTTAGTCATCTAAAACAAAACGGGGTGTAGGTTCTTGGGGTAATTGTTAGTGAACTACTGCTACCCTGTTCAGCCATTGTAATGCAAAAATCAATCATCACCCTTATTTTGCAAGTCGATCTTAATACCTGACAAAAATAACCTCGCTAGACCCACTATGCGTCTGGAAAAAATGCAAAAAGAAAGCTGGACTCGCGGGGAATCGAACCCCGGACCACTCCCATGCTAAGGGAGTATTATACCACTAAACCACAAGCCCGCTATGTGAGAAAGTTGAAAAAAATGCTACATGAGCGAGATCAATCCAGTTGAGTGTTTAATTAGGAATTCAGGAGTGGGTAGTTGTCAGATATAGGGGAAGATGCTCGATGGATGGCTATAATCACAAGCAAGATCCAGCTCAATGCCACTGCTGGGCTATGGTACGCTATCTGACAATTATTCCAGGCTAGCATATTGCCTTTGCTACACTAGAACATTCGGGGTCACCTGCATATTAAGGCTATACAAGGATATGCTTTGCTCTGGCCGTTATTTAGGGTCCCACAGAGCGGATTTTCTATCCAGACCCAGGAAGCAGAGGCACGAGACACACTGCGGCGTATTGCTTCTGGCCATGGGATTTAGCTGGGTATGGAATTGAGTCGGGAGACGGTCCAACTCGCTCGAGTTCTGGGATCAAGGGCACCTGTGTCGCACAGCACGGGTCCAGCTGAGACGTGACTACTGACTGTTCTGAGTAGAAAGTGAAGAATTTGGGTGTGGAACAGTGATCTGTAAATATTGGCTGGGTACGCTTGGAGAGGTTAGCAAGAGGAACAATAGTTCGGCTAGCTAGGTAGAATCCTAGAACGACCAAATTGATACCTATCAAAAACTAGCATAAGAAATGCATTTTTAGTAGAGCATTAATATTCATGTTTCTTCTCAGATGACTTCGTGTCATGATCACCCATTCCTGGCAGTGTACCAAACTTAGATTCGTCGAGTTTGTAATCTTCAGAATGGCAGTCTGAAAGCAAGGCGCAGTCCTGGAATACGAGGTGAACAATCGTTGACGACCAAACTTTATCTAACAAGTAAGATCTAGGGATGTCAAGTGGCGAGCCCGAGAATCGTTCGATTGCGCCCGGTGGAGAAATCCACGGGTGCCCGTCCCGATTAGGCAACTCTCGTATCCGCAGTTGAACCATGAAGATGAGATGGACAACCAACCCAAGTATATAAAGTAGGATGTTCTTGAACATGATGAGATTAATTCCCATTTCAAACCAAGTTCATCATGTCTACTACTACACTGACCACAAAATCTGATTTCATCTACTCGGAGAAAGAGGCTCGCACCTCTCTATCTGCAAGTAGTTCAACTACACTATACACTTTGGACGACCAGTCCCCTTTCCACGCGGACCGGACTCTTCTCATCGACTCTCGAGGCATAGGATGTTTCAGACTCCCTATTCCCAACCGCCAGCTCGAAATCGCCATCACCCACCCCGACGGCCACCCGGCATACATCTCAACCCGCGACCGGCTCTGGTCCGGGAATAGCCTACTGTCCAACGATAAACTCGGCGATTTGATTCGGACAGAGTACTTTTTCGGTCCAAATCGGGATCCCGTCTTGCATTTACTGCAAAGCTCCAGTGGGGAGTCGGAAGAGATACGACTCCGTGGGGAATGGACTTCGCGTTCGACTCGCTTTACGACCCCCTCGGGGGGTGAGTTGCGATGGTCTTATGCGAAAGAGAAGCGCCCTGATGGTCATAAGGTTAATTTGATTGTTTTGAATGTGGTGGAGCACTCTGATGGGGATCGCAAAGCAGCGCAGACTTCGGAGCGTCGGCTGGCGCAGCTTTTGCGATGCGCGGAGACGAGGACTCCACAGACGTCCAGGTGTTCCGCGGGGAATGGGGGGACTCTGCAGATGGATGAGGAGGCGTTGCGGGCAAATGGGATTGATGAGTCTGTTGTGGTTGCGACGTGTCTGGTGATGTTGAAGAAGGAGGTTGATCGGCGTCGTATGATTCAAATGATGGTGATGTCTGGGGCAGCGAGTGGTGGACCTTGAATATGGAGGGGTTGTGTTGCTGGTCTGATTTATGGAGTTTATGATTATGAAATATGATGAATAGTGTACTTGGTGTGTTTTACAGACTGTATATTGGGTAGTTTGATCTGGTTGAATTTGATAGCGTTCAATACTAGAATACGATCCAGTTGCTTTCGTAGGTAATAGAAGAGTTAATCCTCTCGAATTGACCAACTCTGGTATCATTCAAATCCGCTGGTATCTATCTCTATCCCATCACCATGGTATCTTAATTGTGTATATATAAAGTGTATATAATTTGTCCAGGGACCTGCCCCGCCTCATTGCATCATCCCCCACTTCCTCCCGTCTTTCGTCTCTTCGATTACTTGCGCTCATTCAACAACTCCGAAATGTGCCCATTCAACCAATACCCCTCCAATTCCTCCGGATCCATAGTCTTAGCCCCAGAGATCCATCCCCGACATTCGCCCGCTCCACAGGTACACTGGAAAGGCTGATCCATCTCCCACTCCGAGCTGGGATAGAAGAAGGTCAAGGCATCCCCAGCCTTGAGCGGCTTGTCGTCCACGACGCGCACTTCCATCCGGGCCATGTCGAAGACCAGCGAGGGGGCGCAGGAGTGGTTGCAGAAGACCAGGTCGGAGTTTAGCTCGATATGCGAGTCGCGTCCCGTTTGGACGCTGGTGTAGGCTTTGCGACCTGGGGTGGTACCCGTGATCGGGGCGAAGACGGCGCCTGCGGGGAGATCGATGAGGGAGTAGGCGCCGCTGCCGAAGGCTTTGGTGCTGCGATTAACGCGTAGGCGATCGGGATGAGTCGGGAGGGGTTCGGTGATGGGGACTGCTGAAGGCATTGTGGAGGAGTAGGTGGAGTAAAAGAGAGAGGAAGATAGGTAGTTGAGAGAGTTGGAATATAGTTGGAGATAGAGGTTTGAGAGGAGACGGAAACAGTAAACTGTCGAGTTGAGTGGTATGACCACCGGATTCAGGGCATCCTTTTATACTTCTCTTGTCTTCCTCGTTCTCCCTTCAACCGAGGGCGATTGACTTTCTCTAGTGGGGTCGAGTTTCAGGCCATCACGTAGTTTACTTCGTGTTGATTCTTGGCTATACCGTGTATACTCCGGGGGATGGTGGTACAGTTGTGAAGTATGGTATGATGATAACCGAGAGATTCGCAGTCCTCTAATAGACCACAAATAGTAGTCCCATCCATGATTACAACCATACCAGACGACTCTATCCCAGAATTCCCATGAAACTCCCCAGCCAAGCCTCATCTTTTCCCGCGATTTCCCCTCGGGCGCCCGCTAGGCCGAGGCAAACCGCCAGGAACCACAGGGAGTTTACTAGTTCAACGGAGTCAATTACGGAGACACAACCCAAACAGATGATCAGCATGACGGAAGACGGGGCAACTAAACTAAACTCATTAGGCTCTCCGGGCGGATGGCGCTAGGAATCTTCTAGCGGCTGATCGATTTACACAGAGACTGAAAACGGAAGAATGTCCGTTCACATGCAAGAAACTTGAATCTAATCCTATAATGCTCGCTATTATACTCTCACTAATGGGTTAATTCATCTTTCTTACCAGCTCTTCCCCATTCAACCATCGCTGCAAATTCTCCGCTACTTCCCGGTACCAGCCATGCAACAAATCCTCTTCACCATACCCCATCTGGAGATCGCAATAGATTAGTCTCATGCCCTAAAATCCCAATTCTTATGGCAAAGAAACTCACATGTGGGGATAACAACACCTCGCTCCGCCCCTCCTTACCCCACGGCGTCGTGCGCCATGGACTATCCAACGGCAACGGCTCCGGATCAAACACGTCCAGTGCTGCGCCTCGAATGCGACCGGCCCGTAACGTGTCCAACAGGGCAGACTCGTCAATCAAGGGACCGCGCGAGGTATTAATGATCAAAGCCTGGGGCTTCATCTGAGCCAGATTGACTGCCCCGACAATCCCACGACTGCGATCAGACAACACACTATGCACCGAGAGGACATCCGCCTGCGCAAAGAAATCCGCCTTGGAGGGAGCCACCACGAAGCTGCCCGCAGGTAAACCCTGCGCCAGGGCTTGCTCGTCGGCCTTTTCCTGGGTCAAATTGGTCGACCACGCGAGGACGTTCATACCAAATGCCTGCACCGCAATCTTGCCCACCTGCGACCCCAACTTCCCCAGTCCCAGTAGACCCAATTGTTTCCCCGAAAGCGTCATCCCGAGAGATCCCTGCCACCCACCGGCTTTGACCGCCGCGTCGTCCCGAGCGACATGTCGCGCCAATCCTAGGATCAATGCCCACGTATGCTGCACCGTCGAGTTGACGCCCGGTGGTCTACCCTCCGTGCCTGCGACGGTGACACCCTGCTGGGTGAGTGTGTCGAGGTCGAGGGAGAGATTGCGGGTCCCCGTCGTCAAGAGCAGTTTTAGGTTGGGCAGGGCGGTGATGGTTGATGCGGTGAAGGGGGTGCGCTCGCGCATGGCGAGGATTATGTCGAAGGGGAGGAGGCGTTGGATCAGGGCATCTTGTTGGATTGGATCGCGGGGGTCGAGGGTTTCGGGGAAGCAGCTGATTTCGACGCGGTCTTCCAGGTGGGCGAAATGAGCGCGGGCGATGTTTTGGTAGTCGTCGAGAATGGCGAATTTGGGTTTGGAAGACATGGTGGCGGTAGATACGAGAGTGATTCGTAGTGCTGGAGGTAATGGGGAGAGAAGTGGTGGAGGTGATAAATGAAGTCTGGGGGGTAAACGGTATCGCGAGGTGAGTGACCCCGCCTGTGGGGAAGAGCGTAGCTTGTCCAAGGTTTAGTATCGAGGGCACAACGGCTCATCTAATTGCCACTGGCAGAAGCTTTAGAAAGCCAAATTCGTAACCAATTATTAAGACGAAAGTCTCACAAGATTCGTTAGTGTGGGATGTCGTGCTCTAATCGGGTATATTCCATCCGGGGCGGCCGAGGTCATTGCCGATAAGAAGATCCGGAAGACACGAAGAGGAAGCCGAGGCATTCAGATACAATCTATACTAATAGTATCAGTGATTATCTCGCAGTTCCAATAGTAGAATTTTTATCATACAGTTATAGCATATGGAGGTCGTCCATATAATTGTCCGTATTCCCCGCAGTACCAAAGACATCTAGGCCGAGGGAATATGAGGTCCTCTTCTAGTATCGCGAAGGATCATAGCTAGTTATCATAATTTGATATCATTAATATCACCAGAAATAAACCCATCTTATGCTCATATTATATGCCGGCCTTGGTCCATATCCTCTAGCATCCCATTCTACCATCTTCGACTATTTCGTCCCCCCTATTGAAGAGGCTTCGGCTCTCGCATCATCAACACAAACGACTCTTGACCTTGTCCACCGTACTTCTCCCGATCGAGATACACCCTTTCAACGGGCTCCCACCCATGCTTGATATACACTGGATAGCCCTCCCCCGTGGCCTCCAAGTAAATGCGCACCTGCCATTCATCTGCCTTGGCTGTACCCCATCGCAACAGAGTCGACCCAATTCCACGTCCTTGATAAGCCGGTAGCGTGGCCAGTAGATCCAGCACTGACAAGATTAATCACGATATCCACAATATACTAAAGTGCGACAGCAAGGCCAGAAAAAAGCGGGAAAACACTTACTCATATCCTTCTCCGTAACGTACTTCTTCCGAGACTCCTCCAACAACCCCCGAAACGCCCCATAAAGCGCCTCATTCATCGGGCGCGGCGTAAATTGAAACGGATCTCGCGCCGCTTCCTGCGCCTTTTCGCTCAAGACGGGCAGATTCGTTCGCGGAGACAGCGATTCGGGAATGTGCCATCGCGCATAGCCTACAATAGCCCCGCCGGTAGGGTCGGCGATCTTGAGAACGTGCATTTGCGGGTTGGCCAGGTGCTTCATGGTATAAATGGATTTGTAGGCTTCGAGGTCGTCTTGGGTGGTTTCGGGGAAGACTTGCGATAAGAGGCCGCGGCCTGCGAAACTGAGGGTGTTGATTTGCGCGAGGGAGGGTGCGTCGCTTTCCTCGGCGTATTGGATTTGATATGCCATGGTGAGATATTAGGTTTTCAAAGGTCAGAAGAGTATTGTAAGGGAAATTGAAGGTGAAATTTCCAAAGTTGGTGATTGTTCGGTGTTAAGAGGAAAAAGGTCATTCTGGGTGACTGAGACCGAGTCATTGCGGGGACTCTTTCGGGAAGTGACTAACTCGCTAGGGCGTAACTAGTGGTGCTACATCGCAGGACTACCATTATTGATAGTATTTAATGGCTATTTGGGAGATAAAGATCAGTTCCTAATTATTGGTCGTCTGCATGAACTTCAATGACATGCAAATAACTGACTATTAAGGTCATTCGAGACTTAGGAGGAACAACGCCGGAGTACGAGGACCTACTATACTCCACCCCGCACCAAATTGAAGAGCCCGCAGCCTTGGATATCGTTTTCGCCCCACTCCATTTCGCAAGAGCTCGCGTGAGGGTGGACCATGATTGCTATGGATGAGAAGAAGTCCCAACTCAAGTACGTGTGCCTTGTTGAGCCCAGTCGAGAGTCTTTATTATGGGCGTGACCTCTTTCTAGCATAAAGAGCGTGTTTCTCTTTCAATTCCTCCTCATACTGACAACCTTCAAATATTCACATAATATACGATCTCGCTGGATAAATGTCGCGCGAGGCGTTACAGCCGTTGCTTGATAAAGTCCACCACGTCCTGATCATATTTGGCAACGTAGGCATGATGGGCCGCATTATTGTCAAGCGGAAACGGCGAACAACTATGAAACAACCCATAAATGTTAGATTGAAACCCAGCATTTGAAGGTAGTAGTCCCATAACTTACCACTGACTATCGCCAATATCACAATAGCTGTGGATAGACGAAGCGAAAGGCTCACATGTCCAAGGGGCCAAGCGAGGAAACGTCTATTCTCCGGGCTTAGTACATCTCGACAGCTCTATCAGGGGTTACCTGATATCACTCACTCCGAGTCCAACCTCGCATGTTCCCACGTTCCATGACTGCAGTGGAACCCACGTTTCGTCTCCATATGCAATCACAGCAATTACTGCTCAGATCAGTCAATCTTTAAAAGTCCGAAGAAGGGTTGAGATCTTTCCATACCGTCGGAGGCATATTTCTTGTCGAGAGCTGTTATTGGAATAAATCCAATAGAAGATGTCCCGCAGATTGCGTCCATCGTGAGACATGCGCCCTGGTATTTAGTTCGAAGTGCATTCTTCCGATAATGGGAGACTAAGACCCACCAATGAGTAACCCACAACCGCGATCTTCGCCTTTGGGCAACTAGCCACATAGCTAGTCACATAGTTCTGCAACATCTGCGCTCCATCATGCACAGCGACAGACTTATCATCTGCACCGTATTGATAAGGGAGACCAAGACTTGTCGAGCCCGGAATCTGTTGTAAGATGAGATTTTGTAGCGAGGCCATGACATTCAATGGATCAAAGCCGGTTTCTCCAGTCGCCGCTTGTCCACGGGCAATGATGGCATGCACGCTCGTGGCACACTGCGTCGGGGTAACAGTCTGTCCATGACTTCGTTGGAAGAAAAGACCAGAGGTAATGGCAAATATCGCCAAGCAGTAGAAACGGATCACACCAAGCATTTTGCTGGTTTATTACTCGAGTACACTGCCTGCTGATCTGCCAAACAAATCGGATAAGCTTCGACCCCAAGGGGAACCTTGGCTCAGTTGTTTATAAAGTCCCGATGGATGTGATTACTGTTAACCCCTACGAAGTAGTACTTTGTCATGTACTACGGGGAATTTCGTTTGATAATTTCCTAGTCCGTGCAGTACACCCTGGATGGGCCGAGGCCCACCATTGTTGCCGATATGGGGGTTATTCAACTATCAAGAGGGAAATCAAGCCTTTATCTACAATCGCATGCTTGTCCTGGATTGGCTCTTTCCTGGATTGCGTTTCAAGATGGGATGATATACTGATGCAATAGGGTTGTGGGCATGTCCCGCTTTTCCAGGTTTGAGATTGTGATCGACAAGTTCGGGTCCGACCTGAATTTTGGGCCTATGGGGCTTGATCGACCTGTGAGACTTCGGCTTTCCACGTGCAATTTACTTAACTACTAGTATCCCGCTCAAGTCTTGATATATTAGTTTAACTTGGTATTGAACAGCGTAGCCAAAGAGTGTGGTGACGGGTCAGCAATGCAGGCAATAGAGCCATAGTGAGCTGCACTCAATTGTCACCATGGGGGCGCCTCGAGGTTTTAGAATACCGCCAGAAAACTGTTAGACTACGCTTATTTTTGAATACGATTATGAAACAAAATCTAGTATCTTTGACTGTATTCGATTTAGAGACTATATCTATTTTTATACTGTAAAGTAAATACTGAAATCAATTAGATACCGAAATCGATGAAATACCGAAAGTTAATCAAATACTGCTAATTACCGTAATTAATACAATATTAAATATAAGTTATAGAATTCAAAATATAATACCGTACGATATCGTAACTTATATTTTATTCTGGTATTTTATCCTAATCTAATTACGGTATTTTAGTTACAAGATTAATTACTTTTTATAGGGGATTCAACCCGGAGATCTTAGAGAAATACTTTCACTATATAGTTAACCACTAGACTATTTTACCTAATTGTTACATCATTTAACTTTAACTAATATATACACTATTAGCCACCTACCCTTACTTTACCTAGGCGATCCATTAAATACCTATCGAGATACCCATTCACTACTAAGTACTATACTGTAACTAAATACCTATTCACTATAAATACCGTTACTACTACTAAATACTATATCACTACTATATTTTATTTTAACTACTAAATCTATCTAGACACCGAATAATACTAACGAATATATTTTACAAGATACAGTAGTACTACTATATATTTTTCAAATACGGTAACTAGGGAGGCAGAACGGTATTCTGCCAAAATACCGAAAGTTCTCTGATACCCTTAAAATACTATATTCTACTAGATACCGTAACTTTATACTTATAGTATTCTAAACAGTAGCTAAATCTACTACTATAGTAGTACTATAGTACCACAGTAAGTATTTCAATACGCTATAGAATACCGTATTTAGAAATCATAATCTGCCGCCATGGCAATGATCAACGACGACGAAGCTCCGGGCCAAAGATAACCACAACTGGATAGAAACAACATAAACATACAGGACAAAGAAAAAAAGATTATATAAGTCAATTTAGATATGTTCTAATCTGTAACTTAACATGCATAGCGGGAAGAAGAGGAGAAAGCCAGTCTTTGTAATGGAACCCTCCGACATAAATGAGCAATTGTGTTGCCTCTTGATCACTCCTCGAGCGCATTCTGGTTCCTGGTTCTTAAAAAGTGTCGCCACGACCAGGGCCACTCTAGGTATCAGGTAACGTTCGTCATGGCGACTTGTAATGCATCATTCGATAATGCACCTCAAGTTTATCCCTGCGTCCAAATGGCTTTCTACAACTCGGGTAGGCGCATTTATAAGGTTGGTCTGGGCGCAGATGCATATCTTGAATATGTCGCCACAACGAGGCTTTTCTTGTAAATGTCCCTGAGTAGAGGCAACCTTCCCAGCGACATTCAAACCCGCCCGAGCTACAGACAAAAGTTAGAATCCTGAGCGCCCGCATAGAATCGGCTGACTTTTAAAGTGACACTAACTCGGAATGCTCTGTTAGATACTCTGAATGGAATGTCTCATCGCCAGGACGATGAAAATATTCGGTGGACATTGAATGGAGGTTTCCAATATCTTGATCATACAAAGTTGGTATGGAATGGAGACTTGCCATGCCCTCAAATTCGTTAATTCCACTCATTGGCTCCATGGCGTTGGCGGCGATCATTTTCTGATATCCGAGCCTGCTGGATTTGTGACACTCCTGGACGGAAGAACGAGAAGATTCTGTGCTATATGAAGCTGATGAAGAGAACGTCCACGGCACGATTCCCTTTGTCGAGAGAGGCCCCGCCGGATTATCCGACCGTGAAATTTCCGGCCATCTGGGAGGTAACGACTGTTGATTGAGATCTCCGGTAAAGGATGTTCGCTCGAACTGTGTGTTGTCTTTTTCTGGCAAAGACCAGGGTAATTCAGAGTCTCCTAGAAAATGTGAAAAGGGTTCCGAAGCCGAGTTATCCAGAGTTTGAATGGATTCTAACTCGTGAAACGAGGAGGTCATTGTGAAGGGAGACTTTGAAGAGAGAAAAGAGCAGTTAGAAAGCCTTGAAGAGCAACATGTTAGGGACTTCGTTTATTTGGCACCGTAGAAAGACAAGAAACAGCAATATCATGCATTACCTCGCGGACCAAGCCTTCTCCTAAGAGACCCACTCAACCGAGTCAGACGTCCGATTAGCAATGCTGCCCGATTTACTCTTGAGACACCGATGGATATCTCACCGGATGCATATAAAACTACCCGGGTTCAAAATTTGAGAGGAATTTGAGTCAACCCGGGTTGAAATAGAAGGATGTATAGTAAACTAAGACTGGGTTCGAGACCCATGACGAGGGGGGTTTGACCAGGCGGTCTGAACGTAAAAGACGTATGTGACGAGGCGCAAGGATGCATATGCAGGCCGACTTTGTATCTGTCCAATCATTGCGCGATATGGACCCCCACTTACCTATCAATATTCCACTGTCCAGTAAAGCAAATCAACTGGTAACAGTGTTCAATCATTCCGTCGCTGGTTGGAAAATTCCGAAATCGTCGCGCATAGCTATGTAGTTTGAGGCAAAGCCACAATCCACGGAGCTTAAGACCAAGAGTAACAGTCACTATGAGTTTTCTATGCCCTCTAATATTTGAGATCACTCCCCTCTCCAAGGGGTGCAAGACTGCCAATCCACTCTCACCAATCCTACCGATGGACGATCAAGTATGGGAGGCCTATAGGCCTGAGATTGAGCGTCTGTATCTCAAAGAGAAAGTCACCCTCGAAGAACTGGTGAGGATTATGTGGGTCGAATATAAATTTAAGAAGACGTAAGACATATGCAATGCGATAGCACCAAGGTATCACCTACCAAGTTACCCGTCTCTGACTCCACATCAAATAGGCCCAATGAATATCAGTCTCGGTTTCGAAAATGGAACGTCAGGAAGCGATATGGAAGAGAAATTTGGGAATATATTGATCGTCAGACGAAGAAGAGAGAGGGACGAAACACTGACGTCTTTATTGACGGGGAGCTCCAAACGCCCTCCAGAGTTCGAAGGGAAATCGGAAGGCAGGTATATCAATCAACAATTGATAGGTTTCGTTCAGGTAAGTGTGTGTCTATTAGAAATTGCCGTTATCGTAGGATTAACATACGCTAGCTCCATCTCCAGAAGCCCCTCCAGGGGTGGTAGTGTGCTCGCCTCGACCAAAGACAGGGAGCCTACAATTGACAACAAATTCACCCTGGATGGAGTTCTCTCGTGAATATCCCTTCCACTTATACCCAGGTAAGAACTCGTGCTATTGCGCTATAGTGGCTTCAAACTCAGATGATGCAGAGAGTCTTTCGGACATGCTCAGCGTCACAAATTCTATTTCGAACAATGTCAGCCATCTGTTCCCAGTGCTACACCGAGAGATTGTCCGGGCTCTGAACTCAAATCTCGCTGATTTTATTGGCTTGAGGAAAGCATACCAGGACTACACATCCTCACAGGCTCGTGAAGGGCAGGTACCAATGTAGACTCCGCCTACTCATGTTCTGCTCTTCTGACAGTATCTATAGAGTGGCCGAGTATGACATGGAACAACTCCTCCGAATGACGATGTACTTGATTTCGAACAAGCTTTCCTTCAACACACAGAGTGAGAGCTTCGATCGACAAAACTGCATTGCTGAAGAGGATCGCCTCTTGTTGAAGCTTCTCGAAGTCTCGGACAAGTCTCGCACCCGCATATTTGAACGCCTATTGGCAACTGCGCAACCATCCGCCCATGCTATCCTGGAGAGACTGTTTCAGTCTGCGATCCGCCTGCAAGAATTGAAGGCCATTGAGATGATGTTGAAGGCTGGAATAAGCCCCGACCTACCCGTTGTCTCCTTCAAATCAGGAAAAGCGTTGATGATATCACCCTTGGAGTTTGCGGCAGACCTCGAAAACAGAAAGGCGGCTCTTGAAATGACACGCCTTTTGCTATCATTTAAAGCAAATATTAATAAGTTCAAATGGAAGCCCACTCTCCAAATCGCCCTTGAGGCCATGGGGATTGAACTAGAATCTAGTCACTGGTTCCCAGTGGCGCGTTCTGCTGAAACGGAGAATTTGGAACTTCTCTGTCTGCTTTCGAAGTCCAGTCCCCACATGGAAACACGTCTTCGGCGCTTTGGGAAATCTGGTCCAACCGTCACAGCCCTTGGCCTCGCTGTGAGCCTGGGCCAGTTACAAGCAGCCAAGTTACTGATTGATCATGGCGCGAATATATTTGCCACCCAGCGCACATATTTAGACAGTGACTGCCCCGTCTTTGAGACTGACGTGCTTGGTCTAGCTGCTAAGGAAGGAAAAATTGCTATGATGCACATGCTTCTCGAGGCTTCTGTACACGGGAGAGATCAAAGCGCCCCCTTGTCTTACGGCCTTATTGAATCCCTCATCCTTGCTGTGACGTTTGGTCAAGAAGCGGCAGCGAAGATTCTTTTGGACGCAGGTGTCGCTGTCCAGCATGCTGACAGTTTTCTGATGGCAAGATATGCCAACCAAACGACACTCGTGGAGCGAGCCTTGACTCAGCAAAACCTGGAGCTGTATTATACCTTGACATCTGCGGGAGCAGTGCCCAATTTGCCGGCTCAAAGAGACTGCTTCAGTTTCCAACTGTTTCGTTCAATCAAACAGAATGATCTTCTTGATGCAATAGATCTGTTGAGTTTAAAGGCTCCATCCAATGACGTCTACGACGATTTCCCAGATAGCGTCCTCGGCACAGCCATTGCACAAGGAAATTGTGTGCTCATCAAGCTTCTCACAATTCCAGGTACTACTGCTGAAGAACTTCGCATCCCGTGCATCCCAAACATGGAAACAGCATATTGCTTGGAAGCCCTCGGACTTCTTCAGAGTATTTTGGTCAACAACGGTCAGATGCTACTTACCTGTGCCATTCTTCGCGCCAAAGAGGATGGCCTGATAGAGTATCTATTAAGCCGCGGTGTGGACCAGCAAGAGATGAGACTTGGTCCTCTTCCAACCTTTGACCATTGGTTGGACAATCTGGAGTTACCAGAATGTCGAACTCCGCTGGAAGCAGCCCTCACCCGACGAAATATGGCTCTGGCACAAACTCTCATCCACAGAGGGGCGCGCGTTACTGAGAATGAACTCAATGCAATCGTCTGGCAAGCAGTGACAACGGACAATGACACCATGGTTCGGCAACTCCTTACCATGTTTTCGACCCCTTTCCAGGCACCGACTGCAGTGGGAATGGCAGTGCTTTGGGGAAGAACCGAACTTGTCCGGGCCCTTCTGGAATTTGGAATTGATCCCACGGGTCTGGTATACATCACCGATCCTCCCGACGAAGGCGAAGAAATAACAAACCAAAATGCAGGCTGGTGGCACTTGGCAGCCGAAGAAGTCGCGCCATCGGTTCTGCAAGTCGCAGCATCGAAGAGTGACCGCTCTATTCTCCAGCTCCTCCTTGTGTCGGCGAATTGGTCGCAAGAAGACAAAAGCCGCGCTCTCACAGCTTCTATATTTTGGAGAAACTTTGACCTTGTATCGGATTTGTTGGCAGTTGAAGCGAGCGTGAATGAGGGGATGTTAGAGACGGCCGCACTCTCTGATAAGTATGAGAAATTCGTCAAGTATTTGAAAAAGCCATTCGATTTTCTGAACTGACGTCTAAAATAGAGTGAACACCGAGATGCTCCCTCTGCAACTTGCAGTGAATGCCGGGAATATCGACATGGTGAAGCTACTTCTTCAAAAAGGTGCGAGAATCAACCAGCTCGAAGCAGGTGTCGGTGGAAAGACTGCTTTACAAACTGCAGCAAAGAACGGCAATTTGGAGCTTCTCGCACTACTTTTGACCTCGGGAGCAGATGTGAATCATCCTCCCGCAACACATATGGGGGCTACTGCGCTGCAATTTGCAGCTACTGAAGGTCGGCTTGAAATTGTTTGCCTTCTTTTGGATCATGGAGCCAACGTCAATGCTTCAGGGTCGCAAACATTTGGGCGGACGGCCTTGGAAGGAGCTGCAGAACGTGGCCATATCGATACACTGCAGGTTATCCTCAGTAATGGTGCCCAGATCGATGGTCTTGGGCGAGTGCAATATGTCCGAAGTGTGAAACTAGCTGAGAGTAATGGTCATTTTGCTACAGCCAGGCTGTTAAGAGAATCTGGCGGGTGGACGGAGGCGGATAGAACCCGCTATGATTATGAAAGATTTGATGAGGAAGAGCATCTCGGTCCTTGCTTACACGGACCGATGGAGTGAAGTTTTTAGCATTTTTATGGCGTGCATTTTGTGGATATGGTACTGTGAATCGGAGTAAAAACCCCCAGAACAGCCGAGACGATACCCTGTGAAATTTTTCTGATGTAAATTTTGGCCTATCAATCTATTCATGAATTAAACTCTGTGTTTTTACAAAATGAAGGTACTTGAGATTCTGATTGATGAGCTAGATCACGGCGAGCGTAAAGATGGATAGGCCGTTACTTATAGACAAGTTAGAGCATACTATGTAGTAAGCTGTGGGAATACCCTGGAATATGTTAGATATGGAAAAACGACAGAAATTGCAGAAACCTATCCATTTAACAGGGTCTTTACGTTCTGCCTATTCGCAGTTATATATGAGCTTCGAAATATAAATCTACACTTTACGAGTCTTCTCTTCAAAGGGTACAAAGGTATGGAGGTGATTGTTTGTACTTGAATAATGTGGCTATATCCCAGCTATAGTTAAGGTTATTGACTGTTGAAGCACCTGACTCGAGTGACGTGACCTCCGGCAAGTCTGGCTCCCAAAGCTTATTTCCTCCTCCTCTCTTTTTCACCTCTCTACATCTTTACCTGACAGATCTCTTTGACAGGTGCACCTCTTGATTTAACTTCTTATTCGCTAGAATTTAAACAAATCTAGGCCTCGCCACCCTATCCCACATCATCCGAGATCTGTCTGCATCGACTGGTGATTCCCACGCGTTCGCAGCGCTAAATTCGGCATAGCGGCTCCTGTCTCCCCCGCCGGTAGAAACGCCCGTCCAATCGCTTCCACAGACTTGGCCGTGTTTTTGACGGCCTCGATTCTCTGCTTCCCAGTTTTGCAAAACCTGGCTTTCCCTGGTGGGGAGTTAAGAGGGCATCGTGCAAATCCCGAAAAATAAAGCACAAAGCCCACCTGCAAGGCTGATTCAAGCCGCATCATCCCGCTCAACCTTCATCCTTCTTTTCCTCTTCCCATGCCTTTTGCGATCGTGCGACCGGAGCGCCGCGATCTCTCTCAATCTGTGATTCGCTTTGGACCTTTCATGCTTACCCAGTCTCGACCTTGAATCTTCTTACCAACAGGGTTCCCAATCGGGCTGATACTTTCGATGGTCGAATGATTTCTGTCTCCTAGTCCTCTTTCGATCGTTTGGTACCCTGCCACCCGGCAGGGTAGTGAGAAACAAGATGGTTCTGGACCAACAGATGCTCCACCTCAACCTCGAAGATCACCGGCCCGTTAATTTCGACATGGTCGTAACGCCCCCCGCCGAATCTGAGATCAGAACGCACGGCAAAGCCACAGGATCCCCTCTGCATGATCGCGAAACTAGCATAACGCCGTCCAATTCCAGCGCAGCCACGACCAATGACCCTATGAGTCGGATTTATCGTCACACCCCGACTCCGACAATCGTGCTCGATGGCTCTCTCCGTATCATCCAAGCGTCCGACAGCCACTTGGCCCTATTCAATTACAGACGCGAAGAACTACTGAGCACCAGCATCTACGACTTATCCCCGAATCTTGTTCCCGCACCGGATATCGCATCGTTGAGTGGCGCGCTGGGCGCTGCCATCACGACGCGCACGCCGCAAGTCATCCGTACCGTTCATGTCGCTAAGCAGAATACCGACTTTTCTCTCCGGGTGACACCGATCTTCGAAGACGATACCCTGATCTACGTACTGCTCGAAGCGCACTCCGTGGGAGCCGAACAGCCCAAAACGAAAATCAACGAACAAACGTACTTAAATGAGACCTACAAGATTCTCATCAACACCGTGAAAGACTATGCAATCTTCATGTTGGACACTCGGGGCCACATCGCCACGTGGAATGCCGGGGCTGCCATCTTGAAGGGCTACACCGCAGAGGAAATCATCGGAAAGCATTTCTCCATTTTTTACGGACAAGAAGATCGTCAGGCAAACAAACCGGCACGAGAGCTTGAAGTCTGTCTGCGGGACGGTAAAGTGGAAGATGAAGGATGGCGCTATCGGAAGGATGGGGGTCGCTTCTGGGCGAACGTGATGATTACCCCCATCTATCAGTTTGGTCGACATATTGGGTTTGTCAAGGTCACTCGCGATCTTACCGAACGCAGGGCCGCGGAAGCTCGGCTAATTGAAGCATTCGAAGAGTCGTCAAAACTCAAGACTGAATTCTTGGCCAATATGTCGCACGAGTTGCGCACCCCCATGAACGGAATGTTGCTGGCCCTGACGATGTTGATGAGAACGCCGTTGACGAATGATCAACAAGAGTATGCGTCCATCCTGGAAGATTCAACCACGATGCTGCTGCAGGTCATCAACGACGTACTCGACTATTCTAAATTGTCATCCGGGTCTTTCTCTCTCAACACGGACGTGTTGAACATCCCCAATATCGTCAACGCGGTCATTCGAAACTGCCAACCCTCTCTGAAACCGGGTGTGGTTCTGGAAAGCATCATTGCCCCGGATTTTCCCAAACATATCAGAGGCGACCCACTACGTTTCCGACAGGTCTTGCAAAACTTGCTGGGCAACGCCGTCAAATTCACCGAGAAAGGTTACGTTCATGTGAAAGCGTCATGTTCGATTGATCCAGATGATTCTCAGTCGTATATTGTCTCTGTTCAAGTTGAAGACACTGGTATTGGTGTACCCGAGGTTGCAGTCAACACGCTTTTCACACCCTTCACGCGATTTGCAGACTCCGCAACACGTCGCTACCAGGGGACGGGGTTGGGACTTTCCATCTGCAAGAGTCTGGCAGAATTGATGGATGGTGCCGTCGGATTTCATGCCAACCCAGAACGATCTGGTAGTGTGTTTTGGATCTCGGCCAAGATGGGCCGCATCGACCGGTCAGCCATCAGAATCCCCAAAAGCGTCAAGCCATCAGCTCAGGGATCAACAACTGTGGATACCTCCACCCTACTGCGGAAGGTGGCCGCGCAGAAACAGATTTTGTTGGTTGAAGACAACAAGGTCAATCAGACTATCATGCTCAAGCTTCTGGCGACTCTCGGTTTTGAGAGAGTGGATGCCGCCTGGGACGGTGCAGAGGCTGTTCGAATGGTCAAGCAAAAGCCGCTGGCGTATCATTTGATTTTGATGGATATCAATATGCCGGTGATGGATGGCCTGATGGCGACCGAAAAAATTCGACAGATGAGAGTGGATGTCCCTATCATTGCGTTGACAGGGAATGCGCTGAAGGGTGACGCTGAGACTTACCTGGCTAAAGGAATGAACGATTATATCGCTAAGCCTTTGCATCGGCAGCAGTTGGTGGACATTCTGTGGAAATGGTGCGGATCTGAAAGTCTCGGCACTTGATTCACGATTATCCAAATATTCTCAAATGATTTCAAACCCAAATGCTTGTTGATCAGAGACCGGGTCTTCGGTCGCATCCCCATCGCGAGCCCAATGCGATAAATCGAGCTCTGCTACCCTGCGCTACCCCGCCTGCAGTGTCTTTGAGAGCCAATCGCACGAGACATTGTGTGAGCTTCTTCTTTCCGTCTACAACAAAGCCTTGCACGCTGCATCATGCATGACACTGTGATTCGTACTGCGTTGGGCGCTGGTCCCCCTCTTTGTCCCGAAAGTGGAAGCGGCGAATTTCGAAAAAGCGCAAACAACCTTCTATGGAGCATCGTCTTCAATCGGAACTCACGTGTGTTCAAGAGGCCTGTGATTCTCCGGCATGATTTGACCGGAAAGCCTAGATTAGGATCAACCAGGATCAACAAGGCCAACTCTCGGCAGGGGGAGGAGAGATGGATGATTTGGAGGCTCTCCTGAGCACTATGAGTTGTGTGAACAAAATTGCAGGGAACAGGTTCTCCACAGAAGCCATTGCTGACGGTCCCTGATGATGGGCAATGGGCTAGCTTTGTGGTTTCTTGGCTGTTTTTGGCTTTCTATTTGCGTTAGGGTGTACACTACGGAGGACCCTGGCGCCACCGGTGCTTATCATTGTATCCCCTGGTACCCTTTGCCAAGCCCCGAAGGAGGTTATTCTCTCCTCGCATTTGCCTGTCGCATAAAGCGGCCGATATGCGGATATAGTGGTTACTTAGCCAGTATTACAAAGCATCTAGATTTTCAAAATCTGCTCGTTTGAGCCAATATAAATCATCTTTCAGCCTTTCTATCGAGACGACACCTTCCTTCCGGGATGGAGTGGCATGAATGTCGTGACGCGGGGAAAGTGGAGCTTAGCTCGAAGTGCCGAGCCAAGTTTGGAGTTTCTCTGGAGTCTCTACGGAGCATAGTTACTATATCGGGCTAAGAAAGTGTTGTATCCAGCAGTAGTTGCTACCATTATCAGTTAGTACGAGTAGTAGGAAGCCGACGGAGCACATGCGCCTCGGTAGATCTCAAGGGTCCCAGTGCAACCACTCGTCATCTGCCTCAAGCTCAACCCGCCAATCCTTCTGTGCATGGAAAGTCAAATCAAAAGGAGATAAGGGATCGTCCTACATCCCCTCAGCCGAATATCCCCGCTCTTCCCGGGGCAGTACTTTAGGCTCTCCCCCTTTCCCCTGGTGCCTGTCGATATGTCCCACTGCGGGATGGCCCATAAACTTGAAAGTGCCATGTAAGAAATTCTTAGATAAACAGGGGCAAACGTGGCTCAGGGTATATCAGGATCAACAGACTAAGTGTTGTCATTGGCCTAACCAGAAGGATTCCGAACCCTGCGGATGAGGATGGGAGAAGTGAGTTGCCTAATGCAGCCCAAGTGGCCCCCACTTGGAGCCGTTGATGTGGAGAGTCCGCCAGGTCAGGGAAACCTTGTTGCATTCATAACCAATGATCTTCATTCGAGCATCAAATATTCGGAGCTGTGGCTCGTGGGCAATGGAGAACTCCGCTCAATGCTGTAGGACAGAGTAGTTTGTTGGTTCTCCACTACTACTTCAAATGATTCCAACTTATTGGTCAGGATGTTGAGGATGATGAGTAAATACAACAATAATACCAATCTCAGAAAAAGACAATGACTGTACGACATGATTTTGTTCGTCAATCCTTCCCCCGAGGTGAAGATTTCGTCTTGGGTTTATGGAGCCTGACTGAACCGGAGACAATATGGCAGTTTTGTGTCCATGGCCAGGGTTTATTTTCAGTAGTGCGTGATTGTTAACGACTTTCCCCTTTTAGTGATTTCAATCTTGGCTTTACATGGGGCAAGCTTCTGAGGTTGTATTCTACTTGGTGCTTATCTTGGAACAGCGATTTAGTGGGGAACTTGCTAGTCCCTGCCAATCGTCATGTCGCACGACAAAGGTGCCATACGACTGTACAGCAAAATGCAGCCCCCAAAGTCAGAATAGAAGAAGAATTGAAAGAAGACTAGAGGAGGCGAAAGAAGAATCATCACATGGCTTTTCGTAGACTCTCATCGGAGTAGATAGAAACCGATTAAAGGAACTGATTTTGTCTTTTGCGCACAGCCTCGTGGTCATGGCGATTTCGCACAAATAGACCACGCAGAAGAGACGGAGACCTGATGCTATTTGCCTCGCCCAGAAATCTGCCTGGTTTATTCCCGTTCGTAAGGTCCAAGCATCACAGATCGACCGCTGGTCTTGCTCAGCTGGGGAGGTATCCCAAAAAAGCTAATCCATAAGCCCCAGATGCTCCAAACTAAATGCCCCGTTCGAGACCCGCTTACCACGACGATCGTCGTTCCACACATTAAGTGGGAATCCCCGGTCATGGCATGCTTAGCTTGTGCGCTTAGTGGCCGTGTGAGGCTATTCATTGGATGTAAGTCGTGCTTGGGGCCCGTTGGTTCACCGCAGAATAGGGTCCTTCCCCTCTCAGGAACAGGGAGAAAGGGTATCGGGAACACTAACAAGAAGAGTAGTGAGCAGAGGATCACGAGTGAAAGGTTATTGGAGAGAGGTATATAGGTCTACACCCCGGGTCCAGAATCATGAATTCTTTGTTTTCCAACCTCCATTGTATATGGAGTGAGTGACTTGACTCCGGACTCTCTCCTGCTATTGTGCTCTCCCTTGCGACGATGAAGTCATCCATGCTGCTGCTCCTTGGAGCTGTGGCTGCCGTCATGGCCATGCCTGCCCCTCATGATTACGAAGTTCACGAACGTCGGGACTATATCCCCAATTCTTGGATCCAGAGCAAGAAGCTAGACGGTTCAACCACACTCCCCGTTCGAATTGGGCTGACGCAGTCCAACCTGGACCGTGGGCATGATCTTCTCATGGAAATGTACGATGCAATACACCCACTCTTTATAATATGCGTGGAGCTTTCACTGACTGCATTGATATTCAAGCTCCAACCCATCTTCGAGCAGCTACGGAAGACATATGACGGAAGCTGAGGTGCATGACTTCTTCGCACCCACACAGGATACGGTCGACAGCGTGCGATCATGGCTGGAATCATCTGGCATTGCAGTAGACCGTATAAGCCACTCGGCCAATAAACAGTGGTTGCAGTTCGACGCCAATGCTGATGAGCTGGAGAATCTGCTCCATGCGGAGTATTATCTCTACTCGCATGCCGAGACTGGTCGATCCCACATTGCCTGCCGCGAGTATGCTCAACAACATGTGGACTGGAGTAGAGAATCTCTGCTAACTTGAACTCTTCACCAGGTATCATCTGCCTCGCTCGGTACGGGAGCACATCGACTTCATCACTCCTGGCATCACACTCCGAGAGGTGACGGGTGTCTCCCAGGCTGACAAGCGTGAGCTTAACAAGCGTCGCATCAATGGCACACCAGCAAGTATTTTGCCCATCGCACAGACTCTCTTGGAGGAACTGCTCGGTGGATTGGGTCTTTTGGATCTCTGTGACTTGGCTGTGACTCCTGACTGCATTCAGAGTAAGTAATTCCCATGGCATATCCTTCTTGGATCAAGAAGTTCATCTACTTACTGTCAATGATAGAGATGTACAACATTCCCAAGGGGACATCAGCGACCCCAGGCAACGAGCTGGCTATTTTTGAAAGCATTGCAGATGTCTATGCCCAGGAGGATCTTGATCTGTTCTTCAGTACCTTCTCAAGGTATGTATCTGTGTTTCTTTGAATGCAATAGAAGTAAAACTGACCCTCCTTGCAGAAGCATCCCAACTGGCACCCACCCCAAGCTACAGGGTGTGGACGGTGGCGCGGCCCCTACTTCCGTTGCCTCTGCTGGACCTGAATCGGACTTGGACTTCCAGATCTCTTATCCGATTATCTGGCCCCAGAACTCCATTCTCTTCCAGTCTGATGACATGGTCTACGAGAACAACTACACCTTCCAGGGATTCCTCAACACATTCTTGGATTCTATCGACGGCTCGTACTGTAGCGAGGTATCCCCTCTGGACCCGCCATACCCAGACCCCCAGGCAGGCGGCTACAAGGGTCCCCTGCAATGCGGTGTCTACAACAAGCCAACCGTTCTGTCGGTCTCCTACGGTGAGGCTGAGGCTGATCTGCCTATTGCCTACCAGCGTCGCCAATGCAGCGAGTTCATGAAGCTGGGCATGCAGGGTATGTCCGTTGTGGTGGCTTCTGGTGATTCTGGCGTGGCTGGTCGCGGTGGTGATCCCACTCCTAGCAACTGCTTGGGCGAGGATGGCAAGGTGTTTGCCCCGGATTTCCCTGCTTCGTGCCCCTACTTGACTGCCGTGGGTGCCACCGTTATCCCCACGGGTGCTTCGGCCGATTCGCACCAGGAAGTCGCTGTGACTCGCTTCCCCTCCGGCGGCGGTTTCAGCAACATCTACGAGCGACCCGACTACCAGTCGCAAGCCGTGGCCGACTACTTCTCCAAGGCGGACCCCAACTATCCCTACTACGAGAGTGTCAACAACAACAGCTTCGGCGCGAATGGAGGCATTTACAACCGTATTGGCCGTGGCTACCCCGATGTCTCGGCTATCGGCGATAACGTGGTCATTTACAACAAGCTGATCCCCACTTCTATTGGTGGCACCTCGGCATCGGCTCCGGTATTCGCGGCGATTCTGACTCGGATTAACGAGGAGCGACTGGCTGCCGGCAAGCCGACCGTGGGATTCGTGAACCCGGTGCTTTATGCCCACCCGGAGGCCTTTTACGATGTGACCCAAGGTACCAATGCTGGCTGCGGCACGAATGGATTCAGTGCTGCAGAGGGTTGGGATCCAGTCACGGGCATGGGAACTCCTAACTACCCAGCTTTGTTGAAGGTCTTTATGAATCAGTAGAGATGGAAGGACTCAGTGAGGTCCCATGCTGATCGTATGATTAGGCCCAGTAGCTGGAATTGTATATGAAATAGTCCAGCTTAATGCATTACCCTTTTGAAATACTTTGCAAATATATACTGAAACCAATGGGATGCAGATATAGTAGGATTTAAGGAATTAGAAGAGGGAGAGAGGACCGGGTGCTGCAGAACTGGAAATTCACATGCCCGGATCCTCGCTAGGAGAACAACATATACAGAGGTAAGTGGTCCAGAGGCCGCGTCCCGAGTCCGACCCGTGCGAATGTGTTAGGTGATTGCGAGACTTGTATCGGACAGGTTCATGCGTATACATAGTACGAAAAGCAGGGGTGGCAAGATCCAACCGGAGCATATGCGAGAGTCGGAGCGATCGAGCCGACCAGACCGGCGATACTCCGAGAGGGGCCAGCCCCGAGTACCCCGAGGGGCCGAATATCCTACAACAGTACGGAGTAGTTTTTACGGAGTACATGAAAAAGAAGTAACAATTAGTGCTTACAAACCGGTATGGAGTGCTGTGAAACGTATAAAGCCAATAAGAAGGGTTTGATGCATTGTCGCCCAAACTTGAAGATGCCCCTCGCTAGACCAAATCGGGTGCCCGAATTGCCTCGACGAGAAGATCTCCAGTCTGTCCCCAAGGTACGTGAATACAAGCTATAATTACTATTACTACAGTTAAAGTCTCGACCATGGAACAATTCAAGGCTAACCTGCCCAACTGCGACTAGTGGGGGTCGGTAAAAATGAGGACAAGAGGACATGAACCCACGGATAAAACACGGATAATTAAATAACTATGACATCACGAATTACTCAGCAGATGTGGGGGAGGATTGAGGGGTTTTGGGGGTTCGAATTGGAGAGAAGGTCCAGCCCGATTGTTCGACGAAGTGTATAATCAAAGCCAATAGACATTCTTGATGACCTATAGCCTTGAAATCAAGGAAATTACCCCCTCTCAAGAGTAAATCGAGGTCTACATAAACACAGAATTGACATACGAGCCTCCAACAAGGAAAGTACCCTGAGAGCGCGACGGCAAAGTCTCGAGAGTCGGTGGAGTCTGCTCCGAAGGTCGACGTGGGATGAACCCCGCCGGAGAAAGAAGTCCACGTTGCGCGGGTCTGGCGCCAGATTTTCGGGATGCTGTCATTGAAGGTTTGTTATTGCAGTGGAAACAATTGTTAGCGAACAGGAGCAAGACGTATTTAAGAGGCGCGTCCCCGCCATAACCTACATTCTTCTATTTAACTCAACTTCCTACTACCCAATTTCTCCTCCCATCACCCTCTACAAATATCTCCAGTAATCCACCATGTCTCTCGGCAAGAAGGTCACTCTCAACACCGGTGCTCAGATCCCGTACGTGTTTTAGCATGATGATTGCGTGTCCCTAGGGCTTCAATGGCCTTCATAACCTCGAGTTTTGCAACTAACGCGCTATACAGCCAGCTGGGCTTTGGTACCTGGCAGTCCGCCCCCGGTCAGGTCGGCGAGGCCGTCTACGAGGCCCTGAAGGCCGGTTACCGCCACCTGGTAGGCTCCATGAACCATTGAGTGCAGAAGATGAATGCTAATGATCGCTAGGATCTCGCCACTATGTACGAATAAACCCGTTCCATTCCCGCTAGAATGCATAATCGCCCAAATGTCTTCGCCATTATACAAATACAAAGTACTAATATGCGATGTCGCAATTTAGCTACCAGAACCAGCGTGAGGTCGCCGCCGGTATCAAGCGCGCTTTCCAGGATGTCCCCGGTCTGAAGCGTGAGGACCTCTTCATTGTGAGTATTCTCATCTAGGAGTGTTAGCATTTTCAATTAAATATGCTTTTCTAACTTGCTATTCTCTCTATTCCAGACCTCCAAGCTGTGGAACAGGTACTTGATCACAATCCAGGCGGATACCTAAGATTGAAAAGGATTCTAATTGCATACAGCCAGCACCGCCCCGAGGTTGTCGAGGCCTCCCTGGATGCCTGCCTTGCTGAGCTTGAGCTCGAGTACCTGGATGTATGTCATCTATCAGACAGGAGGTCATAACTCACCCTCTAGCGGAGAACGATTACTGACAATATCTAGCTCTACCTGGTCCACTGGCCCGTCGCCTTCCAGAAGGGCGAGTCTTACTTCCCCCTCGTTGAGGGCAGCACTGTTGAGGGTGGTGATGTGATCATTGACGATGGTGTTTCCATCGTTGACACCTGGAAGGGTGAGTTGACTCTAATTTGGACTAGTCTGGTAGATGTTTTTGACTAACCTTTGTGGTATCTCACTATAGCCATGACCCAGCTTCCCAAGACCAAGGCCCGCGCCGTCGGTGTCTCCAACCACACTATCCCCCACCTCGAGGCTATCATCAACGGCACTGGTGTTGTCCCCGCTGCCAACCAGATCGAGCGTCACCCCGTTCTGCAGAGCAACGACCTGATTGAGTACTGCCAGAAGAAGGGCATCCACGTTACTGCCTACTCCGTACGTTATAACCCACTGGGTTGTGCATTCGAATCGTCAAAATGCTAATCCTCATATCATCAGGCCTTCGGTAACAACATGCTCAACATCCCTCTCCTCATCACCCGCCCCGAGGTCAAGGAGGTCGCCGAGGCCGTTGCCAAGCGTACCGGCCAGGAGGTCACCCCTGCTCACGTTATCCTCGCCTGGTCCCAGGTCGGCGGTCACAGTGTCATCCCCAAGTCTGTGACCCCGTCGCGCATTCGCGACAACTTCAAGGAGGTCGAGCTCACCGCCGAGGAGGTCGAGAAGGTCAGCGCTCTGGGCAATGACCGCAAGCGTTACAACACTCCTTACACTGCCAGTATGTACCCTTCTTCCCTTTATAGTAGTGATGCGAATGGATTACTAACTTATTGACTTTACAGACAAGCCTCGTTGGAACATCAACATCTTCGGCGAGCCCGAGGAGGCTCCTGCTGGCCACAAGGTCATTGTTTAAATTTTTGGCTATCATTATATCCCCCAAAACGAATGAATGAGAAATGTAATTTCACGTATCAGTGATGTTCTGTATATGTCTGCTCAGTAGATATTTACATCATATAGATTTTGGCTAAGTGAGTTAATTTGCCCGCGGACGGCAGGGTCTATCCGTGATAATCCTGGGATATGACACTCATTGATGGCTCGAACTTCTCTCTTTCACGCCTCCGAGTGAATTGGTCTTTGATGTGAACTGAGAACCGGACCCGCATCTAATTCGTGGTATTCACGAACGGGAGTCGAGGTTGTCGGCACTTCGTAGATTGACCGGCCATCCAGCTGCGCGGCCGGAGGGCCAACGGGCTTCCTTGGGACAGGAGGCTTCAAACTCGGCAACGGCGTCAAATTATCATGGGAACTGGGTTGCTTCTCATCTGAATCTACCGTTGAAGGCGAGAGCCAAGCCATCGGTGGAATGTTACGATTTTTCCGATTCCGGCGCCCCCGTAGGAAGTACCATAGGAAAAAGAGTATCAGCAGTACTCCCACGATGACGCCGACGGCAATGCCAGCTTTAGCAGCAGGGCTAAGCGAGGAACTGTTTGAGCCTGAGGCTACACATGAGTAGCTCCCACGATATACACCTTGAGACTGGAGAGTGTTCAGGGCACTGCAGGACATCGACTTTGAGCCTTGAGTGGTTGTTTCGCCCTGAACTTCTTCAAGTGACGGTAGTGAGACGCTAAGATTGAATCGTCAGGTCCATACTTGCACCACTAACAACATGCTTGGAGCTTACCTGGTGAACGACCCGGTCAGTTTCAATTGACCCTCAACCTTTTCCAGGTTCGCCAAGCTGAGAGTCTTTAATTTGGAGTTGCCCGTGATAGTAATTCCAGAGGCAACGTCGGATAAGGCGCTCATTGTCAAATTGGTCAAGGATCCCAGATTGTCCAACGTCAACGCACCCTTGATTGTGTCAAGATCAGGCATGATCAGACCGGTTAGTCCTGAAACACCTTCTACGGTGAAAGATCCCTTGATCTCCTCAACATTGTTGAACGTGAGCGTCCCACCAGCAGATGACGCGATGGTGACGCTACCATCGACAGTGTCGCAGTTGGCCAGGTTGTTGGCATCGCTTTGACTGGAGATGGTGACACTGTTTGAGCCTGAATCTATGGGTCAGCAGAGTGGTTCGAGTGTATAGAATAGATTTATGTGAGTTTGGCTCCCATACAGTTGTTCGAGTCGGCGATTACCAACTGCCACAGCGTGGCAAAGATTGCCAGGAGGTGAATCAGCATCTGCGCAACTGAGAATTTTCAGAGGCAAGTCCGTATTTCGTTCCCTCAGGCAACAGCATGCGGGATATCGTTGTTATATTAGATAGCACTGAGGCGGAGTCGATCTGTTCCAAGATTGCATGGACGGCACTAAAGCTCGGCCATTGCGACCCACTATAGCTGTTAAACACCAAGCCGGAGGAGTTGTTGTTACTGATGCGAGGCTGGGAATGCTATCATTGGGTGGCGTCCGGGGTTTTCTGCACGAAAAAAAAACACTGCCGCACTCCACAAGTGCACTCCTCGATCGGCCTTGTTTGCCGTGTTGGGCCATGTAGTGATCGCATTTTCCCGAGCTAGAGAAAAATTGGAGGGATTTATCGGTCGGGGCTTCTCGTTTCGAAATCGGTTGTTCTTTTTCGCTCAGAATATGTCAGCTCTTGAATGAAATTGACCAAAGTGGAACATATCAATCGTTCGGCACACGCCTGGTCCCGGGATAGACCAAGTTCTATTTTTGCAACCGATTGGCAGGCAGCAGAATTGGACACTCCACTATTGCGGCCAAGCGACATGCGGGGAGCCCCGGGCAAGCAAGGAAGAGCCGACATTGGTCCGACACGTGGACGACCTTGGCGACAAGGGATAAGACATTATTCAGTTGAATAGAAGAAGACTTTCAAGTGAGCAGGTTGAAGGATCAAAACAAAAGTGAAGCTCAACATTTGGAGACAAGACCCTTGCTGAGTCAGCAAATGCGGGGAAATCCCCAACTTCAACTTTCATTTTCTTTTGTTCAAACTTCAACGTCAACTCGGACGAGTCAAGGAGCTCCAGGCGAAGGTGTGGGGATGAGAATTTTACAACTTGATCAAAAAGTCCAACAATTGCTCCCATGAGGATATGAGGACATGAAATGAGAGTGGGCAAAGGCTGTGAACGGTGTCGGTATCGTCACATCCGCTGTGTGATTCCCCCGGGGGCCTCGTCCTGTGCGCCCTGCGAGCGCCAGGGACGAGTGTGTCAACTCGATCCTCCTTTCCACTTCAAAACCGTTCGTCATGTTTATCAGAAGAGCAGTGGTACATCTGCACGATTCGACCTAGATTGGGATGAGGATCAAGTCTGGGTGGATACATCTCAGCCTAGTAAGTTCTGTACAGAGCGATTTGAACGTAATATCCGTACAGAAATGCCGAGGCTGACTTCTATGCCTTCAGTGACGTTTGTACTTGAAGCCTGTAATGATGTCGAGGGTGAAGCCGAAGGGGAACATTCTGTTCCAGATAACCCGACCGTGACCGCGATGAAACCATTATCACCAGACTCCCCTTGGGAACCCCACCGTGACGGGGTTCCAGATATCCTCGACGTGGGGATTAGTACTCCGGGATCAGGAAAATTGCATTCCAATGAACTTTCCCCTCAGCAGCAGATATATAGAAGCTGCGCCATCTCCCCTCCTACGATTGACGGGCCGCCTGCCCTATCACACCGAGAAGCGTCTCTGATGCGTAATTTCATTCAGCGGATTGCCCCGTGGGTAAGCTGTTACATTCGTCTGTCTAAAGTATAACCTTGCTCTGACATATGTCCTTGACTAGGCAGACATTTGCGACCCCCAGTGCCATTTTAGCACGGATGTTCCCCGTCGGGCATTACAGGTCCCCATGCTACTTAAAGCAGTGATGGCTCTCGCAGCTCGGCATGACGCAATTCTCAATAACCAGAGCGACTGGGAGGCCTCAGAATATCACGGCCAATGCCTGGAGCTGCTTATCCCGGCGTTAGACCGGCCTGAGCAGACCTATGACGAGAATCTGCTGGTCACAGTAGTGCTGTTACGGATATATGAAGAACTGGAAAACAGCACCGACCCGCAATTCCACCTCTTAGGATCCAATCGTCTGATAAACCTGATGTCTCGCTCTGCATCCTCGGGTGGACTAGCAGAGGCTGTCAGCTGGCAATTTCTGCGACAGGCCATCTACGCATCGGTAGTTCAGTATCACCCGTTGCAGCTGGACTTGCAAAACTATGAACGATCATCAATGTTCCAACGCACTGACGATGCTGCATTTGCAAACATGGTGATTTTCCACTGTGCGGATATTCTCCGAATTTGCCGTACTGTGCCCCAGGAGCCCGTGGATGAAGATGCACGACTCCGAGTGGCCCACGCGGTTGATGAGTGGCACCGCGCAAAACCAACAACCTGGCAGCCACTTCGATATCAACCCGCGGATGTGACTGTGAATCGGCCATTTCCTGAAATATGGATGATGTCGGCCCCAGCGGGTTTGTGCCCCTTGCAACTATCCCCCCGCCACGGCCTTGATTACTCACAGCGCTTCTAGTTGTTGGGATGCAGTATTACCACGCTGCCTGTATATTCCTAACTTTCTCCGAGGGATGTTCACGACCCATGAGTGATTACCAAATGGCTCGCTCGCGACGGGTGTCAGAAGTATGAGTCGACTCACATCATCACCATCATCGCTGTTCTGGCCGTATGACTGACATGTTGATAGCGAACCATTTCCAGCCATATCGTGAGTGTCATTGGATTGTCTCAGTCAAATGAAAGTGTCCATAATGCCTATTTCATGGCATGCCATCTGCTTCATCGATGTTGGTCTTCCCTTTCCCTGCAAATCCGATTCTGGGCTAATTCCGTGTCCAGTTGGCTATTGTCTGAAGCATTGGACGGAGCAGCAAGGTTCATTGAAATTTCTTTCCCGCGTGGAGGAAGTCCTGGGCTGGCGCACCTCGTGGATCAAGCGAGAGTTGGAGCGCCAGTGGGCCGAACTTGGCCAAGTAGATAGCCCTGATAGTTGAAGAAACTCGGTGGCATTTCATCGCGACTGTGCATCTCGACCGGGATTTATATAGCCGTTTCGATTTCTGGGCGTGAAATAACAGAAGCAATATTGATATTTTTCCCACTCCATGATGCCGTGATCAAGCGGAATACCTTCTGGCATCCCTTGCACAGTATCTTGGAGATTCCACAAAATTCCTAGCTCATGTAAGGTGGCGATAAATCATTGAGAGGCTATAGCCACCATTCCTGGTTTCTGCGATAATCAGTCGGTTTTATTCTGCAACTCCGAAAGCCCGGGTTTATCATACATCTCCGATAGCCTTGTGTGTCATCCAATGCGTGACGATCTGGGTGCCCTAGTACCCTTCCGGAAGTTATCTTGGGTGGATTGCTAATCAATCCAACCAATCATGGAAAGCTCTATCGTTTCTAGTAAATGCTCAGACTAAATGTATACTACATGCCAATATTTATTGAACCCCGCTCTTGGACCCTGTTGTGCATTAGATAGGATGCTGATTCGAGTGATGCCGCCACCACTCGCCATGATTGGATCTCTTGTGCAGCGCGGGAGAGCTTCCAGTCAACCCGAAGCATTAATACAGTCACCGTGCTCCATCTAGCCTCAGCAGTCGATTATCCAAACAAACTCGTATAAAGAGCCTCTCCGCATTCTTTCTTTGTATCCCATTTTTTCAATTTCCTTCATCCATCAATCCTTCTATCTCTTGCCTTTCTCTCGCCCACTTAACCCAGGCCACTCAACAATCAATCTCTCAACACCACCACGATGAGTCTGCCGTCTCACTACAAACGGGCCGCCTTCAAAGAGGCCGGTGGCTCCCTGACCATTGAAGAAGTCGAGTTGACCATGCCGAATGCTGGCGAGGTGTTGGTGAAGGTGGAAGCATGCGGAGTTTGTTTCTCCGACACGGTTTCACAGGCTCATGGCCTAGGTGGAAAATTGTATGTTTCTCCCGTCTCCCATTAGCTCATTGACGGAGGGCCTTTGGAATGGAAATGGCTGACTCTCTATAAAATACAGTCCAATTGTACCGGGCCATGAAATTATTGGACACGTGGTGGCGACAGGTGACGGTGTCTCGGACTGGAAGGTTGGCGATCGTATCGGTGGAGGATGGCACGGCGGCCATGACGGTATCTCACCCCCAATCCTCTAAATTCTCCGAGGTTTGGAGAGCAATGACTGATTTGGTTTCCACCAGGAACTTGTCCCTCCTGTCGCCAGGGCCATTTCCAAATGTGCGACAATCAGAGCATCAACGGAGTAACCCAAAACGGCGGATGTAAGCCATCAGAAATGATCTTCCCATTTCCACGGTGAAAATACCTGACTCTCTAGATGCTCAATACTGTATTCTCCGTGGCGAGGCTGGAGTCAGAATTCCCACGCATGTCTCAGCTGCCGAGTATGCGCCGATTCTCTGCGCCGGCGTGACCGTCTTCAACTCAATGCGCCAAATGGGTGTCAAACCTGGATCTACTGTTGCCGTTCAGGGCCTTGGAGGTCTCGGCCATCTCGCCATTCAATATGCAAATCGCTTCGGCTTCCGGGTGGTAGCCATTTCTCGCGATGATCAGAAGGAGAAATTTGTAAGAGACCTCGGTGCCCACGAATACATCAACACAAGCAAGGAAGATGTCGGAACCGCTCTGCAGAAATTGGGAGGTGCTTCTTTGATTGTAGCTACTGCGCCCAATGCCCGGGCTATTTCCCCTCTATTGAAGGGCCTTAGACCTTTGGGCAAACTCCTAATTCTTGCCAGTAAGTATCTTGATCACTCACGGCCAATCAAAATCCAGTTGCTGACTATGTCTAGTTCCGGGTGAGATCCCTCTCGATTCAGGGCTTATGGTGGGTCTTTCCTCTCTTTCTATACCCCAGTTTTGATTCCACCAAGGTCCCTAACATCCCATTATTTATAGGTCACCCGAGGTCTTTCCGTCCATGGATGGCCGAGTGGGCATGCTCTTGATTCTGAGGAAACCATTCGCTTCACAGAATTGGAGGACATCAAGTGTATGATTCAGACATTCCCTCTTGATCAAGCTAATGAAGCATTTGGTAAGTTGAGATTCCGAGGGGTATCTCTGACCGGCGTCTCTGACAAATCAATAGATGCAATGATTTCGGGCTCCGTTCGATTCCGCGCGGTGATTACAATGGAGTAAGAGCCATTGGCAAACTTCCATTACGGAGAGAGACCTACCACAGCTGAAAGAATATCGCAAGTGTCCAGAAAAGTATGATCCTATCGGGGGCACGCAATTGCCGATCATTACCTAGCCCGGTTGGCAGTAAGGGTTCAATAAGTAGCGCTCAATCAAACCTAAGATGCAACGAAATTGCAATACCAGAACCTTAAAATCTCGGCTAGTTAAGAATAAAATTGAATTCAAATGATCACTTTGTTGTCACTAGCAATAATAATTTCTTCTCGTTAACATAGACCGTTCTTGTCAGGTTTCCAATATCTGGCCTAGAAATGCATAGATAGTCCTCCTCCACTCACCCCCACCATTCCAACTGAAAGTTATTGAATTCTTGGTCGTTTAAGCAGGCACTATTCCAATGCTGCCCTTGATTACGAACGTGAACTAGGACCCATATATATGTTGTTATCTTCTGTCAAACCTGTTCCTTGGAGAAGAACCATATAGCACGTAAGACTTGAAATCATATAAGAAGGTAGATGCGATCTTATCGTACAACTAATTGGACATTGTGAATTTGAGTCAACATTGAAAGTGTCTGAAAGACGACTAGAACGACCGAGGGATGGTTATATAGTACCTAAATGTCAGAAGCTGATCGGGTGTTACATCTGACATAGTTCCTCGACACTCCATCTTTCTTCAGAAACCACGTTTCTTTTGAGAGGAATACCTAGCTTCCATTGATCCGGAAAGTAACGAATCGCTCTACACCCCGATCAAGACTATCCTGCTGTCAATGCCCCCACGCCGGACCTTTTTGTCGCGAATGGCTTTTGATTCAAGAATTAGCTAAAATCCCGGACAAAAGGAAGTAAGTCCAATTGGAATTTGAGCAGCACGCAGTAAATAAGGATAGAATAGGGTGTACCTACTATTTGTCGCTCTTCTCTCGGGGTATCTCTTCGCGAGCGATCTCTCTTCTCCGCGATCTTGGGGTGAAACCAGCGCAAATCCCGTCATTACCCCGCAATCGTCTAGAAGAATTGGCAAAACGGAACATGCTAAGCTATTCTGTTGGTGGAAATTATTTTTTTTACGAGAATTCTGAAATGCCGTGAACATATTCGTCAACTTTCGAAAGCCGAGAAGATGAAGCATAAATATCCTCAAAGTTGACGGCTTGAAGCCACCTCAAATCGAAAGAAAACATTACATGTCGAAAAGAAAGGATGATCGGTCTTCTGCCACTTTTTATAAACCTTCTCCCAGTGCAAGCACTGCCTGCCTCGCCACCAAAAATGCCCCCTTACTTTGTCTTGGCTGGCGACAGCACAACGGCTACCCAGTCGTCTAATGGAGGAGGCTGGGGAGATGGGTTTCTGAACACTACGCTGTTCAACGGGGCATCGGGTCACAACTATGGGCATAACGGTGCAACAACAGTCAGCTTTCGAGCTGGTGGTGACTGGGACAACGTACTTGCGAGGGTCCGAAACGTTAGCCACGAGTACCAGCCATTCGTCACTATACAGTTCGGTCATAATGACCAAAAGGCGGCCGCAAACATCTCGCTTTCCGAATACACCGAGAATCTACAAAGATTCGTGACAGAAGCTGTCCATGCAGGGGCAACCCCTATTCTCGTGACACCATTGTCAAGGCGCAATTATGACAACTCAACAGGACAGCCGGTGATCAAGCAGGACCTCGCGAATCAAACAGCGGCGACCATCACTGCCGCACACAACACTGGCGCCTCGTTTATTAATCTCAACAAAGCCAGCACTGACTACCTGAATGCTATTGGGCCGACCGATGCCTATACCTATAACTTGGTTTCTACCGATTACACTCATCTGAATGTCGAGGGTAGCATCGTTTTCGGTGGAATTGTTGCCGAGTTGATCCAGCGTGATTTCCCCGAGCTGGAAGGACATGGCTTCGTTCGGGTGGATAAGACCTTGAGAAAGGATGTTGAGCAGGGTATTTACTACTGGCCTTGAAGCGAACGGAATTGATGCACGTGGAATCTTTGATCAGCATCTGGCTGTTACTATATCCAAGCGTGTGAATCTTGTATTTGGATAATGTACGCAAATCAAAAATCGAAACATTTCCAAAGGAAGAAAATGGAGATCAAGGGCATTAAGAATAGTGTCAGTAGACCCTGCATAATTCTTTTATCGAGACTATTCAAAGATAGAATCAGAAAAGTAGAAAGACCTGTACAATGAACTGCATAATCGGATTATACGCAATCTTTGCAATGTCCGAGAAGCCATCACACCTCATGAGAAGGTCACATGGTTGATACCAATGGCAGATGGAACATTCAAAATGGAGGCCACACTCATCTTTTATGAGCTTACCAAGAAGATTAGCCGATCGTACATATCGTTGACTGTGGGACCTTCGCGGAAGGTAGAAATCCGAGCCATTGAAAATTCCAAGGCAATACCCCGAGGATATAGCACGTACTCGTACTTCCGAGGTCTAATGGCTCCTATTTGATGTCTGCTTTGTGTATAACCCTCTTAATTGAAATTCAGAAAAGGCTACGATTAAGCAATGCACATGATATTGGAGAGTTCGGGTGGCTGGCCGATCATCACCAGTACCCAAGTGGAGGCAGTTGATTGGGACCCGCCCCAGCAGCTAAGTAAATCGTCGGCGATAACAAATTACTAATGAGCAACAACGATCGATATAGGCTGTATGAAGTTTTAAACAATGCCGAGTTTTCAAATTATTATTCACTACACCCCGGCCATTCCATTTTAGGGAGCAGCTCGGCTGTACTCAAAATGCGGGGTCGAGAGCTGCATAATTCTTTGTGCCTCGGACCTTTCGGTAACCACAACGCGCAGGAGTGATTTGCTACTTATACCAACCCTGACCAGAAAATTCTGAACAAATACCCTGACCATTGATTTCCACAATGACCTCGCAAACATCTTCGAACAATGCCTACGTTCTTGGGGTTGGGCTGACTCAGTTCCTCAAACCTCGGCGGACCAGGGAATACCCCGAGCTCGGGTATGAAGCTGCCGTGAAAGCTTTGATAGACGCCAAAATCAATTACGATGAAGTGCAACAGGTGATCGCATGCTATTGCTATGGAGATACAACCAGGTATGACTTGAATCATATCTCGTGGCCCTCGGAGCGCATGGTTCATTACTGATGCATTTTCTGCATATCTAGTGGTCAGAGAATCGTCTACAACCTAGGAATGACAGGATGCCCCGTCTTGAACTTGAATCAAGCCTGTGCAACTGGCAGTACAGGTCTGCATACAGCTCGTCGGCTCATCCAAGGCGGACTTATTGACTGCGCCCTGGTCATCGGTTTTGAGCAGATGCGACCTGGCTCAATCAAAAGTGTCTGGGATGATCGACCTAGCCCATTAGGCCCTTCTACGAAACTTATGGAGGATACCTTTGGAAAGCACGATGCCCCTCGAAATGCGCAATACTTTGGAAATGCCGGCCAGGAATATATGCAGAAGTCAGTACAATGTCCAGGATCCCTTCAGGATATTCCATCCAACCCTTGCTAACTTTGGACTAGATATGGGGCCAAGGCCGAAGACTTTGCAGAGATTGCGCGCATATCACACGAACACTCCCAGAGGAATCCCTACGCTCAATTCCAGCAAGCTTACACCTTGGATGAAGTGCTCAACTCTACCCCGGTCTATGGCCCTCTCACAAAGCTCCAATGCTCCCCTACTAGTGATGGTGCCGCCGCGGCTGTCATCGTGTCGCAGCGTTTCCTAGACGCACGGCCATCTCTGAGATCACAGGCTATCTTGATAGCTGGCCAGGCACTCCTGACCGATGGACCAGAGGTGTACTCTGGAAGCGCTATCGACCTCGTTGGATTCAACATGTCACGGGATGCAGCGAAGTTGGCTCTGAAAGAGGCCGGGGTGCAAATTAAGGACATCAAAGTGTGCGAGCTCCACGACTGCTTCTCAACGAACGAGCTTCTGCTGCTAGATGCGCTTGGATTCTCTGAGCCTGGAAAGGCTCACGAGATGGTTCGTCGTGGTGATATCACATACGGTGGACGTGGGCCTGTGATTAACCCCTCCGGTGGGTTGATTTCTAAGGGACATCCCCTTGGGGCTACTGGAGTTGCTCAATGCGCGGAACTGACGTGGCAGCTCCGTGGTTGGGCAAATAACCGTCTGGTTCCCAACACTGATGTTGCTCTACAACATAATTTGGGATTAGGAGGAGCCGTGGTGGTGACTGTCTACAAACGTGCAGATGGCCAGGTGAATCACGCCGTGTCAAACGAAGAGGTGAAGCGGATCTCGGGATTGGGATACAATCCTGCGGTGGAAGCCCATTATATCAGTCCTCAAGACGGTGAAAGCGTCAGGAGCAAGACCAAGCGTCATGACTATCCGCTTCGGGAGATCAAGGCAAAGCTGGCGGCTCGGATGTAGAGAAATAAGGGAAAACAAGGAGTGATGGAAGGTGCCTCATTTCCGGGGCGGTCCATCCGTCTACTAGAGTTTAGTGTTATAGGACTGCTGAATATATGGCGTAGACTTATGAGAGTGGCATTGAATATAACATCGATTACTAAATCTCAGTCCAGGAAAACGCCAGGTGTTACTGGATTTTGAAATGTTGTATTAGGAGTCGAAGTCATCAATTTTCCCTTTAGCATTCTTTGAGCGCGAATCGATTGACTTGTGATCATGAATGCAGTCTTTGGACAATCTAGATGCCATTTGAGAAGATAAAGAAGTGGAATAATAGGTATCCAAATCTTGCCATATCGCGAATGGTATCGCAACGCAATTTGGATTCGAGAAGATCCCTCAGGCTTTTTGGGCTGTGCCTCAGAACCCTTTGCTCTTCGCTCAGACGTGCTGTCCGCATCTTGAGCAATGGCCCTTTCCAGGACGGAAACGCCGGGAATACTGCTCTCTGAAGAATGGTTCTGATACTTTTAGAAGCCTTTTGACTTGTTCGAAATATCCCGCTCGAGCTTGTCCTGTAGGCTCGCTTAGGAAAGGCTCCCCGGAACAGAGACTCCAATATGACTCGATAATTCACGGCTGAGACCAGCATGGGACTCGAAATATTCAGCCTGGATGTCGAATGCATTGTTGTAACCCAAAGTGGGTGATGGGAGTGATAGATTAGGGTAATCGAGCACCGGAATCGATAAAAACACTGATCAAGGCTTTTCGTCACCCTTTGTGTCATCTGTATGTAGGTGCATAGAATGAAGCTTTTGCTTGGCATCATCCAGCTTCTCATGGAAATTTTTGACCTTGCGCTTGGCTGTAGTGTACCCTTCGATTCCCGCCAAAATTGCATATGACTTGGTCATCGATACTCGCGACAAGTCAACACCTCGCTCTTGGAGCGAGTGATGGAAGGCACGGAAGTTGGCAAGGTGCGGGCGATAGTGACCACTGCTGATGTTAGGCTTTGGAGGTATCTGTGTGAGCTACAAGCTTACCTTAAAGGTGCTAGACCTCGGATCTGTCCATCTTTGGTTTTAATCAGGCCCGCTGCAGAGATTCTGCCTCCTCGTAAAAATGAACTGTGTTGGAATGCCCCTGGCTCCTTGATTCCAATGTAGATGCGAAACGATGTATCTGCAACCTTAAAGTAGGGTAGGTTAGAAAGTAATCTGAAAATCTGCGGAGCCTTCTTAGAAACTCACAAATATCCACATCCCATCCTTGATGGATAAACTTCCAGCGAAATGGTCGTAGACAACTGCGGGCCGGATGCGGGAAAATTTGTTGACAGCCTTACCAAGTTCATAGTCCTCACGGGTTGATGGACTTGAATCTTTGGTCTCTTCGTTGACGGGAGAAATAGGCGAAGATGATTCTCGTGATGTACTTTGGTCAAATACCGGAGCGGAGGCTGGGTCCTGGGTACGACGACCCCCACTTCGAGGAACATTCTCATCCACACGAACTACTCCATTAATGCTGTCCTTGTAGCGCTCGTTATCAGTGTCTACCAATTCATTGTTCTTAGCCCACCTCAAGAGACCCGTGTCATCGACGTTGACCAGATAGTTGAATCGCTCTTCCGGGGATAGATAACGGACTTGGTCTTTCTCAAGTTGCTCACGTGTGCACTGTGGAAGCTCAATCTCCTTGCCCTCGCCGTAGTCCAGCCAGTAAAAGAAGTTCTCATTGGAGGGAGAGTTCTTCCAAGCAGCATGGTAAGTACGGAGATGACTCCCATGGCGGTGTTTCGAATCGACCATTTCCAGAAAGTATTCAAGGCCCATCGTCTTTGAAGGACACGTGGGAGTTTGAAGGCTCTGAAGATCATCGGGATGGTTATGACCCTCCTGGTCAACTGAAGGCCCCCCGTCTGCGCTAGCCTGTATTGCAACGCTGACAGCTCGTTGCCATTTCTTGCGCGCAGGGCTGATATTGTGGGCAGGATCGGCCTCGTTTTCGATATCATCATCATCAGTCTGTTCTTGGTGAGGGGGTTTGAGAGTCTAAATGTGTCGTCGATATCAGCTAGTGATATATTCTAGTAGAACCTGCAACAGAGAATTTTCTCACATTCAGCCACCGAGTGGAGGCGGACAGACCACATCCTTCAAGTTCTCGACGAGTTCGGTAGCCACGATATACTCTCTAATATCATTTGGTGTCAGTCATGTTCAGAGAAGATAACTTCATTTGGTTATTCCCAAGTTCGTACCTGAATGGTGCACGCTGCTTGTTCCTCCGGATCTGAAAGGGGCATGACGTCAGTCCAAGCTCCCCGTTGCGCGCTGGGAGAGCTTTGTGGTCGTATGCGTGGGTGGGAGATGGTAATTGTCGTCATTATTGGCATATGAGAAGTATGAGATAACTCTCCCTTGGGCAGAAAAGTATAATCTGCGTTAAGTAGCGCTTTTGGCAGTGAGCGACTCGCTCTCGCCTTCCTTGTTTTTATTTTGGGCCGATAAGATTGATGATAAGCGATAAGATAAGCGATAAGGCTGATGAGCCTCTTGCCTTATTGCCTGGTGCTTCAGGCGACAAAATCCCCCAATGCGCTTGACTAGCTCCTCTTTGCCCCCAAGGTTGTTGTCTGGACTAGAGGACCTTGGGGAATATCAGGTGAATCCGGTATAAGAACAAGAGCTCCGAATCCTTAAATTTCCTTACATTATGGGATTCCTGCGAGGTCGAAATAGTCGCTCTATGCTCAACCCACTTTCTCGAATCCCGAATGTTGACTAGCTACAACCTTGTCTTCCAGAGAAATGAAGCCCTGGAACATGATGATGTGATTCCATAAGTCAACTGACAACTCACCTAAATCCTAGCTCTGCGGTATGTGATTCATGTTCATATCTATGGTGGATCATGCCCCTTCCTCACTCGACTATCTTGCGGCGTCTCCCTGATAGGCAAGAAAAGAGTCGCTCCATCTACTTCTACATAGACGGAGCCATCCCGTCTAACTATTCAACATCCGTGTGAGTCTCGCACGCCATTGCGGGGAGGGAAATCTGGATCACACTTGCGATGAGTCGATGGCTATCAATTGGAGAATTTCCCCACCTTCCAATGTGCGGATATAACTCTGTCATCCAATGGAATGTGGCATCCGCGGATGTGGTTACCACTTTTAGTCGCGCCCCGCAACCTATCTCGGATACCTTCCTGCTGCGCCCGGAGACAAAATGACAAACCCTATTCATGAGTTTCGAGGGACCCACGAAATGTAAGGAATCGCGGCTTCATCGGTAGAGTGCCCGGGCTGACCCGGGACGCCCTTCCGGGTCCGATCTCCCCTCGTGAGGGGGAACCAGTGGAGCCATGAGGGGGCATCCCTATCGACTATATGGCCGTCATGACTTCTTTATATAAGTTGATATGTCTAATACAGTGGACAAGAACAACAATTAAAACCATCTTGTGTTCGTGGATACTTCTTGTCTTCAGAAATTCTTCTCAGCTACACACATCCAACCACAATGGCCCCCTCTATCCACCCTTTCATCGATAACGGCATCGCTCGGGGCGACCCGAACTTTGCAGGTGGTTCTCTGCACTGCCACTGCCCATCCAACCAAGTCGTCGTCGCATTGAAGAGCAACGTCGCCCACAACCACGCCTGTGGCTGCAGCAAGTGCTGGAAGCCTAGCGGCGCCTTGTTCTCCATTGTCGGCGTCATCCCTCGTGAGAACCTCAGTGTCCAGGCCAACGAGTCGAAGCTCGCCATTGTCGACTCTTCTGCGGTCATCCAGCGCTATGCCTGCCGTGATTGCGGTGTCCACCTGTTTGGTCGCATCGAGAAGGACCACCCCTTCCGCGGACTGGACTTTGTTCACGCGGAGTTGTCTGACCAGAAGGGTTGGCAAGAGCCCCAGTTCGCCGGCTTCGTCTCCTCGATCATTGAGCAGGGCTTCAACCCCAAGGGTATGGATGAGGTTCGTGCCAAGTTCAAGTCCGCTGGGCTCGAGAGCTACGATGCCCTGTCACCACCCTTGATGGACCTGATTGCGACTTTCACTGCTCAAAAGGCCGGTGTGAAGTTTGCCAACCTTTGAATGACCCTTTTAAAAATCCAATGTGTTAGTACTCGGTTTTTGTGATGGGCATTGACGCCTGCAAAATTGGTCGTCGGAAAGGGACTGTATTTAGCGTTTGCACATAGAAAAATTTCGATTTTTGGAGACTTTGACTTTAGCCATCTGTAGTCTCAGACCAAACACAATTCAATAAGACAAGAAATTTCGTAGTTTGTAGAGATTCCTTCCATCAAAGCCTTACTTCCAAGGCAAAGCGAGTACTAGAGGCGTGAGTGCCAGCCCAACCAGGACCTACACAATGACATTGTCGCGCTCAGCCTGCTCCACCATCTTGACCAGTGCCTCGGCAACGCCGTAAGAAAATGCATACCCACCGCCTCCAAAGCCATACGCCGAAAGTAGGGTTCGTGATCCTTGCACCTCAGAGTCTAGCCGGAACCCTCCTTTTCGAGAGGGGCGAATACCGATGATATGACTGATGGCGCTTTCAGGAGGATTGGCGGGGACGATATCAGGAGCCAATCGATGTGCGCGGGCGATTTCGTCTCGAGCAATCTCGAGATCAACATCGGGGGACCTGAGACAGGATGAAGAAAGTTAGGATATAGCCAGAGGAATGGATCTCGGGCCATTTGTTGACGGTGCTTGCTTACAAGTTATCTTGCTGCTTGACGCCACCCAATACTACACCCCCAGAGTGTGGCCGGGGAATGACATAGGTATACTCTTGACCATTGCGAAAGTACATGGTCAGGCATCGATCGGTTCTAAGGAAGACGTTTTGGCCCCGTTCAGGGAAACACCGATCGTCCAGAACATCCGCAAGAGTTTTACTGCCTAGCCCGCTGGCGTTGATGAAGATTCGAGAATCAGGGAACATGTCGTACAACTCGTGCAGCGAGTCGACTTTGCGGCGGATGAAATGACCGCCTAGCATTTGAATCTGCCTCTTGAGGTAAGGCATGTGTCGAGTGGGGTCGGTAACAAGCGTCTCATATGCCCAGGCACAGGCAAATTCAGATGGGTATTGCTCTGGGGATAAGTTCCGGAACTGGATACACGATAGGGTCAGTGGCTGAACGTTTTAGGGGATAACGTCTTTTAAGAGCAGCTGATGTTAGTAAGGAGACTGACCTTGGACACCACGGTCTTTCCCCAGAGTGCAGAATTCGGAATCGGTTCTTGTTCAAGGTACTCTCGAGCATCAACTACACTGACTCCCGATTCTGGCTCCCGGGCCATCTGGAGCAGGATACGATGGGTGACAGCCTGAATATAGCGCTGGTCGGGGGTGATACCCCCTGCTGCATGCCAGGCAGCACCTGCCCATGCAGAGGCGTAATGAATATCTTGATCCCCAGGTAGGAACTCAGCGACAAGGTTGACCTCAAAGCCCTTGAGCAGCAACTGGCGAGCGGCGGCACATCCGATGATGCCGGCGCCCAGGATAATGATCGGGCGCTGGGCAAAAGGCACCGGAATATCGTTGGTAGAATGGTCACATTCACCCATGATGACGAGATGGACCGTCTGTTAAACTCAACACTTGAGAACAAAAAAAACTCGATGGTGTTCAAGGGCTGGATAGTTGTACTGCTGTACTTGAAGCGATAGGTCGGTCCATGTGCTTTCCCAGTGGAATTGCCCTAGGAAAAGGAGGACAGATTGTTGCTATAAGCTGTTGCGTCTGCGTTGGAATACCCTAGGACTCTGGTATTGAGCCAATGGATCCTTCGAAAGAATATGCCGAGTGTTTCAAATATGTCGAGTATGTCAGTAGGCCTTTGATGCTCTATGGGCAGGGATGGTGATGTCGTGCTGCATTCTGAGAGTCTGGCAATTGCTCCATTAAATTGGAGTTTGAGGAATCCAAAGTACGTATCCTTATCTGAGAAATTTAATTTAATTAAGATAAAAAGGCGCTCCGAACCGCCCAAGCGGAGTCTCTTGATGAATTCTGATGCCAAGCGTGGCGGGTCAACCCGCCCAGAGAACTCGTCAGTTGAGTTGGAAACGATCGTCTTTTCTGCTTTTCTCCTCCTTTCTCTCACTCTCATTTGTCTTCTCTCCCCATCAGCCCCTCCCCCCCCCTGCAGTTCAAGAGTCCACTTCCATCAAACCCCGATTCATCGATTCATCCACTGTTTCTGAGGATCTTCTCAGGCTAAGAGAGTCGCAATAACCCGACTGCGATCGGCCATCATCCGTCACTCCCGCCCCCAACCTTTTGGGCTCCTTTGGCTGGCGGTACGTGCGGGACATCCCCATTCGATCGGCTTCACGCGTCGGATCCGCCGTTTGAGGTTTGAGATCTGGGCCCCCCTCATTGATTCCCAATTCTCGATGCGGTCGACTACTGGCAGTCGAGCGTCGTGATTGGGGTATGGGCCATTGTTTGATCTGGCCAAACCCGCCGCCAACTCGGACACGCTTGGTCTAAGCCCGGATTCTACCGGAATCCACGACGTGATGAAGTGGGACGAGGACGAGAGCCAGAATGATGCACACCGATTTCAACATCAGCAAAAACAGCAGCAGCAGCATCTGAATTCTCCCGTTCTCTCATCTATTGGCGACAAGCCCATAGACTCTCCACCATTTCCGTTGCAGGTAAAGTTCACCCCTCCTTTTTCAGCCAGTTGCCCCCCTGTTATCTACCATCTTTCCATCTCCTCCATATCGACGAGATAGAATTCACTCCAATATTTGCCCCAACCATACTGTTTGACACTATTGAAGTTTATCTGTTTAACTATGATTTCGGTCCTCTCCCCCACCCTCCAACTCGCTCCAGGATGATCTTCCTTGACTCGTTAGTCGCGTCTTGGCGGCGTTTGGCGTGGGCCACTGCGGTCCCTCCCTAACGTTGTCGACCACATGGTTGCGGCCCCAGCCGACAACCTTCTTTTGCGGTTTGTCGACCTCCGGTCGGATCGCATCCTGCCATGCGATATGACTTGATCAGTGTTCTATTGGTCAATAGTCCTTGGACATCTTGTTGCCTATCCCTCCTCTATCTCCCCATTTGGCCCCTGCCCCTCCCCCCAATAGCGAGCGCTCATAGCCCTCGTACATTGCATCTCACATTGGCTGTTTGCCCCCATCATCTAGACCCAATTTGCTCATACAGTTTTGCCATTGCTTGGTAATAGGACTCCTCCTACAAACACCATGACGACGATATCTCTGTTCTACGCGACTGCGATGCCGAACAGGTTTTGTCGTACGATGCCGACGACTCCCCCTTTCCGGAGGTTCGCGCAGTCATCCAGCCCATCAATGACCTCTCGTTGCCCGTAAACACCGTCCGTATGTGGACAATCGGCTTGCTCTTTACCATCGTATGTTATCACTGTATTTTGGACCTGGCTGCACCCCTCAGGCCTCGTATTACCTTGAACCCATACTGACGGGTCTTTTCTTCTGATTGGCAGGTTGGGAGTGGATTGAATCAGTTCTTTAGCTTGCGCCAGCCTAGCGTAACCATCAGTGCCCTGGTCGCCCAGCTATTGGCATTTCCGGTAGGCTGCGCCTGGGCTCAATGGATGCCATTGGGCTTCCTGAATCCGGATCGACACTTCAATATCAAGGAACATGCGCTCATCACTATTATGGCCAATGTCTCGATCGGGTCTGCCGCAGCAACTCAAATTATCGAGGCGGTGGTCAAATTTTATGATATGCCCTCCGATGGTGGATTCGAGGTTCTCCTCTGTGTGACGACTCAGCTCTTTGGGTTTGGGCTGGCAGGCATGGCCGCCCGTTGGCTGGTCACTCCCGCCTCTATGATCTGGCCTCAGGTCTTGTCCAATGCGGCCTTGCTCACAACCCTGCATTCGCGAGAAAATGCGATCGCCGATGGCTGGCGCATCACACGCCTCCGCTTCTTTCTTATTGTGTTCATCGTGGGCTCCATCTGGTACTTTGCCCCGGGGTATCTTTTCACCGGTCTTAGTACTTTCAGTTTTATTTGTTGGATCGTCCCTTCCAACGTCGTGGTCAACCAACTGTTCGGCCAGATCACTGGGCTAGGCATGTCCGTGCTGACTTTCGACTGGGCCCAGGTGGTCTATGCCAACCAAAGCCCGCTTTTGGTCCCGTTCTGGGCCGGTTTGAATGTGATGGGCTCATTTGCGCTCTTCTTTTGGCTCATCTGTCCCATCGTGTACTATACGAACACCTGGTATTCAGCCTATCTGCCCCTTCTCAACTCCAATACCTTTGATAACACGGGCAAAACCTACAACACCTCTCGTATCATGGATGCCGATGGCTCTGTCAATCAGACCGCCTATCGAGAATACTCACCCATGTTCTTACCCGCTGGGTACGCCATCACCTTTGGTGTCGCCTTCGCCAATCTCACCGGTATATTCTTTCATATCGGACTCTACCATGGTCGAGATTTATGGCAACAGTGGAAAGGCACAAACAAGCAAGACGTGCATGCTCGCCTTATGTCCATCTATCCCACTGTACCTTGGTGGTGGTTCGCCGGGGTGACGGTGTTGATGTTTGTGCTGAGCGTGGTGACGAATGAAGTGTGGCACACTGGACTCCCCGCCTGGGCTGTACTGGTGGCATTCGTGCTACCTACCATTTACTTCATCCCGGTTGGGATCATCAAGGCATTGACAAACATCAGCAGCAATCAGCTGAATCTGATGTCTGAGTTTCTTGGCGGATACGCCTTTCTGGGCAAACCTCTCGCCAACATGGTTTTCAAATTCTATGGCTATGTCGCCGTTCAACAGGGGCTTGAGTATGTACTAAGCCCTTTGAGATGTGTGTTCTTGTTATGTGCTGATCTCTAACTTCCCAATTTCACAGATTCGTCGCTGACATGAAGTTGGCCCACTACCTCCACATTGCACCACGAACCGTCTTCGCTGCTCAAGGGCTTGCCACCTTGATCGGAGCCATCGTCCAGTGCGGCGTAACAGTATTCATGATCACGAGGATCGACGACGTCTGCACCTCGGACGCAGATGGTAATTTTACGTGTCCGCATGGGCGGGTCACGTACTCCTCGTCCCTTATCTGGGGTATGTCTTGTCGTGTCATATCGAGTCATTTCTCGCTCCCCTACCTCCTTTGTTTGTGGTCACTGAATTTACATACTAACACACTGGACTCTCTAGGCGCAATTGGACCCGGTCGATTGTTTTCTCCAGGCCAGATCTATGGTAACCTGTTGTGGTTCTTCCTGGTTGGCCCGGTAGTTGTCATCATCACATATCTTCTGGGACGTCGCTGGAAGGCCATGAACTATATCTCCTGGCCAGTTGCCTTTGGAGCGATGAGCATGGTCCCACCGGCAACTGGAGTTAGCTTTTCCTCCTGGTGGGTGATCAACATGATCTTCAATGGCTTGATACGACGTCGCAAACCTGCGTGGTGGTCTAAATACAGTATGTTGACTCACGACATCCATCAATGACAAATTGTGACCAGCTAACAATGCTCTAGATTACATCTTGTCTGCCGCGCTGGATTGCGGCGTCGCCGTCTCTACTGTGATTATCTTCTTCTGCATTACGTTGCCAGCTGGCTCATTGAACTGGTGGGGAAATACTGTGTATAGTAACACTGCCGATGGACTAGGCACACCGTATAAAAGTCTACCTAGTCAGGGCTACTTTGGCCCTGCGAAAGGTACATGGAATTGAAGATAATGACATATCACTGTATAATAATTGAACCATGATCTTGTGCATAGCAGTTGGTTTTTGTCTGGAATTTAAGAGAAGAGCGTACTTGTCGATTGGTTAATTTTGACCATGAGTCAACACCATCTCTTTTCTTCACAGTACGCCCGCCAGCAGAGAAACATTCAGATGGACAATGGTTAATTAGGTTCCAAATTGGAGGTTCGTTATTTCATTCATCTCTATAGACGCTACTCACACCTTCACCGAACGCCCTTTCACATAGACCTTGGCAATATTTCGATCATCACCCGTCATGAGGAATTTCTCAAAGATGACAAAAGTCGAATCCTCCTCTTCCACGGGGGACATCACCCCTCGCCGATCCAAATCGATGGTATGAACCTCCAACGCATCGAATTCCTTACCCACCGCAAAGCTACCGATCTTATCCTCCAAGCCACAGACTTGAGCTCCGCCCATGGTCGCAAGATAGAACCCCTCCGCCAGAGACAATGGTTCGTCCCGTCCGTTGGTGTGCGTCTTCTGGGCGAGTGAAACTATGAAAGCTTGCTTCATCGCATCTAACATGGATGAGGAAAATCCACCGCCACTATCCGTTCCCAGACCGACTTTAATGCCTCGGCGTAGGTACTCGCGAATGGGTGCAATCATAAAGTCGCGCATGGTGGTATTCGAAATCGGGCAGTGTGCGACGCCGCAGCGGAGCTCCTGGAGCATATCCATTTCCTTTTCTTCCAGATAAATGCAGTGCGCTAGGATAGATCGCTCGTTCAGAAGGCCGAAATGCCGGTATAGATCGGCTTCCAGGTGGAAATCGGGGAATAGCTCTCGTGTGAAATTGATCTCCTCTTTTTCCTCGTTGAAATGGGTTTGAATCGGCAGATCGGGATGTTCTTGAACGATAGATCCTAGACCCGAAAGAAGTTCGGATTCACAAGAAATTGCGAATCGCGGGGTGATTACGGGCTTCACTAATTGACCTTCTGGATCAAGGTCTTGGACGTGCTTGATTAACTCTCGCGTCTCCTGTAACGAATCAGAGACGGAGGGATCGCGATACCAGTCTGGAGCGTTTCGGTTCATATTGCACTTGCCAACCAAAGCTCGCTGACCTTTCTCGTAGCAGACATCGGCCAAGATACGGCTTGCTTCGCCATGGTAGGATCCATAGTAAGACGCAGTTGTGATGCCCTGCTGGAGGAAGCCATCGACACACGAAGCATACGTGCGTTTGGCGTACTCGGCATCGGCAAACTTGGCTTCGTGAGCAAAAGTGACATTGTTCAACCAGTCAATGAGTGATATGCCGCGGCCCATGCCGCGCTGTGTCCACTGAGGGGCATGATTGTGCGTATCGACAAAACCCGGACACAAGAATTCGCCCCGACGAAGGTACTTGACTGGGAACACATCGGGCGCATATCCGTGATCTGAGATGATGGCGCTGATTTGATTTGGGTCCACGTCTTTTTGCAAGGCTTGAATCTTGCCCGATTTATCCACTAGTATGAAGCAATTTTCAAGAATTTCGAGCTCGTTCAGGCTGCGGGAGTGGATTGCTGTGCCGTGGAATGCGAGAGGCAGCCCCGATGCGGGGGATGAGGTTTTATCCAAATCCTCCATCGTGAAGGATCAAGGATAGACACAGATTCTGGCTTGGTTGAGCGAGTGCAATAATTCCCATAAAAAGATGAAAGAAGAGCTATCTTTGAACAATATGATCTGGGGCACAGGTGGTACTAAAGAAAATCTTCCTCGTGGGGAACGCGGTGGGGACTTGATGTAGAGTGAGGGGCTTACTGCGGTCAACCTCCAGCCAATAAAGATTGCATGAGCCTGGATCTTATCGTGACTACTTTAAGGCCTCCATTCCTAATTCAAAGCGTCATTTTCTAGTTTCGAATTTCAAGACGTATCTGCACTGATGACTTGACGTTACAGGCCGAATTTAGGAGATTCTGGCATACAATACCAAGCAGTAAATAGTCTACAGACCAGACAGAACCCGATTTATTTGAACGATCAAAAAGTCAATTCATCAATACTTCATTCATTTGAAGGGGTATATGACTGAGAGAATTTGAAATGGCAGAAAAAAGGTGTGTATAGGTTAATTACAAAAGGCGTCCACTGGACCGAGGTGATAAATCCACGTCCATCACCCCCGTCTAGTCCCGAAAACAAATCCCAACCGTCTATGAAATCAAAAACAGGCGCTCAAAGGGTATAGTAACTGGCCATCTCCTCCTGGAACCAGTTATATGAGTAGTAAAGTTGCTCTGCCATTTGCGGATCGATTATCGGCATGACGCCGCTACCATCGACCAGCAGAACGTCATCCAAAACGGGGGCGAGAGGGACTGGAGGCGGAGGTGGAGGGGCGAGAGTAACGGAAGGTTGAGGTGGCATGAGAGGTTGTACATGGTGTTGGTGTTGGTGTTGGTGTTGCTGCTGGTGTTCCAGTTGTTGCTGTCGATAGGCCATTTGACTGAATATTGTGGTGCTCTGATGGCGGAATGTCTCTGCCAGTCGATCCACTCCCGGACGACGCTTGCCAAACTGCTCGAGCAGTACCACAACAGCCTGAATGCCCCGACGCATCATCTGCTCATCAGGATGCCATGGGGCCGGGCGAGAGTCGCGCAAGCACCGGGCATTCTGTTCCAAACACCACAGAATCGTGATGCCGGCGAAATAGACTTGACTCAGAGTCAACCAAATCCATTTCAATTTCCCCACGGAGTAACTATCCCAGTAGGATCGAACCACTTGGATACTGGAATCTCCGCAGCTGACGATGCTGGTTGCATCTGGAGTCGGGTTTCGTGGGCTAGGGCGATACATCAACAGCAATGTGGTATAATACAGATAATCATAATAGGAGGTTGAGTAGAGAAGCGCTGATGGATAAACAGGAGCCGCCATGCGCCACTCATCCACCTCGCGACGGAATTGACCAAGCGTGGCGGCAACCTCCTGCGGAGAGGGTTGGGGGAGATTGCTATACACTGAAATTCAAGGTAAGTTAGTACAAGGTCTGGCCGAATGCACAGGTATATTGCCAGGAGGGAAGGTATAGGCTAGGCGGTCCACTTACGGTACTGATAGATACGGGAAAAGATCCGTCGTAAACGAATCACCTGTAAAGGAATCGTCATGGCACTTGCACCGGGCGCTTCCAGCCCATCGTCGTTCAGCTCACGTGGAAGACCCACGCTGATGTCGTCGTCCGGAACTCCCAGAGGCCGCCCAAGCGTACTAGCAATGAGACGGTCAAGGTTGTATAGACTCCAAAAGGCACGCTTAGCCATCTCTTCTTCCATCATGGTCGGATATGACCGAGCCTTGTGTAACCCCATGCTGATCGCGAGTCGTAAGGTAGCCCCTAAGACATGCCAGATACTGGGACCGGCAGTTGCAAACATGGTATACAGGGCCAACCCAAGCAAGGCCCGGATGGAGGGTAGATCCTCATTCTGAAGCGCGAGGGAGAGAGTCTCCTGGCTCGCACGGTAAAACTCGGCAGCCTGCGCAGGCTCAGCCGACCCGATCAGCAGTGAAATGGCGATAATAATATGATAGGTATTGTGGACCTCCGGGGTTGGCACGCCGCCCGTGTAGATATGGCGCAGATGGCCGAAGAACTCGGGCCGCGAAAGAAATGGATACTGGTATCCTATACTATCGAAGTACTGGCCCGCCACGCGCTCTGCTTCTTCGAGCGAGGATAGACGCAGCACTCGTGGAGCAACGGCAGGCCGTGCGACGGATGGACGGCGATTCTCCAACTGATCACGAAGGATCTCGCCCACATTCGGCAGCTCGACACCCACCCCCGTGGGCGATTCGGAGATGGCAGCTAGTCCTGGCGTTGCCGCTGAACTGCCACTGCCTACGGGACTCAGCATCGAGCCTACGGATGATCGACTGCCGCCGGTCGCGATCATCGCGGGCACTTGATACCACCAGTCCGGATCTCCCTCGCCGTCCACGGGGGTACCCGTGGCCAGGTCGGCCACGGAGACGCCCATTTTGCGCCGCACGACCTCTTCCAACCATCGCACGCGTTTTTGTAAAGTCTCCAACTGATCTCGGGGCACAGAGGCACTGGCTACTTGGGGCCCCGGTGGAGGGATGGTGCAGCGCACCCCAGCGCGCGTGCAGGCCGAACAATTGGGGTACCGAAAGTCACATTTTTTCTTGCGTTTGCGACAGAAGTCGCACGCCGTCGATACTCGTTTGCTTCGCGCGCTCGGGGTGGAGGACGTGGGGTCCGGGGTGGGCGCCGAGTCGGGCGGGGGTTGCTGCAGTGAGGAGGATGGAGAGGAGGGCTGGTACGAGCGAGGTGATGGCTTGGGAAATGTCGTCGTCGGGGACTGCGACCAGGCTACGGGAGACGAGACATTCGGGGATTCGAGGCGAAACTTGCCGAGCTGGTCGCGAAAGTCCTTGTTGCCCGAGCTGCTCGTCATCGTGAGGGAGCAGGCAAAGGGCGGCTGGGGCCGCAATCCATCTCCAGCCTTTTTCCCAGCCTTTGGACACGAGGGCCAGCCACTGGATGAGGCGCCAAGCGAGCCACGAGGGGAAATTTGGCTGGGCACAGATCAAGCACAGTAGTCGGGGTCGGACGGGGTTTAGCTTCGGAGGAGGGGGAGAAGGGGGGGGTTGGACAGTTGGACACTGACGATTGTTGAGAATCTGGAAGAAGTGGAGAAGTTTCGGTAGTCGAAAGTGAAGGACGATATGACTCGGTCGGAAGCCCTGCAGATCGCCGGAGAAGCTAATTGTGCAGGGTCAAATGTAACAATAATATAGAATGGTTGTCGAATCAGAGCAGAGAAATAAATAAACCAGACGGTCTAAGAGTGCAGTAGTGCACAAGAAAGACTGGAACAGGACTGGATAACGCCATCTGACTAGGCCCAGCGACAATAGACTTGAGCTCTTTTTGGTGGGATTATGCGAGCAGCATAAGTAGCTAGTACTAGTATACTACCTAAGTAGTATATATTGCAGTAGAAATAGAGGAAAGTAGTAGTCGTGCAGGGATTATCTTGCAATTAGGATGCAATTTAATGAGGCATAGGTAGCACAGGGTAGAGGATTACCTCTACATAGGATATACTTCTACCAAGTACTTGCCCCTTCATGAGCGGCCTAGGTATAGGTACTTCTAGTTATAGAGGTGTTAATTGTGGAACAATAAATATATATCTATCCATGCAGATTTCCAATCATGGCGGGAACTAAGGCCAAATCCATGGGAATGTAGTTGTTCAGTGAAATATATACATGACCTCCTCTGGCCATGGATGCTATTGAGCTTCTGCAAGCAATCTACTCCGTATACAATAGTAACAGCACCATGACCAATGGGATTTGAATAAATACCCATATTCCATCCTAATGAAGTTAAATCTACCGTCATAAATAATAATGCTCAATACGAGTCCCTGGCGATCTGCAAGGAACAGGGAATTGCCGGGTCTGCAGGAGAAAGCCTAATCCACATCGGTAAGAACAACCATCATCATACTCGTAGTACTCCGTAGTTCCTGTTGGAATCCATGCGAAGTCTGTATTTGAAACCCCTCAAACGCATCGGGATACAACCCTCCATCGGATTATCGGCTTCTATTTAATCAACTGCATGCCTTGGACACTCACAACCGGGAAATAGACTCCGTACCCGTGAAGAATGTTGGTTAGATATGACTGGCCAAGATCTCCGGCCCCCAAGTAGTACTGTTGTGGCTGACAAGGAAGATGAAGCGCAAGGATACTTCCCGGTCAGTATATCACGGTAGTTGACACAGCCTATAGAGCGATCTGAGATCTTTGCCCGGGGATGTCGAGCATCCCTTAACCGCGAACTAGTGCACCCCCACGGCTATACATGAAAAGACAACGACCTTCTAGTCATGAATTAGAATCAATTACTATGTAGAAAATATTGCTAGTCTGCACAAAATATCATCATTTACCATCCTCCGAGAAATAATGCAAGATTGTTGCCAAGGTCATTCATAACTGAAGTTTCTTGCAACCCCCTGCCCCGCCACCAGTGGATTGATCGTCATGGGCTAATACCCGAACTGGCATGCCAGAGTCTCGTATTCTCTCCTTCGATCCTACCCTTTCCCTCGATTAGATGATGATCTGCTCCGATGCATTTATTTTGGGATACGACACGATGCACAAGCCGACGAGGGAACGCTATCGAGCTTCATCCCCCAACAGAAATTGACAACCCATAAATAGAGCCGCTTGCCCCTGCCATCACCCCCAGATTACCATTCTTCCCTTGCAAGACACCTTGTGAGGACCTTTCCTTAAAAACAACCATGAAGATTGCAGTTCCATCACTCCTTGTCGCCGCCGGCGTCGCCCAGGCTAGCGTTCAGGGATTCGATATCTCCAATTATCAGGGCAATGTCAATTTTGCTGGTGCGTACGCGTCGGGGGCCCGTTTTGTCATGATCAAGGTGAGTTCCTGGATGTAGCGGTCCTATCATAGTTGATTATTAGCCCAAGACTCACGACTCTTATCTCAAAATCCTCTAGGCCACTGAGGGCACTACGTATATCGACACCGGCTTCTCGAGCCATTACAGTGGCGCTACTTCTGCAGGACTCATTCGAGGTGGCTACCACTTTGCCCATCCTGACTCCAGTTCAGGCGCAGCCCAGGCCGAATTTTTCCTGGCACATGGTGGAGGTTGGTCCAACGATGGTATCACCTTGCCGGGAATGCTGGACATTGAGTACAATCCCTCCGGGGCGACTTGCTACGGCCTGAGCGCATCCGCCATGGTTGCTTGGGTGAAAGACTTTGGCGAGACCTATAAGAGCAAGACGGGTCGATACCCCATGATTTACACCACAGCCGATTGGTGGAATACCTGTACTGGGGGTAGTACTGCCTTTAGCCAGGACTATCCACTCGTGCTGGCTCGCTACTCAAGCTCTGTGGGTACGGTTCCTGGTGGCTGGCCTTACCAGAGCTTCTGGCAAAACTCGGACTCTTACAGCTACGGCGGTGACTCGGACATCTGGAATGGAAGTGAAGACAACCTGAAGGCCTTCGCTAAGGGTTAGACTAGGCGAATCATGTACTTATGAGCTGCTAGGGATGAATTACGTGTAAACATTTGAACCTGGCACGGGTAGTGGGAGAAAAGTGTAGTCTTGTCTTCTTGTGCTCAAGCTATTGGACATTCCATTAAAGTGCTAGATACCAAAGCTCCATTTCCTTAAATCTCATGTTAGTTATATGTGCCCAAAACTGCTTTCTGATGGAATACAAATATCGCTCATATGCGCCAATATAGTATTTTGTTGCTCACTACTGTTCGTTGTATAGCGTCGTGTCAATCCGGCAACATTGCAGGACACAAAAGATTAGTATTCTGACAGGACTGGCTTTATTTCCCGAACGTCTTACTGTGAATAATATAAACAGGAATACACTCATAGCACCACGAAAAACTTTCGTGGCACTATACCGCTAAGCCTAATCAGAAACGTACCTCCCTTACGAGTATACAATGATATAATAATACTAAGATTATCCGGAAATAGTATTATATAGCTATATAGAATGGTGTCCTATAATCTTAAACCTATGACCATACTCTTATATCCTCTGAATGTTTATGGTTTAATAGATAATTTGAGAGATCTCATACGGCCCTCTAGAAAGACCTTCAGAAAAGACATTCAGAAAGACTGCTAGAAATACAGGAGGTGAAATCGTATCTGGGTAGGCTTTTCTCCTAGCTCTTACTTTCAAAATTTATACTATCACTATACATAGGGGCTTAATAGGGATTATAGTTATAGATATCGAATGCTAACTATATTCGTAACTTGGCTCCTAATTATTTCAAGCGTTGTAGTGTCACGAGGGTTTCTTGTACTGCCATGAGTATGATCCTATAAACATTACCGGTGTCACTCTGCGGAAATAGACCCTGTGTTGAGATCAATGAAGGTGGGACTGAGAGGCAGGCAGTCAGTGCCATGATTGCGTGGAGCAATCCGAAATACAAAAGTTCCAGATATGCTAACGAAGAGTGTGCGTTAGTTGTCGTAATCGGTGCTATGAACATACTATCCTTGAAACTCATAAAAGGCAGAGGAAAAATTGTAGAAGAGCATTTTCAACAGTCTGAGCATAGAGATCAAAGAAAAGTTTCGATCAAGAAGGCGAACATCCTTTCTTCGAAATGTAATTTTACAAATACTTCACACCATTCTTGTTGATTTATAGAGTATTATTTCTTAGTATAGCTTTCGTACTCTTCAAATATGACTGATCAGTCCAGTGTGTGAGAGCATGTACAAATCTGAAAATTTCCTGAGTAATCAGTCACACTAGCATATTCTTAGCCACTTGATGTATAGCTCTGCGCGAGATTTCAGATCCTCATCTTCCTACAAGACTCTGGTAAGGTGGACGATAAGCATCAATTACTCAAAACTAATTTTCTAAGGCAGAAAGTCCGGCAGAATTCACATAACCTACAGAAGATAAAAGACAAGATAAAAGACAAGAGGAAAGACAAGAGGAAAGAGAAGGAAGGGGATCGTTAAATCGGTACTACAGTAATAGCGTCACCCTGGCCTAAAGAAGAAGGCATCAGGGTAAAGGCGGCTATGAAAGCGGTCGATAAACTGACTATGGGTTTTGAGCAACTGGCGTTTATCGTCCGCCCTAACTCTGGGTGGTTTAAGTAAATCCCAAGATGGTATTACATTTCGCTCATCCGATGTTCCTGATTTTTCTTTTCTCATGAGCTAGTGGCCTTCTTTTCTATGCAGTACGGCTCGAAACCACTTTCATAGTAGAAGAAAACAGAATCCTGCGAATTGCTCCCCTATATTCGACATCTTTCTAAAATACAGCGGATCTCCTTCGTCTAGTTACTCCCATGAGGGTCCTCTGTCAAAGTTCAACCAGATCGATTCCTCCAATGGTTATAAACAAGCCCAGTGAGTCTTGCATCTTCCTCAATTGATTTTCCAAAATTTGAAGCACATTTGCGGATGAAGAATTTCAAAAGGTGATTTGGTTGCTTGCAGAACATTTGGTCATGCCTAACTCTGGATCTCAAGTTCTCGCATCTTCTCCGGGAACCATTCCATTTGTTTTGGCTCGTGTCAGATATTTTGCTCATTCCTTATTTATTTGAGCTATTACTACCAGTGAATATCCATATTTGCTTGAGAGTTCCTCTACAACGGCAGCCACAATCCAGGGGTATTTACTGGGTAGTAGGGTAATTCCGTTAATGTTCCCCCTGTATGTAAGGCTACATGCGTGGGTCGTTTTTCAACGTTCAAAATTGATTTTATCAATACACCTAGGACATTATTGCGTTCCCACTTAGGATGCGTTTCATGGGAATGACCTTTAGCGTGGAGGGGATCTCGGAAGTTTCCGCGTCGCACTAGATTGCATATATACTTGCAGGTTTCAATTTCAATTGTAGGCTTCAACTCATATGAAGAGAGAAAAACAATGGTCTTTACCAGAGCGGAGTGAAGACCAGGATTAGGAGGACGGGGCAGAAATGTCCCCGTCCGCCAGTTTCGGCCGCGGGGCAAAGCCGAACTCGTATAGTGATGACCCACTCCACGCAAAGAAGATCCACGCAAAGAAGAACCGATAGAATCAGTAATATCTAGGCTCCTACCTCTGAGTCAAAATGAGTCCCTTCTCATGGCATGTGATTATCGCTGTGAAGGTCGTAGTGAATTACTTATATTGACGTAGCTCTGCCTCGGTGGACAAACCTGAAATACGAAGTCAAAGCTTGCCACTAGTAGAATTGTATTCCTGGGAAACTAGAAATAATGTGCTTTTGAATATATGGAGTGTGAACCCATGACTTTCTCCACTCTCGAGCAAGGGTATTTGAAATAACTCAATCATAGACTCTACGTGTGTAGAAACTCTCAAGACGCTTGGCTAAAAATTTGGCAACGCACGTCGGTCGTGGCCACTAGATTTGGCTGCATATCTAGAATATACGGATTTTCCCTGCGATGTAGTTTTCAAAAGAGGAAGATAGGCCGAACACTTAGTCACGCCTTTTCACTTATTATTCCCCTCGCAGTGTCAGGTTCGCATTCGGGCGTGGCCTAAGAGTAAGCACAGATCAGGCCATGTGACCTTTAGCGTCATCATATTAGCATTGGAATCCTTCCATGTCACATCATGAAGTAGGGCACCTGTCGGGGGGTGGAGTGTCTCCAGTCAATATCCTTGGCTCTTTAGTAATGGCATGGATCTAGCCCCATAACGGGTCAGGTTCTGCGTATGAAAAAAACACAGGTCCTAGGAGAATCCAACTACGCGCACCCTGCCATAACCCAAACAGTGACAATTTCCTTGAAGCTTATCACATCGGAGAAAGACAAAAACGATCGCGGTGGCCGCAAAAATCCGAGTAAACCCCGATATTCCCCGCATTGGGCCAGTAATATATGCGATTATAGACTTTTAGGGTTGGCGGGGAAGTGGGGATCGTGACATTCGGCTGTGCAGGGTATAGATTCCGCTACTGTGGCGTGTCATCAGAAGGTACAACTGGCGCTAGTAATTTCTTCAGAGATTCGTGTTTATCGAAGACCTCGGTGTGAAGAATTCCATGTGAATTGTAGAGCATGCCCTTGATCACTCCACTATAAATGGTGCTGCAAATGCTCAATGATTTGTAGTGGTATCTCTGAGCAAGTTTGTAATAACAGACTCAATCTCCTTTCATAATCAGATTACAAACTACAACGATGTTCTTCAAGCTTGAAAATCTTATATTGCTATCTATCGTGCTCAATACCTATGCTTTACCGTTAGCAGAACCAAATGAGGTGCATATCAAGGAACGGGGTGCTGGGTTGAACAGCTTTTTGAGCATTCTCCTCAGCCACCTCCCTGCTATAAACACTTCCATTACTGACGCAACAAAAATAATCACCGGGTTTGACAATCTTCTCGGAGCATTAACTGGAGCTCAAGAGACATACAATGAGCTGGGAGGGACATGCACAGAATGGACTGTGATATTTGCTCGCGGCACAGCAGAGCCAGGCAATGTATGCAAACAGAAGCTTACTGTATCTTTATATGCTAACGGCCGATATTTTTAGGTTGGTGTTTTGGTTGGCCCACCGTTATTCGACGCGTTGGAGGATAAGTTTGGTGCTTCTACACTTACCATTCAAGGTGTCAATGACTACTCGGCATCCGTTCAGGGCTATCTGGCAGGAGGAGATTCTAATGGAAGCGCGGAAATGTAGGTCCCAAAATATAATACTTATTTCAAGTTCTTGAATATGACGGTAGCTGACTTTAGCTATACAGGGCACGCCAAATCAGGTCGGCGAAGTCTCAATGCCCTCATACAAAATTGATCGCATCTGGCTACTCTCAGGGTTGTCAGATCGTTCATAACGCAATTGCGCAGCTCGACTCTACTACAGCTAGCTGGATATCCAGTGTTCTTCTCTTTGGAGATCCACGTATGTTAATCTCACATTAGGCTACTGTTCACAAAACTCGCTAACCAAGACTAGTGAAAGGACAAGCCTTAAACAGCGTTCCCCAGTCAAGAGTTTTTACAGCATGCCATGCTCTTGATGACATCTGCAAAAATGGCATAATTATTGGTCCTTCCCATCTTACTTATGCCGTGGATGTCGTTAGTGCTGTCAACTTTGCAGCAGCTGTGTAGTTGATTTGGATCGAGTACGAGAATGATTTCGCTTTTGCTGGAAAGCATGATGAATATACCTGCCGTTACTTGAGACAGAGGCTTCGATGTTCAAACGTTTTTTTCCAGCATATATATCTGCACATAAGCCATACAACGGCGAATATCTCTTCTTGATTTCCTTCTGTATTCCAGGCGAAGCGGGAAACACTTCACCACTCGAAATGAGTAAAGCCTACTAGTTAATTGACATTCCTTTGGACATAAATGCGCCCTTTACTTTGTATAGCCTAAACTTGATTTGACAGACAACTTGATCTCGAAATTCCTCGCTACCATGAATTTACAGACTCAATTAATGAAGCATAAAACTGCGCTCCATTTGAATATGACGTGTAAGGGTTGACGTGCACAGCAGAAGTATATCGCATTATGATACGAATCAGTCTTGGAGCTCTGTAAGGAAAGGAAAGGAAAGGAAGGTAGGCCACATCATGGTCTCAAGGACGAGATTCCTCCCCAATAGCTCTTTGAGACTTTCCGTCTTTGAAAACTGACCCTTAGTTTTATTTGTCTTTATGTAGGGACCCCGAAAGCTTAGCTCTTAGCTGACCATAAAGCTCCGATTAGCTATCAAATAGAGTTTCCCTGTCATCGATCGAGAGAATCAGCGGCTAGTACTTCGTCACGCACCCCCAGCGATCTACTCAACACTAATGTTACGTGGGCTGAGGAGTCACAGTCCTTTCTCAATCCTCCACACTGTCAAAAACGGCTCGCAATTGACGTGAACATGGTTCTTCTAAAATCTTGATTACGTACCCCTATATTGCTCATTAGATACGCCGCCGTCGGGGACTGGCCGGCGCACTTATCGAAGATCGAAAAAAGCGAACATCTCTTTTTTACGCTACCGAGTATGGCCCTTATAACGCGAAGAGAATAATGATGGAAAGAAAAGCCTCGGCCGATAGCCTGAACGATATGCCATGTACCGACCACCCTTATCGTGCCTGGAACAAGCCGTACGCTCCAGAAGGCTCTCAGCTACTGAAACATTTTTAGCAACGATTTCATAACTAAAATATGGATAGCTTCGATTCCACTCCATCGCTTGAGAACTAGTCTCACGTGGAGAGTCCCTTTGTGGAGGCGCATTTGCCCCACTGAAAAATGGCGCACTTGGCCCTGAGCTTTGTACCACTAATACGACCATGTACGTAACCCCCTGACAAGGTGAAAGTCACCACACATATATCGGCATCCCTGATTGGAATTTCATGAAGCTATCAGAGAACTAAAGTATCTAAATTAGGAGCCAGGAAGATGCTGGATTATCTTTTCGTAGGGCACCGTTTGATACGGACTCGGAGAGCCCGATCACTTCTGTAGCGCGTGCAACGGGTCTCGAAGGTCAATAAACCAACTTTGACCAGAAGTTTTTAGACGTGGCTTAATTCTTGGTATAAAAATTCACTCCATATGTAGTGCATATATGTACTCGTACCTGGCATCACCCCAAGGTTGTTGATAAGAAAGTCAGCATTGTCAGCATGGACCAATTGATTCTGGGGACTGAACGGCCAAGGAATTAGCCGAGCACAGACCCAACAAATTGGCTCGAACATCGCCAATCACTGGGATAATTAGGATCATTGATTATCCTAAAGAGGTTTAAGGCAGGGACCATTCTAAGACCGTTTGATAGGCGATCATTGGCCCACCTACTCCGTAACAGTCAGGCTAAGGCTGGCTTATTTCCGAGGGACTGTAGAGAAATTCCGTACTTATCCTCCTGGCCCCCCATACCTGTCTTCCAACCGACAAAGCTTCTGTTCCAACCTCTAGTCATTCTTTTTTTTTTTCTACAATTTGCTTTGTTTTACCACCAGTCTCTCGTTAGATTATCGTTCTTCGTCTTCTTTCTCCATCGGCCATCTTGCTTTCATAGTGGGCTCCGAATTCACATTCATTGGGAAGAAAACCTAGTCAAAAGAGTACAAGAACCAACATGATGCGCTCTGTGATTCCTTTGCTCGTCTCGTTGTGTTCGTTGGCCACGGCCATCGAAATCACCAGTCCTGCTGCCAACTCAACCTACGCAGCCGGCTCCACCGTCACTGTTGAGTGGACCAGTGTCGATACCGATCCCACCAACTTCAGTCTCTATCTCTGGAACTTTGTGTCTTGGCCACCGTCCTATGTTCCCCTCGCTTTGAACGTCCCTACGTCGGACCTGCTTTACTCTGTCCAGATCCCCTGCGACACCAATCCCGAATGGGGCTATCAGATCAGCGGCATCAACGGCACCAACGTCTACATCATCTACGCACAGGGTGACAAGTTCACTGTCTCCGAGCCCGTCCAAGGCACCTCATGTGTTGACTCTACCCCTGTGCCAACGACTTCCACCTGCCCTAGCGCTGCGGCGTCTACCGTTTATGTCACGGTGAGCCCTACCGGTCCCAGCTCCCGTCATTTCCATCATTCATCCCACGTCCACCCCCATCCTTCACCCAGCACCACCAGCACTTTCACCTCTACAAATGTAAAGCCCGGAATTGTGCCTAAGACTATTGGTTGGTGCTCAGACTATTCCCACCCTGTGACATTGGACAAGGTTCCCACTCCGACCCCGTCAGCAGCCAACGATGAAGGTGCCTCGCCGGTAGTCACCGCGGCACCGGGTCAGGTTACTGATGCTGCTGGTCCTCGCGTTAAGACCATCACTAGTACTCGGACCGTGGCAGTCTGCCCGAAGCCGAACGGGATTTAATGAAGGTGGAAGGTTTTTCAACGGAGGATTTCAGTGATTTCTTTACCTTGATATATTTTCTCAGTCTTAATACCTGTATATATAGATTTAACCATTTACTCCCCACAATGTTCTCCACCATGGGTACCTACTCCACATTGGAAACTGTTTACAATCACATACCTCGTATAACTTCGTTTTCTTCCTTGTAACGCTACCATAACCACCGCCACTACCAATTGCCCCGACTAGAACCAAGACTGGCGAGAACAGAGAGACCACAATCTTCAAGGTCTTCGCTACCCATATTCGTGATTAGAACTGTAAAGCTTTAACCGGGTGGGCGATTCAAATAATTTTCTCAGACCTGAGTATTTCCTATTCGATAGGGGCCTTCAAATCCTTAAGATCGTGATATTGTAAACGGTATCCACACAATTCTTATGCGTGAACGAGGTTTCCCTCTTGCTTTTCATAGCGAACGAACATACGCTTAGATTTCCTTGGGCTTTTTACAGCAATTTCTTTCCCTACCTGATAGTGTGGAAGTGAATTTTTAAATTGACTTGTGGGGCTCTAGAGAATATAGGAGGACTAAGTTGAGCTGAACTTATTTCTGACCCACCATCGACTCTTAGCAATCTTTCCTTCCTAATAATTAGGCTTAATTTATGTGTGAGGCAGTAGTTAGTTGGTTAGATAAGTGGATCGTCGATAACTAACCTAACTTAGGTGATTTTCAATCGGAAACTCGGTCCACCCGGTCCCGTACCGGAGAATCCGTTCCGCCCGCTAGCCACGTATGATGCATCATACATGCATCCTTCGTGGAATGATTTCATTAGCTGCTTTCGCTATCACAGTGTGGACTAATCTTAAAATTATTCAGGCACTCCTTTTGTGCAGCTTGATATCACGGATGGACTTTACTGAACAACCAGACTTCTGAAACCGTTAAACCTGGCCATTTTCTTGCACCTGAACGTTATGTATAGTGAATTCACTGTAATAAATTATCTAAATGGATGAGGGGAGTGTGTTGACAGAAATCTAGGCCACCCGTCCTAAAAGCATGTAATGTGAAAGCGACTCAACTGTACTGTCACAGAATTGACAGAGACACAGCGGCGATGCTAGCTAAAGCCAGTGAAATTGCTCAAAAGTGAGTCCCACTGTAGGTCGTCGATAGGGAATGTCTCACCCAAATCACCGTAGATAGAAGGCCAGACTGAGGGTGTCATGGCAATTTCATTGGCCTGAACTTCCATCATGGACGTATCCTGCCTTACGTCTTGGGAAGGCGCAACTCCAACGACTGCTCGGATTTGATGTGGATAACAGCGTGCCAACAGCCGCATTTTAGAACAGATGCTCCCTAAAATATCCGCCTCCTTGTCTGCAGCGGACATTCCGCCGAACTTTGTCTCCAACGCATTTGCAAGCTCTGTAATAAGGCTGGGATACTCTGCTGCATCAACAACGGCCCGGACCTGAGCTTCCATGGAAGGGTCGGTGGTGCTAGTGATGAGTTTAAGAATGGCCATTATAGCAGTGGGCATGTAGCCTACCGCGGCACATATACGAGCACAGGTAGTGATTGTCATTTGGGCAATCTCCGAGGCTGGTAGGTTGCTGATGGCCCGAATCAGCTCCTTACTTCGCTGGATAACACCCATCAGCATGGTTGTCCGGACTGTGCTAACGGGCTTTGTAATCCACAGCTCCTCCCGAAGACATAATTCCTCGAGCCGTATTTCCACATATTTGATTTCCATGTGAATTATGTTCACTGCAGCCGGTCAGTTATTCCAAATCAATCACTGTGGATTCAAGACATACCTATCGACGAGGGACACTCCGAGAGATCGTTTTCTACACGTGCCCTCACAATATCAAATTGCCGCTGCAGGGCGCCGCGCGTAACTTGGACGAGAGCGCTACCACCACTTGGTTGGATCGAAGCGTAAATGTCATCCATCGTTGCCAAGAAAATTTGTAAGTGGATAAATGGTGCAATCCACCGGTCCGAATGATGCTCGGTAGAGGCGATACTCTTTATACACTCATCCGTTCGAGCGTCATGTTTCATGACACTTGGCCGGCCAAGGATGCTACAGAGGCTAATATACAGTCAGCGGAAGCCGCATCTACTAGCGGAGACAACCTCACCTAGCAGACAGCCAATATGTACCTAGCAGCGCCCGTTGCTCGTCCGCATTTAGACTGGGCTTCCTATGAAGTCCCAGATCATACAAAATAGACACACAAAATTGAATCAAGAGCAAAAGTCGAGGGTGATGTCTCTCTGCTGGGTATGAGTACCATGCACAGTGAACCAATAGGCCACGAAGCAACTCAAGATTTCTCTCAGAATGTGCCACGAGTCTCTGCGTAACGTGGTTCATAATCTCATCAGCGACAACTTTGCACAAAGGATGCGAGCTTCCTGTGGTCGCCGCGACGACGGACAGAAAAAGAAAAGGCTCTCGAGCCCTGAGGCTAGCGGCTGTTTCACTGCGGGCAATCAAGACAAATGGAAACTTATATACTAAGTCAAGCTGGAAAGTCATGAGCGAGCGTTCAGCCTCGGCTTCACTCAGAAGCCCTCGATCTACGATAGAGGGCTGGCCTGCCAGAACAGAGCTGGTCTGCGGATAAATACCGTGAGATGGGTCCTCAGCAGCATCTAGCAGCGCAGGAATGTCTGAAAAATCCAGCTCTGTAGTACGAGATGAGCCTAGGTCGTCGGGGAGGGGATTAGAAGCAACAAGGGGTGTTTGCCTGTTCTGTCGAGTCAAGGCAGCTAGCTGCGACATCAGCTGGCCAACCTTATTCTCTAGCACATCCACACGGCTGCATCCGTAATTAATACCAAAAGTGTGATGTGTGTTAGGAATAATTACCTTGGTGAGGCCTTGTGCCTCCGCTTCGTCTGCGGCAGGTCAAGGTATGTGCATGACTTGCCCAAACGAGCGCACCGCTGACACATATTATCGGCCTGAGGTGTGCATTTCGCCTTGACAGCTGTACAGGCCACGCAGGCCCTCCTCTTGACTGCGGGTGTTGAAGCGTTCATTATGGCGCATACGGAGCCGGGATGAAAACGGAGCGGTCGGTTGGCGAACAGTAAGCAGGAAGCCGTTAGACCGGGGAAACCGGATCATCCGGTCGGAACGGTTTGTAATCCACCCAAAGCACCTCTATCTGAATATAAAAGGACTATAAATGAACGAGTATTATGGCAGCATCAGCACTCAATCTATCAATTCATCAACAAGATATTGCTGTTTTTCACCTGGACTGAAAATCAACAATGTCCTCTTACGCTATCACCGGTGCCTCCAAGGGCATTGGTCTCGAGTATGTGCGTCAACTCGCTGCTGATGCGACCAACACGGTCCTGGCTATTGTGCGAGACCCTTCATCGTCCGGCATATCTGAGCTCGCCTCAAGTCTCCCCAACGTACATGTTATCAAAGGGGATGTTACGGACCCAGAGTCCATTCTTGAGGCTGCCTCAGCTGCAGCCCTGGTTACGGGCGGCAAGCTAGACGTACTTATCCACAACTCCAATGCTGTTGATATGGCCAGCATGTCCTTAAGCCCAACCCAACTTCCCTTCGATGCGCAAGAAATTCGAAGAATTTTCGACCCGCCGTTCAGTACAGGTATATACGGTGGGATATGGACAACAAACGCCTTCCTTCCTCTGATCGAAAAAGGCACCCAAAAGAAGATTGTGCACATCTCCAGCGCTATGGCGGATTTGGATTTGATCAATACGACTGGTATCAGCTATGGTGTCGCATACTCCATTGGCAAAGCCGGGATGAATGTTCAAGTCGCCAAGTACGCAGCCGAACTTGCTCCTAAAGGCATCAAGGTGTTGGCTTTGAGTCCTGGGTGGGTGGACACGTGGGAAGGTAAGTAGTCTTTTTTCCTCGCTGGAGTATTTATGGAAACTGATATAATCGCAGGAGAGAAGCCGCCTGAGGTAGTGCAAGCGGAATCAGTCATGTTGAAGCAGTTTCAGGCAGCCGAGCCCGCACTTAAGGGGCAGATTAAGCCAGAGGAGAGTGTACGAAAGAGCCTCAAGGTGATTGAAAGTCTGGATGCCAAGACTAGCGGCTTGCTCTTGAGTCACAATGGAAACAGGGGCACGTGGCTGTGATCGACGCTTTAGTTGTATCGGGAGCGGTATTGAACCTAGAAGGTCTTAAATTAACCATGAAGTGATCATATACTTAGCAAGATATAAATTTAGGGTCATACTCATGGCACTACAAGAAAAATTCGCGACAGTACGATGCCATGCCTAATTTGAAACGTGTTTACAAGCAGAAAATGCTATATCCGACATATGTGCACAGTGGTAGTTCAAAAATTCGGAACAAGAGATAAGCCTAGCTAGGGATACTCCTATCTCCTGTATTTTTAAAGATCTTTAGCCATGTCTTTTGAAGGGTCTTTTGAATTATCCTCTTAGAGTGCCCGAGTGGTATATCTCTATTTCCCTCTTGAAATATAAATAATAATATGATTTAAACCGTTAGACCAGGTCGTTAAACTTTGAAACTTCCCTGTACATACCTCCCTATGTAATATTCCCGCTCCTGCTGATGCCCCTGCTATCGTTATATCATTCTTTACTGAAACCTCTTCGGGAGTTTGGCTTCGATCGTCAGCCAAATCGAACCAAAGTGGTAATCCACCAGGCTAGTTAAGCCTAGAACACCGTAATGTTGGACTAGGGTGTAATATGCATACATAGAGAAAAGGGTCAAGAAGATGGTGATTGATTGGACTGACTCAAAGGCATAAGATACAAGATAACTTGCGGCTAAGAAGATTAAGAATATTGATTTACACCCTATCGGAGCGGAGGATTTCTCCCGAAGGCAATTTTTTCTTTCTGAATGAGTTCCTCTTACCCTGGTTAATCAAGGAGTGTAGAGGTCACGAAAGTATTTGGATTGGCAAAAGGGTTTCGGTTCCAGTCGGGATATCCGCCTGCAGTGCTCTCACCAGGGCTTCAGCAACGGAGAGGACATAAACCCAAGCATCCTTCATCTTTGGCTTGTGACTGAGTACAAATTTCCTTCTGGATGCACAAGGTTTCTTGATCAGGATAAGGTGGCGTCATTTACCGAAATCAAATATCCCTCGCTTGGAGTCCAGCCCGAGGTCGGGTGTACAGTGGAGACTACAGGTGATTGTTCTCGAGAATTTCTTCGACCAACAGCTATCTCTGTGCGTGAAGGCAGCGGCAATATAAGGAAGTCTGGAATTTCAGAGATAGACCAAGCTTTTAATACACTGTGATCACCTAATAAAAACCAGAAAGAAAAGTTTGTGTCGCCGTCTCTTTTTGTAATTCTTTCCACCTGAAGATTTGTGGCGCCGATAACTGATGGCGGCTCAGGTGGTTACCAGAACACAACGAATTTCTCTTGTCACCTGTTTTGAATGGGAGATTTGACAACGCAATCAAGAAAAAAATGCACTAATAATAAATGAAAAAAGTCTGAAGATCAATGGCAGCTCCTGGAAAGCCAATTTGGGGCCAGCAAGACGGTATCTCACTCCGAGGATAAAGCGGCAAAGGCCAAGACAGGTTGGGTATCCTTAATCGAGCAATACGAGCTTCTTCGAAAGTTGGTGTCAATGAGGGGCCGGTTTGAGGCAAAACAGATAAAGCCCCGAAATTCCGCCGGATCCAATCGGTAGCTAGCGATGGAGGTACGACCACAGAAAGAAGAATATGGTCATTTTTGCCGAACCAGGAATTGTTTACGAACTATCCTGATCCACAATTGAAATCTTTCCCGCCGAGAGGCCTTTATCTAACTTTATTCTGAATTCCACTCCTGTCAAAAATCGCGAGGAACACCTGCGGTGTTCCGACCGGTCGGGCGTCTGGCCCGATGTAAGCCACTTGGCTCTGATTATCTAGCGAAATTCGGCTCGTTACCTTTCGGCATGCAGTGGATGGAAATTGATTTGCCGGCCAGCCTGATTCAGCCCCAAGGTCTCGAGTGAACTGATGGTAAATGCGTGCGGTATGACCGTCGAGATGCTATCTGTGGCAACTAGCATGTGTATGAGGGTCGTGTCAATTGACTCTTTTTTGAGGCATAGGTGATTCTCATCTGCGGTACGCACCATTGGTGCTTAGTTCTTGGATCATGGAGCCATCTACAGATCGACCACTGCTCACCTCTCTTCTGCGATCGGCAGAATCGCTTGGTGGAAAATCTCAACCGTCGAAAAGCTTGGCAAAGACAAGCATAGTTAAGCATTAGACTCCCGAATGCATTATTTTCGGCACACTTTCGCCTGTGGGCTCTGCTGGGATGAAATTTTCCGAATCCATACTTCATTAAATATCTGCTCAGCCACGAAATGGTCGTTGGGTGACCGAGACTGGTGAATTCATAGTGGTGTGTACGGAGTACAGAGTTCTTCGTAATGTTTCTTTTATGTAGCTGCACTTCCTACTGGACGGAGATTATGCCCGTTGCAGGAGTTATCGGCGTAAATCCCATTCATAGCCTAGCGAGATCTGGATTGAGATTAGGTACAAGGTACAAATCAGACCCAGATCAATATGGACGAACGAACTGTGGCTAAGTGGCGTACTGGAACTTCCGGTCCCGTGGGTAGACTATTGATGGTAAAGACTGGGCGAGAATCTAGAAGTGGAGCCTCGCAACCTACGGAGCACATAATGAGATATCAATCTATATTCGGTCGGCTCGGACGAAGCCGAGTGCCCTCTCAGATGCCCACAATTCAGCTGAACGACCCCATTTCTACTTCACGTGGTTCCTGTCTCAGGGGTTTGGCCCCACGGAAATGGACGAATCTAGCCACTTCGGGGTCGGTGGCATGCTACAGCATCGTGGAAATAGGTCTTCTCGTTGCGATGGCTAGCACGTCGCTTGTTTCTACTCCAGTGGCTTATGGAAAACCTAGCGGTGGTGGGGAAAAGCCACAATTTTCGCCATGCCTATGTATTCTCCCGGAACGATAGATATAAGATCTCACCGCGCAGTAACGATCAGAAGATTTTCTTGCGATACATGACCAGGAGGCTCGCTGGCCACCGGCTTTGATATAGCATACAATAAAGGAGCGCTGGGGTTCCTCTCGTTTATATCTTCCCATACCTCCTTGGGCTTGACAGGATGTGGGTTGCATCTCTGTTGGGTCTCGCCGGCCTGGCGACGGCTTCTGCAATCTCTACTCAGCCAGTATATACTACGACATCAGCATCGTCTTCGAGCTCAACTACCACTTTGACATCCTCCACGGCTTCACAAAGTAAGATCCCTCGGGCACAATGCGGATCAGGGGTCTATACTAATTCGTTTATTAAGCGTCGACGACCGTGGTCACCGTCGCAACGGATGGTAGCGGAGAGTTTACTGCGATCGGGGCCGCTATTTCCTATGCCCAAAGTCATGCAATCCCTAGCGTCACTGTCCTTGCTGGAACGTACACTGAAGCCATCACGGTCTCCGCAACGCCTACTGTGACCATTGTTGGTCAAACTTTGGCAAAGGACGATTACTCCCAAAATCAGGTCATCATCACCAACTCGGGAACAGTTCTCACAGTCAACAATAACGTGCAAGATGTCAACTTCAAAAATGTTAATTTCGTCAACACTGTGTCTGCCTATGGTGCCATGATCTTGAAGGGAAACAAGTATGCCTTCTACGACTGTCAAATCGTGTCCACCGGAACCCTTGGAATCACGGCTAGCGTTGGTCTTGGTGTCATTGCCAACTCATACATCGAAGCCCTGGACAAAGTCATTTACGGCGCAGCGAATCTTTATGTATACAACACGGAAATTGTTCCAGTCGATAGTTCCGCCATTCTGGCTTACATGAAAGGTACCAAGGACAGTTCGTCGAAGCTCTGGAACTCTACCGTGGTTTTCGATCATGTTACTGTTACGCAGAAGCCAGGCGCATCGAATAGCTATGTCTACCTTGGTGCTGCCAATGGGCCTGGAATGGTTGTTCTCTACCGCAACTCTGTTCTGGGAGGTTTAATTGCTCCTTCTGGCGGTCACAACGATGCCACGACTTTGGATGGATATAACCTCATTGCAGAATATGACAACACCGGTGCCGGGGCCTACTCGAGCAACGCTGCCAGCAGGTCCGGATTCGTCTCTCTCTTGAGCGCCTCCGACTTGTCGCAATACAGCATCAGTGCTGTCTTTGAGGCTGCTTATCCAAGTTACGCCACATCTGATACCCAATGGATCGATAGCTCTATCTTGGCTTCCATCCAGACGGCTGATGTGATCACAGCCTCGAGCTCTACTATCTCGACAAGCTCTACCACTTCTGTCGCCTTGTCAACGTCAGCTGTCACAACCTCCTCCGTCACTTCTACATCAACTGCTGCCACCGCAACATCCACTTTTGTGGTCAACCCAATCGCTGGTCCATACAAAAATGTCACTGCCGCCATCGCAGCTCTTCCTAGTGATGGAATGGAATATACCATCTACGTGATGAGCGGTACATATAACGAGCAAATCTCAATCACTCGTACCGGAAAGACCATTCTCCGCGGTGAGACCACATACGAGAATGATTACACCCAGAACACTGTCACTATTGAGTTTTCTGAGGGTGTCTTGACTAGCGCAGGTGAAGACGAGACTACCCCGGTTGTCAATGCCAAAAACAACGACGGCAAGGGTTTGGCCATTTACAATATCAACTTCAAGAACACGTATCCTCAAACATCGAATACCGCCGCTCTTGCCGCTGACTTCTATGGCAACGTGCAAGCATTCGGTTGCTCTTTCATCGGTTACCAAGATACGCTCCTCGCCAACAAGGGTACTCAGGTGTTCTCGAACTGTTACGTCGAAGGCTCCATCGATTTCATCTGGGGCTTCTCCACAGCGTACTTCTACCAGTCAATCATTGCCACAAACACACCTGGCGCTTGTGTTGCGGCCATGAGTCGGTCATCATCAACTGCGGCAGGTGGCTATGTTTTCGACAACTGTCTTGTCACGTATACCTCGACCTACGGGACCACCTACCAGGACACTTACCTGGGCAGACCGTACTCTGAGTACAGCCGAGTTGTGTACATGAACTCATACCTGGACAAGCACATCAATCCTGCCGGTTGGAGGATTTGGTCTACAAGCTCTCCTCAGACCGACTATGTCACCTTCGGTGAATTCAACAATACTGGGCCGGGTAGCTGGTCGAGCAGCCGTGCTTCCTTTGCGACCAATCTTACCGCCACTGAGGCTGAGGCTTACACCTTGTCCAACTTCATTGGAAGCACTGCCTGGGTTGACATGGATGCTTACAATTATGAACCGTCATATTCTTTGACTGGTAGTGCCACTGGCACAAGCGGCACCGGCACCTCGACCTCTACTGGCACCTCGACCAGCGTCGCTACCTCTACTGCCACGGCTATCTGGACTCATCCCTCGAGTGGCACCGTTCCCCCGTCAGGTGCTGTTCTAGTCAGTGTGTCTGGATCAGTCAACGGCTCATACAACAACCTCACCGATGCTCTGGCTTCGCTCCCTGATGACACCACTACTCAGGTGATTTTCATGTATGCTGGCACATATGATGAGCAGGTCCCTTCAATCAGTCGCAATGGCCCGGTCATGATCATCGGATATACCACTGGAAACCCTGGTCAGAGCTATGCCGATAACGAAGTGACAATCACCTTCTCCCGCGGACTTTCTGTGTCTCCTTTGCCTACCGGTCATTCGGATGCTGAGACTGCCACTGTTTCCACCGCCTCGACCAAGATCGCTTTCTACAACGTCAATATCATCAACTCGGACAATCTTGACGGCTCGGAGTCTTCTTACGTGACTCTAGCGGCATCAATATATGGAAACCACATTGCGTTCTATGGTATGAACCTCAATCTGCTGTCTAACCTGACCTGGTAATTTCAACTAACGTTCCGGACAGGTGTATACATGCAGGGCTGGCAAGACACGCTTTTGACTGGCAGTACAACAGGCTATCAATATTACGAGTCCTCGTATATTGAGGGTGCCATTGACTTTATTTGGGGTTACTCCAAGGCGTACTTCAAGGGCTGTACCATCGGAGCAAAGAGAGCCAAGTCCGCCATCACAGCTCAGAGCAGAGCTTCGTCCTCTGCGATCGGAGGTTACATCTTCGATCAAACTCTGTTCACTGCTGCAGCGGATGCAACAGTTGATCTTACTCAAACTGTGTACCTGGGCCGTCCTTATTCTGAGTATGCACTGGTTGTGGTCAAGAATTCCTACATCTCGGACGTTATCAACCCCTCGGGTTGGAAGGTCTGGTCGACTACGGACCCTCGCACCGACCACATTACTTTTGCTGAATTCAACAACTCCGGTCCTGGAAACTGGGAAAACAATGTCGCTGCACGTGAAGCTTTCGGAAATGCCACGCTTCTCACCGAGGACACGTATTCCCTGGAGACTGTTATGGATTCCACTGACTGGATTGATATGACCTACTGGGACTCTATCGACACGCCTACATCGGTATCGGGCACATCCGCCACGGCTACATCTACAACCACCGCTACAGCTTCGGCTACAGCTACTGCAGTGTACGACGGAACCACTCCTCCTTCTGGGGCTTATATTGTCTCGAAGACCAGTCTCGGAACAAACACCACTGTCTATGACACCATCCAGAGTGCTCTGGATGCGCTCCCTACCTCGTCGAAGATCACTCCTACCGTCTTCATCTATCCTGGAACATACGAGGAACAGCTTGTCATCAGCAAGTCTGGCACTGTTATTCTGATGGGTTACTCGGAGTCAACTTACGACTACTCCAGCAACCAGGTCACGATCCAGTATAACCACGGTATTGACACGCAGGCCGACGAGTCAAACTCTGACGGTGCAACTGTGTATGCCACTGGTAACTACCTCGAGGTAAGTGTTTTTTATTGGCTCTCTTTTTTCAAAGACACTAATTTAGTGACAGGCTTTCAATATCAACTTTGTGAACAACAACGGCACGGCAAAAGACATTGCCACCCTCGGTTTCGCTGTGAAGTCGAGCAAGTATGCCAGTCTTTATGGTAAGTCACACCATGTTCGATGTGTCTGTTATCTATACTGAACAGCAAAAAAGGCTGCCAGGTCAAGGGTAACCAAGACGCTCTGCTCATCAACGGTTATCTCTGGATGAGCAATGGCTATGTGGAGGGGAACATCGACATGATCTGGGGTAGCGGCGCAGCCTACTTCCTGAATACTACCATATCCCCCAACGAGGACGGTATCAACCTCACGGCCGATAAGCGTTCCACTAGCACCACTGCCGGTGGCTTTGTCTTCGACCAGTGCACCATCACTCCCGCTACCGGCGCTGGATCTCTTTCGCAGATCTCTCTCGGCAGACCCTGGAACTCATATGCCCGCGTTGCATACATTGATTCCTATCTTGACTCTTGTGTTGAGGCTGCTGGATGGCAGCAATGGTCTTCCTCGAGCCCACAGACAGATGGTGTCACTTTCGCTGAATATGGAAATTATGGTCCGGGATCCAGTACTTCAAAGCGCGCTTCGTTTGCCACACAGTTGAACAACACCGGCGCTGTTCAGTTCGAGCTGGATAATTTCTTTGCAAGCACCAGCTGGATTGACTTTACCCATGTAGAGGGCACTCCGTTCGTTGCAGGCACTAGCAACACCACCACCACTTCGGTTGTTTCGACGCCCGCTGCTTCCACGTCTGTCTTCACGGGAACTTTGTCCACCAGCTCCTCAGCCGTAGCCATAACGACCACAGTCGACGTGCTAACTACTTCGACTTTGTCTCTTTACAGCACAATCACACCCGTTGAGCGTACTTCGACAGTGAAGTCCACTATTACCTTGACAATCACGCCAGATGTCGTGTCCAAGTCCACAACAGAGAAGACGACCATTACATCCACACAAACTATCAGCGAGCCAACCATTATGTCGACCAAGACTTCAATCTCAACCGTTGATGTTGCCAGCACAATCACCCAACCTGCGAAGACAGAAACTTCCACCCTGAAGTCTACCACCACCACGACAGTTTTAGTGACCGGAAAAGCGACGACATCGACTATCAAGAGCACCGTTACCAGCACTTCGGTCATCACTTCTTCTGCACCTAAAGTAACCAGTACGGAGATGCAAACTACCACTAGCCTGAAGACGACCAGTGCCAAGGCCAGCCACACTACCTTGACTTCCACAGTGACAACGGGAAATGGAGGGACAACTACCATCTCAGCCAAGGCCACCACCGAAGTGGTTACCTCCACATCCACTAAAACTACAACCAAGAAGACTACCACGACCCTGAGCTGCGAGGAAACGGAAACTGCCCAGAAGAAGCGTGATATCCTACCTCGCGAGAACGGTGCCACTATCACGGCGTACACCACGGAGATTGATTATTTAACCGAGACCATGACAGTAACTCTACCAATCTCAACGGATACAATCACGGAGATCACGACCAAGACGACCTCGCTCAAGGCCTCGACCGTTACCAGCACGATGACATCCGTGGACACCAAGGTGTCTAAGACCACCATCCCGGCAGTCACCTCCATAGTCACAGAAGTGGACACGACGTCAATTGGCAAGACGACGACTCTGAAGGCCTCCACTATCACCGAAACTGTCACCTCTTTGATTAAGAAGACCGCCACTAGCACAGTTCCAGGTGAGACCGTCACCACCGTCAGCCTAAAGACGACCACGATCAAGAGCACCCAGATCATTCCCGCTTCCACAATCATCACGACCAAGACCACGACGGTGAAGAGTACGACTACTTTGCCGGCTGTGACCAGCACCACGGTCAAAACTACGACCTTGACGCTGCACCCTTCTGTGACTGTGACGGAGCGTGCCACGTCGACGTCAACCAAGGTGGAAAAGACGACTACGACTACGACGGTGGTTGCGACTAAAACTGCGAAGTGCTCTTGATTGTTTGATCGTGTCGCCGTGGTATAGTCTCTTCCACGCGCTTTTCGCTATTCTTTTTGTTGTAATTTTCTTGATTTTGTCCCTCTTTGTCATCGACCACTGTTTTCTTTCCGCTTTTCCCTTTCAATCTTTACTATTTTATTTATACTAGGCATAATTACCGCAGCGAATGCAGAGTGGGTCACAGATAATACCTCACTCTGTAATGGATAATAGCATCATCACCAATAGAGTCACCAATTGCATTGCGATCTTCTTGGCTGAGCTTTCAAAAGGAGCGGAATGTGAGGCCAAACCCGCCTCCTGGACACAGATCGACTGCTTCCAAGGACGTTTCCAAGAAGATCATGGACTACGGTGGTAGCGAGGGTCCGGAAACAAGCATCGGGATATAATATAATACATGTAAGCATTCGGCCAGATCCAACCCTAAGATTCTCGTATATCAAGGGGTATTGCTGGAGATGCATGTCAGAGACTCCGTTTCCCTGTACGCATTGTCATAATATGCCCTTTAGTCTGTCCAGCAGTGGCATTACCGCTTTCTGTAATCATTTGCTTTAAACCATCGCTTCATCCTTTTGAAAACGGTGGAGGTCATAGCATTGTGCATGCCACCTTCTAATTCAAGTTTTACGTCAACCCAGTGAGGGTGCTTCTTGAATCACGTAATCTATCGGGCATACGAGGGCGAGTTTTTACATTACAATTTAGTACGTATATTTATTCAACTGCGTCACCTGTCTCGGTGGATGTCGGATTGTTGTTGTTGTATCTCATATACTTACTGAACGAAGTCAGGAGGAGCCCGGCATGCTCTGCATAGATGTGGCAGCTTTTAGAGGTTGTCATAGACTACATCTAATACTATGATCTACACAAGGGTTCCGAGGATGAAATGTGTTCGCTTCATATTCGTAGTTTGTAATTACTCCGTATGGTCGTAGTCAGCGCGTGTTTCGCAGGCGCCCTTCCTGTAAGAATCTCGTAATTGATCACCGTCTACTAATCGCACCTTATCAAAATCAACTGGATTACCTGAAATATGAACTGAGTAAAGATAATATACCAAGTTAGAAATTTCCGAAAATTGAAGATCGTAAAATGCCTACAAATAGTTCTACCCGACTACCGCCTAACTTCCCCTTCCCATACTTTCGGCTGATCCCCAAGCCCTGTTCTAGGAGGATCCAACTAGTTCCATATGACATGGTTACACAGAACCTCGTATATGCGATGCAATGTACATGCGATGCAGATGCAATACACGTGCGACATCGAGGGCATAGTGCGATTATGATCGCAGATCCGTTGGACAATTGCGGACGATAAAATGATCATGTGGATAATATAATGATTATATGGCCAGAGAAATGGCAAAAGTAGTGAATTTCTAGCAGGAGTAATGATTATCAGATTCATTAGCCTAGCAAAATTGCCCTTGGGCCGTTGTGACGCAAGAAGAGGCTCTTGAACTAGTACTCGTCGAGGGAAAGATACACACTTCCGTACTATATTACATCATTGATGATCACTAGGGAGCATCTTACGATTGCGTCTCTTAGTCACTGTCATTAGAAAGGTGTGCTGGCATCTGAAAGCCCGAGGAGCTGGTCACTGGTTTGCAGCCTATAGTAGAGCTTTTGAAAACGATCGTCACATTATCACCGGAAGATAGGGTTAGATAGGATCAAGGTAATCAGCATTGAGCGTCAACTGCAGTTGATTTAAAGAAGTACAGAGAACACAGATAAGTGTTTAACACTATGTATCTCAAAATCCATCCCCACTCCATACGCACATACCCAAAACTGTTCTTCCGTCATCTTCAATTCTTATTATCCCAAAGTCAGTTCTTCTCGGCAAGAACAGCACGATCGGAGATGACTTCAAAGTTGCTGGATCGGAATGGAGTGACCTCCACCTTGGAAAATTTCCTAGCTGAGATTTTCTTCTCAAACAAAATGTCGAGCTCAGGTGCAGTGCGGCCCTTAGGCTCAGGTAGGCGGAAGAATGACCAGACAAAACAAATCATACAGAACGGCGCCCAGATGAACCCTCCTTTGCCCTTCAAGTTCCAGGCAGTGGGGTTGAGAATCGGAGGATTGAGGAAGTTAGCAATGATACTTGCGATGTTGTAACAGTTGCGAGCAAGCACAGCGCTCTTGATTCTCAGGCGAGTGGAAGGAATCTCAGAGATCAGACAGTAAGTGACAGGGCCGACCGTGAGATCGTAGGTGAAAACGAACACCAGGAGGAGGGCGGCTGACGAGTAGCTCAGACCGGGAGTAAGTTGGCTCGGGATACCCAGAAAGCCCACTATCATCAACACCGTGAACATAATGCCAAGTCCAGTAACAAAGAGCTTTCGTCGACCAACCCGCTGCATCACAAACCATGAGCAGACCGTTCCGCACCACCCAATAGCATTGACGCCAAGACCGAAGTCGAATGATTGGTTGTTATCGAAGTCGATTTGTTGCAAGAAATAGACAATATTGCCGCCATACCATATACCGCAGAAGACTTGGCACATCCACACGCAGCAGACAATCTCGGTGCGACGCCGGTCAACTCCCTTGAGACAATCCCAGTAGCTCACACCTTCTCGGATTAGCTTCTCGTGGGTGTTCGTGATGATCATCAGCGAGACAGCGTCATTGGCATCATATTCAGAGTCACCAGAACGGGCCAATTTCGTAAGCGATCGCTTTGCTTCGTCAATCTTGCCGTGGCGGACTAACCACCAAGGAGACTCAGGGGCAAAGAGAACACCAATGATGATCGGAACTGGCCAGACCCATTGAATAGCATAAGGAATTCGCCAAGCCCATTCATCGGTACGACCCAAGAGACCTCGCAGAACTCCAGTCGAGATGAACTGGCCGGTGACCCAGCAGAGATTGACATAAGTGGTCAGGTACGGACGCAGGACAATGGGGCTAACCTCGGCGGCATAGGTAGTTGTCAAGGTTTGGAACGCACCCCAAGGGATTCCACAGAGAATCTCACCGGCGAGGAGCATTCCAATGTTGTTGGCGAAGAACATGATAAAAATAAACCCGATAAGCGAGACCAAAGCGCCGAGCATCGTCTTTTTGTAGCCCCATCGATCCGCAATGAGACCAGCAATCAGAAGGCCGAGTATTTGTCCCACGTTTGTCGCGTTCTGCAGTCCAGTTTGCCAATTTGACGTGACTTGATAGCCACCTTCCTTGGAAGGAACACCGAATCGCTCCTGGAATGTCGGGTAGGCATAAAAGGAGCCGAGCAGAGAAGTGTCGTATCCCTCCATGATGATGGCAAGAGATAAAATAAAAGAGAACATAACTGCCTTCGGGAATAGCTTGAATGCATCCCAGTTGGTTAAGTTGTGTTCAAACGTGGATGCTCGACGAGCTTTTTCGACCAGATTGGCGAAATCTGGAATCTGCTCCGCCATTTGCAAAAGAACTTCATCATCAATTCCGATGGTATTCTCCCCCAGTGACTGAGAGGGTACGGCGAGGTTATGCTCAACATGACTGGCCGCCTTAAGATCCTCCATTTCGATATAACGGACGGGAGGGCTCCCAAGTATCTGACAGGCAGAAATATGAAAGGAAAATCAAGATCAGAGTACGCTAGGGATGGGCTTGGTAGAACGTGACAATATGAGGAGGAACATCGTGTTTATATCAACAATTCCTCAGCCCAAGCAGGACTTCAAATTGCTTACTCCTCTATGAACAATCTTTGCGCCACTCGGTCGCTGGAACTTTTCGTTTGCGGGGGTATTATTGTGGGGAAATACGGTTGACAGGTAAAAATTTCGAATATTGCGTCCGAAAATGGCGAGATAACTAGCGTTATGAAAATTAAGTTTGATTGACTGAAGCGAGGAAAGGATCTGATTGGATGTCTCCCGCTATTTCTTTCGCTGCGTTTCTCGGTGCAACTGAGCGCCGACGTACGGGAGAGGGTCAAGCTCGATGAATTTGAGAGTTTAGGCGAACTCTGTGGCGTTTCAGGGAGATTGGTCACGCTGGGTTCTAACAAAGAGTAGCTTCGCCAATAGCAGGACTGTCCTGCCATTCAAGCGCACCGGCTAGGGTTTCATGGTTCATGTCACAAGACGGTCAGACAACTGACTCGGACTTAATCAGCGTTGGGCCTTTCCTCCAGATTACATTGGTTCAACCAAAAAAAAGATCGCTGGAAGTGCGACAACAAGCCCGGCGTAGGGGCCTTATTCGGTGTAATTCTCGCAGGATTTCGGGACGTTTGTTTATGCATTGATTTTGAATTGGAGCGAGGCGAACGACAGTCGTTACTAATATCGCCAGCTTTTTCGGCTTAAATAATATATTTCGTGGCTCAACCTTAGCACATGACGCGCAGGATGGATGCTAAATCAAGGAAAGCATGCAAACTACATTACATCGGGAGTTTATGTACTTAATTTAGGCGATGATTGAATGATAACTTCGGAGCCAAGGTCATTAGATAATCTGGAGAGCGATCATTAGGTTGTCTTGAGAACTACCCCAGATCATCAGATCATCTGCGATCGTCATATCATCAGATCATCTTAAACTGATCCCCGCATTTTTGAGATTTCCAGGGGCCGTTTGCGGGGGTTCCATGCCTTCCATACTACGTCAGGAGCGTAGAAACATGAATAGCGACCACTATATAAATCGCAGGAGATGGCCCTAATCTAGACAAACAGAACGATACAATATAGTAACAATTTCGAGAAAAAGAGAATCAATATGGTCTTGCCAATTATGCTTTCGTCGCAATTACTCTTGTGGGCCATGTATGCTCCACTTCTCAGTGCTGCGGCTGTGATCGGTCAGCGATCAAGCATCACTGCAAGGTCCACCACAACCAAGGCTGTATTTGCTCACTACATGGTACTTGAGAAACCATCATTCCCTTTATTATAACGTGTTCCTAATCATGAATAGGTCGGTTCGATGACCTCGGATGAAGCTGTGACTGACGTTCAAGATGCTATGAATGCCGGATTCGATGGATTCGCTCTTAATACCCACACTATCAGCTCTTCCGACACGTGGAACACCGATGCACTCAACTACCTGTTCACCGCGGCATCAGGGACCAACTTTAAGCTCTTTATTTCATTCGATATGAGTTGGGGTTTGGATGTTACGCAGCTTGCTGCTTTCTTGGCACCCTATGCCGCTAAAGACGCATACTATACCGTCAACGGGCAGGCCTTCATAAGTACCTATACGGGAGGCACCCTTTCAAATTCTGCTTGGAAGTCAGGACTCATTGACCCTCTAAAGTCAACCTACAACATCACTCCATACTTTGTTCCCAATTTCGATGACTTTTCCGGTTATCCGACCGGTGTTTTCAGCGCCTATCCCATCCTGGACGGCGTCTTCAGCTGGGAGTCAGCATGGCCATCCCCCGGAACCACTCCAGTCAATGTCAGTGACACAGTGGATTCGGCGGCCTTGCAGGAGGCACATTCCGCAGGCAAGACCTACATGATGCGTGAGTCGATCCCAATTAAATTACCACATTTGGAAGAGATCAAGGCTAAGAATAGTTCGAAAACAGCCTTATCATCTTATCAGTTCAAGTATCTCGGCAGTGGTCAAGACTGGTACCGTATTGGAGAGGTCAATCTTCCTGAACGCATGGGCCAGGCCCTGCAGCTGCAACCCGACTTTGTCGAACTCATCACCTGGAATGACGCCGGAGAGAGCCACTACGTGGGCGACGTCTGGCAAGAACAGATTGCCGGCAGTACCATCGGCGATTATAGCAACGGCTTCGATCACAAGGGATGGTTACAGATTATCACACCCTTCATCCAAGCTTTCAAGGCTGGCGCAACAAGTATTTCCCAGATCTCTCCACCCAGCACTAACCCGGTCGGAGCCCTCTGGTATCGAACGCTTTTGACCAGTGCCAGCTGCTCCTCGTCCATTTCCAACTATCAATCAGCACGCGATACGGTGAATTTTGCCGTGATTCTTCCTGATACCGGCTACACAATCAATGTCTATAGCAACAGCAATCTTATTGGCACCTTTGTCGGTCAGAAGGGATTGAACTACAACAGCGTACTAGGGCTGGCAGCTGGCAGTGGACAGAAGATTGAAGTGGTTGATAGTTCGAATAATGTTGTTGCTTCCGCCACGGGAACGAAGAGTGTCTCGACTGAAAGTTCGAACGCGACTTGCAATTGGAATTACGAAGTTGTTGGCCTCTCTTGAGATAATGTGAGTGTGAAGGTTTTGGGGAGATCAGCCACTAAGAGCAGTATTTTTTACATCGAGGAAGACGTGGACAAACTGGAACGATATTGAGATACTGCCATCGACCAATGGAAAAAGTGATCTTTCAAACCGGAGTATCTCTACTGTGACTAGTGGCTGACGGATGATTTGGCGGTGACGGTTGGCTAGCTGGCGAGTTTCTTCTCTGGCTTTCTGGACTTACTTTGTTTGGTCATATCTTCTCTGTATATGTTTGATCTCTTTGTATTGTTTGGTCCATGTCTTTGGCATGGGAGGAAAGCTGCCTATCATGATTATACCCCTGCACTCGTTTATGGCCTTTTTATTAGTACATGCATTTTTGACAGTCGTTACTAGAATCAATTCGATCTGTTTTTTTTGCATTTTGTTTCTGCTCGCTTAATCCTTGTTCGATTACCCACCCTACTCCAGGATTCGCTTGGTCATGCGGTATACCTGGAGGGGATATCGTATACCAGCGTTCTGCTACATATCCCGATGGTGGGGCTTTTGATCCCAGTCCACCATCCCGCCGTGTTTCTCATTTATGTCTCAACTTGTCTATTTTGCTAAAACTACCATGATCGAATCACCTCGTGCACTACTTAGTGTTAAGCTTTACCTATCGCATAATTTGCTTTTGACTTCTTCGATGAATATGCAATCCCAGGATTGATGGGAAAAAAAGCAGTAATTTTAATATGGAGGCTCCCACTGGGTGCATTCATTTTCATGACGAGAGGAATATTGAGTCTTCAAGTACCGCCGGGTCCCCCAGCAGGTGATTGCAATTAATGCTATGATATTGACTCGGGCAGCTCTTCCTGTTCACAAAGTTGTAACATCGGAGGCAAGGGGATTGAGGATGGAATTTGTGACAAACGTTGGTGTAGTAAACATAGCCTCTCTGATTTTGTTCCTCCAACTTGCGACAATAATTTTTCGATTGCAAGAACAGCATCAAAAGGGCCAATGCGACAAGTCTGATGACTTAAAAGGTTAGGCATACATAGCATGAAGTCGAGCACAGAGTTTGCGACTTGGAGGAGCTTTATCTCCTATGCGAAGAGGATTGGATTAGGACGCCTATTTTCAACATTAAATGGAAGAAAACTTCAATGGCTTACCATGCCGTACCCATGGCTACGCAAAGAGCCTATGGATACGTGGGAAAGAGCTTCCAAATAATCCTTGGCGATGGATAAGGGATAGTCAAATGATAGTGGTTCGATAGATGTGGATGAGGAGAGCATGAAGCGAGAAGCTGAGTACTGCCACAGCAACGAACGGACCCATGCTGAAGTAGTCAAAATATCCACATACCGTATTTCGGACGTAAATTCGAGCGCCGGTATTTTGACTTGGATTTGTTTTTGAATATCTGATATACTATCCTTTGTATACACATCTTTTGCCTCGATAGCCTTGCTTGTGGTCGGGGGTAGGAAAAGGAGACGCTGTACATGCAAGAATAATTGAACAAGAGCGCAGAATCCTGCATATAGATTCCCGCGGGAGCTATCGTACCCGATTTCGGGGAGATTCGGTATTCTGTGAAGTGTGATTGGGAGATCGTGTTGGATGCAAAATGTCCTGTCCCCATAATCCGAGTGTATCGATTAGATTCAAAGTTTGATCAATTCGCAGAAATTCACAGAGAGTTGAGATACCAACCTTTCCGTTACAAATAGGACCCAATAACATCGAAGTTCCAGTTGCCACTGCTTTGACTGTGCTGAATCAGATGGGGGTGTATGGCATAGATGCATTAGGTCTGCGTATGTGATTGCCTCACGGAGCGAGATTGTAGCCGGTGTGATTTGATCTCGATTGGCATAGTACATGTGAAGGAAGACGGATGTAACAAGAGCCTCGAGGGATGGCTCTTGGTGATAGTGCTCCAGTCGAATGCGAAGACATTCTTTGGCAAAGTCGTCGGCTGTCGCAGAGAAATCTCCAGGACACGGAGTTGGTGTGAGCCAAAGGCGAAGTTGTGCCAATGTCGCAGCACACAAGGCAGCTGCTAGAGCATGCGAAACGGGGTCATTATCTGGGTTGTTTAGTTGGAATTTCAAATGCTCAACATCGGCGATCGGCCAAATATCATGAAGGCGCGCTTGAAACACATCGAGCACTTCGTAGTAAGACGAAATTGAGATGCGAGAATTTGAAGTGCGAAGGACTGCGCTTTCGACCGCTGGCGTCAACACTGGAGTGGCCATTTCAACGTCTGCTGTGGCTCCTCGTTGGATCTCTTCGATTTTGCGGGCAGTATCCGATCGAGGCCCTTTGGGGCCGGGTCTCTTGCGGACTCTCAAATAAGTACAAGTTTGTTGTCTAATCAGGCAAGTTTGACATGGACGTTGCCGATCGCACTTGACCCGCCGTACAAAACAACCATCGCAGGGGCTCGCCATGATTTTCGATGATTCTCGTCTCGATGATTCTTGGGGCTGTGGATAATGCACCTGGGAATTAGAGCGAGAATTAAATCATTTGACTCTGTTCGCTGCATCCCCCGCTTACCCACATTTCTTTTCGGTGGCGGTTCGACAAGTGCGGGGAAGAAAAGCGAGACAATCCAATTGAAATCGAAATACGAGTCGTCGCTTCAGTGCTACTGTTGTAGGCTAGTAGTCACGCGCAAATTGACGAGGTTCCAAGGAAGGAATCGTCAAGGGTTACAGTACGACGCACTGTGCACAGTCGGGCCACTCCGCTCTAGTTCGATCAGCCAGTCTTAGCGAAAATTCTAGCGAGTTCAACTTACGGGGGTTGGTCGTAGTGATACAGCAGTGATGGAAAGCGTTATAGATACCAGATATTTTTATATATGAATCGCTATTATCCATCACAGTAAAATGTAAAATATCCTTCAAGTTAGCAAGCAAGCCTTTGACCATGCATCGCTATTCCTTCCCACATACTCCGGTCGCTCATCCCGAGGCGATCATCGGTGCTGGCAAGTACCGATTTACTATTTTGACTGACGGCCTTCTTCGTTATGAATGGGCTGAAGATTACCAGTTCGAGGATCGGGCCTCAGTTCTTGCTATCAACCGCCGGCTTCCCGTGCCCGAATTTCGCGTCAAAGAAAACCAACAAAACCTTCAGATTCTCACTTCTCGATTCCACCTTACTTACGACAAGCAAGAATTTTCCCCAAATGGCCTCAGTGCTGTCATTAAGGGAAACTATGGGCCCCATGGTAGCGTCTGGCGCTATGGAACTTCGGCTTCAAATCTCGGCGGTACCACCCGTACCCTGGACGAGGCCGATGGCCGAGTTGCCCTAGATCATGGCGTTATTTCTAGACAGGGTTTTGCGACTTTGGATGACTCGAATTCAATGCTCTTTGATGATCGACAGTGGGTGACTACAAGGTTACCTGGAAATCGTGTGGATGGCTATCTTTTCGCTTACGGTCACGACTACCGACAAGCCGTCCAGGCGTTCTATCTTCTATCGGGGCCCCAACCACTCCTTCCACGATGGGCCCTAGGGAACTGGTGGAGTCGATATTATCCATACACTGCAGATGAATATCTATCACTGATGGATCGATTTCACAAAAGTGAGATCCCACTCTCAGTCGCCGTATTGGACATGGATTGGCATATTGTGCAGGACGAGCGTGTCAAGAAAGCCGGAGTGACAGGATGGACCGGTTACACCTGGAACAAAGAGCTCTTCCCTAATCCCAAATCATTTCTTGCGGAACTCCACGATCGGGGCCTACATGTTTCTCTGAATGACCATCCTGCGGACGGTGTGCAGAGCTATGAAGATCCTTACGAGGACATGGCCATTGCTCTCAACCACGATGTCTCCATGGGTGACCCTATCTCTTTCGATATCACAAATCAAGCCTTTTTGGATGCTTTCTTTGATGTGCTCCACCGGCGGTTTGAGAGGGAAGGATTGGATTTATGGTGGGTGGATTGGCAGCAAGGGACACATTCCCGTATCCCCGGCATCGATCCACTTTGGGTGCTCAATCATTACCACTTCCTAGATAGCGCTCTCAACGACAAGAGGCCCCTCACGTTTTCGCGGTATGCGGGCCCAGGCAGTCACCGGTATCCTATTGGGTTCTCTGGTGATACCGTGGTATCATGGGACTCTCTCAACTTCCAGCCGGAGTTTACAGCAACAGCGTCAAACATTGGGTTTGGGTGGTGGAGTCATGATATTGGTGGCCATTTTCACGGTGAAAAGAACGATGAAATGCTCATTCGATGGGTGCAATACGGCGCATTCTCCCCTATCTTGCGACTCCACTCATCGAACAATATTTTTAGTATCAAAGAACCCTGGAATCTGGACTCGCAATACGGGCAGATCATGACAGAGTATCTGCAGCTCCGTCATAGACTGCTTCCATATCTATACACGATGAATGTACGCGCTGCTGTTCAGGGGCTACCTCTTGTCCAGCCCATGTATTGGGGTTACCCGGAAAGCGAGGAGTCTTACAACGTACCAAATCAGTATCTCTTCGGCACAGATCTCATTGTGGTGCCAATTACTACTCCTCAAGATCCTAGATCTCGAAGATCTCAGGTCCTCGCCTGGCTTCCCCCTGGAAGGCATGTGGATATTTTTACAGGTGTGGTCTACGATGGAGACCGTCGTATTTGGCTGAATCGACGCCTGAAGGATTACCCAGTATTCGCTCCGGAAGGAGCGATCATTCCGCTCGACGGGGCATCAATTCTTACCAATGGCTGTGCAAATTCTCCCACAATCGAACTCCTGGTTGTTGTCGGGGCAGATGGCGTTTTCGAACTTGTGGAAGATGACGGAAAGGGACAATACACGGATCATATCGATTTCCGCCGAACGCGCATCTCTTTCAATCAACAGGCCGGTGAATTGCACATCTGGCCTACAAGTGGTGGTAACATTCCTGCACAAATCCGACAGTGGAGTGTTCGCTTCCTCGGATACGCATCATCGAAGGCGCTACAAGTTTGTTCTGGGGATAAAACGCGAGAAGTCAATGGCCAGTATATGGTCAACGGCCTTCTTGTGGACTTGGGATCTCACCCTGAAAGTGCGCACATTGTGGTGAAGTTGGAAAGCCATCCTTCTTTGATGATGAACCGCCCTGGGCCTCAAATTATCGAATTCTTGCGTGGCGCTCAAATCGAACTAGATCTGAAGGATTGCATTCGGAGGATTGTGGAACGTTCAGTGTCTAGGTTGTTGCAGATTGGAGACCTTCATGCTCTTGGCCTGGACAGCGTGCTGTTGAATCCAATTCTTGAATTTCTCTTAGCTGACTCCCGGCTTATAGTGACCGAAGACAACCAAGAGACTGGTTTCTTGGTAGTTGATATGTAACCCATATACTTAATGTTGAATGGGTCCATTATTAGTTGATCACTGCAGGTGCTTGAATTCAATTATAGGTATCACTGTGCATTATGTTGGCGTTTAATTAGTCTTCAGAATAACATGGTCTGCCCGGTCTTCGAGAAATATATTTCCTGGCAAAATTTGGCGGTCTCCTTCAATTGTAGGCACCCTAGCCTTTATTTTTGTTAATGTACAATCTAATCGAGGGTAAGAGAAATATTTCAGGGATCAGTTAGGTAGAAATCCAACGGTAGAAATGACTGGCCCAAGCCCCCTTTGTCCGATGCTGCGAGGATGGTCATAGAATGGATTTTCCTCATTCTCGTAGAGAAAATCATCTACCTGTTTCCCGTACAGCGCCGAGAATTGCCTCCCCCGTGGTAGCTACCTAGTGCATGATCTGGCACACTTCTTTCTAGGTCTAGTGTTTATTTGGTTATGTCCAAGTGTGGAACCACAAAACTAAATTGTTCCCCCGTCCCCCTTCTCCCCCAAAGCATATGGGGATGTTTCCCCCTACACATCAATTCTGAAACACACCTATATGTCTCAGCGACGGCTAATAATACAGGGCCAACCCCACGGCACAAACGTGAAGTGGTTCGTCCACTCCCATTCCTTGTTGGGATTCTTCAGCTCGAACTCAAAGTCACGAACCAGGGTTGTGGATAGCTTGGTAATTTCAAAGTGAGCAAGATTACGTCCCGGACACTGGTTATATCCTGCTCCCCACTACAAAGATGACAAAATATTAGTAAAATAACGAAGTCCAAGAGAGGAACAATTTGAATATGACAGTTTTGCAACATACGTGGATCAGGAAAGATTCCATCTTCTTTGTGTCACCCTCTAGCCAGCGATCAGGGTTAAAGGTGTTACAGTCCTCGCCGAACAGAGCAGGATTCCGGTGGTAAACCCAAGGGTTAACGCTCAGAATAATCTGTAATCAAAAATGAGTAATGATTCAGCTTGGAACAGTCGAAATACTGACGCCTTCAGGGAAGTATCTGCCAGCAATAGTCACTCCGCCCTTAGGGACAACACGGGGAAGAGGACTGGGAACAGCGCTGTGATACCTATAGACTTCTTTTATCTATTCAACAATTAGTAAGAGATCCCACTCCAGGAAGCTAAGCACATACACAAGCCTGCAGGTAAGGCAACTTAGCTGCCTCGCTATATTGCACAACATCCGAAAGCTCCCCACGAGCCTGCGCAGCATCGATCTCCTCACGCAACCGCTGCAAAACACTAGGGTGCTTGATAAGGAAATAGAAGAGCGACTGCATTGTAGAGCTAACCGTATCTGCCCCAGCTCCAACATTAGCAACAGCAGCACCGAAAATCTCACTCTCTGCCATGCGATCAGGATATTTAGCGCGCATGTCAAGCCACTGCTGCATCATATCCTTGCGCACCTCCGGATTCTCCTTCCGGGCACTGATAGCTGCGAGGCAGGTATCAAAGATATGCGACGAGGGCTGGATACCCAAGCGGCTTAGAAGGGGGTTACCCAGGGTTAGATTATGTAGCCAGGTATAGTGGCCCATGACGGCAACGTAAAGAGCGAGGGCTCTTGTGTTAGAAATAGCGTTACCGATATCAGTTCCTGTTTCGACGAAGCCGAAGGACTTGGAGAAAGTGACTTCGCCCAGGACATCGAATGCGTAGAAGTTGAACCATTTGTCGAATTCGAAGGGCTTGCCTGTCTTGGCGTGTTCATCCATGGCCTTTGTGAAGAGTTTAATCACATTGTTGACGAATGGTTCAGACTTGATGATGTTGGACAGAGCATAGCCCGATGCGACATTACGGTTCTTCTCAATGTGGCGTTTAGGATCTAGCTCCGACATCTGGTTGACATAGTGGTAGTCTGGTAGACTGAAGATCGAATACCATGGTCCCTGCAGGGAGGCTTAGTTAGTCATGTGGCTTTCTAGAATATTTCTGAGTGGCTTACCTTGGCAATATTGGCATGTAGGAGTTGCCTTACTGCATCTGGGTGCGAAACGCTGACTTCGTTGTCTCTAATACGAACAAAATAACCTACGTATGGGATTAGAATTTGGTATTTAATCATTGGTCGAAAAGAGATCCACAATTTCAACCATACCGTGTTTTTTGTGAAGTTGAATTGTCTCATCTTCAAGATGACCCTTCCACAGTTGGGCAACTACCCACAGACTGGAGAAGGAACCCCAGAACGGACCCGGGATGTCCCTGATCGGGGTCCAATAACGTCTGTAAACGACACGAGCCACAACTGTACCTATCAGAAACAAGCCCCATGCAAGCCGGGTATTCAGCGAAGTTATCGCCTCGGGTATCGGAAATAGGGCCATATTGAAATCCACCAAACCCGCAACAAAAAGATGAAGCACAAACAAAAAGGGGGTTGCGATGCTTTTGACGGCGTTCGAGTAAAAGTCTCCACTGGCGTGGGGAGAAAAATTAAATTGGAAACTGCCAGCATATGATAAGCCTAAATACGCATAAGCTTTGCATAGCTCCTATTATCCCCGACATAACTCAACGGAATAAAAAGCTTTTAGGCGGCGTACTCGGAGCGGCAATTCGCTTTTGTGCGCTATTCCGTCCTTGCATGACTCTATGCTCTAAACGTGAAGGTGAAGCAGCTAGCGATGTCTAGATCAAGGGAATTGTGGGGATTGGTGGGTCATTGAGATTTTCAAGCTTCGAGCAACAACCAAACATGTTCTTTCAACTATCGAAACTAATGCGGATATCGGATAGCAGATCCGTCTATTTGGTATTCACGATAGTAGTGTATAAGCGGAATAAGCGTAACCCGATGTGACTGTTGAATCGGACATCGTCTATTTCTCCACTAACACACGGTCTCGGGGGGCCATTCCACGTCCACTTTCTGACTAGTTCCATTTTGCGCCTAGCACCTCATTTAACTCACGGTTAAAGCTTTCCCTCCTGATTCAGGTGAACGGTTTGCCATCTCAGTATTCTCTTTTCCGTTTCAACCCCTATACGATGTCTTCACAGCAGTATTCCGAGGCCTACTTGGCCCAGAGTCGTGGGAAATCGGCTGAGATAGGCATGTACGTTGTAACGGCGTTATCAACACTTGTGGTTTTAGTCCGTTTATACGCGCGAGGGTTCCTGATCAGGGATCCGGGGTGGGATGATTATATTATTGTGGCATCACAAGTAAGACCCTCCCTAATTTTTATGCATAATTTCCGGAAAGGCTCACTTTTGGTATCTACTGTAGCTATTTGCTTGGGCTGATATGGTGTTATCGCTGATGACTGTTCGTTATGGTGCTGGCGAACACCTCATGGCCTTGGTGAGCAATCCGGCGAAGATGGTCAAGATGTATAAATGGCTTGTTGCTGCCCAGATGGTATACTTCGCGACTCTGTGGTTGTGTCGAGTGTCCGGTCTGGCATTTTTTGCTCGTTTGAACCCGATGCCACGGTTTAAGCTCTATATACGTTTGGCGTTCGCATTCGTGACTGCGGTATGGATTTCGCAGGTTCTTATTATTGGCCTCCAGTGCATTCCCCTTCAGGCATTATGGGACTCTAGCATAAAGGGCACATGCATGGGCTCAACGCAAGTGTTCCTCGCAACTTCGGTGATGACAATCATCTGCGACTCTCTTATTTTGGTCCTACCCATAAAGATTGTATGGAAACTACAAGTCAGTCTCGGAAGAAAAATAACCTTATTATTGATATTTTGCTTTGGTATCTTGTGAGTGACCTTGGTGACAATCCGTCTTTCCATCCTTGAATTTGACAATCTCAACTAACATATCTGTTTCTAGTGCGATTGTGTAGGTGGCCTACTTGGAAACCATTCCCCTCAACCACTAGCTAACCGATACAGTACATCAATCCTCCGCATGGTCGCCATGGTCGTCGCCCTTGATCACCCGAGCGACATTACTTGGTACTTCTCCGTCGTAATGGCCTGGAGTACCTCAGAAATCGCCGCTATGATTATCGCTCTTTCTCTGCCCGCATTAAGAGGGCTATTCGGCTTTTTCCAACAGAAACGTTCTACAAATCAGAGCAACTCTCGCGGTACGGGATCCATTGGGCTCACGTCCGTCCAGCAGTCCAAACGCCGCGTATACAGCGGCCCAAATGATCATCAGAACACGACCGGTGTTGATACACAGAGGAGCTCGAGCCAAGAGGCCCTTTGGGATATTAAGGATGGGCAGAACATTCGAATTATGGATACCGTCCATGTGGATGTCCATGATGTCTCACTTGAGCGGCATAACTAAAATTCATGACTGAATAGAATATATCCTCTATATATACTAACACTCGGGATTAGAGGTTTGAGACAACACATAAAATATGTATCTAGCCAGAATGTTAATGACTATACAATCTCTCTAACTATCTGGTGATCTAGTAAGTTCCTCGGACTCGCAAACAAGGCTTTCAGCATCAGCATGCCCAAATTCATAATCAAAGCTTTCTGCAACAGCATCTCCGGATTCGCAACTATGCTTATCTAGAGCGACTTTAGACTCTTAGCGTTATGGTTATCGCAGTGCATATTCGGTCTTTGAAGCTTCTTCTCTAATAAGTATTCATTCATCTAAGCCTCCTCCCTAGTCCACTTAGGACGATCTTAGAATTATATACTATAACCCGATTAGGTGGAACTGAGATAGCAATCTTAGTAATACCGCCTTTATACTACCTTCCGTTAAATAAATATCGATTATTGTGCCCTAAAAGCATGAAGGAGCTTAGATAATTTATCGAAGCTCTTACAATAAATCCCTAATAGGTCGAGAAGAAAGCGGAACTTTAATTATCTAGTCTATAAATAAATAGGTATACTATTAAAGCGCTCTGTAGTCGACTGTTAACCTCGGGTATATCTATAGATAATTACCTACTAGAACAAAAGGTATTAATTTTGCGAGGATACGACTATAGCGCACTAATAAATGAACGAAGATGGTAGGGTAATCTACTCCTTCATATTGCTAAATGCTAAAAACTTATATTTATGTCCCTATGTGTTGTCATGCTAGATACTGGACCTTCTATTAACACTGTCGACTGGATCATGTAGCATTATGTCAGTGACGCTACAGTAGGGAATCTCCGATAGCTTCGATATGGATGTATGTGGGTTAATCGTTGCAAATGCAAATTGCTATACTAAGGCCGGGGGTTTAAGAGCTAGGAGGTCTTCCTTTTCTATTGGTGTTTTCTATCCAGAAGCAGCTTCTTGACGCTGATCATTCAAGTTCTCTTGACCTCGACATCGATCTGATTCACCTCATAGGGCTACTAGTCCATACCCTCTCAACTTACCATTATAGTAGCTACAAGCCTGCCACGTAGGTCGCTGCTGTACCTAACAATAGGTTACTCATCTTAACGTGTTTTGACAATTACTCCATTTTCAATTCCAACAGTCCCATATCTCGCCGGATCTGATATGTTCTCGAAACTCATTACTGTATTACCTCAGATAGCATCTATCCTAACCAATAAGATTCTAATGGTCGGTTAACGGCTTTTGGAGTGTTGTTGAGGTATGGATCAACGAAATGGATCCCTTTCGTGGAATTCATCTGAAGGACCCGGTTCGAGTAGGTGTATATATCTCCACCGTGACAGCTATAGACGGGCGGGATACGGATATAGTTCGCCTACAGCTTACCGGAGGGTCGGCCATATCTAGGCTAGCATATAGCCCCTTTGTATTCCTAAACAAGTAAAGAATAAGTCTCTTTGTAGCAGATTCTACGTTCAAAAGTGCACCGAAGATAAAGCCCATGCATGAGGGTGAATAGGTGAGTGTTGGTTGACCAAGGCAGGCGGTGCGGGCGGGGAAGTGATTTGCGGAGACAACCGCCACCGATCAACCTCCGACCCTCCACGCCCTGGCCCTGCGCCGCTGTATTGACTCCTTGGCTTGCGATTTACTTTCCTTCGCATCCAGGCTGGTCCTGCTTAAGCCACCCTCAATTTGTCACTCCTTCGAAGACCCAAACTCGTCCTTTACGGCCTACATTCCCGCGTGAATGAGCTGTCAGCTCTGACAGATCTCACCCTCGTCGACGGGGACATCGAACAACCACGACGCGATATCCACCCACCGCGCAGCGTTGCTCTTGTGCAGCCTAGGAGAGACTGAGCTACATATGAGACAGCGAATATGTCTCTGCTCCACAATGAAGAGTATGTGAAGGCGGCCATCCTACCCCTCCCCTTTCCTTGACCCTGCGATCAATGGCAGACTAACCGAGGCCTAGCTTCACTATCTGGCAATTACGCTCGACCTACCTCTCAACGATCAAAGATGGGATCGGAGATCGCCTGATAAATGTTAACAACTCCGTCCTCAATACTCCAGGGTTCCGCGCCGCGGGCTGGTCCAGTGCATCGACAAACTCCCACGTGAAACGCACCCACTCCCCTCCGATCCCCACCACAGCAGCCGTCTCCTCGGAATACTATCGATTAGCCGTACGAGATGCGAATGCAGCGAGGAATGAACTCCACGGTCTCGGCCTGGAAGACGGCGAGGATGACGAGGGTGGTATGGTGACTGGCAAAAGTCATGTAGAGATTACAGGGCGACGAAATCACGGGCGAACTGGGAAGAAGAAGGGGAGGCGAGATCGCCATCCGGAGGTTCAGCGCCAGGTTGAGGAGGATGAGGATAGCAGCGATTTGAGTGATGATAGCGACGAAGAAGGGGAGAACATGCAAAGGTGGGTGAAGACGTTCCGTACAGTGTGTGGCCCGACCTGACGGAATACAGTCCTGTCGACCAGATCAAGTTCTCCAAGGTGCCCGTGCGCCGAGACCGAGCTGATTCCTCGCCCATCCGCTCAACTGAACCGCGTGAACGACCGGAAGTTATGATAACGTCACCATCGACTCAAAATGTGACGGGCCATTATCGGACAGGATCGCTCGGCACGACAATGCCGACTCAAGAGCAAAGGCCAAGACGAGACACTACCACAAGCAGTGATTTGTCTACAGACAACGAGATCGAAACGCACGGGTTTAGGCCAGGACAGGTTCAATTCTCCACCACAGATCAAGTGGTGGAGCGACCTCGAAGGCGACGTGAGAGAACAGGCAGTCGAGGAGCTGATAGTATCATGCTGGAAGACTTGCATGAGGAAGACGAAGACTCGGGCGCCGAGTCCGTTGGCTCTGCACTCTCCTCCGAATTCGACGCCACGGCCGGTTCTGGTTCGCTACTGTTAACAGGGGTTGGCATGACTGGTCCCTTGGATTCATCCTCACCAATGGCCTTAATGCACAAACTCCCCAGTGGAACCGGACCGAGTTCCAATGCTTCACCACGAAAGTCCAAAACTCCTGGCCCAGATTTCCAAGATCTCCCACCCCCAAGGCCTATCAGTATAGTCCAGCCTGTCAGCTTGTTGACAAAACAACTCAAGTCCCGTAAACGGGCACCGAGTAACCCAGTTGAGAAATTCATGGTTCTCAATGGGCGAGGTCTGGATGATCCACTCTATCTGAAGATCTACGTTCCCTTTTCATCTAATCCCGATGAGCCGATGGACTTACCAGTCATACGTGAATCTAAGCTTAGTTCGCATCCTGCTCCGATCACAGTGGCGGAAACGATTGGTCTTGCTCTTTGGAGATACTCTGAAGACTCGCGCCAGCCATCCATCGACCGCAAAAAGTTAATTGTGAATCGATGGGCTCTTCGCATGGTTGACGATGGCGAGGTTGAGTATGACTTCCCGGCGCTCACGCGAAATCTTCCTATGACGGACTTCACTTCAAACAACAACCAAGCAGCGAAGGCGCGAGGGCGCTCACGAGGGAAACCATATGACGAGTTTGCCTTGGTAGAGGCCTCTAAGGCTGAGTTTGAAGAGAACGAACGATCATACCCACAGTACAGCCAGGTCATCGAGCCTGACGAAGGCGAGGAAAAGCCAACCCTTGCTGCTCAAGCAGCTCTCCTCGTTCAGGCTGCTGCATCAAACAGGACGAACGTGGGCCGCGTGAATCCCATCTTGGGCCAGCCATTCTCATCTGCCCTGAATGACAACACATTGACCCCGGCAGATCGACCCGTTGTCCCAGTTTCTCATGCCATTCCTCGACATGGTGTCTCGAAGACTCTGAAAATCCGCTACATCAATCTGGAAGCTTCTGCCCATGTCATGACCCTGAACACGTCATCTGACAGCTACATAGCAGAGATTCTGGACTCTGTGTGCAAACGCTGGGGCCTGGACAAGGGGAATTATCTTCTCAAGGTCATGGGGTCGAATACCATGGCGCCATTGGACCGTACAGTCGAGGCGCTAGGGAACATCACAGAGCTTGACCTTGTCCGTCGTCGGTTCGGCGTGGGCCCTCTTGCCATGGGTGGATCGCCAGGCAGCTCGTCGCCGAATGCGCCCGTGATGGTAGACAGCAACAACCCGACAGCGGTTAAGAAGGGAAAGAAGAGTAACTTGCCTTCATCCTCACAGAAACAAGATCTCATCGGCGGATACTATCGCCGTTACCATGTCTTCCGCAAACAACCCATGTCATTCACCGCCACGAACCATCGCATCCTTACCTTTGACAACGATTACATGCACATCATGCCTGGTGACACCGGAAAGACAGCCTCCAATGCCAAGACACGCTCGATCAATTTCAATGAAGTGGTTGGCTCCAAAGTCAGTCGGCGCCACCCGAAGAGTTTCCGAGTCGTCGTTTTACGAGGTAACGATGCTACGGAACAGAAGCGGTACGACTTTGAAGCGCGTAACGCGTTGGAGGCTATTGAGATTGTTGATGAGATTAAGAAGAACATGGTGCAATACCGCACTTGATGTTCTGGTGAGATTTTCTAACCTAACCGATTGACCTTTTCCTGGGGTTGGTGCAATGGGACCACTATCTGGGATGGTGGTGGTGTTTAGTCTGGATTTGTATCTATTCCCTTTGCGATTGATAGGCGCATCTTGAATCCATATGGACGTCAACTTCAGAAGACTTTTTGCTGTACGCAGGTGTTCCTCCTAACAACATACGTAATCTCGATATTCTCGACGGTGAGAGCAGTAGACCTACTGGCCATCAAGCAGGAGCTGAGTGTAAACAAAGCGGTTCCTGTTAACCTTATTTGACTTGGCCTTTGCCCCACGCTCCTGGCCGATAAGATAGCAGATAAGATAGCCGATAAGCCCTGACTAAGTTGCGACGGCCTCACATCAACTTATTTTCATTTCACCTTCAACACCCTCTCAGCCTGTGGCACGCGATGGCGTAGCTCCTACACACAACACACCTTGAGGATGGCATCTAATCCTCCCGATGGGGACGCCTCAACGGCACCGCCCTGGGACGAATACACCCACCCCAATCGAAGCAAAGGAGGCCGCTTCCGCTTCAAAAGCAGCTCATCCCGAAGCACAAGACACCACGACCGCGACAAAGAGCACCACCACTCCTCTCAAGATGACCACAAGAAGCGCCGCAGCAGTCCCCACACTACCAAACACAAAGACGAAACCCGCCCCTCAAAACGCCGCCACAGACACCATCACTCCCGCGAACCAAACACCGATCCCACCCAACAACCCCCTCTCTCCCCAAGCGCCGCCTTCCGCGAATCCCTCTTCGACGCCCTAGGTGACGACGAAGGCGCCGCATACTGGGAAACCGTCTACGGCCAACCAATCCATAACTACGCCGTTCCCGAAGTGCCCAAGGGACCGGACGGGGAACTGGAACAAATGTCCGACGAGGAGTACGCCGCGTACGTCCGCTCACGAATGTGGGAACGTACACGCGAGGGAATGCTAGAAGAGCAGGAACGGCTTCGCGCGGAACGGAAGAAGTCGAGACAGCGGGAGAAAGAGAGTGGTCAGAAAGAGCGGGAGCGGTGGGCGTTTGAGAGGGCGATGGAGGAGAGTTTGAGGCGTGGAGCTGAGAGGAAGAGGAGGAAGAATTGGGAAGTGGTTTGGAGGGAGTATCTTGCTAGTTGGGAGGAGATTGGGAGGGTTGTTGAGAAGGGTGCTGGTGAGACGCAGACGGAGACGGAGTCTAAAGAGAGTTCCAGTCCACGACTTCGCAATTTGCTCTTTTGGCCTGTTGAGTCTGGGAAAAGACGGGATGTTAGTCCGGACTCGGTGGAGGAGTTTATGCGACATGCGCCAACGGAGGATTTACTGGCTACGTTGAAGATGGAGCGGGTGCGTTGGCATCCGGATAAGATTCAGCATCGGTATAGTGCGTTGGGCATTGAGGAGGAAGTTATGCGCAGCGTTACGGAAGTTTTTCAGATTGTGGATCGGATGTGGAGCGAGGAGAGAGCGCGAGCTTGAGCTTGACGTGTCTTGGTTGGGGCCAGGATATACCCGGATGGAGAGGTCATTGATGAGACCTGCTACGATTGCATTTGACTAGCGTTTGTACTATTAAGATCCATGATACCCTCTTGTTACAAATTCAGATATACCTAAATGGTTGTGATTGTCGCTCTGCCGTCTAGATATAGCAGGAAGGGAACCAGATATTCTACTACCAGAGAGTCTCAAGTGCGAAGAACGAATGAAATGGTAGTGGCCCACATACATTACTATGATCCAGTCCCTTTTGAAACCCGAGAAATAGGCTATTGCAAGTCTGCAAAATAGCGGTCCCGAGACCTTGAACAATGGAGCCTCGTTGCATATTCCATGCAAGACTCGCCGAGTGTTATAATAAAACGCAACTAGTCGAGTCCAATCCGAGATAGATTCCCACCGAAATGCAAGTAACGAACTAATCATGACTGGATTCATTTCAAGATAGAACAGAGAAACTGCCTCAACGCAAAGTAACCACGAAAAAGAAACATCAAAGGCTATGCAAGACCCAATCGTTCGACAGCCAAGAAAACAACAGATAGGGGAGATAGAGAGAGAAAATAAGTAACAGGCACAAGTATTTGTCCTTTTTTCTTTTTTGTCGATTTGGTTTGTTTTGATATGCACTCGTTCAACAAAATACTCCTTAGAACCGCGAAGCCCGAGCCTTCGTCCGGTAAATTGTCCAGCCGAAGTAACCACCGACGCAGGCACCGAGGAAAAGGACGATCTTGAAGAAGAACCAAGACCAGCTGCCGGACTCCTTCTGGCTGGAGCGGCTGCTGCCGCTGCCACCACGGCCACGGCTCTTAGGACCGTCGGAGTCCTTGCTACCAGCGTTGCGGTTCAGGGCGTACAGGTTCTCCGCCTTGAGAGAGACGATGTCGTGGTTATCGCTCAGCTCACCAGTCTCGGCGGAGAGACCCAGGTAAGCGACGGATGGAATGGCAATGTTAGCATCCTCGGCGTTGAGGGTGAAGCAGTTAGTCCAGGTATCCTCAGTCTTGTACTGCAGGTCCAAAGTCAGGGACTTGTCCTGGAAGTAGGTAAGGCGGAGCTTGGTGGGGACGGGAGCGTTGCGGAGACCACGAGCCGAGCAGCCAGCCAGTTCGTTGGCTTTGCCGTCGTGAGCCTGGTCGTAGCTGGTCGAGCCATCGCCCATCATGGCCATGACGTAGGGGAAGGAGACGCCGGGACGGTTGTTCTTGTATGTGTCGACGAAGATACCGAGACCTTCGAAGCGGTCGGTTGAGCCGAAGACGGGGCCTTGAGTGGCGCGCTGCTTGGTGAGCCAGAGGGCGAAGCCATCGCCGTGGAGGTTGCCGTTGCCGTGGACCTCGAATTCAAGTTCAATCTGGAGAGGACAGTGAGCTTTGACATTGCGTTGGCGAGTGTTGGAGAATGGCTGGTAGGTCTCACCTCCCAATTGGTTGCGGTCAGAGGCACTCGAGAGAAGATCCATCCTTGCTGCGACGGGCGGTCTGCGGTCAGACGAATATACCTAGAGCATGTTGATTAGTCGCAAAGAGCAAGAAATATTCCCACGGCATAGGTAAACACCTACTTGTCAGCGCGAATCACGGTATCTCCTCCGAAGTCGAACCAGCGGCTTTGGAAGTCCGAATCAAGGTATGGCTATCCAGCTTGTCAACAAGGTCGAATTCCCCCACATTTTTCGGAGCTTGCTAAACACAGCATATCCAAGCTCACAAAGCTCGAGGGATCTCATACCGGCGCAAGGCTGTGGGTTCGGAGCTGGAAAACATAGAAATATTAGTACCTCGGTGGCGCAAGCGCATAGACAAACAGCAACCTACCGGGATGCTTTTAATGTTGGGGTCGTCGCCTGCATAGCCATTGACGGGGACGGAGGCCAAGCCGGCCAGGCACAGCAGAGAAGACAAGCTCGGGAAACGCATTGTGTTGAATTAAGGGCCCAATGGAGGGCAGCTCAAGGAGCGAACGGGGGTGGGAGGGGGGGGGGAAGGGTCTCTCGAAGGGGAGTAGGTGAACGGTGTCGCCAGGACCCCGGAGTACCCACGGTAGAGTAAAGGAAGTAAATAGTAAAAAGCAGAAGGAGAGAAGGGCAAAAAGTTGACGAGAAAGAGAGAGTGGCAGTCGAAAGTTCTCAACAAGGAGAGAAGAGGAGGAAGTGGGTAATTGAAGGTATAAAGTGTACTTGTCTCTCTTGTGATGCTTCCTACTGTAAGGTGTCCACTATTTGGCCCATGTGGCGCAGGCCTTTTGCCCGCACCAGCCACTCAAAGCTCGGCCTCTCAGATTTCCGCGAATCTCTCTTGACCATCTTTCTTTCCCCATTCATACCTTTCACACATCTCCACAACTCCATCCATCATGTCTTTCCTTGGTTCCAGCGCTCCCAAGTCCAACGAGGACATCAAGACTGCCCTCCTGCAGCAGGTTCAGCAGGAGGCGGCCATGAACAATGCCCGCGCTCTCATCGGAGTACGTCACCGTTTCTGCCCTTGAGCTCTTCCCTTCGCCCTATGCATATGCTAACACCTTCGGAACTAGAAAATCAACGAGAACTGCTTCGACGCCTGTGTCCCCGCCCCCGGCTCTTCCCTCTCCTCCAAGGAGAACGCCTGCATGTCCAGCTGCATGGACAAGTACATCAACATGTGGAACGTCGTCAGCCGCAGCTACATGCACCGCATGAATGAGGAGAGGAAGAAGATGGGCGGTGATGTCGCCGGTCTGTCTCTGTAAGAGACGAGGCAAAATCGAATTTCACCAACTCCACATTTCCATCCCATCGAGACGTAACGTCAACTACGGCAAAAGACGGAAATGACGATGATCCAATGAAGGGATCCGTGTACGAATAAGAAACGGCCAAAGAGCCCGTGTACATTATGGGCAAAAGATCTTTGGGTTCGGGATATAGAGGAATTAAGGACCAATCCCCCTTGTATATCGAGACAAAATTCAAGAAGACCAAAAAAAATTCAAAAAAGCCAATTCCAACAATCACTAAAAGAGATAACCACCCCCCCCTAGACCCCAAAGCGATTCCACAGAGAAACATTGAAGAAACAAAACTTCGAGTCCAATTGCTATAAATGAGATCGGTAAGGGTTTCCATAGATATAAGATCACTCCGGTTTTTCACGGCGACTCCAACGGGCGCCCCAGTGCGAATTCCAAATCTCGCGCCCTTGCGCGAGCCTTTCATCTCGTCATAAATCATACAAGCACTCTTAGAAATCGGGGAAGAGATGGCCGTAGCTGAGACCGTGTCAGTAGAGTCATTGATGGATACTTCAGGGGGAAAGACAAAACGTACGCATCTTCACCCTCAATGCCGTAGTGCTCTGTCTCTTCGGGATATTTATCGTATTGGCTTGCATCACCTTGGCCACCTCGAATGGGCGGGATATAGGGTGCATCGATATCTTTACGAGCCAGTCGGTCCCAAGTGACCTCGGCAAACCACGCATGGTTCTTGACATCCTCAGGGCCCCCGTGCAGGTTACCCAGACGCTTGGTCAAATCGGCAGTAATCAACCGTGACAGCAGGTCGACGGCGTCGTCGTGCAGGTACGGCGGATACTTGACCTTGCCGCGCAAGATATTCTCGTAGATCTTCACTGGGGACCCGCTATCCCAGAATGGAGTGAATCCACACAACATCTCGAAGATAAGAATTCCCAATGACCACCTAGTGACCAAGAGTTAGATAAGGCATGTGAGAATAGATTAAGGGGGACACAGCCGAGGGCAAACATACCAGTCGACGGATTTGTTATAACCCTTGGAGGAGACTACCTCGGGGGCTAGATAGTCGGGAGTACCGCACAGCGTCCAGGTAATATCGGGCACATCTTTCGCGAAGCCAAAGTCGGTAATCTTCAAATGACCATGACGGTCCAGCAAGAGATTCTCCGGCTTCAGGTCACGATAGATGATTTGATGGGAGTGCAAGTACTCCAAAGCCAGCGTGACTTCCGCCGCATAGAATTTAGCAACTGGATTGGGGAATCGCTGTAGGAAGAGAGAGAGGAAAACGTAAATGTTAGCGATATGATTGGCGTGCGGGGAGTGGGAAGACCAAGAGGTGGGAGGGATCGCGATGGCAAGGAAGCGGGGGCGGACAATCAAGGGCGAAGAGAGCCACTACTCACTTGTGATTTCCGCAGCAAACTGAATAGCTCACCACCCTCGACAAAGTCCATCACCATGTACAGGTTTCGCGAGTCCTGCCAGGTTCCCCAGAGGGTGACCAGGAACGGATGCCGGACACGGTTGAGCATTCGGCGCTCGTCGTTGGTGTGCTCGATCTGTTTCATCTTGACCACCTGGGCCTTCTTGAGCACTTTCATCGCATAGAAGCGATGATTGTGTTTAGATTGTACGAGATGAACCCGACCGAAGCTACCGGTACCGAGAGTACGCTGCAGCAGGAAGTCCTCTTGAGAGTACTTGCCCTTGGTCGTGCGCTCTTGTTTCAGCGGCTGCTGCTGGTGGGCCTGCTGGGCGTGAGCTTGCCCAGCATTTGAATGATGGGCAGAGCCGTGGGCCTCAGAGGCATTGGCCGGGGTATTTATGAGGTTGTTAATGCTGGCGGCATTGTTGGACTGCTGCGGAGGTTCTTGTGAGCTCCCGGCGGGTTGCATGGAGGCGCCTTCGGAGGAATCGTGGGAGTGGGAATCGGGGACAGTAGAGTGGTTGGGTTCGGAGGATACAGGCAGCTCCGACGCGAGGGTTTGAGAATCCTTCGTTCGCCGCTTCTTCAAGAGACCTCCTAAGCTCGGCATGGAGGACAGCGAGGGAGAGAGAGGGCGAGGGCCATAGAAAGAGAAGATGGACGGGCTGGGGGGTGGTGGTGGTGGAAAGAAGGTGGGGAGGGGCGGCCAGAATGACGCATTGATCTTTCTGCTGGTGGTGGACCATTCATTACTCGAGTCTTATTCTTATCATTTCATTCCTTTCTATGGAATTATATACTATCATTAATACGATACTTCTACTACTTGATTCCCTCGAGTCTTATCTCCTTTCGTGTTCCTCAAATCAATAGTGGGCGCATTATTGTGATCAACGTGCGTGTGTGGCTGCGCAATTATAGCTTCCTTTGTCTGGGGGAGTTAAATTAACTGCATACTTTCTACCCGTCTAGTCGATTTCATCCTACATAGCCCGTGCTCTTAATCTCCCCTCACTATCCATCGTAACATAAGCAATAATGAGCTTCCCACTCTCCCATTGAAACGGAGAAACCGGATGACGCCGATGACGTTACTAAGTGGTGTCGACCACCCCGGCCTGCTGCGACTCTGCGAGGGTGCCATCCCGTTCCTCCCGAGCCTCAATGGCTTCGCATTTGGGGTGGCAGAGTTTAGAAGAAAAAAGTCTGCGGTCATTTAGGGTTTTGGAGACGAATAATCGACTCGCTCATCACTTTTGGTCCGATTGGAGTCGCCCGAGTCCGATTATGAAACTTACCAGCCCTAAAGTTCAGGCATCCACGGCCAATACCCTGGATTATGTATGCCTGATGGCTTAGGTGTCAATGTAACTCTTATCGCCGCCTCCAATTTGTCCGATGACACAAGCAACTGAAAAGGTGGAACGAACCGACAACAGGGACCAAAAAATACTAAACTCTCCCCCCTTCGACCTCCCTCCAAAACATGGCGCTCGTAGCCTATTCCGACTCCGAGGCCTCTGACACCGAGCCAGATACCACCCCCGCACCTCCCGTCGAGAAATCCAAGAAACCCGATGCAAGCACCGGCTTCCAAGTCGATCGCGGCAACCCGCGCAAGATTCGCGTCGCTCTGCCGGAGCTGAAACCCGAAGGTCCTACAGACGCAGATGGTGATGATGGACCCGCGCGCAAGAAGGCCAGGCTGGGAGGAGGTTCGGGAGGTGCATTCTCGGGCTTCAACTCGTTCCTGCCCGCGCCCAAGCGGGTGGCTGAGAAGAAAGTACCGATAGCATCCACGCGCAAGATATTCAGTTTAAAGACTGGTGCTGAGCCTGGGTTTGACCGCTCCGCAGATGCGGAGATGAGGAATAGTCGGGCACTTGAGGATGACACTAGTACGGGCGATGGGATCAGTCCTGTCGCTGGCAGCTCGGAGAGTACATCAGACCTGCCAATGAAGAAGACAGAGGCTGGAGAAGTCAAGCTCCAAGGAAACCCTATGATGTTCCGGCCACTATCTGTCGCACGAAATCAAAAGAAGAAAAAGACGACCACCAAGGTCGCGTCTCAGCCCACACCTTCGGCACCAGCTCCTGCAGCGGCAAAGCCAGTAGAAGCTGTGGCAGAACAATCGACAGCACCAGCTCCTGCTCTCGCGCCACCCAAACCAAAATTCAGCCTATTCTCGCTATTATCCGATGACACAGCTGCGACAGAGACGGCTTCGACGACCACGGGAACCTACGAGCCTTTGGTTTACAACACCGGTACCGAGGCTGCGGCAACGGACCCAGCGCTGGTACCAGAGTCCATGCCTACCGACGCAGCATACTATCCAACCAATGCTTCCGTATCGTCCTCCCTGGACACAATCGCCAATGACCTCAACCTATCCAAATCCGAACGCCGGCAACTCTTCGGCCGCAATGCCCCCTCAGCCGACTCCCGCATCCTCACATTCAACACGGATAAAGAGTATGCCTCGAACCAAGCTATCAGCGAGGCCGAACTCGCTGCTACACAGCACAATCCCGTCCGTGCTATCGCTCCTGGCAAGCATACCTTGCAGCAGCTGGTCAATGCCGCGAGCAGTCAGAAGGATGCTCTGGAGGAGAGCTTTGCCACTGGAAGGAGGAACAAGAAGGAAGCTGGTTCCAAGTATGGATGGTAGTGGTAGATTTAGCATACTACAGCCTGTATTTTTATTCTTTGCCCTTTGCAAAGCATTGCACTACATTATTCTCGAGATACCAATACCAATACCAATATGATCCTATCAGTTACATATCACTATATCCAAAAGCCTACTACAATATCGGAAGGAACCATTTTCACAAACAGTAATTCACGTTCATGTACAAACTGGATCTAGAAAATCTATCATATACATCAAAAAGCCCAAAACGCCTTGTCCCTAAATACAGAAATAACGCCCAATATTGCAAATCCACTTTTCAATGTAGATCATGAAGACACATCCACAACCTCGGCAAACCATTGCTTAAGCGCAGTCGCCAAAACGGAAGGCAATTCACGTACATCACGAACAACCAGGTAGTAAGGGAAGGGGAAGCCCTCGAGGTAACGCTTCATCCGGAGCTTCATCTCACCGCCAGAATCAGGGTCAGCCTCGAAGCTAGCCTGCGAGAGATCAAGAATAGAGCTGCCCTTGACAGCATCGACGATGATAAAGACAATCATAATGCGCTCCTCGAGAGCCTGGCGCACAAGACGACGGATCATATCGTGATCCTCACAGATACCATCGGAGATGATGAGCTGAAGCTGCCACAGATCGGCGGAGCCAGAGCCGGGAGAACGCTTCCAGCGAGCCTCGCGGAAGAGCGCGATCGAATCGGCAATCAACTTGCGCACATTGGTACCGGTCTGCTGGTAGCTGAAGTGTTGGAAGACCTGCATACCAGCCTCGGAGGAGAACGGCTTGCCAAACTCGTGCGCGACACGGACGTGGTCTTCATTACCGAAGCCCAGCACACATAGATCGCCGGCTTCCAGCATGCTCAGACTCTTTGCGACGAGGGCTAGGGTCTCGAAGGCAAGCTGGCCAGAGCCACTCTCGAGCATGGACTTGCTGTCGTCGACGGCAAGCATGATTTGGTAGTTGCGCTTGGAGGGGATGGAGCGGCGCATCCAGATCTTGTCACGCTTGTACTGGGAGGCAATGTATGGGATGATGCGCTTGATGTTGAGACGCTTGCCGGTGCGGAAATCGCCGCGGAGTTTGGTGGCCATTGTGGGCGCCAGGATGAGACGGAGTTGTTCAGTCAGAGAGAGGGAGAGGTCATTGGTGGCGTTTTCATAGTGCGACCAGAGACGACGGGCTTCGGACTCGGGGGTCAGGGGTGGGAGGGTGGATGAGAGGTGGATGGCCGCGAGTTGCGAGTCGACTTCATCCAGCTCTTCATTGACGTCTTCGGCACCGGGAGCTCCATCAGCATGGTCTCGGGACGTACGATCGCCGGGGATAAACGCTCCAGCAGTCTGACCGTCGGTGGGAACGGGTTCGCGGTCGATCTGCATCTCGTCTTGAAGTTGGTTGTCCAGCGCGTCTTGAAGCTCGTCCGAGACATCAGGGAGAGCCTCGTTATCTCCTGGCTGGTTCTCGGACTCGACACCCTTGTTCTGATCAAGACCCTTGGCTTGGTCTTCATTTGCCTGACCCAGAGCCTGCGTATCGGCCACATCATCGTCGTCCTTGAGGTGCTCGAAATCGGCATCCGCCATGTCGGTGTCTTGAGGCAGAGGTTGCGAGTCATCTTCCTCTTGGGACGGATTCAGCACCTCCTTCTGGCGGCGGTGCCATTGCTCAAGGATGTCTCCGAGCTTTTTAAAGGCTTGCATCTGAGGCTCATTGGGAGCCGAGTCCTCAGCACCACCAGCATCTCGGCTGCGTTTGCTCTCCTCGCTCTCCTTGGCAGCACCGGTTTGTTGGTCAGCATTGGCATTGGGATCGCTGGAGCCGCTCTCCTGCTGGGCATCGCCGGAGGCACCCTTGTCTTCGTTCTGATCCTGGTCGGCAGCAAGGCCACCGTTCACGGCATCACTGGGGGCAACCTCGTCACCGGCATTTTCATTGTCATCTCGTTGAGCAAGGAACTCGTCGTGCTCTGGCTCTTCCGGCTCTTCACCACCGGCTTCATTCTCTTCCTCTTGTCCTTCGCCTTCGTTGGTCTCTTCACCCTCCTCACCAATCTCTTCATCCTCGCCAGGAGCCTGTTCATCGGGTGCCATATCGACATCCTCATCACCATCCTGACCGTCCTGCTCCTCGGCCTTTTGCTCATCCTCGGGAAGGGGACCCATGTCGGAGAGATCATCCATTCCATCGTCATCCTCGCCTTCATCTCCATCTCCTTGATCATCGCCGTCCAGCTGCATCTCTTCGGGAAGCTCCAAAGTCTCTTCCTCCTTAGTCTGGGGATCAGTGACATCCATGTCTTCGCGGCCGATGGCCTCGCCCTCGTCATCGGGGGCTTCTTCCTCATCATCCTCTTCATCTCCCTCCTCTTCCTCACCCTTGGGACCCTCTTCTCCGTCCTTCTTCTGCTCTTGTGCAGCGGCCTGTTGATCATCATCGGCTTGGCCCTTTCCTTCCTCGTTCTCTGTCTCCTTCTGCTGTTCATCGTTGGCGCCATCCCATAGCTTCTCGTCGACGGCACCCGCATCGAGGTCATCAACGCTGCCAACTTCCTCGTCAATGTCGTCGTCTTCGTCTTCATCATTATCGTCCTTGTCGTCCTCGTCGCCTTCTTCTTCTTTGTGGTCGCCGGTTTCACCTTCAAGCTCTTCTTGGTCCATATTGACAGCGTCGGCAGAGTCTTCCATTTCGTCCTTCTCCGCATCCTCCTTCTGAGCTTGTTGGGCGAGCTCTGAAAGATCCTCATCATCACCAACGTCCTTGCTGATGTCTTCTGCACCCTCGCCATCACCAAGACCAGTTCCGCTCTCCATCTTGCCCTCTTTGCCTTCGTCCTGGGATGCTTCAGCAGGGCTGCAGAATCCTTCGGCTGCGACCTGAGTGAAGGTTTTGGTCAAAATGTAAGAAGTCTTGCAGACCTCCCGGTGAACCGAAATGAAGCGATCAGTCAGATCCTGGCAGATTTGATAATACTGGGTAGCGATGGGCAGGATACTGGCAACCAAAGCTGCTGCCATGGGAAGGACGCTGGAGGACTTGTCTTGGAGATTTTGCAGTTTGTTAAGAACTTCAGCCAGCGATGATGTGATCTCGTTGAGATGGACTGCTCGGGACGCTCGGGAGAAGAACTCGTCACTTCGTGTCATGAGGCCATCAAAAGTGATCGTGGTAGGAACCTCCTTCAGCTGCTGCAGGCCAACAAGCATCTTGTCAACGGCAGACAGGAGACTGTCATCAAAGGCTTGAATTGGCACGGTACCCTTTCCGAGCAGGCCAGCAGAGGGAACGCTGCTGGTCTGAAGCCATGGATCAATTTGTTCCAAAGCGAAAGAAAGCTCGGGACGATCCTGAACCCATGTCTTCAGGTCAGCCTCAAGCTGGGCGAGCGATGACCACGTACGCTGAATGAGCTCTTTCTGAATAGTGGAGGCAATTCCAGATGGCAGAGAAGGTTGCGACTGCAGCGATTGGCGGAGATCGTCGAATGCAGCCCTTCTGGATTTCAACTCTTGGGAAAGGGAGGTCGCAGGAAGGCCCGAGAATTTGGAGTGCACGTCAATAATGGTCGATGCAAGTCCAAGGATTGGGCTGAGCCAGGAGACAACTCGGGTCAAACCGAGCAGTTCCTCGCCAGCAGACGCGCCAGCCTTGATGAGCGAGTCCGAGCCGATGGTCCACAAGTGCCGGGCCTTGTCGAGAGTAGCCTTGAGAGCTCCTAGTTCAGACAGTGCTGGGGAGAGGACACCTCTCTGGCGTCGAATGATGAACAGGAGGTGCTCAATTGAGCCCATGCTGCGAGAAACTTCGACATTGCTGAGCTCATCAGAGTAATTGCGCGAGGCCAGACGAGCACGGGGCACGAGATCAAGAAGCCTGTGGAAGTACGAATCGGCACTTCGGACTGAGCCTTGAGCCGCGGCATTGGATTCAAAGGCAGCACTGGTTGAGATCACCTGGGCAAGGGTAACTTGAGCTTCAATCAGACTGGTGCCAGCATTGCGCTTGACACCCATCTCAAAGAGACGCTTCAGGGTATCAGCGTAGAGGCGACGCTTCTGAACCTTAAGATGCTGGACATCGTCTTTGTTATCTTCGGTCAGAGTCTTGGGGGTCAAGGACTTGAACTCGTTGATACCCTCGATGATGGAAACGGTGAACCCTTCGAGATCCTTGGCAATATCAAACTCGGATGGAATGGAGGAATATAGATTCATCATGTTGCGAGCGGTACCGTCCGGGTTCTGGAATCGGAGAGCTCTGGAGGACCACAGCCTCTTGTTTGACTGACAGATGGGCAAGACTTCCGGGAACAATGCTGTTGGTAGAGCTTTGTCCTCAATGCTTGATTCGGTCACGGACTCTCCGGATTCAGGAAGGCCTTGTTCAAGAACCGGTTGAATTGGCTGTGCGAGAGCCTCTCGGTACTTGCGAACCAGCTTGAACAACTTGACATGTGACCTCCGAGCACTCTCCTTAAGGGCAACGATATTGATATCCTTCCAGCTGGCTAATTGAATCTGCTCCTTGATATCTTTCTCCAGGGCAGATCTCTTTTCCTGGAGGATCTTGTCAACCGACGGCTCAAAAGGCTTGAAATGGGCCAGGAAATTGCTGAGTGCAGACACGAGCGGCGCCAGACAAGCATGGTCAGTGACGAATGCCACGAGCAGTGCCTGGAAGTCTGAAACAAGTTGGAGGCGACGAGTGAATTGACCCAGAGAAGTGGAGTTGAAGAATTGCTCCAGAGTTGAGATGACACCCTGAATGTGCTCACTCATGTCTTGCTCACCAGACTCTGCCATCTGCAGTGGTACGGCCAGAAGCGCTTCGTATGCAACGAACCACCAAGAGCTAACATTCTCGTCGCATCGATCCTTCTCAAGATCCAGGAGCTTCGCCCATGTGGACAGTTCAAGGCGACGCCAGCCGATGGTCGTTGCTGTAATCTCGTCGTATAAGGGTGCGGCCGAGTATTCCCGGCTGGCGACCAGCTGCCACTCATGCACAAACGAATGGAGCTTCTCGAGCTTCGTCAGGAATTTGGCGACAGGTTCAGTATGCTTGAACTGGAGAATCTCCGAGCAGCAGGTGATGACATCTTGGAGAACGGCATGCTCGGGCCAGGCAGTCTGGATCTGCGCAAAGCGAGATTGAACCGAAAGTGCAAGGTCAACCAGCTTTCTAGCTTCGCCAAGGTTCGAATCGGTGTAGAAGTTGTAATTCTTCTGCTTATCCTGAGATCCCTCACCCATGACATCTTCAAGAAGTAGGAAGACAGCAGGAAGGTGGTGTTGCGGTGAAACGGGAGCAAAGGAGCTCTTGTTAGAAGCCCACATTCTTCCCAGGAGGCGGGCAGATTCCTTAACAAAAGTAGGGAGTGCTTCACCAGTACGGTGAGCACCGACAATTCTGGCATGAAGAGAGGAGAGTCGTACGGCAATCATGCGGGGGTCAACTCGGCCAACTTCCTGGGTTTCAGAAGCCCCTTCATCGTAAGTTGGGAAGAGCTGGTGCAGCTCAGCTTCGTTGACCTCCTCTTCATCTTCCCACGAGCCTCGATAGCGGTAGAGCTCGGACTTTTCGGCTTCCTTCTCCTGGTCCTCTCGAAGCTGAGTTTTCCACAAGTAGTGGAAATCAGAGAAAATGCGTCGAATAGTTTCACGGCCTGACTTGATATCGAGCATCGTGGGATCCGCATCCTTAGCCGTCCACAAAGCGGACAATTCGTGCAGTCTCATCTCCACAGCATTGCTTTGGTTCGAAGGCAAAGGTGCATTGCTGTCAGAAAGAACAGGATGGAGAGTACCGCCCAAGAACGGTGTGCACTTGCTCAGAGATTGGATATCTCGGGTATTTCCGGAGTGATCGTCTTCGCTAGTGGCCAGGAACAGGCCAACATCGAGAAGTTGGAGGAAGCGTACAACCGGTACGGTGATGTCGTCGTAGGATCGATAGTATGTGCTGAGGCGAGTGCTAAGCTGAGCGATGTTATCACGTAGAAGCTGAATCATTTCCCGGGATTCCGAAATGCTTCCAGGTGAACCAACCATCGTCTCTGGGTTCCGGTTGAGGACGGAATTGATCAAGTTCAGGAACTCTCCATGCAATAAGCTCAGTTCAGATTGCTCGGGGCGAGTCACTGATGAGGGAGGCGGGGCAGATCCTAGTTCCTGGATCTCCTGCTGTAGAAGAAGGGATCGCAGGTTGGATGGTTGACCAGAGAATGTGCTTTCGAAGGCAAGAATGGCATTGGACTTCGCACTAATCTCATCGAGACGTTGATAGTGTCGCTTGCGTTGGACAACAAGGCCAAGTGAAGGATCAAAGGCTTTGTCTGGGACAAAGAGGCGGAGGAGGATGACGGCTAGCTGTACCGTTGCGAGTCCAGTGAAGCGGACAGTATGCTGGCCATTGGAGACCGAGGTCAGCGAGGAAAGGAGAGCCGGCAAGGCCTTCTGAGCCAGGTTCCTGAAATAATGTTCCTCTGCGAGACTGGGATCGACTGTGGTTGAAACATTTGCCCCATTCTCAATGACCTCTCCTGATTCAATGGATCGAAGAATGGAAACAAGACGACCAGCAGACTCGACATCAAGGAATTCACTGTGACAAGAGACAAGCTCAGCGGCCACGGCTGCCAGGGCACGGCTGAGAATCATAGACTGCTCTGTCGCGACTTGCCTACTGCTCACTGAGAGAGCCTTGGACAGCGCCTGCTTCTCTGCCTGGAGCAAATCCATTTGACCGAGTGTCGTGTCACCGACGGATGTCAACCGGTCCAACAGGGACAGTGAGATAACTCCACCAATCGCCAATGGGGAACTAGAGTCCTTTCCTGCACCCGAAGACAGAGCGATTCTGTGAAGCAACTCCGGAACCCGACTTTGGGTGATCGAAGAGTCGAGCGACCGTGCACGGCGACCAGCAAGTAAGGGCACCACTGTCTGAACAGCCTTCTCAGTGCCAAACGACGAGATGTCATGATACTGGCAAATCGCTTCAAACTCCTGCGAGAAATAGGGGTACTGGACAGAATCAGAGCGGCGGACGGCTTGACCAAGCTCGGCCACGGTCTGCTTGATGCCTTCGAGAAGCAGATCTCCGTCCGCGCCGTCTAGCAGAATGAAGCGTTGCGCATCAATCAACGAGTTCCAGACATTACTCAGCTGAGAGACCTCAACGCGGGTCTGCAACGCCAGGCTGGTAAAGTCAGACACGGTACTCTCTAGCTCGATCAACGACTTCAGCTGCTCTTGTGATGAGGGTGTGACATGTCTCCAGGAATCCCAGATTCGTTGCATACTGAGGCCCGTAGTAAGAGCCCACCCAGCTTGGAAGCGAGCAAGGGCATTGGAGAGCGATCTTTCCAAAGGCTTCAGTGAGGGAGATGTCTCGAAGAGGGATGCGCACACCCTTCTTCCAATCTGCAGGTAAACTTGGAATTCACCCTCGTTGACCTGATTCACATCGGTCGCCTTGTAGATGTCCCAGCACAGGGAGATGACCGTTCTTAGAGCAGCCACAATCTCTGGCGATCCAAGGCCAGCCTCGTCCAGGCTTTGAATATAATCATACAAAGCCTGGCCGCAATCGGACAGGAAGCTGCCGACGGGCTGAGTTGTGTCCTTCATCAGGGATTGAATCCGGCTGGAGGCCAGGGAACGCTCCAGTCGTGTCATTTGACTCGGCTTGAGTTGGTTTGCAGAGTCATTGGAGTGGACCAAGCGTTGCTTGAGGCGATGAAGGTCGAGTCTGAACTCTTCGAGGTAGGCTAAGACAACCATACTAGAGCGGTAGTCACTGCCTCCAGTAACTGAAAGAAGTGGCTCGTTGACCAGAGGGTGAATGGGCTGCAGTTCGCCCTTGATGCTGAGAGAGGCTCCAGCCATGTTGATATCGGTAGCGACAAAGTTGAGGGGTCTCCACTGATCATTTTCCTGGAGGATGGAAATGTATCGCTGCAAGGTGTTGGTAGTAGCAAGTTTCTCCAAACTACTTTCGGCATGATTGGGCAAGAATGTGCCGGGAGACTTCTGCAGATAGACAAGATCTGCGGGGGAAAGATGGTCCAGACAGATTTCCAACGAATTGTCAGTGGTGGCAGATGATGACGCTGTTTGCGAACTCCAAACATGACGAAGCCGATAGAGCGCCGACTCGCACGTATATGACGGCCCTGTCGTAATAGAGAACTCCTGGTTCTCGCTTGGCATGAAGCAGATCTCAATGCATCGATTTCGCATGGCACGAGACAATTCTCCATGGCGTGGGTCCATGGTCATGAAGAGGCGGAAGTTGGGATGAGGAGTTATGATGCGAGCCGATCCATCCTCGGTTCGCTGTTCATTCAGGATCAGGGTGCCGTTGGGCTCGGTGAGTGAGTTCAGTCTGTCCAGAACGGACGGGTTACACAGATTTGCGTTGTCAAGAATGACCCAGGATCCATTCTGAACGGCCCTTGTCAGAACACCCTCAGTCCACTCAAAGCCGACCTTCATCTTATCAGTATTGCGGATGGTATCCAATAAATTCTGGGCTCTCTCGAGGAATTGTTGCAGGGTTGCATCAGAGAATGACTGGCACAGATCTGACAGCGATGAGACCACGGTCTCAAGCGATGTTTCTGGACTTTGGAAGTGTTGGCAGATCTGAAGAGCCAAAGCCACAGACTCGGAGACGTCCCCGGACGCGAAAGAATGGATGATCTGGTTGCGCAAGAAGATCTCGACATCATGGATGAAGGATGAGACCTCTCGTCTATGGTCGATTTGCTCAAAACCACCAATCAGGTCCATGGTGTCTGTATCGGCGCTCAGAGCGAGCTCCTCCAGGTTTGCACCATTGATAGCTGCAAGCTTCTTGATCAAGGTCGTCTTGCCGCACCCAGCCGGACCAACGAGAATACTGGGCCATGAGTTGTCAATGCACAGGATGAGAGACTCGAGGATATGAAGATCATTGGGGAGAATCTTCATATGCGGTGCAAGCGAGCGCTGCAAAAGTGGATCTCTGGTCAAGATACCCAGGCCAACCTGGAGGTAACCCGGAGTCAGGTTGTGGAAATAACTCTTCTGGCCAATATCGCAATCTTTGAAAATACGGTCGTAAATTTGAGTAACTTGCACACGATCATCTTGACTTCTGAATCTTTGGCTGATAACGATGTCCAGGAAGTGCTTAGTCGGGATCTGCAAATCGCCCCGGTCGGCTAACTGAAGCCATCGCTGAATGTCTCGCAAATTGACTTCCCATGGACCACCGACAGCTCCGAGCCTGCGCTCAGTCACTATCGCTGTGTTGAGACTGGAAATGAAATCGACCAGGCGTTCTGTCTGGGAAAGAGGACTGCCAGGGAATAGCTTTGTGCAGATCTTTTTCAAATCTGCGTCGGTGAAGCTGTCTGCGTAAACAACAGTGAAACGATTCACGAAGGATGCAGGGAGACCCTTTCTTCCACCGCCCTGGTGATGGGGGTTTTGGGCGGCAAAGAGGACAAAGTCAGGGTGACGTTTGAAAGTCTGGTCCAATTCGGCGATATAGACCTGCTGGCGGTGATCAAGACAAGAGTTGAGACCTTCGAGAACAGACTGTGAGGCCAAGTTCATTTCGTCCAGAAGAACCCAATCACCACGCTGCATTGCTCGCAGGAAGGGGGCGTCCCGCCAAGTAAACTGTCCAACATCTCCACCTTCAACAGGAACGTCGGACCCGAACAAGTCCGTGAGGTCTGTCTGCTCCGAAAGGTTGATCCGGGTGAGGGGCTTGCCGAGGGCTTTGGCAAGGGCTGTCACAAGTGTAGTTTTACCAACACCGGGACTGCCCTCCATGAGGATGGGTTTGGAAGATTGCAGACCACGAGCGATTCTAACTGAATTGGCAATCGTGGTCGGTGCGTCCATGGTGAATTGCGGATCGGGGTCTGTCTCCCCAACAGTTGGGAGAGAAAACGGACCGACCTGCAGGAAGCCCGGCTCAAGGGAAACAGTCGAAGATTGCCAGTAAATCTTGGAGGCATCAACCTGGAAAAGCTCACCCAATTTATCCAAACATTTCTGCCGATTGCCGTCAAGGTTGTGCAAAGAAATCGCAAGCATTGCGGCTGGGTTAGCACCGAGAGTATCGACAAAGACCATGGCTGCACCTTGGACGATAGCAAACAACGTATCATCACTTTGACAGGTGTTCACAAAGTCAACCCAGGCAAGAAGATCACGAAGAGAAAGGGAAGTAGTCGAAGTGTTCTGGAAAGTAGCCTTGAACCACTTCGCAAAACGAAGCATCGACCTTGCCATGTTCTCATCTTTGAGTGTCAATCTCATCTGAAGAATCGGGAGAATATCCTCGTCTTCGGACAGTTGAGGGGCCCAGATCTCTGTCATACGGTTTCGGAGGGCAGCTGAAAGCTCTCGTTTGCCGTAGTCACCTCCCGGATTCATGGTTGACAAAAATTGGAACCCTCCGTCAGCCACAACCATAGAGTCGACAGGACCTTTCTCAGCCAGAAGGATTGATCGATGGGGCTCCAGCACACTGTTCAGTCGCTCCAGGACAGAATCGTCAGCTAGAGAAATTTCGTCGAGCAGGAAAAATTGGCCGGTCTTCATAGCAGTGATGAGACTTCCGTCAGACCACTCGAAGAGAGCGTTGCATCGAATGATATTCTTCTCGATTCTGCGCAAAAGGTCTTGATCCTTTTCTTGTCTTTGCTGGGCATCGAGAGCGGAGAACTCCTGCTTCAATTGTTCAAGTGACAAGGTTTCTGATGGCTGCCCGTGGACAAATAGCTGGAGATCTTCAAACAGTTGCTTCTCAATTGCTGCACGGTTTCGGATGGGCCTTTGAGCGCCAATTAGATCGCCAGTCTCCAAGTTTACATGGGCGTTCACAATGAACAGCTCCCGCTTGAACGCTTCGGCAACGGCCTGGCAAAGCTGTGTTTTACCACATCCAGTCTCTCCAACGAGGAGAACTGGCTCGTTGTTCTTGAGAGCTTTAGAGACCAGGATGAAAAGGCGCCTCATAGCCTTGGTCCAAACGATACCAGAAGGCAGACCAGACATTTGCGGGACACTCTGCTCAAGCTGGGACTCGCTGTAAAGCACATCTTCGTCCAAACGAACCTTCATGACCTCTTCAATCACACCTTTCACGGCAGCTTTCTCTTGGGGGTTACGAACACGTTCGCCAAGAAGCATATAGCCGTTGACAGCCAGCTGTTCGCGGTCATCTGCATCACGAAGAGCCCACCGGAAAAGATCACGAAGAGTGGCAAAACTGTTCTTCTGCTCAAAGAGTCGGTTGGATTGACGGAGCAAGGAAAGCTTTCGATATACCGAGACAATTCGGGTGCAAAATGAGGGAGCAATCTGAGAGCGTTCTTTGAGAATGAACTCGAGCTCGCTCTCGGGAATATCATCAAAGTGAAGCTCAAGGAAACGATTCCGGAACGCACGGGATAGAACCTTTCGGCCACCATACAGACCGGCAGGATTTTGCGTAGCGAATAGCATGAAGTTCGGATGAGGGTGGACGACTTCCTGGGTCTCGGGAATGAAGAGCTCACGATTATCATCCAGAAGACGATTCAGCGCCTCGAGGACATCGGAGGGTGCCAAATTGAGCTCATCAAGAACGATCCAATACCCATTCCGCAGAGCCTCCACCAAGACACCCTCTTGGTAACGCAGGCTTCCATCGTCTGTAGAGATATAGGAGCCAAGATACTCCTGCAGGTCCGTATGCTCATGGTTGTTGATGCGGACAAACTTGTTGCCGGAGACCTTTGCCAGGTACTCAATCATACTGGTTTTTCCTGCCGATGTGGGACCTTGCAGCAGGACAGGGAAGCGACGCGTGGAGCTGGCTCGCACCAAGTTCTTGAGGTTCTTCTCGATAAAAGGAGTAATGATGTAGTGAGGTTGTTCTTCTGGGACCAAAGGACCACGTCGCATCCAGTAGTGCTTGAATTGAACATAGTCGTGGCCATCCTCAGGAGGTCGGGGGGTTCGTCCAAGTAGCGACTTCGCATTCTTTGCATTTTCAAAGATGTGCTTTTCAAGTAGAGGGACAAGAGACCGTTCAGATTCCAGGCTCAAGACAGTCAGGAAACTCATGCTGAACCCTTCATAGATCGCTCGTCGCAAGCCATACACATGTGCATGATCAATGACATATATCAAGGCTCGAACGAGAGTTCGAATACTGAAATGCGGTCGCTGCCCGGCGCCATCTGTGAGCTTGTTCTCGTTGCTGAGCTTCTTGGTCTCCATGTATAGCTGTGCAAGATCGGGCGCGGCACGTGGATCACCCATGGTCAGGTTACCAAGATACTTCTCAATTAGGGCCAACAGGTCGTCCAGCTCGGTGTCGGGTGAATGGACATAAAACTCGGTAAATCGAGAGCGCAGACCAGGAGGCAAGTCACGCTTGCCGGCGTCGGTTGCAGGATTCATAGCACCAAAAATGCGGAAGTCGGGATGACCGAAAACTCGCTCCACGTCACCGGCCTCGGAGAGCAGGACAGAAGGGGAACCCTCGCTGCCGTGGTGCAGGAGACTGGCAATATTCTCAAGGGTATCAGGTGAGGCCAGGTTCACTTCATCCAATAAGACCCATTCACCGTTCCTCAGGGCTCTGACAATCTTTCCTTGCACAAAGGCAAACGCAAACTTTGCGTCGCCCTGAGATACCTGGGCTTCGAAATCCGCAAGCTGGGCTTCGAAACTCTCCCATCGCTGTCGTAGGTGTTGATACCTGGGGGAGTCCAGCTTCCTCTTCTTAGCTGGCTGCTGCTCATCGCCATTCTCGCCCTCTTTCGAACTGTTGCGCGCAGGATTGAAGACCCCATTGGCCAACCGCACAGCCTCGTGCCAAAGATTGACAAGACGAACCCAGTTACCTGAAGCAACACTCTTAGACACGGAGGAAAGGAATTTCTGGTTCTTCTTTGCTGAGAACGTCAACTCGAACAGCTGGGTGAACTCATCAAGCATTGGGACTGCCATTGTCCGAATACTGACAGGCTTGAATCCACCTAGCAGATCAGTGCTTTCTGATTGTTGCGACAAGTTGACGACGGTGAGCTTCTGGCGCATCAATGTCGCAAGTTGCTGAATCACCGTTGTCTTGCCAATACCAGTTTCTCCAACAAGCAGGACAGGTTCTGCCATCTGCACCGAAGCAGCGACTTGCTCCATGATAGCCAGCGCGGACCTCGTCGAAGCAAACCGTGACGCGGCAGCGGCAAGCTTCTGTGCTGCACCACTCGGTACTTTGATTTTCTGCAATACCTCCCGACCGAGCACTAAGGAGTTGTTCTTGTCGTTATATGTTGGCGTACGTTCCTCAAGACAAAACTGTGCACGTTGCGGTGAGATTTGGAGAGCTTCGGCAACGACTGAAGCGAGAGAGCTTTGCATGGACTTCTCAGGGAGATACTTGAGGAAGATGTCCACCACATCCAAGAGGATCTCATCATCGACACCTTCCGCGGTAGCTTCAAAGCCGGTCTTTGCGCCAAGAAGTTGTAGTCTCCGGTGCAAGCGACTGCAAAGTTTGATCAGATCACGGAAGCCCGGTGTCCGGCCCTGGGAGCCCTTAATTGCCAAGCTACCATGGAAGGCAGAGCAAACCCTTTTGTAAACCTCCATTATAATTGGCACACGAGATTCAAGCAAGGGGAACTTTTGCAGAATGACATCTCGCATCTCATCCACGGAGAGAGAGGCGACTGGTACTCGCTGCCACAAACGACTGCCGAGCATCGAGGTGCTCGGCGCGACTTCCTCTCCGGCAATGTTGTAAGAAGACTTCATGGTGGCAATGATTTTGAACCCTTCTGCGCACTTAATCCGCTCCCTTCGGCTCGCAATAGTCAGTTCTCCTCGCTCAATGATCGGAAGGATGAGACCGAGGACTTCGGATGGAGCACGGTCCAAATCTTCAATCAGAACCCAACGGCCTTCTCTTGCAGCTTTTGTGAGCACGCCGGGCTGCCAGGAGAAAGAGCCTGTTGCAGATGATGTCGCGTACATTCCGAGTAGACTTTTAGCATCGGTCTGCTCGTTGAGATGCAGCGTTACCATCGACTCAGCCTGGCCCATTACACCGGCAATGTCGTTAATCAGAGATGTTTTGCCGGAGTTGGGCAGGCCAACCAACAAGATGGGCTTGAACCCAAGAAGAGATCTTGCAATACGGCGAATATTTGCTGTCGTGGTGGGGGTCTTCACAATAGAAGAGGAGAACGGCTCCGCATCTTTCAATCGAGGAATCAAGACGCCAGAAATATCGGCAGACCTGGCTGTGAAAGCATCCCGAGTGCTGTCAACCAGCGACATCGCGTCACTCTCTGGCCGTGACAAGTTCGCCTGTCGGATATGCCTCTCAAGGGTTTCCCATCGTCGTTCCTCCCACAAGCCCAAAAGTCGGTAATCGATTGTGATCCCTTCCCAGTTTCCTTCAATAGGGTCAATGCCAGTGTTGACACGCAGCATATTCTCAGTAGCTGCATCGGCGGCATGCATATAGAGGGCAAAGCATCGCACGGCAAGGTATCGGATTACTCGATCTTCGTGGGGGAACAGAGATTGGAGTTGAATCGGGGAAACGGCTTTGGCGAAGGTGTCCAAATCGAACGATAGTAGTCGGAAGAGTGCAAGGAGTAATGTACGGGTATCATTTGGTTTCAACTGTCGCAGTGTCAATTCCTTCGACCCAACGAGGGCCGAGAGGGCTCCAGCCTGGGACGAGGCATGCTGGCTGGCGAAAGGTCGGAGGTATGCCGCGAAAGGTAGGATACGGGCAAAGGCCGCCAGAATATGAATGGGATCGGCATTGATATCTGATCGAAGCCATCGAGCTGCAAGATCGACGACGATCGGTTCGTATAGTCGGAAAATGGTTTCTGTGAATTCGCTGTTTAATGCTCCAAGCGCAAGCGCGTGAAGCTGCTGAGTCCCTGAGGCAGACCGAACAAGACTAGCGATCTCATTCGGGAGCTGCTCTAGCAGCTCGGACTCTGTGAGAGTCCTCTCGTAGGTGGGCCTTTCATCCATGCTGAGCCCAGCCGCGTAGAGGATCTCCTCGCAATTAACTTGATTGCAAGTTGAGGAAGAAATTCCCCGTAACTTTTTTTTTCTGCCGCGATGGAAGACCCAGCCCCACCGGACTGGAGCACTCACCGCCTCTGGATTGAGGCGACTAAGCCCCCCGGAGTTTGCGCCAGCTCCGATAATCAGTCGTCAACATCGCCTGCAGCTGCAGCAACGTGGTCTTCGCTATTTGATGATCGTGCAGGAGATGCTGGCTCTGTGTAGTTTTGATGGTTCAAGATGTCAATGACCGGTCAGAGCTCGGGCAGCGATGATCAACCGTACGCGACACATCCAGCTATCCCGGAACAGGAATCTGAGAACCCACGACTTCAAGACACTGGTCAAGGCGCAGAGGGATTTGAGCCGTACGTGTGCTGTCATTGGTGACTCTCTTACTTTGCTAACTTTCTTCACAATGCAGTATTTCTTTCAAGCGAAAACAAAAACGCCAATCCCGTTTCAGCCTATCTAGCCTTTTCTCGAATACCGCCGGCGGTTCGAACACTCGGCTTGGCTTCTCGAGACCTCACGGCGGACTAAATGGTGATGCATCGCCAATAGAGCCCTATGGGGCAGCTGGACTGAACGGCGATCCGAACTCTAAAGATGGTGGTCCCCTGGACTGGTATGTGGAAGGGCCCGGGCGCCGCGTTGGCTACGACGATTTTACTGCAATCGATTGGATTTACGAATACACGAAGGAACGTCAACGGAAAAGGCTACTATACTCCAGTGGTCAGGGTGTTCTGGGCTATGTGCGCAGAGTTGTAGAAGCCAGCAATGTCTGGTTTGTCCTTATTGCAACCGGTATCGCAGTGGGAATCCTTGCTGCGGCTATCGACATCGCGACGGATTGGTTGGGAGATTTGAAAACTGGATACTGCAAAAGCGGCAGTGGAGGTGGAAAGTTCTATCTCAATCGAAGCTTCTGCTGCTGGGGTTTAGATGGTAGGTACAGACTTGGCGTTTCTTGGCGGAATTGGCACTGTTCTACAATCTGACAATTGGAATTGTGAATAGATTATACCAAATGCATGGACTGGACACCATGGGGGAATGCACTAGGGGCATCGTCAACCGGAGGCCGGTACGCCATCGAGTACATATTTTACATCGTATTTTCGGTGCGTTGTCGTCATTCTTGGTACTAGGAGAATATCTCTAACATAAACCAGGTTGTGTTTGCTCTATGCGCCTGCCTCTTGGTACGAAGATTTGCAATTTATGCCAGGCACAGTGGAATTCCTGAGATCAAAACAATACTTGGAGGAACTGTTATTCGTCACTTCATGGGGCCGTGGACGCTGACTATCAAGTCGCTTGGGCTGGTATGTCTTCCCCCCTTGACCAAACTACTAACGCTGAATGACTTACTTTATTGCCCCAGTGCCTTGCAGTTTCATCCGGTCTTTGGCTCGGCAAGGAGGGTCCGCTAGTGCATGTTGCATGCTGTTGCGCCAACATCATGATGAAACCCTTCGACAGCCTCAATGGCAATGAGGCGAGGAAACGTGAGGTCCTTTCTGCCGCTGCTGCGGCAGGTATCTCTGTTGCCTTCGGTGCCCCCATTGGAGGCGTTCTATTTAGCTTGGAGGTAAGCATTGAACGGTCCTTCGCTTGCTCCATTTCGTTTCTCCTACGGTCTCTAACCCTTGACAGCAACTGTCCTATTATTTTCCAGATAAGACAATGTGGCAGAGCTTTGTCTGCGCCATGGTTGCTGCCGTAACTTTGCAAGCATTGAATCCGTTCCGTACAGGGAATATTGTGCTCTATCAGGTCACCTATACTCGAGGGTGGCACCGCTTTGAGGTCATTCCCTTCATCATCCTTGGCATTGTCGGCGGCCTCTTTGGAGCATTCCTCATTCGTCTAAACATTAAGATTACCCGGTGGCGACGATCTCGGTCATCTTCTCGGCCCATTATTGAGGTCGCCATTATTGCGCTCTTGACGGCGCTGATCAACTTTCCAAATCATTTCATGAGAGCTCAAAACTCAGAGCTCGTTCAGGCACTTTTTGCTGAGTGCAGCAGTGAAACATATGATCGATTCAGCCTTTGCGTAACCGGGTCTAAAGCTTTCGGTGTAGTTGCAATTCTTTTGCTCGCCGCCACCCTCGCCTTCTTCCTCGCTTCAGTGACCTTTGGTCTCGATATCCCAGCCGGTATTATCCTGCCTTCAGTTGCCATTGGCGCTCTATATGGTCGTGCTCTAGGAATACTGGTGCGAATGTGGCAAGAAGCCTACCCAAAAGCATTCCTTTTCGCAAAATGTGAACCCGACATTCCGTGTGTCACGCCTGGCTTATACGCGATCATTGGCGCCGCCTCCGCCCTAGGTGGTGCGACGCGGATGACCCTTTCCATTGTCGTCATTATGTTCGAATTGACGGGCGCGTTAACCTATGTCATCCCGATCATGATCGCCGTAATGTTGTCCAAATGGTGTGGTGATATCTTCGGAAAGCGAGGCATCTACGAATCATGGATTCAGCTCAATGAATACCCATTCCTCGACCACCGCGACGATACTACCCCTCCAGACGTCTATGCTCGACGAGTCATGACAGTTGTCGACGATCTCTCTGTCATCACCGCAACCGGCCACACCATTGGCTCACTTCGAAGCCTCGTTGCTAATACCACCTATCGTGGGTTTCCCGTCATCTCCGAAACCTCCACCCCCATCCTCCTTGGATACATCACACGCAACGAGCTCTCCTTTGCTTTGAAACATTCCACTTCTCCGGCCAACCGTAACCTCTCGGAAGAGACCCAAGTCTTCTTTATCCACCAGCCATTTGCAGACCCCGTGGAGACGTTGGATCTTCGACCTTGGATGGACCAAACACCCATCACCCTCAACAGCAATATCAGTTTCTTGATCGTGCTACGAATGTTCCAGCGACTTGGTCTACGTTATGTCCTGTTCGCTAACAAAGGAATATTACAAGGCCTGCTAACCAAAAAAGATGTTTGGTCAGTGCTCAACGGTGTTGAGTTCCGTCGACAGGAAGCACTACGAGGCGACGAGTTTCAGGACACTCACGGGGCTGAAGAAGTCGGTCTACTCCAGGGTGATGAGCGAAGTAGTCTCGGCGATTCACTCAGACGAGACTCACTATGATGGCCTTCCTTCCTTTTTCTATGAATTTTGTACAACGATCTTTTGCATGGTGTTTTGGGGAATGCCTAGGCCTGCTCGATGCGGTTTTCTGCTGTAGAATTTCTCTTCAATATGTCTCGCAATTAAACCTGGACCAAGCAAATGCATATATCTCTGCTGATATCAAACCTGAATACATCCGAGTCAAATGTGCCAAGGAGTGAGTTACCCGTCTTAGATGAGCAATTCCCATAGGGGCCGTATTCCTCAATCCTTGTAGAACCCCCAAACCTGAATCGGACTCTTACTTCCCAATCAGGTTAGTACAACTTTCCGCTCAACCTTACCTCCCATTTTCCACCAGTTCGTTCCTAACTTTCTCTTTCATCCTTCACCGCCCCTCTCACCGCCCTCGCCACCGCTTTTATCATCCAGAATAATGGCTGATTCCGACATCTCTTGTTTCGGGCCTTCCCCGCCCATCCTTTACCACAATTTAGGTATTGATTACATACCAACGTTTGATCTCAATTCGGAGCCTCTCTGGCCCGACGAAGAACCTTTCTCGCTCGACGAAGAAACTCTCCATTTCTGGGACTGGCTCTCCTATGAAATGCTCGACATTATGCCTGTCGATCCCTTTGAAGTGCGCATGCGCTTCACCCAGCAGCTCCAGCATCTCAGCGCCTCCGTCACCTCGTCCAAGAAAGCGGCGCAATATGCACTCAAGCACCGCGACCTGGATGAGGACCTCCACTCATGCATTCTGGAGCAGCTGGAGAAAGTACGTATATTGTTTAGGAATATGGATGACTGAATGCTGACCTGTGTTACTTTGCAGAGCAACATGAACACTCGGGCCAATATCATGTCCTTTATTGAGCAATTCTGTGAGATGGCTGTAAAAGAGGACCACGAGCCTTACGTTCGGATGATGCAGCGTGACATTCTCCGTGTTGTGGATGCAGTCGTTCCCCCCGATGGATCCGGTGCAGCCAACATCAAGCATGTTCAACATGTACTGGACAATCTGCAACACAAGGAAATCCTCTCCGCCGAGACTGTAGCTGAGATCGATGCCGCGCTCAAAGACCGCGATACCCACCCCGAGCACTATGACAACGACGAGGAAGGGGCTCAGGAGGAAAGCAGTCAGTCCAAGACTGGCAGCCCCCGCAACGTCAAGGCTCAGGGTATGCGTCCGGACAAGCGAGAGATCGAGCAGAGAGTCGAGGAAGATCGCGAGCGCAACAAGCGTCTGAGAGAGAGCATGTGGGCTGTCAGTGGGGATACCCAGGAGGAATCGCACCGAAACTGGGATGCAGTTAGCGACACCAACTCGGATGACATCCGCGACGCTGAAGAAGAGGTCATGGAGCAGGCCCAAGTGGCTGCCGAGATGCGCGGAGAGCTCTGATTTCCATCTTCGATCATCACCATCTCCTATCATTACCATCCTGCATCACTATCATCCCCTATCATTATGACCACCTCCCATCTTTACCACCTCCCACCTTTACCACATCCTATCCTTACCGTCTCCCTTCATCACTATCCCCCATCTTTACTATCCCATGTCTCTATCCTCCCTCATCCTTACCATCACACATCATCACGATCATGTATCACGGAATGTTTGTTGTTTTCAGGTTTGCATAAACAGTGCAGGCGTCATGTTTTGTCGGGCATCTTTCTAGGTGGAAAAGTATCAGGCTGCATTTTACGGTCTCACGGCGTTATGGCATATGAGCTACGATTGTGATACCCATTTCGTCGTTCACAAGACCTTGTACTAGCTTTCAATCGCAAGCCTAGGTCAGACATATTCTTATCATCTTCCCAGTCCTAATTTTCCATTTTTTTTTCAATTCCAAAAAGGACAACGAGCAGGGTAGGCCTGGATCTCGCAAGGTAGGGACAGACTTTATAGCCCTCGTACCTCGTTAACTTTAACCTCTATTTTTTTGTTGTCCAGAATTGACTTAAAAATTTGGGCAAAGTGCAATTTGTATAGATAGAGCAGATCCTATGGTGCCAAGACTTTGTGGGGATCGGGAAATTTTAAGACCGAGCGATTTTTTTTGGGCTGGCGCATCACGCTGCAGCTTCAATCACAAGTACCTCGCCCTGGGACTGGTGCCGTCTCCCTCTTTCATTCTGTTTTGTTTTTGGCCTCTATGTTCTCCAATATTGTGACTGCGGCCAAAGGACTATTTGCGCGACACGAGTCTCAAACCCCACTCGCAGACTCTGCTGGTGCCACCACCGCAACTACATCCGACATGGTGACCGCTACCAGAAGAGGGACGGTCACGTCTAATCCGACCGAAGGGCCGACCACCAACGGTGCTGCTAAGCAGGGCAAGCGCAAGGCTCAGCCGGTGACCACGGAGAAGACGAATGACAAGCAGAGCAAGCGGAGGAAGAGGAATAGCTTGGAAGCAGAGATTACAACGATGGAGGAGTCCTCAGCGGATGAGGAGTCGGCACCCAAGAAGCACTTCCGCTTTGGCAGCGAAGACCCAGAGCCCTCTGTTCCAGAGACACGCCCCGAGTCAGTCCCAGTGAAGCCTGAGCAGGATGAAGACGAGGATAGCGATAGCGATGACGATGCGCCTGAGACCATCGACAATTCTGCGCAGCTCTTGAAGATCAAGGAACAGGCCAGGAAGCAGGAAAAGGCAAAGCAACAGTACGTTTCGTCTCCTCCTTGACCATGCTTGTTCGAATCCACTTGACTCACAGTTCATAATAGAGAGGAGCAACTGAAGAGGGAAAAGCGGCGAAAGCTCGACGAAACCCGCAAGTTGCAAGCCAAGTCCAAGCCCAAGGAAATTACAGCTCCCAGCGAGGACCTTCTCTCCGAAAGCACTGCCACCGTGCAAGGCGACAATACCGAAGATGCACGACGACGTGCTCTGCCCGCTTTGCTCCCCGACGATATCCTGAACGCCGAGCCAGTTGCTCGTCCTCCGACGCCGCCTGCCGAAGATAACTCTGGGTTTGCCATTCCGAAAAAGTCGAACAAGTTGAGATTCCTAGAGAAGAGTGAGAAGGCTCCCAGGGATGTTCAAGTAGGCGATGTCACTATTCGAGTGCTTGATGCCCCGTCTACGAAACAAAGTTCGAAGCCTGCGTTGCCCCCCAAAGCTTCCAAGGGCGGGCGGGGTCTGAAGGAGGGATGGCTCAAGCAACAAAAGAGCACAGCACACGTCAACGGTCTACGGAGGACAGCTGGCGGCTCTTCTGGGTTTAAACGTCGATGAAGTTTAAATATCTGCGGTTTATCTTGAAAAGTGTCAAAGGCGCATCATAGCACGGTCCATGGGGTAATGTCTACATTTTTGTTTGGATGGAGTTCCTACTGTACATAGATTACCTATTACCCTTTTAAAGGGGGCAGATGAAAAAAAAAGATCCAATATGAATTCTCAAAAGAAATATACATTCTTCGGTTGTCCCTTTCCCCAGCATGTTTGATCTGGCATGTCCTACCTTGAATCTTCGAAACGCCGCCTCCAGATTATTAAGAGTGGGGACTGTCGCAATTCACGTGGGGAGCTCCGACCTTGGAAGCTCTGACTTTTCCCAGCTTCATCGCTGCTCAACTCCCTCCGGCGCTTCTGTCGCCTGCTCAGTCACGATGTCTCCGGCAGCAGAAGAAGCTCCTCTATTGCCTCAAGCAAATCCGGCCTCACCGCGGACGACCAGGTCATCCCGGTCGGTGACGTTCAACCCGCTGACGACAATCAGTACCTACGGCGGCACCACCTCCTCCGATCCTACCTTTCGCCCTCTTCAGACCGGCTCTCCTCCTGTTCAGAATATCAATGCTACTGGAGGTGCTCCTAGACCGGGCAGTCAGCCCATGCTCTCGGCCTTGAACAGCAAACTCCGTCGTCGAAACAGTCATGGCGCTCCCTTGACTACGCCGCCCCCGGCTGCTCCCAAGATCGGACCGCAACGTACAACCAAGAAAGCACAGAAGCTCAAGCTCCTCCCAGACCCGGTAACCGCTGAAGAGGAAGAGGGTTTCGATGGAGATTTCCCTCGGGACGTCTATTCACAGATCACCCGCATCAAAGAGCCTGCAGCTCGCAGTCATGCCGCTCGACTGGGAAAAGCCGACCGCGACCGCATTCCACGAGTCACAGCATACTGTACGGCCAACTCTTATCGACTAGAGGGCGTGGTCAAGTTCTTGAAATCCCGTGCCAAAACCCGTGGAGCGAACCCTAAGCTGTTCGACGAGTGTGTCTTCTCCCCATTCGATTACCAGTACGAAGAGAAGCAAAAGGGAAGCCGGTTCTTCCCTAGCGCAGGAGGCAATGGACACCATGAACGAAGAACAAGCGAGCGGAGATACTCAGATAGTGCGGTGGAAGTGGAAGATAACACAAAAACCCGACGGGAAGATCTCATCGACTTCCACGACGAAGCTGGCCGTCCCGGTGATGTCAGCTCCGAACATGCAGTTTCTACTCCACAATCGGACGAGGCCTTTGAGATCGACACTACCATTCACACCCCCGAGGTCTTCCTGTTCGACTATGGTACCGTGGTGATATGGGGTATGACGCCGGCACATGAATCCCGGTTCTTGTCTGATATATCGAAATTTGCATCCTCAATATTGAGTCCGGACGATACGCAGATTGAGAACTTCAACTTCTACTATGCTCGAGAATACCAGGCAAGGATATACAATGACTTCATCTCTTTGCGAGAACCTCGAAACCACATGATCAAGCTGGCCATCTCTCATGCGTTAGCTCAGTCGGTCAAGACGTCACTCTTTGAAGACCTGGTGTCAGAAACCATTTCCGACACTGCACCGCTACCGGCTCAAATCGCGCAGACTGGTAGTGTCAACCTCACGCGTCGGCAGATCAACATGCAGATTGGCGAGTTGTTCATCCTGCGAATCAATATTCACTTGCAGGGATCTGTCCTAGATAGTCCTGAGCTTTTCTGGGCGGAACCGCAGCTTGAACCCGTCTACCAGGCCGTCCGAAGTTACTTGGAAATGGATCAGCGTGTCAGTCTGCTTACTGAGCGATTGGATGTCATTGCCGATCTTCTAGCCGTGCTTAAGGATCAATTGACCCATCGCCATGGTGAATATCTTGAATGGATTGGTAAGTTTTAGTACGCTGAAATTGTGTCAAGGGTGTTGCTAACGTTGCGCTCCAGTCATTGTTCTAATTGCAGCCGAAATCTTGGTCGCCGCCATCAATATTGTCGTCGACTTATATGCAGGTGTCGACTAAGCTGAGGAGCTTAACAATCGAGAAGGCAAATCGCGCGAACATTGAGAAGATACAAGTCTACATGCTACTTGTACGACATGCGATGTGGTACAATACCACACTAACCATCAACCCTGTTCCGGTCCACAAATATGAGCCAGTGTGGCCACAAGTCCGGCAGGGGTCCTTTACTTCGAGATTCTCCATGCCCTTGAACTACAGACCAGGCTTGCAATTGTACAACCTTTGCAAGGCATCCACTTCCTCGACATCTCCATGTACCACCATCTCAGCAGCTAACTGCCTTCCCCGTATGTGAAGGAGTGGCTATCCCGTCATTACTACAATAATTCTGTCCGTCTACTTAAGGTTACCGGTGTTGGAGTTAGTGTGTTCTTTTATTTCCAGGGGAACGGAGTCAAGGCGCTGGGCTTGCACTGTAAATGGGATATTCATGTTCATACAATCGCCAATGCATATGTATCAGATTCGATTAACCTTTCACCGACAGGCATATGAGGGTCCAACCTTCCGCTATGTCTAAATATGTTTCCGAGGGGGAATTAAGGCAAATCAGTTCTAGTAATGATTTTGGTATTGTTTCATCATATTCAGACACGAATCACCGAAGATCAAAAAGAAAGCCATCAAAATAAGCACTAAACCCATAACCAGCGCTGTATGAAAAAAAAAAAAAATCCCAAGCAAATAACAAAACAGGCCATAGCCCATAATCCACGGATAGAAGAATAAAAGACCACAATCAGATAAAATAAAAGAAACCCAGCCCAAAAAAACGAACCAGTATGAGTCAACCCACAGAATTATGGATTCAATCCCATTCAATCGATCTCATCAAGGTCACACGCCCTTACCCCTGCTCAACCTTGGGCTCCTTGCTATCCACATCCATAGGCGTAGCCCCATCATCAGCGCCCGTCTCGCCGGCCTGCGCATCGGACTGTGCATCCCGGTTATCCCCTTCAGCGGGCGTCTCGGAATCCTGCACGCCATTGCTGCCGGTCTTCACGCGGAACGATGAGGTGAGCTCCTGTTGACTCGGGGCCGGAGCTAGACGTGGTAGAGAGGCGGAATTTGCGTCGCCATCTCCCGCCTCGCCGGCGTTGTCTTGAGCGGGAGTATCTTCGTCGCCGCCCTCGGCGGGCAGGTTTGATTTGCGGGAGCGCTTAACGCGGAGTGGGCGTTCTTCGGGCTATGTGAGAGGTAGAAGTTAGCAGGGAGCTCAATTCGTAAGATCAGTCCGATGCCTAAAAACGCAAACAACACCGCCCGGTATATAGACTGGACAGAAACCCAGGAGTCCAGAACAAATCAAACCAGACCAAAAAGAGAATTGAACGTACAGTAGGAGGTTGCTCATCCGAACTACCCTCAGTCTCATCCTCAAGATACCCGCCATTCGCACCCTGCGACGCCCCCGATGCACCAAGCCCATTCAACACCGCCGCATTAGACATCATAGCCGCAGCGCGGGCCCGTAGTTCCGGGTCCGCCGTCCCAGCAGCGGCCTCGTCAGCCATACCGGTGACCTTGGCGAGACGCTCCAGCAGCATGCAGGACTCGAGGCGCATCTTCTGGATGTATTGGTAACCGCGGAGGTTGCGGGTGCGCATGAGCTCGTTTTCCGCTTCGACTTCGGCGAGGCGTTTCTTGAGGGCGGCGCATTTGCGCTTGTAGGCGATTTCGACGCTGGGTGGGTTTGCGGTTGTTGTTGGGCGGGTTTCCATTGTGGGTGGTTGTGAGGGAGGTTGAATTGGATGAAAGGAGAAGGGAGATTGTGTGGTGAAGGGTGTAGGTGGAGATTTTGAGTGCTGTTGGCTTTGCAATTGAGGGTCAATGGATGGATGAATGGGTGGATTGAGGTGGAGAGTTCGGAGTGGATGCGGTTGACACGGAGCGTGTAAAAGAGGCGGGTGCAGAGGATGCCGACGGGATGAGCTCCACAGGTGAGATATATACCAAAATTTTAATGGGTATATAAGCTGTGAAGAATGTTAAAGAGCTGTCGGAGCCTGGTTCCTGGCGTGCAAAGGAGATGAAGGAGTCGAACGTTTCTACGGCGCGATATGTTTCTGCCGCGATATCAAAGGCGGTGAATGCTTCCATTTGCATTGCAGAACTAAACTTGATAACTTGATAACTTGACAAAGGCACCAAAAAACACCTAGTACACGCTTACTCGATCAACTATGCACTTCTATCTAATGACCACCGGTGGTGGGTAGGCCCAGGAAGACCTTGAAAGAGTCATAACTGTGGTCATAGTCAGCTACCGAGGCTCGGATTAGTTCATACGATGGATTCAACTTACATCAACCACTGGAAGCCTGTTAGAGTACCCAGCATGACGATACGCACTGGCAGGCCATTCCACAGACCAGAGAAGCCAATGTTTCCATAGATTCGAGAAACAGCCTTCATAGCACCCTCACCAGCTATTCAATCCGATCAGTATATATATCCAACCTGGGCTCTCAAGGGAACCTAGGAAATGATAACTCACGCTTTCGATCGGCATTCAACTTGCTCACCATAACATCGGCCGGATGACTGACAACCGCACAGAAGATACCAGCAATATATCCACCCAAGAAACTCACCCCAGTCTGTGTCAACTGACCATAACTCTCCTTGGGCTTCCCCAGATACCGATAAATCTGATTAACCGTCTCCTCAAAGGTCGCAAACTTAGTCATAGTGTAGGGAATCTGACGCGCCCACAGCGGATACAATCCCCGATACAGACCAGCCATGCCCTCCTTCGCGACAACCCGGCTCCAGCCCTCGCGCAGGTTATTCGCATAGGGCGGCAGGGTAGTCTGCATGCGGACTTTGATCGCCTCCATCGGACACAGGGCCATATCGGCGAAGAATTCGGCCGATGCAGACGCGCCCAGGAAGACCAGAGTGCGGTTAGACTCAGGGAATAGCGTGTCGCCATATAGATGCTTGAAGTACTCGTAGAGACCGTACTTGCCGGCACCTTGGAACGAGTAGCCCAGGAAAGTGGGCGACCAACCGAAGAAGACGCCGCGGAGGCCCTCCTTGGCGAAGATGGAGCGCCATGCGGAGACGTTAGATGTGTAGATCTTGGGGTCGACTTGACGACGGCACTTGACGAGATCAAGGGGTGTTACGGCGGTGTGTGTTGGTCCTGCGTGAGACGAGATATTGGGTCAATTGAACTGCGGGGAAGGGGGAGGAGAGATGGAGCTGCTAGAGACATACCACAAGCTATACGCAGTCGCAATGATCAATGTTAGTTACTGTCATAATGATCATCAATTAAGGAAAGACGACATAAGACATACCAATAATACCGCCAAGGGCACAGCTGACGAAATACTTGCCCGAGTTAGGCTCGATCTTCCCAAAGGGAAGCTGGCGTTCTTGCATGGCCATAGTTGCTGGTTTCTATGCGCACGGTGTATCAACACGACGTAACCAGAAAGGAAAGAAACAAAAGTAGAGAAAGAAATACTGTAGAGAGGAGAGAGAGTCCAAGGCACAAGGAACCGGACAAGGGAGAACGAGAGCCGAAGCAACCAGGATTAAAGGCCAAAAAGGCCCATGGCGTCAGTGCACCCTCCCATTCCTACATTAATGCATTGCTTATCCTCCAGTGCTAGCTTGAGTTATCCACTATGAACGAACGGGCTCGACGGGAACGGTTACGCCGGCACAGATTGGGGCTGGGCCGTGGGACGGGGCTTATCAGTTGCTACGATCGTCGATCTTCTCAGTAACTTGCTCCGAGGGGATCCCTTGATTGATGCCGGTCCAGCCATGTTCCGGTTCCTGAGAATTTATTAGTCTATCATCTCGTCCTATAATTACCCAACTATATTTCTATGCTTGGCTATAAGTGATACTCTGACGATATCCAAGCTGCGTCCCCGCAACTTTAGTCCAAGGGCCCTAGACATGACGTCACGAGATCCGAGCGGTGCCGCCGACTCCACCGGGCCAACTAATCAGTACAAAGTATAGAGCTAGTCCGTTGTAGTTATATGAGATCGTGCCAGGTTGCTTTATGACCGGCGAGTTATAAGCCATCAATTCATTCATATAGAGCTGAGTATTAATTACCTGATTGTCGCTTGTCACCTAGTTCATACAGTGTTCACTATTAAGGCCCTAGTCTACTTCCAGAGGCCATTTCATCCAACACCGCGCCACTCAGTAAATTAGAACAAGATATACAGGATAATGGATTAATTCATTACATTATCCATCACATACATCCTGCTTAGAAAAGAAAACATCGTTAAATCAAGGGCGAATCTACGACGCCAGCTCTTTATTACCTAGTAGGATAGGAAGTCATGATCTAGAAAGTAGAGCAATCAAGCTTGGGTGTCGTATTATGATGTTTATTGTATTCAAAACCAGTTATTATGACATAAGTATCTCACGAACCGATATCAAATGAGATAGGGCCAGGCAATTCTGCATCCCACAAATATAGAGTAGATTGTACACCTGCCCAAATATATCGCACAGCATGCGACAAACATAAGCATCTATGCGCTAGAGAAAACATGGTCCCTACACTCCCTACTTAGGAGCCAACCACGGGCGTTCCAGAGGACTGAGGGTCTGCATGCATCCGCTCCGCTTCACGCGCCAGAATAAGCGCTAACTTAATACCGAGCGAGGATCCAATCCGCGAAAGCACGGTGCGAATCTGTTGGACCTGCGTCGGGGTCGGCATCCCGCAAGACAATATATACCACAACGGCCAGAGCAGGCCGTAGCCCTGTGCGGCACGGATCGACCTCGAGTTATCCTTGGGATTCGTAGGTCGTCCGAGGGTGTCGACGTCTGATAAAGAAAAGGGGAGGCTTCGACACGTATCCGTTGTCATTTCTTGTATGACAGCTCGTAAACTGTTCTCGTCGAGTTTGCCCTCGACGGGTGCTGTGTCGCCGGGTGATTGATTCTTCTGATTGATAGAGATAAGAGTGCGATTGAGGTTGAGGAGGAGTTGTTGGAGCATCACGCGGACAGCGCGGTAGTAGCCCCAGATCACGGCGTTGGAGATGCGGTTGTAGGTTAGGAGGGTTCGCCTTCGGCGGAGTAGACGACTAATGGGAGCCAGCGATCTGGGAGGTGGAGGGTCCATTGGGAGAGTGCAAAGTCACATTCTTGACCGGTAGTTATCCAGGATTCGACGGTGGCCTGGTCTGGCGAGCTTGGGCCGGCTTGCATGGATAGAAAAAGTTGGCTGAGTTTGGTTGCTGAGAGCATGAGGCTCTCGATGGGGTCGTTTTCATTGAGCATACCCATGACCCAGGCAAAATCGCATCGAGGTTTGTCTCCTAATGCGAGGATCTCAACATACTATCGGCGTAAACTATTAGCAAACCGCAACTGATGTGAAAGGAGCTGTGAACTGTAGGACATACCGTATGCGTATAGGCAAAACTGAACATATCGCGCCCTCGCTGATGACCTAACTGATCCTCGCCTCGCAACTTCATGAGAAACTCAAATCCAGCCGTATGGGAACTGAACAAGCCATTCCGTTCGCCGGTGATATCTTCAAACAAGGAGAGAAGCACCACAGACGCAAAAGTCTCATCCTTAACCGCCTGATCCGGCGAAGCCAGCGCCGTCCGCAGACTGCGAATCGCCTTCCCATAGCCCTGCCGCGCCTTGATCATCAGCGGCGGCGCATTCGTTGCATTAGCCAGAGTCATCAGAGCCGTTGCATCTACCGCCCATCTCAGACAGGTAGACGGTGCGCTCTCGCCTCCCAGGCTGACCTCGCCGCAGTGCGCATACAATGGGGGTAAATACTCGAGATGGCCCATGCCATCCTCATTATCAGCGTGGATGGTGTATTGATCAAAAAAATAACACAGAGCGCGCTGTTCCCAAGTTGCATCTTGGACGCGGTGCAGCGTCAATGCCGACTCTTGAGATGGGCGTGCTTGCTTCTCCGAGACAGTCGAGGTCTGAGATTTTGGCGTGTGTACTTGACTCGTGGGTGCAGAAGAACTAGAGCTTGAACTGGAGCTGGAGCTCGAGCTTGCATCTTTCTTGGCTAGCCGCTCAACCTTCCGGGTCTCGTTGCGGAAGACTGCATCGGGCCTGTAGCCAGGACATGGGCGCCCGTAGACAGCACAGTTTCGACAACTGGGGCGGGCTTCATCGCACTAGAGACTCGATTTAGTATGTATTCACACGGCAACTGATAACCTCGATAGCTCGAGGATGTATAAACAAGCATCCTAAAATGCCAACAGTGGATATTCAACACCCTAACCGGGTATATTTTTTTCTCTCTTTCTTACCTTGATCTTCCGCTTTCGACACAGGTAACATCCGGTGCTCGGCTTACCCCCATAGACCATTGTTCAGCCCCAACAACTCCAACACGGACACACAAAAGGCTCCGGAAATTGCGATCGAAGTAAAAAAACGTGACTAAATCCCGTCCTCCGAACCGCTAGGGTCGCAAAAAGGCTCCGCGCCCTCTAGATCTGGGGGGGAAGATGGGGGTTCCACAAAACGGGGGGAGGGACGGGCACGCTTATCGTCCACGGGCTGCAAATCAACTCGGCTGCCTGATCCGAGAGCCTCCCATGTGCATCGTAAAGAACGAGATGGGCACGAGAGCTTGGAAACAGACTGTTTAAATTGGGTTATCGGGGACCAATGTTTATGGAGCCCGGATTGAGGAGACGAGGAAGAGAGGACAGAAGGTAGTGGGGGTTTCAAATTGATTTGGTGAAAGCTTCTTTGAGACTTCCCCGGTTGGAAGTGCGGATGCTTGCGGGCTTTGGATATTAGTCAGCTGTGTCTTGTTCAGGGTGGCCCTCGAATGATCACGTTTGGAGTCGATATATTTGCGGGAGATATAGAAAAAAAAGCAAAAATGAAACATTCACAGGCTTCAGGCTTGGGTCATTTGACTGTCATACTATATAATTCGGGGAGCAAACAATTGGCCCGGTGGCGCTGCGGCTGCATGAGCTGGGCCCTGAATCGGTGAGATCAATCACGAAGCAGTCATCGAGTAACAAATTAATCAGCTGAACTACAATGAGACTCTGGCCAAGTGCATCAATAAGTGAAAATGCAGTTCATTCAAACTGATGAGCGCAAAAATAACAACAAAGAATCCCAAGGCCGAGGTATCATCAGTCTCCAAAATCCAGACAAAACAGAAAACTAGACTCCGAAATGACTCAGACCAGCCCAATGCTGGTAGTTAACTATGACAATGACAAAGGGTAGATGCCTCCAAGGCGTCGAGAAAGATCGGATTCAAGATCAAGACAACTACACAAACGACCACTCCCTCTCCACAAGGAGGATTAAAAAACTCCACAGATGACAGGCCTTTTCTCCAGAATCAACAAGATCGAAAACAAGAATTGCAACACCAAATATGCAATGGCCCAGTGCTGTGGAGAGCACGGAGCATGGCGAATGGGATGAGCCTAGGCTGGGAAAACACCAGCAGATCACTCGGAACAAATCAAACATGCTTCGGAACAGACAAAAGAAAGAATGAAAAGACAGAAATCCCCCGGCGCTGGTACAACAAATGATGGATATCCGAAGTCGTTAGGTTAGATAGATTGCGAATTATATTGGAACAAAATATTTCGATTATCGAGGGCTGGGTTGAATTAAGATGGCGCATCGGGCATGGGTTGGTCGCTGTCACTGACAGAAGGTATCGTTGGTGGAGGGTCAGAGAACAACGTACGACGGCGAGGATGGACGGAGAGCTCAGTGTCGACGGTCGAGCCAATGCCTGGTGTACTGGAGGCACTCTCGATAACCACGGCATCGTCGGCATCATCTGGTGGCGGAGAGAAGGACCAGACCTGTATGACAGTAAGCAAATGCACTAACAGAGGCGATGTGACCCAGATGGGCAATAGACAATGACATACCTCCATCACCGTTCGGCCAGACCGACTCGCCATAATCACAGCTTTCTCCTCTTCGAAAGCAACCCTCCAAACCGCCTCGGCTGGACTCGACAATTCTCGCAGCAGCTGGCCGGTTTGCAAGTTCCACACTTTAACGCGGCCATCACTGCCGCCGCTCACTATCCTGGTATTATCAAACTGAAGACTAGTCACGCTATTATCGTGAGCCGCTAACCGATGGATCGGGGCCATCTTGGTCAATGACCAAACCCGGACGGAACCATCCGAGCCACCGGTAACCAACGTATCGCCACGCATCTGCAACTGTCCTACCAGGGATGTATGCCCTTGCAGGATAGCGTGGCACTGTCCAGAATGTGGGTCCCAGATGCGGACGCTCGTATCCAAGCTTCCCGTTGCGATACGCCGCCCATCGAAGGCGATCGCGTAGATCTGGCTGAAATGTCCAGACAACGTCCGTATACAGCGACCTTGGGATATGCTCCATATCCGGGCTGTCGTGTCGTAACTGCCGGATACGACGAGATCGCCATGAATCGCCAGACAGCGCACACTCGCCTGGTGCCCGACGAGGACATTGCGACACGTCCCTGTGGCTAGATCCCATATACGTAAAGTCGTGTCTCTTGAGCCCGAGATGGCCGTATTCCGATCGGACATTTTGAGACATCGTACTGTTGACGTGTGGCCGCGTAACAAATGGATTCCCGCACTAGAACGGAGATGAGTTATCAGCTCCTGCAAAGTTGGCCTGCGCAACCCGAAACTTACCCAGTCGCCATGTTCCACACTCGCACCTCTCGATCGCAACCTCCGCTGACCAAAATGTCATCCCAAGGAACCATGGCCCAAACCCCCATCACGTGCCCTTGGAGGGTCTTTTGGTTGTCCCCGTTGGTATCGTAGACATGAATCTTGGCATTATCCAGGGCAACGACGATGTATTTCGAGGTGAGGTGTAGACTCGTTACCACGCCCTGGTCAGGGGTGATGTGACGCTGTGTACACCTGCCACCTTTATTCCACGCTGATTCCACCATATATTTCTGTTTAAACTGGGATCGATATGACACTGGCCGGGTTCGGCGTCGTCTTGATGGGAAGCTGGTTGGGGGCAACCATTCACCCGACAACGTGCGGGGTAGTTCGGGGGCACTCTCAACGGAGGAGTGGTCGGTTGATGCCGTTAACCGTCGAAGACTGGCCATAGCGCGCGAGTCCGGAGTCGGGTCGACGGAACGAGCGGTGAACGAGTCCAAGTCATCCTCTTCCGAGATGCGGCGCACCGAGTATGCGTGTTTCTCGCAGAGGTTCTTCCAGGTAATGTCATCGTTAAGAAGTTCGCGCCATCGTCGGGATACCTGCGATGCTCGGGCGAGCGTCTTCGGATCGTCGATAAATGATAGGACCTACAAAGTTGTGGTGAACCTCGGTCAGCACTTTCTCATTTCTTTCCTGGTTTGTCGGGGACTTTGTAGATGTCTCACTCTCAAGCACAACTCATTCGGAAACACTTGAAATGGATCCTTTCGTAACCTGGGCCCAACGTAACTTGAGACAAAGCTCAGCTGTTGGCTATCACAAACATCCAAGATACTCTCGAGGAGTTTCTGCTTGCGGGAGTTGGATAAGGTGCTGAAGTGGATGCGCAGATTCAACAAAAACGTATTTTCCTCATCGTCTGCGGATTGCCAGTTCGGTGGACCCTGGTGAGGTGTAGGACTAGGCGCGGGAGTTGGAGGAGATGCGGGAGCTGACGGTAGTAGGTTTGCGGGAATCGGGGTGACGGTTTTCTTGGAGGCGCTGAGGGAGCGAGCAGGGGTGCTGGTAAAGGAAGAGACGGAATCGCGAGTTGAGCTCGTAGAGTGTGAGTCTAGCTGATCGGAGATGGGCTGCGAACTGATCGGCCCATCGGCCATGTCACTAAAAGCTGGATCGGGATCCATCGCAAGAGCAACCCGGACGGGGGGTTGAGATCCAGACCCGCTGGTTATGATCCCGTCACGCTTTAAGGATTATTCGAAAAAAAAGTAAATGCCGTGCGCCAGGCTAGCTTTCAGCAGCCGGCATATAGAAAATAAAAGAAGAGCTTTTGTTCGGGTGGCGGTCTGAGGGGGGTCAGAGGGAGAAATTTGGAGAGCGGTATGAGGGGCGTCGGTGTCGTCGTATCGGGAGGCTGGCCACGGGGGTGACCGAGGACAAGGGGAGTCGAAGATGAAGTGGAGATAAGCGAAAGCTGTCGGATGTCGGCCGGTCCTGACTGGTCGGGTGTATCGAGTCGTTTTTTCTTATTTTCTGATTTCCTTCTCCTCCCCGAGGATTAGCCCAGACAAAAGGCGGAAGAATGGCGGAGGAGTTCGATCAGAGAAAGGGACATTCCGGAGTCTGATGTCGTGACCGGCGACTGACAAAGCCGCCAAGCTCTCCCCGAGAGGGCTCCACTCCGCAGATGCGATGAAACACTCCGTGTATTCCGCCTTCATCTTATTCCCCATCATGGGGATCGGTTTTTTTTCAGGGCTAGACGCGACAGGCTAGACAGAACACCTGAGCCTCCCGTCTTCTCCTGATACTAAGATGACAATCTCCGTCAGAGGCAACGAGGCAACGGAGCCAGCCACCGACCAGCAGATCAGGAGGCTAAATGGGCCGTTCCCCAGATCGACTGCCGAGATGAGCCAAAAATGGGCCCAAAAGGGCCAAAAAGGGCGAAAAAAAGCAGGCAGCCAATCTACGCCTCCCGTCTGGCGCCGAGAATCCAGGCCTTCCAAGCGCGCGCAACCCGGCCCGATGTCCGCAATGCCCGCAATTGCTCGTTAACTTTGGCTGCCTCGTTCAATTCGATGCGCGTCGACTAGATCGTCTTTAGATTAGATCGATATCGACCATGCACATCGCCCGGAGTCCGTGGGTAGCCGAGCGGCTCGCAGACAAGTCGACCATGGATCAACCCGTTAGGCGAAGATGATTCAGACTGACGAGACTGACGAATGCTTTCATCACCCACCCTAGCATGGTGATTAAAACATGAGCGTGGTCGCCCACGTCGAGGACAACCTTTGAGAGGGATCCGGGTATTTTATAACTGAATGACACGGGATTCAGACGTTGACTCGCGCCCAACGTCACGCTACGTCGATGTGATCGTGAGAGAGAAACATGCAATTATGACCATCGGCACACGCCTGCATTATACAGAAAAAAAAGGTAAACAGATCTAGTAGCACATTTCGATTCCTCCCCGTGATCCTCATCCAACCAGGCATCTCACGGGGAAAGAAGTAAAAGAAAAGGAAAAAGGTAATATGGAGGACAGTGAGAAAACGAGGTAAAAAAGTAAAAAAAAAAAAAAAAAAAAAAGACAAGAGGCCATCCAAGATCGGCATTTCTAGCAACAATTGTCAAACAAGAGGGTATATGGTCCCGAGTCAATCTCGTTGAAATGCCCAAAAGCGGCCAAGGAGAAAAGAGGTGAAGAGATCGTCATACGGAGCTCATGTCGATGATGAGTTGTATGCAATGAATAGGGGATGATAAGAAATGAAAGGAAACGTTTTTTTAATGAGCATGTCCAATCTGCAAGAAGAGCGGCAGGATCATGCCCAGCACGGATGCAATCAAGTCGCGCATCGACTTGTCCGAGCCATTTGGCGAGTCACGAGAGTCTCCGTAGCCATTCGAAGACACCTCCCGTGAATTCGAGCCCGGTCCATTCTCTTGCATCGTGTGCATAGCAACATACCTAAGCCGTAGTTAGTACCCCTTGCAAACACGCCTGTCCGAGATAAGATACTCACAAGAAAGTGCCACCGGAGAAGAGCAAAAGCATTCCAGTGCGCCATAGAGAGCCAGCCTCGTCGCCGCTAGAAGATCCAACCATATGTGCAAAGAGGAAAGTCGCCAATGCACCGACGGGGGCGGCCAGACTAAACACCAACAAATGCGCCCTCGCCGTGCGGCTCGACAGCCCCTGCTTCAACAAAATCGATGTCAAGCCGAAGGAAGCAGGCGCCTTGTGCACCATGATGGCCAGGAAAATGATGAAGCTGAGACCTGTATCGGTGCTGGATGCGCCCAACGCGATACCGTCCGCCGCCGCATGAATTACCAAACCCGTCGTAGTTGCAAAGCTGTGGCCCCGGCGAGAACTGGAGTGGCCTGCGTCGAGGAGACCGCCATTGCGAATGGGGGAGGAACTGCGCCGCAGGCCGGACCCAAGATTATCGAGAGAGATATGATAGGGCTGTCGGTCAGGTTTGGTCGGAGAAGCGAATTCGGGGATTTTATCAATAAGATACATCAGAATGAATCCACTGATGAGGGCGATACCGATCCAGGCATGCGGGGAGCTTTCTTCTTCTTCCTCCTCATCATGTTCCTTCGACTTTTCACTTGAGGTCTCGTCCTTGCGCGCAATCAGCACATGTGATTCCTCCAAGGCTGCTTCTCTGTTGACGAGCGGCAATGTGTGTTCACTATCGAGCTCGAGGAAGGACACTGGTGTACTCGAGGGCAATGCCGATTCATGGCCATCCTCGTTCAATATTTGTGTAGAAACGGACCCCTGCGAGGCCCAGTCGACATTGGTTGCGCGGGCGCCGATACTTTTCCGGCTGACAGAACTGGCGCTGTAGAGGGTCTCAATGCCCTCAGGTATAATCACGATCAAAGAAGTACCAACCAACACTCCCATGCCAATCGAGGAGATTAATCGTAGTTGGGAGGCGGATAGTGTAAAGGCAAGAGGTAATGAGCCGACAACAAAGGACCTATGCGAATCCAAGAGAATGTTAGCTCCTTTTCCATGTTGTCTGCAATACCCTCATCGGCTGGCAATGGAGTCTCACGTCACTGCCATCACAATGCTCAAAGCGAGCAGAGTGAAGAGTCCTTCCATGGTGTCCTTTTATCCTCTTGTCCCGAGCTTTCGCACTTGTGCCACCAGCTCTACAACCAGTCAATCATGGTGCCCAATCCGGTAAATGGGGGTAATGAGAGTCGCAGCGAATGCACCCGATCGAGGACTGCGGGTGTTCGGGGATATGGAATGAGGAAGGGGAGAAGGGTAGAGTGTAGTTGTTCAAGGGCGATCGGAGACGGAGGAGGGATGGCGAGACGAGGACCCACGCGGCCTGAGGTTCTCCGATTCTCTTCTCAGGTACCGCCCGCTAAATTTGGATCAAAACATGCCGCATGCTGATTCGGGACTCCCTCTGTATAAGAAAGATCCTACTATTTGTTTGTTCTATTTCTGCTTTATTTCCAAATTGAATATAATTACGAAATCCTTCGTCTGGTCGGTTCTAGCATCTGTCGTCCTACATAAGAAGAGGCTTTGCTCCACAATAAGAGCGGACCAGATGATCTGGCCTCAAAAGTAATCAATATGGTAAACTTGTACTACAATTCTCATACTTATTATTATATTCATTTCATATAGAACCCGGTTAACCTTCATAGGTCCAGCTAATAGCAACTATTTTACTCTTGAGCTAGAAATACTCTATTACTATTACATATAACGTTGGTCCGGTCCTTCTTGGGTTTAAAAACATACATCATGGATACTGTATACTGTTTCATTTCTTTGAAGCTACCATGAGTCGAATTGTTATACCACCTGGGTGAAGTTGACCGTTTTGTATGCGCTCACTAAGCCACCGACTTGCCCTTTCAACACGCTCATATACACATTCATCACAGATATAATCGCCTGCCCCCAATATAAATTTTCCTTTTTCAGGTTTAAAGACCAGAGGTTTACCCTGGGAGCTCTGAACCTCCCACCGTCCCTTACTTCCAATGCTTTCGTCTCCATCATCTATCTTCGCGTCGACAATCACAAACAAGACTTCCAAGCGAGGAAACCGTAGAGACAACTCATCAAATGCATCGCTTCGCAGGAGGGACTCCAGTAGAGCGATATATTTGATATCCTCTTGGCCAGAAGTGTTTTCGCTTTCGAGGCCCAAATCTCCCTGTCCGTTTTGCGGCTCAAGACAGAAAGTTTTGAACTTATCGGGTGGGATATACATAATGTCGCGCATTGGATCGAAGGACCTCACAAAGCTATGGGACTGTGTTCTTTTGCGAAATTTTATCTCAATTCCTTCTTCGCGCATCCAAATCAAGGCTACCCCGCGGGCCTCGCGGCAAACGAAGACCAGCGGCACCACTATAGCGGTGCGTAATAAACCTCGTCGAAAGCCTATATACATAGTTAGATCGATAAAACTGTTGATCAGAAGTTGGAAGTTCAGGCCACACACAGTTCTTTCTGTAGGTATACAAGACCAGTCCAATGTCGGGAACAGCGTAGCGCCATACCTGATTGCGGAGTTCTCCAGGGAGTCGCGAAAAGAGAGGGAACGTAGACGATACGGTTTCCAAGGTTGACATGCTGTCTCTCTTTCCTATTGCAAGCCTTATATTACAGGGCATTAAACGATTGTTTCGAAGGAAAACCTCAGCTTCATGGCGGATTGACGTGCCGAGTTGTCGTTGTTGGTACCTTTGACCAGAAGTGGAGGCCAGCTGAACAACACAGCACGAAGCCTCGAGTCTTGACAGGGGCATGCAACCACTAACCAATCAAGCCCGTATTAGCCTTAATAGCTCATTTAATTGGCTTGCAAGATGCATTAGAGTTTTCAGATGAATCCAAAACTAATCTATCCATCAAGTCGTACAATCCATTAAAGTGAAAACAAGCCAAGATCTATAAGCCCCCTAAAACAAAGCCATCAACGCCTAAGTCATTCTATCGAGATAATTCAAGAGCAAAAAAGTTCCAAAGAACATCATGCACGGTGCTTCGAATCGACGTCCACCAACTCTACCACGCTGTGCGTCTCCGATCGGGAGGTATAATTCACCGAATAGCTGACGGATTTGTTGATGTTGCTGTTTTCCCCAGTATGTTTGTTGTAGCCTTCCCTGGTGTGCGAAGCGTACGTTCGGCGGGCAGATCCAATCAAGCCAGGGAACCAGCGACCAACGAGGGCTCTGAATGCAGGCAGGCAGGCACACATGACGGAGATCTGGACCTCAATCACGGACCAGTGGATAAGAGGGAACAACCCAAGGGTCTGGTTGATGCCCCAGCGATTGTTCCAGAATACGACGACTCGAATGATGGCGATAATAGTGAGCCTAGCAAGAATTATCAGTACTAGTACGCAGAAGAAGACAGAGAGGGTACATACACTGATCCCACTGCGAACATCAATGCCACAGCAATCTTCTTTTTCAGTGGTAGCTGCAATTTGATCACCTCCCAAACGGGCATCAGAATTAAGACCGAGTCAACAAAGATATTGACGAGACAGTTAATAAGGATAGAGACGATGAAATTGATGCACTGTCCAGACTCCTCGCCCGTCCAGCCCGTCCACGTCAAACGAGTCGGCAAGCAACGAAGGGAATCAACAAAGGCCCAGGAAATGCCAATGCCAGCATTCACACCGATCAGGGCATATGCGGCATATCGGAATGAGCGGGTCTGGAAGATTCGGAGGAGGAAGAGGCACACGGAGATCTTTGAGAGAGAAATTTGGATCTTATACATCACGGCAAGGCCTTGGAAGAGCTAGTGTGGATTAGACTTGGGGTTTGAAGATCCCGGAGAGGTGAGCTAACCTGGTAGAACTTGGTGATGTCGGAGAATGGTACATCCCAGATATTGCGGCCAAAGCCATAACGAATCACTAGCTTTGGTAAGTTCAAGTCGATAAATTTAGTGTCGTAATTTCGAGAGGTTTATGCTTACTTTCACAGTTAATAGCATAGATGGCAACGCCGAGTATCTTTGAGTCTATCAGTATCGTCTAGAAGATCGAGTGATGACAACTGGATGACTTACAAAGGCAACAATGATGGTATAGTCGTCCCAACCCCATCCTCCTGCCAGACCACTACTCTTGGCAATGATTCTTGTTATGAAGAAAAACGTGGCCAGGATAAAAGGAACCAACGTTGCAGCACTGACCACAGAAGGGCCTTGACGAGGTGTGATGTTGCACTCTTTCTCATAGAGTTTATATGTGGCTGAGAACGTTAGCCGGGGATGGTGTCAATCAGACACAGATAAAACATACTAAAGTACTCCTTCACAGTACAGTTGCTCGAAACACAGTTCAATAACGAAGTTGGACGCGAATCACTAGTGCAGAAACAGGAAGTGTTGTTGAGCGAGCAGTCAGAAAATAGTTGCTCATCGCAAGTAATCTAGCCATAAACAGTCAGCAAGAGATAAAAAGAGAGTCCTTCTTTGGAATATCTTCATACTGCACAAGAAGGAAACTCATCCAAGTCCACCTCTGCTGCACGCAACCCAATCACGAGCAGAGCCAAGAGAACAAACAGACACCGATGAAACCTCATGGTGATGGGGTAGGCAATTGAAAGTATGCCTTTTGCAAAGTGACGAGAAGAGAAACTTTACTCTTGGCTGGGGTAGCTGCTGCTTTTGTTTCGGCTTCGGTATTAATGTCCCGGTTAAGCAGCGTGGAGCATTGTCTCGCGTGCGCAAAGCCAGAATCTCCATCTCCACAGCTGAAAGTCATCTATTTCGCACGATGGCATCAAAGTCTCGGCTCCAGCCGCCGTTTGTTTGGCCTATGCATTCGATCATCGGGGACTACTCTGGACCGCGGATCTTGGGTCCAGTTGAAACGAGCCCTAAAATGTTTCCACCGGTGAGCGCTTGATTGGGAAGGTGGTCCGCTCCAAATCTCCCCCCATTATTACGGTGTGTATTCTCATGAATCGGGGGCAAATATCTTGCGAGGATCCACAATTATGTTTGGAAGAGCTCCGATTGTCTCCGCTTAGATCCAAGGGTAAGTTCAGCCTCATAGGGACTATTGCTGACTAGAAGAAAAAATTACAACATCGACGCCAACTGTTTTGAGCTACAACACGTGGCAGAGATCTAGTCCCTGAGAACCGAACTTTGGGAACCTTAATCGCCGCGTGGCTTGCAAGCCCAATTTTGGATGCATATCATTATCTAGATCTTGAAATTCGTGCTAGTGCTGCAGCTTGAACGCCCTGGTCATTTCGAAAAGTGGAACTGAAAGCTGATCTCGGCGACAACAAATGACCGACCACCTGGGGGTGAGACTATCCCCCACGCAATACGTTCATAGCCGAGTTGTCCCCTGTGCCTGGATCGTTTATATTGGATACCCTCTGTAATCGCAAATCAGAAGTGGGGATGCTGAAGAAAACATGAAAAAAAATCCCTGGCCAAGAGCCCGACAAGCCGAAAAGAGCCGTCTTTAGCCTCCGCCAAGACAAGGCCATTCGAACTTTGCAAGAAGGGGCAATCCCCACAACGATGGGAAAACTTTTCCAGGGGTCATTATTATTGTGCACTACGGAGTAGACACTTGAATAATGCAGTCGCAGATACTTCTATAGCCCTTCGTCGGTACCGAAGGCTCGATCTAGTGTTTAAACAAGCAAGTTTAGGTAAGGGGGATCTCGATGGTACATTGGGAGTTTCTTTTCGAATTGGGATTACGTTTACATGAGAGAGAAAAAAAGATTAAGTGGGTAAACTCCCATCGAGTTTATCTTCTTGAGAGGGTCTTCTCCATTTTGAGTACATACGTTCGTGTATCCCGAGGGAAGCATACAGTCCACAGCTAACGCTAGGTGCAGTCTATGAGAGCGACGCCGATCTAGCCGTAGAACTCCCAAGTAAGTTTCTGCGTGGATACATATTGAGGCTACTTACAAGGGCTTTTATCAAGATAGGGTGTTGAAATTGCGACAGTGCATAAATGATGATTAAGGATTGCACCGAACGATCAGTGGGCATGCTACATCTGCCGAAGCGGATCCACCGCGTATATCGCAATAAACAAGTAATCTGCAAGTCTTGAGGCTTTAATTTAAGTATTTTGACTGATATTGCAGATCAGAGTTCTCTTCAGTGTTCCAGCCAATCTGAATAAGGTTGGTTTTATGTCATATTTTCCTTGAAAATTGGCTCGTTCAACAGGTGCCCCGGGTCATGCTCGATATATATCACCACCCCAGGCACTATGCCTCCCACTACAAGCAATTCCCGCCCAGTCGCGGACAACTAACAAATTATTCTCCACCTTATTGTGTTCAATTTAATCTAGTTTCGAAGAACACGTGAAAATTTAGGGGTTTTAGAGGACACAGATGAGATGCCAAGATCGCAAAATTTCCCGGGGGAACCAGGACATTGACAATACGGTCGGGTAGTCAACATGAATTGAGGCTCTCACAATATTTGTAAATTCTTTTAAGCAACCGATCAACCAGGAAAGTTGCCAATCGCTGGGAACTGCTTTTCTGGTTAGTATTCGGGAGCGCTAGGGGTTCAGACATTGGCTATGATGATTGTGCTAATAAGGGATACCAATTCATTTATTTGATCCCAAAGATTCAGAGACCTAAAAACTTCGGCAAGAGGACGTGTAATTTTGGCATGATTTCAGGATAGTCTTCTCTTGAGCAAATTCATATTTGACAGTTTGAACAGTTTAGTGTGTCTCTAGAAGGCCCATCGGAGATGACTTGGACTCGGACGAAAAATGTTAAGCTCACAGTAAAAGTGGCCTAGAGGATGGAAAGCTAAGCATTACAGATACACAATCAATATTTATATTAATGCTTCCCTTTTCATTTTTGTATTTCTGGCTAGACGGCTATAATTACAACTAGAATCCGTTGAATTCGGACGATGACAATGAACAATGGGAGTAGAGCCTGTTATCCGAGGAAAGCTGGATGAATCAAATTAACTTATGCAACGATCGGCGACTCCTATTAAATCCAGTATTCAAGTGACGATGCTGGATAGTGAACTTGGGGTAAAATAGACGAGCATGCTAGTGCTATGGTGAAATCGTCACACAAGCTAGGGAGGGCGTGATGTGTCGACCCTGTTGGCAACGAAGGATGCTACGGTGATCACGACGCCTGCGCTGAATAGGGTCTAGTTTACTGTCACTGCAAGCCCCGTTGCGAATGCGGGCAAAATTATGTTTTCAAAGTCGGTTTTGGTGATGAGGTTACGAATGTCCACTTGTTCTTAGCTCATAAATGATCAAGAATAATTCGTGTGCACTAAGCGAAACTAGCTTAGCTGTAGAGACGGGATGGAAGAAGGGTCAAGCGGATCCATCTTCAACACGAGCTAACAGTGCCCTCACCTGCATCAAGTGAAGTTGGAAGTGCATGGTAGCTGATCGTTTTCATCATCTGGGAGTAAAAAGGAAGCGATCGACTGGAGTGGCCCTAGGCTAAGGTCCAGCCGGTCTAGAATGAGAATACCTGTACTCCGTATGCAGTACGGATATTTCATAAAGTCCGCTGTCTAGTGGCATATGTACGGATTTGTTTTTGACAGCACTTAATCCCCGAGCTTGGGTCACAACAGAAGTCATGGTTAACCTAAGTTTAAGTTCCTGATCCCGCAGAACATTGGGCGCTAGTGTGAACCCTAAATAATAGTAAGCTTACAGTAGACAGCCATCTTCAGCCCCACCCAGCGTGAACCCGTGTTTGCTCCTCCCGAGGATCTTCAGCCCAAGGCTGCCTAAGGAGGTTCGCGAGACCCTTTTTGAGTTCTTCCCTGCCGTGGAGAAACGTAGCGTTGGCACCTTGGCTAGCGTAAGCCACGTACCTAGTTCACCAAGGTGTCTCTTTGACTGCTTATACGGGGTTCCTTTAGTAGAGCATAATTTCATTGGTTTGGTTTCATCACTTAAAGAAGTGGAACACCTACTGCAGTGATTCTAGGCGTGTCACTTTCTGCTCCGGATCACTAGGGTTGTTCAGCTCGCCACTAGATGAGCTTCATTTCCCTTAATAGGAAGTCGACTGTAGCGGACTGTAATTAAAGACGACAGAACCCTGTGCAGGAGAAAAAGGGTGCCCATATTCGCTTGTAAAGCTTAATGAAAATAGGCATAAAGCTCGATTAAGCATAATTCGGATGTGGTGGTGGGAGTGCTGCAGTAGTACTCTGATTAAACAGATTAAACAGTGAGAGATGAACCTTGAGACTGGATTCCGCATATCCATGAGGCGAAAGTGGATAAAGAGAAATTCAGGATCACTCTCATCATGCCCCAGTGCATAGCAGCCCGATCCGGAACAAGGGATTGGTTGATACCGAGCTAATTTGAGGTATACGACAGACAGGGGGAACAGGGGCCCGATCTACAGTTTAGTGTCAATGCGCGAGTCTTAAAGTAGCTGTAAAACATTAACCAGTCACTTGTGGCCATCCCCCGCATTGTGGAGGAAGGCGCTGTTGTACAGTATGTAGGCTGTCACCAGGCTGTCTTCTAAGCAATCTAACGCTGCTAAACCTTCGCCCTGCTGTTATGGCTGAGATCAGACTAAAGAGCCTACCCGTTTACTATAGAGATTCATGCGTTCAATACTCCCAGCGCTCTATATCAAGATGGCATGCGAACAGCTTGACTACAGACTAACATTTTCATGAACCCCAGGCTCCAGTTCCCTGCCCTTTGAACCTGATCCCCAAAGATTAGATCCGTTAAAAAATGATCAACTGAAGGCATATACTGATTGTTCGGCACGGATTTCCTGCCTGATCTCCCTCAACTGCGGTCTCATGCAACTCTGTCACAAGAACTTTTCATCACAACACGACTGTTTGCTCGTCAAATCCTCTTCCTGGTTGTATTTTGCATCCCTAAAAAGTATGGATATACGAGCAACGCTAATGCAGCTTATTCGCAGATCCAGCTCACCTCAATCAAGCCACTTGACTGACAGGAATCCTTGAGTTGAAGATTGGCAGGGACGGGGCTTAGAAAACTATTTAAACATCGTCTATCTGACCTTTCAAGCACCTAGAAAACCACAGACATCCTCTTCCCTCAACGAGCCCATTCATACAGATACTGAATCAACATGTTCAGATACGCGCACCTTTTTGTCCTTGCAGTTGCTGCCTTGGCTGTTGCCTTTCCAATCTCCGATGGGCTCACTGCGAGAGCACCAACATCGACTTCTATCGACCAACTCCTGAATCTCGTTCCGTGGTATCGGGCATATAATCCATCTATCCAAGACCACTTCTACACCCCCGATATCAATGAATGGCACAATGCTATCAACACCCTGGGGTACAGTGCAGAGGGCATAGCATGCCGCATCCATTCGACTCAGGAATGTGACACCGTTCCATTCTACAGGGTGTACAATCCGACTACATACGATCATTTCTATACCACGTCCAAGCCAGAGCGAGACAATACCATTAAGAATCTAGGATATCACGATGAAGGTATCACAGGGTACATCTACTCAGAAGCTGTCCTATTTGCGGTCCCACTCTACCGCCTCTACAATCCGTCAACCACCGATCACTTCTACACCGTATCCTCGGCAGAGAGAGATAATGCTGCAGCAAATTTGGGGTACTCCGAGGAGGGTATTGCTGGTTACGTTTTGCCCCCACAGTAGTCCAGGCCATGTTTATTCCTTCAAGGGAAGTGGACAACCTATGCGCTATTACAAAGATCAGAGTGGGGATTCGATCTAGCAGTGATAATGTCCCAGGGGAAGATATTTGAGTTCTCTACGCCGTTTGGGTTGAGTTGAAATGTGGGATCGTTCGCAATCTCAGAAGCTGCTGTCTTTGTTGAAACTAAGACATTTGATTCGTTAAAGTGCCTAGCCATTCAAGTACCTGCCTTACGCCTTCGACATAATACAAGAGGCAGAAATTACCCTCCTTTAGTATCTAATACATCAAATTACTCATCAGTCACCTTTTTAATCCGCTAGAGACTACTAAAGATGACCAGAATTTCAAAAGCCACATCCACCCATCTTCAGTGATATTCATAGAACGGGGGTTTAAAACATACCTTACTGCTCAGAGACACGACACACGCAGTTGTTTATGACTTGGTGGATTCAAAAATCGGGGCCTTCTATTGCCGCCCCAACTTAGGGCTTCGAGACGACGCATCCCTTTCGAGTCAGCTCCTCTTGTGTCACAGGAAATCCTTTTAACATCCGCCTAGTGATGTACCTAATTGAGCCATGTTTGCCAGAAAAGGATATAAGACGGAAATTCTGATCACCGCGTTCTGTGAACTATGATGCGACTTCCTATTTGAGCCATACTGGGACGGAAGTTTGACGCTAAGCAGGTATTTCACAGTTCCGTGCTAGCGCGTCCCCGGATTCGGAGACTTTCCAACACTTCCGCCCGCTTAACGTCGAATGGTCGATCTCCCCGCACAGTGTTCAATTAAGGGGCTCAATATTAGAAGGATAAATATGAGGAGGGTGTCCACGATTCGATGAACGGTGGAGTTCCACGTTCTGCTGATCATCTCGATCAACCCTGTCACCATGACCGAGACAGCCAAGTCCGAAACTCATGCTCATTCTATGCACAATGAAAGTACTATAGATGAGAAGGATGCCTCTTCTACGCAGCCGCAGGCAATTGCGGCTACGTTCGATGCCATTGGAGGTGCTCCGTCTCCCTGGGGTCGTGGCCACTTGCAGTTGTATGGAGCATGCGTTCTCATTTACTTGTGCTCGACTATGAACGGTACGTGAAGATCAGTTAATAAACCGAGCCATATGATTCGGGCCATTGCTAAAATGATGCCAGGATTCGATGGATCACTAATGGGTTCAATCAATGTTCTTCCCGAGTATCAGGCATACTACAACCTTGGGTCAAGCGGTTCGTCGACAACTGGTCTGGTCTTCTCGATTTTCAATATTGGACAAATGTCGGGTGCCTTGTTTGTCTGGGTCAACGATCTTTTTGGCCGCAAGAGAACTCTTGCGGTCACAGCATTCGGTGTCTGCTGCTCGGCTGTATTCACTGCCCTTGCTCCGACTTTGCCGGCTTTCATTGCGGCACGATTTCTGCTCAGCTTCTGCTCCACCATTTGCTGCGTTGCTGCACCTATGCTGCTGGTTGAAATTGCGCCTCCTCTTCATCGCGCTACCGTGGCTGGTATCTACAACACCCTCTACTACATGGGAAGTATCATAGCCACGTTCAGTAAGATTATCCACACACTAGAACATAACCCGAATTCATAACTAACGGCTAAGCAGCAATGTACGGTGCCAATCTTCACTTGACCGGTAATCTCAAATGGCGACTTCCTCTCTGGCTTCAAATCCTATGCCCGGGATTGGCATGCCTGGGAAGCTTTCTGCTCCCTGAGAGTCCTCGCTGGCAAATTGCCCATGGGAAGTACGACGAGGCCCGTCAGTTTATTGTCAAACATCATGCCAACGGAGACGCCAATCATCCAATTGTTGCTATCGAGATGCAGGAAATTGAGGATTCTCTCATCGAAGTCCGATCACGGTCAGCCTTTGCTTACTTCGACGTACGGAGCTTATTCAAGTCTCGTTCCCGGCTCTATAGGCTCATGTTGGTGGTGACAATGGGATGGTTCGGACAATTCTCGGGCAATAATGTGGCCTCCTATTATTTACCGATTATGGTCAAGAATGTTGGCATCACATCCACAAACATGGTTCTCTTGTTGAACGCGATCTATGCAGTCACGGGGTGGGTTGCAGCAACGCTGGGAGGTATGTCCTTTTGGTTCTGGCCTTCGCTTGATAAGAAAGTTGACCAATAAACCCCCTATAGCTCGTCTGCACGATATTGTCGGCCGACGCAAAATGCTCATGGGCTCGTGTTTGGGCATGTCGGTTACCCTCGCCATTGTCGCTGGCACGGCCGCTTCCTATGAGCACTCAGGAAGCGTCCCGTCGAGCTCTGCTAGTATCGCCTTCATCTTCATCTTCGGAGTAATTTTTGCCGTTGCATTTACGCCTATGCAGCCAATCTATCCAGCCGAAGTCCTGGCTAGTAAGTCGATATCCCAAGATCACCATTGCGATAATCCTCACCCCGTACTTATGAAGCCTGACGTTTTTAGATGATATGCGAGCGAATGGAATGATGGTCTTCCAGATAACAGCAGGATGTGCCAGCTTTGTCAACACATTTGCTGCCCCAATTGCCATGGAGAAAATCAAATATTGGTTGTAAGTGAATACTTCACTTGTCACAAGACACTGTGCCTCCCTGACAGTCATATAGCTACGTCTTCTTCGTCTTTTGGGATATCTTCGAGTTTGCCTTCATCTACTTGTTCTTTGTGGAGACTAAGGGTCGAACCCTGGAAGAGTTAGATGCCGTCTTCGAGGCCCGTAACCCACGGAAAGCAAGCACCCAAAAGCTTAGTGGACAACGCTAAGAGTGAGTTGAATACCACGACAGCAATGCATCTTGCTCTGCGTGACTGTATGATCACAGTCTTTGCGCAAGCAATATGAGGGAGATTGCGGTGCAACGCAGGAAGAATGATGCAGCCAAATTTACTAATTTCAATTTCTCCTGAGGGCATTGCATACAATATGGCATTTCCCTCACGTAGTGATGTATTTAACCAAAGTTCATATCCCATTTTTGTAGATTACGGCTAGAGTGGCAAGTCAAATAACTCGAGCTTAGACCTGAAACGTAAAAGTTTGCATAGCCGTCCATACTTCAGCTTTCCCTTTTTTGGAAAAAATTGTAGGTAAAATTATTCCTTCTAGGTCTCAACTTCATAGAGTGCTACCGCCAAAACCTTGTATTTAGCCAGAAATTCTGACAACAATGAAGCGAATTGATGGCTTTCAGGCCTTTTCACATGCTCGTATACAGAATATTCAAGAGCCACCGTGCCGAGTATGTATAGGACTAGTTCGGCGCTATTTCTAGAGCCGACGTATCTGTAGACCCTACTTCTACCCCGCATACTCCCAGCAAACATCCCAATCAAGGCAATGGTGTTTCTGAGGATTGCCAAATAATTCCTCCCCAGTCCCAGCGATCCAAAACTTGTGGCTCCCTCCGCAAGCTAAGCCGCAGGCCCCATAACGAATGCACTAAATTGGACTCGGCATGATCAAGCCGGTCCAGGCACGGTTCATTTCTTGTTTAGCTCCCCTCGTTGCACCTTTCTTGCCATCTTCCCAACCGATTCATGAAAATGGACCCAAGTCTTCCACAAACATCACAAGCTACGTCTGTGGGAAAGAGTATCTCTACCAGGCCAGGTCGGCACCGAGCCACAGCTTCTTGTGCTGAATGTCGCCGCCGGCGCATTAAATGTGACGGCCTCACAACGCCATGCCGTCAATGTGTCTACTATGAAGTCGCTCACCTCTGCCATTATCCCCCGCGAAAGCAAAGGCGGAATGTATCATGGAGGTAATACACTTTCGAGATTTCTAAAAATTCAAGATCTCATAATTTGCATATAGGTCCTACGACGAGCTTTCCAACTCCCATGCAAAGCTCCAGGGGCTAGTCGATAAATTGTTCCCATCTTGCTCGCTCGATGACCTCACATCCATGTCGCGCATTGGGTTGGTAGGAAAAGCACAGGCATTATTGCAATCTTCTATCGCTTCAGTGACTGATGATCAATCTGAGGATGACCTTCAAGATCTGGAGCCGCCCCCTGAGCGCGATTTCACCTGGGATGAAGTCTCAGATGATGATAGTGATGTCTCACGCATTGCAGACGACATTAATGGTCTCGCAGTATCTCTGGACTCGTTAAACTCCTACAATGCATCTTACTTGGGTTTCTCTTCCGTTCCAACCATATTACGCGTCATTGCCCATCTATCACCTCGCATCCGTCAGGTAGTACCTCCCAGCCCTGAAACCTGGAAAACTACTGCACCTACAAGTGGGAGTCCAGAAAGCAATGCATCCTGCGATGTTGATGAGGTATCTTTGATCAACGCGTACTTTTTGCATGTCCATCCTATCACGCCGATGATCGACGAAGTTGATTTTCGGCAGCGCTTCGCCGACGGAGAGGTTCCTGAGAATCACAAAACCTCATGGCTCGCTTTGTTCAATATTGTTCTTGCGATGGGTTGCTTCGCCTCGGATAATTCGCAGTTCAGCAAACACCATTTCCTTTACAAACGTGCTTTGACACATCTGAATATGTCATCGTTTGGCTCTGGGCACATCTACACCGTTCAAGCCTTAGCCCTCTACGGGGGCTGGCTGCTTCACTACTTGAACAAGCCTAATACAGCTAGTGCGGTCATGGGGGCTACTCTTCGTATGGCTGTTGCTATGGGCTTGCATAGGGCACAAATGCCGAGACATTATCCGGTCAATGCCCAGGGTTCTGGGCACAGCTCTATAGTCACCAGGATACGTACTTGGTGGTGCATCTTCTGTCTGGACACATGGGCTGCCGCAACATTGGGTCGTCCTGGGCTTGGATATTGGGATCCTGGCACAGTTTTAACGTCATCAACATCCTTATTGGCAAGCATGGTACGTATATATGAAATTTATGTTATGTACAACGAGTCACTGACGATTGGACCAGGATTACGGTACGATCTCACTTACTGCGAATGAGCAATTTTGCAAGATCGCAACGCGAATCCAAGAGCGACTTGTCGAGATGCCTTTGATAACATCGGATGAGATCCATGACTTTGATGCGGAGCTATTGAAGTGGCGAGGATCTCTACATGTGTTCCTCGCCGATGCTCAACACTGCCCACCTCCTCTGCGTGTTGCGCGAGCAATGTTACTGTGTCGATTCATGACCACCCGCCTGACCCTTTATCGACCATACTTATTGAGTGCAGCAATACATCGAAAGCAATGGTCTCATGCCACCCAACAAGGGGGAGCATTAGTTGCCAAGTGTCTTGAAATTGCTCGAGATGGCGTCGACACCATAGCCTCGGACTGGTTTCCGAACCACATGTTATGTTGGAATCATGCCTGGCATCTCTTCCAGATCTCATTGGTTCTGGTTCTTGCGGCCGTCTCAGATACAAGCGGGGCGGAAAGTGAGCTTTGCAGTGAGTATATCACTAAATCACTGGATCTCCTTGCGCAGATGGAGCCATTCGATGCTGGGGCCACACGAGGTCGACGAGTTGTCCAGCTTCTGCATGACAATATTCGGAATGGAGAACATCCTATCCCTACTATGAATTTTGATGCATCTACCTCTTTGATTCTTGACTTTTACGATGAGGAAATGATGGGAACCGATGCCGAGTGGGTCAACTTTCTCTGTGGCTATGACTGATGATCTTTTGCGCGGAGAATAATGTCAAAAATTTTCAACTGTATGTTCATCTCTGAATTGAGATTGGCTATGAGTAGACTTGTCGGGTATGGGTACTCTGCGGACGCCTCTCGCATAACCAAGCACGGTTTCAATTTCAAAGCAAGTAAGCAGAGAAATCAAAAGCAGCTTCCGCATTTCCAGCAGCAAGACCCGCAGCCTTCAAAGCCTCCCAATTAACATCATCGATGCCAACCTCATAATCCCAGTCCTGATGCGGATCCGCATTTGGCAGGATCTGCCAATAGAACCAGGGGATACCAGCAGCAGTAATCGAGGAAGCCCAATCTCCAATGTTGGCATTTCGAGTACTCGAGCTGAGCGGGCTGCCACCGTTGCAGTTGTTGTTGGAAGCGTCGGTGTAGCACGATCCCCACTCCTGCATGATAAGCTTCTTACCAGCATCCTGGGCTCGAGTCACATATGGCTGTAAGGCGCTTGTTTCGAAATCTCCGGTGCCATAAGCATGAATTGCCAGTATATCAAGCGCATCGCAAGTAAAGTATGGATCCAGCAGGGAGTTTGAAAGATAGGCACCGCCTCCGGTTGTCACCAAGATACCCGTGTTTCCAGCGAGGTTATCTTTTATGGCTTGTGCCATGGTGCATTGCCATGCAGTCAAAGCACTTGGATTTTCCTAGATCATTGGTCAGATAGGATAACTGCAAGTCTTGTAATGGAACGCGTACCTGCTCATGCATGGCTTCGTTCTGAGCCTCAAACGCAAAGATGTACTCTGAGCTCTGGCTCCATGTCTTACCATTTGTAGGGTTGACGTGCGCAAGAACATGGGCAATCCGTTCCTTAAAATACTCAATCGCATTGCTATCGGTGTAGAAGTTACCAGTACCATACCACTGTCCGTAGAAGTCGTTCGCGGCCTCAAGGGCGTTGTAGCTGTGAATAGAGATCAGAAGTTTGATACCATAGCTGTTGGCCTTCACCATGAAGGTGTCGAGGCGGTTCAGCACGGTGTCATCCCAATCACTTGGACTACTTCCTTGAAGACTGTCGAAAGAGTCGATTGGGGTTCCTTTCACAGATCCCGACTGACCTATTGGGTTTGTTAGACTCGAATCGGACAACGATTTGTGGGCGCAAATCCTACCATCAAGCCATACACGCAGTACCTTTACTCCAGCGCTCTGTAAACCAGAAAGAAGAGTGGTCGACTGGCTATCAGTCAAGCCAGCCGCGTAGTAGAGATTGGATGCGGAGAATGACTGCGCGGCCAGTGTGCCGGACAAGGAGGACAAGCCGTACAAGATGGTCGTGATAGAGAAAAGCTTCATGGTGAAAATTGGAATTTTCGTTGCAAGTTCGAACTCTTTTGTCACTTTGGAAAACACTTCTAGATTTTCTAGTGTTTTATATACTCATCGCACCCCTTCTATCATGTAAGCGGTATCTAGGAGGTTGCAGGCGGGGAGATACCCAAATAGGAGCTGACGAAATCTGCAGGGTAGGACATTCTGTCAGATTTCCCCATATATCAAAGCAAGCTATACCATAAACAGTTTGGCACAGGTTTTTGATCGTTAACAAATGATACTTTCGCGTTTCACATTCGGGGGCTAAAACGGAGATTGGAAAGACCGTTACAACCACTTCCAGTTTTGGGGGGTGTGACCGAAACTTCAGGAACGCCGAGGCACTATATGCTACCTTCATTGATACCCCATATCCAGTAACAGGCTAGACTAGACTAGCTTCTTTACATTTCTTCAACAAAATGCGGAGAAAAAAAATCCGGGGTCTACTTGTGTATCCGACAGAAATCCGCGCTAGCTCCAAAGATCGCGGCTTAGTAGGGTGGTTGTTGCACGATGACACGAAGGTATAATTATTCGAGTGTAACGTACGATATAAAAAAAAAGGAGATATCTCAAAAAGTCAAGGACATTTCTTTATCCCATTATATCCATATCCCACGGGACAAAACCTAGCGAGCGTGCTTGGGCAAACGGAAGCCCAGATACGGCAAATACTTTCCAGGATGCCAGTAGATGAACAGTGCGACGCAAGGATAGATGACCAAGGCGTCGAAGACATACATGGTCCACTCATGTAGATTGATATACCCCGTAACACCCTCAGTAAATTCCACTAGACGATAAATGGAACGGACCTGGTGGATTGAGCAAAGTGGTTAGTGGAAAGTCTCCAGCGGGACCCAGGTCTCATGGACACTCACCAAGATCAACAAAGTAGTAAGATTCACCACGCGCAATAACGCGGGCCAGTGCTTTTTCTTAGCAATCCCATCGACAATGTAGTCCCGTTCGCCAAACATCTCATATCTCTCGTGAATGGTCTTGGTAAATCGTTTCGATGTGAAATTGAACCGGACAGCAGCCACAGAGAAGAGACCAAAAGCAATCAGCTGTACGATAACACCGGCCTGGGCAATGTGCTTTCCCCGGTTGAGCTTGCTGGCTGCATCAGTGTCAGTGGAATCGACCGAGGAGATCATAACAGCTCCAACCAGCTGGAGAAAAAGCGCAACGACATCAAACCCCACGAATAGTGGGGTGATGAACCGAGGGGGCACCCAACACAAGCGGAAGGTCCGTTCCTCGCGAGGGACAATCAAGAAGAGGATGCGGCTGAATAGGACATAACAGCAGGCAGCCATGAGGACCGGTGCAAGGATGATAAGAGCGAATTGCAGGACGTAGACAGGCTTGTCTGTGACATTCTGGGTAGAGATACACCGGCCAATGTAGCCGACTGCTTCCACTGTGAGTGATATTAGCTTGAAGGCCGTCAAGTGGTAGGAAGGAGTTGTGTTATACTTACTTGCTGCGGCAACGACCATGACAATCCAGACCCATGATTTATACCGGATCCATTGCACTAAAGTCAGGATAAATGCTATTCCATAGAGAACAGCCGCCACGATAGCGACCGCTAGCGACGGGTTATAGCGGTAGAATGAGCCATTCCCAGTGTGCTGAATGGAGCGCTCCTCGACAAGCATGACTTGCAAGACTGAAAAATCCTAGAGGCAGCTTTGTGGGGAAAAAGATGAATCGCAGAGTACCAGCGACAAGGGAACGAGGTCCCACTTATTATATCCCAGACTCATAGCGGCCCGCGACGCTAAGTATAATCTTGATATCACAGACGACAAGCCACGATACTAGAAAGGGCAAAGACTTCGCGCTATGACTGCATTATTGGTAGACCAAGGCGCCATTGATATTCTCTCTCAGTCGACAAACGCGTCCTTGGCTAGGCGCCTTACCCTCGAAAGCTGTCAGTCACCATTGGAAGCCAGCATATCAACTAAAAACCCGCAACCAAGCCTCAGCAGTGACGCGGAGCTTCGGGCCTCCGCGAGACCGATAGTTCAAGTTACAAGTCTTTTTTCTGAGCTTTCTTTACTATCTTCTTCAAAACGACGAAACAGATACCCAATTAGGAAAGGCGGCCCCATATCAATGGCGCGGCTGGTGGCCAATCAGATTCCTGAAGTCTCCACTTCTGACATGGCTGAGCCTCTCGGATCCAGTCACTCTCGGTACTTCGCGACATCTTGAGGAAATCCCACGATCATTTTTACCCCTTTTGAACCCCAGAAAGGTTCCAGAGAGATGAGAATGATATCCGGGATCGCATCATCAATGACCAAAAATGCCTTTTTACGGTCGTCCGAGTAAAAATTGCCAGAGTTGCCGAGAGAGGCGGATCAAGGCAAGTCTCAAACACTAGCCATTTATTTTGATGGGATAACCCCGGACATTGAAACCAATAATCTAATACGATCACCTATCGGCTAGTGTGATCGTCTTGATCCAGTCTGTTCGCAATGCAAGCGAGCGGGGAAACCATGTGGTGGCTATCGCGACGTCCCGTCGTTATTGTTCCGCGATGAGAACGACAAGACGGCACGCCGGTCTGCGGCGGCAAAAGCCAAATCAGCGGCCAGGCGCAAGCTGTTGGATAGTTCGGACAGCTCTGATGAAGGTTCGAACATCCCCACAGAAGACGGATTTGACCCGTCTCGCTTGAACTATGTAGCCCAGCGAGAAAGATCTCAGATGGTGATGATCCCCACAAGGCCGGTTGTAGTTCCTTCTTCTTTGGAGGAGCAGGGACTGAAATTTTTCTTTGATCGGTTTGTAAGTGCCATTTCCGGGCTGGATGGAGGTCCTCCTTCTGGACTGGAGCCTCCGCCTTTCCTAAAGGCCATTCTCATGCAGTCGCCCCTGCGCGATGCAACGATCTCGGTTGGACTAGCCGCCATGGCCAATGTCAATCAGGACCGAGCGTTGTCACTAGCGGCTCGGGAGAAGTATGTGGCGGCCATTAATGTCGTTCGGAGGGCGGTCCAAAATCCCGAACAGGCGAATGCGAATCAGACGTTTCATATAATTGTGATGTTGAGTATGTACGAGGTATGAGCCCTGGCCCACTTGGCGTTTCTGCATTGCAGGTCCCCCTCTCTCTTCTCGCCTGCAAAGCTGATATAATAATGGTAGATGGTGTGTTGCGCGCCCAATGAGATCGATTCCTGGACAATTCATCTGGATGGTGTGGCAGCGCTAGTCAAACAGGCCAGCTTTAGCGATGCGCTGAGAAACACCAACTCGCGTCCACATCTGCAGTATTACTTCATTTCACTTATCAGATATTTTCTCGTCCAGGGAGTAATGCCTTCGGAGCTGCTCGATTGGTCTCCGGAACGTATTCACGGTGCAATGCCGAATCAGGCACCTACAATCCGCCTGGTTGACATCCTCATTCGCTTCATGAAGCTACACTCTTCCATTCGGGAAACCCCAGAGCCCGATGCAAGGATAGCTGTAAGCTCTGCTCTGCTTTGTGAAGCAGAGTTAGAAGCTTGGGAACAGCAGCTTCCAGAAAAATGGAAATTCTCTCTGAAGAAGTCGAATGACGTTCAACACACGTTCAATGGAACTTATATGATCTATAACGATGTGTGGGCGTCAAGAGACCTCAACCACTACTTCTGGGCGCGATTGATGGTCAATGAGATGATCGTACATCATATTTCAAGAATAGAAATGCCATCGCTGGAAGACCTCCAGCAGCGACAACAGGCCTTGGACAACACTTTACTGATGGCCACATACATTTGTGCTGGGGCAGCGAGCCAAATGGGAGCCTTTGGTTGTGGAGTCCCATCTATAGGGCCCACGCAGTTGCCACCATTGAATGGTATCTTTATGTTGATGTTCCCTTTGGCGGTTGCAGGGGGAGCTGCTGGAGCTGGCGATGAAGTCCATGAGTGGGTACTTGAAACACTTGAGAAGATTGGGCGAACCATGGGCATTCGACGAGCCTTGGAGATGATACCCACACTCAAGCAAGTCCGTGAGCGCAAGATGAGAGAACTAGGCATGGTGAAATGAGGGAACTTCTGAGGGCAGAGGAATATAAAAAGTTGAGGAGAATATTAAAGTACTTTATCGATTGTCTCAGATGATCCGCTAGTCCCGATTAGGTAATACTGAAGCTGTTCTCGACGCGGTCAGACGCGCTTCCTTTCTGCATCTTTCGCAACTTCTGAACCCCAGCATCTACACCCATTCAACTCCATATTCAAGATGGCGCTTGAGGACGAATGTAAGGCGATTCTAATCGTACCCTCTCTGGCACGATAGCTAACACAAATGGGTTCTAGGGACATGCGACGCCAATGATGCGCTTCAGATCACGGTCGTGCAGCCCGGCGACACGAAACCGAAAACTCTCTCAACCTTCCACCCTCAGTTCACTTACCCCATTTTTGGAGATGAAGAGCAAATCTTTGGTTACAAGGGCTTGATTATTCGTCTGCGCTTTGCCGCTCATGACCTCCGTCCTCATGTTCACATTTCCTACGACGATCGATTCAAGGCGGTTGGCGACATTGCCGCGACGGATCTTCTCGGCACACTGAAGGAATTCGTTCCAGAGGGTGAGCTTTTACAATCGCAGATGAAGAAAATGTTTACTGACGGCGGGCATCTTTTCAGAGGCCTTAATCAACCTTCCCGACTACGAGAAAGCTGTCCAGGAAGATTCCAGCGCAAAGGACTTTACACCACCTGGCAAGCTGGTCTATAGCTACGAGGCGAACGAGAGAAACTACGAGATCTGGGCAGGATCTCTCGCTGATCCTGATGTGCGACGCATTCTCGATCGCGCGCAGGTCCTGGTGTCATTGTTCATCGAGGCCGGCACACCTTTGGCGACGGACGATCCAGAATGGACACTCGAACGATGGACGGTGTACTTTGTGTAAGCTTTCTATTCGCGGTCTACACTCGATTATAGTATGACTGACGGACGCAGGTACGAGAAGGTGACACCCCCAATGCCAACGGCCTCATCCTACTCTATCGTGGGATATGCCACCACCTACCGGTACTGGCTTTACCAACGAGATCGCTCAATCACACCAATCGTCAAAGATGACGCCTTCCCACCTCCCGAAATCAAGCTTTCCGAGCTCCCATCACGTCTCCGCATCGCCCAATTCCTCATCCTCCCTTCACATCACCGCGCGGGTCACGGTACCCATCTCTATACCACCATTCATGCCTCATGCATCGCAGATCCCACGATTATTGAGCTGACGGTGGAGGATCCCAACGAGAGCTTCGACGCTCTTCGGGATACCGCGGATTTTTGTCTGCTACAGCCTGAGTTTGTCAAACGCAAAGTCAATCTCAACCCGGATCCTAACGGGGCCTATTCTCGCAAACAGCGCCTCCGCTCTGTTCCCACCGCGGAGCTTATCCCTACCGATGTACTTCGCGAAATCCGCACATCTTTCAAGATCGAGGCTACCCAATTCGCCCATATTTTGGAGATGTTCCTCCTTAGTCAGATCCCCCAGAGCCACCGATTGGCTGGCGGCACCAACCTGGCACGATTGTTGATTAAGAAGGGCAAAGCGGATAACCCCAACGATCGGAGATACTACTGGTGGCGCATGCTTACGAAGCAGCGTCTTTTCAAGAAGCACAAGGAGCTGTTGCAGGAGTTGGAGCTGATTGACCGGGTAGAGAAGCTCGATGACACTGTTCGGAATGTGGAGGAAGGATACGAGATCACTCTCAAGGCGGTTGAGGGTCGCTTGCCAGGTGCTGCAGATGAGGTAGCTCCCACACCTATGCCTTCTCGTAACAAGCGCAAGCTTGCTATTGAGGATGACGAGGATGAAGACGAAAATGGCAGCGAGGCGGCTAAACGTCCAAGGGTTTAGAATGAAGGCGCTGGAATGGAGAACTGTTTTACTGGCTACCCATGATCTATGGTGATATGGGTATACGCCACTAGATGAGTGCTTAAAATATTAATGCTTCCAACATTTGGCAATGAATCACTTATTGACCCTCCACCGATTCAATAGTAGTGTGGTTTCACGTCAAAATTAGTTAGTACTCGAGATAGCTGCGAAGAGGATATAAGAAGTATTTACGTTTGGTAGGTGAGTGTCCAAGTCCAGCCTTAGGAGCCTCGCCGGGCTGGGTCTCGGCGCATCAATTTTTCCGGCATCAGCCTCCGTCACAACTGTAGCGGAGCTCAAGCGCAACGATTGCTACTCCCAACAACCCCAGATAACTCCCCCAGACCCCTCCATTGGGCTCATCCACCGCCATCCACCTGACCAACTTGCCCATAAATTGCGAGTTTGTGTCCTGCCCGCACCGATTACTGCTTGCGCACACCACATCATCCCTCTCACCTCGACGCTTCCCACACCGAATCACACATCGCAATGGTAATCGCTCAATTGTCTGGAGCACACTCAGGTATCACGCACTAACTCTCTTCTCGATAGCTGCCTCTGGGCCTCCTCACGGCCGCACAGGGCCACCCCATGCTGGTCGAGCTGAAGAACGGCGAGACTCTGAACGGCCACCTAGTCACCTGCGACAACTGGATGAACCTGATCCTGCGCGAAGTAGTACAGACCAGTCCCGAGGGCGACAAGTTCTTCAGATTGCCTGAAGTTTACATCCGCGGCAACAACGTACGTGCCTGCCCGCACAAAGGCGATCATACGCTTTGCGCAATGCCCATCTACCCCACAGACCCAGTAACTAATGACTCGCTAGATCAAATACCTCCGTGTCCCCGACGAAATCATCGACATCGTGAAAGAGCAGCAACAGAATCAACCACAGCATCGCCGTGGTGGTCACGGACGAGATGGGGATCGTGGGCGAGGCCGCGGCGGCCGTGGTGGTCGGGGCCGGGGTCGGGGTGGACGTGGCGGTGGTGATCGCGGTGGTCTATAAGAGACACTCCAAGATAAACGAATTGCATGGCTGAGAATCTAAGATGAGGAAATGAGATACCCCTGCAGCAGAGTGTGGGTAAGGTCGCTCGCTGGGAGGTCCCCCGGATTGGACGAGCATGGCCGTGGCGTATCTGGCTCTGTATTTTTTTTCAGTGGGAAACTGGGTTTCTGGACTGGTTTGCGGTCTACGAATATTACATACTGAAAACCCTGGATCGTTCTTTTCTTCTCTTTACGTAGCCTGGATGAACGTAGCCAATGCTTCGTGGAAAGGGTCCCTCGAGATATATCGATATTAGTCACGTGACATGCGATCAAGTCTGGTCAGATCGTCTCCGCAGCTTGAACGATCCCAAGTCCACGGAGCAGCTCGACATGTCACGGCGGGTGCTGGTTCTTGATGGACTATGGTATTCGCTATGTCCGTCATTCAGCCCATCGGCGCTGACTCGTCCCAATCCTCTATTAAAACAGCGCAAACCAAACTCCCGACCAGGCTTGTCACCAGCTCTTCGCATTGCGGCGCCGCCACGGCATCGCAGTTACAGCAGCAATGCCAGGAAGACCGATACCCGAGCCCGATTCGAAGCCAACTCAGCACATGAAGAAACCAATGACACATCCCCGCCTTTTTCCAATTCGATCTCATTATCGAACGGTCTCCGGGAGAACCAATACGATAGCTTAGACCTCGAGTACCATGGCGACGAGGCAGCGTCGCCGAAGCACAAAGATATAATCAACAATCTGCCCGATATCCCCAAACACGCCGCCGGGAAGAGCAATGATAGTCTCGAAACATTGCTACAAACCGAAATGGCCAAGAAACCGAACATCACATCTGCGACAAATATATTGCGGTTGTTGATAGAGGATCGAGGTGTCAAGCCATCGGCGCGGCATTATAAGGCCCTTATGCTGGCGAACTCGGATGCGTTGCATGGATCACCGGAGTTCGTAAGGAGTCTTTTGGAGGAGATGGAGGAACAAGGGATTGCAGCGGACTCGGGGACGCTGCATGCTGCGCTGCAGGTATATCGAACCCCGGATTGGATTGGAATAAGCTTATTTACGAGTTCTGATTTTCTAACACTTCTCTCTTATTCTAGGCACTCGCTGTGCATCCAGACTTCTGCCTCCGCCAAGAAGTCCTCCAAAAATTACGAGACCGATGGCTTACCCTGAGCCCGGCTGGATGGCATTTCCTAGTTGCGGGTCTCCTCCGCGAGCACAAATTCGAGATGGCCCTTGAACAATTTTCCCTGATGCAGCGGAAGGATATTACCGTTGAGGATTGGCTGCATAGCTCAATAATCTATCATCTCTGTGACATGGGCGAATTGGACGAGGTGCTTCGCCTGATGCAGGTCCGTGTCAGCCAGGGCCACGACATGACGTCTGAACTATGGATGCATGTGCTACGGACGGCGATTGAAGCGCAACATTTTATGACGTCTCGATTTGTGTGGCGACGTATGGTCGAACTCGGTTACCTTCATCCACCGAGTACTGTGTGCAGCGATGTTCTCAGACTCGCTGCCAGCGTCAGTGATATCGAGATTGCAAAGTCCGTGTTCCGCCATCTCGCAAGACGCGCGCTCTCTCCGACCTCGGAAGATTATCAACAGTCTATTGTGGCCAACGTCGGTGTGGGCGACCTCCCCGCTGCGTTGGGACTCCTTTGTACTATGCACGAAGCGGGTTTGTCACTTGATCAGACGACCACCCAACCCATCCTTGCGTATATGATCCAAAGTCAGACCGACCGTCGAGAGGCTTGGCAAATTCTCAAGCGACTACACAATGAGAAGCACGACATTCCTCTTGCCAGTGTTCGCGTTATTGCCGAATTATGCGAACACGATGCCCAGAATGACCCGACGGTGGTAGATGATGCAGTTGGATTCTACAATGAAATCCACACGCTTTGTCCGCAGGGCGCCGATCTCCAGGTCTACAATACACTAATTCGGATGTGTCGCACGGCGGGCAAACGGGAGGCTGGCATCTTCCTAGTCAAAGAAATGGCCACCCTCAACGTCATCCCGGATACCACCACCTTCGAAACCCTTATCCTGATGTGCCTAGATGCGGGTAACTACAAGTCCGCGCTCATGTACTTGTTGGATCTGGCCAAGCGGGAGGCGACGGTGGATCCCAAGGCCAAGGAGGAAATCCGGAGCCTCTGCGCTCGGTCGGTCAACGAGTATGCGTTGCGGCTGCAGTATCACCCTCTAATCCAGGAAGAGGATGTGCCAGCCTCGGATGATACTACAGAGACGGCCGAGGCACCCAAATCGCCTCGCCGCGGCCAACTTGGTCGTCAGGAGAGAATTGCATATAATAAAGAACGACGACAAAGAAAACGTCGCCGTTTGGCAATGGAGCGACTTGCCGCAGAGGGCAGGGATAGCTCGGAGGCTGTGAATAGTCTAGACTTGGAGGGATCCGACGGTGAGGTGGACCAGGTGGATGTGGATAAAATGGACGAGTATATCGGCGGGAAGAACAACCGGAGCTCTCCGTCCAAGGCGGGCGAATAGCAAGCTCTCGGCATGGCATCGGGAGATTTGCTCGCCGCCACTGTTTCGGCTTGCAGCCGATGCAGGTGCATGCAGTATCGCCACTTCTATTGTTCTGGATCGGATAGATGAAGGGGGCATCTGTTGTGCGACGGAGATGACGGCTTCGTGCGACGAGTTACCCGGTTCTATATCATGATTTTGATTGTATTATATTCCCAACCCATCAACCCTGTAAATTTCGAGAATGAAGTGACGTAAAAGACCAACTCGGTTCCCAAGTTCCCGTCCATTGATTCAGGCTCAATCTTGGCGATAACCAGGGTCAAGAGTAGTTGAATATTCGTGGCGCCGACCGTTTCATTTATCCGCAATGACCCATTTGACCCCGAGATCGGACGCCACGAACCAGAGGTCTCCCCTCCTGCCGTTGGTCCATTGCTCCACTAGTCCCAAAAATAGCGCGAATCGCGCTGAAACGCCTGGGGGGACGATCGCCAGTTCGACCTTGTCGGATAGTGAGACTTGGTATGAGCATCGGACGGGCCGGCGCTTTCAGGGGGTGACGGGAGGCTTTTCGTTTGTTCCTGTAGGTTACTCGATTAGCGTCATGTGCGAACTCGTTCACCAGTCAGTACTCATTGAGTTTGGGTTATATCCCCTGACGATGACGATCGGTGGAGTTGATTGGGAGGGTGGGTAGAATTGAAAGTGGATTGGGTTTCCATCCAAGGGAAGTTGAAGAAGACGAAGAGTTGAACCCTGCGCCCCTCGATTCTTCCCGACTGCTTCTTCCAACCTCCTTCCATCCTCATCTCTCAAACTATATAACTCTCTCTTTCTCTGCCCACTTTCAACTTTCAAATTGTACATTACCATTCCTCCTTGATAATAACAACCATCGCCACCACCATGCAACTCGCTACTCTCCTCCCCATGATCCTCTCCACCTTGAGCCTGACCAGCGCTCTCCCCAACGGTCAAGCCGCCACCTGGAGAGCAACCAACTTCACTCTCCAATGCTCCCCCGGTGGCTGTGCCTACCGCTTCAACATCACCGCGCCCGCATCCGAGAACGCGCCCGGTTTCCAGACCTACTGCGAGGGTATCACTCCCAACGCCACAGCCTGTGCCAACAACACCATCACCGCTGCAGTCAGCCCCGTGACCAACCCAACATGGAATGTCAAGGTCCAGCACGAGTGGCATGTTATTGAGGAGGACTACAATTCCGAGGCCACCTACTGGCAGGCCGGCAGTGCCAATGTCACCGAGACTACTACGGCCTTCCTTATCAAGCCTGATGTCTTTTACGGTGTCGCATAAGCAGACCCCTTGTTTGAAGGATGGTTTCCTTCCTTTATTCTCCTTCTCAGGGCATGTCTTCTTTAATGTGGTTTGGGGAACGGAAGACTTGAAGTCTATGGGCGTTTTTGTAATTTCGATGACCTTCTTCGGGCAGAGTAGCCCGTATGTCTCTCTTTCATGCTCGGCGTTTTGGGATGGACTCCTTTGATCGGATTGCGCCTCGGGCGCATTCACTCCCCACGGATAAAAGAGCCGGCTTGTGATGAACGTGTACATAAGATACATTCAATCTGTACGATATGAAAAACTGATCACTTATCTTGGATTTCTTTCTATTCTGTAGCTGTACCTTGATCATAGTTCCGCGCTAAGATTAAGCCTCCAGCCATAACTAGGCTAACCGCGACCCAGTGACATCATCGGCTGCGCCCCCGATCAACAAACAAGTTCCCCCTCTTGCAACACGGCGTCATTCAATGCTCATGGAAACCTCAGAAAGGCTCCCATCTAGCCAGTAATTTGACACAGACACGTTCAACCCATGCTCTAACATTGAGAACTCGCGAGCAGAGTTCCTCGACTCGCGCAATATGGTACCACCCCTGGTCTTCCCCAGATTAGCTGCGACAAAAAAAAGACACAACACTAAGCTAACATCCTCGTCCAAAGTCCTCGATCCTCCGCCAGATCGTTGCAGGTCCACGACTCCAACATCCAGAAGCTGGCCTGGATCTATGCTACGTGACTGATAACAGTAATTCCACCCCCTTCCTCTCAGAGACACTACCTCGTCCACCTCGACTAATACTCCTCCTCCTCCAACCTCCCCAGTCATCGCAACCTCCGGTCCATCTGCAACATACCCCCAACGCGCATACCGCAACCCTCTCGACGAGCTAGTCAAGTTCCTCGACTCCAAACATGGCGAGAACTGGTGTATCTGGGAGTTTCGCGCCGAGGGCACCGGATACCCGGATTCCGAGGTGTATAATCGCATTCATCACTTCCCGTGGCCGGATCACCATCCACCGCCCTTTGCGCTGATCCCGAATATTATGGGCAGTATGCGGAATTGGCTGCATCGATTAGATGTCAAGGGTGGAGATAAAGACGCGGGCGAGAAGGACGCGCAGAAGAGAGTCGCCGTGGTACACTGCAAGGCGGGCAAAGGTCGCAGTGGGACTATTGCGACCTCGTATCTGATCAGCCAAGAAGGGTGGAAGAAGGAGGATGCACTGCAACAGTTTACGGACCGGCGCATGCGAGTCGGTTTCGGGAACGGGGTGAGCATCCCTAGTCAGCTACGGTATGTTGGGTATGTCGATCGATGGACGAACCAACTGGGGAAGCAATACGTGGAACGACCAGTGGAAATCCTAGAGATTCATATCTGGGGACTCCGAGATGGTGTCAAGGTCGCCGTGGAGGGATACGTGGACGAAGGCAAGAAGATCAAATGCTTCCACCTATTCCACCGCAACGAGCGCACCGTCGTCGAAGCCGGCAACAACGATACCACATCCACACCCTCTCAAGATAACCTCGACACCAAAGACTCGCCAACAAAACCGATCAATACAGCTGCGACCTGGTCCCCGCTCGCCACACAATCCGACTCATCGTCCGCATCCGAACTCTCCCGTCCAGCAACAATCTCACCCAACCTCTCCGCCATGATGTTCCGCCCTAACAAACGCATCATCCTACCAAGCTCCGACGTAAACATCGACTTTGAACGACGCAGCAAAGCCTCCTATACAGGATTCGCCATGGTAACATCCGTCGCACATGTCTGGTTCAATGTATTCTTTGAAGGCGGGTCCGAGCACGACTCGGGCGTTTTCGAGACGGAATGGGATGCGATGGATGGGATCAAGGGGAGTGCGAGGAAGGGAATTCGCGCCTTTGAGCGGTTAAAGGTTGTTTGGCGGTATCCGGAGCAGGACGCGCAGCGAGATTCGAGTGCGTCTACGGCGGGGAAACCTATTAGTGAACCCAAGCCTGGCGAACCCGTTCATGAGAGTGTTCCTGCGGATTGGCGGGGGAAGAAAAGTGATGATGGCGAGGGCGTTGGGGAAACGCGGAAACAAGAGAATATCCCACCGGCTACAGGTCAGGATCCATCGGGGGATTCCCGGACTGGTCCCAGTACGACGGGGTCGACATTGCTAGCCGTCGGTGCGGGCTCTCTTCATGCACTAGAGAAGCAACTCGGGTTACGCAAGCAGACGGATGAAAGTAAAGATGTGAGTTTGGCGGGTAGTGATGACGAAGCTCGTGATGGGACGGATGAAGAAGGGCGGGCGAAGAGGGCTAAGGCTGCTGTGGAGAAGTCGGAGGAGAATGGGGATTTGGAGGGTGTTCAGTCTTATTTTAAGAATGGGGATGCAGTGAAAGTGAAGGGTGATGATGGGAAAGAGTCGTGAATTGTTGATATCACAGGCTAAAGTATACATGTACTTATAACGAGCATCTTAATACGCGGACTCGGCATGATTATATTAACCCTTTCTCAATAGTGACTAAGTCAATAAAAGCTTAACTAGATACATTCTATGAGGACTAAACCTATAGCACTCCCAGCTGCCGATGCTATTCCTAAGGTAGCCAGCCGAGCCATGGATATAGGAAGTATCGCTCCTCAACGAGCGGCGGTGATGCTCCAGCAGGTAATATTCTACCACACTTATAAGTGACTCACCAGAACACCTTTCTCTAGCGAGAAATAACAACTCAGCTCTCGACATTGGCAAGTCTCTCTATATCTCCATACACAGTCAACGATGCCAAAAAGCCATTTTATCAAAACACGCTTCCTCGTTATATCCGACACACACAGTCTCGACACCCTTCCTAGCACCATCTCAAACGAACGTGTAGACGTCGCCATCCACTGCGGAGACCTAACCACAAAATCAAAACTGAACGAATACAAGCTTCCATCCGTCTTCTCCATACAATAAACGCCCCGCTCAAAATCGCAATAGCCGGAAACCATAACTTTACGATGGATAACCCGGTCTTCCAGAAGAAAGTAGCCAAAATTCAACCACCTCCGGACCCGGCACTAGTTCAAAAAACAAACCTACGGGTGCGCCGGTGAAGTAAGGAAACTACTTACCACGCAGACGGGAGTTACCTTCCTCGATGAAGAGAATTATAAATTTCGACTAGACAACGGGGCACTACTAAAACTGTATGCTAGTCCATACACGCCATCACTAGGTAGTGGGGCATTTCGATACCACCCATCTCAGGGCCACGAGTTTTCAATTGATAACGCTGATATTGTTATCACTCACGGTCCTCCAAAGGGTATTTTGGAAGTAACAAACTCCTGTCAGCGAGCCGGATGTCCCTTTCTGTTCGAGGCAGTCGCCCGAGCCCGGCCACGCATGCACTGTTTCGGGCATATCCACGAAAGTTGGGGGGCTAAGCTTGTTACTTGGTGTCAAAAGGCTAGTTTGAAGCCTTCGTATCGGACTGATATCGATAATAAGAGATCTGCGTTGATTGAAAGGTTATCTACCATTCGATCAAGGCTGCCTGCGGGGTATTTTAGTACCAGCCATGGTTCGACCCGATGCAAGACCGTTGGAATGGGGTTCGGAGACGCTTTTTGTTAATGCTGCGATTAAGGGTGGAGAGGCGTTACCAGTGCAGCCGGCGTGGATTGTGGAGTTTGATCTTTTATCGGCATAAGGCTGTGAGGTATATAATATGGGTAGATCTACTGTTCAATTGCTTGCTCGATAGGTGGATTCTAGTCGAAAATAACAAAATGTATTTGAACAATTCATCTTCACGAGACATAAGAAAACAAGATGCAATGTAAGTAATGCGACGCAAGTAACGCAACGCCACATACAAGAGTCAATCATCTATCTCACCAATTCTAAATTAAATGCATCCTTTCTACAGCGGGACGAACCCCTCCATGCGTTTCCTGGCCTTCTCTTCCTCCTTACGCAACCGATCAGACTTCTTCCGCTCATAGACTGCACGCACCACCCGACGAACCTGGTCCTTGCCCTGAGAAAAGTTTGCCTTCGCTAATCCCACAACAGAATCAATCTGCTCGGGCGTATAGATAAAGTTCCACGTAGACAGAAAATCGTCTACGTCAGGATTGATAGAATTAGGTTGGGGCGCGATCGAGTCGGCAGGGTCTTCGGCCTCGTTTTGAGCTTGTCGAATGGAATGGATAGCTGCGAGGGGCCGAGTCTTGCGGGTTGGAGGGAGATTCGGGGCGGAAGGGTTGGGAATAAGAGGGAAGTAGACCACGGCGATACCAGCTTCGGGTCTCATTAGGTGGAAGTCGGACTCGGAGTGGTCTTCGTTGTTGTCTGGATGGAAGAGACGCTTTGAAGGTGGGGGTTCGTCATTGGAGATGCGCTCCTCTTGAGTACCGACCCAGACATTGCAATATCCAAGGTCCGAATCGGCAACACTCCCAGAGTTGTTCTTCTTGTTCGATGTATTCTCCTTGTGGTTCTGGGCATCGGCAATCTTCTGGTTGGCTTGCCCATCTGTAATGTTCTGAGGCTCGCGCAGGGCCTTTTCCGTGTCCGCGAGGGTCTCTGTCGCTCGGGGCCAGCCTGCACCGACGGGCCAGCCTTTAATTCCCCGCTGTCGCGCGTATCCGTCTACAACGGAGAGCCAGTTTTCTTGCTTGATGTCGGCAGAAGCATCAAAGGCGACAATGACATCCACGTCACGGCCGGGTCGAATCAACGGATAAATAGGCAAGTTGTTGCTCATTCCAGCATCCATAAGCCGTAGGTGCTTGTCCTGGAAGATAGACTCTGGGCAAGAGGCTGGCAGTTGTTCTTTCATACCCATAACATAGTTAGGAATGGCCGCAGGGTCGATGGGATGCACTCGGATGAGGTCCTCATTCTTGCCCCGGATAAGTGTGTCAATCCCACCAAACCCGGCAAGACCTTTGACCAAGGGTCGAATCTCTTTGTAATAGTGAGAGAGAGTGGCGCAAAAAGCACTGCCCCAGATTCCCATCAATCCCGGAATCCGCAGCTCGGGGATGGGATAGGTGTCGGAAGGCGTCTCATTACGCCCTTCGTGAAAGTGTCGTCCCAATGCCCAAGTAGGAATGCCAGCGTTGAGTTCCTCACAGAAGAATTCGTAAGGGGTGAATTCAAACCACTGGAACCAAGACTCTCGTTTGGCTTCTTTCATCAAATCTTCTGGCTTTTTATGTGCACCATCTCGGGCTTCTTCAGCCAGGATAGGAATCTCGTGGCGCACTGCCGTGTAGATAGGCATGGGATGTGCGCCATCCAGCAGATTGACCTGCTGGTTGGAGATCTTGAGATCGCGATCGCTCACGCCCAGCTCTCCACGGGGAACTAAAAGTCGTGCAGCAAGCAGCATACCATAGATATCCACCAAGCCAAAGTCGGCGCCCGGGTCTGCCTTGAGCTTCTCGACCAAACCGCTGAGCAGGAACTTGTTGGTGGGCGCTGTGGTCAGCATGTTGAGTGCTGCCGGCGGGAAGGCAATATGTACACCCAGTCGGTTTTTCAAGTGGTCGACCAGGCGATTAAAGTTCCCATCCGCGAGAGAAGAATGATAGAGCGTCTGTAGCCAGCAACTGCCACTAACCCCAGCCGTGTAGGTAACACAATCCCACAACCCAGCTTCCTGGGCAGCCAGGTATGACCCAGTCCCCGCAACCAGGGCGCGTAGCCCACCACCAGAGCCGCACATGGCAATAACCGGGACATCGTCTGGGTGAATCTCCTCCTCGGCAATATCCAAATATGAGGCCAATGCTCTCCTCGCGTGCTCTTGGCGCTTCTTCCTGAATACAAGCTCCTCGTGGCAAAGATCGCCGCTCACTCGCACCTGAGCCTCTCTCAAGATCTCCGGGTTGAGGTCTGGATCATGCGACTCCCTCCAGATATCATCCGCGAGTGACCCAGGGGCCATTGAGAGCTCCCGCTGAAGCTTCTGGGCTGTAGCCGGGAGCAATCGGGCCCAATCGGGCACGATATACTCGGTAATGTTACCTCCCAGGTCTCCCCAAGCTCCAGCTCCAACAGTATGTTTGACATTATCGAGCTTTTGTGCGAGTTTGAACCATACAGAGTCTTGGTCTTTGTGTTCGGGGCTACCCTTCTCAGGGGATGATTCGGTCCGCGACTCGGAATTGGTCTCGTACCAAGCAGATGTAGTAGTAAAGGGTTTGCTCTGGGGTAGACGTCGATTCCACTCCCCCGCAGTGTATGCAGCCAGAGCAGCAGGTGGAACTGTCCACCGCAGACGTGAGATCCTCGCAGCGCCCATTTTGGCGAGAGATGGGCGCGACGACGAAGCTGCAAGGTGCATGCAACAACCTTGGCCAGCCCCCGGCCATTGGTTCTTGTTCTACTGTAACCTTAACGCGGGCAATGACGAAATATCATGTGACATTACTCAGCGGAAGCACAGACGGGCCGAGCTCGAATATCCTTTTTTGGTCTAGCGCGAACACCCTTCCGGGGCGGAGCTTATCGAGTTGCTGCGGCCAACACCCTCGTGGACCCCACACACCCGGAAGACATGACGGCTCCTGGTGTCTTCTGTGATTGAGAACATGGTGGCCCCTAGGAATACCGCATTCGCGGAGGAGAGTGCCGAGGTGGAGGTGTTGTACGCCAACCTCGAGAAACTCAACCGCCTCACCAAGAAGATTCAGGGCTCCCTGGTGCGACTGGAAACCAGCGGCAAGGTCGTGAAGGAGGCTATCGGTCCCATTTACAGCAACACACAATCATTGCAGATTACCAACAGCAATATCGACAAGGTCAACGATGCCATTGAACGTCTACGCCAGCCTCTCGATGCGAAGAGCCGCGAGGAGGGCATAATCCGCGCAGGGTATAGCCCCCCCCCCCCCAAAGCAAGCTTACAAGTTCCGAATGTACTAACGTGAATTGCCTCTATCCAGACCGCAGAGCTCTGGCCTATCGCAGTACCTCTCGGCGATGAAACGGGTTGAGAAAGCGCTGGTCGACCTCAACGCAACGAACCTCCGATCGAACCAGAAAGCAATGTCCGACTTCAACGCTCTCCTCAGTACAGGAAGCAACATGTTGCAAGATACTTTCAAGGCTGAATTGATGCAGCATGTCACACCTATCGAGCCGCTACACTATCTGACTAAAGGTGAGCACTTACACTTGATTAATTACGAACGGACAACACTAACCCGAGCGTGTTCAGAACTCCCTTTCCCCTCCCTCCCCGAAGACACGATTTCACAATTGGCACCACTATGCTCGGCAATCGGGTCGGCAGCCATTCATGGGCCTCAGCGAGGAAAAGGAGAGAGTCCTGCATTGAAGATATATTCAGACGTACGCGGGCCGTACCTCAACTCTAGCCTCCAGAACCTGTCCATCGCATCGCTCAACACTGTCAAACGACGACCGACGGATGGTCCCTACAAACAAGGCACGAATGGAATTGGTATCTACTCAAATGCCTTGGAAGGTTTCATCAACGTGGAGCATGGGATCATCGTGCAGATCTTTACTGGGGATCAACAAGGCCTCGTTCTCCAAGCCACCTTCCTCTCAGCCATGGGGGAGTACTCAAAAACTCTGCGTGAGCTGAACCAATATATCAAGGCAAACCTAATGACGGATTGCTTCTTGGCATTTGAGATTATCGAGATTGTGACGGCAATGTCTTATCGCATTGATTCCAAGACGGCCGAGCTTAAGAGTCTCCTGATTGAGGCTTTACGACCAGTGCGTGAAACTGCCAAGTCTTCGCTTTCGGAGCTTCTGGAAGAAACCAAGCGCAAAGCTTCCAACACCCCGCTACCCCCGGATGGTGCCTCCATACCTCTTGTTGACGAGGTGATGAGCTCCTTGACTACGCTGACCGGGTACTCGGGTCCCCTTGCATCTATTTTGACATCACTGGGAGATGGCAATTGGCGATCCAACTCAAACACCGCGGGCACGGCTCCTCTAGACGTTGGCCCCGACAGTGGAACCTTGTTCTCTCACTTTATTCTGGATATGATCGAGGCGCTTATGACCTCATTAGAGGCTCGCGGCAAAGTGTTCCACCGATCCAAGGCTGCGCTCGGTGTGTTCCTCTCTAACGTGTTTTGTGTCGTTGATCGATCTATCCGACAAAGCCCCGAGCTGGCGCGTTATCTTGGTGCGCCAGATAGCATCGCTCGGATTGATAGCTTCCGCAAACGAGCGACCTCGACATATCTCGATGCATGGAAGGATACATCGCAATGTCTGCTGGACGTGCAATATACTTCTCGAACCGGCGCACGGCCCAGCTCTGGCGGTGCAGTGGATTCCAGTGCTATTGTCAAGAATCTGTCGTCTCGCGATCGGGATGCCATCAAGGAAAAATTCAAGTCGTTCAATGCAAGCTTTGATGAGATGATGTCCCGGCACAAGAATCTTTATATGGAGCGCGAGGTGCGCTCCGTCCTGAGCCGAGAGCTTCAAACTGTTCTGGAGCCGCTCTATGCTCGCTTTTATGATCGCTATGTCGAGATCGACAAGGGTCGCGGCAAGTACATCAAGTACGACAAAGCCAGCCTTGCGGTACAGTTGGCGCAGCTGTCATAGGCACCCAACTGTGTTGTTGCATTCATAGATCTTTGTCTTTTATTTTGCTTTTCCAGCGAGCAGCCAATAATACCATAATCGAATGTGCCGAATAAACCCTTCTCCCAGCGCGTTGCATCCAGTAGTATACACGTGACTCGCCCCACGCCAACCTTACGATAACGTGATAAGCCCCGCTAAACCCGATGATCGCAGCAAAATTTCCCAGTTCGCACACTTCTTCGACCTCACTTTTCCAGTCGATCCTGTCGCTCAATTAGTCTTTCGGGTACTCTCCGATCAGACCGGCATCATGTCCGCCAGCAACGATGTCTACCAGACCCCCCTCAACTCGCGCTATGCGAGTAAGTCATTCCTCCCGTCCCGGGCCGCAATGAGGGGCTATACCGCGGAGGGAAAATGAACTAGATAGCTAACGTCGACTCCCAAATTGGTTAGGCACTGAGATGAAGTATCTCTTCTCTCCTCGCATGCGATTCTCGACATGGCGCCAGCTGTGGATCTGGCTCGCCGAGTCCCAGAAAGGTATGAGAACCTGAGGAAAATTGGAGGGAGATGAGTCGAAGAACTGGTGACGCACCGACATCGGATGTAAATTTGGATGGAAAGGGAAAGCAAGCAACCTTTCAATTGACTCGTTTTGTGATGTTCTAGAGCTCGGCCTGCCAATCACCGACGAGGCTATTGAGCAGATGAAGGCTCACGCCACCATCCAGGATGACGAGTTCAAGGTTGCCGCCGAAGAGGAGAAGCGCCGCCGACACGATGTCATGGCTCACGTCCACGCCTTTGGCCAGGTCGCCCCGGCCGCCGCTGGTATCATCCACTGGGGTGCTACCTCGTGCTACTGCACTGACAACGCTGACCTGATCCTTCTCCGTGACGGTCTCGACATCCTCATCCCCAAGCTGGCCGTCGTCGTCGACAAGCTGTCCCAGTTCGCCCAGCAGTACAAGGACCTGCCCTGCCTGGGCTTCACTCACGGCCAGCCCGCTCAGCTTGTTACTGTTGGCAAGCGTGCCTGCCTGTGGATCCAGGATCTGCTGATGGATCTGCGTAACCTCGAGCGCGCTCGCGATGACCTGCGCTTCCGTGGTGTCAAGGGTACCACCGGTACTCAGGCTTCTTTCCTGCAGATCTTCGAGGGTGACCACGCCAAGGTTGAGAAGCTGGATGAGCTGGTCACTGAGAAGGCCGGTTTCAGCTCTGCCTTTATCATCTCTTCCCAGACCTACTCCCGTAAGATCGATGTGGACGTGGGCAACGCCCTTGGTTCCTTCGGTTCTACCTGCGAGCGCATTGGTATTGACATCCGTCACCTGGCCATGCTGAAGGAGGTCGAGGAGCCCTTCGAGAAGGACCAGATTGGTAGCAGCGCCATGGTAAGCGTGATTGGTCAATTGGACTATGGATGTGGCTGCTGACTGACTGCTTTCGTAGGCTTACAAGCGTAACCCCATGCGCTCCGAGCGTCTGTGCTCGCTGGGCCGCCACCTCCAGAACCTGCCCAAGGATGCTCTAGACACCTACTCTGCTCAGTGGTTCGAGCGCTCGCTGGTTAGTATCTGCAGCGGAGAAGCTTTATTGGAATTGTCGGCTAACTTGTACTAGGACGATAGCGCCATCCGCCGTATCAGCATTCCCGAGCTCTACCTGACCGCCGATGCCTGTCTCATCCTGCTTAGTATGTGTTTGATATTGACTAACTGGGGATATTGTCTCGTTCTAACTCTTTTGTAGACAACGTCAGCTCCGGCTTTGTCGTTTACCCCGAGGTCATCAAGCGCCGTGTCAACGATGAGCTCCCCTTCATGGCCACGTGAGTTATCCGATCTGATCTGTCAATATGGAGTCTGTGCTAACATTTCAATAGTGAGAACGTAAGCGCCTTGTGAACTCTTTATGATCCCATTACCAAAGCTAATCACTCTTAGATCATCATGGCCTGCGTGAAGAAGGGTCTGTCCCGCCAGGACGCCCACGAGGAGATTCGTAAGTGAAACACTCCAGCCTGAATATTTCTCTCTACACTCCGAAACTAACACCATCCTCTTTCTCCTTTAGGCGTCCTCTCCCACCAGGCTGCCGACAACGTCAAGAAGCACGGCAAGGACAACGACCTGCTCGAGCGCATCCGCCGCACCGCCTTCTTCAACCCCATCCTCCCCGAGCTGGACAACCTCCTCGACGCCTCTACCTTCGTTGGCCGTGCCCCCCAGCAGGTCGAGAAGTTCACCGCCACCGAGGTCGCCGCCGCCATCAAGCCCTACGCCTCGCACATTGCCAAGGGTGAGACCTCTGCTCTGCACGTTTAAATTGCCTAAAGAGGATCCCGCAGGACTTGATTGGATGGTCCGCAAGATAGGCATGAGAAAGTGAAAAGAAAAATGTTGATTCACAAAATAAAAAGATGATGAAATATAGAGATGGGGGGGACAGGAGTTGTATATTGGCCAGCTGATACGTGCTATGAAACGAGATTCTACATACCCCATTTTCCTCCTTTTCTGTTTGTATATTCGTAGGATATAGTCATGGACATGGGCAATTATGGATTAAAGGTACTGTATACCGAAAGAAGAAAAAAACCATGAATCAAATCAAAAGAACCACCCCCATTCTAGCTATAAAGAGGATCAAAAGGGAAAAGGAATGCAAGAATCAAAGATGGAAGTGACACACACACACACAACAGCACCCAATCAAAGTGCAAACACACCAATCGCTTCGAGTCAAAAAAAAGCAAAGAAGTAATGCTGACTTTTATGCAAGTAATGATAAGAAGAAAAAAAGAAAAGAAAAGTATAAAGGGCTATGCATAAAAGTGTTCCAGGGGCAGCAAAAGACCAAGATAGATAGACCAAGAAAAGAAGAATCAAAAGACAAAACGCTATGGGCATGCAAAATAGGTAGAAAGCCAGTTAATATGTCCAGAGAGAAAGAAAAAAGAAAATAAAGAAACCCAGAAAAAGAATATCCAGAAGAGAAAAAGAAACAGGGAAATGTAAAAAGGTTTGCAGCGTCGAGAGGAGAGATCGCCAGAGAAGGAAGATCAAATAGGAATGGTTGGGTTGGTCTTGTGCCAGGGAAAGCCGATCGTCGGTCTGCAGGAGACGGTCCAGATTGTCAGATCGGCCGTTGATAACTGCAGGGTTGCATCACCGTCCACAGTGACATTTTGGATTCGAGGAGGTTTTCGAGAGGCTCGTGGGGGCTTTTTGTATATTCCAAGTCCAGATCCAAACCTAGGTTCAGGTTCAGGTCCAGGTTCGGCCTCTTTGTCGGGAGAAACGCCGGCAGTAGGCATATTGTGCATTGCCGTTTAGCAGCAGTAGGAATCGGAAAGATCACCGGTATAAGCGCACGAGGGCCAAGCCCAAGGAGATTGGCAAACACAATGGAGGGATGTCCCCGCAAACGTCGTGATGTCGCACTCTGTAAAGAAACGTGGTCCCCCTCGTTTTGTTTGGCGCTATGAGAGCGCCACGAGCCTCGCGCTTTGCAGCTGGCTTCCAGCTGGGAACCTTGGGAGCCAACTCGATTCCTCGGCTTCGAGTCCTCAAAGGTAAAAACGATGGAGAACAATGTCCCGATTGCTGATCAGCATATGAAGGAAGAAAATTCCATCATACAGAGAGACGGATTGAGCGCTGCGATAAAATCCACGATCATGCCACGATTGCACGTAGCGCAGACTCCCCCAAGCTCCGAACTCGCGAGTCTCGAAGAAACACATCCTGGAGCCAACAGCACGATCAAAACCTCCCAGTTGACATACTCACACCGACCGACCCGAAAATAAGAAGTCGGAAATCACCAAGTCCATAATCCCTTCAACCTCCCATCCCAGCCACCCCCGAAACACGCGACCTCCCCCAAACTCTCAATAAACTCACGCATCAGCCGGACCAGGCGAACTAACCTCGGACGGAGCAAACGGCAAATAAAACAAATCCCGAATTAACCACAGAATATACAAGACGCCCAACACCCACAGCGAAGCCATGAGTTTATAAGTAGACGAGCGCCATGTGACGCGCCGGATAAGACGGCGACCATTGGGACCTTCGATGGGCCCGCGACGCGGCGGCGAAGCGGGTGGCATTTGACCGTTTGCTGACGAGTGGAATGGGTATGCCAGGGCCTCGTTCATGGGCTCGCTATGGGAGGTTCGACGGCGAGACATGGTAAAGAAACGGGGAGAAGGAGAGAGGGAGAAAGTTCCAGGGTTTTGAAATTGGGTGTGGTGTTCTTTTTTTTTTTTTTGAGGGGGAGGAGGTGAGTGGGGGTTTTGTTTAGTCGCTGATAGTTTCCGTTGGCAAGGGAAGTATAGAAGGAAATAGATAGATAAGAGGGAAGTCGAGAATAGAAAGCGAAGAGATCAGATGGAATCAATGGGGGAATATGACCACGTTCCCGAATTCTCGAATTTAGCAGAAAAGAGTAGAGCGCCAAGTAGTAGCGTGGAGGGGCAGACGGTTTGTCTTCCGAGTCGCCTGCGCTTAGGGCGTGTCTGGAGTCTCTTTTAGAGGAAGATGGGGGGCCTTTTTAGGCGAGTTATTCACGAAGTATACTGGAGTTTTTAAGAAGGAGAGAAAAAGAGAACAGCGAAGAGGAAAAATAGTCAGAAGTTCAGCCCCCACTCGGGAAGAGAAATAGAACCTGTTCACAAGCGAGAGAACAACAGAGACAAAGGAAAGGACAGAGAATCCAGTTAAAGCGAGGGGGTCCCACCGCCAGGAAAGCAGCAAGAGCTCGAAAAGGGAATCTTGAGTCTCCACGGATCCGCCCTGGGCTGCGACTCCGATCGGCGAATAGACGGGCTGCCGAGGGGAGAGAAGTATATAATCTAGATGGAATAATCGAGATAAGATAGATAATAGAATCTAGGAAGGAAATCACAATGTTGACTAATTTTATAGATCTACAAAAGTATATAGGGCAGCAAGGCAAAACAAGGGCACTTGGAACATGACAGGCCCCCGACGCAAGGAGTAGGTGTGGGAAAAAAAAAACATGGAAATCATTATTTTGCACTAGAGGGAAGAAATGTGGGAAAATGAATTCATAGAGTCATCAGAATCAAATCATCTGCGGGGAGTGTCGTGCGACAAAAGTACCAACGGGAGGACATGGCCCTAGTCCCACGACCCTAAATCCCTGTCAGCCAGCTAACTACACATCTTGACCGGTGTCGACTAACCGAGTTGGTACCTATCGAGGTCCCTACAGAGTATGACTGCAGTTATACAATGATGTTAGGGTAAGTAGTGCCCTCTTTACATGCAACCCTACGTAAGTAAACCCGGACATGGCGAAGATTGGCATTAGGCATGTCATTAGTAGAATGGAATATACTTATCTTAGTATATTAGTATGATAATTCCTACTGCTAAGAGACTATAGTACTACAGTAATAATAGTATGGCCTATACTATAATACTCTGAATTATAGAGTAAACTCCAGAATTAAGCCCTCGCGAAGGCTGTCTTTTAAGATCGCCCCACCTTCGGGCGAAAGGGGAAGATCCGGGGGCAGTTGGACTGGATTTGACACATGCAAGGAATCCCCGTTCTGCTTCACTGATTAGCATCAGAATTAGATCATAGATCTGTCTTATGAATGGTCATTATAAATTATTCTATGAGATACTGGTAGAGTTAGCGAATTAACTCCAATTTCCATACCGACCAGTTCATACCCGGAATATTGCATTTCCCGTTCGGCAAGAGAATACCCCGGGGGGTGGATTCTCTGGTTTCTATGGGGGGAACTGGGGAATAGAGCAGGGCACAAGACAAGAGCATAGCCATAGTCTATACCATTTAGAGTCCACCGAAAAAAAAGCAAATGGTAATGACTGGAACCTAGGAATGATCATATGACGAGGTATTTTGCATATCGGCACTTTTCTCTCTTCTCGTAGGTGGTGGAGTGGACGAGAGAGTCAATTCCTCCGACGCCGGAACTCTTTCGTGTGCCGGGAACCGCCTCTGCCCCCCCCCCAAACCTCGGCAGAAAGTGCGAGTCATCCCGTTCGTCGTCACGGCTTCCTCTTTCTTCTCGAACACGCGACACTTCTCTCTTCTTCCCCTTACACAACCACAGTCACTCTAGAGAGAGTATCTTTATTCTTCTTCCTTTTCCCCCCCTTCCCCCCTCTCGGCGGCCATTCGGCTTGAATCGTCGCACGATGTGGAAGCCGTCAGAGCGCCTGATGGAAACCATCAGGCACTATGCCAGCTTCCCCGCAACCGGGGTCTCACTGAGGCAAATGGTCCAGTTTGGCGACCGACCTTCTACCGGTATGTCCTACAATCTTGAAAGAGACTATATTCACAAATTCCAATCGATGGGATCTCCGCGGGCGGGAAAAAAAACTAATTGAACGTCTTGGTAGGCACCTTGTTCCGTGCTTCGCAATTCCTCTCCGAGGAGCTCCCCATTCGCCTCGCACACCGGGTCCAGGACCTAGGCGAGCTACCCGATGGCCTTAGTGAGATGCCTTCGATCAAAAAGGTCCAGGATTGGTATGCGCAATCATTCGAGGTATGTCTTGCTTTCTGCTCTACTCGTCGGCTACTTTTCCCTTCGTTCTCGCCCGCTCGATGCTGCTTCCGTTGCTCCGTGGAGCGTGACTCACTAACGACGGTCCGCCTAGGAAATCATCAACCTCCCCCGACCCTCTCTGACCCAAGAGGTCAGAAACCGCCTCTTGCGCCCGGGCCGCATGAATGACGGCTCCCCATCTAAGATTCTCTCCGAGGCGACACAAAATCCCAGTATTCGTGAGGGCCAGTACCGCTCCTCCACCACCGCCAATGGCACCATCAACGGAAATGGAAAATCGGCCGCCGCGGCCGCCGCAGGCCGGCGGTATTTCGTGCCCGCCGATGGCAACGTAGAATGGCCCCCCGAACTAAATGACTACAACCAGCGATTCTCCCGAACTCTCCAACAGATTAAGCGACGACACGACAGCGTTGTGACCACCGTAGCCCAGGGTATCTTGGAGTGGAAGCGGGAGCGACAGCGCATGCAAATTGACTCGACTATTCAATCTTTCCTCGATCGGTTCTACATGTCTCGTATAGGCATTCGAATGCTGATTGGACAACATATCGCACTCACGGAACAAACGCACGTCAAACATCCCAATTACGTCGGCATCATCTGTACCAAAACCAACGTTCGCGATATCGCCCTGGAAGCCATTGAAAATGCGCGATTCGTCTGCGAGGACTACTACGGTCTATTTGAAGCGCCCAAAGTGCAGCTGGTCTGCAGGGAGGATCTGAACTTCATGTACGTGCCGGGCCATCTATCGCACATGCTCTTCGAGACTTTGAAGAACTCGCTGCGTGCGGTGGTTGAGCAACACGGTGCCGACCGCGATCAATTCCCCGTGACCAAGGTGATTGTGGCCGAGGGTAAAGAGGATATCACCATCAAGATTACCGATGAAGGTGGTGGTATCCCCCGGTCGGCGATCCCATTGGTGTGGACGTACATGTATACGACCGTAGAGCAGACTCCCAGCCTGGACCCGGACTTTGACAAGAGCGACTTTAAAGCACCCATGGCTGGCTTTGGGTATGGATTACCCATTAGTCGGTTGTATGCGCGCTACTTTGGAGGTGACCTGAAGTTGATCAGTATGGAAGGGTAAGACAGTTCGTCCCTAACTGGCACACTCTGTTCTCGCTAATCCCCTCTCTATAGATACGGCACTGATGTCTACCTCCACCTCAACCGGTTATCCTCCAGCTCGGAGCCCTTACAATGACAACTACCCGTCATGAGAGACGGCCGGACCCGGTTCAACACCTCGCACCGCCTGCACCCTATTTACATCGAACCGCGGCCCAAGTCCGGCCCATCTCGAGGACTGACACCCATGAATGTCCAGGCACATCGGTCCCGCATGCGCAGCCGTGAAGTCTCGGAGCGCAAACAAGTCGGTGACGCAGAAAGTCTTTTCCACTCGGAGCAACGACGGAAAGACGATGACGAGGATATGTGAGTACCTTGATATTTGTTAATTCATGACCCTTCTTCTTCTTCTTCTACCGAGAGTGCTTTTCTGACCGATGCTGCGTTCTTGTTTAGTGGGCAATTCGCGCGGGCTTCGCCTTTCCTACTTCTTTTCATCTCGCTGGTCGTGGTTCATATGGATAACGGCAAATCTTACGAACGAAACACGAAGGCCGAGTTTAACACGACTTGGGGATGGAATCCAACCTGAGAGAAAAAGAAACGTGAAAGAAAAGAAAACTGAAAAAGAAGAAAAAAAAAAAGAAGAACCCGACAATTCCCCCGATCAATTTCCTCCCCCTCACAACCAAAAAAAAGGCCAGAAGTGCTTTCTTGTTGGCTTTGGTTTCGTTCCTTCTGAGATACCCATTCCTCACTACACCCTTTCGCCATCTACCTCCTTTTTACTACCTCTTTATTCAATCCCCCTTTTGTTTATTTGATCGGGATCTTTTTTATTCCCCGTCTTCCTCGGAGGTCTGGTGTCCTCAGTTCAGGTTGGGTTCTGGTGTTTTCTGTATAGTATTGTTTTGTGTTAGCGAGCATATATCGTGTTATTGGATACCTGCCCCAAATGGCAGCAAATGGAAAACAAATTTAAATAAAAGCCATTGCAATCATAATCTCATTCATGCTACTCCAATCTTCATTTTCATCAACTATTCTCCTCTACCTAGAAGTAGACACAGCCCTACTCCCCCCACGACTCCCCACCCTCGAACTCTCCCCACTCCCCCCACTCCCACTCCCCTCCCTCCCTCGCCCACCCAATCCCCGATCACTCTTCCTCTTCACCCTCGGCCTCCCCATCGGCCACCAAGACCTCTCATCCCCATCCACAACCTCCCGATACGACCCGGGAACAAGATACGCGGTGGTATTATCTGCGCCGGAGGCAGTTTCGTGCCCTCGCGTAGCGCTTGCTGGTGGGAGGAGTTCGGATTTAGAGGCTGGCACGACGAAGCGCGAGGCGTAGAGGTCGTTTTCGAGGGTGGGGTTGTTGGGCGAGAGGAGTTTTGCTTGGAAGCGGCGGCGGGTTTGGGGGATTGTCTGGGGGATGGTTGTTAGAATAGGATCTTTGATATCAAATTGTAACGACAGTGATGCAGGGCTGTTTTGAAGGTTCTCATAAACGTACCCGATGTGAATTCAGAGCATGCGTAACGAGGAGTTCCCAATTCGACAGGACTGCTAGCGCAGCGTGTTGCTCTTCGGTCAGATGGCCCTTTGTACGGAGACGGTGCGGTCGAGTCCGGTGGCGTTCGCGTGGTGGGTAAAAGCTCAGACTGGGATCATCTCTATTGCCCGGTTGCGAGGGGGTGTTGTGTGCGTTTGGCGCGGCGGAGTGGGGGTTTATAGCGCGTGTTGTGTAGTCGTTTTCTAGGTTGAGTCAGTCACATACTCAGACAAGTACACTCACATGGGACACATTCAGTGCAGATAATTAAGGACAATGACTGCATAGATACGTGGGGATACGCACCATCTCTATCCTCCTCCATGGCAACACCCATAATCCGCTCATCGAATTCAATATCGCTATCATCTTCCGCAAAATGAATCATGTCGCCATCCACAGGCTCGAGTTGCATGCCCCCGTCTTCAGAGTCCGTGTCTACGGAGATATACGTGTGCAGGTGTGCGCCTCCCGTTGGGAGATGAGGCTCCGAGTCCGAGGCTGTGTCGGTGTCCATGTGGATTGTTTGGTGTGGGGTTGTGTCTCCCGGGGTGGAGTGGTTGTTGGACATTTGGTGAGTTTGAAGAGAGATGTTGGTTTTGGGGAGGGGGTGGTAGATTGATTCCTCAGAGAGGATTGAGAGTAGATAAGATGTGTTGAGGTTGTGGGATACAAGGCCCAGTTGCAGGCGTGGGGTATCAATGTGCCCACGTTGGTAGAGGGTCGATAATCAAGTGCCGTTCCAGACGGTAGCAGACTGTCAAGTAGACAAAGCCAGATAGAGTAGGACTCGATGCTTAGATAGACAGCTCTAAGCAGGTGATTCAATCATCAGATCGTGATCAGAGCTTCTTTGCAACTCTCGACCTGGTGCAATAGGCCTGATAACGCGAGGGGTATTGTAGTGGTATCTGCAGTGAATGTTAGTCGATCCGATACGAGCTGATCTAGTGAATGCTTTCAGGTAGGAAGCAGCGGTCAGGGAGTTCCTGAAACTAACAGTCCATCGAGATATCAACTCGTCAAGGGAGATCAAGAGGTGGTTGTAATTGTCGGTGCCTCAGGCGAGGTCAGCGGGGGAATTGCTGAGTCATCATATACAAGCTGGACCTACAGCACCTGCAGAGATCTATATGCCCCTGTCATCTCTGCGAGTTGATATTAGACAGGAGTGCATTGAATATGGTAGATGTAAGCAACTACGGGATTGTTTTAAAGAATGAAAGATGATATTATGAATAACTATAATATCAGGTATCGAATAAGACCCAGAATGAAGATGAGGTGCCCCAACCCCCGCAACGCCAAAACACAATGCCGCTAAAACGACGCAGGAACGATTTCAACGATCAAGACAGGCAACGGCCATACTAGACGAGAGTTTGTTAACAGCCATGCATATAGCTATTCTTCGGCCAGCGGTAACCAGCATCCTCCCTAGAAGACAAAAGAGTCAGTAAACCAGTAAACAGTAACCTCACAATAGAGCAGACCAGGATAACTCACCAAGTCGTCAGATTATGATTATCATACGCCCTCCGATGCGCATCAATATACCCCGTAGTCTCAAACCCAGGCGGATCACACGTAACGCTAATCTCATCCGGATCCTGATAAATCCGGATATAATCAACCCGCAAATACGCAGGCATATACTCGCGGATACTTTTATTCTGCGGCGCAAAGTTATCTGCCATACCCAGATTCATGACTATACTCATTGGTTCGAGCGGGATCATGCGTTGTCCGATGTTACCATTGGGACCGATGGCGCGTCCGTCCAGCGTCCAGGTTTTGTCGGCGCCGATGAACCAGGTTACATTTCCCGTGGCGCCGGGGGTGTATTCGAAGGCGAAGGTCTGGTATTCTGTGCCGTTGTACCAGCGGCTGTTTAGGTTTGACAGGCCTGACATGGCTTGTTGGTAGATGCCGCCACGGTAGGAGTTTATTTGGGTGATGCGCGGATCGTAGACGGCAGTGTAGTCTGAAAATCAAATGCTTAGAGAGTGACTGGAGATGAGTAGGCTTCGGGTGGGGGACTAACCGTAATCTGGCATGTACCAGAGATCAAATGGAGCCGCTTGTAGAGACTGCGAGGCCATACCAATGTATGGACCGTCGCCGTTCAATGGAGCTGTGCTACCTTCAATGACATCGATTTCCGGGGCACTGCGAGCGTGGCCAGGGCTGGGATGATCAGACCCGGGACAAGCGCAGCCAGGAAGTCGCATGCCAGGAAGAAAGTTGATGCCATCGGGAGAACTTTGGTTGGGAGTGATTCCAGCGTCACAACCGTCATGGTAACTGTATGGCCACATTCCATCTGTAGTTGCAGCATGACCGGGACGACCCAGGTTGCCCATGGCCCAGAAACCAGGCCAGAAACCCTGGATGTGTCCGTCACCGGGGAGAGAAAGACTTGCTTCGAGACGACCACCCTTGAAGCAAAGTTTGTTCCAGCTTTGGACCATGCCGGATCGGTATTGCAGGCCGTGATTCTTGAAGTTGTCGAATCGGATTTCCATGACGCCTTCGTTCGTGGTGACTGCATCGGGATCGTACCACTAGATTCATGTTAGTTGTTGGAATCTCACTGAACCTCTCGATCAGCGATACACACCTCTTTGTCCATGGTCACACCATACCATAGATCCACCGCTTGGAAAAAGGGGTCGTCATCATCGTAAAATGTTCGACCGGGCAGATTGAACTCGTCCGAGAACTGCTTCATATTAGACATACAGTCTTTACCCACCTGGTCAATTCCACACTTACCACGAGCTTCCACTCCTTGCCATCCACATTCTTCTTGGTCATTGCCTCTTCAGGTGTATCCGGATCAATCAATCCTCTCCGAATATTCTCCAACAAAGGCATGTCCCCAACATCCAAGCAGGGAAAGTCTCCATCCTTGCAAGGATGAGTCGGTTTGAGAATGCCCTCGACCCAAGATCTATCACCATTCACATTAGCAATCAAACCTCCTGCAACAAGGTACAAGATTCCTTACATGACCGGGTACCCAATGAAGAGCACCAAAATTCCCACCGTCAACAAGGCCAACCCACCAATATTCAACACACCTCGACGATTACAAACATCACACTCACGGTCCTGGTCCGCGGGATCGGGATTATGCAGATAATCATCCTTCTCCACGTCCTCAGGAAAAAGCAACAACCCATCCGTCGGCATGATATTAAACTTTTCCGAAACAGTCTGCGTGTTAACATCATACTCGTCGCTTCCGGTCCGACTCGGTGCCCGCGAGTAATCATCAAACGGATTGAAATGAAACCGACTATCCCGACTCATCGAGCTGACACTCGACCGCGCCGCAGAACGCGCAGACCAGCGATCAGGAGACCCGGATCGATCCTGATCATCCCGGGGTGTGGGTCGCAGCTTTGGAGGGAGTAGGAACTCTGATGACTCCGGTGCGTGAGAGACACCGTACGGCGACATACCCTGAGCTCCAACGGGCATCTGTGGTTCAGAACCCTGGGGCGTCAACGGTCGAGGTGAGTTCCGACCATTCAACGGAGCATAGCCCTCGTTGGTTTCGAGAAATGGATCCTGGCCCCCGAGTTTAGGCGGATGTGAGGCATCTCTTGCTTGGAGCTCGACGTTTCAGAGCCTTGGTCCGACATTTGAAAGGCGTCCTAGCGGATATGATGTTGTGAAAGCCGGGTCCGATCCGGTTGTCGTCCGATGTTCGTGAGTCTTGACAAGCAAGACTAGTATCGTCCAGGTTGCCCCGACGGTTTGCAATTGTTGGCCTGGTCCAATTGCTCTTCTACCTTGTTCTCGCTGCGTTTTCTTCTTCCTTTCTCCCACAATCTCCAAGCTGGTAAGGTAAGGACCGAAAGGGTGCTTATCTGTGTACCGTCAAGTCCAATGCAGGCGAATGAGTGGACAGGACCACTTGGACTATATCCAATGTCCCAAGCGAAGACGTTGTACAGCGTGCAGACAGCGTGGAAGCGACAGAGAAGAATAAGAGAAAAACTCTCAAGCACCGCAGTGCTGAGAGAAAAGACGAGCCTAGATTGCGAAATCCACTCCTAGAGGGGATTCTTGTTTGGGTGGATGAGGGGAGTGGAATGCCCGATTTTCTGGCCAAGGGATCAACCCGTGGTATGCGTATAGCTCCCTCGACGGTGCAGACAACGGCACAGTAACTGCAATTTGAGTATTTTAAGCTGCTGAAACTCATTCAAGAGATTCAATTCCAATTCTGGCGCTTGAAAAGCAATGCAATTGATGTTGAATTGCAGGATAGTTTGGTCCTGGTCGCTTGTATTTGCTGCTCCTGGGGTGAAGCGCCCTCTCCCAGGGCAAAGCACATTCCGGGGATGCCCTCCCCGGGGCAGCGAGGAATGAGAGGCTCATGAATGCTAGCCAGGGATTTAGCGATCGTCAACGCGTTGACTTCTGCAAGTTTCGGTCGATCGAGTTGTAACGGTCTCCGTGGAATACGATTTCAATGCTGTAGAGAGTCAAGTGTGAAGAGAAAGTTATTCAGTGCGGGAAGATTCAATCTTCGATCTAAGGGGAGGTTAGGTTATCTACACCACATCGCCCTACATCAGTCCGACTGAACACATAGTAAAATAGCCCACTGTTCCATGACTATGAGTAAATTTACGATATTTACCTCGCGGCTCCCAGATCCAACGCGGCCATTCCCGAACACGCGTCCCTATTCTCGGCCTGCCGCTCCAACGGAATGTCGCGATGCCCGAACGAGCAACTGTCAAGATGACCTCAAACAGGGAATACAAAAGATTGAACAATCAAGGCAAGCCTAGATCCCGGATCATAATCCCTGCCTGTTTCAACGTGGACATTCCTCTTTATGCCGTTCTCCAGAATAGAGTATCTATGCCCCACGCGGGCAGGTTCAACGTTGTCGAGCCCGGCTTCTCCATAAACAGTATAGTCGGATATAATTCTAGCTATGGTAGCTATCCAGTCAAACTCTATACCAAGAAAAGTAACTCTGCTAGATAGCACTACATATACATCACGCATCACTCATATCGCATCGACATCGAAGCAACCATCCCACGGAAGAAGCTATTCACTCTACGACTCAAACGCCTTCGCTCGTAGACCAACAACCCGACTACCCGGCACATCCAGAGCCAGCACCCAATACTCCAATTTCGTGCTCGTCAACTCTACCCGGTAAACCTTGACCTCGACGCCAGACTGGTCCGCATCGGAGGCCTTTTCCACGGCTGCCGAGCGGACAGCACGTAGCACGGAGGCATACTGGTTCTTCGGGTCAAAGGAGGAAGGGCTCAGGGTTTCGATAGCCTGTGAGAGATCGGCGGAGGGGGAGATGAGGCGGGAGAACTGATCTAGGTAGTTATGTGGTGTTACTATGATGATGCATACTTCATAATCCAGGCAAAGCGCACGCCATCAAGGGTAAACTGATGCACGCATAGTAAAAGAGATGCGATCCGACGCTCTCGGGCTTATCTCAAGACCAAATCATGCACGGGTCCCTGAAACCGCGCAAGGCACGCCTTCGCCGGGGCACATATAGTATGTAGGTCCATTCACGTACCTGCGCTAGGCCAATCTCCCTTCGACGCGCCCTCCCACCGCAGGGCAACGGGTTCGAAGGGCTCATCGGCATCCGAAATGTAATACGCATCGACCGACTGCAGCGCCACGGGGACGTTGGTGTTGGCATCCACCGTTTCGGTCCGGGCGGTCTCGGTCTCGCTGGCCCCTTGCTGTTGAGGGCGGCCCGCGTTGAGATCTGCGTTGGCTTTGTCCAGGAAGGACATGTAGGCATCGTCGGAGGACATGGTGGAGGATGTGGAGAAGGGTGTTGTTTGGGAGAGAGCTGTCGTGGGTGACTGGGAGCTTTGAGCTGCGGGGGAGATGCGGAATGTAGGTGTGCAGGTTTGGAGGGTCTTTCGAGGGGGGGTATCTGGGACGAGTGGAAGGAGCTAGACGGTGCAGTTGACGCGTTTGGATACGATGTTGAAGCGGAGAGGGATAAGCTGAAGAGGTTGAACGGGGAGAGCGTGTAAAGAGCGTCGTGATGGTTGGAGCGGGTGTATTTGAGGAATAATGTGGGATGACGCAATGGATCCTTGATGGCGGCCGCATGGCTGCACAACCCAGTTTGTGGCGGGCAAGTCCAGTTAAGAGGAAATTAATGACAATGATGAGGCAAAGTTTGTAGGTCACTGAGGTGGTCAAGGCTTAGAATTAGGAAGTAAAAAAATTAATGGAAAGGTTTCCGATGGCTACGGCAGTCCTTAATAACTCGCAACCGTAAAAATACCCATGTCAGGTCAACCTAAACTATAGGAAGATATGGCTATTTAAGTAGTTGAGATTAACAACATACAAGGTAAACCCCAAACTCTACAGATCTACACATGACTTCTCTCTACTTTACAGCACAATTCGAATCATAAAGGTATTGTTCGCTTTTTTATTGAACTGAAAATACGTCACTGACACCGACCATAGCTCGAAAAACCTTAAACAGTCTGGATAAGGTCCTTCTTGAGGGTACCCATGAAGGCCTTCTTCTCCTCGGCGGTCTGGAAAGCACCGTGACCGAACTTGGAGGAGGTGTCGATCCACTTGAGGGAGACCTTCTCGGTGGCACGGCGGGAGGTCTGGGGGTACAGGGTCTTGCGGAGGGTCATGACACGCTTCTTGACACCGGGAACGGAGCCCTTGAGCATGACGAAGTCGTTCTTGACCTCACCGTAGTGAACGAAGCCACCAAGACTGTGATAATAGTTAGTAAAATCGAGCATGAAATAGCTGGGGGAGTCAGAACATACGGAGTAATCTGCTTCTTGGAGATATCGAACTCGGTGGAGGCGTTGCCCTCATCGGTACCCTTGCCAATGCGGAAGACCTTGTGGTTGCAAGAGGTACGGTGGTGGTAACCCATCTGACCGGCACGGGCAACAGTCCACTGGACGTGGCTAGGGTGCCAGGCACCAATACAAGCGACCTTGCGGAGACCCTTGTGCGTCTTGCGGGGCAGCTTGGTGGTACCCCAACGAGAGGTAACACCCTGGAAACCGTGACCCTTGGTGACGGCGATGACGTCGATCATCTCGTCCTGCTCGAAGATGGAGTCGATGTCGATGGTCTTCTCGAAGAGGTTGCGGGAGAAGTCAACCTTGTCGGCAATGGAGCCACCGTTGACCTGGATCTCCATGAGGTGGGCCTTCTTCTGCTTGATGGGGGTCTTGCGGATCTGGGTGTGGGCGAGGACACGGACGACAGTGCAGTACTTCTTGATGCGCTCGAGCTCACGGGTGATGGAGGCACCGGAAGACTCGGCGTGCTGCTTGGCGTACTTGGTGAAGGCCTTCTTCTTGGACTTGTACCAGTTCTTGTAGAAGCGACGCTTGACCTCGTCGCTCAAGTGCTCAGCCCAGACGGTGGTGAGGGAGCGGAGACCGCGGGGAGTCTCGATGTAACCGACGACACCAACGGCAACGAGCTGAAGAAAGTGGTTGTTAGAATAATTTCCAAGGAAAGAGTACGATTGTGATATCCACATACAGGAGGGGTCTCGATGACGGTAACGGCCTCAACGATCTCCTTCTTGTGCATCTTGGCACCGGGACGGTCAAGGTCACGGACGACGGTGGTCATACCGGCCTTGTAGCCCATGGAGGCAGTCAAGTGGACGGGCTTCTTGGGGTCATCCTTGGGGAAGCTATTCGCGGAAAAAAAAAAGTCTCAGTACTCGGATCTCCACACATTCAAAGCGAAAATTTTCGCAATTTCAAGGATGTAAAAACGCACCTCTTAACCTTACCGCGGTGGCGGGCAGCGCGCTTGCGCGGGAGGTAGGCCAGGGAGCCTGTAGAGAAAACATCAGTATCATCGCACAGAAGGTTGAGTTTTTCTGGCGGGTCGAAATTTCGACTCGGCGCAGGAGAAAGCAGCGTATTGAGTGATCACGAACCGTGGCGAGGGGCTTCGAACTTCCGGTGACTCCTGAAAAGAGAATAGATATTAGCAATTGCATTCAATGCAGTGATCGAATAGCCATGGCGATGTGCGACTCACATCTTGACCCTGTTGTCGTTAGCGTGGTGAGGACGTCGAGAAACTGACGATCTGAAAGTGTGGAAAGCATTTTGCGCTTGCCGAGTTGTGGGCTGAGTCAGCAGGTAAGCGACCCCACTGTTATGTGAGTCACATGATGTGGTGTATCACGTGCTAGGTGTTCGATTTTGGCTTTTGACTTTTGGCGGAGTGGAGTTTCCCCTGATTGGCTGGCTCGGTGCTCGTGGATATTCGAGGTATGGAAAGCATCTTCATTCAGGACTATTCAACGGCCAATTCTTGCTAGAGAATGGCAAGTTGATGTTACATAGACGTCATTTGGATGATGAATGCTTGGGCTATTGTCTGTAGAACAAAACCCATTACCCTCTTCCAAGGTTCCTGCCGGGTCTTGGCTTCTGCAAGGCTGCCAGTCCTCGCTTTAGTTGGAACTAGCTAAGGTTGTCTAATCTTGTCTTGATTTTCTTAACTATCGTTAATGACAGATTCTTTATGCTCTTTATTCAAGACATGTCTTATTTATTAAACACGGATCTAGCTCCAGTATAATTAGGTAGGTACCGGAGGGTGCACAGCCATAGGTGAAGCGGGACCCGAACAGAATATATTCCCGATACTCGTCTGAAAACCCCCAACGCTCTAACATGCTATGATGGACAGAACTAAGCTTAGGAAATCGTTAAAAGAGGAAACCACTGAGGCCGCTTTGAAATTTCTTTCCCCTTTACTGAGAATCAATGTCCGACGCGACAGCGTACCCATCAGGGAAGGATGTTTGAGTGTCGTACTACCGACATGGATGGATATCGGCAGACGACCTCGTGCTTCCTACCAAGCCTCACCTTCGGACAAACATCGAAATGACTCGAGCTAGGATCGAATCACGGGCACGCTGTGACGTTTTGTCTGTTTACATCTACACCGGCTTGGAGACACAGCCCTAACTTACCTAAAAAAATCTACAAGCTTCAGCTGCTACTCGAATGAGCGACAATCTACAACTACAAATCACCAAGCCTTCCAATGACACATGGCTGAAATTGCTACCACAAAGATGCCCTCGCATCCGCATCGAAAAAAAATCCACAGGAAAGTAGTATAAAGGAAAAAAAGATCACTTTCAGATAAAAGATATAAAAAAAAATTCATCAGAGGGGGGCGGGACAGAAAGAACGAATACAGGACACACGACCGCATCCGATGTCGACTCACCCAGCCAACATCAAGTGGATCTGAGGCGTAGCCGAAAACGACGGGGGTCTTGACACCAACGTTAAGGGTTAAAGGGGACATTCATACCGTACATGACGCGGGAAAAGGGGGGGTGGTGGAGGGATAATAGGATAAGAGGGGGAGTGATAGAAAGGACACGGGGGAGAAAGAAAAAAAGGAGGAAAATTGAGATGGAACTCGGCAGAATGTAAACAGACAGAGACACGAGACATGAAACTATTCGTGATTTACTCAAAAGAAAACATGGGAGATGTTCTTTTTAGGCGCTCTCGGTCTTCGAGGGAGTGCCTTGGCGACCGTTGCTGACTCCATTGCCGTTCGTGGCAGTGCCCGTAGCGCTGCCGTTGGGGCTGCCCTTAACAGCAGCACCGGCCTTCTTCTCATCATCACCGTCATCATCGTAATCCTCATCCATGTCCATCTTCCGAGCGGCGGGCTCATGTGACGAGGGAGCCTCTGGGCGAGGAGCCTCCTCCTTGACCGGGGTGTGGGCCGAAGGAGGTCCCGAGGGAGGACCGTTGGACGCAGGGGGAGGAGCAGCGCTCTCAGCCATGGGGGGAAGGCTGGGGCCACCTGAAGCGTGAGGAGGCATGTTTTGGATGGAGGGCAGGGTAGGAGGGTGGTGGGCTGCCTCGGACGGGTGGTAGTTCTCGTTGGCTCGGCGAGCATCCTCACGGCGAGCCTCCGAAGAACTGCGTCGCTGCATCTGACCAGGAGAAGGCAAGCGAGCAGGAGGACTGGGACGACGGCTGTTCTGGTCATCCAGACGGGCCCGAGTCTCATCGCTGGCCTGCTTCTTGACGGGACCGGCTTCACCCTCCCATTCACGTCCACGCTTCATAGCAGATGGCGGGCGGTCTTCACGGTCACGAGCAGCGGCCTCAGCAGCAGTCGCAGCCGACGCAGGGGGAGGGGCACCGGAGGCGATACCAGTGGTGCTGCCACCCGGAGTGGGAGCGAGCGGGCCGTGGTGGTACTGCTGGTGGGGGTAGCCCGAACCAGGAGAAGAGGGACGCTCATCACGGATGGGGCGAATCTCGGTGGGAGGGGTGAAGGGACGATGTCCGTAAGGAGGAGCAGGAGCACCAGGAGCTGCACCGCCGTTAGGAGCTCCGGGAGCCGGAGCACCAGTGGGCGCGGGAGGGAGGGGCCCCCGAGCAGCAGAGCCAAATGGTGCATTACCACCGCTGGGTGCACGCTCATGAGCGGGAGCCGGTGCGTTACCCAGCTGGGGCAGGGTGTGAGGTGGAGGGTAGGCATTAGGGCCAGCCATCTTGGGCGAGCGAGGAGGGGCGCCAGCGCGAGCAGGGTCAGGGAATGCCCGACCAGGCTCCTGGCGAGGGCTAGCCTGGGGAGCACCAGGGGCACGCAGGGCATCACGCTGGTCAACGCCGTTGGCAGGCGGCAAGGCAGGACCCTGCTGCGGGTGCAGCTCACTAGCACCGCGATTCCAGTCAATTTGACGAGGAGGAGCGGGTGCCTGAGGTGGAGGACCGACTGGAGCGGGGGCAGCAGCGGG